ATTCGAATCTGATTTAGCCCCGGTTCGATTCCGGGTGGCGCCAACTCTTTTTTCCATCTTTTCTTTTTTGCTTCATTTCACGACATTAGTAGTAAGTAACTCAGCTCCCCCATGGAACAACTTCACGTTTCGTATTTTTGTTGAATAATTTGGATCAAAACTACATTAAGATCGAACAAGGACTAAGGAACCTTCAGACTGTAGAAAAGTCTATTCTATGTCGATGGCAGTGGCGTGTGCACTAGTGAGTAGGTACTGAAGAACTCTCGCTTCTCAGAGCTGTTAATTGGTGCTTTCATCGTTTTTACTTTCTTCCTTTGCCATTCTTCTTTTGCAACCCATGTGCAACTGCGCTTGGTTCGCCTTCTCATGTGGTAGGCTCTGATCCCACGCTATCTATATGCTTATTTGCTCCGCGTGCAATACGCCGTAACGGCAAGATAGTAGGCAGTGCACTCACACCGCGGTCTATCTTGGGACCAAGTTACTCAAGGGCCAAGATGATGAGCCGATATTCGTGCTTTGCTAATACATACTAGTCATGATTCCACTCACGCCAAGTGGAATGCCTACTATATGGCTCAGACAGGCCATGTATCAAATATAGTTGGATCATCAGGAGGTGAAGGAAAGTTTATCGCGCGTGGCCGTGCCCCATGAGAGGCCAGTGCGCTTTGAAGACGGGCTCATTGCCCCCGCGGAGTGCTCTGGATATCTGAATAGTTACCCTGAAGTGGAGATTAAGTGTCGTACCTAGGTAAATGCCGGCTCGTATTCTTTTCCGAAACAAAGTCCAAAGTTTAAATCCAATAACAGTGAACTTGCATGATAGGGCGTGCTGCAATGACTTGTGACCTGCTCGGCCTTGCTAAAAAATCGTTTACTGTAGATCTCGTCAATCGGCTAAGGGGGACACGAGGACCCAGAGCACGAGACATCTGTCTTTGGTGCAGCGGAACAACGAGCTTGTATGAAATGACGTTTTGACACTTTCAAACATAGTACATACCCGTAAGCATGCATCACATTAAACCTTGGAAATGGCGAGTCACGTAGCTGTGATCTAACAATACTACTTAATATCCCAACATTTTCTGGTTCATCAGATCAAGTTTCTCTACTTCCACATTACAATACCACACTTTGTACGGAGCAATCTGCACCACTTAGGCCTATGAATCCGAATAAATGCGATGATCAGCAGACCCCACTGATCAGCCATCAATTTCTATTGATCCAACTTTCAAGCCACTCAATGTAGTGTTCTCAGTAAAGGGCCTATACAGTCCATTTTCTCCATTCAGACGGCCACTTGCGTCAGTGGAGGCGACAAGTAAACGTTCATACTCTGCGCTTCCCAAATCACATTCAGCCAGCCTTACTCCCTACAGCAAACCAGGAGCAAGGAGCTCCGTGAGGCTTGATCTCCGTCGTAACCCCACCAGATTCCCAGGAGAGTAAGCATCGAAATCCTGTTCTAGCTCTGCCTCGCGGCTTGAGGGCTAAATTCTCCGATGAGCCTCCTATCTGAGACCTGTCTTATTGGATACGAAGGCATTCAACACACGTTAGGCAACATCAAAGGTAAACATGGCGGTTCGTGCTGATCCATAGCAAGGATCCAGGCAGCTGACTGCCTTTTTAGGGTGTCAGCCCAAGCCTAATCTCAACAGGGCTGGCTGCATTGCAACGGGTCTCCGTTGCGCAAGCCATGATGTAGATCAGCAATGGAAATCTCCTGCCATAGGTTGTACTCTGCCCATTCCTCGACACAACATAGTACAGCCTTGTACAAGCTTGCCCAAAAATGAAAGTGATACAGCATCGGGGATGTGTGACCGCCCAGCCTGGTCACCGGCCAATAGCATTGCAGTCTAAAACAACCATTAAGTGCCTGACCAGGCAAGCTTAGGGCTGCATACTGCAGACCCAAAAAAAGCTCGTGGCTGACGGGATGCCAATTTCATTCCTACCATGACTTTCTGTTTTAAGACAAGACGCAACACAGCGCAACACATGCCCACTGGAGTAGGTGTTAGTCGCGCGCCAAGGTACTCTACTCTGTAACCAAACATCATTCGGCTTCGCGAGGTCGAATCTTGAACAGCAATCAATCTGTGGAACAAGTGACACCGTTCGTCGGTTTTTGCTCCACTTTACGGAGTCAGTCCTGTCCACACCTTCCCCTTCCCCCCTCCTTGGCCCTGGCTCTCTCTCCACGAGGGTCCGGCTCTTTCGCTAAGTTTCTCTATATTTGCCCCACAGCTTCAGAGCGCTGTCAAGGGTTGCGCTCCCCCAGGTGATGTTTCATCCTTAAAAGAGATCAGCAACATCCAGACGCCAATGACGCTGGGCTTAAACGGGGCGGTGATTAATTTCCTCTCCTGGGTGGAGGACTTTCCAAGGTTGGTGAAGCAGAAGGAGGCTGTGCAAAAGCGGGTCACCTTCCTGGGTCTCCCCATTGGCCCCACAACGCTGCGACACCTGTATCCGTATTACTGGTTTGTGACCGTCATTACCTACACTTCGCTCTGGACTTTACGTTTGTATTTGATGTTTTTGAAATAAATGGAAAATAGAAACTTCTTTTAGTGCCTCAATCCCTAGCTTTCCAGGTTCTTCTACTGGAGCTCTTATGGATCTATCAGCTCTTTCCTTTCAAATACCCCTATTTACCATCGGAATGTCACTCTGAGGCCAACAAGCTACCACAAACATATCCGTTCAATATAGAGCTCTCATTGGCTGGCCTCGATATTCTAGTGGGGGTGGGGCAGTGCACATTCGTTTTTGCAAAGGAAGCTCTCAGCTCCTCAGTGGAGTCGTCTTGTACATGATTCAACATGGTGATTCGAACGAAGAGACAGAAAACATCTTGCACTGATATCATAGTTCCCCTTTCGCGCCAGCGCTATGGAATAAACTTCCGCCCTTATGGACCCCGTTTTCCCGCTAGAGGAGTTTGTGATCGCCTTGCATGGATCTCTGACAGTTTCCAAGCTCCAAGAGGCCCTTAGGATTTAGGTGCATCCCGATTGATAATTCTGCAGCCCAAGTGAGCTCCAAATTTGTAGTAAATTGCGTCTAAATGTTCTCATTATTTGAGATTCGGGAATAGCTGTGTCACACGTGCACATGTTTCCAATTCCTTGAGAACATGACCAGTCAAAAAAAAGAAATACAAATGTTCAAATGCTCGTGAGGCTTACGTCTGTGCCACGATTTTTTGGGCGGTTTATTACGAAATAAACATGTATTTGAGTATTTGACGATCATAGGATCGTAGGATCCTGCATGTCATTCTTTTGGGGTGAGTCTGGCTTACTTGGCTGCTAGGTATGTATGTAGGCACCTGGCTGGGCACTGCAGTGTTCAAAATTGATTGCTTGATTCACACTTAGTTCTGAAGTATATCGCGCCAAGATGTGATCATTACGTGTCCTGGGGTTCGCTTGGACATATTCTGAAGTAAATTCCTAAGACGATGTGTATCAAATGAGCCTTGTGATTAGGGCTTACGGCAGTACTATGCGGGCTATGGAGCGCATTTCACCAATTGCAGCAGTGGTTGAATGATCCCTGATAAAACGACAAAGAATAGACAACTGGAGGCTTGGACCCCAACATTTGGAAATCTGTATAATTTGACAAGGTGGGGTTGATAGGGAGCAACTCCAGGAGGCATTGCCAGGCACCTAGGTAAATGCTTGGCCTCGGGAAATTGAACACTATTCAAATTTCAGTTTCGATTTGAAGATGCAGACTTTTAATGTACTTGATCTATATTTGGAGTCCTACTTCAACTGAAGAGGTATTAGCCGGTGTAGTACTGCATATAGTCAATAAAAGGACTTTCAAGTGAGAAGATTGATCACAAAATAAAAGGCCAATCATACTAGTATGCGATGCTATTAGACTTAAAAGCTCAGACCCTATTCATTACTCTCGGAAGTCTAACTTGATTCTTTCACTTGGGCATGATCAAGGCTATGGAGCCTTCAAAGGTGGTTGGAAGCCTTGCCTAGAGCCGCGGCAAGATCCGGCATTGATGACAGGCTACAAGGCGTCCCGCACTGTCCTTCCGCGCAAGCATCTCTACAAATCTTGTAACTCTAGAGAACAGACCGCTTGATCTACCGAAAAAGCGGGAAGTTATGCGATAGCCCACTAAGGCTGATGGGGGCCAGATTCTAGAAGAGGGGTTGCTTTCACGGGCTCTCAACGGGAGCGCTCTAGTGCTTATGCTTATGGTTCCCTTTCCCACTCACCATCCACAACTCATGAACACATGCAGAACATGCCGACGGAGTCCCCGGAGCTCTTGTTCCCCCCGACCAGATTAACCGTTAGGCCCGTGGCCATTTAGAGGAATAAGCATGTTTCAACATGAGCTAAGGTAGCATAAGTGCCGCTAGCAGCCCGTTTTGGATAAAGGGATGTACTGTAGGAGGCCTTGCATTAAAATGACATTGAAACTTTATGCTGCATATGCACGCTGAAACGAGTAATGAATGCGGTCTATTTTTGCGGTAGATGCCGAAGGTTAAAGAGGTCAATCCTGCAGGATTTAGAACCCAGTACACCCGTGCCTTCTTGCAAACTGGACTGTGCGTCATTCAATATGCACGTTTGAGGGCTTGTGCTCAGTTTACAGGATTTCATGGGCGGCCTGGCTTCGCGACATCGGCATAATGCCCACTAGCTGCTATCCTCCCCCGCTAAGCTGACGGGAACAGCCTTGTGTAAAAAGTTTGTTTGTAGCTAGGGCATAAATCATTTGACGGATGACGGGCTTTTAGGCTTTCATCCGGTCCAAGCAATGCGCTGGTTTTTGTAGAGGAGGCTGATGATCAAGAATGCCTTGCTCTGAGCAGAGGAAAGGCTTCCGGGGCCAACGCTTGTCGAGTTTGGTGCATGCACTAACATCCTCTAACTAGCATCTCATAATATAATAGCAAGGATTGCGTTTATAATGATAGTCTGGGTATTAAGACAGAAAACTAGAGCTCGCGATTCGGAACGGATGGAAACAAAGACGGATTCTTCATTCGTTCCTGGTTCTTCTTGGCCCTTTCGATGCCACGCAATCTGTCAATGCGCATCTGATAGAAAGTCCTATACTTGATGAGAAACCAAATTTCAAAAGAATGCCAAGCTTAACGTACTTATGCAGCGCGAAAACGCGAGGACCATTGTCCGTTTTGGTTTCATTGCCGTCATTCTTAATAGAATCAATCTGGCAGGGAAGAATTAGCGGATATATGACATCGGGTGTCATGTGTAGACAACGAACCTTGTCATCTCGTTCTTTTTCATCGCTGGTTTTCGTGTCGGAATCAGCTTTATCTTTATCCTTAGAGTCACCTTTTTCCTTTTCCTTGTCTTTGTCGTCCTTGCTAGATTCCTTGGCTTTCTCTTTCTTTCGTTTCTGTTTTTCTTCGTACTCTTGCTTGACCTTTTCAATTTCTTTGGCCATTGCTTCTTCCTTTTGGCGCTTCAAGTCACCTTCTGTGTCAACAATAGCGGAGCAGAAGTGGCGGTCTTGCAAGTGTGCGGGGCACACGTAGAAGAAATCCTGAGCCGATAGTCAGTGATCGCGTACATATGTATATAGGGAGGGCCAAATTCCAGATGAAACTATTGTGTCTTATAATTAAAAGTAGGGCACAGCCTGGGGCGGACTTGCCTTGTTATCAGGCGTTATCAACACGCTTGTTGATGGCTTGTAGCAGATTAAACATGATTTGGCGGATGTATCTGCGACTCGGCGCAGGTGGTATACGTTGGTCAAGGACATGGTTCTGATACTATGAGGTAGTTGCCCCGAGGTAATCGTTTGTTGAGGGCACTAATGAATCCCGTTTGTCCAACTGCGAGTAGATGCGTGACTCAATATGTGAAGTGATGTTGCAAGTTGTTCCTCCCAAGTGGAGGCCGTCATGTGACCCATTTGAAGCCGCGAATATACGTGCTACTAGTACCTTATTGTATGTGTACAAAACTTCACGTTTGCGTGTTCTTCAATCAGCATACCTTAGTACTCGTAGGCGTAGACGATTGGAATTTTGTAATTTACTTGAAGACTAAGATGAGCTTTGAAAGTGTTACAGTGACATTGACCATTAAAAAGAAAAAAAGAAAACGCCAGACCATGCATTTGTTCGTTAGGAACAACCTTGGAAACTCCGATAGGAGTACGGACATAACTTGGGCGACCAGCATATGCTGACGATCGCAACAAATACACATAAGAATAATTTGAAGCTTCAGGGCTCAAATTAATACCATAACAGATCATGACTCCTCCACATCGATGCCAGCGGCCTCTTTCGCTAACCTGAGGTCCTTGCCTTCAAGTCCGATGTTCCGAAGGTAGGGCTTGAAGGATTTCAGCAGATCACTTAGACCGCCCTTCAAAGTGTCCAGTACGAGATCCACATCGGGGATATGACGGGCTGCTGCTTGCGCCTCGGGCTTACTTGATGGAGGGAAGTTGACATCGGTCCAGTGAGCATCCAAGCCGCCTTGGTGAACGAACGCCTCCAAAGACATGATCGTAGTGGTAAGAAGACGGATCACAGAGGGAACGTCGGCTTGAACCTTACCGTACTGGTCCTCTGCCAGACTAGCGATCAAGAGTCTTGTCAAGGAATCGACTGCATCAACAATAGAGCTAAGAGAGGACTCGGGTCCGCCAAGAACGATGGTAGATGCACGCTGTGAATAGGATTGGCGGAATAATTGTCCAATGGGAGTGCGAAGGAACTGCGCGATCACTGGATGGACATTTTCAGGTTTATACGTGGTAGAGGGACCTCCAGTGAGTAGCTTCAACTCCTCGGACGATGCGATGAGTTTCCTTTTGCGTTCAGGACTAAGCACAGCTGATGAGGCCCGGTCAAAGACTTGACGAGCACGAGCTCGCGCCTGGGGTGTCCAATCTGCTGACTGGCCATAAGACTTCGCAGTCGCACCGAAGGCATCGCCGAATTGTTCCTGTCGTGAAGTAGCCTTGGGGGAATCTGCAAAAACATTTTCAGTCTTCGGGGCATCCGTTAATCTGGGCAACGTCTGAAGTGTAGGCTGGAAGGCTGTTGTTTGCGTCGATGGTTTAGCACCGGGAGCAGGCGCCTTGCTGGCCTCAATCCGCACGGTAATATCTTTGATGACACCGGTCAGGCATTCCAAGGTCTGGGACCATGTCGTGCCGTTTTCGCGCTCGATCTCGTTGAAGATGGTCTTTCGGCGCTCAGGCTGTCGCTGGCTAATGAGACCGAGCTCCCAAAGTGCGTAGGATTTCATAAGGACCTTCTTCGCATTCAAACCGTTAAGCAGACTGCCGTTAGGATCTTTAGCGTCGCCTGTGAGCGGTTGTCCGCGCTTCAGGGGCTCCTTCCCGATGAATACAGAGAAGAAGAGGTTGGTGCATTGCCAGCATAGGACAAGCAGAGAGCCCGAGAACCAAGAGCGGAAAACCAAGAGGAGGAATCCAGGGGGGAGGAATGACTCGGGCTCCGCGGCGGATCGAGGGAAGTTCCAGAAGAGTTTGGCAAAGTACAAAGACCAACTCCATGCGCTCTGTCGAAGGAACAATCGGTAGATGAAGGGAGTCACGGCGGCCGCGGTGGCGGTCCTTGTGAGACCCGTGATGATTGTTTGAGGCAATAGCCGTTGGATGTGTTTGGATGTTGGGGGAATGCGGTGGGTACGCTGGTCGTCGGAGTTTGGAGCTGGCTTGACAACTGGGATAGGCACACTGTCGTAGTCGTAATAGAGATGACACACCGCCTGCACACACGCCAAAATCAAGTGGAAGCTGTGGATGTAGATAGGTCTTTCATTCAGATGGGCGCGCTCATGTGGCCTGATTGTGGTCAGTGTCTGCTCAATGTTGCTTGCTTATGACATATAACATACTTGCCGCGATTCACCATCTCCAAATGCGCACCCGTCGACGAAGACCAAATGTAAATCTCAGTGAACCACCATGCTGAGAACAAATACCAGCCAAAGGTTTGTGCCACTTGAAGAGGGAAAAGGTATCTCAATGTGCTGAAAGAAGATGTTGTGTTTCTTGACCCCAGGTGCATTTGACCAACGCGGAGGACAAAAACGACGAGCGAGGAGATATACAATAGGACGGTACGGATTCCGCAAGAACCGATGGGGAACCATGACCAAAAGACTGTACCAATTGCGAGTGTCAGATACTAAACCGTGAAATTGAAAAGAGAAAGTTGAAAGTTTCCCGTGATGGAGCGGGCGCATGACTTACAGGATGACTTGTCGCCGATCGCAATTGCTATGCCGTAGCACACCAAAAGGGAGAGCGCAGAGGCATGAACAAATCGGCGGTGCAGCGACGAGGTCACAATGCGCCTATACGGCCGAGTTACAGTTGCCGCCATGTTGTGAAAGCTAGCGGGGGATGGTTATCGGGGAAACAGGATAGGACAGCAGTTAAAGCATGGTCCAGGCAACCATCCCAGAAGCTCTAGAAGCTGTGTTGTTGAATTGGTGGTCGAGGGACAAAGTTTGGGGTCAAAGCTGAATCGAAGGTGCGCCGAAACGATGGGATCAAACAGAAAGCTGGGTCTCGAATATTTTGAGGCATCAAAACACACAAGCCACACTATAGTCAGGTGATACTGTGGCGTACATTGATTTGGAGAAATATTATGAGTTTAGTCAGCAAGTATATGTGGCTCAGTTAATACACGCTAACCTAAGCACAGGCTAGCGTGGAATGGTACGTCATGTGAGTTGACCTGCATTTCCGTTGCAGCAGGCAGAATACTGAACAGCGCCTTCTCTTGATCTGCTAGGTTTCATCACTAGTCATTCTTTCTACTTGTTCAATATTGCCCAGCATGTCTTTTGATCGCCTGAACTCACTAGAGGCTCAGCCTACCACTATGCGCCGAGACGATGACCCGCAGTACCGCGACGATCCTGGCTTCGACCATCTAGCCGAGTCACTTTCCGACCAGATCTTTTCACTGACCTCGAATACTACTCGCTTGTCGAGTCAGATTGCTCTTCTTGGTACAAAGCGGGATACTGAGCGGGTGCGTGAGCGGGTCCACAACCTCCTAGAGGAGACTCGAGCGGGGTTCAAGGAAACGGGAGAAGGACTTAAGAAGATCCAAACATGGGAGGACGTTAATGTATGTCTCAGGTTATCCGATTCTTGATTGCCAGCTTTTAACCTAGTTTACTCCAGCCCTCTCAAAAGTGGACCCAGCAGAAGCTATCATCTGAGTTCAAAGCCAACCTTGAGGAATTCCAGACCGTCCAACGCCGGGCATTAGAAAAACAACGCGCATCTGCTGTAGCCGCCCGCACGGCTATTGATGACGGTGAACAACCATCCGGAGATGCCGACGTTCAGCTCCAAGAACAGCAACTCCTAGAACAGCCACGTTTAGCTCACCAGGGGGAGGTGGATTTCCAAGAGACTTTGATCATCGAGCGGGAGGCAGAGATCCGCAATATCGAACAGAGTGTCGGAGAATTAAACGAATTGTTCCGAGATGTTGCTCACATTGTTGGGGAGCAAGGTGGCCAACTTGATATCATCAGCGAAAACGTCCAAAACGTTACCCAGGACACACGGGGCGCAAATGTTGAACTGCGTGGTGCCAGCCGATACCAGAAGAATGCGCGCAACAAGGCCTGCTGCTTGTTTGTCATCCTCGCTGTTATCTTGCTTATCATTGTGCTTGCAATTGTCCTTGGATAGAGAGCTTAGCTGTACACTCCCTTTTGTTGCTTGGTTTTGCTATTTCTTTCATCCCTCTGTTATGTCTACGCACGATATCCCCCATGCATGATATAGCCCCGGTTTCCGTGGGCCCTCTATGAATCACAGTTTACTTCCTTTATTATCTCAACAATGGCGTTTATGAATGGAGAACGTCAATATTTTGGTCTTCGATCCTCTAATGCAGTATCGTACATAGTAGTAGTGTGGTTATACATAAATTACATCTGATGCTCTGGGGCCCCTTCCATGCCCATGCTCCATTTTCGCCTTTCAATAACCAAGGGAGTCGACAAGCCTGGATAAATAAAACCAGATAAACAGAAATTAAAGGCCAACGAAGCGATTGAATCTCATTCTCCATCCTTCATAGGAGTTCAGTTTTGGCCGCACATCCAAAAAGAAACTGAGCTTCTCTGGGCCAGGGTTTCCTGTTAAACCTTGACCTCCATTGATTGAAGGTTTCCCTTGGTAAAAATCAATAACGTATTCAATCTGCTCTCCGCCACAACGCTCGACAACCCAGTCATGACGATCAAATGGCCGCTGGTAACCTAGCCATCCGTTAATCCGCGCACGGGGGCTCAAGAACTCGGGATCAACCCCAAGCCCACGGAAAGAGTATAGTTTAGGTCCTCCACATTTCTTGCTTCCAGGGTCCGAAGATGGGCCCTTTTGTTCCCAATCCTGAATCTGTTTCCAGGCGCGCTCGTTCACGGCGTTGTGAATGGGGATAATTGAGGCAACGGAGGTTGCTAGTTCGGAAGCAGTGGCTGTAGAACCTGGGGTATTGCCCTTACGCATCAAGGCTTCAAAGAACTGTTTTTCGGATGGGTAAATCCAATTGCCTGTTGCTTCGTCCCGGCCAGTTTCGCTTTCGGCATTAGATGGACATCCATGCGATGCGGCGTTTTGCGAAGAGGCGTATGCGGACGGAACTTGTTTATCACCCTCGGGGCAGGTTTTTCCGGCTGCTTCACCAGCGCGTGGGATACCGCTGACCTCTCGGTCTGTTGATAGTGGTCTTTGTAACTTGGCAGGTGTTTGAGCCGCCTCTGAATCAGAACCGGGGGAGGGAGGATGAGGTGAATTGGCGTGTTGTTGCAACCAAACCTCACGAGTCTTATGGTCCACGGGACATGTCGCTGCTGGTGGTTCTGCAGATGCAGAGGGAGTACTTGCGCCAGCTCCCATGTTGGTGATTGGGTAGTTATTGGAAATCGGGATGTCAGGATTGGGGATGATTGGAAATTGCAGATTGATGATCGGCACTGTAAGGAACTACTAGTGATCAATAATTTTGTCCTCACCGCCCAACAGATACTAATAAACGCCTCCCCAACCAGTCGAGACCCCCTTAACCTTTTGTATCTCATTGCCTTGGGGAATTTTGATCAATTTCGTTTCTCTGAATTAATTTACATACAAAATGGCCGCTCCATCCAGCCAGCCTGTTTACCGGGCCACTACCACTGCTCCTGTCAACATTGCTGTCATCAAGTAAGTCAAACAAAAGGGTGCCCCTCAGCATGCCCCTCAGTCCGATTGCCAAACACTAGGCTAACCAACGAGACTATAGGTACTGGGGCAAGCGTGATACTACTCTCAACCTTCCCACTAACTCCTCCCTCTCTGTGACTTTGTCGCAAAAGTCTCTCCGCACCCTCACCACCGCCTCATGCTCTCCCTCCTACCCCACCGAGGATACTCTCAACTTGAACGGCAAGCCCCAAGAGATCCAGTCCTCCAAGCGCACTCTCGCTTGTATCTCCAGCCTCCGTGCTCTCCGCAAATCCCTGGAGGATGCGGATTCTTCTCTCCCCCAGCTCTCCACTTTCCCTCTCCGACTTGTTTCTGAGAACAACTTCCCCACCGCCGCTGGCCTGGCTAGTTCCGCTGCTGGCTTCGCTGCTCTGGTCCGCGCCATTGCCGACTTGTACCAGCTACCCCAGTCTCCCCGTGAGCTGAGTCGCATTGCTCGTCAGGGTTCTGGCTCTGCCTGTCGCTCCTTGATGGGTGGCTACGTCGCGTGGCGCACCGGTGAGCTTGCAGATGGTAGTGACAGTTTGGCTGAGGAGGTTGCCCCCGCATCCCACTGGCCCGAGATGCGCGCACTGGTCCTTGTCGTCAGTGCCGAGAAGAAGGATGTCTCCAGTACCGAGGGTATGCAGACCACCGTCGCTACCTCTGAGCTGTTTGCCCAGCGTGTCGCAACTGTTGTCCCCGAGCGCATGACCGCTATTGAGGAAGCCATCCGTGATAAGGACTTCCCTAAGTTTGCCGAGATCACCATGCGTGACTCCAACACTTTCCATGCTACCTGCCTGGACTCGTGGCCCCCAATTTTCTATATGAACGATGTTTCGCGTGCTGCTGTCCGCCTGGTGCATGATATCAACAACGCCGTTGGCCGCACTGTCGCTGCCTACACCTACGATGCTGGCCCTAACTCCGTGATCTACTACGAGGAGAAAGATTCCGAGCTTGTCGCCGGAACCGTCAAGGCCATTCTGGGCGCCACCGCCGGCGGCTGGGACGGTCCCTTCCACGAGCCCCTGGTCAATGTCAACTCGGGTGTTTCCCTGGAGAAGACTGACCCCCGTGTCCTTGAAGTCCTGAAGAGTGGCATCAGCCGTGTCATCCTGACCGGTGTCGGCGAGGGCCCCATCTCCGTTGAAGACCACCTTGTGTCCGAGACTGGTGAGATGGTCAACCAGTAAGAAGATCAACGATCAAATTACGATACAAAAACCTTCCTACAAGCGACTCGGACGATACCCCCTTTCCTTCTGTGAAGGAATCAATGCTCCAGTCATTTCAATGATGATGAATATCCTTCATTGTATCTAATTTATTTTTACTTTCCGGGCATTTATTCATATATTTTATTGATATTTAAACCAGCAACCTTAGAAGCAATAACTTCAATGTTGATTTTTTTTTCATGGCCTATAGATTGTTCCTCGCTTGTCGCGATATTAAACGAGCAAGTAAAAACATAGCTTCAACACTTATCACAATCATCGCATCTCTTAAATCCATACCCCAATGAATGACATGTATCGATGAATTTCTTCTGCTCTTTTCCTGCCCGAACACAACACCCATCAAACCCACACTCGCTTGGCCCGTAGACCGCCCCAATCCTTTCGCATGCGTGCTGAGAGGGATGGAAGCCTCCATTGCAGCTACATTTGATGGCTTCGGTGGAAAGCGCGCTGCCTAGTAAAAACAGAGCTAGGATACTAGAGATCGGCAATTGCATTGTCTAAACATGAAAAATACACTTAGTGTAGGTAGTTGGAACCTTGGACACCCTACTTGAAAGATTCCAACCTTGGCAATTTCACTTACAATTCAAAGGACAAAGCCCCTTCGTGTGAATACGAGCTCTTCTCTTCCAGGGATTGGATCTTGATTGCTTTCAAGTGTTCTGGTCGTGACCGAGGTCGAGGGAAACGTAGTGGATTTATAGACCAAACAAACCTTGAACAATGAGCTTCCGGGTAGTATCTCATCTCAGCAAAGTGGTCCTAGTGTTACCTTATCTGAACCCTAAAAGGAATCGACTATATAGAGCACATGCAGCTGGGGTTTCGAACCGAGGAGGTTTATCTACGTGTACACTTTGCAAATACATATGTATCTATTATACCAATAAAAATATGTAGATTTGGAAAGTAAACCACCAATAACATCATTCATAGGTATGTGGGAACTGCTGTGTAACTGGCTATCCGTATCTACATACTACGGATAGTTGCATAGGATTACAGCTGGAGGCATTCAATTGGACTAGAAGATGCGAGTGTAGTACTCAACATTAATCCCAGGGAATCCCAAGTGGTCTAGGGTGACATGCCCGGAAGTTGATCATGTTCATGATCTAATGTTGAAAGACTCAGTTCCGAACCTCGGGCCAGGTTTCTAGTTGAGAAGCACATGGTTGGCAGAGGTGAAAAAAGATTAGTGTATTTTTTTTTAGAAAACCGTATATACTAAGTTAAACAAACATTTGAAGTCCATCTATTTATACAGTCATGGATATTGATCATTCCTTCGCGGGGAACTTCTTTATAACAAGATCAATCGCATATTCGTAGCCCTGTGCACCACATCCAGCCTATGAAAGAAAGTCAGTCAAGGCCATTAATATTCAGCTTACTACACTTTAGTAAGCTGAAAGGGGGTACGTACAATGATCGCTTTCGCCTTATCCTGGAAATAGGAGTGATGCCTCCACTCCTCTCTAGCATGAATATTCGACACATGCAATTCAACAAAGGGAATTGAGACGCCAAGAAGCGCATCTCGAATCGCGACGGAAGTGTGAGTGAATCCACCAGGGTTTAGCACAATTCCATCCGTTCCATCGATTCGAGCTTCTTGAATTCGATCAACAATAGCTCCTTCCCAGTTGCTAATTGACAGTCATGAATATTAGAATGAGCTGTGATTCCCGCGGTGTACAAGTGTGAATGGTACGTACCTCTGGAAAAAGTCCACATGCGCGTTTAGCTCATTGCCTTGCTTTTTCCCAGCTGCTTCAACATCTGCCAAGGTTTCGTGTCCATAGATTTCAGGTTCACGATTTCCCAAGAGGTTGAGATTTGGGCCATTGATGACCAGCACTGTCTTTTTCCCGTCACGCATGGTGAACTTGTTTTATGGAGTTTGAGGTGTATGGAGAAGCTTGCAATTGGATTTCAAAAGGAAACTTTTCAAGGTTACCCCGGTTGAGATGCGGGTATTTATAAAGAGTCGGGAAGAATGCCGAATAAGTTTGGAAGTCACAAGGTCATGGATGTTAGTACTGGGGTCTAGACAAGTGGAGTAGTCTTCCCCCGCGATCCCCAGGTTTTGCTCCTTAGCCGGTGCGGCAATGTGTTCTCCCGATGAAAGGCTCCACTCCCAGCCTCGGATTTGTGTCGGCTTCGGAATTGTATACTCGGACTTGGATATTTACGAGGACAAGCATCTTGGGGAATATCGGTGCTTCATTTCCTTTACCCGGGGGGGGGCATTATAAAGGTGAACAGATACTCGTCATTCACCGCTATTTTGAACACCTTTTCGCGTTCAACACTTCGAAAGCACCTTATTATCAGAGGCAGAGATTCTATCACCATGTCTTCATCAAAGGTCCACAATGTTGGAATCATCATGAACGGCGTCACAGGTCGGATGGGAACGAACCAGCACCTTGTACGATCTATTTGTGCAATCCGAGCCCAGGGCGGCATTACTACCGCTGATGGCGATATTATCATGCCAGACCCCATATTAGTGGGTAGAAACCTTACCAAGCTCCAAGCTCTCGCAAAAACACACGGGATTGAGCGCGTCACAATCGATCTGGACACTGCACTAGCTGATCCACACAACACTGTTTACTTCGATGCACAAGTCACCTCATTACGCCAGGACGCCGTCAAAAAAGCTGTTGCGGCAGGCAAGCATATTTACTGTGAAAAGCCAACTGCAGTTACAACAGAGCAAGCCCTTGAGCTATCAAGGATTGCAGAGACAGCGGGTGTGAAGAATGGTGTTGTGCAGGACAAGCTTTGGCTACCTGGCCTTGTGAAGCTGAAAAGCCTCGTGGATAGTGGATTCTTTGGAGAGATTTTGTCTGTCCGGGGAGAATTTGGCTACTGGGTCTTTGACGGTGAGCATGTTGTCTCCCAGCGTCCTAGTTGGAACTATCGAAAAGAGGATGGTGGCGGAATAATCTCGGATATGTTTTGTCACTGGTACTACGTTATCAACACTCTGTTTGGCGAAATCAAGTCCGTCTCTTGTCTCGGCGCCACACATATCAAGAAACGACGCGACGAGAATGGCGATGAATATGACTGCACTGCGGATGACAGTGCTTACGCGACATTTGAGCTGAAAACTGGAGTTATTGTTCAATTCAATTCATCCTGGGTCGTTCGAGTGCGCCGCGATGATCTTCTTACTATTCAAGTAGATGGTACAAAGGGAAGTGCGGTGACAGGCTTACGAGACTGTGTCGTGCAGCATGAAAGTGTGACGCCGCGGCCGATTTGGAATCCTGATGTTGCTGGCACAGTTGACTACAAGGATGGATGGAGCATTGTCCCCGATCGTGAAATGCTTGACAATGCCTTCAAGACCCAATGGCAGATGTTTCTTCGACATGTTGTTAAGGATGAGCCATGGCAATATAATCTGTTGGAAGGGGCCAAAGGTCTCCAGCTAGCAGAAAAGGCCATTGAGAGTTGGGAAAAACGCTGCTGGATTGACCTTCCCGAAGATGCCCCTCAATGACGAATTCGAGATCACCAAATGACCAGGTCAAAAAGCATACCTGGATCGGCTAGATCATAGCCCTGGAAAGATCCATGTGGTGAAAACATTGAGCTACCGGTCGTCTCATCAGCACTTTAGTCCTCCAGGGCCATTATAATACCTACTAGTAGGTAGCTGATATAGCACTTGAGGCACCCCATAAATTTGATCAACAAGTTAAAAAGTCATTCAAGGTATATCAATAAGTAAGCTTTAGGGCGATAAGTTTCAATCAATTGATGTTGGTACATAAAGAGCTCTGGAGGCATGATTGATCCTCAAGATCAATGAAATGAACAAATACAATTTGCTTCTGTCCCTGGGTAATTTTTCCAGAGCCCAGGGTCGCTGACATTAATTACAAAGGTGCACACTTCTATGTAGGATACACTAGTCTAAACATTGAAGAGAAAAAGAACCCCCAATAAAGGCTGCCACGAATCACTAGCAGATCAATATTGTTGAATCTTGATCATAGGATAGTGGCAACAACTGCACAAACGGTCCCAATCAAAGGAAAAACAGATCGGCCCAGATTCAAGGCATTCCATCTCTGAATCAGATCCGGAACTTCTTTCTCGTCATTAGATGTTGACTGTGCCTTGCCCAGAAGTGCACTGTTGGTCCCAGTCATGAAAATTAGAGTGTATGGGACAATGCCGACTGTGAACACTACCGCTGCGATATAGAGGCCACTGCGGTTATACGCCGTATGCTTGTATAAAGGGCCTCCCTTGCGAACAGACCAGGCCAGATAGAACAACGAAGAAGCGACCGCAGCTGCAATGGGCGGATTCTTCTTTTTTCCGGTCTCATATAAGGCTGCCCATTGTCTTGCTAGGAGGCTCTGTGATTTGTGGTCTTCGTTTTGAGATTGGACAAGTCCCGGTATGGCAATTGTGCTCAATGCCGCAATATTTCCTGTTAGTTCGGTTAGAATAAACTTGACTGGAAAAGTGATAGTTTTGGAATATCGATATTAGATCCATTAAGGTAGTTTTATGCGTGCATAATTGATACATACCGGACAGCCAAGCAGCACCTGATATACCAATAACTTGTGCCACACGAAGACCAAATTGTCTGGACGCCATTGTTTTGATGGAATGTATTTTGATAGGTTTGGTGATTATGGAATGTGATACAATAAAACTCCGAGAGAGATCAAGCCACTCTTTAAGTAGAAAACATTCAAATGAGAGTAAAAGTCCGAAAGCCGTAAGCAATCGCAGGATCATGAGATCAGCACTGGTTAATGATCTCTAATCGGTCTTCGGATTTTGTCGGCTTTTGGCTCAAGTGCTCGAAACTTGACGCTAGACCTAAACCGGTAGCTTGGGCTGCTAACTAAGCCGTGACTCGTGAGCCTCATGAGCTGTGACTTCATCTACGAGTGTCCAGACGATTCAGATGTCTAAGGGATTGTAGTGATCTAGAGTAGATATTTGGAACATTTGAGGAAATAAATTTGTTTATGCTCTTAAGTATGTACAAAATTCCAATGCTGATGCAGTTAATGCCTAAGCCTAATATTGAAAAGTCATCCATATTTCTACCATCTCGGAGGTCTGAGAAATACTCCAGTGGAAGGTTATACCATTTTCTCCCGTTCAAGGCAGTGAGAGGAACAGCTTCTCCATCTTTGGGTAGTTAGGAGTTCCCAGGCCAGTTGCAGGATCCCACCTATATATAGTTAGATTAATGACACCACATCCAGATGTCGACAGCTTTTGCCTAGACTTACCCTGAAATAGCAGCAAATCCATCGGTATCACATCCAGCATTGGTTCCGTTGGTGATATCATTGAGAACCTCAGGGTGTGCATAAAGGACCGGGTTGACGAAACCAACAGGACCCTTACCCTTTGCGATACGCTGCTCGTTGATCTGTGGGACGTGTCAGTCACCCCCAAAAACCTTTAATGAAATGCAGAATTCAGACTTACCAGAGTCAGGACCGAGGCAAACAATGGCGACGCCAAGCTGGATCCGTACCAGAAGTAATCCTCTCCGTCCAAGTATGCCCGGAATTGGGCACCGTTAGCCGAAACGTCAGGGTAGGCGCGTCCGATACGGTTGTATAGCCCCGTGGTAGTATTAACATCTACCTCGAACTCCGAGTAGTAGGGGTAAGAAAGGTCAGCCTTCTCAAAGTACTTTGCGACGGTTGCTTTCTGGTACTCGGGCTGGGGGAAGTAGTTGGAGAAACCACCCGAAGTGCTGAAATTGGCAGCTGAGCCGCCGAGGTTGACGTGCATGACACTTTCGCCATCCTCAACTGTTTGGTAGTCGTAGAGCATGGTACCTCCGACAGAAGTGACGTATGGGCAGTTGGAGGGATACTGTGGGTTGAAGATTTTGCTGTCGGGGCCCAGGCATCCATTGGCATCACCGTCACCTGCGAATGAGGCCACTCCGTAATCACCGGATGCGAAAAGGATAGAGTGACCTTGAAGTCCGAGCTTCATGAACTCATTGCATTGACGCTTCGTGTAGCTGACAGGAAGGTCGGCCTCTGATTGACCGTAGGAGGCACTGATGACGTTTGTGGGCTTGTAGATACCGCACTGAAGCTTGCCCTTGTATCCGCCAGCAGCTGGGTCGGGGTAGACGGGGTCAATCTCTGGGTCATCACCAGTCTCTCCATAGGCACTGTATGTGCAGTAAGACTAGAAGATCGAAGATTAAAATGAGCGACCGCAGTAGCGAAAGATAAGAGTGGTACATACACCATCGAGAGCGTCAAGGAAAGTGTTGAACAGGTTTGTAGTTGCGACCTCTTCTGGCTCATAGATCTGGTCATCAACCTGATACAGAGTCACGGTCTGAGGGTGAATCAAGGAGAAGCTTTGACGAAATTCGATTAGCACGCACTGACGAAGATCGGGAATTCCGTTTTCACTTACGCCATATCAATATCAATATCAGATTCACCGGTGTTCAGCGCACTGTAGGCTGGCACAGAGAAATTGGCTCCATCAATTAAAGCGGGAATAGGGTAAGTGCCCTCTGGAACCCACGGGGCGTACGACTTGTAGAAAAGATCGATATCCGACTTGGCAAAGTAATCACCTTGCTCATAAAGACCAAGGGAGTTTCCTTTAGCTGCCGTGGTAGCATCTGGGATGCTATACAAGGCCTTGATGCAGGTCGGGGTAATATTGTACCCACAGCCCTGGAGATCTTCCGCAAGGGACAGGGCCTTGGCGGGGATCGAGTAGGTGTCTCCAGCGGATGAGACGGCCTTAGCATTGGGCTTAACACCAAGCAACTGGGAAGCTCTCTTTGCCTTGGTAAGCTTCTTTAGCACTGGGGTCAGCTTGACTCCTGGCGTGATGTAGTCAATGTGTTTCTGAACATGCTGCGGAACGTGATATCTACATTTCAGGTTAGTATACTCATCCACTCCCACGCGAATAGAAGAAAGTTTCTCTTACTCGTCACATCCAACCTTGATGCTTGCACTGGCCTTGTGCTCGTGCTCATAGAATTCAGCCATGAAAAGCCGTTCCGCCTCATGTGCATATGCATCAAATGCAATCCAGCCCTTGTTATCGGAGTGAACAACTCGAGACGAGTCAATTCCACTAGATTCAAGCCACTGCCGGACTGAATCCACTGCTTCCTCTGAGGGAGCGAACATATCATGAACCTCATCTGCAGACCAGAACTGTCCATATCGGGGCGAATCTGGGTGAGAGCTTTGCGTGTGTCAGCACAACCGAAATATAATAGAGTGAGAGCAATACACAGGACAAGTCACTCACACTTCCATTAGATGATCATAACCATTTTCTAGGTTATTCTGGCTCAATCCGATACGGACAGGAAGCACTGCATCACTTTCAACCCGGCCACCCTTTACCCATTCGTAAGACTGTCGGTCTCGCTTCTCATGCAAAACATGCTTAGCAGTAGCAGGCGCAGCCCTAGCCAAAGCCGCAACGGCCAAGGCGACACAGAATTGACGCACAAACATAATGAAAGCAAGTCCAAAATGCCCACAATAGAATTATAACAGATAAGGGGAATGACGGGCCTTCAAATACACGAGGCAATGTCTGCCCAGTTGTGCTAGCACCACGCCATAACGAAAAACCAGTTACTCCACTCTGAAAAGGCGGGATAATGCAATTTCCAAGTATTTTGACCTCCTCGTGGTCTGATTGGGTCCATTGAGGCACAGTTGTCTGCATGGGGTATGAGACATATCAACAACGTGACTTTTCCATGCGTGGCTTCGTGGCTTCGAGCTAGTATAAGCATTCTGGAAGCGGGGCAGGGGAAAAGCTTCGGCAATTGGCCTATTAATTAGGCTAGATTGGCTTGTTAGCGAGGTGCAGGCGCGAAATTAGTGTACGTCCTTATCAACCCCGCTTTGACTGGGCTTGGACTTTCTCCGCAGCGTCGGGCTGTTCGGCGTCGTTATCGCAGAAGAAATGACGCTACTTGCATAGTGCAATCTAACTTCTGCAAGGGCGGAGCTCCGACGGCTAACATTTTCAGATATCCGGCTTACCAACGGGCTTGTCGTAACCCCCTTACAGAGGCAATTCGTGGCGATGCATTGGGAAATTATATGTAAAAGCTATGTTAGCGATAAAAGGCCTCAGGAGTATTTCCCCGAGGTGTTCAAGGTTCTAAGCTTAGAAAGGAATTGCACGAGGACATAGCACGCTAGACCCGTTCACGAGGTTGTATCCCGGTGCCATCTGGTTCCAATTGAAGAAAATCCATTTATACCATATACGACATAATCCATGCAAATAGTAACCCTACACGCTAAGCGAGCAGGGAAGACTTTTTAATCTCCTTCACAACGGGCGCCTCTTTCCGGGCAACCCCACCCATGGCAATGGCCGCCATGCTCTCATCGAGCACGCGAGAACCAGCAGTCATCTTGATTCTCTGTTCTTCCCCATCTTCATCCTCGTCCTCCTTCTTCGCCGGTGCAGCCGCAATCTCAAAAACGTCTTCACGACAGTCTGCACACATCTCCAAGACATCCTCCAGCGCTTTCTCGACAGCAGCAGCTCTTTCGCGCATGCTGCGGCGCAGAAGGGCATCTACCAGTGCCTCTGCTTCCTTGACAGCAGAGTTAACTCGTTCCATAAGTCGCCGAATACTATTGACCAAGTATTCCTCTTCGTAGATCGTACCCTTCTTACCCTTCGCACGCTTGCGCTCCTCCCGACGGCGAGTCTTGGAGGTGTTGCGGGATGATGAAGTCTTCCCGGTGTAACGAGTGAACATGGTTTTGCCGGCCAGTGTGGTCGCCTCGGTGGGAGCCAGAGAAACGTTATCGGGGATATCGACTCCGCCTTCTCCACCTGTGGGGTCTCCTCCGTAGAAAGCCAGAGGGTCTGCAATGCGAAGAATGCGCAATTCGCGGACGCGAGGCACTTGGGAAGTGAGCTGAGACTTGCAGTCGGCAAGCAAATCTGTCATTGAGCCCATTGCCTCTGCCAGCCCGGTGTCAACGATTCCTGCGACCAGTTCTTTTTTGCCGTGCAGGGTTAGCAGGCGCGCAGCATCAGCAAACTTCGAACCTCGGCACAGAAGCTGTGCAGCAGTTTCGATGTCATGCAAGTGCTCTGCATGGATTGTTGCTGCTGAAACAAAGTCACGAGCCTCATCGAGGGTGACGATGAGGTCGTTGGTATGGGCGAGCATGTCCTCCTCGGATAGTGAGGCCATCATGGCACAGTAAAGAGACTCTCGCCACATATGAGCCAAGTGGTACGATTTGTAGGCCTCTTCGTATACCTCGAGTGATTCGTAAGCAATTGCGGCATCCTTGTGGTTAGATTCGCCAGAGAGGTAGTCGGCGTAGAGATGTGTGATCTCTTTTTGCTGCTCTGGCTGATATTTGTAGATGTCAAGAGCCTCTTTGTACAATACGTGCTTGGTCACATAGCCAAGAACCTCATCGTGTGCCCCCAATGTAAAGAGATGTTTCAAGGCTTTGATGAATCGAGAGAGGTGATTGTCAATCTCAAATTGACGACGTACTTCAGGCAATTGCTGCAACTTGCGGAGGAACGGAAGATATTCTCTGGGATCCATCTGCGCTTGTTGGGCCACCAGAAGAGTGAGTTCAAGGTCGTAAATTCCAAGTGCATGGGAATAGAGACGGTATGCATCTGTCAAGAAACACATGTGCTCAACAGCATCGTCAGCTTGCTCCGGATTTTCTGTTCTCAAACGTGCAACCAGATTCAAGCCAGCCTCCAAATCAGGTGGTGACTTGCACACGTGCGCAGTGATCAAATTCTGTAAGTTTGTGTCCAGGCGATTTTGCAGAACCTCCAAGAAAGCGTTGCAGATAGTGTTGATCTTGCCCCCTTTGCCGTTAGGTCTGAGAGAAATGGGCAGAGCTGGGGCATCTGGCTGAGCAACAACGGCGGACTCATTCTTGGAGATTTTGAGGGTATCTTTGTACAGAGTTTGAGAGACATCATCCTCACTATAGTCAATAGTTAGCGTAGGGGTTTTTTATATTTTTGAGGAATATCTTACCTGAGACGGGAGAGGAAATCATCGATGAAATCGACTTTTTTGACTTGCTCAACAAATAGTAAAACATTATCCAAGAATTGCTGAGGAGCATAATCATGGAGAATGTTCAGGTCCACCATCTGGCTGCGACAAGCTAAAAATGCAGAGCGGTATTTTTTCTGGTCGATGAAGGTACGAATGCCGGCCAGTACAAGCGCACGGGGGTAGATAGTCTCAATGTTACCTCGGGGAGCTTGGAGAACGACACCGAACACCGAAGGCATCACAGACACAAGCTTCGATCCTCGCTCAATGCTCCGGCATCTCTCGTCGGTTTCCGGGGTATCTTCAGGAACTTCCATATCTGTGACCATTCCGTCAGTTGCCGATTATAGTTTTTTTATAGGGGGTTCGACATACCGTCCACATGGTTCAGATGAGCAAATTTGAGTAGATGTTGAGATGTAGTGAACAGAAGATGCGATGGGGTCAACAAGAAAGAGGTGCAATTCTTCGCAAGAACTCGCTTATTAGCGTACAAACCACCGGTCCGTGTCATCGTTATCAAGATTCGCTATAATTGTCAGAGATCTGCTTCAATATCCTAAATCACAGGAAGAATTACCTCGGTTTCTGAGATCGAAACAGCTCCGGCCCAGTGGGTGTCAATTGTAGGACCTTCAGCCCAAGGAGTAGTGATCTCATCACCCTCAATGAGATCGATGCTCGAGTATGTAACGGCGTGGCCGGGCTGGCGGGCGTGTGAAATCCACAAAGCCCGGTGTCCAATTCCAGCAAATATCGAGGAAAGTTGCTCGGAATCAGAGGCTTGGTATACGATACGAGACTCACGGGTTTCCAGGCTGGTTTGCTCAATATGACTTGTGTTTGGTGCACTGTCCTTCAACACATATACCTCGTTATCATCAACGAAGGCGATTTGCCGAGGCCGGCTATCAATAGCATCGGAGAGAGGATAGCTTGATTCAAGAATTGGCATAGGAACTGGGCGACTCTTGAGAGACCAGAGGAAAATTGAGAAGCTCGACTCCATTAGTACGGCGATTCGAGTGCCAGACTTGCTGAATGCCACGTCAATGACATTGGAGTCTAGTTTCAGTTCATTGTGGGCCATGGGAGGAGGCACACCGGCCAGTCTCAGTGGAGTAAGCTTCAAAGTTTCTGCGGATGTGACATTAGCCCTTATTTCAAAGTTTGTGTTTCATTTATCTCCAAAAAAAGAAACTCACTCCCATCAATGACAGCCACAGCACCAACATCATCGGGGATCACGGTAGAGCCTTGGTGGACATCAAAGACATAGTCCATATCCAGTATAGATCCTATATATTATTAATTCTATCTCTTCGTTGGCGATCTTTAACAACATACCTGATGACCCAGCAACTACTCGGAGCGCCTTCTCTTGGTGCCATTCGAAGGAGTATGGGGTTATGACTGTAGGATCAACCACAATAGGAATCTCCTGCTTGAGGTAGTAGTGGTAGTTGCCTGTTGTCCAGAGCTGGACTCGGTCTTTGAAACGGACTGCAAGCACCGTTGAGTCGATGTTCCATGAAAGTAGAATGTGCGATGCCCAAGTTTTGCGTTCTTCCTCGGTCAAACGAAGAGTAAATTGACCATGGCGAAGGCCATTTCTTTCAAAGAACACAACATCGATCCTGTCTTCCAATCTTTGGATTCCTGCGATAAGGTTTCCTGATGGGCGCCAACTGAGGGCACCTTCAAGACCGTCAACTGGCTCGCTAACACTATCCAAAGTGCCTTCCCTCGAGTACACTCTAATGACACGGCGGGCACTCTCTTCGACAGTATTCACAGCAACATAAGCTCCATCACCGCGCCAGCTGATTGTAGTGCTGGCATCATCATAGGTGCTCAGAATGCCTTCGTCAACCTTCTCTGGTACAGTAGGATCCCGCATAGCCTTAGCCCTTTTACCCTGGAATTGTGTCTCCTTTTTACCCCAGCCAACAGACACATGCTGAGATGCTTGCATATCAGCCTGTGAGAGGGTGATTTCTGCCACGTTCTCGAATTCCCTGGTCATGTACAAGAGCGTCTTGGCTCTGGTTGTGATAGCTAGAAGCTCCTCATCTGGAGACCATGCTGCAGCTGAGATTCCCACATCAACTGAGCCAAGGATTTCAATCCTATCCTCTCCTGGGAGGGGCTCCTCGCGCACCATGATAATATCACCGCCCTCCAACACCAGACATGCGGTCAGGTTATCAGCAAAGTAATGCAAAGAAAGAACTCGATCGCATGTCAAGTCTGGCAGTGGGCATGGTGCATCCCAAGATGCAATGCACTCAAAGTCACTGGGGCTCAGTGGATCAGCGGAAACGAGCTCGGGGCGCTTCCTTCTAAGCTCGATGACTGGGCTGTGCTGGGAAGGACCAAAGGTACACACGATAGAGTCGGACGAAGTGTCCCAGGCAGTGGCAGTCAAAGGCAGATCGCCCTCAACTCGCGTCTCTTGAAGACGCACATTTTTGAGGTTGCGCATCTTCGACAGTGGGTCTCAACTTTTTTTTTTTGTATTGGGCCCTCAATCTCTACCCCGCCATGAGACGGTAAGATGATAAGTATATGGGAACGCCGATCAAGATGACCCTGACCTGTCGGGGTTATGATTGTTCAGTTTCGCGGACAAAATTCTCTTGAGGTGGTGGTATTCGTGTCAAGGTTGTGGCTCCGAGTCCGAGACTGATACAAAGTCAACCGCCGAACCACAGATTTTTGATTTTCCACATCCGCTCAGCCAATGACTTCATTCATATTTCAACGTCAGCCCAGCTACGCATTACAGCTTCTACACGACTACAATTGAGGAGATATAACGTGTGATAATAATCCCAACTTATTCTCTAACTTTGTACATGATATCCATCTTCTTCGAGAACTAATTTCAAGTTTTCAACCGCCTAGCCGTACTGTCGCGTAAGAAATACGAAAGCGAGCTTATTTGGTCTTGTAGGTTTGCCAGACTAAAAGAAACAATACGTTAGTACCACAGGCACAGAGTGTATTGTCGGGGTGATTGGAAGCTTACCGGCAATGGCGAAGGGGGAGCCGAAACCAACAGCTAAAAAAAAAGAGGATCTACATTAGTTCTGTGGTCTGTGATCGGGGATTTGTTACGGGTCACAAACCCATGAAGGTCCAGTAGCGCCAGAAGAAGTGCTTGGTCAGAGGGTTGAAGGGAATGTTGGTGCGAGGGCCCTCAGCGTAGTGGTAGGGGCTGCCGAACTGAGTGCGGGTGGTGGAGAAACCACGACGGGCAGCAACGGTGGCCAGACGGGCCCGGATAGCGGAGGAGGCGTACATCTGAGATAGTGTGAGATTGTTGCTGTGGCGGATGAGGTTGTAGGACCCAGTATCACCTACCTTGTGGTACAAAGGGGAGGGAATGAACGATCGGAATTGGACGGACGGAGCCAGGATAGACATCGCAAGGTTGCGGAATGGGACGATGTTGGTCACATGATCCTAGTCACGTGTTCAGCTCAGCACAGTATCAACCAATCAAGGGCCAGGGATTCGGGTCATTATGAACATTGAAGAGTCAAATATTCAATTATTATCCCTCTAATCGATCGTGGCTTTTTGGCTGCCTTTACCATCGTACGCTGTTATCTTTTTATTATTGCCATCAATTGGCAGAATTGCCATGTGTCGTCATTAAAACCTAGTGCTTGTTGTCTGGCCCGTTCCATACTAGTAGCTCATCTTGTCATCTAGTATACAACTCGAGGCTCTTAGTAGTTACTGATTCCCCCTCCCCATTTCAATCATCTCCATGATTTCCTAAACCATTCTGAATGTTTCTTCCAGTCGTTGTAAACAATACATACTCTAAAAATGATTGAGAATATAGATGCGTAGACCAATCAGACCTGGGCAGCTTTGAATCAACTTGAGTCACGTGGTGCACGATAGTGGATAATTGATTTTCTTGATTGATTTGCGCCTCACCGCTCTCACCGCCCTCAATTTTCTCCGAGGGAAAAAAAGTTCCACAGGCAACTCGTTCCCATCGCTCGTGGTCCCTTCCTCCATTCGACCACTGGAGATGGACGACCTATTCGACGTCTTCGAGGCTCCGCCTCAGGCGCCGGCACCATCCGCCGGTGCCAGCAAGCGGCTCAAGAAGGAAAAGAAAGACAAGACCAAGAAGCGTCAAGCAGATGGAGTTGTGAAGGCCAATGGAAATGCGACAACATTGAAAAGGGACGACAGCCCGGAGGATCAACCAATGGAGGACTCGGAGCCTGCTCAATTCGATGGACCCGTCTCCCCCGAAAAGGCTCAACCTGCTCTGAAACGACCCCGCATCGAAGAAGCACCTACACCTTTGGTCGCCGATACATTCGAAGCCGAACAAGAGGTCGAAATCGCGGCTTCTGCTGGCCTTCAAGCAAACCAGGAGTCCGCTTCGCTGATTGTCTCACACCAAGTGCGCCACCAAGTTTCAATTCCGCCAGACTATCCCTACGTGCCTATCTCGCAACACAAGCAACCCGAAGAACCCGCCAAGGTATATTCCTTTACTCTCGATCCTTTCCAGCAGATTGCAGTCAATTCGATTCAGAGAGAGGAGAGTGTGTTGGTATCAGCGCACACTAGTGCTGGAAAAACGGTGGTCGCAGAATACGCCATTGCACAAAGTCTCAAGCGCAACCAGAGAGTCATCTACACCAGTCCGATTAAGGCTCTGTCCAACCAGAAATACCGTGAATTTGCCGCAGAGTTCGGCGATGTCGGATTGATGACAGGTGATGTCACCATCAACCCAACTGCGACCTGTCTAGTCATGACCACAGAGATTCTTCGTTCTATGTTGTATCGCGGTTCAGAGATCATGCGTGAAGTTCAGTGGGTTATCTTCGATGAAATCCATTACATGCGCGACCAGAATCGTGGTGTAGTATGGGAAGAGACCATTATTTTATTGCCCGATAAGGTTCGATACGTTTTCTTGTCTGCCACCATTCCCAACGCCATGCAGTTTGCCGAATGGATCGTTAAGATGCATAACCAACCCTGCCACGTTGTCTACACCAACTACCGACCCACCCCGCTCCAGCACTATTTCTTCCCTGCTGGCTCAGAAGGCATGCACCTTATCGTGGGCGAGAACGGTGATTTCAAAGAAGAGAATTTCCAGAAGGCAATGAGCACAATCGCCGACAAAAAGGGAGATGATTCCAACAATGCTTTGGCAAACTTCAAAGGCAAGGGTAACAATAAGAAGACGAACACGGGAGGCGAGAAGGGACCTTCCGATATCTTTAAGATCGTTCGGATGGTTATGCTGAAGAACATGAACCCCGTCATTGTCTTCAGCTTCAGCAAACGCGAATGTGAAAATGGTGCCCTCCAGATGCAGAAACTCGCTTTCAACGATGACTCTGAGAAGGAAATGGTCTCCAAGGTCTTCGATAGTGCCATTGAAATGCTCTCTCCGGAAGATCGAGCCCTGCCACAGATTTCCAACATTCTGCCATTGCTTCGGAGGGGTGTTGGTGTTCACCACTCTGGTTTATTGCCTATTCTTAAGGAGACTATTGAGATTCTTTTCCAAGAAGGTCTGATCAAGGTCCTTTTCGCAACTGAAACATTCTCTATCGGTCTCAACATGCCTGCCAAGACTGTCGTGTTCACCAGTGTTCGAAAATTCGATGGCACAAGCCAGCGATGGGTCACACCCTCCGAATTCATCCAAATGTCGGGTCGTGCTGGTCGAAGAGGTCTTGATGAGCGTGGTATCGTTATTATGATGGTTGGCGAGGAGATGGACCCTGCAGTTGCCAAGGAGATTGTGCGTGGTGAGCAAGACCGCCTCAACTCGGCATTCCACTTGGGCTACAACATGGTCCTCAATTTGATGCGTGTGGAGGGCATTTCTCCAGAGTTTATGCTCGAGCAATGTTTCAAGCAATTCCAGAACATGGGCAGTGTTTCAGGATTGGAGCTTGAATTGAAGGGGCAGGAGGAGAAGAAAGCCAGCATGAGCATTCCAGATGAAGCAACCATCCGTGAATACTACGAACTGCGCAAGCAGCTGGATCAATTTTCTGAAGATGTTCGCACCGTGATCAGTCATCCAAATTACAGCCTTCCCTATCTTACCGATGGACGATTTGTCCATGTCAAATTCAAGGACCAGGACTTTGGCTTGGGTGTTGTGGTCACTTACAAGCAACGAAAGCCAATGAAGAATACTTCAGAAGATTTCCCTCCCCACCATGCCTATATTGTTGATGTCTTACTCAACATTGCCGATGGACCTGCTATTGCTACCAAGACTTTCCAGGATTTGCCATCCGGCGTGCACCCCGTGAAAGAAGGTGAAAAGGGCCGCATGGTAGTCGTGCCAATCATGCTTACTTGTATTCAATCTATCTCGCAAGTCAAGATCAAATTGCCCAAGGATCTGCATGCTACGGCACGTGCCGATACTTTGAAAACAGTGAACGAGATTCGACGACGATTCCCTGATGGCGTTCCCGTCATCGACCCAATTGAGGAAATGCATATCAAGGATGACAGTTTCAAGAAGCTCCTGCGCAAAATCGAGGTCCTGGAATCTCGTCTTTTGAGCAATCCGTTACACAACTCGCCGCGATTGGCAGAACTGTACGACCTGTACGCCGAGAAGGTGGAGATTGGGGCCCAAATCAAGGCCACCAAGAAGAAGATTTCAGATGCACAATCTATCATTCAGCTTGATGAGTTGAAGAATCGTCAGAGAGTGCTCCGTCGTCTCGGATTCATCAACGAAGCGGGTGTCGTTCAATTGAAGGCTCGAGTCGCCTGTGAGATTAGCACCGGTGACGAATTGATGCTCAGCGAGTTGTTGTTCAACGGTTTCTTCAATGATCTTACGCCTGAGCAAATTGCTGCTATGATCAGTGTCTTTGTCTTTGAGGAGAAGGTCAAGGAGGCACCTCCCCTCAGCAAGGACGAACTATCCAAACCTCTCAAGGAAATCCAGAATATGGCTCGAACCATTGCCAAGGTTTCTCAGGAGTCCAAGATGGCTGTCAACGAGGACGAATATGTGTCAAGCTTCCACTGGGAGCTCATGGAAGTGGTCTACGATTGGGCCCATGGCAAGTCATTTGCTGAAATCTGGTAAGTACCACCTTTGGTTACTATAATTGTTTGAATTCAGGCTAATCCTCAACAGCACAATGACCGATGTCTACGAAGGCAGCTTGATTCGTGTTTTCCGACGCTTGGAGGAGTGTTTACGACAAATGGCTCAGGCTGCCAAGGCCATGGGCAGTGAGGATTTGGAGAGCAAGTTTGAAACCGCACTCACTAAAGTGCGTCGTGACATTGTGGCTGCTCAGTCCCTGTACCTGTAGATATGATATCCCTGGAAGTTTTTGGAATTTTGGTAGTCTTTATGCAATCGGAACAAAATCCAAACTTCAGCAATTACGCACTACCTACCTATACTACGAATCATTTACAAACGTTCTATCGGTTTATACAAAGCTAGAATATAATACAAATCCCAATATTGATATAGATAAGTATGTAGTATTAATACGTACATAGCGGCCTAACATTAAATTACTATCGGCATCATCAAGTGGCTTTGACTCCTCGGGTTTGGTCACCCGATGGCATGGGGCTTGTCATCTTTTTCTCTAATGTATGATTTCTTTGGGCTTGTTTTGCTGACTGGACCTGAAACATCACTGTCCTATGTCAATTATTCTTTCTGACATTTTTCTACTTTCCCTTCCCCAAATTTTCAATTTCTAAACGTAAGGACTTGTTCGTCTGCAACGTTGTAAAGTCACCTTGAAAGCTGCACAGAGGGACTACGTTGCCGCCCGCAACGACCCTTGAGTCTTTTTCTCCACCGCTCCTCTCTTCAAGTTCTTTGCACTTCTACCTCCCCACTTCACCCTTTTTGGGCACCTATCTTCGTCTTTTCTTCTGCTTGCTTGCTTTCTTTCGCTCCTCGCTATCCTTGATCTGCTTGAAATATATCTGCTGCCATCCGGCTGTCATCATGAACAGTCTGGTGGCCACGCCTCCCGTTCCTCCTCACTTCTACGAAAACCCTCGGCTTTCTCCCTCCCTTATTAGTGAGACTCATCCAGATCCTTTATTCTAAAGGGTCACTTGAAACCCCCCAGGAAACTTTATATCTGACCGACTTTGATGTGTAGTGTCTACCCCCTCTTCTTCCTACACCAGCCGAAAGCGGAAAGCCGATGATGATGGCAACGACCATGATGGACGCATGTCTGCCTCTCCCACAAACTCTCCAGCCTTTACTCCTCGCCAGCTCCCTTCCTTCAGAAACTCCAAGCGAACCCGACCGAACATCTCTGGCAGACCTCTCTCTCTTCCTCGCTTGCTAGAGACCTTGGACACCGATGCCTTACGGACGGTCGTGCGGACCATGTGCGAGCGCCACCCCCAGCTTGCCGATGAGGTAGCCCAAACCTCTCCTCGACCAAGCGTCTCGTCTACTCTTCAAGTACTTCGAAACTACCAGGCTGCCCTTCAGTCTTCGTTCCCCTTGGGTGGCAACACCGAGTCCGATTACGCCTATAACCGAGTTCGACAGCCACTCACCAACCTACTCGAGGCCCTGAGCGATTTCACACCAAACTTCCTTCCTCCAAATGAATCTCAGCCCTCAGTCTCACTCACCTACCTCGATGGGGCAACCGACATTATCCACGCCTTGCCTCGCTGGAGCACACCCCAAAACAACATCGAGCGGGACTCGGCCTACGACGAGATCGGCAAGGCATGGGTCCTAGTCATTCGAGAAGCTGCCAAGCGTGGCGGAGGTATCCAACTCCAGTATGGCGGCTGGGACCAGAAGCTTGCCAAGCACAATCAGACCTCGGGAGGCAAGCTCCAAGGTGTGGTCAACGAGCTTGGATTGAGCTTGGGATGGATGAATGGTCCAGACTCTCCATCTCATGGCCCTGGTGGCAATGACATGGGTTCCATACGAGATCAGCTTCTTTCAGGCACTTATGGCTTGGGTACGCCCGTCAAGGTTGGCCCCTGGTGAACAAATGACTCATAACGATAATCTTCCCATCTCGAAATTTCGGAAGATTGAAACCCCCCTCCAACGATACCAATGCGCTCGTCGCGCTACAACCAAAACTTCGCATTGACTCCACCGTGAGCCTCCCCGTCGGTTCCATGACCTTTCGGACCGCACAATTCCACGTATGCCACGATCACGATACCTACTGCATGACCTATAGAGCAACCCCCATGGTCTCAGATTGGCGTTTATACTACTATGCAAAGGCGAATCAACTGACAATTATGTGTTCTTTTTTTGTTTGCTTTTTATTTTGGAAAGTCGGTATTCTCGAAGGTGAATGCTTCAAGTTTGCCTGCTTTCAAACTCTCTAATGATCTCTCACTCGAGCCCGGTGCCTACCCTCCCTATTCGATCGTTCCCCTTTCCTTATGCACGTCCTCTCATTCTTCATTTTTGACTTCTATCTTTTTTTTTCTCAATCGCCTTCATCGTTCTATCAAGTCCGTTGGGTTGACTTTTCCCTCTTTCACTCGCACTTTCTTTTCTTTTATTTTCTCAACTGTTCTCATCTCATTGCAATCGCAGGTGGTGCACTTCCTTTCTTCTATTCGGTGGTTTCCGGAGTCGTGTAAATCCTCTTATTTCTTTGTTGTCATTCTTGTCATGTTGCCCTTGTTCTTGTCGAAGTTCGCTTGAATCCTGCATTTGTTTCTGCTCCAATTCCAGGCATATCCTGATATACGTTAGCGGCCATTTCTTCTGTTATGTTATGTCTATGGGTGTCAATTTTGTTCCTGTGTGGACATGATGCGTTTGACAAGGATATCATGCTCTGCAGCGTCGTCTTTCAGTCTGCCGGGGCCAGTCAGGAGAAATGGTTGTCTTTATTAGCTTATTTTAAATAAGAAAACATCTATCGAAATTAACAAGACATTTCGGTGCATTTCCAAGGTTGCTATTTTAAGACATGATTCATAAAAAAGAAAGGCATAGTTTATGCATTTCTTCATTATGTACCTATTAGCTTCTGGCATCTGTTCAGTATCTGTGGGCGTTTCCATGTCGTAGATGTATCGGAATAAATTATTGACAGGATTATATGCGACAAGGACATAGAAGTTGAACGCTTTTCTTAATGCATCATCATACCAATGCACGCTTTACGACTCGGAACAACCAGCTTGCATCTTCCCAGCCGCCGTGATCGCCAGGTTTCTCAATATCGGTAGTAGACTCGCCATCTGTATGCGAGTAAACATCAATGTCTTCTGTTGAAGACTGGAGATCTCCCTCTGGTGCCGATAGCAACATATCATGCCCCTGCTGGTCCTGCTCCCCATGAAGAGACGTATCGAGTTCCTCAAAAGTGACAGTAGTTGTTGTTGTAGAAGCACCAATTCTAGTAGCAGAAGAAGGACCTGGCGAGATAGGCAACTCATCCAGGCCAAACAAAGTCCACTCAACTAACCGGTCGATCCAGCTCCCAAGTCCGAACCCACGTTGCCGCGTGAGACTCTGCAAGTCGGCCTCATCAAACTCCTCATGCGATTCATCAGAGAACTCATCTTCGGAATCAAACTCGTTCTCATCCTCATACAGATCTTCTCCCAAATCGGCATGATCGAATAAATCCCGGCCCCGATCCCGCTCAAGATCGCCCTCCTGCAAAGACTCCATCTCAGCCCGGATCCTCTCATCCACGAAATCAGGAACCATCCCCGCTGCACCAGTCCGCCCCCGAGTCTCGGGCGTCACAGCCCCCGTCGTACTGGGGCTATGAGTCTTGTTCCCATATGCCGTTGTGCCGGATGGGGCAGACGATAGAGGTGGGATGGAGGTCATGGTAAGACCAGCACGGCTGCCATGGCGACTAGTACCCCGCGAACGTGAGCTACGACGCGAATACGCGCCGGGCGTCGAGGTGCCGGAGGCCGACTTCCGCGACGAGGTACCCGATTTAGTACGGTGGTGGTGTCGGTGATGTGGTGGAGCGGCGGGATCATCGAATGGCACCTCCGATACAAGGCTGGTGGAGCTTTCACGCTTGTAGAGCCAGCTTTGGCCCTTCTCCTCGCGGGTGGAGGAGGCGATAGCGATTCCGGCGCGAAGTAGCCATTCTGCGTCGGATTTGGTGGTTGGGTGGTTGCGATGGTTATGGTTGCTGTCTAGTGCACTGGGACGTTTCTTCGGTCCTAGGCTGTTGCTATGGTGGAGTGGAATGGAGATGCTTTTGCTGTGCAGGTTTGGATCGCTAGCTGGATTGAAGCTCTTGCTTCGGGAGTGATGGCGGGTTCGTGATGTGCTGCGTGAATGGGAGAGGATTGGCGGTGTGCTGGGTACTGAGACGCTGGACAGGTAGGATGATGACCTTGTTGGGGTTATGGTATCATCCCCAAGCAGGGAGTCTTCTCTATGGTAGTTGAAATAGTCGGTTGGTTCATCGCCGATGGGGAATCGGGGTGTAAGTGGAGCGAGAGAGATGTGTTGGAGGTTGGGGTAAGAACGCCGCTTTGGAAAGCCGCCCGAGTTGTGGAACTGGTGGATGCGGGGTTAGAATGGGGAATTTTCTCAAATCCTGGGGTAGACTTACATCCATGGTGGATCTGAATTCAGAAAGAAACAAAGAATCTGGAGATAGAGAAAGAACAAAGTTGACGTTGACGTTGACGTTAAACTTGAAATGCGGAGGTGCTGCACGTGCGACTGGCATGTGAAAATGGCCGTCACTTCGGCAGATGAACAACAGAAGACGCCAATCTCGGGTACGAGCAAGTACTATGCATCACATTCCGAGGTCATTATGCTATGACGATTGATTGACAATTTCTCCTCCAGGGCTGGAATAATAATAAAACATCATGACAATCTCTTTACTGTTGAGTACAGTAATCGCCAAGTATATACATAAAATACATATGTCAATATGTACACATGATACACACAGTGATAGATCGCCAAATGACTTGATAGACATAGTACGAATTTACAATGCACTATGTACTATGTACGTCAGTTGACTGGTACTACTTGGTCCTTGCTCGTCCGATTTTGGGTTTCAAATGTTCATTTGATAGTATGGATATCGCAAAAAAATCGATTTATACAGGGCTATATCGTATCTACACATCATAAACCAAACACTGTATATCGCTATTTACAGTCGGGAATCATGGAAATCCAGAACCTCGGCACCCTTGATCTTCAAGTCCTCCAGAACGTTGTACTCCATAATCCACTTCATCCGCTCTCCAAGAGCCTCGGGGTTGAAGTTATCAGTCATATCGTTCGGTGAGTCCGAGCTAGCGAGCTTGCCAGCTTCGTAGCTGGTTTGTGTAACCTTGTCTGTCCGGGGTTTGCGCAGGTCTTGGTAGAACTGGAATGCTGCCTGCAGATCGTCATTCTTCCAGTGGCGGAGGATAGTCGCAAGTGCGATACCAGACTCGATGGCCATGCAAGTTCCCTGGCCTGTTTAATATGTTAGTAAAAGTCTTGGGAAATATGTATAAATTATCAGAACTAAGACATACCTTGGTGAGGAAGAGTGGAGTGGGCCGAATCACCGAGAAGAATGATACCGGCATCCTTCTGGTCCTTCTTCATCTCGTACCACTTGTCCAGTGGGTCGCGCACGTAAAGCGCCTGCTTCAGCATCTTCTGATCGGGCGAGCTCTTGCGGAGTCCAGCAATAATATCCTGGACCTGAGGACACCAATCACGGACATGTTCTTGTAAACTATCGATATCGGAGCGAGACATCCAGCTCTCCGAGTCCCATGAATCAAGTGACTCTGACATGAATCCGATGACAGCAGCACGATCGGACTCTGTCTCCTTATTACCGATGGGCAGAATCAGGACGTGGCGGTTAGGACCGCGGAAGTTCACGGTCTTACGGAGGAGCTGTGATGTCTCCTCGGGCAAATCCTTGTAGTCGACAAAGCCACGGTATACGACCTGGCCGGAGTAGTTGGGCGAGTCACCCAGACCCATATCCCGACGCACGTTAGACTTGATGCCGTCACAACCAATCACAATATCGGCCTCGGCAGTGGTACCATCTTGGAAGTGTAGGGTGTACGGGGCGGCACCCTCGCTGGTGTTTCGGTCGATTGAGGCAAGGTGCTTGCCTAGGTTCAGGCTAGACTTGGGAACACGCTCTTTGAGGGAATCGAGCAAGTGGGCACGGTGCAATAGACGTGCAGGGGGGTTGGAGAACTCGTCAATATGACCCAAGTAATCACCGCTCTTGTAGCTGTGATACTCCATATAGCAAGGCAGTTGGCGTGACGACTTGCGAGTCATGCTCTCTTGCAAACCAAAGGCATCGAGGACACGGTTGGCGTTGGATGTAATGTTCACACCGGCACCGACTTCGGCGAACTGGGGTGCTTGTTCATAAAGTTGAACGTTCTTGAGGCCGGCATATAGGGCAGCATTCAGGAAAGACATGCCACCGAGTCCGCCGCCAACAATGACGACGCGCTTGTTTTCGAAGCCCATGGTGAAGTTCGGGGAGGAAAAGTTGATATGTGCTAGGTAGTGGGGCTTTGTCTTCTTTAAAGATAATATTCAATTTGAAAATTTGAGAAAGATCAGGGGTATCTCTTAAATATAACCACAAGAGTATGAAGAGAGAAAGAGAAGGCCCCTTTTGTGATTTACATGTATTTGGTGCCCAGGTGGGATGTCGGGTTTCCCCCCCGCTAGCAGGATTACGGATCCGATCGAGCGCCAGGCTAAACGTACCATTTCGGAGCGTGGAGATATTGTGGGGGTGGTGTTTTGGCTTGCTCTTCCGAGTGGAATAATCTGGGTCTGCGGGTTTACCGGTCGATCTTTAGAGAACTGGTCTGGATAGACTTTAGGAATTAACAAGGAGAGAAGTTATAGATCATTTCCGTAAGAATTTACATGCATTGATCGATGCAAGCCAGAAGGGCCCGAGAGTCGGGGAATTTTCACCCTATGAGCTTATTCCTAGTACTATCAACAATTCATTGCGTGTGTGTTACTTACAAAGAAAGATTCTTTCGTCTAGAATATTCTATTCCGGGGAAACCAATATGTCTAAATTGCCCCTCGGAATTAACGTTAATCTGGGTATGACCTCGATATAATGGAATAAATCTTATCTACGATCGGAAGCCCGGGCTGCATTTCACCTGTTGACTGTTGGGGAACATCCGAAAACCCCACCGAGTTTCGGAAGGACACAATCTAATCAGAGCCACATACCGGAAAACCAAGACTTGAAAGATGCCGAGTCTCCCGAACTTTAAAGTAATCATCTCGATGCCCATTGGCTCAACCGGTATACAATATTGAATATTGAATTCTATATGGTTCCCGCACGGATGAAACGGCTTGTTGATGTCATTGGATCATGATTTTTCCTAACTTTTCCCATCAAATAATTACAATTCAAAGACAAGTCATACGTCCCGAAAACGGCATGCTCCCTTCCCGCGGAAAACACTTTACTCCACAATCTTGCCCTTGTTAACAACGAATCCTTCAAGAGCCGAGATAGCCGCCCACAAGCGGTTCTCCGCCTCAGGGAAAACCAGAGAGCGCGGGCTATAGAAAACCTCATCGTCAACCTCTTCGGGGTGGCGGGGCAGGCAGTGCATGAACTTCCAGCCTTCCTTGGCACCTCCACGCTTGGCCAAATCAGCAGTAATTTGGAAGCCCTCGAATGCCTTCATGCGCTTCTTCGATTCCTCTTCTTGGCCCATAGAGACCCAGGTATCAGTCACCAGGATGTCAGCATCCTTAACGGCCTCCTCTGGAACATTGGTCTGGGTGAGCTTGCCGGGGGTGGCAACACCTTCACCGGCGCTCTGGATAACCTTGAGCATATCGGCGGGGATCTCGTAGCCCTTAGGAGTAGCGACAGCGATATCGACACCCATCTTGGTAGCACCAATAGCCAAATCGAAGAGGACGTTGTTGGCATCGCCAATCCAGGCGATCTTAAGGCCCTCAAGGCCAAGACTGGAAAGTCCGTGGGCCTTGGGGGTGAAAGACTCGTAGATAGTAACAAAGTCGGCAATGATCTGGAGAGGGTGGTAGGAGTCGCAGAGCGCATTGATCACGGGAACAGAGGAGTGCTTAGCCAGGTCTGCGACGTCAGAGTGCTTGGCGACTCGCGCAACAATACAGGAAACCATAGAGGAGATGACAACGGAGGTGTCATATAGGGACTCGTTCACACCGAGCTGGATATCTTCTTTGCCCAGGAACATGGGGTGGCCGCCCATTTGGACGGTGGCGGCCTCTGTTGACACGCGGGTGCGGGTACTCCGCTTGTTGAACATCATGGCGACGGTCTTGCCGGATAAAGAGCCTAGGAGGCTCTGCGGGATGGACCCGGACTTGAGGGCGTGCTTGTGCGAGGTGGCATTGCGCACCAAGGTTGCGAATTCGGCCGGAGTCAGGTCTGCAATGGACAGCAGGTGACGGGGTGCGAAGGGAGAGGTAGAGGGAGTGGTTTGTGTCTGGTGGGCGAACCGTCGGAGACCATTAGCCTGGATTGTTGTACGCAGAGAAGAGGTGGAGCCGGCCAATTGAGTTACACTTTGGGCGCCATAACGGGTGGCAGCTTTGAAACCGCTAGCCATGATGGACTGAGGGGTTGAGGGGAATGTTAGGTGGGGGATATGGGTGTTTGGGGTTGTATGTGCAGGTGCAATTGGGGAGAGGGAAGCGGGAGAGGGAACCAGGGACTGTGGAGGGAATGGCCAATGACTCAACAACCAAAACCCGGAGATGGGATGTGCGGTCACCAAAAAACCACAAAACTACGGAAAGTCATGCCTTGGTGCCTTACACTTAAGGGTATTAATGATTTCCTAATTCAGCCTAGTCAGCCCGTACACTCCACATCCGTTATCGCCTTTTTGGCTTATCGTCATCTCGTATCTCGTCATCCATCCGAGTCCCGTCGTCTCCAACCTGCTTTCTTGCTTTGACTACCCCAACTACATCAACGAGAAGACTGTTTAATCTCGTAATCTCATAATTTCATATCTATCAATCTTTTCCCTACCTGGCCGCGATGGCTGACGAGGCAAGTCGGCCTTTGTTAGACGGGCAGGCCAGGTCATCTTCCGACCTGGTCGCAAACAGACCCGCCCGTCCGGATCAACAGCGTCGATCGTTTGAGTTATCATCAGAGTCAACGCCTCTTCTACATCGTCGAGATGAGAATATCACTAGTACCTACGAAACTACAACTACTACCTATGGTACTACTAGTACCCATGGAACGGAACAAATACAATCGAGACCATCCTCTATCGCATCTTACAGAGCAGGATCTCCAGATGACGAGCCTACCAAGAGACGAGTACCATCGCCAACAATTATATCGCTCACTTTGTTGACTGCTGGAGTCCTTGCAATTCTTTTTTTTGCATTTGCAGCACCAGCCATGGTCAAGGATTATTCACAAGAGGCCGCCGTATTCACTCCCGGTACGATATCGATTGATTCGACGACTCCGGACGGAGTCCGTGCCAGGATCCAGGGCCAATTTACCATGGACTCGGATCGCGTGAAGAGCAAGACTGTTCGAAACGTCGGCCGGTTCATGACTTGGATCGCAAGGGAGGTCGAAACCGGCCCGTCGGATGTTGATGTATACCTACCAGAGTATGGGAACATCTTGATCGGGAGCGCAGCTCTACCCAATATCAAAGTGAAGATTCGAAACGGTCATGAGAACAAGCTCGACTTTCTGGCCGATCTCAAAGCTGGTGATATAAAGGGGATTCAGGGAATTGCAGTGGATTGGGTAGAGGGTAGATTGGCTCATCTTAGAGTAAAGGGCAAGGCCTCTCTACACCTGAAGTCTGGTTTAATAAGTCTGGGAACTCAAATACTGACAGATACTGTTACATTCGAAGGTGAGTCTTCTTGTGACAGGTCCGCCTACTTCATCCCGCGAATTAACTGACTGGAGCAGAAAAAGATTTTCCGGCTTTGCCAGATATTAATCTTACCCAATTAAACGTGCATGATGGGTACAATGGAACGATGGAAGTTGAGGCTTCCGTGGGCGCCATGCTTCACTCGCCTGTTGCCATCACAATCCCCCCTCTTGGGTTTGAAATTCTTGTACCCAATTGCTCACCGGGTGATCCGTACATCCTTGCCGCCAATGCGCGAAGTGGAGAAATCCACGTCGCATCGAATCAACTCACGAATGTGAGCGTCGAGGGCCTTGTCCAGAAACTTCCTGATGCCTTGACCTCGGTTTGTCCGGGAGAAAAAGGCTCTCCTCTGGATTTTTTGGTGTCAAGTTATATCAAAGGCCTCGAAACTATAATATATGTCCGAGGAGCAGATGCACCATCTCCTCAAACGCCACGCTGGATGGTGGATCTCCTTCGCAGCGTCACAGTTCCCCTTCCTTTCACCAATCGCGCCTTGGAAAACCTAGTCAAGAATTTCACCATGACAGATACGCACTTTACCCTCCCTAGCCCATTTGCAGACCCAGACAGTCCCGACGCCAAGCCTACCGTGTCCGCGTTGGTCAAATGTCTGGTGGCCCTACCGGAAGAAATGAACCTCAACGTGGATGTTCCTTTTGTTCGAGCCTTCACAGATGTTTTCTATAAGGGCAAAGAACTGGGCAAGTTGAATATTGAAAAGTGGCAAGATTCTAACTCAACCCTTGTCACGGACGAGGATGGCTTGCCAGCGATGCTTGTGGAATTTGCTGTTAAGGAAGCACCATTGCAGGTCACCGACGATGGGCTCTTGTCCCGCCTTGTTCAGGATATGCTTTGGGGAAGCAAGGCAATCATCCTACATGTGAATGCTAATGTAGATGCAAAGGTCTCAACTGGCTTGGGACAATTTGCCGTCCGGGGCATTCCTGCAGATGGGGATGTTCCCCTGAGTAGTATGTTTTCATGAAATTAGATCTACAAATTCAAGAATGCACAGTTTTGGGTTTTTTTAGGCTTTGAACTTGTTCTCTCTTCGATATCAGCATTTCAAAATTCCAGCATTCGTGTCATAGGTCTAATTAGGAGACCACACGAAGTTCAATATTTGGGATTTACAAGTAGGACCTCAATTGTTCAAAGCAGCAAGAGCCATTTGGGGGAAATCCCTAAATCCTTTTGAACATTTGAAATCCTAATTCCACACACTCAAAAACACGTGTATCTTGATACATATTGACCCCGCGCGTATCCAGATGTCCCAACCCATGTGATTTGCCTGTCTCTAGGTACTAGTAAATCCACACACACTTTTGACACCAGCACCTATTGATGAGTACTACTTGGTACATACACAAGGCTGAGATTCGTGATATATCTAGTCTGCCTTAAATATTAAGAACTATACCTACTTACATACTAGAAGGTACTAGGTAATAGTACTAGTATACAGATCAATTCACCGATCCCCATTTGCAACTTTGGAAGGTTCAAATGTTGTGAGTATAATACCTACTAGGTATCAGGACTCAAGTGCTAGATAATAAATAGTATGGAAGGCTCCAACTGACGCTGCTCAGGTGAAGAGGTTCCGAGGATCGAGCCGATTTTCACCTTAGTTTGGGCACTTTTTGAAGGAAATCGCCTCTTGAGACCTGCATCTAAGTGCTAGTATAAAACAATTTATTGAACAAAGAATGTACCTCCTTACTAGGTACCACTTATCACAGGCGGGGCTACAGCCCTGAACTTTGGCTCAGAAACAACACCAGGTGTGCTAGTACAGTGAACATTTGAAGAAATACTTTTTTCGAACCCTCCAAGGTTCAAACAAGGCTCAAAGGAAGCACACATGTCAATCTTGGAACAATGACCAATTTTACGAAGTTGGGAGTACTTAACAGTACATATTAATTCTATTGGCGAAAGCGTTGAAAGTGCCCCTTAGAATTTTGAATGCTAGGCACAATCAATAAGTATACCTACGAGCCTAGAGCTCCGTTTCCGCGGGCGGGTTTCAGCTTGAACATGACCTCGGGACCTCGGGAGGTGCCCCAGGGCTGGAAAACCTGGAAGCTACCTGCTAGTAGCACTGTATCAATGTCGGAAGTGCGTTATGTAAGCCCGACCTTTCAAGGTTGGGACCTGGAGGCACATACATTTTTAAGAAAACCTTGAGTGTATTCGTATCTACTAAAATCAGATAGTATAATAAAGCTCATGGCATTTTACAAATGGAGATAAAGAAGACATTGAGATAACGAAGAACCGGAACCGGAACTGCAGCAAGCCAGCAAAGCGCAACGGAGAACCATCACATTGGGTATGTATGTTTTTGAATTGACGGATGGAAGCAATGAGTTTAACCAGGGGGGAGAGTGCTGGCATCGACAACATCGGCAGCGTCCTTCTCGATCTCCTCGCTCTGCTCAGACAGGGGAGAGCGGGGAAGGGCCATGAGACCAGTGCGAGTGGACTCGAGGATACCGAAGGGACCGATGAGCTTGAGGAAAGAGTCGATACGGCTGGGCTTAGCGGACCTAATTCATATCTCAATTAGCAACGTTCCATTAAAGAAGTTTGGTGATCACATACAGTTCCACAATGCAGTTGTTAGTGCTAATATCCAGAACCTTACCACCAAACTGGTGGGTCAGACGAGTGATAGCATCCAAGTGCTCGTGCTTGTGACGCAGACCCTGGCTGAGCGGCAGGTTGCGGGGGTGGTATTCCACCTCAGTAGCCGAGCTGCCTTGGCCGCCGGCCTGATCACCGGGAGTGGTGATCTCACGGTGGTGCTGCAGCAGCTCCTCGAAGAACTCGGGACCCAAAACAGAGACCTTGGCAAGGAGCAGCTCACGCTGAACCAAAGCGGACTCGGTGTAGTCCAACACAGCCCAGACAGGGACAAGGTCATCAAGCTGGCGGCGAGCCTGCTCGACGACACCGTTCTGACCCTGAAGGACAATGGTCATGCGGGACAAATCCTCGACTTCGGTGTTGCACACAACCAAACTGTCGATGTTGAAGCCACGGGCGGCCAGAATACCGGACACACGGGACAGGACACCGGGCTCGTTCTGAACCAGGCAGTTCAAGACGTGGCGCTTAGGGGGGTTGGAAGGCGGCACGGGAGTCTCGTAGAGAATCGACGAGACAGCAGTTGGGGCGTCCCATTGGGAAGAAGTCTCATTGACCGGCAGGGGAAGAGGAGACCGGCGGTGCAATGCCTTGTAGGCCAGGGCGGAAGTCGAGCTGGACGAGGCGCGGATGGTGGTGAACCGGGGTAGAGCGGCAGCGGTGCGAGACCGGGCAGCAGCTGCAGTCGACGAAAGAGTCGACGCTGACGCTGCGGTCAGCGTCAATGAGTGCCTGAAAGCCATCTTTGGAGTTCAAGAACACCAAGGGTTGTGCGATGAATCACCTCTAGACTCTCCGGATTCTTTTTGCTTTAGCTCCGACCTCGGCCACCGCTGACTCACATAGCGCTAGGCCCAATCTAGACTAATCTCCAGCATTTGATAAGTCACATGACCTAGCGCGTTTTCTCAATGCGCTTTTCATTGTATCAATTGAAATACGGAGTGCCTCATTGGAAATTGAACGACGTCCTGGTTCCTCTTTCTCGTCGGTCACAGTGGCATATCTTGCGCACTCTACATATAAACTTCACTCTTGGTGAACCAGAGGGTGTTCGAAAAAAAACCCTTTGATTGTCTAGCGCAATCGAAGATCCGTCTCCTTTGCCCAACCTCCTTCTCTACCGGGTACTTTTTTTTTTTATAACTTACTTAGTCCATCCTCACCACCACCTCACTTTCGTCACCCTTTCACAACTCACCATGGCAGACGACGATCGCCGTGCCAAGCGATCCCGCTTTGATCAGACTGAACCCGAACCTCGTCGCTCCCGATTCGATCGTCGTTCGCGATCTCCGTCCACGAGGGAACCGGAGTCCACCCGTACTCGCAGTCCTTTGAGTCGCGAAGCGCGCAGTCCTGCAGGTGATGGAGCATCAAAGCCAGTTGTATCCGATCCTGCCGCAGCAGCAGGTATGTCCCAGCAATTGTCCCACAACACCCATGCGATTTGAATTATATTTCAGGATGAAGCTAACCTCGTGGTGTGGTTTTGAAAAGCTGCCGCCGCCGCAAAGATCAATGCCCAGTTGCAGGCAAAGAAGGGTATCCAACATGTCGATGTTCCACCAATCCGCTCGGTAAGTGCACTTTTCGCAATGTTTCCGATTGTTACGCGGGCTAATCGCAACCATAGACTGATAGCCCCGGCATGAAGTCCGACGAAGGCAATGGCGACGGCACAAGAAAAGATGTGTATGTCACGGACGGTGACTACATCAAAGACATTGAGATCAATGATTTGCGCAATCGCTATACCCTCACCAAGGGTTCTACTCAACAAATGGTAAATTACTCCTGTTGTCGGCTCGCTGATCCTCCAGACATGCCTTTTTATCGAGGTCAAGCATTATGTTTTACTTTTGAACACAATTTCCTTTCCAAATCCCCTCTTTCCATCTGATATTATTTATTGTGTGTCTGGATGAAGCTTACTCAAGGCCAACTAAACGCATAGCATCTTACACTTCCTCTGTTGCATCTGCTGACCTCCATTGCGTGACTTATAGATTAAAGATGAAACTGGCGCCGGTACGCCTTCTTGTTTGTTATGTTCGTGAAGATGCTCGTTGCTTACTCTTATTCAAGATGTCACCACCCGAGGAAACTATTACCCCGATAAGAACATGTCTACTGCAGCTGTGAGTGATGATGGCTTTGGAGTCAACAAATGTCGATTGCTGATCGCGTAAATATAGCACCCTCCTCTTTATTTGCATGTCACCAGTACCACCAAGGAAGGCCTCGAGAAGGCCATCCAAATCATTGACGATCTCATGCAAAAGGAATTGCCCAACCTGATCGACGAGCGACGATTCCGCCGACGAGAGCCTGAGCCCGTGGAACGGGATGAGTATGGCCGCGTACGACAACCAACCCCGATCAAGCAAACCCCAAGAAGCTTAGCTAACAATTCGCAGCGCAAATGGCCCGACGAGCGCATCCCGATTGACCTTGAACCCATTCCTGGATTCAACCTACGTGCCCAGGTCGTAGGCCAAGGTGGTGCATACGTTAAACATATTCAGCAAAAGACTCATTGTCGTGTTCAAATCAAGGGCCGAGGATCTGGCTTCATTGAAAACAGCACTGGCCGAGAAAGTGACGAGGCGATGTTCCTGCATGTCGCGTAAGTAATGTCCACGCCACTTATCATAACGAGCACAACTAATTAAATTTCCCAGTGGACCGGATCCCAATGATGTCCAAGCTGCTAAAGAGCTGTGCATAGATCTCCTGGCTAACGTGAAGGAGCAGTACCAAAGCTTCAAGGATAACCCACCCCAGCATAACTACGGCGGTGGATACCGCGGTGACCGCTACCAGGGTGGTGGCGGTGGCGGCGGCGATCGAGGTGGTAGAGAGGGCAACGGAGGATATGGTGGAGGCGGCGGTTACAACCGTCGTAATGACTACCAGCAGCAACAGCAGCAGTCCCCAGGCGCATCTGCCAGCCCAATTGGTCAGGGTGCTGCCGCTTCTGCCGCTGCAGCCACTACAGGTGCTGCCAGTGCGACCAACATGGCTGATTACGCTGCCCAATACGCCCAGTACTACGGGGGAGCAGACCCCTATGCGGCCTATGGTGGGTATCAAAACTATGTCGCATACTACCAATATTATCAAGCCGCTGCCGCTCAGCAACAACAGCAACAGCAGTCATCCGAGGGAGCTCCCCCACCTCCTCCGCCGGCTGGTGAAGCTCCTCCTCCCCCTCCCCCCGGATCTGGATCTCCTCCCCCTCCTCCCGGTGGAGGCAGTTACAGCGCGGTATGAAAACCCTGGAGATGTGAACTCCACTTGCGAAAACGTCTGAACCTGTAGCTGATGAGATTTCTTCAGGTCCCTCCTCCCCCTGGTCTGTAGTGCTGGTGGGAAGTCAACTGTTTTTGATCCCCGCAATTTGAAAATAAATGGCAAGTTTTGTTTTGAGTTTTGAAAAGTGCAGAAAGGGTACAGCGGTTTTTGATTGTTTAGTGCAAGTTCCATTGGTCGTGATATTTTGCTAAATAGCAGTCTCTTTTTTTGTAATCTTTCTTGCTGTCCCTTTACAGTTTACAGGTTTTTCCCCCAAGGTGAACCAGATGACGCATAACCTTGCCTAGGCTTATTTCCGCCGTGATTGGATCAACTTTGTGGAAAGCTTCCTAACACAACCTATTTTTCTTTAGAGGGCTGGATCTACTCATCTTCTAGGGATTTAGGCAAGCCAATCTTCATTTGGTCATGAAATTATTCATTCAAAGTTGGAAATCAGATGTCCGAACGTGGTATCAATGCATGCATAATAATCAAAACAGAAGACGCCCCTCGGGCCCCGAGCCCCCAAATGACCAGTGTACTCCGAATGCAATGTGTAAACCAGCCAGCCTGTTCAATAACAGAATCAAGCAAAATAAAAGACAACATACAGTAGTAATGATACAGAACAATGGCACCCCGCAACGATCAGACATATCCCTCATCGATCATGTATGACGAAGAAAACATCTTCCTCTTGCGTTTTCCTAAAGCCACACGACCTTCCTTGCAGAAATCACAAGCGTAATCACATGGTGTCGAGACAGGCATAGTGAGTCCATTGCCTCTAGCCGCTTGGGAAGAGGGGGGTTGTTGTGACCCCATTTCCTCCAGCTCAAAGTCACCAAACAAGTCTTTGATTAGGTCATGTCGACACCGTGTTACGCTTTCACAGTATCGCACAACTTTCTTAAAGCTATCAAGACGAGCCTCTTGGTTCTTCATCATACTAGCAACGAGGTGTTTCGGACCGCCGCGATTGCGCATATTTTCCACGTCTCGATTCATGCGATCAACAATACGATCCCGCTCTTGTAAGTTGTAGTAGACAAGAGAAGCAGCTGCACAGCCATCGCGGCCGGCTCGACCTGATTCCTGAACGAAGCCTTCAAAGCTGCGCGGTGGTGTCCAATGAACCACAAAGCGAACAAAGGAGTTATCGATGCCCATTCCAAAAGCATTTGTGGCAACTATTATGGAGAAAGTAGGTGCTGGCTTACCATTACTGCTTTGCTGGCATGGCTGGGGCGCTGTCCATAGTGCTTGAATGCGGGTTCTTTCTTGTGCTGCAAGACCAGCATGATAGGCGACAGCAGAGATACTCTTCTCGTGGGATAACGAGCTCGCTAGTTGCTCGGCTATAGCACGTAGTCCGACATACACGATACCTGAGATCGGGGGTTGGCGGGCGGGTTCTTCAGCGCCGAGACGGGCTTCGCGTCTCCTTTTTATAGCTGCGAGGTACCTCAAGAGATTATCCACCCGGTGTTCATCATCCCCACAATCATCTTCAAGATACCGGACCTCGTAGTGAATGTTAGGGCGGGCAGATGGGGTATTAAAGAGTTTGAGCTTGGTGGGGTTAAGGTCAAGCATGTTAATAATATCTGTGCGAACTCTCGGTGTAGCTGTGGCTGTGAGTGCTGTTATGGGAACACCTGGATCGACGAGGTTCTTTTTGAACCACCCGAGCTCCTGGTAGGCTGGACGAAAGTCATGGCCCCATTCACTGATGCAGTGGGCCTCGTCGATGGCAATGCGGGCTAGCTGTCCTTGTCGATGCACCACTTGAAGGTTTCGTCGGAAACTGTCTGTTTGACACAGCTCTGGAGTCACGTATAAAAGACGCGTACGCGGGTGACCCGATAGCATATCATCCATAATCAGACGGCGTTCTGATAATGGTGTGTTGGAATTGATAGTCGATACTGCTACTCCTATGGCCTGGAGAGCATTTACTTGGTCCATCTGCGATTGTTAGTGAAATAAATTATAAGTTCCTCGAGTCTCTTACCATCAGAGCAAGAAGAGGACAAATGACGACAGTCACTGTGATTTAGACGTTAGAATCGACAGGTTTGAAATTACGCCAAAGAAGAAAAAAACCAAGTACGTACGGCCATTGCTTATAACAGCTGGCAACTGGAAGCACAGGCTCTTTCCGAAAGAAGTGGATGCTTGTAGAAATACATCATGGCCTTCAACAACAGCCGAAACAACTTCTCGCTGAAGGGGGCTGGTGGTCTGTCAGTACTATGAACCCGAGTTATCAGGAGTTGATTACGGACCGGAATGATTTTTTGCGAAAAACACGGTGCAGGTAGAAATCAAGATCTGGCGTACGCCGTGTAAACGATACTCTATCAGCCATTGGGCCACAGAGCCAAGCTATTTGAAAATTCGCGAAGCATTCAAATCAAAAATCAAAGGCGGGTTTTACTTCGCAGCCGCGCGTGTGCCGTGTTACACCTCCCCTCGACGCGACTTCACGTGATGGCAGACGACTTTCCATTTTGGGATATAGTTACTAACCCCCCCTTTACTAGTACTCGGGCAAATAATTCTACTAGATGATAGTTGAAGTTTAAGATATGCAAGTAAAACCTAGGTATAATATCTATATCAAGTACTGAGTAGGTACTCATTCCAAGTACTGAGCACATACCCATCCCAAGTAAAGGTGAAGTACCTAGTAGGTATATAGTATGTACATACTATGTATGCTTCAAAGCCGGATATGTATGTACCCCAGGGCTATTCAAAGTCAATACTAACATTTGAACTGGGAGGTAGCTATATGTACCTCCAGGGCGGGCGACTACTACATTGAGACATGCCTATAATAAGTGCCAAATGTTGGAATGCGCCAGGCGGTGCTCTTACCTCGAGGTTCGTACCTACTGGGTAGTACTATGTACATGTGGACCTTGGAGCTTTAATGCCTAGGTCGTTACTACGTACATGTAGGAATATTAACGTTAATGCATATTGATGTAAACCAAAAACGTATTCAAAAGAAGACCTCAATATGTAGTAGTTACAAGAAACCGCGCTAAATTGAATCGGTATATAGTGTATAAAATAATGTACAAGTTTTGAATCGCAAACCCATGAAATCTCCCCATATTATGTTACATTTCCAAGGTTATCGTGGATTTCGCGACATTTGCTCATCGATCGCTTCCTTCACTGCAAGTACATCGTTTGCCTTGCGCTTATGAGGGGACCAGAGCTGTTCGAGTTGCAGCCAAGCCTCCATAACCTCCTGAGGCCCACAGCAGGTGCCAAAGGCTCGTAGAATAAGAATAATCATGCGCCGTCCAACGAATACGCCATTCTCCAGACGTTGTGAGATGTATTCAAGATCCTGGCGGTCAGGATCGCCTTCTTGATGGAGAGACAATGATTGAGGAGTGAAGATACTCTCGACGTCGAAGTTCAGATCCGCAAGGTCGTTATCGGGCTGGCCCTCCGTGGTGTCTTCGTGCTCAAGTTGGTCTTCTCCCTGGATGTCGTCTTCATCAAGATCAATAACTTGGTCTTCGGTGTGGCGATTAGAGAGATTTGGATTTTCTTCTGGTGTGATTGACGAAGCATCCCCGTCTGTAGATGGCAAACTCATGTAGAGCTCATCTGGATTGGCAGAAGGGTGGACAGTCGGTATCTCGGCTTCAACGTCCACGCCTGTTAATGGATTTTCCCAAATCATAGCTGGGGCGTCTTCGTGGAATCCCGAGTGCCTCGCTTTAGAGTCTCGCACGGCTTGTATAAAGGAAAGCCAGGTCAGTCGAAGCTTCTCTGCTGTCCACCAATTCTTTCTTCGGCGTCCATGAAGTCCAAATCCTTCGAAAAGGTAAAGATAGATGAGGTGACGAGGGGGGACCGAAAAAGTGTTCTCCATGTCTCGCAGAACGTTCATAAACATGTCCAGATCACCAGTGACGCGCGTACAGAACTGAAGCCAGATGTAGAAAGTCCGTGTATCTGGTGTCATAGGAAGAGAATCTTGAAGTGCTTGGTGGCAAGCAGGTAGGCTTTTCTTGAGAGCTTTGGATTTCTTCAGTAGGCGACCAAGCTCTCTGGTTTTTGCTCGATAGAATGTGAAATCTGGCGAAAGACTGGGAGAGGTTTCTTGGGAGACCCCTGGGCCTGAAGATTCTTTCTTCTTTTGTTGAACTTGTGCGTTCAGCATCCGTCCATATAGCTGTTCGGCTGTTTCAACATCACCGGCTCGGAGAAAGGATGCCATAACGCAGTTCAACACAACAGTGTCAACCAGCTCTCCTGACTTGACGAAGTAATCAAATGTGCCTCGAATCCCGTCTAGATCTTTCCGCATGCCACATGCAAATATTTTTGAGACGAGCCCAGAGCGCGAAAAGTGAAGCCCTCTCCTGTTCATTTCTTCTTCCAAACGATCAGCTACGACGAACTGGTTTGCTTTGATAGCGATATCGAATAAGATATTAAACACCACGTCGTCGGCCTTGATGCCTGCCACGTGCTCCATTTGTTGCCAAAGGCCAATTGCGTGAACCAGTCGTCGTTTCGAAACCCTACCATTGTTGCTTCGGCCTGCCATATGAATTGCGGTGGACCATAGAGAACGTGACATTGGAAGTCCGGCGGTAATCATATCTTCCACCAAGGCAAGGTAGCGACGGGCGTCCGACCAACGTCGATCCGGAGGCGTCGCCAGTCGCCTCAACAGGCGACCACGTGATGCCTTAGATAGATGTGCAACTCCAGGCTCTGGAAGGTCTCTGTACAGACGGAAAAGGAACTGAGTCGTTGCCTGTTCCTGGCTGGGCAGTGCTTCAACGAGCCTTGCAACTGATGGACTCTCAATTGCATCGCGTGTGTTATCGTCCGCTTTTTGAATGAATACCTGTTTGGGCATTATAGCCTCAACAGCCTCCTCCCAGTCATATTTATCTCCTAACAACCGCTGGAATATGCCGGAGACGGCATTTCGCACTCTTTCGTCTCGTGTGAGGGATGGATCCTCCGTTATATTTAAGTCTGTTGCGATCGCTGAACTTCGCTCATCGTCGATTGTGTCTTCCTTCGGGTAAACCTTTAATTGGCGGACTTCCGGTATTGTGTCGAAAAAATGTTCCTCGAAGTATTGTTGCGATTTGCTGTCCGGAATATATGGTAGTCGAGGCAGCGCGTGATCGTTATCCTCCTTCAATCTCTCCTTTGCTTGAATTGACAAATTGTGTGTCTCTAGGTTATCTTCTTCCACTATCTCCAGGTTATGGCAAAGCCATGATTTTTGTCGCGATTGCTGGGCTGAAGATCCAGAAAATTCCCAGTGTCTTCGCGCCGGGCGTTCGCCACGTTCTGGCCCCTCTTTGCTCCTGAACCTCCGTAGATTAGGTTCCGATGTCCTCAAATGTAACGTAGACAAGCCTCGACCTCGTGGTCGTGGCGAGTGCTCGTGGCACAAACCTGCCAGGACAAGGGAGCCGACAAAAAGGTCCGCTATTGACGCGACGGAAGGTCGAGGTCGCCGAGTAGAGAAGCTTCGAACAGAGGAGTGGGAGAGGGAAGATTTCGGATGAGACATTGAATGTGATCGAGGGAGGAGAAGCTCATCCAAGGCCTGCTTGGGGGGATCTCGCAGGCCCGGTGAGCTGGGGAACCTATTGGGATGAGGCATGAGATGACAGACATCGTGGCACTGGGTTAGCCATGCACGTTGCAAAAAGGGCCCAGGCCACTGGTGCGAGAAACAAACTGACTGGTTCGCGGCTTCAAAAGCGAAACAGTAGTAGAGAGAACGAATGTTGATCAATGGGGTGGAAGAAGATGTTTTTCTGATGGACGGAGTTTCTGGCTTTGCAGCGGAGCCGCGCTGACCAATCGGAGCTCGACATTGACAATCCCATCTTTTTCGAACTTCGCCGTCTCTTAACCTTCTGCATCTTCACGATCCCAGCCCGCGCTCTCCTATTCAATTGCCCTCGGGCCATAATTCAGGCCTTCTATACTATTGCAGATCGCCTCCACGCAGCTATCCTTGGCTGTGTCTTCCCCCCCGCCATGGGCAAAATCAACCTCACAGCCCTCCGGGTGCGACAGACCGCGATCAACCAATTCGCCAGTGGAAAGATCAGCAAGCTACCACAATGGGTTGACGTCGTCCGCGATATTCCTCCGTCGGAAGTCTTAGTTCGTGGCCTTCCTCAGCAACATCAGATGGTTCGGCAACGATTGAAGACCGACAAACAAAACAAGAAGGAAGTTGTGTTTGAAGTTGAAGATAAGCGCCGGAAATCCAAGAAGCCCAGCCGTCTGTTTCAGCCAGTCGAGCTCAGATATGAAGAAGATGAGCTACGAACGACCTTCTTCAAGGATCACCCCTGGGAGCTTGCCCGACCTCGCGTGCTTGTCGAGTCCACTGGTAACGACCATGGACAGTACGATTGGAGCCGCCTTCAACAGCCCGGAAGGAGACTGGATGGTGAAAGGTGAGTTTTAAAGAATATACACGTAAGCCCCTTGCTAGTCTAGTACTGATTTTCTCCTCTGTAGTGTGGTTCAACGACAGCTTTACCTCTTGGAGAACACACCCGATATTACCGTGAGTCGCGCGTACGATATTGCCCGCCAAGAATTCTACAAGCTCCGTTTGCAGGAGGATATTGAGCGACGAGTTGCGAAGGAGGAGGCCGAGGCGACCGGTGCCCAATTTGGCCAGACTCACCTTGAAATTGGTATGGAGCTGGAGAACCAACAGCACGAGAAATGGAAGGATTGGGCCAAATTGGAAGCCCAGGTCCTTGGTCAGCGATCAGCTGCGCTCTCTGGTGCTCCGGAACTTGCATCGGAGAAGGAAACCGAGAGTTTGGCTCAGGGTCTTGATATTGAGCAGCCTGAGGCTGAACGATAAATGCTCGTCTTTTGCATATCTGGCATCCTTCTCGTTCCTTGATACTCCAGATGATCATGTACATTATTTAGTCTATTTTCCTGTTGAATGTATTCCCATAGCTGAAAGCAACCCATGGATATGGTTTCAATTGATATCAACGTTGTCGCCACCTCTTATGTTTTCAAGGAACTATTTCCTATCATTGCATAGATACAAATGTATGTCGTATGCATGGTCACATTCATGGATTGATTCCAATAGATAATCAATACTAGTCCATAGTAAATGTAGTTTAATACAGCATTTTACTTGAAAATCTACTACTTATTCAACATTGGGATATGTATGAACTTATATAGAAAGCAGATGTAAAGCGTGAAAGGTGATAGTGTGCCTTTTCAATTGGTTCAAACTTGTGGGCCGTGCAACCGTTAAGTGAAACACGAAAACACCGTTGATCGCAAAGCTCGGGCTCCATCTTGTCCAATCATAGCACTTCCAGCCTGTCCAACTTCCCTTCCCATCTGGACCTTTCTTGATTCAAGGGAACCGATTCGTGTGCAACTTGTACCTACAACTTACCTTTGCACCTGACCAATCTGATTTTTATGCGATACATTCCAGGGGAGTTTCTCGATCTTATCGTGGCTGAACCTCCACATAACAACGCTTCCTCGGGCTTTATTGCGCTATTCCTGCTCTTCGGCTGTCCGTCTCTCCAGCTTGAAAACAACTTTGACGTTGCCGATCAACTTTTTCTACTTGACATAATTACTTGATCCCCAGTCGCCTTTCGTCCTACCTTCGCGATCGCGTTTCCCCGGAACCCGAGCCAACGCAATCATACCCACCCTTCGAGGCCCACCTACCCCGTCGACAATGCTTGGATTGAGCGTGTCTGCTGCCTGTTGGTAACGGTCGAGAGATAGGAGGACTCTTTAGCCTCTGGCACATTTCACCATTTCAATCGTGCATACCCTGGTGGTAGCAAGCAATGATGTCGACGATGACCAGGCCCGATGATCCCCGGCCAGACTCAGACCCGACCGATGATGATGATGCTAAAAAAGGATCACACGACTCCTTGGTACCTCCACCACTGTCATACAATGAAGGGTTCCCCCGCCTTGAAGGTGATGGCTCAAGACCGGGTACAGCCATGAGTGATGCTCCTGGAAGTTCTGGAAAATCATCTGGCCCCAAACCGTTGACGCACGAAGACACCATTGACTTGGCAAAGCGAGCAGTCGAGAGTGGGATTCAGGATACAAAACGATCGTTGGCAGGAAGCGAAGCTGTTACTGATGTCGTGAAGCCCAAATTAACCATCGATTTGGGCCATTCGCACATTGTGCGAATACCGGAGCCAGTAGTAGATATAATCAAAGACGAGGTGGAAAGGTATGTACTAACCATTCAATCATTCCTCCAATCTACTTGGGATGTCGCTTTCGAGCTATAATCTGTACTTGATACGAGACAGCTGACTCTGCATAGACTTTCTCTTTCCAACAATCATCTGTTCCATATTCCCTACCGCTTCGCTGAATGTTCTCATCTTCGCTATCTCAATATCAGAGCCAATAACTTCCGTGAATTTCCAAAAGGAGTAAGCGCCGAATTGAAACTCCCCCTCCCGGCCTTGATCACATGCTGACAATCCTTAGATCTACAAATTACCTCTATTAGAGATTCTCGATCTTAGTCGCAATAAGATCGGCTTGTTGCCTGACGAGATTGGGAAATTAAAATCATTACGAGTGCTTTCTATCATGCAGAACCGGCTTGATGATCTGCCAGCAGGATTATCAGATATGAATAAGCTGCAGGTTCTTAAGGTTGCGGGAAATCCTCTACGCTCCCCGCTTCGACGGGTTTTGGAGGGATTGGAGGCAGAAATGGCCCCTTCGGCAATGTCGGACAACGAGAAGGAGGTTGCCATTACTGCAGAGTTGAAGAGATTTCTGAAGACCCGGCAGTCAGCTAGCACCCCTGAGCCTGAAGTTGGGCCAGATTCAAGGTATGTAGATTTATTCACTTTAAAAGAGAGTGAGGCTAATCGTACTCAGTGAGAGTCCATTCGAATCACGAAGACCTCCGGTTAAGCGTAATTTGAGCCGTCAATTAAGCGGCCGATTTCCTGTCATTCCAAGCACCGGCGATGGCTCAACAACGCCTTCCACCTCTCGGGGACCTGATCCGTCGGGCAGGATTCATTATCGGATGGCCTCTGGGCAACAAAAACCTAGACGAACCGATGTGATGCCTCCCTTTGTTAATGAGCGCATTCGAAGTAACAGTGAGGGTATCATCCAGGCATCATCTGCAGCTCGCAACAAGCGCATGGGGGTCATAACTCGCAAAAACACAGATTTGGGGACCTTAGACGAGACACGGCCCTACAGAAACAGCCATTTTCGAGGCCTCAGCCATGGGTCTGTCCTTCGCGCAGGCCCGACAGGACCGACTCCCGCGGGTGGTAATGGTTTTTCCAGTCCTACTAGCCCAGGAGACCGCCGACACCCGCGAGATGGTTGGGTAAACCGCATGTCCAGTCTTCCTGAGCATAAGGGGGAAAGGGCCTCAGTCGACCCGATTATCGAGAGTGCCAAAGGGATTTTATTCTCTCTTTTCCAGGTTCATTCTCACATATCTACATTGATTAATGTTATTCAGCGAGACGATACGCGACGCCACAGTCTTGAGCTCGTGTTTTACAACGCTTCAAGTCATGTTGAACGGCTCAACGAAGCCCTTGAGAATGCAGAGAAAACTCTTCCCGAGGAGCCAGACTCAACGCAGACACTGAACGAGAGCGTGAAGCGAGAGTGTGAAACATGCATCACAGCCTACACACACGTGGGCACCCAACTACGCAACAGTGCTGGCAAGATTGTTGCTAATGGCGATTCCCGGTATGTGCGCTCGCTTATGTTGATGATGTTTGGAGGCTTGGTGGAGTTGCGAAATTCTTGCGCCAGCCTCAACATATCACTTCGACCACTTCAAGAACGGATCTCAGCACCCAAGCCCCTTGTTTCCGAAGTCACCAAAGGACCTTTTGTCGCAGAACCACCTTTGCGACCATTGGTTACTCCCCCGCCCCCACGACGATTGCGGAGCGATACTACTATTCGGCATCCCCAAGTTCCCGTGCCGCTCATGAATCAATCAGTAGCGATTGGCTCACCAGGCTTCGCAACACCTGCCTTCAACGCCGTGCGAAGTAGATCCAGCAGTCGGACAAATCTGATCAATACTTCCATGCCCACGTCACTGGCCACTCCTCGCTCTGGAGAGTCATTTCCTCCCATGCCTATGGGCGGTGGCCCTCGGATCAATCCATTGACTGGATTGGATGAAATTGAAGAAGAACGACTCTTCGAAAGGATATTTTACCAGCTTACCTCTGCATACAGTGCGGCACTTCAAGCACTTCCATTGGCTCGACGGCAGTTGTCTCGATGCCTTGAATTGTCCGAACAGAACCGTGAAGCAGAGGGGATTAAAATGCTTTGGAGCAACCTCATTCGCCGATCTCAAAGCTGTCTAGAGGTGTCCGAGGCATTGGGCATGCGTTTATCCAACATGAAAGTCAAAGAACCGAATGGCGGATTACGGAACCAGCGCGAATTCTGGCAACTGTGTAAGGGCTTCATGCAGTCTTTCGTAGATCTTATAACAGACATGCGAGAAGTGCGCAGCATGAATATTCTCCCCCAGGACATCATTATCATTCTCAGACCGGTCCAGAAGGCCAGTCGGGAAGCCGGTCGTCTGATTGAAGCATCTCCTTGGTCTTTCCTCGCAGATCCGGCGACCAATGCCCCAAACAATTTATACGGTCCACCGTTGCAACCTCCCCCACACGCGCAGCATCATACTTCGGTATCAACATCTGCTCTTGGATCGCAACCACATTACCTGAACACGGGCCCTCATTCTGTCACTGTTCCTTCCACCCCCCTCAGTGCAGCCCTCGGCCCCGCAGCGCAAGCCACTGTCCCCTCCACCCCGGCCAGTGCATATAGCGACAAGTTCTTCGAGGGCGATGTCTTCCAGCGTGCCGACTCGCTCCTTTCGATGCAAACCCAAGCCCCGTACTACGCACGTCGTTAGTCTTGCCTATATCAGATCCCTAGCGTGACTTTGTATACCCCTCATGATGATGATCTACTCCCTCCATTCATTGAATCCCTGATACACCAGTTCAACTAGATGTTTGCGTCTATCAACCCCATGTGCACACGCCTTTTATCTCAAATTAGCGGAATTATGACATGTACTTCTTTTGCCCAGAGGATCACTGTGGGACCATATAACGTGGCTTTTGTTTTCGAAGTAATGTACAATCATCAAGAATTTAAAGGGAAAAGATTATACAAGAAGTAAACCAAACATTGGACTAAATAGAAAGGTAAAGTGATTCTAATAAACGACTTTACGGCGATTAAGTAAATAGAATCTCAGAAAACCACTGCCCTGGACTACTACACAGCGCCAAATCTTCTGATTGCTAGTATCCTTACCTAAATATTAGAAGGTATTTCTATAGATCAATTCTAGCACTTGACCCAAGTATAAAATCCAATCAATTGATCTCTCCTGTAACATTGAACCCTCCCGACTTTGGAGTTTCGTAATGATGAGTTGTTTGTCCGGTACTTGATTGCGGAACCGCAAGGTCTGAATGGGACATTTGGATATTTTCGATCCGCACATGCATGCTCAGTGACATTGTGCAGCACAAAGACTACTACCTATTAGCTATAAGGCATAGAATGTCCCGCTTTACTCAAGCATGTCATGTCTAATTGGGCTACTTCTCGTCAACGCACGCTATACGCGGCTTTGTTTGATTTTAGTTCGCCATAAGTAGTAATTTGAAGGTTGACAGGTTTTCTTCAAGTCTGCTAACAATCGATTGCTTGATCAATATGACCACCCTTTGGCGGTAAACAATTATTCTAATCTACTATGCACAACCTACTAGGTAGTAGGTAGTAAAATCAGGCAAAGACGAGAAAAGAGACCAACATTTGAAGAAAAAAGCAGCTTGTTCATAGCACTAAAAGAAGGTCATCCGATGTTCTAATGTTTCAATCACAGCGCTTGAAGACACCATCTCTACCTTCAAGAGCAATATCGGTTATGCCTTTTGCGATCCGTCGTTTGAGAAACATTGATCAGATCAATAAGCGTAAAACCTCATACTTAAGTGCAGTGTTTCACCGAGTCCAAAACTATCTTTTGTATTGGTCTTTCTAATTGGCGAGACCAAGCTCTTTTTCAATAACACTCACTCTCATCGATGCATTTCTGAAAAGAAAGTACGATCGTAATATAGTTCAAACATGAGCCATCGGATCAGTTATCAGCACTGAGTGACGACCCAGATGCCAGCGGTTCAGAACACTCAACCCGCCTTCCCACCCACCACAACATCTCGCACAAAAGCAAACATCTCCATCTGCTTCGTTGCGAAAACACTGTGTCCAGCTCCCTCAAAGAGATGATACGAGACTCCCCTCTCTGCCGCCCAAGTTCCAACTGTCTCCCCCTTCCCCTTCGATCCAGACCCGGCAGCAGGTGCCGCATCATCAGCAAAGAAGGATCGACTTGGCTTCTCCTGAAACCCCTGTTCACCCCGCCAAGTCATATTTTGGATCGACAACTCCGTTCCGATATGATTGATCAGCATATCCATTTGCCCGTTGTAGATGTGCAGTGAGACATTATGCGTTGTGACAAGCGAAGGCAGAATAGCGTACTCAGGTGGCTCGACAAATTCGCCCCCTGTGAGTGTTGCGATTATGGTATCGTTAAAAGCCGTGTACGTTCCACTTTCAGCGATATGCAGAGCTTCTTGCACGTCCTCGCGGCTGAAATACTCTTCCATCAGCGGGAGAGGGTTGACAGTAGTACAGTCGCTTGTGAGATCATAGATGCTGAAGCAAGCGAGGTCTTTTTCAACTTCAGAACGAGCATACATATAATTCTCTGCTGTAGAAAATGTGGCGCAGGGACCGTAGCAGGAGGAATTGAGCATTGATTCCAGGACGCCCAGTGGTTCGACTATGTCAGTACCGCATGATCCATCTAGGATGCCCAGGTCAGTCCCATCACGGCGTTGGAGACTTCGACGATAGTTGATGTTCTCTGGGTTACCGGGGATGTGAATTTTGCCACTGGGAGGGTAAGTATGAGCATTCTCCAAAACTGTGTCAAAGCCGCAGATCTCATCAGCGGCCGCGAATGCCGTGAGGATGTTCTCGGGGACATCGAGGCGGGGGGCTTCGGAATGCATGTATGCGCCCATGGCCACGGAGGACATTGCTGCGGCATTGCCCCATGATCCGTCACCCAGTGAGATAGATTGGATGTTGATTGGGAATGCGTTGCTGCTTTCTAGTAGGGCGGAAGCGAGGTAGGGCACGAAGATCCCCGCATACGACTCGCCCATCAGATGAACTTTTTTGGCCTGGAGATGCGGGAATTGCTTGAAGAGTGCATGTAGCCATGATGCTAGGTCCGTTGTCACTTGTTCATTGGTTCGGACTAGAGCACTGGCGCGTGAGAAACCTGTGCCGACGGGTTGATCCACGTAAAGAACATGACCCAGCTTCGTCCAGGAGTATGGATTGGAAATGAGGCGAGTGGAGTTACCGGCGAAGGAAATGGGTCCGTTCCCTGTTATGAGGCCTATGAGCGACGAGCAACCAGGGCCACCATTCAGCCAGACTTGATCGACAACGTTAGCATATTCACGAATCACTGCATTGGCACGGTCCAAAAAAAAAGGCAAAAAAAGCAAAAGAAAGACCTACTGATTAGATTTTCATCATACGCAGAATCTTCTGCTTCGAACAACCAGAAGAAGATCTCGTTGCCCTGTTTCCCCGGAACCGGCAATCGACCAGACCAGCTGGTTGGGAGAGCGGGGCTACCGGGGAGAGAAGAAACCTGAAATGCACTATTGGGTCGTGAAGCAGCATGAGATAGTACAAAAGTGGGAATTGTCCAAAGTACGTGCAAGAGGTAGTAGAAACCAGCGAGATACATTGTGGAGTTGTCTGTGCTGTAGGGCTTGACCGCGATTTCAAGGTTCCTTTAGCAACGACGATCTCGATCTCGGTTTCGATCTGCAATGAAGATATTGACTTGATTCTTTTTCCAGGGTTAAGTTTAAAGATCTAGAATTTTCAAGATTATATACAGAGATGAATTTTTAAAGGGTGCAGGGTGAATAGAAGGTATTGGGGATGTTTTATCCTTTGATGCTCTTGATTTGGGTGTGAATAGACATGACGGAACCCTAAGTCTATTGAACCCCCGATCGGGAAATGTTGATAAGATTATAAGATCAGTCATCAGGGAACTTCAAATGCTCAAGTTGAAACTCATTGGATTAGTTTATGGGGGATTTGATTGGACCAGAGATATTATCATTTAAATTGATTTAGATCATGCTTCTTGAAACGGGCCCTGCTTAAGTATTTGGAAAATTCTGCATGATTCGTGAGAGCTGTATACAGTAGAGTGGACTCAGTGGAGCGAGAATCGATGTCGATCGGTTTCCGGATCTGGCAAGGGTTTGGTGCCTGTGTGCCTGGGGTTCCAGGGTTAAACCGAACGCGATCGCTGACTCATCAACAGTAATCCCGATTCCAATCTAACTATTAACCTCGTAACTCTATAGTACAAGGATCTACTACCCCAAAGTTAACGATGTGATCGCTTGATCTCCACACCCTGCACCCGAATGAATTGCCAACTTGACCAAAAAGCTGGCCAACTTTCCAGAGTGGCTCTCCGACCAATTTATTCGGGGCAACCTCACGTGGCCAATGCGTCCAAAGTGAGGCGTTGGGGACGATCCGGGATTCGGAAAACCCCTTGAAACCCTACCTTTTCTCCCCCTTTTACGATCTCATCGTATGTGCTTGCTTTTTCTTGGGTTCCTTTTTTCCCCCTTCTACTGGGTCGATTCCTGTTTAAGTGTTCATAATGTTCTGTAGTGCAGAATAGGGGCATGATCGAAGTTCTGGGTTCATCCGGGTAGCAGCAGTGGAATGTGATGGTTGCGTCCACCCGAATCCGTCATTGGTTTTCTTGAAAACGTTCTGTGTTCGACTATATCAGTGACAACCCGGTCGCTTTCCCAATCGTTGCTCTTGCTCTTTTGGTCTTTTTGCTTTCTTGATGTTACTATCGTGATCTATCTTCTTGGCCTATCTGCAGTGTTCTTGTATAAGGGAAATTGCTTCCCGTATGTCTTGAGCTTGGCCGACCTTGTTCCACATTTGTGCATCAACTTTGGTTATTTTCTTTGTTTTTTTTTTTCTCTTACCCTTTTCTGCATAATCAGGATCTGTGTAAAGAAGAAAAAAACAAGAAATCTCTTTCTGAAAATCTCTTCAATCAACTATAGGAGTCTGGACCACGAGGGCCGATCGCCCGCAGATCCAAGCTCCCTCGGTGTGGCTCCACAGCGATTGACAGCTCACTTGCATCACTTTGTCGGCAACGCGGATTGGCTGCCTGCCTGAGGCAAACAGGGCGATCGAAAAAAAAAACAAAAGCTGTAAGTTCGAAAAAAAAAAAAGAGGTTGCATAAGGGGCCGTTCGACTGAGACCAGCTTTTGCTTTGCAAGTTGGGGGGTTGATAGCGCAGGGCGCTGTTCGCCACTGTAACGCCCTTGAATTTATATGGTCTTATCTAACTATTAGCCAGAAAAAAGCTTGTGAAGAGATCGTCCCATTCTGTCTTTTTCGCTTTTTTTTTTCTTTTTTTTCTTTTCTTTCCCCATGGATCTTCAGGGTACTAAGGAGGCCCGGACGCAAGAGGAGGGTGCCGACGGCCCGTTAGATGCTTATGGCGGTGGAAGCCGCTCTAAAGAGTATCACAAGAATGAGGGTCGCGATTCTCATGGTCATGATAATTCCTCTACTGTCCCCCTTCGTCATCGACCACCCTTCACTTATCCCCCTGGGAATCGCCAACAAACCGCGCTAACACCCACCCCAACGCCACGTCGGGAGCCTTCTCCTTCACCAGAGGCCATCGTTATTCCACAAGCTCTGGGATTAAGTTCTCGGGACCAGCGATTAATATGCAAAGCACGCCGTCAGCCACCTGTGACCAAGAAAACGCTCAGTGAACTCGATCTGCCATGTATCATCAGCAACATCAATCTGCGTATGGATGCCAATTTCGATCGCGACCTACATTTCAAGCCCGATCTAGATGGAGAAAAGGGGAAGCGGAAACGGAAGGAGGCAACAGGCTACTGGGACTCGATGGCCACGGAGATTGCCATCTATGCCTACCATGCCGCCAACCCTGACGAGGAGCAGAATCGGGGGAGCAGCTCTCACCGCACCTTTGAGCCCAGGTTGCCCGCCATGTTCGAGACCCTGCAGGAAGTTATCAAGACACTTGTTCCGGAGCGAGATCATCCCAGCGTCATGCAAAACCTGGAGGTGCCCTTGCTCATGCAACAAATCCGCAAGGGTGTGCTCGACATGGTGGCGCTGTCAGCATGGATGGCGGCTCTGCTCAAGACGCATTGTGCACCGATGCGAGACGAATGGGCGGATCGGATGGCGGAGCAGATAAGCCAAGGGTCCCAATCACAGGACCCAAAGGAGATTGTAAATGGATTGCAGACACTCTTTGCTATCTTGGAGGCCATGAAACTGGTACGGGACTTTACTCCACCGGCTCCACAATTTAAGCAATCCCCCAGTGCCCACAAGCTAACCAAAGTTCCAATCAATAGGATGTTGCCAACCACCAAATACGGACCTTTCGCGTCCTTTTAATTGAAGACACAGTACCTTTCCTAGGAGAGTATTTCGAGGGCAAAATCAGCCGCGGCAACTTCCAAGTCGAACCCGCTCGACTCTGGTACCTGGAAGCACGAAGTCGCGCCCAAGCAGAAGACGACATCAAGAGTCCAACAACAACCACCTCCCAACCCGACGACGGTCTCAAGCCCCTCGAAGCCCTCCTCCGCGGCATCTCCGACCAACTCCTCCAATTCACACCCCCAGACGACTTCCCAGAAACCTTCCTCTTCGACTCCGACCGCCTCTGGCAACTCCGCGCCACAATCCAAAACCTCATCAACCTCGAAATAGCCTGGTACATCTTCGAGTCCTACGTCCACACCCAAAAGCGCTACCTCTCCGCCCGCGATGAAACATACTCCACCTTCCGCTCCCGCATCTGGTCCCTAATGGAAGACGGCCTCGATCCAAACGGCCACATCCCCAGCGCGATCGACGACGACCCAGACCTCCGCGGCGGCGCCCACTGGCTCCAGAATATGCGCAGCATTGCCCTCGAGATTGCGCGCTTCGCCTGTGCAGCCTGCTGTCTTGACTCCGTCGTCGCGGACGAGGTAATCACGCCCATCGAGGCGGCTCTCGAATGGCACCTGACCAACGAGTCCGATCTCTTCCGCTACTTCCAGAACGGGATGCGCGAGAAGATCCTCTCGGCGACGCTCGCTTCGGCAAAGAAGTACTTGCCGCTTTCGCCGCTGGCTATTTGTGAGTCGCAGCGCGCCGTTCCTCAGCAGCAGCCTTCGGCGCCGCTTGTTCCGGCTGCGTCGGCGGCCACGGCCACGGCGGCAAACCCGCCTAATCCGTCTTCTGCGGGTGGGAATTCGCAGTTAGCTTCGCCGCAGGATCATGATATCGAGCGAATTGGTATGCGTCTGGCTCACATGTGTGTTTTGCATTGGCGTGTTTGGGCTCCGCTGCTTTATCTGCGGGATGAGATTGCGGATTTGGATCTGGGGCCTTCGGCTTTTGTTTAATCTTGCAATATTCTTGCTTGTCTTTTATATTGGCTTAATTAGAGCTGGCGTTGACTTGATTTCTGTTTTTCTGTTTTCCCTTGTTCCTTTCGTTGTTTTCTTTTGCGTGTTGTTCTTGCTTTTCTTCATCTGCTCTTCAGCGCCTGCATTGGATTATTTGGCGTTCTCCTACCGTGGCGCGGTGGCATTACAAAACCGGCGCTGGACAAATATTGGGGGGGGGGATTGTTTTTTGATCATTTACTACTATTTTTGACTTAATTTTGCGGGTTATAGAAGGCGCTCTGGATTTCGGATTGTTTTTTTTTTCTTTCTATCAAAAACCTCATTGTGTTCGCTGTTTGAGCTAGATCTCGTCGAGCCCAAAATGTACACCAGATATTGAACCAAATGAAATCCCAACATTCTACAATCATTAATCAGATCCAATCCCTGTAGAAATGTTGGATAAGCTAATCTCGACGCGTGCAGTAACGGTCCGTGCATCGATCGGCAGATCGCCATCAACATCACCAATTTCCGGCGCGTACCAACCACATCTCCTCTATGATCAAAAAGGGATGTATGGAAAGCGATAAAAATAGCCTCAACATAGACCATCCACATATCACATTCCGATCCACCATCTGCGGGTCAAGATCCCAGCCCAGAAGGGCAAAAGTTCAGAATGCGCCTCGCCGCCACACCCACACTCTTCGCGGGATCCCGGTCCCAGTCTGCGGCGCTGAGAAAGCCGGGCGCAGTACCAACAGAAACGTCAAAGTTGAAATCAAAATCAAAATCAGAACCAGCCAGAGAATCCACACTAAAATCAATATCCACACCGGAATTCTTACCTTGGCTTCCATCGCTGAAATCAACACAATTACAGCGCATTGCTCGCGCAACGGGGATTCAATCCTCTGGGACAAAAGGCGTGCTATTAGAGCGGATACAATCCGAGTTACGAAACTATCATTTTCAAGCCCAAGCCCAAGCCCAAGCCCAAGCCCAATCTCTATCTCTATCTCCGACTCAAAAATCACAGACGCGAAAACCATGGCGAATCTTGAGTATCGATATGGGAATTCGGAATCTTGCATTCGCTTTCATGACCGTTGACTGTCCCCTTTCTAAACCTGCTATCCAGCCTGGCACTATGAAGGGAGACGACGAAGCGCAAATACCACTACAAATTCAACCCTCTATACCCAAGCTACGAGCATGGAAACGCCTATCTGTTTCAGATGGCTTATTAGACTTGATAGACTTGACAAGCCCACCTCAAAGCTCAAGTCCAAGTTCAAGTTCCAATCCCGATTTAAGCTGCATCACAAGTGACAAAGAAGTGGAAGCAGAGAAGCAAACAGACAAAGACAAAGACAAAGAAAAAGAATCATACTCCCCAGATAAATACGCCTCAAACGCCTACACACTAATAACAACCCTCCTATCAACCTACAACCCAACCCACATCCTAATCGAGCGCCAACGCTTCCGCTCTGGCGGGAGCAGCGTGGTCCAGGAATGGACCCTACGCGTCGGCGTATTCGAGGGCATGTTGTACGCTATTTTGCACACGTTATGTATGGAACGGGGTATTCCAGATTCAGCTCAGGCTGGGGTTCTGGTTGAAGGAGTTGAGCCGAAGAGGGTGGTTGGGTATTGGGATGAGATTGGGGCTGGGAATGGGGATGGAGATGCAGGATGTGGTAGCGATAGCGGGGGGAAAGAAAAGGTCAAGGTCAAGGTCAATGCGCGGGAGGTGAAGAAGGCTAAGATGGGGATTGTGGGGGGTTGGGTGGAGGCTTCGTTGGGGGAGGCAAAGGGCGGAAAGGTGGTTGTTGGAGATGGGGCGGTGCGTGAATTGGCGGGGGCTTATGTGAGGAAGTGGAGGGGGAGAAGGGGAATCGGAAGAAGGGGTTGGATGTTGGGAAGTTGGATGATTTGGCGGATTGTTTGTTGCAGGGCGTTACTTGGTTGGAGTGGCAGATTATGAGGGAACGTGTTGTGAGGGAGGGGTTTGAGGCTTTGGGATCGGATTGAGAGGTTCATTTGATACACCCACATTCAAATTCTGTACATAGTAGCATATTATTGTAAATACACACATCCAAGCTTTGTTTTTTTTTTATCTTTTTTAATCTTTTTTCCTAGACCACAACCTTCAAATTGATCTGAATTCCACTGTAAACTGCCTCATCCCAGCCTCCAATCCACTGACATTAAAATCCCCACCGAAGATCGACAGGATCGACAGGTCCACCCACCGGCATAATCTTTATCTTGCATTGAAAAGCATCTATGATGTATTAAGTACGAAATGATCTTGTTGAAGGGAAAATCGAATCAATTCATTAGTACTCCAAGTTGACTTGGGTACGAAGCCGAAGAACAACCAACCATACATAACCCGCACTACAAAAGCGAGAATGCGAGTGGCAATTTTCAATGTTGTCTAAAATAAAACAGATGCAATAAAACCCTACAGTACATAAGCACGCAAACGCGCCCATCATAATATAATCACAAAAGAAGATTGCAATTTGTGCAAAATTCAGAAACGAAGATCGAGAATCCCAACCGATGTCAAATCGGACCAAGACCCCCTCCAAAACAAACGGACGATCTCAATCTAGACACCAAGATCAAAAGCTCGACCAACGTCTCATTAGAAAGTAAGGGAGAAAGATAAACAAAAGAGGACATTGGGATTTCCCACGAACTTGTCTCGCACACGCCTGTATTATATGAAGAAAAAAAAACATAAAACCAGCGCGCTCAGTAGGAAAATAACCCATGGAAGAAATTAAAAAAAAAGTATCCACAGCACGCGGTAAAGTAGACTTTCAGATAAGATCTGCAGCACTTAGATCTTCTCAACGAATGGAATAGATACAATCCCAGCATGCAACGGCACGAGAAAAAAAAAATAAAGATAAAAAGTAGTAAATCCAAACAGACCAAACCAACGTCTTCCAACATCAGACTAGATTTGGTCGCGAAGCTCTATGCTTCAACCTGACTTCTAACGGACGCCGTCATTTCCCCATTACCAAAGGCTAGCATGCTTAGATGTAGCGGCGGCGGAAGCTGTGGGGGTAGCTTCCACTGGGGGTTCCGGAGGGAGCAGCGGGGCGGCTGGAGCTGGGGAAGGGCTTGACGCTGGGCGAGGCAGAGCCGGAGATAGCGACGGAGCTAGTGGCGAAGCCGGAGGGGGTCAGGCTGGTGGTGGGGTAGGGGGCTGTTCCGTTGCCGTAAGGGGCACGGGTAGCGGAGAGAGTGGCGCTGGTGGTGGGCGCGGTGGTCTCGGTCTCGATGTCGGTGGAGACGGCGGTGGTGGTAGGCTGGGCACCCTCGCCGTTGCCGCTGCCATTGCCGTTACCGTTGCCGTTGCCGTTGCCGTTGCCGTTGCCATTTCCATTGCCATGGCCGTTACCGTTACCAGGAGCAGAGGTTGAGCCAGCGTTCTAGAAAACAAGTTAATGTATGTCTTGGATTGGGCGTTTCAGAAAAGAAAAATACATACCACAGTCACAGTCTCGGTGGCGGTGACGGTCACGGTGGCTGGGTTGCAGGCTCCAGCACCGGTAGCAGAGACAAGGTCAGTGGAGGCCTCGATGACGGTCATGGTCTTAGTGGTGGTCCCCTGGATAGTGGTGGTCAACTCCTCAGTAGGAGCGCTGGTCTATGATATAGTTTAGTATATTGAATGAAAGCATAATGGTAATCCTGGAGAGTAAGACAAACCGCGTAGGCAGTGTGAACATCGGTGATGGTCTTCTCGATGGTGGTAGTGACAACACTGGTCGAGGTTCCGGATCCGAGGGTGTAGGTGAGAGTCACGGCCGAAGTGGTGACATCGGTGGTGAGAGCGCCAGCGCCAGATCCAGATGCAACGGACTGGGAGGCAGCAGCGGAGCTGGCCACACCAGTGCCGAGGGGAATGGAAGAGCTGGTCAGAGGGAAGCTAGCCGACGGGGTGTAGGAAGGCTTTCCAGAGGGCGAGTGAGGAGTGTGAGAGGGAGTAGGGTAAACAGTCTCGTATGAAGTGGGGAGCGAGCCAGCGGGAGTGGTGCCGTTGATACCACGGGCGTGGTTCAAGTGGCGCGCATGGAGACCGTGGATTTCAGCGCTGCCAACTGCAGCCAGGGACGCAACCAAAGCCAAAGTGATAGTGTTGAGTGTGTACATTTTGACGGAATCTCGAGATCAGCAGTCAATGCTTTGATGAAAAAGTTGAAATGGGGTTGAGTCGAGAAACTTGGAAGTGAGAGATGAACGAAAGTGGTGCTGTGAAGTCAATTCACAAGCAATAATGAGTGAAAAAAAAAAAAGAATGGAGCTCTTAACCAGAGAGTGTGAAGATAAAAAGTGAGCTTACAAGCTTAAAGGGAAAAGAGAGAAGAAGAGAGGAGAGTGAGAGTTAATGAATAGTTCTTAAGTTTCAGAGTAATGGTATTACCGGGTGAATCCGAGTGGGTCATAGTTTTAGGCATAAAATACTCAATTCAAAGCGAGTCCAACGTGGGCAAGTGTAGCGTGCACGAGTGGATTAACATGACAGGCGTATCTAGATACGGTACTTGAAGATAATCTCTATAAGGCTCCACCATACCAGGCACGGGACTGTCATTGGGGAACCAGATACACACTAACTGGACCCGCACCAATCAAAACAATCGACTTTGGCCTTTAATCTCACTCTTCGTCTAATCAAATGACCGGAGATTACTGACTTCTGTCACTGGCGCTGTGGCGCACATGCATTAAATGGATAGATTGATATCATTTGATCTTTCATCTGTTACCAACACATGTCCAGCTGTCATACCATGACACAAAAATAAATTTACCAAAAAAATTAAAAAATAGAAAATAGAAAGTAGAAAATAAGAAACCGGGAAAATCTCGACTGGAAAACCCTCCGTTTGTATCTTCAATCTCTTCCCCAGGGGTTGGAGGGGAAACTAGTGCGACAATAGCGGATCTTTGGAAAATTTCATTTGCAGGTGGGGGGGCAAAGCAGGATCAGGATTGAAATTTCAGTAAAATCTTCCTCCAGTGCTAATAACAAGAATCTTTCGCGTCCGAGCGGTGTTTCAGGTGGTAATCGTCCCGTAAAATACCAATACCTTAATCTATGGTGTTTCACATAGAACTTGAAAATCTCCACTGGAAAAAAAAAAAAACAAAGAGGATAAATCTCTCGTTTACAGGGTCCCTATTCTGTATCGAGATTAATCATATCCCGTCTGGTCCCACGGTAATATGGGCATATAAGGATAGGCGGGGAAATTCTGGGTCCAAAGACTCCAAACCACCGAGATGAAAGGTTCCAGAATACTATACTTTGGGCCGGCACTTGCTTTTTTGGGGGTTTGGGGCCTTTTTAGAGGGTTCTGGAACTTCATTACTAGTCATGTACTAGATTTTTTTTTTTTACTGAAGCTAGACACGGCCCGTGCAAGGGTGGGACAGATTTGATTGTTTAATGGTACATATTACGGAAGGCGGAAACCGAAGCTGATCTTGGTCCAGCCACAATTTGACTTGGATGCTGATCTGGACCTGGACCTGCATCTCGACCTTTTTCCTTGACATCGCCATAATCTTACCTACGCTTCGACGTATAGGAATATGATGGATCATCAGCAAATACGAGTTACCCACTCAAACCCACTGCCTTCAAAATCACTCCCTTCAAGCTACCTATTTCGTCATTGACAGGGTCCATCTATGCGCACGGAGAAGCTTTCCCTTCTGAAACACCGGCAACTTCACTTCACCCCAAAGCAAGTACGGCTCGAACCCGTTCCAAGGTTGCACAACCCACTACTCCCGCAGAATTGAAGAGACTGTCGAACTCGCAATATGAAGAGCAAATGGCTTTTGTGTGTGTTGACATCTTCTGCGAACGACTTTGACATCCTTCCCGTGCACTGTTCTCGCACTCCAGCCCGAACCGACCACCGACCCGAGACTTTCACTACTTCCCGTACTCCGTACGGAGCACCGATAGTATGCTTTGGGGGGGTCAGATTTCGCCACTCTCCAATCAAATTGTGCTAAGGGTAATTTATGCTCACCCAGGGGCCTACAGAGATTTAACCGACCGGCTAAGTATGCAGCCAAGGCTTCGACGTTGAAATTTCTCCCCCTTTACTAATCGGGTACTTGTGCGGAATCCCCATCACACGATACCCGCCAACCTTGAACCCAATTAGCAGTTGAAAAATAAGGATCGTGCGATATGCATGTGCACCTACTGGTACTGAGTGGATAACACAATGCCTATCTCATCTGGGCAAGTACTTACTATATACCCCAGCGCCTGCACAAGGACAGGTGTACTGCTCGCATGAGGTATGCGCGGAGCCTCATGCGTATTTTTGCATGATCAACATACCCCTAATGGATGGATTTGAATATGCGGTAATTTATTGTGAAATCTATAATAACTTTTCTTTATCAAGCACCTGTGTAGTTCATGTCCCAGGACTCGTATTCAGTTCCTGATCCCAGTCCCATTTAGTAGACCCATCTTCTGATGGAATCGGAGACATGGCTGGAAGTGGATAAGAGACCATCAAATCAGGATCCAAATCATGTGTTATGTGATTGCCATTTGAGCTGGTGTCTACAGACACCGAAGAGGGAGGGGTCAGGCAGTCCGGACTTGTGACCCGAGGACCAGTATCTGTACGGCTTGTGGTCAAAGTCTGCTGAAAGACCGGATTCCGAGCATCCATCATGGCCCAGTAATCCACCACGTATCTCAATATAGTCAGCTCCGTCGTGGTGAATTCGCTCATGCGAGGCTCATTGCGTAGAAGTATATCGCTGTATCTTGGACACTGAAGAATAAAATTATCCAAGGCGCTTGACTAATATGCCTGAGTATTAGCAATATTTCTCTTACATGATTGAAAAGAAAGAAAAAAACTGTGTTTTTTGTTTGCGTACCATAATTTGTGCATTATCCCATAGATCCGACATCTCGTTAAGGTATTCGAATGCTGGTTTCAGATACTCAGCTGAGCTATGACGGATGGAAGAGTCCTCGCAGTACATGAAGAGTCCATGGATCGTGCTTGCCAAGACCATGCTGTAGCTGTAGACCGATGTGACTGGCATATAACCAGCAGCCTTTGCTTCGACAAGGACCGTGATCAAAGACCCGGCATGAGACAGACATCGTTTGCGCGTATCTTCCAACCACATCAATGGCATATCGGAGCGTGAACGAGAGTCAATCTTAAGCCCGATGAGAAAAGGGTGATTGAGAATGCAAAGACTTAAATGGTATAACGTATGTGAGAGAACCATATGGGCGATCTGTTCACGATCGGGCATCGGAGTATCGGATTGTGGTCTCGATTGGCTTAGTGCCCCGAGAATAGGACCATTCTTTACGGCGAGATGCTTCAAATATTCCAGATCTCGATGGATCTTGTAATGTTCCGAGCCAGAACTCCAAGGAGACGTTGTCTCGGATTTATTCATCATGAATTTGGTAGTTCTCCCCAGACAGGCAGCCAACGCGATGCTGATACCGAACATTCCGGAGCGAGGCGAAAGATTCCGGACCTTCTCGTTGAATAGCTCATGCAGCGTGATTGAAGGCAATCGTTTCTCGGAGCGATAATGGGTCGGTAGATTGAGGAGGCAATCGGAGTCGTGAATCGCGGGTGGTCGTTGAAAGGAGCAACACACAAAGCGATCTAGTAAGTAAAGCGACCAAAATAGATTGCGACGCTCGTCGCGCTCGAGTTCGGGGAGACTGGAAGGTGGTTCCAACATCATATCCAAGTCCTGGGCGATTCGCACCGCCATTCCAATCTTCACCCAGGCAGGTCGGCGCCGGCCCGCTGTGGTGGATCTCAGCATGCCTGATTGATCATTGTGGTCCAATAGTGGCAAGCCTACTCACCGGTCGCATCAATAACCGCCAGAATCACCAGAGATTGTATCACGTCCACGTCGTCACTTTTGTCTAGCGAGTTGGCAGAATTGGTGATCAAATCCCAAGAGCACCGAGCATAGCTGTCGATCGTACTCTGTTTCCTTTCCATCCATTGTGAGCGCGATGAGTAACGAGTGGCGGAGGCAATCAAGGCTAGCTTCAGATGCAGAGGGACTTGGTCTTGTTGGACTTTTTGGTGAAAGAATGTAGCATTGAAAAAGCCAAAGGGTTTGTTGTGACAGTGTCTGAAATAAATGTTGCAGGCTTCAAGGAATACTTTATCTGGAGCGGGGGTCTCGCTGCATTGCTGTTAGATTCATCATTCCGGGTTGCATAAGCTTAGCATCTTCCATTACCTTGAAAAGAGTCTATCGGGCTCCATCAGACCATGATTTGTAGGAAGTTAAGAGATGTTGCCAAGGGACAAACTTGAAAGAATAAGAAAAATGTCACGAGTTTCCAAGGTCACCTGCCCCAGACAATCGATAAGCCCCGCACGCGCTAACCTAAGAATCTACTAGTATTATAGTAGTATTATTCATAATTTCATATACAAGTGGGGAAATTCTGTACATCCGCCTCTAACCGAGTTATAAGGTAGATCAATTGATTGGACTGAAAAAGAAAAATCAGATGGCATTGACAAAAGAAAAATCAAAAGAGTGTATACTATTTAAAAAAAAAAAAAACTTGCATTCAACCATACCCCCCACGTGTGCATCTTATACATTCAACCTTGTAAATGACGGATCTCAGTAATTTAATGCTTGAGAACCAGGCAATACCGTGGGATCCAATCTACACCTATGGATATCAGTGACTTTTGGTCGGTTTTGAAGAAAAACTTTGACATGTTTAGTGTAAATCTTGCGCCAGATCAGGTCATTTTGCCCAATATAGAGATCCAATGTCCCATCCGGAATCGAAGCAGTATAGAACTTTGCCCTCACAAAGGGACCAGAAAGTCTTGGGGGGGGGCTTTTGATAGGGAACAGCAATGTTGACTAGAACCTCTACTTTTTCCCAAATTGGTAATACCGGCTGACCAGTTTCTTTATCAAGTATGTTGACCTCCAGCATTATAACATGTCGGCTCATAACGTTACCCTCTGCTGTCACTACGCCTGTCAGACCAATAGCGGGTGGCCTTCTGACGTTACGCCCAACCTCCCCTGCCGCGGCCACTTGTAGAAGTCCGACATCATTATCTGTTAAAGTCATCACCGACGCACCAGTATCATCCATGAATTCGAGTGTATTATGACGGTGATAGCCCGGAATTCGAACAAGTAAGCCATACTAGAGAGAGAGAGAGAAAAAAAAATCATTAGGATCAAAAGCGTGCGTATAATGAGATGAATCATATACGTACATAGGTCATGGCGTTACCCTCACCCGCACCCGTTCTGGAGCTGTTGTAATATTGCGCTCCATAGTACCTCATCACCGGCACTGGGCCGGGATCTCTTGACTGTATCCATTTCATATTAGAATCCTCACATTGAACATTTGAATGGATATTTTTGCTTTAATCAAGCCTAACGAACCCCTTCCATCCAAAACCCTTCCTCCCCATCATGCTCTCTGTTAACTTCCAGAAACTCATCCCAATCATGCGGCCTCGGCTGACAAAGTTGAACCCCATGCGACCAGTAAGTTACCAGGCCTGGTGCATTCCAATCCAGCTGGCCACTTTTGTAAGCCTCGAGAAGAGCCTTTACGTTTGCCAGCTGTTGGTACTCGTCCCCATCCTTGGTGCCTTCAAGATACTTCTGCATGATTTCAAGCATCTCAATACGTTGCACAACATTCCAACTTTTTCCTGGAAATCTGGCCATAGATTTGCTGTGGAACAGTAAGTTGACAGGCCAATAAAAATGAAGTACATGTACTTGTTCAAAGGTTGATAGACGTACTCCTTCATCTCCTTGCTTTCCAGCAACCCCTTCTTCTTATGTTCGAAAATATAAGGCAAGATTCCATCCTCGATTCTTTCATCGCACCTCTGGATCTGGGCATCGAGGTCTCTAGATTCCTGTTAGCGTATGTACAGAAAGACCTCGTAGTCAGTTTGGTGCATATTTACTCATCGTCCAGGTCGTACTCCTTGTCGTTCCATAACCAATCGGCAGGAACCTTCAGCACATCCAAGATAGGCGGACCTTCATGATGCCATCTCTTCCGCTTCGGTCTCACAAGTTCAGGAACCTCGACAAGTCCAACGTAGGACTTTTCAGGGTCCCAAACTCGTTTCGGCTTCTCTTCAATCTCCTCTTTCTCGGAACTGTTCTCGGGAATTCCATCTTCTTCTTCGGACATTTCACCCGGTCCGAACAGTGATCTGCCATATGGGTAACGGGGATGGGTCATCGGCTGAGCCCCCTCTTGGGGTATCGGCCGAGCCTCGTCTTGAACCTTTTCGGTCTTTTCTGTCTTTTTGGTTCCTTTGGTTTTTTTAACCCCGTCCTGGGTCTTTTTGGTTCCTTTGGTTGAAGCAACAGATGACTTGGTCTTTGCAACCTTTGCCGAGGTTTTGGAAGATTTGCCTGCCGTGGTTTTGGAGGATTTCCCTGCCTCCTTGTTCGATTTACGAGGAGGCATGATGATTGACAAAAGCTTGTGTTGAAAGATAAATGTAAAAGTTTACAATAAGAGTCGAGTTTCTGATGATTTATTATTTCGAGGAATCTGTTGCATTTTATAAGCATCTTGTTTGCAATGGTGTGTCTTTTTCATGAGGCAGACTTCTCTCGTCAAAGAAACCCGCATCTCTGTCCACGGGAAAACTTACAACTACGCAAAGAATAAGCAGATAAAGAATGTCAGAACCAAAGCTCCGACCCCAAGAGATTGTTCTGGTGAGGCGGTTTCTTTGATTCGAAGCTCTGAATTGGAGTGGAATGATGATAGCGAGCCAAGGATGTCTTTGAAAGAAGATGCAATTTCTATGAGATTCGATTCCAGAAGTTAGATTTCTAAAAACAAAGATGGTACCTGAGTGATACAAAGAAAACAGACCTACTTTTAGAGACCAGCAAAATAAAATATCAGTGGCTTAATTCGAATGCTTCAAAGTGATCTGGACATGGAAAACAAAGGCGTGGAAGATGGAGCGAGCAGTGATGAACAAGACAAAGGAAGTTCTATCTATAGACTATATCATACCGGATTTTTCCGGTATTTTCCTCTCTCGCTGTTTGACATTCAACATTCTTTTGTTTTCTATCCACCTGGGCATAATTTCCATGGTCTACACGATTGATCTTGTGAGAATAGTGAGAAGCCAAACCAGGAAGGCCTGAGTTTGCATCTCTACCCCCTTTACTACTCGGGTACTTGCGCAATTCAAAGGGTTTGCTATTGTACCTAAACCTTGGAAGCGAATGGAACCGCAATTCCCCAAGCTATTATTATTCGGAATTTTCTTGAGAGACTTCTTGGTATTTCATAAAATTGATTGGGGGTGAAAATCTCATTCAGTTTTAGGGCAGCAGCCCAAGATCTTCCGCCTCGCCTTCAACAATACTAGGAACCAGGTCAATCGCCCCGCAAGAACGTCCCATTTTCAACTAGATAATAGCCTTCCTCATTACTACATGTGGCTTTACCACCGCCAGTGGCAGCAGCTTCACCCAAAGCCAAGTAGAAATTACTCGAATTACGAATTATCAACAATGATGCACCGGGGTGTAGCTTTGGGCCCCTTTTACAATGGTCAACAACTGCTAAACTCGTTCAGTGACAGCTAACAATATTCAAAATACCACTAGCGCACAAAATACCTTACTTTATTCAATGTTTGCAATGAAAGCCAAAAAAGCTGCAAGGCCAAAATTAGATGATATTGTCTCTAAACAAGTAAGCCCTTAAGTTTCTTCGATACAAATTTCGTTTTCAAGCAAACATGTACACGTTTCACATCATAACCTTAAACACACTCAGCACTGATGCTGACAAGGGTAACATCAGCGGCAAAGCACTGCTCGACATCAGTGACGCTGACAGTCTGGGACAGATCAGCGGTATCACATCCGGAAGCAAGGTAGGTGTTCAAGACAGCAGAGGTACCATCGGCACAAGAGCCGGAGGCAATGACGGCAGAGAAGGACAGAATGGGGAAGTCCTCGATGTTGACACAAGCTCCAGCGTAAGCGCTGGCAAGATCAACGGTGGTGGTCGAGCAGTCATCATCAAAGTAGCCGGCGTAAGTGATGGTGGGGTTGGCGATGGTGGCCACGGCCATGGAGGCGATGAGGGCAATGGTCTGGTCATGTTGTCAGTTGGAGGAAATTTATGGTGTTATAACTATGCAATGCTTATGTGGAATGAGTTGTGCTCTGCATACCTTGGACATCATCTTGAAAGAATGGATGTGAAAAGAAGGGTGTTTGGAGGGAGTTTGATGGACTGGTAGATTGCTGATGTCTGTTCTACCAGAGAGAGGGCATCGAGGCTGTTTTTATACTTCATTCCTGCCCCAGGCTGTCGGTTGATGAGAATCTTCAGGCTAGTCAGTAACTGAGGACCAAGCGGGAAAGCGTTGCGTCGTTCTAACTGCTTCCGATTAGCGTGAAGCATAGCCTAGACTAAAATCGAGATAGTCAAGCCTTCATGAACTGTTTTCTTGGGACCTTACGTATGCCTCAAGCAGTCAGATCTCCATTCCGCAGAGTTGGGGTCGTCCATGTCGGCAAAATCCACTCCGACTAGCCTGTTGAAGCTAGAATCTCGGCTTGTATGATCTATTCAGTCGGCTTACTGAGATGGTGCAGATGTGAGGCTTACACGGCCGTTATTTGGCGGAGAGTACAGAATGAATTAGCTTCGAGTCGGGAAAAGGGTACTCTCAAATGTTTGTCATGCAGCATTGAAGAGTTCCAAGCTGACAACATTTTCTGTGGGGCTTGGTTTATTCTGATTCCTGAAGGAGAGAAAAGATCATTGCCGGTGGTTGTTTAATTTCAGACCCTCACTTGAAGCGCGATCCCTAGTACACTAAACAGTCTAAACTAGTCGCAGTGGATCGCTGGAATTTTGGAATCCCATTTGCCATTTTGGGAACTCGCTATTAGAAAAATGCGTGTCGATGGGCCGCTTTTTCCACTCCACTACAATTTTAGTCTTGACTCTTGCTGAATTCATGCCAATCCGGTCTTTTGCCAAGCCACGCGGGCTGTCTTGGCGGGGCTGTTAAGGGACGCGCCGAGGCAGAGTAGCTTAATTTGGCTGAGGAATTGGGTACTGGATTACTACTATAAATTACTACTGGCTCTACAGAGTACTAGCTCAAGACCCTAGGGGCCCTGGGGAATGGTAACGAGAAAAAAAGCTACGGCGATGTCCGTAAATTGACTCCATTCTTGCTTCCTCTCTCCCGTTTTTCCCCATCACTGGTTTTAACATTGAATTCACACAATTGGAAATTGAGATTTTTCCATCGAAATCGCCGATGTTGTTTACATTCAAGGAAATTGAAGGATCAGTACCCCGTGTTCTCCTGACAGAGAGATGATTGGTGCTTATCTTTCAGGCGTGCTGCACGATGGAGCTCTAACCTTGGAAGTTCGGAGTTCCTGCACTCCTTCGCCCGAAGTGACAGTGGCTTGGCTACTTGTTGTTTGCGTTCATCGGATATTTCGTGCTGACGAATTATTATTCCTTATAATTGATTTTCAACTGCCAAAACTTTGATTTTTCCGTGGCCGCAGGTGCGGGTGCGGGTGCGGGCGCTGTAACCACTAGCAACGAAGACGAGGCCCTCACTATACTACTAGTAGTACTAGTAGATATCCATCTAGTAAATCATGTCTGATTCTTTCAATGTTTCTTTCCACATGTGCATGCCTAGCTTTCGAAACTTAAGGAAGCGGAATGAATGTCAGTAGGTATGATGAATAATCACGGATTGTGGGGAGCCACTCAGGAACTGCTCATATGTTTGATGGATTGTATACTTACGCCAAGCTACTGAAGATTGACAGGGAGCAATAATCCACATGCAAGCGTTCTTCAAAATCACTCGAGGGGGCGGAATATTACAATTTGAGGGACACGAAAAGAAATCCCGCTTTCAAATGCTGAAATTTGCACAAATGCCACCCGTCATATCACAAAAATAAGATGTCGGATTACATCCAAGTACAACCAGGAACAACGGCTCCACGTCCAGCAACCCCCTTCTCCCCAAACTTCTCAACGTACCACTTCCTCCCCCATCGCGCGTGAGGCAGCATATTGGCAACAGCATTGATGGCAAATAGTACCGCTGGAAGTGGAAGTGGAATACCCAACACATCCGCCGTCCAAGCAGCAGAGAGGATCCACGGCGCAGCCTGAAGGGGCGGGGCAACCCTATTCGTTCCAGGAAGCGGGAACACCGCCGTCCCAACAAGCGCGAATCCAACCCACTCAAGCCACTCGAAGACATAGTGCGGATACAAGATTGTACGGAAGACGCCCTCGGCCGGAGGAATCACATACACCTTATGAAACTTATTGCCATCTTTCCCATTTGAGTCTGAAACAACGGTGGTAGTTGTTGGGGTATCGGATTTCTTCGAGGAGCCTTGCTCTGCCGAATCTCTGCGGAGGCGGAAAAGCTCCGTCTCCGAGTAGATATTGCCTGCCATGCCCAAAGAGAACAAAATTGTTCCGATGAACGGGAGGATCTGCACGAGCAAGAAACTGAATGAAGAGGGGTCCATTGCTGAAGTGCCGTCGGTCTGGTATCCCGAAACCGGTATCGCAAGGCCGCTTAACCAGCCTGAGATGCATGAGGAGTTGAGCCAGTTGAAGGTCATGGCGCTAAACATGATGAATGCATGGATTGGAGACATGCTCGGGGCTGAAAAGAAGGGTGAGATGATTGCACGGTTCAGGTAGTGTGTACAGTATAGCACGGCAGCGAGCTGATTGGGGGCTGGTAGCTCGAAGAAGCTTGGTGAGGAGTGAGAGAGGTTATAGACCAGGTTGAGTGGGCCGACGATCTCCATGATACACCAGGCTAGTCGACCGGGGAGGTTGAAAATGGAGCTTGTCATGGAAGTTTTCCCAGCTGGATACCATGATGTCCCCCATTGGATCACTGTGAACTGCACTTATTGTGAGCTTGCAGCCGCATTGGTATAAAAAGCAAAAGCTTGGCGGTTTGTTTACTTACTACGGGGAAGAGTTGGAACGTAGTTACCATCCCTGTGTAGACCGCAGGGGTAGGAGGGAAAAAGTCTTGGATGGGTGGCATGGCGCCCCAGCTGGTTGAGAGGGCAGCTCCCATGATGAGCAGAGTTGTGGGAAATAAATTGAACAAAGAGCAAAAGGAATTCCAGGGGTCAAATAAGCTACTTAAACTACAGTGGGGAAAAAAACTAAAGTTTGCATTTCAGAGTTGCACAAAAAGTGATGTAACTTCCTAAACAGGAAAGCGGTCATGATTTCGCCACTGCATGCATAACTAGCAGTCTCTAAAGTTTATCTGTAGTTAGTCATGATATTCGGAATTAAACACTGGTATCCATCTGCTCTGATGCGGACTTGCGTCCCGTTTTTTCGGCCTTGAACGCTTCAATCTTCGCCTTGAGCTCGGTGTCTGTAGGAGTTAGCTATGTGTACCCAAAAAACTAAGTTCTTCATGATAAACGATCAGCTCTTACCAGCTATGATGTCCTCCATGGTTAATGGGACACGGTTAAATGGATCATTGGGGTCGCTAAGCAGATGTGATCGGATAGTAGCACGGTCCATTGTCATGCGGGAGCTGGGAAGGATGACTGGATCTTCCATCAGGGTGTACATGAGGGGATCTGGTAAAGTTAGCGTGTAATGCATAATAGAAGTCATGTTTGGGTCAAAAACATACCCAGGAACTCGTCGGGGATCTCGCCCAGGTCCTCCTCTGCTTGTTCATCGATGGCCTTGGCCTCCACAACCTTCTTCTGCAGTTGGGTCCAGCGCCTCAGCTCCTCTGGTGACTTGAGAGACCATTTGCGTAAAATCTCAGCCGCTTTGTCAAAGTTCGCTGGCTTATATGATCGGCCATCGCGAGCAACAGCAGTAATGAAATTATGTTTAGACATCAAGTTCAGATACACGTCGATAATCTCACTTAGAAGGGCACGGGGGTTGAATCCATATTCTTGAAGATTATCAACACGCAAGGTAGAGCTCTTCGGCCCCACCATAGCATCAAGGTTGTAGTCCAACATGTCAGCCAGACGTTGAACAATCTCCGGCATAGTGAAAGAATCAGCCAAGGCATCAGTGAAAAGCTTGAGCATCGAGACCGTCTCGTTAGTTAACTGCATGTAAGATTTCGCACTGCGTTGGGCATTTGCCAGTTTCTCTTCTTGCTCTTTTCGTGTGGTAGGATCCATTGTGTGGCCTTCTCGGGCCAATGCCTGCTGGGTGGTATTGATGGTCTTGAAAGCACCAAAGGACTCATCCAGCACGTAAGTCACATCGTTGAGAAGCAGATTCACAAACTGGACAAAGAAATCCAAGTTCTGGCTGGCTTGGATGGACAGCTTCTCCCGGTAAAGGGTATTGGGCCAAATGCACTTGATAATCTGGAAAATCTCATATCGAATATTGAACTTATCAAAGAACTGGGTGTGAGTGCCGGTGTGCTCTGCCTCAATGTAGAATTTCATAACGGCATGGAGAAGATTCTCATTGGCAAAGGACATGGAGTTGAGAAGATCGACCAAGACACCACGGGCACCTCCAGGGCGGTCCCATGTACCACGGAATAAGATGGAAACGAGTCCAGCCTTAAGGTATGGGTTCTTAACGTAGGTAGAACTCTCCAAGAAGGCAATGCACAGCATGACCAATTCATCTCCTTGGGTAGCAGTAATGATCTGTGGCAAACACCACATGATAAATTTGAAGTTGCTGACAATATCATCCAGGAAGTATTCAGGCAAGCATTTGAAAACCTCGGGTTGTTGCTCGGGTAGAGGCAGGCTGATTTTCTGTTTGGGGAAATCCACACCCGAGGCTAGTCGCAGGAGCCAGACTGTCACATAGCGCATGAAAAACATTGAGCGTGCTTGCCATTGGTCATCAAACAGTACACCTTGAAGACTGTACTTCAACGCCATCGCTCGGTCGACCTCGTTCTTGTACTTCTTCAGTGTTTGCTCAAACACTCGCATCTGTACTGGGTTTCCGGAGTACCGGTGCTCATCATTTTCAAATTGTGTGATGGCATTCTCCATATGTCGCACGTCCTTGTCAAGCTGTTCAAGCTTGGAGGTCAGCGATTCACTGCCATAGTGATGGGCGGCCACCGTCAAGAAAAAGATATCCGTGATAAAGTTGGTTGATCCCTCGGCCTTTTGCGCATAAAAGGCATCTGATTCATGCTGGTCTGCATTGATCTTGGTCTCGTCCCGCATGTCAACTCGGGGGTTCCGATGAAGATATTCTGCCTCAATGCGATGGATCTTGCTGAAGGAGGCGTCCATGAACGGCTCGCAAAGCTGGTCCAGACAAGTTGTGAGGTTGAACATGAACCCGTCCGAGGTAACCTCGTCGGTCTTGACCTGCATAGCTCGACGTTTATGGTTGATGTTCAAAACGGTTGCAAACCAGTCCAGCACTCGGTTTCTGGCGTCTGGTGAGGCACGAATCATGTGGTTAATAACATCCAGCAGGTCGGAGCTAATCAACTGCTGTGTCATTCGAAGAGACCGCTGCGCGTTCAAGATAGATGCTTGGTCCCGAGTCTTGGGGCTTGAGAAATATGACAATGGAATGTTGGGTTGCAACGGCGAAAGACTGAACCATGGCCCCAAAAGAGTGACCTTCTCAAACTGTGCTGGATCTGTTGACGAGTTGAAGATGGCCGATTCGGTAATTGCAGCAGCAATGTGTGAATGGCGAACAAGGTTTCGCAATGCCTGAAAGCAATGTTAGCACGAATATTCGTCTTTTTGGGTAACAAAGGGTCGACAAACCATAGAATAAGGCTTGTAATCATCATTAATGTCCATTTTAGATAGACCTGCACTGAGTTCCTCAACAGCAGCAATGAAAGCGGGCTTGATAGAGCTATCTTCAACACTGCCATCTTGATCTGGAACAGATCGCTTGACTGCCTCGCTAATGAATTCAAAGTCAACGCCTCTGTCGTCCTCTGGGTCCAACAGCAGGTATGGTGCCAGTGTGGAACGCTCTGGTGAATCAAGGCTGGAAATAAAAATTCAGTATCTTGTTCCTAAATGTAGGGCAATTCATGGAAACATACCCGAACATTTCTGGCATGGTAATTCCAAAAATGCAGTAACTCATGCAAAGCCGACGGGCCTCACAGAGGACCTGGAATTTAGGATCATCATCTGTTGTACGTCGGAATCCCTTATGCAACTTTGTGATCCGCTTCCAACATGGCAGGAGGTAGTCTAAGGGACGGCCTTTCTCGGCCTTGGAAGCAGCTTCTAAAAGTGCTTGGTCCAAAAACGCTGTGCGAAGGAGTAGTTCTTTACCTTCATTCTTCAGCTCTGCACGCAACCCAGGAAGATCAACTCTTTGACTGTACAGGTCTCGGGAGCCCTCCTCTTTCAATGTAAGTTTGAAGACAGCACTCAAAGTCCGGTCTTCGAATGTCTCAATAGTCTCCATTTTTGAGGGCGGAGGGGTCCCCGGTGTGGAGGGCGCAGTGGAGCGCGGTCGCTCCGGAGCAGGAGTAGTAGGTGTGATCTTGATCCTCTTTCCTTCAAAGCGCTGAGGGGTCTGTGCATTGGACGGTGATGCCGGACGTGATCCACTGATTGGCGAATGTGAGGGGGAGGAAATAGCGGAGTTCGGGGGAGAGTCTGATGAGCCGTCTCCAGAGGAGGGGACTGGGTTGGAAAGTTTCGCAAGGCGCTTATTGCGGATCTGCGCCGTGTAATCAAAACGTTCATTAGCGACCAGTGTAACGGAGGGTTGGCTTTGCAAGTTTCTGACGAACCTTATCCGCGTCAGAGAGTGCGTTTGACATGATGGTCTTAATGAAATTTTCGTGATAACACCACCTGACTCGTTGGAGGGAATTAGCTGGCGATGAAGCCGGCGAGGCGGTGCTTTTTCTTGTGTGTAAAAAATAAACGGCGCAAATAAACGGTATAGACGGATAGAAGTGTAGTGTCGACGACTAGGGGCGGTAAAACTGAGAAGATCAGATGAATATGTCGTATCGTCAAGGAATCAGTCCCGAAAAGGCGTGGAATTGAGCAAAACTCCGCCCAACATTGGTATGGAGGCTGGTGATCGAGTATTGCCCTGTTATCGGGTATAAGCGGTCACAAATGCGGGGAGATAGTTGTGAGGCCTGGATGTTCTGCCGTGATCGCACAGTTTCTCTGCAATCTTCGCTCGGGGATGATGCTCTTGACTAAGCATCTATACAATTCCAAGCTTTTCAACCAATGACAATTTCTATCCACATTCCATTTTCAATGTTGATATTTTCTATTCAAATCTTCTTTTTTTTTTTTTTTTTTTTACATAGAATTTTATCCTCGATATTAGAATGTTTTTTGTTCCATTTTAATGTTTTCAATAAACTTATGTGGATGCATTTGGGGGGGAAATATACATAGACAACCTTGGAAAGCGAAAAAACCTAACCCATCATTACATACTATAACACGCCATACGTCACGTATGGGCTACAGTATTGTCACTTCCAACAAGACCAAGAAGGCTTTAATGCAGAACCGCAAATCTCATACACTTAAATCTTTCCTCTAAGTGATTCCAACTTGCGGCATGCCTTCAACTCCATTCCTCGGGCCTCCTTCATCTTGTCCACATCAGGGAAGAACCATCCTTGCGCCTCTTGGATTTTCCGGTCTCGCAAATTCACCTCGCTCTCGCATTCAAATCGAAGCCCTGATACAAAATCAACTTCCACTCGCGAGTCCAGTTGTCGGAGTTTGCGGGGACTTAAGTCCTCCACATCTAGTGGATTAACAAAGTAGTTGATATTAAGCTTGGGAGTTGTGCGACCCATGGTGTGAGGTGGTTTGGCCGTATCATATCGGTAGGTGGGACCAGCTGGGGAAGATCCGGAGAAAAGGGACGAGAGGAGAGGAAGAATGAAAAGAATAAGCAGAGGCAGGATTTGGCGAAGAATAGACCATGCATCAGGAGGAGGTTGTGGCTGCCCTGAGTTGGTGGCACGAGGTCGTCGTCTCGGCGCAGCTCCTCCAAATTGGTGCACTCGGAACCCTGGGCCACCACCCATATTGAAGACGAACTGGGGACCTCCTGTCAAGATAAAGGGTATTAGTTATAACGTCGCATGAACCACAGATTATGCGAGAACCCGGGAACGTACCAAATCCACCACCAAACCCGCCGCCACCACCGCCGAAGAACCGATTGAACAGCTCCTCTGGGGAGATTTCGTCGTCGAATCCACCACCACCACGTCCAAACCCGCCGCCGCCAAATCCACCACCACCGCCAAACGGTGAGGCACCACCACCTGAGGAGGCGCTAGGACTAGGTTGAAATCTGCTGTCCGGATCTCCTCCAAACTTATCATAGCGAGACTTCTTATCGGAATCGGACAGAATTTGGAATGCGCGTGACACCACTGACGAGAGAGTAAAGATTAGAGAAGAAACTCAACCAACGCATATATCCGAATTCCCACTTACTCTTGAACGCCTCGTCCGCACCGTCATATCCGTTCTTATCCGGATGTGTCAACAAACTCTGTTTCCTGTATGCCTTCTTGATCTCGCTGTCTGTCGCCGTGCGCTCGATCAACAAAATCTCATAGAACGCCGTCGGGGTACATTTTCGAATTCGCAACACAGCGGCCTTCTGGTCGGGGGTGAATTTGCGGTCCTGATTGCCCTGATTATGTTCACGCGATCGCGCACCATCGCCTTTGGCGTCAGAGCCAGATGCTGTAGCGGACGGCATTGTGGGTAATGGAGGAAGGTGGGTTTGGGTGATCCGGCGAGGGGTGTGTGACGGTGCCGATGGGTGGCGTCAGATGCGAAAAAGGGGCGCCCGGCTCCCCAAAAAGGCAGACAGAGAAGTCACGCCTGAGTCAATACGTTTAGAAGCGTGGATTACGGCACTCGTAGGGTTTGGAGTGGAAATGCGGGCGATGAGGAGAACTCGGGGGGCGAAGCAGGAAAAAGTATAGTCTTAGGTGTCTTTGCCAAGCGGGAACGATATGCGCTTATCCGTTGGTTCGATAGACACAAATCTCCCCACAGCAACCAAATCCATATCTTCTCCATATTCACGTCCATTTCACACGACTCGACTGGAATTCGGTGGTGGAGAAAAAGTGAGAAATCATATCAAGGATCCGCTTATTCCGTCGATACCAACAAATCCACAATGTCGAAGGATTCGACCATCGAAGAGACGAAGCAGACGATCGTGCAACGCTTCAGAGCATGGGGTGGTAAGTAACTCTTTCGACCGAGCTTCAAGCTTCAATCCAAGTCACAATTAAGCTGTGCATGCATAGTTTAACTTTGCTAAACTCTTATTCACTCAGAAAACTCGTTCCCTCCTACCCTGCTCGCCTCGCTCATCACCGCGCAACATGCTCGCCCATTCCAGGTCTTCCCCATGCTTTTCACTCCCGTCCTCCTCTTCACCAGCTATGCCAACCTCCAAGGATTCAAGACCGATACCGCTGGTATCAGCGCTGCGTGGTCTGGCTTATACTTGCTTCTGGCCAGCCGCCGGCGCCAACCGATGACGAAGAAGTTTGGAGTTCGCGGCGTGGTGCGCGGTGGAACAATGGCTCTTTGCTTGGTGAATATGGTCGCCGGTGGACTTGCCTACACTCTTGGCAAGCGTGAGGATGGAGAGGATTCGTGAGAAAAGGTGACTTTGAGGGACAATTAAGCTTGTCCTTAGGGTGTACGATATATGTTCTTATAACAAAAAACGGTGGTTTGCATATCGGAGACGGGGATTCGAGGCGTTTATACAAGCATGCTTCCCAATTGACAATAATAAATTACATTGTTGCGTGGACAAGGGAGAAGGGACACCAAGAAAGTGCCCAGGTGTCACATGTATTGGTATCGAAATTAAGGCCAAGGTCAGTCCTCTATATAGCAGAGCCGAACTACAGAGAGCTCTCCGGTGAATATGGTTTCTCAAATAGTAAGAATTGGCGCACATTGTCCGGCACAAGCCACTCCAAGTCCTGACTTTCAGATTCAATCGCTTCGCGAGCTCTCGTCGAGCTAACCGACTTTTGCCCCGTTTTCCTCCCTTCAACCAGCGTAATTCTTTGCGCCCATTCTTTCATCCCACCCTCGCTCTCCCGGTCCCCGCGAGCAAGAGCGGCCAGGAAAGCTTCCTGGTCATCTATACTCCCCCACTCATCACTAGGTCTCAACGTCACCCGCAATCGATGTTGAGAAAAAAGCGGCGCCAGCGGCGCCAATGTATGTTCTGGCGGGTAATATTTCGGGTTAAAGATACGGATCAGTGTATCATAGCCCGTGAGATGGACCTGTTCAAGCGGAGTGGGATACATTCCCGAGGCCTCGATCGCCGAGGCTTTGTCAATGAAGTAGGGATTCTTAGTGACTCCAATGTCAATGGCAGGAATATGGTCTAGAGATGGAGCGTAACCCGGAGCTGCTGTGCTGGTAGCCAGATAGGAGCGTAGATCATGAGCGAATAACTCCATCATGGCGAGTCGGTCCTCGAACAGCGCTGGTTTTGAGGGCTTGTCTGCATTTTGGGTGGCGAGCAATAGCAACAACCTGGAGCTAGGCTCAAGTCGTTCTAGGAGTGCGGAGCTGGCAATGCGGAGATGTGCGCGAGTTGGTGGGTTGAATGATGAGTCTAGCACATATAGGACCTTTGGTGCGGGGGCCTCATTGGCGGGGATGGTTGCAAGGACTTCAAAGTCCCGGGTTGATGCGGTAAATCTTTTCAAAACTGATGCATACTGAGACCGCAAGCTGCGAAACGAGGCCATGGTCTATAGGTGGATGTTGTGATGCTTTGTGTAGAGGAGCTGATAGCCGGAGCCCGGAATGATGTTCGCTGCCGATAAAACACTGACCCGCTTTTTCGCATCTAACATGGTTAAGCCTGCCCCCAACCCCGGGCGCGGGGCCTCCGGGGTGGGTCGATCGCTTGCTGACATTCGGGAGGCTTAATACCCCCGAGTCCCCGACTCACCAACACAGGAGCCACCAATAGAAGCCCATATAATACAAAGCCTGCCGGCTTTGTCTAATGAATTAGTGTTGGAGGCAAGCTCATCCAAAGCACGAAGCCATGACGCAACCGCCTCCTCAGGCTAAGAGCCTCTGGGCACGGTCCCTGTACTGGACAATCTCTGTACTCGCATTCTCAATATTTTACAGAGCCTATGTGCACAATGTCCTCTTCGTCACGCTGGGTCTGGGACGCCAAGTCCAGCCCCTTGAAGATTTCCCATGGAAATGCACCCGGCAGTATGACCCTCTGCTGCAGGGCTGCGAGGATATGTGGCTGGACCACAACGACCGAAAACTGTACGCCGCGTGCTCGACTATCGAATCTCGTCAAGGGTGGACCCCCGGTGGAAACAAGTACGATCTCTCGGCGCGCAGTCTCAGCGATCATATCGCGGTATTGGATATTGATAACGTTGATCCCGAATCTGGCCTTTCAGTTCCACGTCAGTTGAAGATCGGAGGCTATGAGGGTGCATTGGATCTTCATGGGTTTGACGTGCGTCATATTGGATCTACGGTGCGGTTCTGGTTGATCAATCATAAACCTGCGGTCGACGCAGCTACAGGACAACCTTTGGACGCCTGGACTCACGGGGCGAATTCCACAGTGGAAATATTCGATTTGAACAAAATCACCGATACATTGGAGCACGTTCGCACTGTCTACAGTGATGCTATAATCTCGCCAAATAACCTCGCTGTTGATGCTGATGGTGTGGGATTTGTGATCACAAATGACCACAAGGGCAAGACTGGACGCTTTCGCGATCTGGAAATGCTATATGGCACTGGAAGCCTTACCTATTGCCGATCTGATACTGGGGAGTGCAATGTTGCTGCGAAAAGTGGTTTCCGCATGCCCAATGGAATTGCCAAGGGTCGGGACGGCCTCTACTACGTCGCCCACTCTGTAACAGGCCATGTCACCGTTCACAAACTCGAAGGTGATCAGTTGAAGCAAGTGGATACTATCCAGATGGGATATCCCGTGGATAACATCTCATTTGATGAAGATGGAAGCCTGATTGCTGCTGCTATACCGGATTCTTTCCAGTTTATGAAGTCTGCAGATCACCCACATGATATTGACGCCCCGGCCACTGTCTTAGCTACCCCCATCAAAGGGAAAGATGGAGAGTGGAAGGTCTTGAAGATTGTGGAGGATGCATTGGCCATAAAGCTACCTTCCTCAACAGTTGCCGTCCAAGATACACGAACAAGTCGTTTGTTTTTGGGAGGAGTGTTCGCTCCGTTTATTACCGTCTGTGAGAAACAGGAGCCTGTGTCTCCGGACGAGCATAGTAGATAATCCATGTCAGCCATTTCCGTTCTGCTCTGATAAAGCACTTGAGGACAAAATTCATTCAATTCTGGGCACTATACGAAAGGACTTCTGTCAGTGTTTCCACTGCCAAACCAGTACAATCGGAAGCCACAAATACACCATGTAAATAAGAGACGACGAATGATCAAGGCTAACTCCTGCACCCTCCATTCTCGCCGCCACTTGATGGCTAACAGATGAGTACTGGTCCTGTCCATATGACGCGTTTAGGGTGACATGGGCCGAGATTGTACCATCTTCCAGTCGAATCCAAGTTTCAACTTCATCAGCCAAACTTTCCTCGTTGAGAAGAATCTGCCTTCCACCACGTGCAGCACTTCCATAGCCTCCGTAACCGGTATGTCTACCATAACACATGTTGATCCCATTACCTGAAAGGTCCTGGGCAATGGTTTTGCCATCCCACTTAAAGCACCTAGTATGGCAGTTAGTATACACTAAAATCCACAAATACGGTCATTTCAAACGTACCAGTCATTCTCATGGTCATGCCCGCTGAACGTTGCCATCAGTCCCGAGGTATTCAAAAGCGCTTTCATAAATGTTGTGTCTTGTCCTGTGTAAGGTCCATCACCGGACCCTTGCTGAACGACGGTTTCTCCGTTGATACCAGGGGCAGTATGAGAATCTACTCCATTGTCTTGGTATGCTCGCATAGCATCGGCGGGGATATGATAGAAGGCCAATGATGGCACGACCTTTCCATATTTGTCCTTGAGATCGGAATTTGTCTGCGTGAACCAGTCGACGACCTACACAAGTCAGAAAATTCGATCTCAAATTAGATGAAACGATCGAATTTAACCTACCGATTGATCGACCCAGTCGGGTCTTACGATCGAATCGCGTTTTGATACTCGATTGGTTGGCTCGCGTCCACCCTTCGAGTCAAAGAACCATAACAAGAGCACAGGAGTATCACTTTCAGAACCACCATGAGAAAAAACCGGCAAGTAATAGTTGGTGATTCCAGCCTTTGAATCGGAGACCAAACTTTGCGTCAGGCTGTTCTGGTATTTCTTTTCCTGGTCGTATACGTCTTGCCGTGGGTCTAGATTCGGATTGCTGTCATGGTTTCCATATGTCGAGGCCCACAAATATCCACCCTTAACCAAAGGAGAGACAACTTGATCCAAATATTGGTTTGAATTAGAAGCTTGGGTAGCTTCGCCAGAGACCAAATCTCCATTTATAACCACAAGCTGCGGCTTCTCCTTGGATAGAACATAGTCCATTACCTTATTTGTAAGGAGATCTTTGTTGGCATCTAGAATTCCAGTTAGTGTCATTCCTACTAGTAGTTTACTTTGTTCTCCTGGGCCTTTTTACCTTCCGCAAAATGCAAGTCTTCAAAAACACTGATTTGAAACGTGCCATCCTTCGTCAACCGCAACGTCCGATCCGGCACAGAAACCTTGTGGTTCTGCACCGCTTCAACAGAGCGACCTAAAAATCTAGCCAACATGTTCGGGATACCAGCCATCCAAAATGCAAGGCACAGGCAGAGACATGCTAGGCTTTTTATTTCGCTGCGGCGCAACAGCGTCGCAGTCGCAGTCGCAGTCGCAGTCGCAGTCCGGACACCACGTGGAGCAGGAACATCTCGATTAGACTTGCGGTCCACCTCTCCCACGTCGCGAATTACTGTGGTACCAGACTTCTCGGGCCAATATTCGTCAGGAAGGACGAGTGGGTTTCCGGAAGCGGCGATGGGTTGAGAGTCCCAAGCGGTTGCGACTCGGTCGCCGGACAAGGGATTGTCGCCCATTATTCGGGAGTTCCTGACTTGTACTATGGTATTCTTGTCCGGATATTCAGAGATATCCAGCGGAGATCGAAGTTGAGGTGTGAAGTCGCATTCTTGTCGTATTTAGCTTGGCGGGTGCATGTGCCCATCCCCCGCTTTCTCGTTTCAGGGTCTGGAATGTGGGGATTTTGAGTTCGCTGATCTGTAAGCTAACCTGACCGTGGCGTAAAATTTGAATTGATGGAATGAAATATCATGCTTGTCGTTCGAGGTTCAATCTTTTTTTTTTGTCGACTTGGTGCACATGTGTCTGATTTACATATTGGTTCGGACTCTGTGAGATGGATACGAAGCAACTCGGCCAACATTCCAAAGGCAGTAATCGAGCCTCAGAGAATGCTGTGGGTGCAACACAGTGTCTTGGAAGGATAAAACATTTGCTAACATGAAACATTAAAGTGATGTTGCGAAAATGGCTTTCTCAAAGGAACACTGATGTCAGAGGCCCTAAAGCGCAACCACGTGTATTACAAAAATGGCATTCCAACATCCAGATGTCGGGAACGAATTCAAACGTCCTACGTATAAAGTTGGCTTGTCAATGAATGTTGTGTCATCATTACTAGTATCTCTTTACTAACTTGGTGTGGCTCATCAACCAGAAAATTGCTACTAGATTGGACCAAAATATTTCGAAACATAAAATGTAACTGCCTTATTTCCCTTCTGCGGCCGCAGCCTTCTCCTTCTCATCAATGGTCTTTGCAATAGCCGGACGAGCCTTGAGACGATTCAACCAGGAATTCAGATGAGGGAAGCTCTTCTCCAGATCCATTTCGCTCGACCAGAAGAGAACAGCTATCTCGAACCACGGCACAAAAGCAGCATCGACATAGCTGTACTTGCCGCCAACAAGGTACTCCTTGTTCTCGAGCGATCGGTTGAGCACGCCCGAAACACGACGAATCTCGTTCACATAACGCTCGACCGCAGTGGGCACCTTCTCAGGGTGGTAGACTACAAACCAGACGGCCTGGCCGAAGTACGGTCCTTGGCCGGACATCTGGAAGTGTAGCCACTGCTTGCTTTCATAGTACTCCTTCGAGCCGGTGGGGAAGCTGATGGTGTGTTGCTTGTCGTATGTGTCCACCAGATACTCGAGGATGGCGCCGGATTCCCAGATGGTGAGGCCGGTGTTTGGGTCCTCGAGAGCGGGAACGCGGCCGTTGGGATTGATGGATTCGTAGGCCTCTTTCTTAAGGTCGCTGGCATCGATTTTCTTCGTCTCGTAGGGGACCTTGAGCTCTTCCAAGATCATGAGGATCTTCCAGGGGTTGGGTGTACCAGCATGGCCCTTGAGGGTCCAGAGAGTGAGAGGTTTGAGAGACATAGCTAGTAGTCAAGGAACGGTTGATTGGGAGGAAGATAGTTCGACACAGTAACTGCAAGGGCCGTTGGTTAGTGTGTTTAAAAACACCGGTATACTTCAATAACATCAATAAATTATTCAGTTCGGCACCCGAGTAACAGCGTCGGCCGAGCGCTTGGTAAGCTGGATAGTTGGTTGTCTTTTGTCATCTTCATCGGCGTTTATTGCCCTTGCAAGTGGTTATCATTGATCAAAACAACACAAACTACTAGTACATATGATGCAAACAAACCCACTTTGTATAATCTTGGAACATTGAAGTTGTTTTGACTGACAAATTGCTTAGCTGACAAATAGTGAAGTATGGCATAACCGAATAACCTTGGCGCCGCATCCGAGCCATGATCCATGGATACGCTGGATACGCCATGGATAGACTGAAGCTTACTAGTAGTATGTTCCTCAAGTAAAGCATATCTATATAAGTAAGATGGTTATTGGCACATCTTCCAACGCAAGTTTTGTACTGAAATCTTTCAAGGTTCCGTTGAGGAGTGACTACCAAGTACATATAATATTTCCCATTTTCACATTTAATCGACCTAGCAACAAGCAATGGCAGCCAAGGCCCCTATCATACTCATCTTCGGCGCGGGCCCTAACATCGGCCAGTCCGTCGCTCGCAAATTTGCCTCGGAAGGTTACAAGGTCGCCCTCGCCGCTCGCTCTCTGGAGGAAGGCAATAGCACTGAGAAGCAACTGATCATCCCCAGCGACATCTCTAAGACCGAAGACATAGTCAATGCTTTCGCCAAAGTGAAGGAGGTATTTGGTATCCCTAGTGTCGTCGTCTACAATGGTGAAATATCGTCTCATTCCAAGGTTACAGTACCACCTTCGATTATCAATCAACTAACATGTTGTAGTTAGCGCTGTAACCTTCACACCTGCCGACGACCCTTTCGCTATCACTCTTGCCGACCTTAGTCGCGATACGACTATCAACGTTCACAGCGCCTTCGTCGCCGCCCAACAAGCCGTCTTGGGCTTTTCACAGCTTCCATCGTCAGCCGCAAGGACCTTCATTTATACTGGAAACTTCTTAAACGTTGGCATTATCCCGAAGTTTGTCACCCAGGGTATTGGGAAGTCTGGTGCAGCTCACATGATCTGGTCTGCTTCGGACGCGTACAAAGATCGTGGATATAAGTAAGTCTTTAATCATTACTTTGGGCCAGTAGAGAATGGCAGACTAATCGCGCGAAGATTCTACTATGCCGATGAACGGAAGGCAGACGGAACGCCCAAGTACCGTGTCGATGGTGGCGCACATGCTGATCTGTACTGGGAACTGGCACATGGTGAAACGCAGGGCCCGTGGTTGCAGACATTTGTTCATGGGCAGGGATATAAGCGGTTTGATGACTTATATACGCCTCTTGCCTGAGGTGTCACAGTGTCACTTGATGTCTACTGATGATGCAGTTAATGTAGGAAGTATGTGGCCCAACATGCAAGCAATAATATAATATTCAAGGTGTTGATCTCAAGCTATGTAAACATCAACGTTGGTTTCAGATGGCATATCTCACATCATAATACACTTGGTAGATGCCTTAATCTTCTCTTCATCGTTCTCAACCCCGAACATTGTCCCCCGCATAAGATACACTGATGACTAACCAGTCAGAACCCGTCAACTGGTGGATACATCCAAGGTTCTATGTAAGACTTGTTCTTCCCCAGTCCTTCGGTAATTAGAGGTCACTACAGAGAAACAATACGAGAAAAATTCTACTAATTCAGGAAAATATGTGGAAAGAAGAATAGATAGTATTCACATTCCGATTCTACCAAAACAATGTTGGTAGAAAGTAGTTCCGTCTCCAGGTCCCAATACCCCGAAAGATAAAGGGACGGGATCCGAAAAAATTGTTGAAATAATCGGCGCATTTGGCACCCATGTTGAAATCGTTAGTTAATGTTGAAACTCCGTAAACCCGCTTTTGGTGCCCTCTAATCAGCAAACCCCGTTGAAACCCGTATGTTGAACTTTTGGTATCATCGTCATAACTCATCATAAAAAAAAAAAAATGAAACAAAACTTCCCGTGCCAGGAGGCGGCAGGTTGATTGCCGCCCCATCAAATTAACACATTATGGGAAGTGAGAAAAAAGAAATTGGAAGTGTACAGATTTACTGCGCGTACTTCTGGCGGAAGAACTTGGCAGCGCCGACCATGTTGGTCAGGGCAACGCGAGTCTCCTTCCAAGCACGAGTCTTCAGACCGCAATCGGGGTTGACCCAAAGCTGATCGGCAGACAGGTGGACAAGCATCTCCTCAAGACGGTCCTTGATCTCCTGCTCGGAGGGGATACGAGGAGAGTGGATGTCGTAGACACCGGGTCCGATCTGAGCAGCGAACTTCTCGTCAACGAAGACCTTGAGGAGCTTGGCATCAGACTTGCTGTTCTCAATGGAGAGGACATCAGTGTCCAGCGCGGCAATGGCGTGGAAGAAGTCCTGGAACTCAGAGTAACAGAAGTGAGAGTGGATCTGGGTGGTATCGGCAACACCGGCGGTGGAGAGCTTGAAGGCATCGACGGCCCACTTGATGTAGCGCTCACGCTCGGTACCGGTGCGGAGGGGAAGACCCTCACGGAGGGCAGGCTCATCGACCTGGATGACCTTGACACCGGCGGCCTCAAGGTCAACGACCTCGTCACGCAGAGCAAGGGCGAGCTGCTGGGCCTGGATGGACTGGTGGACATCATCACGGGGGAAAGACCAGCGCAAGCAAGTGATGGGACCAGTGAGCATACCCTTCATGGGCTTGCTGGAGATGGAGACAGCGTACTTGGACTCCTTGACGGTCATGGGGGCAGGACGGCTGATGTCTCCAACAATGATGGGAGGACGAACGCAGCGAGAGCCGTAAGACTGGACCCAAGCGTGGGTGGTGAAGACGTAACCAGTGAGACGCTCACCGAAGTACTGGACCATGTCGTTACGCTCGGGCTCACCGTGGACAAAGACATCAAGGTCAAGCTCCTCCTGAATCTTAACAACCTCCTTGATCTCGTTCTCAATGAACTTCTCGTACTCCTCGGGAGTGATCTCACCCTTGGTGAACTGGTTGCGAACACGACGGATGTTCTGGGTCTGGGGGAAAGATCCAATGGTGGTGGTGGGGAAGAGAGGGAGCTTGATGTGCTCGTTCTGGGCAGCAATGCGAGTAGGGAAAGCAGACAGACGGTTGTGCATCTCAGCAGTGACGGCAGCCTGGCGGGCCTTGACAGTGGGGTCGTTGGTGCGCTTGGAGGTGGCGCGGGACTGCATGGACTTGGCGTTGGCCTCAAGCTCAGCGGTAACGGCAGCGGGGCCCTCGGTGACGGCCTTGGCAATGACAACAACTTCGGAAAGCTTCTGGACAGCGAAGCTGAACCAGTCACGGACCTCAGCATCGAGACCCTTCTCGGACTCGAGAGTGTGGGGGACGTGGAGCAGGGAGCTGGAGGTGGCAACAATGACACGGTCCTTGCCGAGCTTCTGGACGGCAGCCTCAACCTTCTCAATGGCGTTCTTGAAGTTGGTCTTCCAGATGTTACGGCCATCGACGACACCGGCAGAGAGAGTCTGCTTGGGGCCAAGGGCAGCGACAACGGCGTCGAGCTGCTCGGGGTTGCGGACAAGGTCCACGTGGATAGCGTGCACGTTCTGGAGGGAGGAGAGGACCTCAATGTTGTGGACAATGTCACCGAAGTAGGTGGCGAGGGTCAGGCGGGGAGCCTTGGCACCCAGGCTGGCAAGCTGCTCGTAGGCGGGCTTGAAAGCGGCCTTGGTCTCAGCGGCAAGGTCGAAGACGAGGACGGGCTCATCAATCTGAACATCCTCAGCACCGGCAGCCTTGAGCTGGCTCAGGAGCTCAACGTAGACGGGAAGGAGGTCAGCGAGCTTGGTGATGGGGTTGACGCTGGCACCACGGTCGGCCTTGGCAAGAGCCAAGAAGGAGACGGGACCCAGGACAACGGGGCGGGTGACAATGCCGGCGGCCTTGGCCTCAAGGAACTCGCGGACGGGCTTGGGGTCAGAAGCGAGCTTGAAGACCTGGTTGTCGGCCAAAGCAGGCTTAACGTAGTGGTAGTTGGAGTCGAACCACTTGACCATCTCAAGGGCAGGGACATCAACACCCTCCTTCTGGAGACCACGACCCATGGCGAAGTAGGTGTCGAGGGGGTCCAGGTTGTACTTGCTGTAGCGCTCGGGGATAACACCGAAGAGCTGGATGTGGTCAAGGACCTGATCGTAGAAAGCGAAGTCGTTGGAGGGGATAGAGTCAACACCAGCGTTCTTCTGGATGTTCCAGTGCTCCAAACGGAGACGCTTGCCCTCAGCGAGGAGGTCATCGCGGGAGATCTTGCCACCCCAGTAAGCTTCAGTGGCCTTCTTGAGGTCACGGAGCTTACCCATGCGGGGGAAACCGAGAACGGATCTGAAAAGAAGTGTTGTTAGTGACGATGAACGACATGAAGTGGTGAGACCGTGAGGGGTATAGAGGCGAGAAGACATACGATTGAACCATTCTGACGGATGTGTATGTGAAAAAAAGAGAAGAAAAGGGGTAGACGGGGTCTCTAGTAGATGAATTGAAAAAGAACCCGGAACCTTGAAGAGTTAAAAGAAAAAGAAGAAGGGAACGAGGGAAAAGGCGAGAAGAAAAGAAGAAAAATGGAGGGGGATCAGAGCGGGCCTAACCTCAATGGGATGGAGGGGCAGAAGGTGGCTTTTTCCTGACCGTACGTGGAGCGAAACAGGGGGTTAGTTTACTAGAGGGATCTACATGGGTCATTGAGCACGGTTCAATACTAAAGAGTAAAGGGAAGTAAGGGGGTGGGGTGTATTTTTGGGAGTGGATGGTAAATACAAGGTAACCCCGATGTTATTCCACCTTATTCCACTCCAGCGAAGTCAATTAGCAGTGATTTTAGTCAATTTTACACCGATGATGTTCTCCACTAGACGTAAGTTCACGTAACACGAGCATCTCCTCCGGGATCGGAGAATCACGGAGAATCACGCCATTTCAAGTCAACACGGGGTGATAAGCTTCTCCGATAACACTTTTTGTTTTTCTGTTTTTCTGCTTTTCAGCTTTTCAGCGTATATCCCATACCTCATGTGGATTCATTTTAATCTATTGCGGAATACAATGGATAAAAGTGGAATATTCCAACTTCCTCCATTTGCCTCCATTTGCCACTCAAGGGAAATGGGAAACTTTCCAAATGTTGTCTACAGTATGTCGGGGCAGAGGGGATTGCTCCGGATTTCAATTGCAGGAAAGGATCCAACATTCGTGGCTTGGTTGACCAATGATCCGGCTCGCAGATGGCATCGCACTGGGTTCGAGGCCATTCTTGGCCCGCAGAAATATCCCCCCAGCAAAAAAAAAAAACGCCGAGTCACCGACTCGACTCACCGGTCTTTGTCGGGGAACCGTTCGGAGGTTTACCTAGTAATCCCGGGGGAGGATTTTCCGACATGTGGATCATAGAAATTGTGCTAAGGAAAAACTCAAGGTAAATAGAATGAAATTTAGAGGCATAGAACGAGAAAACAAACATTAATATGGATAATTCACATATCTATCAAGCTTGAAGTTCGAAGGAAGCTGGCCCAAGTGTACATACTCCAAGGTTCCAGCATTGAAACGTGTACGTGGACACATGTGCATCAATTTTCAAAACTACCAGTTGACTGTAGTAGGTACATCCACACATGTGCATACTGCATACATATGTATTCGCTGTACTCTGTGCTCCGTACGATCAAGACCATACATACATAGCTTCTAACCTTAGAAGATGTTGGATGTACATCTGATATATCAGCCACCAGGGCACGTCCTGAAATCACGAGTCAGCACAATATATCTACCTGGATAGCTGAGACGAGACTCGGGAGAGATCCCAAGCCCACATGCACTCCTTACAGATCGAGCGCCTTCCAAAAGTAGCTTCTTTTCCAACCGCTGACTCCAATATGCTCCAAAGTTCAAGCCAGGAAGGAGCGAACAGGCCACCTTCCACATTATACCCAAAACAATACAATTTCATTCGCGTTCACGGACTCGTAGTGACAATGGTCTTCTCAATTAATTCTCACGGAAATGACGTTCCTCGTTTGCCCGCGTTGGCGAAGAGAGCGCTCTGCTTCGCCGTCAGGTGCTTACCCCTACGAGCAAGTTCAATCGGAGGTCCGACTCCCTCAACGTCACATGCAGGGTCAAGGTATGCTCTCCTGGGAACATCTGGAGGGGGCGCCCTGGAAGCAGACCACTGGGATTGCTGCTAACGGACACTCGCGGGGCTAGCAATCCCATTCATAAATGAATCCCAAAGAAATATTCCAGAAAGCTTCTCTCACAGACTTCGACGTCGACTTTCTCGAGATTCGAAGAGCTTAAGCGATATTCGAGAATATAAGAGATTTTTGCTTCCTTTCTCGCGAAAATCATCAAGATCCGCGTTCTCGAAGCCAAACCTAGACCCGACGGACCTAGGGTATTACGGAAACAGCTTGACCAGTGAACGAGGGTACGACAGTGATGCGCAGTATATTACAACACCAAGACATGATCCATTAGGAAGATTTCCTGCTAGTCGAGGATTCCGGCGACCGGAGCTGAGCGATTTGATTGAACAGAGTCAAGAGCGCTCGGAGGCTGAACGATGGGCTGTTTCCAACGGCCAGACAGTCACCGACTCGCAAGAATCTGCTTTTGGCATGCATTTTATTCCAACACCACCCGGCAGCTTGAGAGGTCCTCCGAGTACCTTCCACACAGCTCGTGATACCGATGAATCCAAATACCAGCCATCAACCCCCTCGCCTCTTAGGCTTGAGCGGTCCCAAGGAAGCTCTGGCATGAAAATGAAATTTGGAAGATCCTTACCATCTTTGTCTTCAATCAACGAGCCTGGGACTAAAGATTTTGAACAATCACCTGTTCTCAATGTCCCTGAAAACTCCAGCGGTCGGGATCTCATGTCGGACTGGAAACAGTTTATGAAAACAGGCCTAGACAAATATGGAATGGGGTCTTCAGGGTCAATACCCACTCCATCAGCAGATCTCGTGGTGCCCAAAACGAGACGGCCTTCTAACTCAGCCAGGTCATTTACTGACCCTCATTCACTGCATCTCAGTGAGCTGGGTATTTCGAATCGACTTATGACTCACTCCCAGTCATCTCAAGTAGCTACATGCAACCCGTCGATCACTGAGCTAGTTCAAAGGAATCGAGGCGGGTTTGGTAACTTTTCGCAGGAGAATGTCAAATCTCTCCAGTCAGGTGGTTCAACCATCTCTGCGAACGATACACCAAAAGATCCAAACGGCCAGAGAGATGCATCATCTTGTTACTCGCAAGCCAGCCCATCTTCAGGAACACTATCGATTGGAGGGTTGTCCCTCAAAAAGTTTACTAACAAATCCATTGAATCCAAACCAGCAATGCAAGAGATATCTAAACTCGGAAGCGAAGTTGTGAATGTTCCGGCTCCCCGCAACACGCTTCTCAGCAGATTTCAGGAACATTGTGACTCTGGCAGCTCTGACTCGCCTCAGTTCCAAAACCATGCCACCGGTCTAGTATCACCACGCAAAGTCAGTGTTGGTTGGATGTCTGGAGGCCGCCGAGTTGGTTACGGATATAGCGCAGTACCAGGCAAAGACGGGGGTTCTCCAAAAAAGGATAAACAAAGTCATCCACAGGTGTGTCAGGTGCCTGATTTAAAAGCTGATTTCACAACGGTCAATGGGGTCTATGATTCACCTCCAAGCCATCATCGACTAGAAAAGATCGCACGGTTGTCACCATCCCCCAGCCATCCACGGCCCCCTCTATACAATGCCCTCACTGGTCCCAGATCTATCAAGTCTACAAAATCAAACGCTGTTCTACCTCACTTTCGGGAAATCATGAATCGTTCCAGTCATGAACAGAATCCAATTATCAGTTCGACTGAAGACAGCTCAAGGGTTTTGTGCGCACCAGAATTGACGCCTACGGTACAGACAGAGTATTGTCAAGTCCCGCGAAGCTCTCATTATACCAACAAGGGAGCAGGCAGCGACACTATTGCACGCCAGTGGGCCCGCATGAGCCGATCTGTAAATACAAAACCTCGGACTCACACATACAAGCCAGGACTCGATGGAATGACTTATTCCGAAATGCTACAAGAAGGTCTTTTTTCGGTTGATCGCTCAGATGAGACTGAGGCGGAATACCTTGACGCAGAGAATCAAGACGATCAAGCTAATGTTCCTCAACATAATAACTTCCGAGCTTCTCGATGGGTGAACAAGTTCTCTAGGTACAGGGAGAGCAGGCGGCCGACCACACGCCAACAAGAACCTTCACATTCCCAGTCTTCCTCTGGTGGTTATCAGGATTGTGATTCAGCCAGTATCAGTCTCAAACGAGATACGTCTACGAGAGCCAACGCGACTGATGAATTGGATGATCTTGAAATGCCGGGTTCCTTTGAAGGCAGTCGTTGGGCAAGCCGAATAAGTCGGATGCTGTGAACCAGAAACAAGTGAGAGGGATAAAAAGGGATCAAGTTTATGTCCAAAGGTTCTTTAAAGACTATTGGCCGGTTTATATTGAGCACAGCAAATATTATTAACTCACAGGGAGAAATTGGGATTCGATTATAGATATGGATGTATTAGTGTTCCAACAGGAAAATGTCATTAATCGTACAAGAGGTATCAGATCCAGCGCCAGTTATTATACAAAGAAGTAACAATAGAAACCTTGTGGTAGCAAGTACAGCATAATGTAACATTTTACCGTCGCTGTCGCTTCGTATCCTTGTCACTGGCACCACTGAGTACGCTGGCAGACCGCTTGTGATTAGCATCACGCTTAGTGGGCGTTCCGTCAGCATCTCCCTCCTCGGCATCATTCTCGCCCTTCTCATCCTCATTCTCAGCCGCGCCCCCATTACCAGCAGTCGACTCTAGCATCCCATGCCCATCATCTGCCTCAGTCTTCACAGCCGGATGACCATTCTCAGGCGCAGACTTCTTCTCCCGTTCCGCCCTAGCGGCCTCCAAGACGCGGATCTCACTGTCGACTTTCTCGGCGACTTTGCGTGCGTCCAATAGTAGGTTAACGGACTGGATGAGGCGCTCGAATTCCTTGCATACGCGCTCTGTCGGCATGAACAGACGGACGGGAATCTCGAGTTCCGCAAGTGCTCCGGCCAATTTGAGGGTTTGCACGTTGGACTTCGCTTGTGTGAGTTTCTGGGCGCGATCGCTGCGGAATTGCACGCCCGCCGTGACGCGCTCGTGGTGGTGGACGCCGAAACGCGATTCTTCGGCTGGTGTGAGGGTGCGGATGGGCTGTTGTGTTTCGCGAACAGCGGTAGCGCCACCCTTTTTGTTTGCTGCTGCGGCGCCGGTCGTGGGTGTCTCGCCGCGGCTGACGCCGTTGTTGTTCGCCGTCGTGGGTGTTTGACCTGCCGGACTGGCGACGGCACCGCTTTCGGGTCCGAGGATGGAGCGACGCTTCTTGCTCTTGTCTGCTTGGAGGAGTGTTTGCAGGAGCTGTGAGAGGCCTTGGCTTGATTGGTAGGCTGCGGTGTTGCCGACGCTGATGGGGACTTCGAGGCGGGAGTAGAGTTCGCGGCGTTCTGTGATAAAGTTTTGCTCATTGCTTGTAATGCGCTTGAGCTCTTCGAGGAGCATCGCTTCTTCGCGAACTTCATCTGCTGTGCGGTTTATTTGTAGGGCGGCAAGTTCCTTGCGGTCTCTTTCGCGGTCTGGGTCGAACTTGAGCATCCGCTCGTGCACTTCGAATTCGGCTTCGGACATCTCGGATGGGGGGTGTTCGATCGCGAGAATAGTGGCTGCGACGAAGTAGTACCGCGATTTCATCTGCTCCATCGTTCGGTGGCGCTTGGCGGGTACGAGTGCGTTCACGTCGGCTTCAGAGTTGACGCGGGGTTGGTAGTCATAGCGATCCGCGACAATCACCCAGCGCAAATCGTATTCATGTGCCAGATCCATCAGATAGTCTGTCTCCTCGCGGTCCCAATCGTTGTGTTTCAAGGAGCGGTTGTATTCCTCTTCTGAGTATTTCTGGGGCACCCGTGCCTTGATGTTGTATTTGGCGAATGAGTATTCTTGCTCTAGAGGCTTAGGCGCTTCATCCTTGCCCTCATCCTTGCTCTCGCCATTTCCCTCTGTTTTATCCACATCCATTTGAGTTCCGTCGGGGACTGGTTGGCGTGCTGATTCATGTTTCCGTTGCCAGTGATTCAAGACCAAGCCATCGGAGCGCGCGTTGTTGGTAAAGGGGGTCATGCTCCTGGGCAGACAAACACGTATTAGCTCGTGTTCTGGGTCTTTCAAAGCTTCTATTCAACATACCATGGCCGCACTCGCAACTTGTTCATCCACTTTGGGCGCCCTTTGTACTTATTCTCGTTGATAGCGATAGGCGGCGCCCGTTCACCCAATAGCGCGTAAAGCTCTCGTGTGATACCCTCTAGATTTCATATCGTCAATATATTATCTCACTTCGGGTAAACGATGTCAACGAACCTGGTCTTTTCTCGACAACCTTCTGCTTCTTATGCGGTCTGGGCTGGCCCTCAGCGGGCAAGTCCAGCATGTCGCGCACATCGGCAGCAGCCATGGCTCTTTAATCCGGAGGTAATCAGATCAAACAAAGAAGGGGTACCAAAGGGTAAATTGGATCAAAAGAGATTAATAAGAATCTAAGCCAGAGTTAAATGATGATGAGCAAGTCGACAAATTGAAAATCGCGACGGACAAGGGAGAGTGACGAAAGAAGCAGGCGGTGTGGGGCCCGCGTGGATGCCAGGTTGTTGATTCTAGACAATTAGGGAGTTGCGAGTTCCCCATTCTAAGGACGTTAAGGTCTTAGGCTCTTTCACATATCCTAGCCATGGCTTTCACAGCTCCCTCGTCATGGCTTGCTGCCACTCTGGCCCTTTTCTCTTTCCTCTCTCTCCTCATTCCCACGAATGCCTTGTACTTCTACGTTGATGGCCGCCAAACAAAGTGCTTCTACGAGGACCTGCCCAAGGACACCCTGGTAGCAGGTATGATATCAGACCCCTCTCTCAGCAACTGAAATCGGCGTCGCAATCTTCAATTGTATTATCTATAAATTTCATATCAACTGACATTACCTCTAAATAATAGGTAACTTCGCAACCTATGTTGTCAACCCCCAAACCAACGTCTACGCCATCGACCACAACCTCCGCGTCCAGATCACTGTCGACGAGACCTTCGACAACGATCACCGCGTCGTCTCCAAGCGCGAACACCACTCCGGCCGCTTCACTTTCACCGCCGCCGATGCCGGCCAGCACAAGATCTGCTTCACGGCTGAGACCGATGTCCAGACCAGTGGTTGGTTGTCCAGCTCCCAGGGCGCAGTCAAGATTTCCCTGGATATGGCAATTGGCGAGACAAGCAAGATCGAGACCGAGGACAAGGACAAGATGAAGGATATTGTGCAGCGCGTTAAGGACCTCAACAGTCGCTTGCACGATATTCGGAGAGAGCAGGTGTACCAGCGGGTGCGTATACTTACCCTACCCACCCCCCTTTGCTGCTTTGAGAATACCCACCAAAGCGAAGAATGCAATTATCTTTATGTTGCAACTAGCTTGCAATGTCAATTTCTCCAAACTTTTGCTAATGAATTGCGATCTATAGGAACGTGAGGCCGAATTCCGTGACCAGTCCGAGACTACCAACTCTCGCGTTGTCCGCTGGACTCTCATCCAGTTGGCTGTTCTGTCTGTTGCGTGCGCTTGGCAGCTCTCGCACTTGCGGTCTTTCTTCATTAAGCAGAAGCTGACCTAAATAAGGTTGGACGTTTGGTTTAAAAAAGAAAATTGCCATTTTGAATGTCTTTTACAGCCCTTTTGCCTTAACTTAAACCCTGCATTTTGGTTTCCACATACACACGATTCGATTTCAGTTGCATGGATTGTTGGTTGCTTGTTCTTATCCGGGTATTCGTGATTCCTTCATTGGACAATATGGAACAGTGGTGTTAACAGAGAGGCGCTATGGTATGGCCATAGTATGTATCTCTATGAAGACAACATTTGGTTTACATCTCCCTAGGTAAAAGGAGCGTGGAGTGTCCGGAGCTGCTTGGTCAGCGCAATGTCGATTTTGATAATGGATGTAATGACAGCTTTATTTTTTCTTTCATATTTGTTCTTCTTAAATGTACTTGGTAACCTGATGAAAATGGTATGGACAGTTGAGTCCAGGGAAACACACGAACCCATAGAAGGTGGCGACAAATGCAAAAAAGGCCCATCCCCGGCGAAATATTGGGGTTCATCATTCATTATGTCCAGGGGCAAAAGATAATAAAAGAAATATAAGAATGCAAATGCCCAATATGCTGGTATATGGCAGGGAAGAGAAATGAAGGTTGGCCGAAAACAGATAACGCCATGTAAACAATGACGAGAGAAGACGTTTCCCTCGCCAAATGGCGTCAATCACCACCTGCAGTTGCAAGCAAGGTGGCTTGGGCCATGCAAATAAGAAATGAGAACACAAAGATTCTCTGGGTATATAACAGCCCCGAATGCAGGCCATAAAAAGGAAGATAAGTAGACATGTGCCAATTAGTCAAAATCGGGCTTTGTGTGTTTTTTTAGGTAGTCACCATCGGAACTGGGTCGCCAGGACTACCACAGAATCCGAGGATCAGTCGTTCAAGGTCGGAGAGTTTATATGGTTTTGTCATGTAACCCTTGATGCCCACCCTGGAGGCCCGGTTCAAAGCTTCATCGGTAACATCCGCGCTCACGGCAAGGACAGTAGGAGGCGGTGGCATACGGAGTGCGCCCATGTTGGCACTAGTACTGTCCACGTCCATTGGGTCAGAATTGTTCGGGGTGTCTGGAGAGGCATTTTTGGAACCAAAGGACTGGCTCTGTTGGGCATTATGCATCTGGAGAATCCGGGAAGTTGCCTCATAGCCGTCCATTTCAGGCATCCAAAGGTCCATGAGCACAATGTCAATAGGTTTGATCTCTGACGAGTCTGGCATTGTGGATTTGGCGGGAACTTCCACATCCACGAGTTTTGGGAATTCAGTTGAGAGCGTGGCGGGAGTAGTAGACGCAGAAAGAATCTCTTTCACGATTTGTACAGCTTCTCGGCCGTCGGCCGCTTCCAGAACGTCACGGTAGCCTAGCTTACGCAGCATGTTTACCAAAACACGCCGGTTAATCCGGTTGTCTTCTGCAACAAGGAAACGCAATGGGTATTTCTCCCCAAGTTTCTTGTCATATGAATCTCGACAGATAGCGCTTGGGTTGAGTTGAGGTCTCGTCAAAACTCGAGGCGGGCTCGGGCTCTGTGATTTTTCATCTGAGGTGCTAGGAGTTGGCTGCTGAAGTTGCTGGTTTTGCAGATGAGATGGCGAGCTTGCTAGTGTGGGTTCCCAGACGAAGCTACTCCCACTACCGGTCCGCGTATGTTCGGTGAAGAACGGCGGGGTCATGGTTCGGTCGTTGGGTGTCCCAGGACCACACAGGGCCTCGCGTTGGTTCACAGGTACCCGGATCTGGAATTCCGAGCCATGATCAGGACCAGTGGTAGATGAACGAACACAAATCAGATCGCCTCCCATCTTCCGCGAAAGACCCTTGGCCACAAGAAGACCCAGTCCCAAGCCGTCTTTACTCCGGGTTGTCGAGGCGTCTTCGCGTGCGAAAGGCTTGAAAAGATTGGGTAAGAATGCCTCGGGAATACCTGGGCCGGTGTCACGCACACGAATCAAGACGTCATTGTTCCTGGCGTCGATGGTCGCACAGACAGTGATCGTGCCATTGTTAGTGAATTTGATAGCATTCAAAAACACGCAGGATATCAACTTGGCCAAGTCTCTGTCATCGGCTAGGAGCGTATCAGGCAACGCTGGGTCAACGGACCAATCCACGGTCTTTGTACGCATTTCACCATTTGAAGATCTGGATCGAATTTCGATCTTTTCCCCAAACTCAGTCGCATTGCTCTCGGCAGAATCGGGGCGGCCGCCAACGTGCAGAGATTCGTTAATGACTAAACGAAGCAGGTCTCGTAATCTGGTGAAGCGCAGAGCTGGACCACGAAGGTTCATATTAATACCTTCTATAAGCAGATGCGGGGCACATCGACGGGTCGCAATAGACGGTTGTGGATCTACCATGTTGGCCATGACTTCCTCAATCTGGCGGGCAGGGGTGGTGGCATGGACGATTTGATCACTTTCATGGACAGCATTTTTAACTTCTTCGCTGCGGGGAGACAGTTCCTGCCGTGAAGACGCTGCACGAACTCTCTGCCTGCGAACCGGGCGTGATGAACATGATGCCATATCCAGGGGAAGACTCCGTCTTCGTTTGTATGGATTTACAGCAATGTTGCTTCCTTCAATAAAAACGGTTGGTCGACTTTCGGCAAACTCGCCTGGCGGAGGCACATCCGGGAAAAAGCCGTTTTCTTCCTCTCGTTGCGGTGTAGGCGTTTTGGGGACTTGCATATTGAGGTCGTAGGCGTGAACAACATTATCGGCCGCTTCGACGGCACGCCGTGCGCTGTCCTGGACCATCTCGATACCTTCTTTGAGAGCCTGGAAGATTCCACCGGACTTGACAGGTGTCTTGCTTTCTATGGCCTCCCGCACTGTGGCATGCATCACGTCAAGCATACCTACCACACCTTGCATTGGGGTTCGTAATTCATGGGATAGACTTCGAGCGTAGGGTTTGAGGGGCTGTGAGTTAAAATCAGGGGTCCCAGGGAGAGGAACCGTCGCTGTATTTTGAACAAATGGCGGAATTGGCGGAAATGCGCAGCTCTCCTGCTCCGGAAAGACGTCGTCCTGTAACAACTGCCGAACGATCATGTCCTCCAGCGAATGTAAAACCACCTCCAGAAACGACCATGACAAATTTCGATTACGGATACCCTCCATCGACCACATCAAGCCGAGATGCGCCAGGCATTTACCAGCGGAGAAAAGTGGGATGGCCAGATACGCCTCGGCTGGGAAGGGTAGCTGATCGTCACCGAAGGACACCAATGATTTCAGGTTTTCGGGAATCAGACATGGTCTTTCATGATCCATATGTAGTAAAGGATTTCCACCTGCGAAATACCGGTTTCGCTGTAGTCCGACGTTCTGGTAGCCGTCGTTGTAGTAAAAGACCGCACCGAAGAGTGACGCCCGGCGCCCGCCCAGTTCGGACATGGGCTCCCCACCGTGTACCCGACGAGCGACAAAACCATATTGTGCTTTGCTGATCGATGTAATATCCTCCATGAGCCGTTTCCAGAACAGTTCGGTGTCGGATGTCCTCAAACCCTGCTTGAGTGTGACCAAATGTTCGATGGCGGCAGATTGGTCGGCATCGTGCCAGCTTCGGCCTGACGCGTCGAATTGAATATCCCCATCTTCCGGTACTATGGCGAGTCCTTCTTTAAGGCATTCGGATTTGCAAGAGGGAAATGGCATGGCGGAACGAGAATGAAGAGTGTTTGGGGCATCTGGCTCGGGCGAGTCGGTCATGATCCATGTGGGATTTTTGGAGGATAAGAAGGTTGCGATGCTCTGGGTGTGTGTCTCTCTCTCGCTCTCTTTGTTTTTTGGTGAATGATCTCTATCTGGGTAGGACACACACCATGGCCCTTTGCAAGAACACGGTGTATTTCCAGGTGACGAATTTTGGAGAAGCGAGTAGGCTTTGGTGTAAGGGAGGGGAATCAGGAGGGGATTTTCCACTGGGGCCACCGGGCGGTCTAGACAACAATGGTAGTTTACTCAGGCTGAAACAGGAGGTTTTCGTGGGTCAGGGACAAGGGCAAACACTATAACTCCAATCTTTCCATATACTTTAAATTTGCCCTTCTTTCCCCTATGCCAAAGAATCAATCTACTTGCATTTTTTCCCGTTTTTTTTTTTTCCCTTTGCACCGTCTGCATCTCTCTCTTCTGTTTCGCTCAGCGGAGACGCACGGAGAACCGTCCTGCACGATCGGCGGATCTAGACCGAGCGCCGTGCATCGGTACCGGGTACCTATGCGACCAAAGCATGGGGCACAAAAGGGCTTGTACTGAGTACAAGCAATGCATGAACACCCTCGTCAAAGGATCAATCTCGCCAATCCAACCACTCGGTGGCTTGAATTCCCCGAGATTGCGGCGTGGGGATCGATCATCTCTGTTTTTTTACACTGCCAAAGTACCAGATACTCCGCTCCAGCTGTACAACATAAGGGGGCCATTTATCGGGAGCCCCATCACAGACCCTTACCTTTCTACCTTGATCGATGATCATCATTTATTTCTTGAGCAAGGATCTGTCTGAGATCCCGAAATTAATATCCGATATCCGAGGCTCGTGGATCGTGGCCTCCATGGCTGTTTTTTTTTGTCTCACCTGCACCTTCAGCTCTCTTTGAATTCCGACCTTGCGGGGCTTTTGATCTGGTCTAGTCGATATCTCAATCCCGCTAAACCAGAACGCACACTAATCAATCGAAGCGGCACAGGATGATCCAACTATTGGACGGAAAATGGAACCGAGTACCGAGTAGGCATAAGAAGTGTAAAAAGCACACACGGAGTAGCTGTTTTAGTTATAAACGGCCTGGTTGATTGATCTAGTATCCACTAATATCGTAGGCCTTCGCTCCACTGTGTCACCTGAGCACTTGTGTGGGCACCCGATGTGCGGAGTTCCGACGCAAGATACAGATATGGACAGATGCATCTCTCCCTGTAAATTTATACGAGGTCCCCATGGATTTACTATGCGCTTTCCAACTTACGATCTTTCCTTTTGGTTTGTGCCACCTCCAACGTTTCTTTCTCCTGGTCTTTGGTCAACCACCAGCAGGCAATATTAGCTCCAATGGCTGCTATGACACCTGCCAATGCAATGCCAAAGCTGTTTTTGTACCGGTTGTAAGCCCACTTTGACTGAAACAACTGCGGGCCGATAACGCCACCGATCTGGCCGAAGGAGTTCTGGAGACCCCAGGCGAAGGCCGTACCCGTGGCGCCCGTCATGGTAACCGAGCGCCAGGAGATGAAGGGAATGTAATAGATAGTAACGAAGAAAGTTCCTAGCATGCACGCGACGTACAACCCAGCGGGCGCTGACACGGTGAAGAAAAGGATAAACGACACGATGATCCCAGTATTGTATACCCTACAAGAAGTCAGCTTTGGCATAATGATTGAAAGAGAAATGTGTAGTGTACATCAGCTGAATAGGTCTGGAGATTACGGCCAGTCGCAAGATAGTCGATCCCAGTATGACACCAATAATACCTGCTGCGGCCGGTGGGATGTTGAGTAGCTGGTTTTTCGGCAGGCTAGTGAAGCCGAAACTGGTTGTGAGAGTTGGTAAGTACCATTGCAACGCATACATGCCAAGATTGATGAGCATCTGGGAGAAAGTGAACGACCATTGGATGGGCGACTTAAGTGTGGCGATCACTTCTTGCGTACTGAAGGCTGGGTCAGCCGCCTTGGGGGCAAGATCTCCCAGTCGGGCCTCGAGGTAATCCTGTTCGCGCTGACTGAGCCATTTATTGCTCCTAGGTGACTTTGGATAATCTGGTAGCACGAGATATATGACACCGGAGAAGAGTACCGTGATGATACCCTCGATAATGAACACCCTATTGACCAACATAATTAGTACTATTCCGTGTATTAATATTGAGTAGAATGTCGTTTACCATCGCCATGCGCTCAAACCTTGGATACCATCCATATAGCTAATTCCATAACAGAGTAGCGAGCTCACAATAGATGAGCATTGCGATATCCCCAGCAGCCACGCGACTGGACGAGCCATCTCATGGCTAGGATACCACGAGTTTAATTGTGTCAAGATGCCCGGGTAAGACCCCGTTTCAAGAATCGCCAGCAGAAAGCGCAAGGCAAGTAGTCCCTGGCGGTTCTGCACAGCAGCCTGGCAGCCCAGCACAATGCCCCAGGATAGGAAGATACGCGTTTGCCATAGCCGAGGAGTCACCTTTTTTAAAAGAAGATTGCTCGGTGTCTCGAAGATGATATACGCGATCTGTGATTCTTAGTGAAATTGAAGGTAAAAGTCAGACATCTGAAAATAAAGAGACACATACTGTGAATACTGAGGATACCCAGTTATACTGATTGGCAGACATTTGAAGCTCATTGAGGATGTTTGAAGGCTGCCCTTCCTGGAGGACTTTGATGCTGGATACATTGTTCGAATCGACCTGTTGATGTATTCCAAGGTTAGTTGGGTCAAAGACAGGAACCGAAGGAATTAATTACAAGTTTAACCATATACATCAGGCCTATCAGCACGAAAAATCGTTTGTCCACCTTCTGTCGCACGCGTTTTTCTTCCTCTGGACTAAAACTGGCTAGAAACTCTTCCCGATCCGTTGGAGTTGCTTTCACAACGGGAGTCTTGGAGATATCGATCTCATTCATACTAGTAGTCATTTGTTTTCTTTTTGATAATTTCACAATCGACTCTGATATTGAGTACATCCCTTCCGAAGTAATCCCTTTATATGCATAGACCAATAGCGACATCCTAACTAGTATGATGCTATGAGAGAACCAATGATGCCATAACAACTATTATTACGATCCCTTTTCTTTGGACTTCCAAGGTTATGGGATTACTGTGAATGGTATGGTCTATTTATTGTTCTTGTAATGATGGTATCTGCTAATCAATTGATTGATTTGGTTGCCAATCTTACCTCCAAATGGAAGCACTCCGAAGTCTTGAACATGTATTATCGAGAATATTTGAAAGAGGGGTTTATTTATACCATAGCCCAGGTGTCTCTCATTGCTAATAGAAGTTGAATGTCTTTTTACATCTGTTCCGGTCAAGCCCATTGGAGGAAATTCTAAGCTTATTTTAGAGTTGGGACTTGGGTCCTTTCCAGATGTCCAAGATTGATATTCAATGTTTGATTGGACACAACTGAGGTGTCTACTACTAGTAATCAAAACGATCATCTACCTTGATGACTTCGTTCTGCAAGTTCAAATGTCCCTCTATTAGCACCTACCTAGGTACAGTAGATTCTCTGAAGCCTGAAGCCTATTTATGTATATCAAAGGCGCTAACCTTGATTGCTGACATGATGGGTCATCACGTCAGATGAACTAGGCCAAGAAGACGCCCTTTGGCTAGCCTATGTGATCAGGAATCTTCGGTCAATCTCCGGTGAGTCCAAACTAAACTACAATCAATCACAGCATGAGTCTAGAGCACTCTCTCCGGTCAAAGAACGGATTCCAGTCACAGGAGTATGCATCTGGTCTAATGAAGTTTGTTCCGGAATTCCGATATTTTGAACATTCCAATATGCAAACATAGTACAATCATATGGGGTCTCTACTAGGTACCACCTGGGTAAAAATTGATCTGCACGGAAACAGGACTTACAAGAGTCGGAGCAATGCCTAGGTGGACATGTGCTACCCTCAATTGCATATTGAGTCCCACGACCCCGCACGTACGCCAGTTGTGACACCGAGGTTGAGCCGCCAATCACGGTTTAGTCGATCTAAGCAGGATTAACGTCCAGATGAAACTCAATGCAAGCAAGAAACCTCGGAAGCAACCTGTCCATACCAAGCCAGTTATTTACCTACTGAGGTGCACATATACATACATAGTGTGTCAATTTCAATCTTGAAAGTCGAGATTTTGAAACCTTGACGAAAAGACAGGGCAGGAAACGACAAAAAAAAGCCCAAGACATGGCTACCATCACACCTTTTACGATAGCCGTTTCTGACAAGCAAATTGCCCAGCTCAATCAAAAGCTGGAGCAAGCAACTTTCCCTGATGAACTTGATGATGTGGGTTGGGATATGGGTGTTCCACTGTCTGATATGAAGCGACTGGTTATTACCTGGCGTGAGAAGTTTGACTGGCGCGCCCAGGAAAAGAAGCTCAACGAGCAACTCAGTCAATTTACAGTGCCTGTCTCTGTGGATGACTTTGGGGTCTTGGAAGTTCATTTTCTGCATCATCGATCTGGGAATCCGCGCGCCGTTCCATTACTGTTTATACATGGATGTACGCGCCCTTCCTCCATCAGTTTGATGTAATAACTATCATCCATTAATCGCACATTTTAGGGCCTGGAAGTTTTCTCGAAGCAACCAAGTTGATTCCGTTGCTCACAAAGGACGATGGGGGCCCCGTATTTGATGTCGTGGCGCCTTCACTTCCTAACTACGGATTTTCAGAGGGGGTGCATAAGGTAATTCATCCAAGACCCCGGAGTCTACTAAGCTAATCAGTAGCTGAATCGTGCTTTAGAGAGGATTCGGCTTGGCTCAATATGGCGAAACCGTTCACAAAGTCATGATAGCTCTAGGTTATGACCAATATGGTAATTAACATACGCCCGCCCGGCAGACATCTTCAAATGTTCTCTTCGATATTCACTTAAAAGCTAACTCCCACCAGTCATCCAAGGAGGAGATTGGGGCAGTGCTCTCGCCCGCACAATGGCAACCTACTACTCCAAACATATCCAGGCCATCCACCTGAACACCATCCCTGTATCTCCGCCCTACCCTTGGCGAAGCCCACTCCGCTTCCTCCAATCCCTCGTCAGCGTCCCATTTTCAGCCAAGGATCGGGCATACATCGGCCGCACGATTGAGTACGTGACCAGAGGCAGCGCATACATGGTACAGCAGGGGACTAGGCCACAGACCCTCGGGTACGGGCTCCACGACAGTCCTGTTGCACTCCTGGCGTGGATATACGATAAACTGCACTCGTGGTCGGATGAATATCCATGGACAGACGAGGAGATCTTGACGTGGGTTAGTTTGTATTACTTTTCGCGCGCGGGGCCGACGGCTTCGATTAGAATTTACTATGAATCTTTGGCGCAAAAGCCAGAGACGGTGACAAATTGGATGGGTATGCCCCAGATGCTTGATGCTCGAGCGCCAGCGAATGTGCGGTTTGCGGTGATGCAGTCTAAAGAAGAGATTATCCAATGGCCCATGGCATGGTATCGAGCTATTGGCAATGTGGTTAAGGAAACGGAGTATGGACGTGGGGGTCATTTTGCGGCTTGGGAAGTGCCTGAGTTTGTTGCGGGTGATTTGAAAGAGTTTCTAGGCAAAGATGGGGCAGCTTATGCGGCGGTGGAAGACAAAGACGGGTATTGATTCACTCCTAGGAGTCAGTAGGGTATATTTATAGGGTTCCGATTTCAGGGGTTTATATCATGAATAGTATGCGACACTGCAGTGACATTGACATCAATGACGGGGCTTATATTATCGTGATAGGAGGGAGAAGTATAGAGTTGCAACCAACGCTATCTTGTAGCTTGAAATGTCAGCCCTGTCTTTTGTCACTGGTATGGCAATCCCTTCCAGGCCGTCCATGGCACCCCGTCATCTAGAGAAAACCGCAGACGCCATACTCTGTCTTGAATCCGACAAAGCCCAAAATAATCAGCTCGAACATCCTTGATCGTGACCCTCTTTAATCCTGTCGTCCCTTGAGTAGTCTCTGGGTGACCTTGTCTTTCTCAATAATCCAGACCTGCGCACCCCAGCCTGATAAGGCATCTCGATCAACAGCCGCCAGCAGGGCTTGGGAGATGGTCTCGAAGAGGTCTTCGGCTTCCTTTATAGTGCCACAACATTAGCTCGGCATAATCAAAGAGCGACAGACGCGTATAAAATAACATACCATATCCGGCTCCCACAGACCCTCGCAGGTACCAAACAGCTGCTCGCTAGCAGTTCCGCTAACAATGAAGTCCTTGGCAAAATCGATACAGCCAATGCTGTCAAATCCACAGATGAACGGTTTTCCGGTTGTCTCGTTAATACCAGCCAATACAGGGCTGACAAAGAAAGGACCGAAACGCTTCTCATACAAGGATGAGCTGACCAGGTTGGCCAAAGTCTGGGGTGCGATATTGCGTTCTTCACGCAGGCGGTACATGTTGACCTTGTAGCGGAGAAGATCGGACACGGTATTGACGTCGGTAGCAAGACCAGTTAGGCCGAGGTAGGTGGACGGGGCGTAGTTGAAGACCTTGGGGAAGTTGTTGGAGATGGTCAGGGCTTGCATGCCCAAGCGTAGGTCGCAGGCGATGGCGACACAATCCTTGCCCACCATGGCGACGCAGGCACCACCATCTAAGAAGGTCGTTAGCTTATCGAAAGATGAATCGTCACTGGGAAAAGCCTGGTCGTACTGATGTCGAAGGGAGAGCCCTGGTGATGCGAAGGAGGTTAGCTTCAAGGTCCAGCGGTTAGCAAATGGGACAAGGGGACCATTTCCATACCATTATTGCGGATTTCTTTTATTCAATTTAGAATGGAGTTGTTTTTCTGGAGCTCTTGAGAAAGCAACGGGTGGTTAAAGGACGACTGAGAGGGAATGGGGAGGGTGGGTGATGGGAGAGAGGTGTTGATGACGGGGAGCTGTTGAGGTGCGCGAGCTCGGATGACGCTGCCGCACCGCTGCCTGTTTCGTCTGTGCCCTTGACCTTCGACTACTTTCTTCCATTCCGCTTCAACACATTTTCCCCTCTCTCAAGCACGTTTCTGTTTATGATTTGATCATTTGGTCCTTGGTGTATATTGCTTCCACTCTTTTTGATTTTATTCCTCACCGAATCCTTACGAGCTCTCTCACAGCTATTCAACATTCCCCGCCCGCGCAAGCATGAGCGCCCACGTCGTGGTAATCGATGCCACAGCGAAGCGGGCAACAATCAAGACAACACCGGCCAAACATTTGACAGACATTTTACAAGAAGCATGCTCAAAACTTGGATACAACGCAAACCAATATGGCCTTAAGTGCGCTTCCATAAACCCCACCAAACGTATCATGATGCTGACCTATCACTTTCCCCAGGCACAATCGCAAACAACTGGACCTTTCCCTCTCTTTCCGGCTTTCAGGCCTTAGCTCCGGTGCAAAGCTGGAGCTTGTCCAAGCATCTCGCTCTCCCTCTGTCGTTACAGTTGGTCTCCAATTGCCAGAATCCGAAGCTCATGGTGCTCCCAATGGACGCATACTAGACAAGTTCCCAAGCACTACCACACTTTGGCTTATGTTGCGCAAGTTTGAAGCGGGTGTGGCAGGAAGTGGACAAGTACGAAATCTTACGGCGCGTGGGGTACCTTCTACGACCGACGGCGAGTCTGGTTCTGGGCGGTTATTCTACGAGATCCCCGTTCTCCGGATTTTGGAGCGCGAATTGTCCAGCTTCACAGATTTACAAAAATCACTTGCACAGCTGGGCTTCAATAACGGCAGCGTATTGATTCGACTCGGCTTTCGACGAACGGAAGAGCCACTCGAGGAAGCGATGGTGAAGATTGGGGAATACTTCAAGTCAACTGGGGATGATACACCAATGCAAGCACAAATTCAAGCTCCCTCGGTTCCTACTCCGGAAGGCAACACCGAACAACCAGAACAAGAAACTGCCAGCGAACCATCTGCCCCAAATACTGTGTCCGCAGCAGTTCCTGAGCAACCATCGCCGACATCTACCCGATCTGTAACCGTCTTCTCCCCTCCATCCGCCGACACGCCGTTCTCCGCACAGGCACCATACAATGAAGAAGACTACATCCCCTCTATTGAGCACGCGACAGCCCACCAACGTCAACTTAATGAGTCCTCTCGTCCAAAGCGCCTACCGACAGATGCCGAAATCGCCGCCAAAGCCGCCGCAGAGGAACAACGCCGCGCAGATATCCGTGAAGTAGACGTGAAAATTCGCTTTCCAGACCAGAGCCAGGTTGTTGCCAAATTTGGCCCTTCGGATACTGGCCAGACTCTCTATGACTTCGTGCGTAGCTGCCTGGTACCCACATACGCAGAAGTGAAATTTGCCTTGAACGCTTTCGCTAGCACAACACCAGCTCGCGCCGGACATGCGAATGTTATTCCAGAAAACCAGACCCTTTTGATCAAGGGTCTTAGGCTGGAAGGAAGAGTTCTTGTCAACTTTACTTGGGCTGATAATGCAAGCTCTGCCACGCATCAGCAGCGGACGGATATCTTGCGGCCGGACCTCCGCAGTCAGGCTCAGGAGCTTAAGGTTGAACAAATACCTGATCCTGTGCAGGAGTCTGTAAAGGCACCGACAGAAGCAGGCCCTAGTGGCAGTGCAGACGCAAGTAAATCTGGAGGAAAGAAGAGTGGAGGTGTGCCTAAGTGGCTGAAATTGCCTGGCAAGAAATGAAATGGACTGAATGACCTTTGCATGAGTAATGCATAATGTGAATGAACATTCTATGGCTTGATTTGAATTCAAATGTTGGGATTTCGATCGATTTCAATGTTCGCCGATGTATCGCTTTCCTATAGCAATATTTGAATAGAACTTCCAACGTTGAAGGTTATTATTATGAGATAACGGTGTACATATGTATGCACATACTAAGTAGTATCTCCACGTAGGTACTACCTCGTTAGTACTAGGCATGGACCTTTGAATGACCTGGAGCCCTCGGGCCATTTAAACGAGGTTCAGCACTGCACCCTAAGTGAGCATACCGTACATACATTACTATCTACCTAGATTAACATTGGTCATTCCAAGATTCTAAATCACTTGCACAAGTACATAGCCCCAGTTGCCGGGAAATTGCCCTGGCCTGTCGTCTACCTGGGCAAGCCCTTTCGATTTCCAAGGATGTTGAATCAAACCTGCTCATGTGCGTAGTACGTACTAGTAGGTATAAGGGCTACTATATGTAGTAGGTGCATATGTATCAATCTTGCCCTCGGGACCTCGGCCCTGGTGCCCAGGTGTTTAAGCTCAAGTGCTGCCACCTGGGCAGTTTCAAGGTTGACGGAGCACGAAACAATTTCCAGTGCACAAACTAATTTTATTTCAGGAAAGCCACGCGTATATGCCTACATCTACAAAAGAACGATGTGAAGTCGTCAATTGAATTGGAACAAAATTTTCATTATGGTTTCTCTTCCTAGAGGGGAAGGGATCCCACTTTTGCCATCCCCATCATCCACCGGTAGTCACAAATAAAAAACCCCGTGGTCCGAATCCGCAAGAGCCATACGCTATTTAGCAGTACTTGTTGATAAAGCAGCCAGCGTGGGGATGAAACAAGACTCGGGAAGTTTCATTTTTTTCATTCGTTGCGCGCGCCAGGTATTCAAGTCGTTAAAACGAAGGAGAAAAAGGGTTCACGGTAGTGAGAATTTAGTGACCCTGGACACGGCGAGACTCGGCGATGACCTTCTGCATGTCCTCAACCTTTCTCTTACCGCGGGTGAATGTGCCGAGCTAAAGAGAAGATACATGTTAGTTTCGGTTTTATGGACAGAATTGTGCCAAGGACCCGAGAATTCGATGATTGGATGTAGGTCTTGAGAATGGCATTGGGGCTGAAATAGAGGGCTTGCAGATTGGATGCGCAAAATGTGCTGTACCAAGGTTGAACAAAATCTGTCTTGGGTGGCAAATTTGCAAAACATATCATGCTGTTTCCCTTAAATCCAGCTCCAGATACCATTCCGGTCGAACGTAACAATCCAAGCAACGAGGGTTCCAAATTCCAAATAGGAGCTGTGGTAGGTAGACGTACGCGCTTCTTAGCGAGCTTACGGGCACGCTTGTCCTGAGCGTTTCTCAACAACTCAATGACACGGCGCTCATAGGGGGCAAGACCGACGACCTCACGAGCGATCTCGCGCACGAACTGGGTGCGGCGGGAAGACTGGCCCTTAGTACGGCTGATCTTGGTCTTGGGGGTGTTCAGGGCGGTGGTTTTCTGTATAACCAAAAGTCAGCTGGTCTGATCCACGATAATCCAATTTCCGCGCAAATAGCCCCTGCAGTGTCTTCTGTCCGAGTAATCGGTTTCTTGAGGTCGATTATGGGTCGTATCGGAAGGTTCAGGTCGTAGTCAAAGGGCTGTGTCCATGTCGATCTTCAAATGCCAAAAAAATTTCCACCTCGAATTGTCTTTTCATATTGCGGCGTTTCCTTTCCTTCTCTTGATTCCACCCATGTGGCCTTATTGACACTCGGTATCCTTGCATGCACAGGCCCTTTTCCTAATGACTGTCCGAGAACCAAGACCGACGCGAAAGAAACCGATAAACGCAAACAGAGACCTGGGAGCTTCGGGATATTTGCAGGCAGGGAATTCAGAGCACACGTACCCGGCCGCTGTTGGTGCCGACGATGATACCGGTACGTTCCTGCGCCATCTCGACGGTTGGTGACTGAAGGGGTTGGCGGTGGTTGTCGAAGGAGGGAATGAAGAAAGTCTTGTGGAAATCCCCTAGTGTCCTTGGAACCGCACAATTGCGGGTCTTGGCACGGGACTCTGTGTGTAGGCGAAGGGCTAGGGCTAGGGCTGTTATGTCAGCAAGTCTTGTGACTCTAAGCCGAAAAAAGCCTAGCCCCCCGTAGTGCCTGAAACCTGATGCCTAGGTGCCTGGGCTGGACCCGCTAAAAACTCCAGCGTTACTATTGGCTGCCGACCGTTCTAACGTACTAGTACAATACATACATATTACTAGTAACTAACTACTATATTGAATTTACTAAAAATGCATCTCTAGCCTGGAGCTGGACATTGAGCTTGAAATCTTGAAAAAGTATCGACGTTATTGTATACAATGCTCGTTAAACTCTATTTTCATCTGAACCTCGTGATTCTTTTTTTTTTTTTCAAACGGCATGGTCTTATATAGCCCTCATAGTGGCAATCGCCATCACAGCCTCACGCTCAATACACCATCCAGTGCCTCCTCCCAACTCTCCATCAAAGAACCACAGAATAACTCCAAATCAGACATGCCTAAAGTTGTCTCCAATGCTGCTTGGAGTTCCTTGCTCTGTGGGGAGGAAGATGGTCCCTGGATCACAACGTCAACCATGGTACTCAAAACACCCGATCTAGATATGTGCTGCTTCAAGCTCTTGGTATTAGACCGAACGAGCTCGAAGACCTCTGGCACAAGTTCGGACAGCCGCTCCACACGTTCCTTTGGCAGCTTGGCAGACTTTGAGCCCTTGCGAGAAGCTAGAGTGGCCAATTGTGACAGGGCCTTGAGAGTCTCAAGAAGGGTGAAGATGCTGTGAAGATATTCCCAAGTTGCGGCTGTGGGGCTATCAGCCTGAAGGTAAACAGATTTTGAAATCATGAGAGGAGAGACTTGGGACTCGTTCAGAGTGAGATTGATCTTTTTCGAGTTCAACCATTCTTCTACTTCTCCAAGTGCTTTCTCAGCTTGCTCGGGGGTTGTGAGCTTGGATCCAGCCATGAAAGTCGCCACCTTGAGCAACTGAGCATGGATTCTTGATTTCTCTTTCTCGGCATCAGTCTGGTCATTGATATCCGAGATAAACAGGCCACTGAGGTCGGGTAGATCTGTTTCTGGGGTCAATGGCGTCTGAATTGAGATACCCTTCAATACACTGAAGAGTCGATCTGTAACTCTAGCTGAGGCGAGCCAGTTGGCCTAAAGTAGGTGTTCAGTAAGCTGCTGGTTTGCTTGGAAAGAAAAGAAGATGTGTAATCACCAACCTTTGGAATAGGTCCTGGGCGCACTGTCTCCTCGAAGCTACGCTTGCCAGGGAATTCACAGTCCATAAATGCGTCATAAGCACGCTGATCATGAATGGGGGTATCATTTTGGGCTATAAATCATCAAACAGTTAGTCCTCGAATGCGCGCCATATAGTCAGTGGAGCAAGTTGGATGTGGTTCTTACCAAGCGTCTCAAATCGAGTCATTGGATCTCCACCCACTAATCGCTGTGCCTGTCGCACATCTAGAGCCATCATCCGGCGACAGATACTTTGAGACAATCGTCGACGGAGCTCAATAATCTCTTCCACATTTCTATAACTTCCTTGATCCAGACCGCGGCTTCGGAAATCCATGGTAGTGTTGTCAGCATTGCGGAAGAAGTTGAGACCCTGAACAAATGCGGCTTGGGGATCAAAGTTCTTTCGCTCGACACCTTCAGTCGGGGGCGCTGAGTGGGGATGAATCGTAGAAAGTCGTGTGAAGAAATTGTGAGCCACACTTTCATATTGCACCTGTTTCACAGACATCTTGTTGAACGTGCTGAAAGCAAGAGAGCCCGCTCCGAAGAGAAGGTACATGCGCACTAGAAGAAGAAGAGCCTGGTAGCAGTGGGGTGAATCACGTAGAAGACGTTCAAGGATTGCGCTAGCACGAAGCAGAGAAGTGTGCGAAACCAGCGATTGCTCATTTGTCTCACTCATGATGGCCATGGCGGCCAGAATGCACAAGTCATCGGTAGACTTGCTTTCAATGGTGGAAGATGACCCATTGGAGGCTGCTTCTACTTTTTCCACCTCACTTCCACTGGCAGAAGTTTGGTATAAATTCAGGCAGCGGGTAACGAATTCCTCAATCACTTCCCGGGAAGGACTGGTCTCAGCGCCCGAAATGTTCAGGCAGTATTCGAGCTTCAGAGCGTTGATCTTAGCATTGATGACCTGTAGCAAAGTTAGAACCCAGAATAATGGACAGTACTATAATGCCAGGAACTAACATATTTGTCATCCGTCTTACTCTCGGACATATATTTAAGCATCTTGGCCATGGCATCTTTGTTGCCAGCCAAGACCCGTTTAAGGTCACTAAATGCATAAAGCTTGCCCTTGTGCAGATCAATGTACTTCTGACAAGCAGGAAGATAATGTTCTTCCACGGTCATTTCACCTTTCGCGATGCCAGACGCGATTATGTCAAGGCGAGCCAGGGCTGCATTTCGAGATTTTGGTTGATATGCCGTGAAATTCTCGACAATTTTCAAAATTTCAGCGGACGTTCTGTGTGTGAGGTTAGTTCATGCCCAATACCACAGTGGTTTTATAAAAACTAACCCAGGAGTATGAGTGTTCTTCTCAGCCTCGATCAGCAAGTTCCAGATTATCCAATCATCCAGTTCTTGAAGGCTGCTCCGCTTTTCCTCATCGGAAACAGTGTAGAGTTCCTTGACGAAAGTGATCGCGTCGTCCCATAATTTTGCCGAACCTAGGCTGGTGGCTTTGGAACCGAGGAAAGTCCTGTCATTCTGACAGATGCGCGATTTAATACCCACATTTTCGCTGTCCAGAATCTTCACAATCTCATCAAAGCGTTGTTGAGATTCGAGAATTCTGACAAGTAACACCATTTCCTCCGACTTTTGAATAGCTCGAGGCTGACTCAGTAATTGGGCCTGTAGGGACGTGGATTAGCCCTCTTTCAGCTCAGATGGTCTTCAAGAAGCCAACCCTCTAGATCATAGTAAAGTAGAAGGCTACTATTGAATCGGAAACCGGCGCAAAACACTTACTGGGTCAGTGGGGACATCGGCAGCCGCTTTGGAAATCATGCGATACGCCAATGTCCCGAACAACTTCCGCTCCATTTCTGAGCTCTTATTGTCTTCTGCGAGCATATGGGTGCAAAATATGGCCCAGAAATAATACTTCCGTTCCCGAGGAAAGTTCTTTTGAAGACTCATAGAAGCCTACCATAGAAACAGCCCGAAGTTAGCATCTGCGGTCCAGTTGCTAAGCTTCTCCAAGGAACTTACCTTTTGTGCGGACTTCCAATCATCTTCCTCAAATGAATATGTGAACCACATGAGCTGTAGATCCAAGGCATTGGGCTTCGCCTTCGCTGCTTTCTCCCATAGCATACTCTGGGTGTCGAGGTGTCCTCCCATCTTCTGTAGAGTCTGGTTCAAGATTTCGAGGGTGTCAATATCGGTGGTAGGTGGTTCAGCCTTGCAGAGCTCGATAGTCTCTGCAATGCCACGCTGCTGGTGAGCCTCGTCCGCCATTCGGAAAAGAACGTGTGCCTTCCATGCCTTTGTGGTGTGTCACAGGTATTGTTAGCCGGAAAGCTCAGAAGCTGGGCAGTTGGGGGATCAATTGGGTGAGCAGGGGGAGGCAAACCTACCTTTAGGAAACGGGTCTCTTCACCTTTCTTTATGCGCTTCTCGATTAACTGCAGGGCTTGTTTCAAATTCTGCCCGTCAATGGCATCTTGGATCTGATTGTTGCGCCGGAGGAAGACCGGGTCTTTGGAAGGCGCCATTGCGATTGGCTCTTGGGTAAGCTTGGTTAAACCCAGAGAATAAACAGAGTATTCCGTATTCCGTTCTATAAATAGCCTATCGCCAACCTTGGAATTCGCGAACGATCGTGGGATAATCAACTTGAAGTTATTGAGGGCTGCTTTTTTGGCGGGGAAGCAATTTGGGGGCGGTGAGAAGAACACAGGATGAAAAGTGGGGCGGTGAGAGCAATTGATCATCACATGAAACGGACCTTGGATGCGCTGAACATTAAACGTTTTGAAATTGGTTTCCTAGACTACTATGATCCTGCAGTTCACTGTGCCATCTTTCTGAAGAGCTGCTTAATAAATCTTGTAGATGCGAAACCTCAAAGGCCTGGGTGAAATTTTACATACACATACTATGCATATTTAAACAGCACATTCATATTACATGCATACTACTAGTAGATATATGTATGTGGTACTAGGTAGTGTATATCCACAATGAAAAAGGTATGTACAGGGCCAGCATTGCCCAGGTACCAATTCACATGCTTGCTTGGAAGTAATTTAGAAATGGACTCATGTTCAACGTTCCAAGCTCCCTACATGTACTAGTAGGTTCAAATGATGAAGACAACTCTCCTTCCCAGCACTCAAGTGAGGTGTAATCGATCAAATCCAAACATCCAGTCCGCGGCTTTGAAATGCTCCCGAGGTCCCAATTCAACATTTTCAAGGCCAAGGTGCCCGTGCGGAACATTTGAATCAATTGATGCTTATCGCTAAGCTACAGTCTACATAATTTACATCAAATAATTGGAAAATCAATACACAAATTCAATTCAATGTTGCTGGTGTTGTAGTGTACATGCTCAAAAAGTAATTTGCCACAGACAAACGAGTACGATGAGCCAAACTTCGGAGTAGACAGACGGATTATTTAGACCCTGGAGCTGCCTTTTTTTGGTTCAACTGTCAATGTCGTTAGTTAGGAGATTAGTCCTTACTGTATTCTTTGGGCAGTGAACTAGTCTGAAGTGTCTGAAAAAAAAAATAAAAATAAAAATAAAAAAAAACTTACCCAGTTCTTCTTACAATCTCGATAAGCCCTATGATAGTAAGTTGAGTCAGTAAAGTGTGGCCCCTCAATCGTCAGTGTCAAACACAAGCATGCCACACAAGGTCAGCTGAAACGGGGGCTTCACGATCTCTTCAAAGTGATAGGAAGAAGCGGCATACTGGAAATAGTCCCCACACATCTCACGGTCATAGCCATTGCGCTTCAGGCATTTCAGACTCCGATCCGCAAAATCTTGGCAAGGGTCGTAAAACTGGCTTGCAGTTTTACTATAAGCAGGAAATCAGCAAAGGGAAAAACAATCAAAAATATTGACTTGATGGGACTCGGTTCAAGCACGTAGTAGAGGAGTGAAGACACGATAATTACAGGAGCTGAACTTACTGAGAGAATTGGCGCTCAGCTTTCTCCCACGCCTTGTCGTGGGCCTCCTCTGGCGGGGATGAATCCGTCATGTGTGTTGGTATAGAAAGAACCGGGCTGACTTCGTTTTGACAAAAAGAGAAGAGGACAAAGCCAATTGAGTTTGTTGAAGACGAGCTCAAAAAGTGCTAGAGGTTGAAAGGTTGTCTGTCTGCGTTAAGCTGGGCAGAATTGTGGGGTCCCTGGCCTTGGCGTAGAGCGGCAAAGGGACCAAACACCCGTATAGTATCACCAAAACAAGAGATAAAAAACGTTCAATGTTAAAAGCAACAAATCAAGATAGGATACCACCCTTAAAAACCACAAAAAAGTGAAGGAGGGGTGTACTTATAATGGTCAACATGGCCCATTGAAAATTCTTCAAAACCCTTCATTTGACATTTCAGTTCAGAGCCAGATAACCCCATAACCTAAATAACAGACTATTCAAAGTTACGATGGCATCGGGATGTTCGATTACCCTTTGATAAATTGTTTATTGAATTCTGCGACGTCTATTTGTTTAAACTTTCACGTATTCGAGGCGTAATCTTACTTATCGGGTACCGTCAAGGTAAATAATGAGGAGTGCAAGAAGTGATTTGCCCAGTTGGTACTAGTTGAAAAGTACTAGTAGGAGATGAAAGTAGGCACTGAGCAGTGAGTATAGTATGGTCAATACCTACCAGTACCTCAAGTTATCAAGTTTATATCTACTAGTATCTTAAGAACCTAGCATATGCCCATTCCAAGTATTAAACACGTATGTAAAGTAACTAGTATGTATTCTTCAAGGTTGGATACATCCAGAGCTACTACTATACTTGGAACTTTAACTCTTAAATTGTTCATACTAAACTTGCGTTCTTTTGTAGAGTTTGTTACCGGATTGGTAGCTCCCTTGTCCAATCAGATTGGTGATTTCGCTCCGAAGCTAGGTACATACTATGTCCTAGCTCTGGTTATCGCTTCTTCTAATCTCGTAAGGCAGAAAATTAGTGGAGCTCTCTTCCCGCAAGAGGGGCCGACCCGCCAGACTAATAGGCTAAATATTAGTAACTGCCAGTGGTAATGACCATAGTTAGTTATTGCCTTGTCACGGTTGTTTGTGACTACTGCAGAAGTAGATCTATCACACTATCACTGCAGTTAGTGTGCGCTTAGAGGGTCTTTGGTCTTTTCCTATTGGCCCTTTCACCCAACGGCGCAAGGAGGAATGGAATAGCGGTGGTGTTCCGCAACTTCTGCTCAGGCGTCCCCAAAGATTGAACCATTCACCCCTTGAACTGACTCAGTACTGAGAGCGAGGCACAGAGAAGAAAAAGGGCCGATGAAATAAAAAAGATCGCCCGGTGGAATAAACAGTTTGCAATCACGTGAGTGAACCTGAGCTGCTTATTTAATTTGGTGCCTGAGGCCACAACACAACACGATTTGTTCCTGGGCTCTTTCACTTTACTTCTCAGCGCCACGGTTCTCTCGGCTTTTGAAAATCGTGGCCTTTTTATACAGCTATATAATTCGCGCAACCCACCTGCATCTGCGCCGTGGCTCAAAATCAAGGTCTATAGTCTGATCGTGGGTCTTTTCATCAGGCTTTTTCTCACTTACCCCCACCGTCTTGCGATAACTTCGCGCCCCCGCTCGACAACTAGTCAAGCGCAGTCTTGTGACTCTTGTCAATGTTATAGCCGTGAAAACAGTGACAGAAGAGAACCAAAACATACCAGCTGGGAAATATGGCGACTACGACGGAATTTGGGGAGGAGGCCTCTGGGGTAAGTTCCAGCTTCTTTGCGCGGGTGCTAGAAATGGACACTGACGCGTTTATAGCTTGTCAATACCCTTCAAGGCCATGTGGACGCTATTCGTAGCTTAATACAATGTGGCATTTGTATCCGCCCGTTATACGAACCATTCACTCTTGCCTGCGGGCATACCTTTTGTTATTCCGTCAGTTCCTCCCATCCTCACTACGCGCATGTTACATGTTATCTAACCTACATTAGTGTTTATCGTCATGGTTTGCTGGTGGAAAATCAAAGAGAACATGTCCTGACTGTCGAGCGCCCGTGAAAACACAGCCCGCGCCGGCCTATCTGGTGAGCCTATTCAACAAATCCTTTTCTTGGAATTATCTAACAAGTCTTATTTTTACTAGGTACGGGCCGTTGTTCAGATGTACACCAGTCGTGCAGAGCTTTTGGGGATTGAAGAGACCACGGCAGAACACTCAAAAAACCACAAGGAGGAAATTGAGAAGCTGGAAAAGGACAAAGCAAACACAGACCCCCAAAATGGAGGTTTGTTTGGAGGACTTTTCACGCCAAAACCCGCTCAACCGAAGCCTGTCATCGACATAGATGATAACATCGTACGTTGTCCACATTGTGCTTGGGAATTGGAAGATGGCCAAAGTTGCGGAGGTTGTGGCTACGTCTACCGGCCTGATCCCGAAGGTACAGACTACAGTGGATCGGATTTCAGTGATAGCGACGATTATGATTCTATTCTTGATGGAGACGACGATGATGAGGACGAGGACGACGAGGACGAGGAAGCTGGCCCACAAACATCTCTCTCAAGAACTTTGAACGCACCATACCACACCTTCAACAGATCTGTTTTTGGTTCACTTTTACCCGACTTACACCCGCATCCGTTCTATTTTCCTGGTGTTCGGCAAACCACCCACGGACAGCCTTGGGATTTCCCACATTCGAACCATGTCTATGAGGACGAGGCAGAGGATGGAGAAATGGATAGGGATCACGAGGGAGAAGAAGAGGAGGAAGAAGACTATTACGAAGAGTCATTCATTGATGACGAAGAACATACGCAGCGTGAAAGAGAGGAGTCTGAATCCGATCATTCTACAGTGATTGGCGCTTCTCGTGCTCGTAACCATGATTCTTCACGGGGTCCACCCATTGTGCAGTACCCTCGGGTCTTTGGTCCTTCTTCTACGGCTGACCCGGACGGTTACGAGTGGGATAGCGAAGATGAGGCTAGACTCGCGAGATTTAGAGAGCCAGTGATCGACGTTGATCTTTCCGAATCAGGCTCTGAAGATACAGGGCCACGGGGCCACGATCAAACCCTTTCTTCAATATCTAATGGGTCTTCTCAAGCCACCGACGATTCTGAAAGTTCCCCTATACTCACTGGCCGTCGTTACCATCCCACATCCGTTATCCCTGCATCATCCGATGATGAGATTGACGAGGACGACTCGAGCTCACCTCCTAGAACCAGAATCAGGACCACAGGCTCAAATTCCCACAATGCTATTGCCATTGATGATTCGGACGAGGATGAAGAGCTACCCGTTGGTCCTGTACGGAGAACAACCCAGAGACGACAAGCCCGATTTTCCCCTTACTGATTTTCCTCAACTGGTTTCCTTGCACACCGGCACATCAACTGTTGTATCTTTTTCTACATGCATACTTGGGATGGTTTTCAAATAGCGTGGCGCTTCGGATGGGATAGAAAAATCGGCTTGGCGCTTTGTTGTGATTTATCGGCCTCAACCTCGACTGGCGCAGCAATTTATGCTTTTCATTATCGTGGTTTATATTCAGAACAACTCAAACTTCGTCAGACTTATTTGTATTCCCCTTATTTTGCTTCTATCTCTTCTCTAATCTGTTTATCATGCTGGCGTAGATAACTATAGCCATTTCATTAGCAACTTGTAATGTCTGATAAGTACCTAGTAGGTATCTAGTAGGTACTAATATTCTAATAAAAGCCTCAAGTTAACCTAATTAGAGGGGATAGAATTACAGCTGACCTTCCAAGATTACTTCAAATGTTTTTTTTTTTTCGAAATGTAAAGGTAACTTAACAACCAGTTGACAGTCTACAGATGCCCATTCAAAAGCCTCGGCAACTTTTCAAGAATGTAGGACATGAGTCATCCAGGCGTGACTACAAATCATCAGCCCACATCACAGCTTCCCTGCTTTCGTCCATATAAACATTTCTACTTTTCTCATTTTATCCATTTAAGCAGTGTTGAATATAATGGCACCTACTCAGACCGTGCCCTATGGGCACTGGACTAGCCCGCTCACCGCAGAGCGTCTGGCTACAGATAGTATAACACTCCACGAGGTAGCAGTCAATGTACGAAACAATCGCGCTTTAAGGTCTACAGCAAGGTTTACTCACATGATACAGGAATCAACGGGAGCGATCTACTCTATTGAGTGCCATCCGACAGAAAATGGTCGCTATGCGATTGTTCAGCACCTCAATGGCAAAAGCCAGGACGTGCTACCCAAGACTCTGAGCGCTCACGCAACAGTTCAAGAGCTTGGAGGTGGCTCCATCGACATGCGACACGATGGCCAGGTTTTATTCGCAGACGAAGAATCGCGCAACGTCTACCTATTGGATTCGGCGTCGGGAGAAGCCAAAATTGTCCATCCGGCGGTTGAGGGGATCCGGTATGCTGACTTCTGCAGTCACCCCTCCAATCCAGAGTGGATTCTTGCTATCAAGGAAGACCACCGGGACGCCACACCGGAGACACAAGCGACACATGTTCATAACACCTTGGTGGCTATTAATATCGTATTGGGTACTGAAACTACGATTGCTAGAGGTGATGATTTCTTTTCACATCCTAAATTTGATCCCTCTGGTAAATATGTTTCCTGGATTCAGTGGTCGCATCCTGATATGCCGTGGACCGGAACGGTGCTTCACTATGCCCAGTGGAATAATGGGACTCTGGAGAACGTGACTCGTATTGCTGGTGAAGGACAAAAAGAGAGCATCGCTCAGCCAAAGTGGAGTCCAGATGGGCTATTGTATTATGCCAGTGATTGCACTGGCTTCTGGCAGCTTTACTCCTTTGATCTGAAAATCAAACAGAAAACTGCCTTGTCCTTGAGAACATTTGCGAATGCTGATTTCGCAACTGATGAATGGGAACTTGGAAGGTATGTTTGATAATACTATTACCTGTCTTTTTGGTTGATATCTGATGCCTGGCCAGCTCCACATACATCTTTCTCGACCCGCAAACTATCGTCGCAACAGCTATTACCCATGCTACGGCAATGCTGGTGCTGATTGATACTGTCACCTCATCCGTCCATGACCTTGAACTGCCATATGTGAACGTTTTCGAAATCCGTCGTGTGTCGTCAACTTCCTTCGTGGTAGTAGGCACTTCAACAACCTCCCCCGAGGAACTCGCATTAATTTCGATTACACCGGCATACAAAGCCGAACGAAACGTCCTTACATCAACGGCAACATTTGAACTACCAGCTGAATACGTCTCCGTCGCAAAAGAATTAAAAGCCCCTCAAAAGCACGGTCCATTGACCGACGGTCACGTTCACATGTTCTATTTCCCGCCTCGCAATCCTGGTTTCCAAGTCGACGGCCTTCCACCTCTCCTGGTCTTCGTTCACGGAGGCCCCAATGGATCCACCACTCCAGCTCTCAACCTGGAAATCCAATCATGGACCACGCGCGGGTTTGCAGTATGTGCTGTCAACTACACCGGATCCACTGGATTCGGAAGAGAATACAGAGAACGACTCTCCGGATACTGGGGCTTAGTCGATGTAGCCGATGCTGTCAGCGCAGTGGAATACCTTGTGGATGAGGGCCTGGTTGACAAGACTCGCGTTGGAATCTATGGCGGGAGTGCTGGTGGCTACCTGACACTGCGAGCACTTCACATGTACCCTGATGTCTGGGCTGCAGGCATTAGCTCTTATGGTATTAGCGATGTGCGAGCCCTCCAGGCGGATTCTTATAAGTTCGAGAGCCAGGATGTGGATCGGTTGCTGCTGAGCAAGACAGAGCCTCAAAATAGAGAGCTTGAGCTTACCAACCGCAGTCCGTGCAACTTTGCTGATCAGATTCAAGGGTCGTTGCTGTTATTGCAGGGAACTGATGATATGGTTGTTCCTGTGGCACAGGCAAGAATGATGGCTGATGCTATGCGGGTTCATGGACGAGTTGCAGAAGTCGTTGAATTCGAGGGCGAGGGACATGGGTGGGTCGGTCAGAAGGCCATTTTGGAGTCTTTGACACGAAAGGAGGAATGGTGGAAGCGACACTTGACTCAGGCATAAGTGTATTCAAGTTTGAGTCTGTTCAAACTTGACCTCCGCGACCTCGGGATTAGGTCATTATAACATAATTCGGGATTTGCTTATAGATATGGATTTAGAACATCATTGGAAGCAAGCCAAATTAGACGCCCTCTTACGGACAAGTGTAAATAGCTGAATAGTTTTTGTTTAACAAGCATTCAAGGTTGGCGCACATTCGTCGGCCCAATGAATAAAGTCGAATGTTATGTATGAATATCAAATCAACACAATGACTTTAAATCAATTGATAGCGAAAGGGAGTTACAAAACGAAAAGTTGTTTAGGGTTTAAGCTTGAGTGTACCCAGGTGACCCCAAAAGGTAGGTATCCTCCGACATTCCCCCGCATTTATCCAAGGCGGAGCGACGATCTTCCCCAGTCTCCATATTTATCGGAATACGGGTTATTCGGAGTGCATCACTCCGTTCAACACCTGATGTTTTTATGATAGAGCTTCTGATCTCGGAGTACTGTCTTCCTGTCAGTATATCGTCTAGTAAATACACTCGGCTTTTCCCCGACTTAGAGGAATGAGGTACAGGGCAGAGAATATAAAAGGCGGTTTCTTTCCTCGGTCTTGGAGCACAATATCTGCTAGAAACAACCAGTGGAATTCATTATCATGGAGCCGGTCACAGGAAGTCCACCGAAGGGTGGGTTTTCGCTAGTCCTACAAAACCCCTTCTTGTGCGGTGTAGCATCGGTAAGCATTGAATTGGACCTTGACCAAGTCTCATATACTGATACCATGACAGTTCTCCACCTTGGGTGGCCTACTCTTCGGCTATGATCAAGGTGTCATCAGCGGTGTGATTACAATGGAGTCTTTTGGGGCTCGTTTCCCGCGGGTCTTTTCTGATAGTGGGTTCAAGGGGTGGTTTGTGTCGACGCTTCTACTTGGTAAGAAAATACCCAAAGCCTTCATATAATACAAGCAGCTGATATCCTTTTAGCCGCTTGGCTAGGATCTTTGATCAATGGTCCTATCTCTGATCGAGTTGGACGGAAGGTCTCTATGAACCTAGCTGTGATCGTTTTTGTAATCGGATCAGCTATCCAATGTGCCGCAGTGACCATCCCCATGCTGTTTGTCGGTCGAGCAATTGCCGGGCTTGCAATCGGAATGCTTACCATGGTGGTGCCACTATACATCTCTGAGGTATCTATGACTATCCATTGATTGACAATCATACATATCGAAAACGCTCACATTGCTTCAGGTATCTATTCCAGAGATCCGTGGTGGTCTTGTAGTGGTACAGCAATGTGAGTCTTTCAGAATATCGGACACATTTTGGTTGGACACATGCTCAAACTCATATTAGTATCCGTTACAATTGGTATTCTGATCAGCTACTGGCTCGACTATGGAACCAACTACATCGGTGGCACTCGGTGTGCTCCCAATATTCCCTACACGGGGGGAACGACTACCTCCCCCTCCTTTGACCCTTATCAGGATGTTCCTTCTGGCGGCTGTACAGGCCAGTCCGAAGCTTCTTGGCGCCTTCCACTGGCTCTCCAGATTGTCCCAGCAATTACCTTAGGTATTGGTATGCTGTTCTTCCCAGATTCACCACGATGGTTGTTGATGAAGGAGCGAGACGATGACTCGCTTGCCGCACTATCACGATTGCGCCGCCAATCTATTGATGACCCCGTTCTCCAGAATGAGTACCTAGAGATAAAAGCATCCATTATGTTGGAAAAATCATTCGCCAAAGAGCATTTCCCCAATCTATCGGGCTTCAAGCTTCATATTGCCCAGGTTAGTGCCTTGGTTACATTCTTACGATGCAATATACTAATGAAGCTTCTCTACTTCCCTAGTACATCTCACTTTTGACGAACTGGGCTCGATTCCGAAGGTTGGCTATAGGCTGCACTGTGATGTTCTTCCAACAATTCATGGGCTGCAATGGTAGGTCAATTTGATATTTTGCGCTAAAGATGTTACTAATTGATGACTGTAGCTATGATCTACTATGCTCCTACGATCTTTGCTCAACTCGGGTTAAGCGGAAACACGACTTCACTCCTCGCAACAGGTGTATACGGCATTGTCAATTGCCTGAGTACCCTCCCAGCTCTGTTTTTCATAGACAGAGTTGGCCGTCGCCCTCTGCTAATGGCTGGTGCCACTGGTACCTGTATCTCGCTGGCAATTGTGGGTGGTATCCTGGGAGGGTATGGCGCTAGCTTGCCGGATCACAAAGCGGCTGGATGGGTTGGTATTGCATTCATCTATATTTATGACATCAACTTTTCATACTCCTTCGGTAAGTTTGAAACTCTAGCTTCCTTGTTGACTACTTTCAATTGAGCACAAGCTGATCACTAGTCTACTAGCTCCAATTGGATGGGTGTTACCTTCGGAGATATTCAATCTATCCATCCGAGCTAAGGCCATGTCTATCACAACCTCTGCGACTTGGATGTGTAACTTGTGCGTATTAATCTCATAATCCTCATCAAACCCGTTGCTAATCCGTTTTGAACAGTATTATTGGACTTGTTACCCCGGAAATGCTTGATTCCATTACGTATGGTACCTACATTTTCTTCGCGGTTTTCTGTCTCCTTGCGCTTGCATTTACGTTTTTCTGTATCCCCGAGACACGAGGAAAGGTATGTGCAAATCGGACTTCTGCTGCCCTTCATTTTTTTTTCTTGAATAGCCGCTGATACCTTGGAATTTTACCAGACTCTTGAAGATATGGATCTCATCTTCGGGGACACGACTGCGCATGAAGAGAAGAAGCGGATCAAGCGTATAGAGGCACTCCTGCGTGGTACCCATATTGACGATGACGATGATACTTCATTGAAACCGGTGGATGAACATGTGGAGAGACATCAAAATGCAGATGGTGTGGGTAATGTATAGATGACGACCGTGCCGTTGGTGCAGTGTACGATGCCCTATTAGTATCTAATAGGTAGTAGACTATACGCAAAAAATACCATGCTAGCAAGGATGACAACCCGAGAAGGTCCTCGTCGTCCCCTCTAGGCTTGCCCGAAGGATTGATGAAGGTTCCAACATTGAAGCGATCCAGTAGAATGCGATAGAAAAATGTACTCAGTTCAAAGGTTGAGATCCGGTACTTATGTATGCAAGATATCTAAATGGTAAAATACATGTAGAAATTGACTCCAAGACACCACACCCCTTATGACACGCCGTAACTTGCCTCACACCTTAAAAAGAAAGAGATATAAGGTCAAGTGAAAATCCGGAAACTTTTATACATCGGCCTCTGCACCAACGAGGGATGTGTAGGGCACCTCGAAAACAATTGCACCATTGCGACCATCCGACTGAGTGGATTTTTCATAGTTGGTTGCATAACACTTCCACCGACCTAGTCGGTGCTCCTTGCCAACAGCTGCAACAATACACAAGCCACGAGGTTGGGTGCTAGCTTTCGATTTGGACACCTGCGACTCAGGCTGGTCTGAATCAGGGCGACGCTCGAAAACGGCGATATCATTAATCACACCCTTGATTAAGGGTTCTTCTGAGACTGCGGTTTGCTGAGAATTTCCTTCAATGTCCATACCATCAAGACTGGGAGTTCCGTTGGCGAGAGATTGGTTGAGTTGCTGGGAAGGTGTATCGGGGGTCGACAGGACAGGAGAACCTAGACCCACAGGGCCCAGAGGAATGATGCTCTTCTTATCTTCTGGGATGCGCCATGCGCGGATAGAACCATCCCAGCTGCCACTCAGGACGATGTCGGTACCCGGGAGGGTGGCTAAAGCGGTGATCCAGCGAGGCATGGGGCGCATGTGTCGGGTGTTATGAGCAGCAGTCTCCTTGTCGGTCTCGGGAGACAATTCTTCCAAGGGAGGAATGGGGTCCAGACCGTGTGCCAAGGCAACTGTGTAAACAGGCTTCTTTTTATGCATCGACCATAGACAGATGGATCCGCAGTCGGATCCAGTGACGAAGTGCGCTGGCGGGAGAGCAGCAATGCAGTCAATGTTGCTTTCCTTGTAGGGTGCCTTCTTTGAAGCACCACCACGGAATACGAGCTGTGCCTCTTCGACAACCTTCCATAATCTCGCCGTTCTATCTCTGGCACCAACACTGAGAGCTTGGTCAATTGTCATTGCTGCCACTCCAGTTACATGGTCTTGGTGACCAAAGAGAGTCTCAACGTAGGCATGGCCAGCTCCGCTAATAGACCAGGTCTTAATGGTACGATCGTAACTACCAGTGAAAAGCTGCTCTCCGGAGCTCATAGCAGAAATATGACGAGCAAAGGAGACACTGCTGACAGAGTCACGATGCTGGGTGAAAGTCCTGGTTGGCGTCAAAGTTTCCGCATCCCAAATCACCAGTTTCTTGTCTGCGCCACCTGTTGCCACGAATTTTCCTGAGGGGCTGACAGCAACAGACAAAATGCTTCCCGTGTGGCCGTGTTCCTCGCCGGTCTCGGCAACCTTACGCATACCCCGAGCGTACTTCACCTGCTTCGGCTTCCGGCGTTGTGTTCGTTGAGGTCGTTTCGAGGATGTTTCCTGGGTTGCTCCAGGGACACTTGGTGTTGCCAGTTCCCACTTAATCAAGGTTTTGTCCTTCGAAACAGTATAGACGTAAGGCGCATGGACGGCGATGGAAGTAGTAGACTGGGTATCTGCGCGGAAGAATGAATGAGGAGCCGTGGAAAATGAGAGTTTATCGGCAATTTGTCGGAAGGCTCGTCCTTTGAATTCGTCCTGAATAACGATCGTTAGTCGCAAATCCAACCCGTAAAGAGGAAAGTTTCACATACGACATCCTCCTTCAATCGCTCTGCAATCAAGTCTCGATCGATCTCTTCCGCATCAAACCCGACTTCCTCGACATCTTCTCGAACATTATCCAAGTAGCGTTCTGCGAGTTTCAATCTTCGGTCTGCGGCCGTCTCGCCATCATCTGAGTCTGATTCAGAGTCGTCTCCAGAGATTGCCGAATTGATTTCGGCATCTTCATCCATGTCACTCCCTGAAATCGATTCCTCCCGTTCGCGGGGCTTCTGGGCTCTTCCGCCATCATTCTTTGCATCAACGCCTCGTTTTTTAGTTGCTGGGGGTGCAGCGCGGTCGTCTCTCTTGCGCTTGCGCTGCGATGCAGGCACAGTGAAAAAGGAAGACATGATGAATCTTCAGAAGATTAATCCCACAACAAGTCCAATTAATCAAAATTTGCGGGTGGAAATACCCCGGACGAGAAACGGAATTTGGTGGTTGCCGATACTGCTTAGATTCAACTTTTTTTTTCGGGGAAAAAAAGGCGGCCAAGCGGCGGCTGAGTCAGCGGGTAGCTGAGAGCTCCAGGCGTCAAGCTCACCGCGCGGTCATCACTCCAACCACATTCCCCTTCATCGCCGTTTTTAAACTTCGTCTTGATTTATTCCTCTTGATTTCTCACATACCGCAAACATGTTAGTTGATTCCTATGTATATCCCCCAAATCAATCCTTGGCCTCAGACTGACCGCGCTTCCTAGGGACGTTCTCTTGGGTATTACTGGCAAGGACTTCGTTCTGGTTGCCGCATCCAAGGCTATAATGCGGGGCCCGACTATCATCAAAGCAGAGGACGACAAGACCAGAAGCCTGAATAAGCATACCCTTATGGCTTTCTCTGGAGAGGCAGGAGACACCGGTTAGTACCTGTCAGATCGGTGATGTAACAAACGAGACACTGATGGCTTGTTACACCTAGTGCAATTCGCCGATTACATCCAAGCAAACGTTCAACTGTATACGATGCGCAATGACACCGAACTCAGCACCCCTGCTGTAGGCAATTTCATCCGAGGAGAGTTGGCTCGCAGCTTGCGATCACGAAGCCCGTACACAGTCAACCTGTTGCTGGGTGGTGTGGACCCTGCCACGGAGCAGCCTCACTTGTACTGGATTGACTACTTGGCTTCATTGGCTCCCGTACCATATGCCGCCCATGGTTATGCCCAGTACGTTTCATCTACAAGATGTTCCAAGATATCAAACTGGAACGGTTGAATACCAGGGACATTGCTAACCAGCCCAGATACTACTGCCTTTCTCTTCTCGACAAACATCACAACCCCAACATTTCCCTCGAAGAAGGCATCAAACTCCTTGGAATGTGCACAGATGAGCTCAAGCGTCGGCTACCGATCGACTACAAGGGGGTATGTTCAGTTCATTTGCCCTTCTAGGAATGATTTACTAACGTCATAACAGGTCCTGGTGAAAGTGGTGACAAAGGATGGTGTGAGAGAGCTAGACTTCGATAACGATAAGATTGTTCGCGCTGCGTAATGGTCGACATGCCTTGGCGTTTGTTGTATCATATCCTATGACGTTCAACTTTTTAACGGGATACAAACAAAACTTCCAAATACCCTCTGTAAACCGCTAGACAAAGAAAACATAAATCTAGTGGATAGTAATCGAGAATGATTCTTTCTAATTTTTGTTCAACTTGGATTAATGGTATAAAGGCGTTCTGATTGTTGTTTCCAGTAAGAGCTAGTAGTACATATCAGCTACAGACATGACGATGGATGTTTGATAAGTTTGCACTATCTTCAAGAGCTCGCGGGACTGAAGAACCGCAGCATTTTGTTCCTTCACCACCACCACAACCTTTTCTGTCGCAATGCCTAAGAGAACAGCTGAGCTTCCTCTCGGGGAGAACTTTCCCGGGCCACCGGCCTCGAAAAAACCGCGCGTGGAGGACGAGATCGAAGACGACACTCCTAACGGCGCAGTACCCGCCGCGCAACCAGCCGAAGACCAACAGTCGGAACAAGACGATCGCAATGGCGCCAATATCCTAGCAGCAGCTGATGAAGGAGAAGCACTTGGAGAAGGCGCACAGGATGACTCAAGCCTCTCGGATATTGACGAAGAGGCCTCCGCCCTCAGTGCACCCAAACGACAAAACCAGCCGATGGAGGGCTACGGCGACCTCTACCTCGACACGGTCAACAGGGGAGTACTCGATTTCGATTTCGAGAAGCTGTGCTCCATCAGTCTCTCGAATATCAACGTGTATGCCTGTCTCGTCTGTGGCAAATATTTCCAGGGTCGCGGTCCCAAGTCGCATGCGTATTTTCATGCGCTCGAAGTTGGACACCATGTTTTTGTTAATATGGGTACCAAGAAGGTCTACGTGCTTCCAGAAGGATACGAAGTCCAGAGTAATAGCTTGGATGATATCAAGTATGTGGTGGACCCGCACTACTCGAAGAACGAAGTGGCCAAGATGGACAAAGAAGTTCACGGTGCCTGGGATCTCCATGGTGCTAGGTACAGGCCAGGTGAGACATTCCGCCTAATAATATCAGCTTCGAAATACTGATAGTTTCACAGGATTTGTTGGTATGAACAACATCAAAGCCAATGATTATATGAACGTCGTGGTTCAGCTTTTGGCGCATGTACTCCCGATCCGCAACTTTTTCCTCCTCCATGACTTCCCACAGCTGGGCACTCCACAACTCGCGCTTCGCTTCAGTACACTTGTACGCAAGCTATGGAATCCCAAAGCGTTCCGGTCTCACGTTTCTCCCCACGAGTTGTTACAAGAGATCTCCCTACGATCATCAAAGCGCTTCACACTCAGTCAACAATGCGACCCCGTGGAATTCTTATCATGGTTCCTGAACAACCTCCACCTTTCCCTTGGTGGTTCCAAAAAGCCTTCTGCCACACCTACCAGTGTAGTCCATGCCGCATTCCAGGGTCGTGTACGGATTGAATCACAGGCCATCACGGCTCACTCTGATACACAAAACGCACGTTTGGTTTTCACTGAATCTGGCGACATCAACAGCCAGGTCACCCCATACCTCATTCTCACACTCGATCTTCCCCCCACTCCTCTCTTCCAGTCGGCAAACCGGGAATCTATCATTCCGCAAGTGCCACTCACCACACTTCTCAATAAATACAATGGACTCACGGCTTCCGAAAAAATGGCTCACCGTGTCAGACATCGTCTTCTTCACCCCCTCCCTCCTTACCTTCTATTCCATATCAAACGCTTCAACAAAAATCGCTTTGTGTCAGAGCGGAACCCTACGATTGTCACTCACCCCAGTCCCCGCTCTCTTGACATGTCACCATACGTTGAGCCAAACCCGAACATTTGGCCCCCGGGAGAACCTATCCTTTACGACCTCGTGGCAAATATCATTCTAGACCCCTCAATTGCAGCCCCCGGAGCTACAGAAGATGCCGCCGATAAGGGTGTCAACGCTGCGTCTGGCTCATCTTCCGGGGCCGGTGGCGGCAGCGAAAAGGTATCCTGGCTTGTCCAGCTGCATGACAAGGCCATGTCCGCAGAGAACACACGCCATCAAAATGGCGGTGCCGCGGAACAACGTGGCCCTGAGTGGCTTGAGGTGCAGGACTTGTTTGTGAAACGCGCTGAGAGTGAGACTCTATTTACACGTGAAGGATACCTGATGGTTTGGGAGCGCAGGAAGGTCCCTGGCCAGAAGGGCAAGGGCCGGGCCGATGCCAAATAGATGACAACTAGTCTCTATTGAAACTGTATTATCGATGGATTAAATGTGGGGAGTTTGGGCTACGAAGGGGTCAGGCTTATATAAAAAGACCAATCCTCTACACATACTATACTATGTGTGACTTTTTCTCTTTAAACTGATACTTTCAGGTGGATGTAGGTTATGGACTACTAGTAGTATTTCTCTCCTAAATGGTGAATGGCGTATTTCCAAGGTTGACCACCTGGTTTTCCTTAGAGGAGAAGTGGATTATTATGTAGCAACTAGCCTAGTAAGTATTTTCAAGATAACTGGACAGGTTTTGAGACCAGACCGGGGCCCCGTTCAATTCCTATAGAGTCCCCCACCCACAAAACTTTCTCCCAATTCTCATTGTCGAACCCACCAAAAAGCCCCACACAGCGGCTCTTAGCGCAGATTGCATAGCTCTCATGAGGACCAGTCTACCACAGTACCCAATCGTATCAGACCAGGTTCGTCCGCCACCCCACAACCCAACAGGGTGTAGGTCTGAGACTCGAAGTGTAGAAGAAGGGTTTAAAGAAAGGTATGAATGGGCCAAAGAGCGGACATAGAGTGATTCGAGGGGCGACAAAATGATGGTGCTGAGAATCGCCGCGAGGTGTGATGCAAGTGAGTCTACTGGGTGAGCAGAAAGGAGTGTCACTCTATGAGCAATAGGGGGTTGGCTCATTGCCATCATACCCGGTATCTGCGACATTGGTGGGAGTGCAGTGCCGAGAGGAAGGCCATCTTCTTCAGCTAAATCCAATGGCCGGAAACTAATATGCTCTCCATCATTGGGCTCCTCAACGCTGACTGGAAGAATGCTTGGCATATTGGAGACTAGGGGTTCCTCTGAAGGAGCAGGGTCAATATGATGATCGGCCATCGCCTCTTGCACAATATTATGTGGCTGACTTTCCACAGCAGGAATTTCCTGGCCTGTGCCATAGTTGGCTCCTGCCGCGATGCTGGACAGATCCTCGTTTTCAGGTATTGGCGATTGTTCTGCAGCTTGCTGCTGGGCTTGACTCAAGATCAGCGCCTCAAGGAAATCGACTATCGATCTGCGATCCATTGCAGTCGCTGGATTAGTGCGACCGAAGAAAGGTGGATTTCGCTGTGCAGGTGTATCGTTTTGGCGATTGCGGTTCCCTAGGAGTTCCAGCTGCATAGTGATGATATCGGAACTCTGATGAATTAAAGAAGCTCTGACACGAGGTGACGTGGGTGGTGATGTTTCTGGGGAGGATGGCCGGGAGAATAGGGTATTTGAGCGAGAGTTTTGCCGGGGCCTTGCTGAGCGTTCGGCCTGTTGGATATTGCTTGATCGGCTCTGCGAGCGCGATGCGCTTGAGGGTGCACTTGCTCGTCCAACGGTGGCTATTTCGGAAAAAAAGTCATTGCTCATCTCACCAGGAGACTGAGACATACGGTTTTCGTTCGTCAGGACTTGGTTCATATCTGGACCTAGCTCGGAATCAGGCGCTTGAACAGGTTCCAGATCAGGAACCGAATTTATCGATTCATTATCGTCATCATCGCGCGCGATAGCCTCCAATGGTCTAGCTAAAATATCACGCTGCTCGACTCCAGCGACATTAGTCCGAAGCTGAATTTCCTCTAGCTCATGTTGTAAGGATTCAATCGATTGCCGGAGATGATTTTCGATATTCTCTGGACCTTGACCGTCGACCCGGGGTTGTTCTGGGGCCTTGCTGGAAAAAAGCCCGAATAGAGAGAAAACCCACCCTCGTAAAGCGACAAGTTCTTGTTTGATATCTTGCGTTAATGTAAGTTTCGCACGGCGAGACTCTTCCTCAGATCTACGTCCCAAGGTCGGTACAACCCATTCGATTAGGTTCTCCTCATACGCGACTCGAATCGAGAGCTCGTCTGCAAGGGAAGGCTTGGGAATTTGGCGCCGGATAAGTCTGTAGATGCGCTCTTCTAGCTCTGGGCGTAGGTAAAATGCGTAAACAAATGTCAAAACTCCGGGGGAGGTCAGAAGTTGCATGACGAAACCACCAATTGATGGGATGGAGAAATCAGCAGGAAGAGTTGGTAGTTGAAATAAAGATGTTTTGCCGAACGGGATCAACTGTCGCAGGCTGGGGATGGAGTTTGCGGGCACCAGCGAGAGACCCTGGAGTACAGAGTACATATAGGCCTCGAGGGACAAGATGAGAACAGAATGTTTAACCCTGTAGTCTTCGTCAGCATCTGGTATTTAATTCCTGACAAGTGAACCTACATGGAATACCCGACTCCAAACAGAGCACGGGTGCTTAATGCCAGGCCATTGCTGCTTATCAAGCTCAAAACGTAGTCGCGGATTGTAACGGAAAGGCGTCTGAGGGGACTTTCGCGAGCAATTGCCAATGTGCTAGAGACTGCCCAGGCAGGTATACCAGCAAAATAGAAGCCGACAATCCCTGTATTTACGCGCTCAGAGCGGATTACATCTAGGAGCGGCGCATGGGTGTAGTGTTTGAAGGTCTATAAAACCGACGTTAGAAATCACTACAACACGGTCTAGGTTGTAATGAATCTTACCAAAATCCGACCTGTGAGAGATGATGACCACCAGGTGCTGATAAACACGAATACTTGGTCCAAGGTAGTGATGACCAAACCAAAATCATTCTCGGTCATTATTTGATTCATCTTCTGCTTGTCATTGGATGTGTTGGCATTTCGATCCTCACTGCTGACAACAATGCCCATGGTAGAAAGGATGTCATTTTTCGCTCTGCGAAGCGCTCGGCCCAAAGATTTAGATTCTGGATTGACCTGATGCCCTCGGGCATCATACTGTTGCATGTAATCATCGGCATGTATGTTAGAAACCCTTCGTACTGGATTTGAAGGGTCGACTGTTGCTGTCTCTTGAGGTTCGTATGGTGACCGACCCTTGTAAATGGTCAGTATTTCCACAGAACAGGAGCCGGAGCAGTGCACCAAAAGTTCAATTCAATCAAAAGACGGGGGAAAGGGCAAAAAAACATCATGGAGGGTATGCCGTTATATTGAGAAGAGAACCATCATACTATGACAAGTAGATTCCAGAGCAGGTGTACTGTCGAACATAATGCTCGACTCCAGCAGAACAAGGCTCAGCGATAAAATAAGAAGGCGAGGCACCATCATGAGAACACAGATAATGTGGTGCATATTAAGCTAAGAAGGGATCAAATGACAAAGGGCGCTTACCAAAGCGAGCCGGTTCAAATAAGCCTGACGGCCCATCGTGGATGAAGAACACCGAGGTCCGAACAGGTTCAGGAGGTTATTACATCGCCCACCCGCAACGGATTTGTGCTTTCAATTCTTCCAGTAGGTGCGAATGGCCACAACAATGAGGACAATGAAGGACAACACTTGAGGTTAGAAATCCGACGTTCAACAGTGACAGTAATCAATTGATATCGACGACGGCGCGCCTGCGGCGTTGCGTGCACGGGCCATGTATTATCTTATCGCGAGTACAAACACTGCAAACATTTCAAAAAAAAGTTGCCCGAGCTTTTCGCGATCCTCGACTTCTAGAGAAAGCGCATGGGTTAAAGAGCTCACAGGCGCAATTTCATAATAATGTCCAAGGCCGTTGTGAAAACCACCTTTGAGGCGTCTCGGACCCTCCGCCCCATTTATACTGGTGGCAGTACTGCGCTGGATGCCAGTGGTCGCATTTTGCTGTCTTGCGTCGGCGAGGATGCTTTAGTCGTCGACTTAGAGACTGGTGATCAGCTCGCCAGTCTGGAAGGCGTGAGTATTCCTGCCAACTAAAGGCTCATAAGGCAAAGCACTAACGTATGGTCTCTTGTTCTAGGATGGAGAAATTATCACAAGCTTGACCCGTATGTCTCAATCTCAATTTTCCGCGGAGCTGAAGTACTCACGCAGTCTCTAGTTACGCCCTCCGCATCGCATGCAATTGTTTGCTCTCGCTCTATGTCTATGCGGATCTACTCCCTTTCCCCTTTCGAAGAAGGCTCGCAATCAATCGAAGCAAAGCTTCTCCGGACTCTCAAACCCCACCCTTCTCCGGTGGTCTCAAGTACGACCGATCAAACTGGCACATTGCTGGCCACTGGTGGTGCCGATGGCTCAATCAAGGTCTGGGATATTCGAGGTGGATTCGTCACACACACCTTTCACGATCGCGGAGTCATCTCCGCACTTTGCTTCTTCGAGATTTCCTCTTCTGCGGACGAGACCAAATCCTCGAAGAAGAAGTCCAAGCGCAAGGATGAGGATGAGGATGAGGAAATGGATGATGCCACAGAGTCGACGGCTGGATTCCGTTTAGCCTGCGGTAGTGACGAGGGTAAGGTCCGAATCTTCGATTTACACAAAAGGAAGTCGGTTGCATTGCTCGACTCTCACGTCTCTCTGGTACGCAGCCTGTCGTACTCGCCTTCAGAGAACGCTTTGTTGTCCGCAAGCCGAGACAAGACAGTCATCATTTGGGATGCCAAGACTTGGAAAACTCGCCGAATCATTCCCGTTCTCGAGAGTGTGGAGGCCGCTTCTTTCATCGCAAACAGCGGTCTGTGCGTAATTGGTGGTGAAAATGGTAAGCTACGAGTATGGGACTGCAATCGTGGCAGTGAAGTCACCGAGGAACAAGAGGCTGGCGAGGAGTACGAAAGCGTCGTATCTATCCAGTACTTGCCTGGTTTACCTTATGTTATGACGGTTCATGCGGACCAGACTATCCGCATGCACTCCATTGAGTCCTTGTCAGACTATAAGCCAGGATCAAGTTTGGCTCCTCTGACAATAACCCGCCGCATTTCCGGAAATGACGATGAGATCATTGATTTGGCCTTTGTTGGACCGGACCGAACCATGCTCGCTTTGGCCACTAACACTGAGAGTATCCGTGTGGTCTCTGTTGCTTCTTCCGAAGACAGGCCATCCGTCGAGGGCGAGGAGTTCTTTGGTGCTGATGTTGCCCATCTCGAGGGCCATGAAGACATCATCATTGCTCTTGATGTAGACTGGTCTGGTCACTGGCTTGCGACAGCCGCGAAGGATAATACTGCCCGACTTTGGCGGCTTGACCCCAAAAACTCATCATATACCTGCTTTGCCATCTTCACTGGACACGCTGAATCTCTGGGAGCCATTGCTTTGCCAAGAACACCACCGCAAGTTGGCAGTGGTGCTTATAAGGATCCGCTCAGCCACCCGCCCGCATTCATGATTACTGGATCTCAAGATCGCACTGTGAAGCGCTGGGATACCGGCAGACTGAGCCCGCTCAAGGAAGGGAGCGACAAGACACACTCTCCGAAGGCAGTTTTCACCAGAAAGGCCCACGAAAAGGACATCAATGCCTTGGACATTGACTCATCATCCAATCTGTTTGCCTCTGCCTCCCAGGACCGGACTGTGAAAATCTGGGATGCTGATGAGGGTACCCCGATTGGTGTTTTGCGTGGCCACAAGCGAGGTGTATGGTCCGTCAGATTCGCTCCTCGGGACACACCTATTATCAACTCTGAAGCCGGAACCAGCACATCTCGAGGTCTGATTGCCACAGCCTCGGGTGATAGTACTGTCAAGCTCTGGTCTTTATCCGACTATAGCTGTCTCCTTACTTTTGAGGGCCACACTGGCAGTGTGCTGAAGACTATTTGGCTGCCACCACCACAGATCTCCAAGTCCAAGAATGATGATGACGACGAGGAGGAAGACAGGGCTGCCAAGACCGCTATCCAGACACGGCCTCTCATCGCCTCAGCAGCCGCTGACGGTCTGGTCAAGATTTGGAACCCGTACACTGGAGAACAAGAGACTGTGCTGGATAACCACACAGACAGAGTCTGGTCACTTGCCAGCCCCACCCCGTCTGGCTCACGCTCCGACGTCAAGCCCACATCCTCCAAACTCAAATGCCCGTATGCCCTCGCTTCCGGTGCCGCAGATGCCACCGTTACCGTGTGGTCCGACACCACCTCCGCCACCTACACAGCCGCCGTGAACGCCAACTCCGAGCGCGTCGAGCAGGATCAGCAGCTGCAGAATTACATTCGCGCTGGTGCCTACCGTGAAGCCATCACCCTGGCACTTCAGTTGAACCACCCCGGTCGACTGCTCTCGCTGTTCACAACCGCCATTAACGCCGCCGATGACCTAAGCCTCCCCGAGGAGGAGCGCGCGCTTGCGGCAAACAGCTTGACTGGTAATCCCTCCATCGACGAGGTGCTCCAGTCGCTCGATGCAGCAAATCTGCGCACCTTGCTTCTGCGCCTTCGTGACTGGAACACCAATGCGCGTACTTCGCGTGTTTCGCAGCGCATTCTGTACGCCTTGTTCCGTTCCTACCCTGCTTCTACCTTCGTTGAGCTGGCGACTCAGTCTCTCCGTGGTAAGAACGGACGTGCTGCCGCCGGCTTGAAGGATATTCTGGCTGCGTTGGCTTCCTACACCGAGAGGCATTACAAGCGTGTCGAGGAGCTTACTGATGACTCTTACCTGGTCGAGTGGGTTCTGGGCGAGATGGACGGTGGTATTGGACTTGGCGGATTGAAGCGTCTTGATCTGAGCAAGGATGATGTCGATATGGAGGAGCCTGAGAAGGATGTGATTATGTTGGAAGGTTAAATGTGATTTAAATCTTGTGTACATGACGGGCGCTTTGCTTTATGGGAGTATCATGGGAGTGGGTTCAGATAAAAGCCATCTACTTTCTCATAGAATTGGAAATTTTTCTTCGTTCATCTTGCATTTCCTGATTTCTATCTACTAGTTTGCATCGTATGATCCAGGGTATCTCTATTTTGGTATAAATTCACGACTACTCTGTTTGGCAGTCCATCATGTACAAGGGCTTTGCAATGTAATGTTTCGTATCGTCGTGGAGGATTAATCATCCCGACGGCTTCGGTGAGAGTCGCGGTCGCGATCTCGGTCGCGGTCATGCCGAGATGAATGGGAGGAATGCCGTGAGCTGCTGTAGCGGTCATCTCGGGACCGCCGGTCTCGGTCTCGGTCTTGGTCACGATCTCGATCCCGGCGATAATCCTTGTCATCCCGGTCTCGTCGACTATCTCTGTCGCGTTCACGATCACGATCACGATAGGACCGATCATCCTTTTTGCGGTCATCGTCATCGTAACGAGATCGCCTAGAAGATTGGCGGCCACTTGAACGGCTTCGATCACGGCGGGAAGACCCATTCCTACGATCAGAGCGATCGGAATCCTCATCATAGTCGCGCTTGCGGTATTCGCGATCTTTGTCTCTTCCACTCTTTTCTAGATTGCGATCCCGTCTCTCACGCCAGTCGTCCTTCTCTGGTGGGGCGGCGGCCTTTTTCTTCAACTCTGCGAGCTCTTCCTCGGTCATGTATTCACCAGTTTTTTTGTTGCGCATCGTGACAGGCATGTAGACACCCTCGGCATTGCCATTCCCGTTTTCTTCGCCCGCCTTTCGAGATGCCTTGCGCATAGCAGACTTGCCCCAAGCTCCTAGCTCAGCCTCGGCACCTTTCCCACCTGCAGAGTCCTTTGCTCCGATTCCCAGGAAGCCGGGGCGTCGTGCCGGGACAAGAGGTTTCTTGTCCTTTTCTACCGGCGCAGAGGACCCATAGTTTCCCCGTCCAATAGATTGACCATCCTTCCAGCCCATTCCCCGTAGCAAAGCAGCACCGAATTCCTCCACCGGAATAGCATTGTATTGGTCCAATGTCGCGGATTCGGGACGAGAATCTACGTCAGTTCGGAAATTGCTAGTTTCGTCGTAGCGAGAAGGCGCTTGTTCTTCATCGTCCCGAGATTTCGAGGCCTCAATCACCAAATCTGACCTCCGCTCTGGTTCTCCCTGGGTCTCCCGAATCAAAGCTTGAAGGGCGATCTCATCGTCCGTAAGAGGCTTATTCTCGGCAGGGGGAGGTGAAGTTGATTTCGCCTCTGTCATTGGATGATCTGCGTCGGTAATATCATGCTCGTTTCGTTCACTCTGCTGCGCAAAGCTAAGCCCATAAGCCATGCTGGGCCCTTCGGTTTCAACGGCACTTCCAGGAGCTTGTCCATTTCTCTGGGCCTCTTGCATGGCCTGAACTTCGGCTGGCAAAAGGTTCTTTCCCTTCTTCACATTGACACCTGCGCGGTCGCGCCAGTTATTTTTGCTCGTAACCGGAATCACCAACGGCCCTGCCTTTTTGACGGCTTCTCCGTCGGCAGTGATTGCGTCGCCTGTGAGAGTGTTGAACCCAGCAAGCTCCTCGTGGGCGGGGATCCGCTCATCTTCGTCCGAGGAATCATCCCCATGCCCAAGTTGGTGTGGTCGGCGAGGGAGAGAACAGCCCTTGTCTGCAGTGGGACGGCCGCGACTTGCCTGGAAGTTGAAGGCAGTTTTCTTGGGGGCGCCGTTGGCACTCGAGGAAAGTGAGAATGGTTTGGAAGAACCGCCGTTGCGGTTTTCGGAACCCCCTGATGAAGACATCTTGATGGGGTCCTTGTGTGCTGTGAATGTCACTGGGGCAAAGTTGAATTGGATGCGATATGAGCTCCAAATAAGGCGGTGGCAAAACCGGTATCAAGCCGATTCAAGCGCGCGTCAGTGAAGGCGGTGACCCGAAGTGAAGCACGCACTCGACTCAGTTGATCTTATCGTAAGCAATGCACCAATAAGGGAGGGGGCAAGGATAGGAAATGGACCCCCATGGAAATCGATATAACCTGCCTTTTGATTGCCTTCTCGGGTTAGTCTCTGGAAGAATCCACCATGGAGGCCTCTCTATCATTTCCAAATGGCCATGATTCCATGAAGCAAGGGCCTGTAAGGCTACTACTCACTCTATACGGCTGTTGACATTGTATCGACTTCCAAGTACACACATAGCATGCGAGCCTAGCCCCGCACGTGCCGTCAGCTGAACTGAAATCGTGATGTTTACTATCATCTTCCCCTCTATATAATGAAAACCTCTTGATTATACGCCGAGTCACTGTAAATCAACCACTATGCGCCTCATAGAAGCGAAAACCCTCAAAGTGGTGGAATTCATGGACAGCAAAATCCCGAAATATGCCATCCTCTCTCACGTCTGGTCGCTACACGAGATTACTTTTCAGGACATGCAGAAATTGAGTCCTGATGAAAGGAACCTTCTGATGTCTGATTTGGACACAGGTGAAGCAGCCTATTCCAACACGCAATTTTCCCCTGGGTTGCTTGATAGCGGCTACGCCAAAATCAAGTACTCCTGCAAACGAGCACGTCACGAAAGGATCAACTATGTTTGGATCGATACCTGCTGTATCGATAAGACAAGCAGTGCAGAGCTGTCCGAGGCAATTAACTCCATGATGAGGTGGTATGAACTGTCTGAAGTTTGCTATGCCTATCTGGCAGATGTACCTCCACTGGAAGAACTTGATCGAGAACGGTCTTTATTCTCAAAAAGCCGGTGGTTTGACCGTGGATGGACTTTACAAGAGCTTATTGCCCCCGAGAAACTTTTCTTTTTAGCGCAAGATTGGACCACTTTATTTTCTCGAGAAACGGTATCGAGTCTTGTTAGTCACAAGACTCGGATTGCCATGTCGTTCCTCACAGAAAGACAACAAGCAACGACCAGTCTGCGGAGCTCTTTGAGCTCAGTCAGTATTGCTACGCGAATGAGTTGGGCATCCGAGCGGAAGACTAGCCGGCAGGAGGACAGGGCCTACTCTCTGCTTGGCATATTCGGAATCAATATGCCACTGCTTTATGGTGAAGGGACAGGTGCATTTATACGCTTGCAGGAAGAAATTGTCAAGCATTCCGATGACCAATCCTTATTTGCATGGAATTGGAATGAGAAGTACCTTGATTCGAGTCCTGATCACAGCTCATCTGGGTGGCTCTCTGCATATGACTCCGAAAGTAGCTCCGAAAATGGCTCTGAGGATGGCTCCGGATGGGTCTCCGAACATGGCTCAGAAGACGGGTTGCAATATGGATCTGAACATGAATCTGAACAGAACCAGCTGATACATCCTCTATTGCCATCTTTTGATACATTCAAGTCACGGAGTTTCAAGAATATCTCAACCTGTGGGATCCTCGCTGACTCCCCTGCGGCATTCTTGGATTGCGGTGATTATATTCCCTGCAGTGTGGGCGGCCAGACTCCTGCCTATTCTATCACAAATAAGGGCCTCGACATGGAGATTCCACTCCTATCATGTGACGGTTACTCATTTATTCTCTTGCAATGCCAGACTAGACACCATCCCACTATTCTTCTCGCACTTCCAGTGAAATGTATACGAGAAAACATCTATATCCGCATCCAGGCGCCGATGTATTCAGCTGGACATCAATCCTGGTCAGAATGGCCACGAACACACATCTACCTACTTCTCAATTCCGACACAATCACCTATGATGGCGATATCCCCGACTATACGGTCATCCTCGGGCATACTCCACCCCATCTGAAACTTGTCGGTGTCACATCTCGCCATCAACGAAACCTTGATCAAATGATTTTGATGAAAGGGGATATAACTTCGATGTTTAACATTCGACCTGCAATAGTCTTCCTATGGTTCGAGGACATCAGTGACAATTCACAAATTGCCTTGGGCTTGAAGCTTGAGGTCGTGTTTACCCTCGATACCCAGTATGAAAACCTTCAGTCGGATGATTTTCTAATAACTTGTCGCTTTATGGAGCCCCAAGAGAGCAAGAATCTACCCGTACAAGACCTGGAGCGCTGGATGGGACGTTGGTCTGACGGTCCTCAAATCGATTGCCCTGAGGGTTCGGTTCCGTACTCATTCAAAGTCACCGCAGAAGACTTTTTTGGAAGATTTCTCTTCAGCATAGACATGCTACCAGGTGCTTCTACTTCTATCAATAGATGGTGGGTGGAGAGCAAGATCAAAGAGGACACATTAAGTCATTTACGGGGCACGTCACTTGGATTTTTCATGCCTAGTATACGCGAGCAGCGACTACGTCTAAGATGGATTTCTTCCATACTGAGCTACCAAGTCAAGATGACGCGGCTTACTGGCAGCTTGCTTCGAAATTTGAGGCTCTTGCCCTGGTTCTTTACTTTTGTGATTGAACATCCCATTCAAAGGGTCTTTGATTTAATTACCCGACTTGCACCTAATCACACATGGCGTGTGGCATGGCTTTCAATCGGCTACTTGGCAATCCATGCACTCTCTCCCAAGAGATTGTTCTGTAAGTTGGTTCCTAGTTTTTGGCGTAGATTTCTTGGGAAAACTGTTGTTGAACTTATCGTATGGTACATGTTTTGTAAATTCTTGCCCGAAAGAATTTTGTCGTAATGATATTTGGGTTCGAATAATATCCAGGTAAATATCAAATTCAATCAATATTTCATCAACAACCGAGGTCTCTATGAGTAAAATGCTGTCAATGATAGTAGTTTTGCAGGTGTATTTGGAAAGTTATTCAAATGTTTGAGAGTAAGCATGAAACGAAGTTCATACTAAACAGAAATTTCCATAGCTATAATGTACTAGTATAAACATTGAATCAATAGGGGGGAAACATTCGAAGACTGAATCTCCACAGAAATGTGATCAATTGACATATGTACTCTTTGTACATTACTATCAGTCTCTACGGCCCGCGTGTAGACGGCCTGGTCCTTTATCATCGTGGCGAGAGGTTATTTGGAAGTCACGACAGTGCTCATAAGCACCTTGACGAATGTAGTACATTCGCTGAAGTCGAAAAATCAGATATGATGCCCAACATTGGGAACCCTGCGGTGGAATCTGCCGGGCTTGCTGCTCAATGATACAACCCATATTGGCAGGGACTCGGCCAAAACATTCTTTGCTTTGATGTATCCTGCTGTTAAATCTGCCATGCTCGATGGTGATCTTGTAATTGCCTATACTACCCACGCAGTGAAGCCATATGGATCGGCATAAACCGGGGTGACGCATAATAATAATCCAGCGAGGGGGCAATTCTGGCTGAATTTCATCCTGCTTGCAGATTGCGAGGTAGAGATCAAGCTGGTCCCAATCAACATTTTGAAGTTTCGACATTTTGACAGGTAATCACTGGTCTCTGTGGGTGTTTAATAGAGATGGAATATCAATGTTAAATTATGAAAAAAAGTTGCTTCTTTGGATTTTATTTGAGTAAAGATTCGAGTCTTCAAAGGTCCACTGGTTCTTATAGGCATTTCTCGAAGTCCTGAGCTTTCCAAAATAGAAGTTATAAAATTAGTTGAAACAGGTCTATTGTTTTCTGATTGTGAGAATGATGAAAGAAAAAGACAAGATGAAAATAAATCTCTTTTAAAAACAATGATGATCTCGCCCTTCAAGAATACTACTAGTTTCTTTGAGAGTTGTCTTTGGTTGCTAACAATGTAGCAGAGAAGAAGGCACATAAACAATAGGATACTTAGAAACAATTATCTACTAGTATAAAGAATTATAATCTTTCAAGGACAAAGAAGCATCAATGAGCTCTTTGATCGAATTTGAATCCAGTCGAAAAATAGGTATTGTCATTATTAGGTCCCTAGCCTTGCTTGTACTTGAAAAATCATTGCCAGAGTTTGCAGGAACTAATATTGCAGAATTTTGCGTATAGATCGCAACAGACCGCGTTTTCTGTCTTCTAAGATTGCACTCAATGTCCTAACAATTTCTTTCAGTATATGAAAAGAGGCTAAATCTAAACCAGATTACATACCGGAAGATGCAAATATCCACCTGGATAGATCTAATACGCTCGGACAGCAGGATTCAGGATTCAGGATCATCAATAATCCTTCGCTTGTTCGGAAGGGGCCCGAGGGGTATCAAAGCAAGTCGGGGCCGCTGACATTACAAGTACCTTTCACCCTCGTATTCCAACATTTTTCTTCTGAGAATTCTTTTCCATCAAATTGAATCTCCAGTTGCTATATACCTAGCAATACAACTCTATCATGTCCCAAACTCCCGGTCAAGTTGGCATCCAAGCCGCTGCCGTGATCTCTGGGTCTTTTCTATCAGGTACCTACTACATGACCTAAATAACTCCATCTCCCATCACAGACCAACAAAGATCTCCCCAGGCTGAGAGAATCACAGGCGCAATGATGTCCATCTCCCTCATCACGATCCCAGTTCTACTAGATACCAGCACCCAATCCAGGCCACTGCTAGATCAATTCGTGACTCTTTACGACTACGGCCACAAGATCATGCCAACTCTCTCAGTCGGCACATGTGCCCTGTATCTTTTCATTGCTAGCAGAAAGCGAGCCCTAGATCTTCCATGGCCCATTTACGGTCTTGCAGCGGCATCGACTATCTCCATAGTGCCATTCACGTGGATTTTCATGACCCCAACGAACAACGCGCTATTTGCAATGCATGCTGCATCGGAGCCTGATTTTCAGGAGGCCCGGGAACTCAGTGTCCGGTGGCAGTGGTTGCATGTAATCCGTTCACTTTTCCCATTGGTTGGGGCCGTGATAGGATGGAGAGGCCTGCGGGCCAGTCTTGGGTAAACGGAACTAGTTATAGATCTGTTAAGAGTACCTAGTAGGTACCTTTGTCATGCCACCGACTAGCGGATGCATTTGTGGTGTAATGGTACTACGCAGACAATTATACAAATACCAGGCTTATGTGGTTACTGAAGTTCAACTAATCATACAATTCATATTCATCAATTCCTGGGTTCTAACCCTAAGCCCAGAGTTTTCGCCGTCCCAGAATAATACATGCCCGTATTCAGAAAGAAAAATAAAATTGAAGACTGGTAACAGGGAGCCAGTCTTATATCAGGTCCATTAGTTTAATGAACACGCTAGAGGGTTCGGACATTGTGTTGCTCGCCAACGGAAACGGGATCAAAGGGGTTTGAAGTGGTAACAAAAATCAAAAAACAAGGTGCGCCGCCGCCGTCGCCGGACCACCAGTGCAGGAAAATAGAACAGACAATTCCAAGGTTAATAAATCAGAGTACGGGGTTGAAGGGGTAAAATATGTACAGTCGAAAAAAAAAATTGTGGGTTCAGAGGGTGTATTAGAGGGTAGTGGGAGGTGGTGACAGCAGTGTCCAGATATCCAGTGAGATGTTTAACTGGTCGCTGTCGGAGCGGGTGGTGGGTGTGGGCTTTTGCTGGAGCCTTGCACAGCGCCAGCCTGGGCGCTGCCGCTGCGCTGAGTCTGAGGGGTTGCACTTCGGCTGGCCTGAGAAACAGCTCCATTGATTGCAGGTGAACTAGTAGGAGCAACCCGAGTTTGCTGATTTGTTTGGGGAACACGCATCATCGGAGAGAAACCTTGGTTCTGGGGGACCTGCATTGCTGGGTTGCTGTTGGGCAAACCAGGCTGCTGAGGAGTCTGGAAATTTCCATCATGCGGCACTTGGTAATTGGCTTGAACATTGTTCATGCCACCAGCAGCAGCATTCATGGCCGCTTGTTGAGACATGCGCTGTTGCTGATACTGGTTGAGCCGATCCGTGGCCAGCTTGTTCACCTGCTCCGCGGGGAGATTAGGGTTGGCGCGTTGGATCTGATTTTGGAAAGTGCTGATAGTTGGCACCACGCCACTCGAGAGGGGGTTGGGTTGAGTCATGCGAGGAGATGGAGTCGAAACACCTTGGGGTGTACCACCATGGAATGAGGGGCTTTGCATTCCTCCTTGAGCCTGAAGCGCAGCAATCATTGCAGGGTTGTTGGGACCATTCGGCATGTTGTTCAGGTTAGGTGAATGAGATCCTTGAAGCGCAAACTGCTGGTTGTGGAATGGCGCCTGTGCCTGTTGGGGCTGACCTTGCTGCGGAACTGGCTGCGTCTGTTGTCGGGATTGCAACAGACGCTGTTGCTCCTGCAGGCGATTGGCTTCTCGAATTACACGGTTGTTGTTATCTGGGGATGTCTGCATTGCCATACCAGGCCTTGCGCCCACACCTTGTTGCATTTGACCCGAAGGCATCATTTTCATAGCCATCGCATTGGGAGGTAGTTGGCCATTCACTGACGTCGTTCCCGTGGGCATTCCCTGCATAGGTTGAGGCCGAGCTTGGTTGACGCCAGGACCTGGGGGCAAGCCAGCAGACATCCCATTCGGTGTTCCATTGGGCATACCTGCATTAGCAGGGTTTTGGGGAATACCATTAGGTGGACGTCCTTGCGCGTTGATTGGGGGCTGTTGCTGATTAGGCAACTGTCCGGCACGCTGAGCAGCGAGACTAGCTCTTTGCTGGGCAATCATCTGCTGTCGGTATTGCTCTTGTCTTTCTTGCAGCTTCATTTCCCGTTCATATTTCAGTCGGCTGAACTCCGCAGGGGTAGTGATTGGGGGTTTGGGCTGGTTGGCTTCGTTTGCCTTTCTCAATGAAGCAAGGTGAGAGGCATGTTGTTGCTTCTGAAGCATTGTCTCTCGCTTTTTAGCAAGCTTACGCATGCCATCCAACAACGCAAGGTGTCGAGAGGATCTCCTCCTGTCTACACGAAGAGGCTGGGTGGTCCGGCGACGAACAGGTGGCTGCACCTGGCCATTGTTGGCTTGCTGCTGCGCTTGCTGTTGCTGCTGAGCAGCTTGCTGTTGAGCCAAAACAGTCCGCTGGGCCGTTTCAAGTCTCTGGTGGTAAGCTCTGAAGTATTGTGTCTTGGACATGTCTGCTGGGAGACCTTCCAGCCCCACCCAGCGTTCAAAGCATTCCCAAGGAGTTCGTCTCTCAGCGCCGGAAGTAAACAGTGAAGGGGATGTCAGGCAACTAGAAATTAGGGACCAGTTGTAGGAGTACTCCTTAACCAGACGACGAAGTTCATCGTCCTCTGACATTGTCCATTGTGAAGATTGTCGCGACTCAAAGAATCCCACAGACGGCATAGGATGTTCGGTAGGCGGTCTGAAAGAATGGCCGGGATGAATACGATCACGGATGGGTTTATTTTCAGGGCGGAACAAGGCGACATTAGTCTGCTCTGGAGGAATCTCGGTAATGCGGTATTCCAGATCTGTACCATATTGAGAATAATCGTAACGACTGAGCTTGCGAGGTGGTTCGTCGTCTTTGAAGGTGATCTTCGTCGAGGCGAATTTAGAAACAGGCAGAAGCTCAGTCTTCCAAACAGAATCGGGGGGGTTGCTTGAAAATAGGCAATTGAGTCCCCGGATTAATCCGCAGCGGTTCGTAGAGTGGTAGTTCATCAAGAAGCTTCTCTGCCGCCGGTGTCATATCAACAGAGAAGCTAAATTCATCCGAGCCTAGTGAAAAGATAGCAGCAGGCGCAACAGTATCCCGAATGTCATGTCTCGATTCCTCGTTAAATCCGTCACTGACTGATTCTTCTTCGGCCGACGGTACAAGGTCCGGGGTAGGGTGAGATGCGACAGCTTCATCGCTCGTATCATCCGGAGAAGCGACCTCAGTATTTGTTGTCTCTTGTGCTGAAGCTATTGGAGTAGGAATCTTGGTGTTGACACGAAGTAGAGTTCGGTGTTCTTCATCGCTGCTCACATACTCCGCGCACCAATCAGCACAGCTCTTGGCTGCAGCGATTTTCCATTTTCGTTCTTCTCGGAAATCTGTCCGGAGCCACTTCATATGGTCTAAAACAACATCCCAATGAGTGCCCTGGCGGGAAGGTTCAGGAGCTCGCTTCATTTGCCGCAGTGGCCACCGGTTGGCATTCTGCAATGCGTAGATTCGTCGCAGAGTGCGGCAATTCATTTGCTCTTGATACTCCAATGAATGATTTTCGGTGCTCAAAGTTTTATGAGCAGATGAAAGAAGCGTGCTCATGTTCATTCCTCTTGGTGGCGCATATGCCCGATTCAAGAACAAAGTGAAAAGATAGTCCTGCTCCTGGTTCAGCTTGGCAACAGCATCGCCTGAATCTCCATGCACAAGATTCATCGAGTCGGTCTTGTCCTGTTGGGGGGTCCTATTGGGGAAAACCACAGTCGCAAGTCGAGTCCTTTCCTTCTCGCGTTCTTTGCGATCCTTAAATCGCATCCGGGCCACACTGTCAGGTGCATCATTATCGCTAGGAGTATGAGGTGTTCGAGGTGTTTCTCCAAGAATTTCTGAGACAGACTTATGCCGAATTGCTCCTGATGATACTCGAGTTGTCATTCGTTCAGGTTGTGGGAGACCGGGCTGTGTTGGCGGAATGACTACTGGCTTTTTGTTCGTCGATGCTTCATCAGCATTATCGACTGGCTCGATTGCTTCAGATGGGCGTTCAGTTGGTGAAGGATTATCAACTTTGACCGCAGCTGATTGGTCTTGAACTTTTATCTCTTCTGCACTTTTGACAGGTTCCTGATCAACCTCCATGGCATTCTCATCCACGCTAGGTCCCACCTCCTCCTGAATTATCTCGTTCAATATAGGCACCTCCGGCTTGGATTCTTCAGCAGTCTGCATTGATTGTGCTTCCTCCATTCGCAGTTGCTCATCGGGGGTCGATGGAACCAAGCTTTGCCGGTTTTGGATAGGTCGGTCATGTTGAGGACTTGGGTGGTCGCTTTTCCCAGCTTCGGCGGCTTCCTCTCCAGGGCTAGTGACAGGAGACGCAGTGACGGGCGCAGGAGTATTATTAGAATATGGATCGATTGAGGAAGCTGGGGAGAGAGGTTGGTCGGGTTTCGAGGGGCCTATTGTGAGAGAAGGTCGCGACTCGATTTTCTTTCGAGGAAGTGATGTGGATGGGAGCTCCAATGAAGGGGCGGTACTTGTCGCTGCACTGGGAGAGAATTTGACCTCCACGCCATTCTGTTCTTGGGAGCTGAGGGGGGTTTCTGGTACTGATGCGCTTGACTGTTCCGGGGACTGGTTGGATGACACGGCGGCAATTGGAACGCCCTGTCCTTGGAATGCTTGTGGGCTACCGGCCGGCTCTGGAGATTGGTCAGAGGTTGGTGGAACTTTCACAACAGATGCGACGGGCTTTGCAGTTGCGGGCGAGCCTAGTGTAGATGTTCCCCGCGGACTGGCTTCAGTTGGGATTGAAAGAGTGTTTCCATCTAAAGTCGGCGGTGGAGTGATCCGTAAAGTGGCTTGAGTTTTTGTTGCAGTTTTTGCCGGCGACGCAATTACTTTCTTGGTAGTATCTCGAGTGCGCGCATGGGCAGGCGACGGTAGGGTGGATTCATCGAAGTAACGACCTCTGCGCGATATTATAAGTACCCGGGCTATTGGAGTACAGGATGCGATGGATAAAAAAAATTGAAAAGGCAATTGTATCATGCCGGGGGTGTAAATCAACTGAAGGGACTTACTTGGACAGGTCGTTGGCGTCGAGAAACGCCTGTTCTTTCTGGTGATAGAGAGCATCGGCGGTCGCACCCTCAAAACCCACGGTCGCATAATACAATTCCGTCAGTTTTCGCTTGCGCGACAACAAACAATTTCTGGCGTGATGTTAGTCGCCAAGCAACTCAAAAGCATTCAAAAACACGCAGAGACTGATTTTCGAAATTAATACTTACGCGATCTCATCGTTCTTAGACCGGAGAAGCTCGTCGCGGAGCATGAGGTCTAACTTGGGAACACAGCATCCGATTAACGCGGGGACAAAGGGAATGAATTGACCAAGGTCATTCAGATTGAAAAAATCGCTGTTCGAGATGAAATACGATGGGGTTAACCCGTGGGGAGATGGAGAGCAGGGAAGGGAGGACTTTTCAGTACGGGATGGCGCGGGAAAAAAGGGAAGTCATCGGCGAATGCAAGTTCAGTGTGGTTGAAAGTAATGGTACGGTAACATGGTTACTGAGGAGTTTTCCCCAATGAGGTTCTTATAGAGGAATGCTTTTTAATATATGGAAAGATATGTGGTATATCTAAAGTTGACAACAAAATAAGAAAGTAAAATCTGTATAACAGGTTCTTTATAAAGGATGTATGATGTATATTATTCTCATCTTCAACTAAGTGGATGATGATTATGTTCTTTATTTTCGATGTGTTGGCAAACTGTGACACTAAGTCAGACGCGTATTGTGTATTGATACACATTCCATACAGGGAGTGAATAAACTTGAACTTGCCCTGTTTGCAGTTCAGGCAACAAGGCAAACACTCAAGAACAAAGAAATATGGGTTCAGGCTGCAAGGCCGTAAGGCCAAACAACGATAAAATTCAGGTGTCCAGGTGTCCAGGTGTCCACTCTGCTATCGATAACCAAAAGAAAAAAAAAACCTCCACCAGCTCCAGCTTTTTCATCCCCCATACTATTCCACCCCTTCATTTACTCAAAAATACACCAAAAATGGCCAAGAGAAAGAGAAATGATGCCCCTAAGGAGGAGGCACCCGCCCAATCCCCTTCAAAGACTGTCAAATCTAAAGCTACCCCATCGCAAGCTCTAGATGCAGCTGTGACCGTTCAAGTGATCACAGGTTCCTATGAGCGGGTGCTGCACGGTTTCACTGCCGGTCTTCCTGCTTCCGTCTTGCAACCCAAGAAGGATTCCTCGAAGGAGTCCACCCCCGAGATCCAATGTGTTGATACCTTCTTGTTTGAAGCCCATGGATCGGCTATCCGCTGTCTTGCGCTTTCTCCACTGCCCAAGCCTACCGACAAAGGTGATGGGCAAAAGATCATTCTGGCAAGTGGCTCCACTGATGAGCGTATCAATCTTTACTCGATATCCGCTGCCCCGCCGGCCGTCAACGATGATTATCCCTCGGTGCCGACTCTAGCCGGAAATAAAATCCTCGAAAACCCAAGAAACCGCGAATTGGGATCCTTGTTGCACCACACCGCCAGCATTTCCGCCTTGAGCTTCCCCTCCCGCAGCAAGTTACTCGCCGCTGGCGAAGATAACAGCATCTCTGTATCAAAAACCCGTGATTGGACTGTCGTTTCGACCATTAAAGCGCCACGCCCCAAGGTCTATGGCCGACCCAGTGGTGACACTGCTGCAGAGGGCGCCTCTCCAGCGGGAGTGAACCACTTTGCTGTGCATCCTAGTATGAAGCTGATGCTGAGTGTTGGCAAGGGAGAGAAATGTATGAGACTCTGGAATTTGGTGACCGGTAGAAAGGCCGGTGTACTGAACTTCGATCGGGAGTTACTACAAAGTGTTAAGGAGGGCAAGTACAGCAAAGGAGAGGGACAGCGCATCGCTTGGAACGCCGCTGGCGAAGAGTTTGCGGTGGCTTTCGAATGGGGTGTTGCGGTGTTTGGAATTGATTCGACCCCCAAGTGCCGAGTTGTCCCCACTCCACGAAGCAAAATTCACCAGATGAAGTATGTTTCACGGCCCACAAAAGGAGATGATAAGGAGGACTTGCTGGCCGTTTCCACTGAAGATGGCCGTGTCATCTTCTATTCAACCCAAGAGCTACAGGAGGTAGAGGATGACGCCGACTCAGTCATTCCTCATGCGACTCCAGTTGCTCAGGTTGGTGGAAAAGAAGCCGGTTTCCCAGGACGCATCAAGGATTTCGACGTCTTGAGTCTGGAGAACCAAGCGAAGGACCTTCGCGATGCGGCTCTGGTTATTACTGGTAACAGTGATGGTGTGGTTCGTGTCTGGAAGGCTACTAGCAAAGATCTTGTCCTCTCCAAGAAGTCCAAGGGCTCCAAGGAGACTATTCCTCAGGTTGGCAGTCTGCTGAGTACCTATGAAACTGGAAACCGCATCACCTGTTTGTCATCTTTTATCATGTTACCGGCGGAGGATCCAGATACTCTGATCGACTCTGAGGATGATGAGGAAGATGAAGCAGAGTCGAGTGATGAGAGCGATGACGAGTAAATGGTTGTGTCCATGTTTGCCCTTTATACCCACTGTACTGTTAGACCAAAATATATCTTAAGGACAAATTAAAAGTTTCATTGGAATGTTCAATATATTGATCCACATGTGCACATGCAGCCTCAACATTGTGCTTGAAAGCTTGCACCTCCAGGGCTCAAGGGCACCTACTACCTACAGTGCTACCTACCTGAGTAGTGCTTGGAAGTATCAATCAATGGATGTTCAAACATTTGAATGTTCAAATGTTGAATCTAATGTTCAATATTAACCAGTTGACTATGTAGAGCTCACCAACACACATGTGCATGCATTTTCATGTCTAGCTCTTTCAATGTTTCAACACGGATGTGTGTTCAACTTTGAATGTTGGGTAGATTTTCAAGTACATAAACGGGTGTATCCATTGATTCCAGACTATACATGTCTCTACTACTACCATTGGTCCTATTTGACTTTTTTCTTGTTCAATTAGAACATTTGAAATTAGAAAACCTTCTACATAGGACATATGTTATTATGGTGGCCTGCATAGAAGCACTTGAATACTCAAGATGTATATTAGTAGTACACTACTAAGCAGGTAAATTCTGGACATGGTGCGGCTTTCACCGACAAAGGGTTTTCTCTGTGCGAATGAGTCACCAAGAGCCAATCCACCAAGTACAACATATTTAGAAGAGCCAGCAATGAATTTTATGCTTAACACATTACATTTAAGATAACCGAAAGGAATAAATAGATCTGGCACGATGTATTAAGGTAGTTAATTGTAAGGGGAACGTTCAGTCACCGCCCGCTCGCTCTCCACTGCACAAACCCCCCACCATTACATTCTTCCATTATCATATCGCCCACCCTGCAATTTTCATCCGGCTCTTCATCACCCTACCGTTCGCCACTCCCCACCACCTTCCACCCCCTTTATTCCTCACCCGGAGACGCAAACGACCGCTGTGTCACATTTGCGATTCGAAAACTCTGCAAATATGGCGACGAATGGAGACTTCTCCGACGAGAGCCAGCCCGGCTCGCCCATTTTGGACGGCAACAACGCCCAAGACTTTGACGACCAAGAGCCTCTCGACAAGCCCGTCAAGTCTTCCATGAAGAAGCTTGATGCTCCTCCTCAGAAGCAGCGCCCCGAGCTCCCCGAGCAGCCCGAACCTAGCAGTTTGGACCTGTCAAAATTGACTCCTCTGTCGCCTGAGATTATTGCTCGTCAAGCCACCATCAACATCGGTACAATCGGTCACGTCGCCCACGGAAAGAGTACAGTTGTCAAGGCCCTGTCAACTGTGCAGACTGTCAGATTCAAGAACGAATTGGAGCGCAACATTACCATCAAGCTGGGTTACGCCAACGCCAAGGTCTACAAGTGTGACAACCCTGCCTGCCCTCGGCCGACCTGCTACAGGAGTTACGGCAGTGAGAAGGAAGTTGACCCTCCTTGCGAGCGTGAGGGCTGTGAGGGCCGTTACAGATTGGAGCGTCATGTGTCTTTCGTCGATTGCCCCGGTCACGACATTCTCATGTCTACCATGTTGTCTGGTGCCGCTGTCATGGACGCCGCTTTGCTTCTGATTGCCGGAAACGAAACTTGCCCCCAGCCGCAAACCTCGGAGCACTTGGCTGCTATTGAGATCATGAAGCTCAACCACATCGTTATTCTGCAGAACAAGGTCGATTTGATGCGCGAGGAGGGTGCTCTGCAGCACTACCAGTCTATCCTGAAGTTCATCCGTGGTACCGTCGCCGATGGCTCTCCCATCATTCCCATTTCTGCCCAGCTGAAGTACAACGTTGATGCCGTCTGCGAGGCCCTGATCTCCCGCATCCCCGTTCCCGTGCGCGACTTTACTGCCCAGCCTCACATGATGGTAAGCCCCGACTTGATTTGATTTCCTCGCAAAGAGTTCGGAGACATAAATATAACTAACATTTTTTTCTTACTTTTTAGGTCATTCGTTCCTTCGATGTTAACAAGCCCGGTGCCGAGATTGATGAGCTCAAGGGAGGTGTTGCCGGTGGTTCGATCCTTAACGGAGTCATCAAGCTGCAAGACGAGATCGAAATCCGTCCTGGTCTTGTTACCAAGGATGCGGACGGAAAGGTTCAGTGCCGTCCCATCTACTCCCGTATCGAGTCTCTCTTCGCCGAGCAAAACCCTCTTAAGCTCGCTGTTCCCGGTGGTCTCATTGGTGTTGGAACTCTCATTGATCCCACTCTGTGCCGTGCGGATCGTCTTGTTGGTTTCGTTCTGGGTCACCGTGGCCAGCTGCCTTCCATCTACACCGAGATTGAAGTCAACTACTTCTTGCTCCGCCGTCTTCTGGGTGTCAAGACTGCCGATGGCAAGCAGGCGAGTTTCTCCATCCCTGGAACCCTTGATATTGACTCTCTTTTTTTGCTAACAATTGCCACAGGCCAAGGTTGCCAAGCTGGCTAAGAACGAGGTTCTGATGGTTAACATTGGATCTTCGGCCGCTGGAGCTCGGTAAGCCCCCCTCAATGACATGAAATCCGACTTTTGAAGCTTTGCAGTAAACTGACATTCCTTTTCTAGTGTCCTCGGTGTCAAGGCAGATGCCGCCAAGCTTGCCCTGACCAGCCCCGCATGCACAGAAATCGGCGAGAAGATCGCCATCAGCCGAAGAATCGATAAGCACTGGCGTCTTATTGGATGGGCCAACATCGTTGCGTAAGTTCCTAGCCAAATATTGCCTCTCTAGGGACCATCAATTAACCCTTCTTATAGCGGTAACGTCTTGGAGCCCGTTCAGCAGTAAAGCTGTGCATTTCAATTTGGCGTCCAGTCTTTAGGATACCAGCAAGTCAAGGAGTTTTGCCGTTCCACAAGAGATAAAAGCAAAGGAAGCTTTGCACCACTCTTGTAGGTAAACTTCGGCTTGTTGAATCCTAAGGTTTACGATTCGCGATGTGTTTCATCACAGAAAAGTTTTTACGGTCACGACGAGTCGGAAAAGTGAAAGTATGACATTTACAGATATCCCCGGCTTGAATAGAGAGGAGGTTTTCACAACCCTGCCCCATCTCCTTGGTCCAGTACTCACCCCCACTCTGTTTTGAGATGCCCTTGATTGGTATCTATCAGGCAGGTCGGGGTGATTTTGGACTAAAAAGTGTGTGGAAGGCCAGGATACGAGTCACGATGAAGAGAAGAGGTGCTTCTTTTTTTTGTGTTCTAGGGAGTTGTTATTGAAGAGGTTTTCTTTTTTTATATCGATTTTGCGTCTGCATGGACAAGCCCTATGTAAATCGCTATAGGTTACGCTTAAAATGTAGAAGGCGACGAGTACTTATCTGTTCAAATTTGGAGCTTAGAATCTAAACATTTCAACATATCGTAACATTTGAAAAAAACCAAGAAGCTTTTTGAAGGTATAGATTTGAAGGATTTGGAAGGGAATACAGCGAAATGAATACAAGAGATACATCACTCAAGATATCAATCCTTTGCGATTCTATAGTTCATTGACGTCAGGTACAGGGATTGTCCCTGCATTGTTGATTGCGGCCCCATGTCGATCTGACTTCTGACTAAGGCAGCCCCGACAATAACACCTGGAGCTTTCTTTGACCCTCCTTTCTCTTACTTCTATCACGCGTCTGCAAAATGTGGATTCTTGAGGTAAGTATTTGATAAAAGCAGAAATATTTCATTCTGCTCTGTTTATTTCATCAGTCAAATGGAAATTACTTTGCTAACAAATGTCTTAAAGCAACTTGCGCGTATCCTCGACCGGCCGCACTTCCCATGGAAGAATGTGCTTGTGGGATTCTCCCTAGGCCAGTTCCTTCTTGAGGGTGTTCTGTCATTCCGTCAGTATAAGGTTCTGCAGCAGAAGACTCCTCCCAAGGTTCTCGCAGGAGAGGTTTCTCAAAAGGTTTACGACCAAAGTCAGGTATGGGATTGTGCAACACCAAAGGGTGAACAGCAAGACTCACATGAGGATTTATTTCAATCTAGGCATACGGTCGCGCCAAGTCCAAGTTCGGTTTTATCTCAGGTCTCTACGGTCAAGTTCAAAATCTCGTTTTCGTCTACGGTGATGTCCTCCCTAAGCTGTGGGGTCTCAGCGGCTTCTTGCTGGCGCGGTACCTTCCCGGTCAATTCCAGGGCGAGATTTCTCAAACGTTACTATTTATCTTCGGTTTCAACATCATCTCCACTATTCTGTCGCTTCCCACCTCGTACTACAACACCTTTGTCCTCGAGGAGAAGTTTGGGTTCAACAAGCAGACACTTGGCCTATGGGTGACGGACATGCTCAAGGGCCAGATGCTGGGAATTGTCCTTGGAACTCCCATCATCAGCGTTATCCTCAAGATTGTCCAGAACACCGGAAACTCCTTCTTCTACTACCTGTGGCTCTTCGGTGTCTTTGTTCAGATCTTCGCGATCACCATCTACCCCATCGTCATTCTGCCGCTGTTCAACAAGCTGTCTCCTCTGGAGCCCGGTACCATCAAGACTGGTGTCGAGCAACTGGCTAAGAAACTAAAGTTCCCTCTGTCTGAGTTGCATGTCATTGACGGTAGCAAGCGCAGTGCCCACAGCAATGCCTACTTCTATGGTCTGCCCTGGAAGAAGCACATTGTCATCTACGATACCCTTCTCGAGAAGAGTGAGCCGGAAGAGGTTGTCGCCGTTCTGAGCCACGAGCTTGGTCACTGGAGTCTTAGCCACACCACCAAGCTTTTCGGTATTGCGCAGTTCCACATGTTCTATATATTTGCCCTCTTCTCTGTCTTCGTCAACAACAAGTCTTTGTACCAATCCTTCGGCTTTGTCAAGGAGCAGCCCATTATGATCGGTTTCCTTCTGTTCTCGGATGCCCTGGCGCCGATGGATGCTGTTGTGAAGCTGCTAATGAACATTCTGAGCCGGAAGTTCGAGTTTGAAGCGGGTATGTTATTTTCCAACCCCCTTGTGCACCATAAATTACATCCATGCTGACATTTTGATAGATGAGTTCGCCCAGGGTCTTGGATTCTCCAATGAGCTTGCGTCGTCGCTCCTGAAGCTGCAGATTCAGAACCTGAGCACCATGGACGCCGACTGGATGTATGCTAGCTACCACTACTCGCACCCTATCCTCACTGAGCGTCTTGCTGCGCTCGGATGGAAGGGTGGCAAGGTCACCGACCTTAAAGCCGAGGATATCGAGAAGCCTGTCAAGGCTGCTGACCGTGAGCTGTAGAGGGCCCGAGATCATGAAGGTTTACATACCATGAAACCCATTGCTCTTTTTCACTTTTTTCTGCTGCAATTTTTGGAACTTCATGCCTATGCGGTGGGAATATAGAGGGAGGGGTCGCATATGAGAAAATATCCAACAATTCTTTGTTTCCAGAAATCTTTGAACTGGATTCAGTCTATGTTGGTAGTTATAACGACGCTTTTTGATCCAGACATGAAATGCATGCGAAAATCACAGATTCAGATCCAGAATACTATATATACCAAAAAAAAAACATTAGACAACAAGATAACTCCGACCCAATGCGACAACGCCTGACAGCTTAAGAAACCAAAGACAAGATCCCAAAGCAAAAGAAGCAGATGACTCCTACTCATTTTACTTTTGCGCCTTGGCCTTCTTCTCCGCAATCCGTCTCTCCTTCTTCAGTCTCTTCCTCTCCTCCTTATCAATAGTCGCAAATTCGCCCTCCTGCTCCTCATAAGCTCCGGCCTCTGTCTCGAATGCCGGCTCCGTCATCTCCAAATCATCTCCATCTCCATTCTCAGCACCATCTTGGCCCTGCTTGCCATCCGAGACCACACCATCCAGGTAGTCCTCATTGGGGTTCTGCTTGGCGACAGTCAGATCCTGTCCCAAAACTTCGCCCGCCAGACCGGCCTGCACGCGCTTCAGGTTGTGGAGAATGAGGTTTGGCGCGGCGGCGGTAGTGCGCGAAACGGGGCCATGCTCGCTGATGTTGGCGTTGGGCTGCAGGGCTGGGTCTGTAGCTGCGCGAGTAAGGTAGGCAGCGAGAAAGTCGTGCGCGGCAGATTGGCTTATGCTCTGCGTGCTGTGGATGGTGGTTGGTGGGAGGGAGGAGGGGCCTGGGTTGTTCATTTTGACGAATTGAGTGAAATTTATCGCATTGATGTATTTGTTTGTGGAAGATTCGGGTATCAGGTATCCCTCGATGTGAATATGAGACCTGGTGGTGTGGTCGGTGGAGGATCAGAGAGCTCTATACATGTAACTTTTTTTTTTCTATCGTCAATCACGGAAAGAATTTCGGTGGCACTAGTCCCGAACGGGTATGCTCAGTCTCCAATTCATGATTATCTTTCATATACTAGTAGTATCAACCAATTCGTGCAATATATAAAAAAAATTAAATAAGTGAATTATACTATTTGCTGAGAAAAATCCTCTACACTGGTCCATATTCTTTACAATCCATTCTTTTATTAAGTGTGCTCCTATAGTCTTGCTCTAGGCGGGTCCGTGCCTGCGGCTCCGCGTTTAATTTTCTTCGACTTCCGAACACCGCGCCGGCATCAAGGAAGACCTCAAAACCTCCTCCCCAACCACATTCAAGTCACTCACCAGGCCACCGACTCCGATATACCGCTATGCTAGGTCTCACTTGCAGGGCCATGCCCTCTCTCCGGGCCCCAGTGTCCAGCACAATGAACAGGTAACGCAACCAGAACAACCTTCAAGGCCATCATCAGCATACACCACTCCACGCCAGCTCACTTCCCCTCATAAACGAACTACTGGCAACATGATACGAAAAACCAGCTTCATTGTCTGATCTTCACTAACATAATCCATTGCCAACAATCCAGAATCTCCCAATTCACACAACAACCTACATCCAGATCATTCTCCTCCCTCCTCACCACCCCAACCCGCCACTTCCAACCAATGCAGCGTTCGTTCCCGACTGCCATTACCGCTTCTGCTCCTACCACCATGACCACTGTCACCTCACCAATTACCTCCCTCCTTGCCGGGCAATCCCAGCTCGGTCAAGGCCAGACCCGCTCTTTCTCCGCATCCGCCTCCCTCGGTGTACGTCGCGTGACCTTCCGGCCATCGCGACGTGTCCAGAAGCGCCGTCATGGCTTCTTGTCACGGAATAAGACACAGAAGGGTCGTCAGACTCTTATCAATCGCCGGTTGAAGGGTCGGAAGAATGCTAGTTGGTAGATCTTTGTTTTTTTTTCTTGGGAGACGTTGTGTTTATACGCGGGCTATGTCCGGATATCATGGATTGCCGGCTACTGCATATCCAGCTGGGTTGAGATAGATGATTGGATTGGTGGGTTGTTCTCGAGACTTCACTCTGTGTGTGCTAGGTCGTATATTTGACCTTCAATTGTATCATAACTACATTATTTTTCATCACTGTGCTTCGCTTTATTAGGCTGTCTGAGAATACATCGCTGTTCAATTCAGCAGTAGATTCTTGATTCTTGATTACTTGCTTCCAAGGTTCGTCTGAGGTCATAATAGTATCCCAAGGTCGTAGTCTAGTATCTATCTATGCGCACAGATATATGATCATCCAGACTCTGTCTGGGCTAGCAGAGCGCTCCAGGAGGTCTCCCGTTCCGAACATCGAAAACCTGTGGACTTGAATCCTGGTCTTGAACAGGGCTTAAGAAGTTTCTTTTGGAGTCTAAAGACTCCAAGTGTGAGTTCTCTAACCCAATGTTGGAAGGTTCCAAGGTTACTCGAGGGCTACCTTTCATATGGATACATTTAGTAAATATTCCCATCTTGGAGGCCTCTATGGCCTAATATGCCTTAATACATGTACCTATATGGGTGGCAACATTCGTGAAACATTTGAAGGCGTTTACTTGTCATCTTCCTCTTCACTCTCCTCGTCGGATCCAGACTCCTCCTCGTCATCCTCGTCATCATCATCTTCGTCATCATCATCCTCGTCCTCATCATCCTCATCGTCCTCCTCCTCACCACCACCAACCTTGAAGCCGTAGTCATCCTCGAATTCCTTCAGCGGTTGAACTGTGGGCGTGAAGCCAACAGACTCAAAGCCAGATTTGATGGGCTATTTTGTAGAAAGAGTTAGTAAATATTTATAATCCCATGGAATAAAGATCACCTACCTCTTCAAGAACAGTACCACAAGTAACAACCAAGTTAGCCGTCTTGGGATCAAAGAGCGGCAAGATGATATCCCGCAGAGCATCCTTGATCTGATCGACACTGATATCGCGCACGTTCTTGAGCATCTTCTCCTTGTAGTCAAGGGGTAGATTGCGCACAACCTGGCGAATGAAACTGCCCTGGGCGGCATTGGCGGCGGTCATCTGCTCGTTGGCAAAGCTGACGACGATGCTGCTAATGGCACCTTCCAGCATCAGTGGGTCGAAGGGCGATGCGCCAGACAGGTGATCTTCGACAATTTGCTTGCTGGCCTCAAAGGCCTTGTGTGCGTTGGGAGACCGGTACACATCAAAGTTGACAAAACCGGTATCGATGTTGTGGGCGAAGTTGGTGCCGTAGGCCAGACCCTTTCCGCGAACGGCCACCCAAAGGGGACCCTCAACAGCGTTCATGTAGGCACTGGCAACAAGTAGGGAAGGTAGCTTGGGGTGGTCATAAGAATCAAGACCACGAGCGGTAGCATACGCGAACGAAGAATCGACGGTGGGCATGGGAACGATGAATGACTTGCCGCCAATTGACTTTCCGGCATCGCTCAGCAGCTCACGGCGATCGGTGATGGGCTTGAGCTCGGTGCTGGTTCCGAGGCGCTCAGCAAACGGCTTCCATGCGGAGACGGGGTTGGTAAGCTTCTCCAGGTCCGCAATGACAACCACGCGGACATTCTCCGGCTGGAACAAAGACTTGCGGATCTCCTCCATGCGGCTCACGATTTCCTCGGGCTTTTCAGCGAGTAGCTTCTTGACACGCTTGAGGTAGCGAGCCTTGACCAAGGTGGATCGAGCGCGGGTAATGGATTCCTCTGCATAGTGAACCATCACATGCACTGCAGCGAGCATGTCATCACCACTACGCTTGGAGTCGGGCACATCAGCCAGAAGTCTGGAGGTAATAGCCCGCAATCTTCCCACGTCAAATATGGTGTTCCAAGACAGTTCCTGGACCCAGGCGATAGCAGTTTCATACTTCTCGAGTTCGACCTGGAAAGAGACGCGCAGCATCTCGGAGTTTCCGAGGGCTCGGGCAGCCTCCATTCCATACCCAACAGTGTCCTTTTCCAGTTCGACAACCACCTGCTCAAAGTCGATGGTCTTTCCATCACGCTGAAGTGGGATGTTGAAGAATGCCTCGGTGAAGATGGACAGAAGGGGACGCAGTTGGATCGGAACGGACTGTGCGGAAAGAAGAACGGAAAGTTGCACGAAGCTGCTGGGGATATGTTCAAAGTGCACGTAAAGGGGTAGGCCCGCTTTGTTAGCGTCGGCATCAATGACATTTTGAAGGGCATTGTTGGGGCGTCCATGCTTCAGAGCAACACCGGAACGAGCAGTAACGGTGTCCATGAAATGAATAGACTCGGTGGATGGAATTTCGAAATCGGCCAGCATCTTCGTTGGGATTTCCTTATCGTTCTCTGCCTTGGCCTTTTCTAGCTTGTCTGCAAGCTCCTTCAGCCCCTTCTCACCGAGGCGCTCTTTCTGGGCAGCAACGCGGGCCTCTTCGTCGCTCTTGAATTTATCAGACAGCTTCTGAGAGGGAACACCCAAAATGGTGACGTGGTTTGCGTCCGAAATCCATTTCTTGATGAATGTCCGCCATTCCTCTTGGTTCCACTTCTCGAGTACGTCGTATTCCTTGAGAGATGCAACATCCCGCATGGTCGAACCATCCCGCTTGCCGAACAAGAAGTCGGTGATAACGTACTCGGCAAAAGATGATGCAGAACTCTCGGTGGCAAACTTCCAGGTACGGCGTTGACGTTCAATGCATTCCTTCAGGTATTTCATGTCAAGGTCTTTCTCCATTGCCTCCTTCAAAATCTCAAAGAATCGCTTCTCCACCTGTTCGAGCTTCTCGGTCTCAACGCTGGTCATGGTGAAGCGAATCTCGATGCTGGGGTGCTCCTCTGTTCCGTAGTAGACAGCACTGGCAAGCTGCTCCTTCTCAACAATGATGTTTTCTAACAGAGAAGCGGATGATCCAGCCAGATAGAGAAGAACAACGTTAAGAGCACCAGCTGTGGCATGGGTTAGTCATTACTTAATCCAGAAGTAGAATTATGTCGGGGACGCAACGTACATTGAACCGAATCATTGCAGTCCGGTCCCAAGAATCTAATTTCAATTTCACCAAACGACTCGTCTTCCTCGGGGAATTCGACTCTCTCAATGACGGACTTTTCCAATGCAGGGGTCTGCTTGGAGTCCACCCAAGGTCTTGTGAATGGGGCAGTCGGGCTCGGGATCACGTCCAAAATGGTATCTTCAAACTTATCCAGAATGTCTAACATGTTCTTCTGATCCACCTCGCCTGTGATAACCAAGCAAAGGTTCTTGGGCTGGTACATCTCACGGTGGAACTCGCGAATTCGCTCGGCGCTCAAGACGCGGAGTTGCTCCATCATACCACCAGTCTCATACCGGAATCCAATTCCAGGGGGGTAGGTCAATCGTTTGGCGGCCAGATCGATCAGCTCAGCTGCGTTGTTCTGCACACCCTGCATCTCTGAGTAGACCACACCAGCATCGTTTCCAGCGCCATCGACGTGGTGCACTTCAGTGTAGCAGCCCTCATCAGTCAAGGTTGGAGCAATGACGTGCTCCAAATAAACAGGTAAGATACGGGCAAAGCCCTCCCAGCCTGCAGTGTCGAGGGTGTATGCTGTGTGATCAGTGGCTGTCCAAGCATTGGTACTGGAATAAACACGAGTTGCTAGCTTATCCAAGAAACCCTTGTAGCGATAGTTGCGGGATCCCATAAAACAGAGATGTTCCAGAGTGTGAGGGGCGCCCGAGTCATCGTGGATCTCGGTAGCAAGCACAAAGTAACCGTTCACCTTTGGACCTTTCTGATCAATAACGACTACTCTCATACCAGTGCGTTGGGACTCATATTCTGCGAACTCGCTCGGCGAGTAGTCAGGTTTGAACTGCTGTAGCAGTTTAAAGTGAGACATATCGGTCAATGGGACTAGCCCAGTGCGCATGTGACGATGGAAACGTGTAAACCTATTTTTTTCTGTTAGTAGATTTTCATGGACACATTATGTGTATGGAATCGCTGGAGCGGCGGTGACGACTGTCCCACCACCTCCGGTGACCATGGACCCCACCGCGGGGTGTTTATGAGACAAATAAGCTCGAAAGTAGCTATCACAAAGGGGCTTTGTAACTTTGGAAGTCTTTGAAACCGATTTGGTAGTAGAAAAAGGTCTGTCGGAAGCAACACAAGAAACCAGAGGCATCCTGGCCAGTCAGGTTCTGCAAACACGCCTTGTAAAAGGCCTTTCTCTCCCAGCTCTCCCAGTGGGATGTGTTACATGGGCGGGGCAGACAGAATTTTGAGTGGTCGAGAACATAAGGGAAATGGTTAGGAAACGACTCACAGGGATCGAGTAATTTGCACCCGACTCAATCCACGCAGATACAACCAAGACACGGTGGGTTTTGAAGCTTGGTTTATAAGTGCTGGAGAGAAGTTTGGGTCCCGTTCCTTACAAAGCGAACGGGTCTCTGGTGCATGTATACCTGGGGAATTATTTCTTTATTGGTGACCAGTCATTACCAACGAATAAGCTTAAAGATTTGGAACTAATATGGGGAATTTTGAATGATCTTGGGGAATATTTGGGTTTGATTCACTGCACTGCTTTTTCAGCCTTGTAGTCTTTTTTTTTCCTAAACAACGCAGAGATGCAGCAAGTAGTAGCTACGTGGGGCGGTGACGCCCAAAGTCACGCGGGTTGTTGACAGCTCGCCGCTTTTCTTGATTTGACCTTACAGTACTAAGTACCGATCATTGGGCTTTGCCAATCTTTCAATAGCTCAGCATTATGCCACAAGTCTCCGAGAGTGAGATATGCCAGGCAGTTCTGGGTTTCGTCACTGAAGGTGCCTATCCTGATGAGAAGGTGGTGGCGGCCAAGTTCCCGGCCGCGGCTCTAGCGAAGGAGTTGGAGCTCATCTCACAGGCTCGAGAGCAAGTAGAAGTAAGTGGCCATGTCAAAGTATTTATCGTGAAATTCACTAAAAAATTTCCGCACAATAGAATGAAATCAGCTCGCTCAGCCGTGAGAACACCTTCGATGCGGACGATTGGATCATCCAAGCAAAGCAACTGCACGCGGATATCGAGCGCTCAAGAGTCACTGCACGAGAGATAGTCTCCCAGCATGAACAAACGGAGCCTCTTCGAGCAAAAGTCGAAGATGCCAGCGCCAAAGTAGCTTTGATCGAGACGGAGATCGCCTTCAATCAGGCTGTGACAGAAACACTCGAGGAGGTGCAGCGACTATGCCAGCAGTTGGAGTCCGGACGTACAACTATGGGGGCTGGTGAAATAACAGCCGCCATTGAACAGCTGGAGTCTACTAAGATGGCTATTGAAACAGATACCCCGTTTTCGAACACCAATGTGATGGGTATACTTTCTGGCGAGGTAGCACGACTGCGAGGGGAGATTGAAGAGGCATTATGTCTACGCTGGAGCGACCAAATGAAGATTGATCGCGCAAAAGGCGAGCTTTGCATTACCGATGACACGGATTCTTTGGATGAGACCATCGTGTCGCTCTCACGACTGGACATTTTCTCATCCGCCAACGATAAATTCCAGAATGCCCTTACCACGACAATCATCGATCCAATTCTGCTACCTCGTGCGGACGGCAGTACTCGTGCCATAGAGATTTCGGTAACAGGTGTCCGTGTTGAGTCTGCGTCTTCTAAGACAACTATTGCAGAAACCCTCAACCGCGTCACGGATGTTCTCAATTACTTGAGGCAAAAGCTTCCATCGTCAATGTCGGCAACCCTTCCTCAATCCTTGATCCCCGCTGTTGCTTCGAAGGCGATATCAGGATTGCTGTCGTCTGCTATTCCAACGACGCTGGTTGGCCTGGAAGACTTTGAAAATACACTGGATTGTGTTCTGCATTTCACCAAGACGATCCAGTCCTGGGAGTGGACTGGCCAGGAAGAATTAGTCTCTTGGGTAAATCAAGCCCCGAGGCTGTGGTTGACTCGGCGCCGGGTTGATTCACTTGATAGCGTGCGGAAAGCAATCGCTGCTAGTAAGGGTACTACTAAACAAGTTGAAAGAATTGAAAAGGAGAAGGTCTCTCAGGCGGATGAAGCGCTCCTGGAGAATGTCACCACTGATGATTGGGATGCAGACTGGGATGACGAGAAAGAAGAAGCACCCGCGGCCTCGGCGACCTCTCGGTCTGAAGAGGATGAAGAAGATGTCAGTGCATGGGGTCTCGATGAGGAAGAAAATGAGGTCGCGGCCAAGCCTGAACTGGCTAATGAGCCCGAAGAGGACGATGCAGATGATGCGTGGGGGTGGGGTGATGATGACGAAGAAGAGAAGGGCGATGGAAATAAAAAGCTTCCAGTTGTCACTGAAAAGAAGCCCACGGGCGGAGAAAAAACTGCTCAGCCCTCACTGCCGAAAGAAGTGGTTCTTAGAGAAGTTTACACGGTCACCGATATTCCAGATTCTATTCTTGAGATCGTACTCCAGCAGATCTTCGATTCCAAGGATATTACTCAACCTGCGTGAGTATACAATTCTCTTCCATTGCCCTCTCATTCATTTTAACTAACGGACACTAGGCATTCTAAGTCTCGTGTAGCCTCATCTGGCGCTGGTCTACTTGCCCTGCCTACTTTGATTCTGGCCATGTTCAAGGCCACCTCATCGTCCTTCTACTCGTTGAAGCTCAATTCGGGGCAAATGTATCTTTACAATGACAGTTTGTACCTCGCTGGCCGTGTTCGAGAGCTCATTGAAGATCACGAGCTTTCCAGGCTCACCCCCGATGTTGAAGCTCTGGAAAGATTTGGCAAAATTGCTTATAGCAAGGAGATGCAAACTCAAAGCACCATCGTTAGCGACCTGCTGGATGGCACTCAAGGGTTTGGACAATGCTCTGAACAGCCCTACAAAACAGAATGTGAAAATGCTGTTAGTGCAACGGCTGACCGGATTCGTGATGTCTACAAGGAATGGCAGCCCATCCTTTCACATTCCGCACTACTCCAATCCATTGGATCTCTCTTGTCCACCGTGATTGGTAAAATCATCATGGATGTTGAGGACCTTGGTGATATCTCCGAGGATCAGTCCAAACAACTGGTTTTTTTCTGCAACCAAATCTCCAGGTTGGAGGATCTTTTCATGCCGGAGTCTGCCGCTGATTCTGAAGCCGTTCCCGTCACAGCCGTCTATGTTCCGAACTGGCTTAGATTCCAGTATCTGATCAACATTTTAGACAGCTCATTGGCAGACATCAAGTTCTTGTGGGTAGAAGGAGAGTTGAGTCTAGAATTCTCCATGGACGAGGTGATCGACTTAATTGTCGCACTGTTTGCAGAGTCCGACTACCGCCGACGGGCTATCGCAGATATTCGACGAGCACCTCGGGAATGAGCTATTGCTTTATTGAATTCAAACATTAGCCGGTCAATAGAAATAGAAAATATGACTGCATATGTGGTATACTTTAATTTTTGGACTAGGGTGTAGTATGTACTACTACTAGTAGTATGTACTAAATAGTTTATCTGCATCTTTATCTCCGCACTCTGCGCAAGTGTGCCGCACCGGCTACCGTAATTTTTTCTCACATTTCGCAGACTTGCTCAATTTGCGACAGCCACCAGATTTAAGTCCCCGATACCAATTTTGGACTAATTTTTGCCCATCATGAGTGACGAACAAACCACATCTGGCGTTGAGGCCACACAGAGACAGGTCCGTGTGCAGCTTACGAGTCAGCAAGAGGATATTGCTCTGCCTGAGAACACTGGTCCTATTCTCGTTCCCACCGGTATGTATACACTACGCCATTCTGACCATCAGGATTGTTTCTGTTATCTTGAATAATACTCATGCTGAATCTATTGCAGGCCTGCGACGTTATGCGTTGTCAACATTGGTTAACAACCTTCTCTCGAGCGAGAAGCCGATTCCGTTCGAGTTTTTGATCAACGGCACATTCCTACGGACCTCAATTGATGAGTACCTGACTGCCAATGGCATCTCCGCCGAGACTACCCTCGAGATTGAATATGTCCGAGCTTTGATTCCCCCACTGCACATTGCGTCTTTCGAGCATGACGACTGGGTTAGCGCTACCGACGTCCTCTCCGAGGCCTCGCCCGCTGCATCCTGGGCTTCGGGCGCCACTTTCTCCAAGGGCCAGGAAAGAATTTTGTCTGGCAGCTACGACGGTCTGCTCCGGATATGGAACATGTCATCTGAGATTGTTGCGACCTCCATCGGCCCAAGCGACGGAGGACACACTGCATCCATCAAGGCCGCCAAGTTTGTCTCGCCAAATCAGATTGCCTCGGCTGGTCTTGACCGGACAGTTAGACTGTGGAAATACACCGAAGATGCGAGCGATTTCACTGGAAAAATTACTCCTCAGCTGGAGCTTTACGGACACAAGTCCGGCATTGAATCATTGGCTGTACACGGACGGTCTAACCGCCTTCTGACCGGTTCTTCGGATAACAATGTTGGTTTCTGGTCTACAAAGAAGGCCGATGCCCCCGCTGCCCCCGAAACCCTGCTTCCATCTAGCAGTGCCCGTAACTCCAAGCGTCGCAAGCTCAACGCCGCGGCCTCCTCTGTTAGCACTGCGCAGCGTGGACCTCTCGCTCTTATGTCGGGACACACAGGAACCGTGTCTGCAGCTATCTTCGACGCAAAGGATTCTACTGTCGGTTACTCTGCTTCTTGGGACCACTCCCTGCGCACCTGGGATTTGGTCACTGCTGCGTTGGTCGACACCCGCACCACCTCCCATTCGCTTCTCTCTCTCGAGCACCTCCCCGAGCACAACTTGCTCGCTGCCGGAACCGCTGCCCGCCACATCACCTTGATTGATCCTCGTGCCTCTGCCGCCACTGTTGCGTCCATGACTCTTCGCGGTCACACTAATGCCGTGGTCAGCTTGGCTCGCGACCCGCACAGTGCTTACGGCCTTATCAGTGGTAGCCACGATGGCACATGTCGAATCTGGGATATCCGGTCGACCAAGACCGATAAGGATGGTGTCGTGGGTGAGAGTGTCTACTCGATCACTCGCAAGAGCCTTGAGGAGGAAGGCAAGGCAGAGAGCAAGCGCGTTGGTGGTGAAGGTGTCAAGGTTTTCAGTGTCTGCTGGGACCCTACGGTGGGCATTGTCAGTGCGGGTGAGGATAAGCGGATCCAAATCAACCGTGGCGAGGGTGTTTTGTCCTCTAAGTAGATTGCACATATGGGCTTGGCGTTTTAGAAGTGGTCTTGTTAAAAAGTTTTCGAGTTCTAGTTTTGTTTTACCCAAGATTTCTAGCCATTTATTTCCTTCCACTTTATGAACGTGGATAAATAGATATTGAGTTCATCTACAAAACACTGGAGTATCATACCAAGGTTTCAAAGTTTTCTACTGTAGTAGTAGAAATAAATTTTGAGCCACTTCTATACATCTAACCTATAATACAGTGATAGAGAGAGGGAATATTCACACAAATATGCTAGCACCAGCGGCCAGTATGAAGAAGAAAACGCCAATATGCCTGCCGTCAAAGACGCAGCCTTGCCATAAAATCAATATACCTGGAAAACAAGGGAGGCATCAGTCTTATAGACGGCGCTCCATACGGTTCAACTTGACAGGGGTTTTAATCTATCGTAGCCTCGTTAGCGCATGATCTCCATATACCATGTGGTAATTCGCAGCGCCGTAGGGCGCGGAGAACCAAAAAGCAAAGACGGAGAAAAACCCACCTGTGTGCGTGTTCGCTGTCCTCGCACGGGCAAACCAAGCGCATGTCGACGGCCACGGTAGGTTCCGGTCTCCTTCAAGCGCTTAATATCATTGAGCACCTCTCGGCGCAAATCGTTCTCAATCTTCATATCCGAAAGCACGGCGGTCAAATCGAGAACCTGCTTGTTGGCGAGCTCGCCGACGCGGCAAGTGGGATGGATGTTGAACCGGGCGAGAAGGCGGGAGGAGGTGTTGTCTCCAATTCCAAAGAAGGTGCCAAGGGACTTCTGTTGGTTTCTGTTAGTTCGTAGTTCGTGGTTCGTCGGGTGCGGTCGATGGAGGGATTGCTTGCCTTTAATAGGTTCCGCTCAGGGAAGTTGACGCCGAGGATGAAGACCTAGGATAGGAGATTTGTTAGGTTGATGGTTCACTAAGAGGCTGGGTAGGAATAAAGACGGGGTTTTCTACCATCTTAAAAGGGCTGATTGGTGGTCAATTGGGGATATCCTTTGCTGCTTTTGCAATTGCTCTTTTGCTCTTCTCGAGTGCAACTCCGGAATAGATTAGATAGGATAATGGGCAACAAAGTTTATCCGATCGGGGATGTCTCCTAGCAAGTACGGAGCAAGAATAGCATACTAAAGTGTAGCGAGTAGATAAGGGTTACTGATGTTTTGACTTGAGATTGATTTAGATCATAATTAAAGCAATACTGGTAAATCCGCAAATTCTCTAGTTACACATTATATTGGTATAGTAATGGATTATAGGGTAGGATAGTACTAGTAGGTATGCGTCTATATGGGACAGCCAGTCAGCATGCTACTCTTAGTCAGAAAGCCCAGACCGGGAGCACCAACTGGTAAATGAAAATCTTTAATGAAAATTCTAATTGTAAATTTCAATTACCAACCTTACCGTACCGTGACCAAGATTACGCACGCAAATCTCCCACCGACGTCGTATAATATGGTCCACAGTGACAATACCAGACATCGCTACCTATGCTCTACCTAGACACACAGGCCACCCAAGCTAGTCGGACCCTGTACCTTGGAAGTACATGATTTGCCTCCTTCCCACAGACGCAAAACCTGCCCTCACTCTTCTTCTCCTCTGATCCATCCATCATCCCTTTTTTTCCCACTCCACTCATCCCCCTCTTTTTTTTCATTTCTTGGTGCTGTTCAAGTTCTTAGAAGTGGGAGATTTGCATTTTTTTGTCTTTCTCTCTGTGTGTGTCTAATTCCCAGTCGTTTTAACGATCCTTTTTTTTCTTTCCTATCAAGTGGGAAGGCAAAAAAAAAAAAAAACCGGAGAGCAACAATTTTATCCTCTGTCTCTTACTCTTTAAGGTAACGAACGCGCTTTTGGTGACTTCCATTTTGTTTTGATTACTCTCGGAATCTCTACTTTTCCAGCAAAAGAAGAAGTCGTCTACAATACTTCATTATATCCCACGCCACCATACACCTTCGAGAAGAATACCAGCAAACTAATCTATTATATATTATTCCACCTCCAGACCCTCTAAATCAACCGCAAACATGGCCGACGGACTGCCAATGGGTAACCTCTCTATCAACGAGTCTCAGCACGCTCCCCAGGGATCCAACCCCCCTGGTCGCGCTGCCTATATCCCTCCCCACCTACGTTCCCGCGGCGGTGCTCCCGCCCCGGATGCTGTCGACGGCCCTGCCCCCGGCCCCGGCTTTGGTGGCCCTCGGTACCGTGCCCTAAATTCCACACTCGTATCTTTGTTTCAACTAACGTCAAGCTGATTTTCTAGCAACGGACCCCGCGGTGGTAACTGGGCTAATGCTAATGCCCCCGACTTCAGCCCTCGTGGACCTTCCAACGGTAAATTAGGCCCGATTCCCCAAGGAGATATCCGGTCCTTCAATCCCCATGCTTACGGACACCCAGGACAAGGAAATTCTTACAGCGGCGGCGGTGGCGGTGGTGGCAGCGCTCCCCGTGGATCCGGAGACGGCCAGTGGCGCGACGGCAAGCACATTCCCGGACCTGCCAACGCCCGTGTCGAGCGCGAGCTGTTCGGTGTGCCCAACGATCCCTCCAAGCAACAGACCGGAATCAACTTCTCCAACTACGACGACATCCCCGTTGAGGCTTCGGGTAACGATGTTCCCGAGCCCGTCAACACCTTCACCAACCCCCCTCTGGACGACCACCTCATCTCTAACATCAAGCTGGCTAGCTACGTTACTCCTACCCCTGTGCAGAAGTACTCTGTGCCCATTGTCATGAACGGCCGTGATTTGATGGCCTGTGCTCAGACTGGTTCCGGAAAGACTGGTGGTTTCTTGTTCCCCATCCTCTCCCAAGCCTTCCAGAACGGCCCCTCCGCTGTTCCTACTCAGGCATCCGGCCAATTCAGCTACGGCCGCCAGCGCAAGGCCTACCCTACCTCTCTTATCCTTGCCCCCACTCGTGAGCTGGTGTCTCAGATCTTCGACGAGGCCCGTAAGTTCGCTTACCGCTCCTGGGTCCGCCCCTGTGTTGTGTACGGTGGTGCCGACATTGGCTCCCAGCTGCGCCAGATTGAGCGTGGTTGCGATCTGCTCGTTGCCACTCCCGGTCGTCTGGTCGACTTGATCGAGCGTGGTCGTATCTCCCTCATCAACATCAAGTACCTTGTTCTTGATGAGGCTGATCGCATGTTGGACATGGGTTTCGAGCCCCAAATTCGCCGCATTGTTGAGGGTGAGGACATGCCCCGTGTCGAGGACCGCCAGACTCTCATGTTCTCCGCCACTTTCCCCCGTGACATTCAAATGCTCGCTCGCGACTTCTTGAAGGACTACATTTTCCTGTCTGTTGGTCGTGTCGGTTCCACTTCGGAGAACATTACCCAGAAGGTTGAGTACGTCGAGGACGCTGACAAGCGCTCCGTTCTGTTGGACATCCTACACACTCACGGTACCACCGGTCTCACCTTGATCTTCGTCGAGACCAAGCGTATGGCAGACTCCCTCTCCGATTTCCTGATCAACCAGCGTTTCCCTGCTACCGCCATTCACGGTGACCGTACCCAGCGTGAGCGTGAGCGTGCTCTGGAGATGTTCCGTAACGCTCGTTGCCCCATCCTAGTCGCCACTGCCGTTGCTGCTCGTGGTCTCGATATCCCCAACGTTACCCATGTCATCAACTACGATCTGCCCACTGACATTGACGACTACGTTCACCGTATCGGTCGTACCGGTCGTGCCGGTAACACCGGTATCGCCACTGCTTTCTTCAACCGTGGCAACCGTGGTGTCGTCCGTGACCTGCTCGACCTCTTGAAGGAGGCTCACCAGGAGGTTCCTGCTTTCTTGGAGAGTATTGCTCGCGAGGGCTCTGGCTTTGGTGGCCGTGGTGGTGGTCGTGGCGGCCGTGGCCGTGGCGCTTCCAACGCTACCCGTGACGTTCGTCGCTTCGGCGGTGGCAGCGGTATGGCTGGTGCCGGCCCTTCGGCCAACTTCAGCAGCGCCTACGGTGGCGGCGGCTCCTCCTACGGAGGTGGCAGCAGCTACGGCGGTGGAGCTCCCTCCTACAGCAGCGGCGGCGGCGGTGGTAGCTACGGTGGTGGTGGTGGTGGTGCCTACGGTGGCGGCGGTGGTGGTAGCTACGGCAACCCCTCTGGCCCTACCGGCCCCTCCTCCTGGTGGTAAATTCGTCGTGGTCCGATGACGAGGCCGTCGAGTTTGATTGACTTCCAATTTTCCTTGTTTTCTCATTGTCTCTCAATGACGGGTACGCACGAGCAGAACGAGCCCTGTGGACTTCCTTCTCTTCTTAGCTGTTTCTCAGAGACGGCTTTGTCATGACTCGACGACTTTCTTATGCGTTGTTTAGATCTTTATGTCTTCCTTTCTCTTTTATTTCTGCACTTTCATGTTTTGCTCTTGCGACCGCTATATGCTTTATGGCTTTCTTTTATTTCTGTATTTGTCTTATCTGCTTCCCATTTCTTCTGGGCTTCCACTCTAGCCTTGTTTAGACATGGGGCGTTCGAGCAGTCTGATCTCTTTTGTTGCTCTGGGTTTGACATTTTGTTCGGAGCAACCGGCGATCTGTATTGCATGAACATGATAGATTGCGTTGTTTTTTTTACTGTGTCCGCTCTCATCAGATACCCCTTATGTTCGAACGTTCCCAATCGTGGGGACTACGTTCGAATGACGCGTTCACGCCGAGCGAAGAGTTACCGGCCTTTTCCTCATCTCTTCGAAAAAAGTGCTTTTTCCTATATCTGCATCACTCGGCGCTTTTATGGCTGCATTTTCGGAATCTGCAGCATAGACGTCTGACAGCGTCGGTATCTTATGGCGGACAGTTCTTTGCGTGTCTCTTTTATGTGCTCCTTCCGCGTGTTGTTCTGTGGTGCAATCCTCTTCTTTCTATCAATGACTCGAAGCCTGCGATTCTTGTTCTCCGGGCTGATCGAGGCGACCAACGAGGTGGTTGTACACTTAGACGGGCTGGTTATTTGCATTATTTCGTCGGTGTACGTTCCAGGTGGTTAGGCAAAAGGATTTCTTGCATTCTGTATGGCGTTCTGACCTGCAACTGGGCGCCAAAAAAACAAAATTTCTTGTTTTCTGTTCCTTCCAAGACTTTATCTCGGATCGTGGAGAATGGGACGTCGGCGCTGAATGAATGGTTTTCGCATGCTTCTAAGTGATGGCAAAAGCAAAACAATTCCAAGCTTCTTGCAAGTATCGAGAAGGAAAGCTCTCCTAGTTCAATGCTATTCTTTCTAAACGAAAAAAAAAAATTCCACCCAATCCCTCCCTGCCTTGTCGTTACTGTAGACAAAATCTCACTTCCCGCTGTTGTAATGTAGAAGACAAGACGGAAGTACTTATATTCGAGTTCATCGGTGTAGATTTAATTAAATCATGGTGACCAACTGATTGAATAGATTCTAATTAGTTTGCTAGACTTGCATTAGTAGTCCATTATTCAATTCACTACAGAATTGATCATAGATCTTTTAAAAACTTGAATCATCTCATGTAAATTGTGGACATCCGTACACGGCCATGTTACGCGGATCCTGGATGCGGGTAGTTATCACACTTCACCAATGGATACTTTCAAACGCTCATTTGTCCCTTCCCGTTTCTTTCCTCCTGTCCACACCTTCCTTAACGCTTTTCCTTTGTCTTTTTCGATCCCCTTTTCTTCAATCTTCATTTTCATCTCCGATTCTTCCTTGCGAATCCATTACTTCTATACATCCGCATCTTCAATAATCCACTCGCTCCTCCTAGGGGGGGCGATATCATCACCTCAGAACCTTCAATTTCCTAGACTTAGGACCGTTCCTACAAAGCGCGAATCCTGGGTCGCAATCATCGCACAAAATGGCCGACGTCGAAACTCCGACAATGGACGAGTCGTTCCCTCCGTCCGAGACAGCGGATGATCAGTCCCATGGAATAACCGCCAGCGCGACGGTCGGCACACGACGCCAGGCGAATGGCACGATCGGTTCCGTATACTCAGGCAATAAGATCCGGCATCTGAAGAAAGAAGACGGCATTCCGCTTTGGCGCAAAGACATTCAATACCAGTTCCTCAAGCTTGTCTTTGAAGATAAGACACCTGCCTTCACGCGGTACCCTGACGGCGAGAAGAACCTCGACTTCGCCGACATTTACATCGATGCCATGGCGAGAAGCAGTAAGACAAGCAAAGTCCTCAAGGACAAGCTACAAAATGACAAACCGGCTGCCATCAGCATGGCGATGGTCTGTTTGTTGGTCAATTTTGGCCGCATGAACACCACCCTCAACTGTAAGCTCTCTTTTTGAACATCCTTGTTCGGTGGTCGCAAAGCTGATGGCTTGATCTCTTTTTCTTTTCTAGTCTTCCCCGAAATGCGTGCTCAGTTACGGACCTACCACTCGATCCCTTCCCTGCAAGCTCATCAGGACACCAACGCCTACAAACAACTGCAGGATGCTCCGCGCCTGAAGTCCATCCTGAAAGGCGCCTCGGAAGATGTCGATCAACCGAACACTTTAGAAAAGATCAAACGCCTATCTATACCCCGGACAAATCCCGTGAACCTCATCTTCGTTTTGGCACAGTATGCACCTAAGGTGTCCGAGACACATTTCTTCCCCCCACGTGACTTTTTCGATTTGGTGATGCGATCCACGTTGAGCAGTAAAACTCGAGCCAAGGCGTTTTTGTGGCTGATGTGGTGGTATCTGGAGAGCGATTTCAGCCGTGAGGCTGCTTTGAACAATCCATTTGGTCCCGGGCTGGAAGGGGAGGGAGCCGAGGGCTTGCCGTTAAAAGTGCCATTATTTGACAGCTTAACGGAAGAACAAGCCAATGAGGAGAATATAGATACACCAGAGGAGTTGGAATATGGAGAGACGAAGAGACTGGAGCGCAAACGTGAGTGTTTATCTTTGCCGCTGTTCATTCCCGCACACTGACATCTTTTAGGCATTCTTGAAGAAGACGAGCCTCTCCCCCGGGTTGTTGTAAAGCGCCCAAAGAAAGGTATGTCATTTCAATCATCCTTGTCCTACATTGATTCGGTAGGAGCTAATCATATATGGTATTCACTGCAGAGTTCGGTTTAGATGAAGAATCATTTGCGGGAGACTACTCTGGTTTAGGTGGTCGCAATTCCGCCATGTCCACGCCTCTTCACCCGTCCGCTAAGCGGAGCTTGGATGATGACGACGATGAAATGACTCCTGGATCTTCTCGGCCGCGCAGCAAGCAAGTAAAACGAGACTCGTCTCTCAACCGAACTGTGGGCCAACAACGCCTCATTTTGAAGACCAAAATGGACCAAACACCCAATGCCTCCCCTGCTCCCTCAGGCTCTGGACTTATGGACCGCTTCGTTCCGGAGCCTTTACTTACGCAGTCCAGCAGTCGTCGACCACGCCCTTTGACACAGCACCAGATTGCCGTGGAACAGAATCGTCGACAGCGAATTGAGTACTTGCTTGCCAAGCGACGAACCAATGCATACCGCGTACTTAGCGCCAAGCGTACTAGCGAGATCCCCTTTGGCCGATATGGTCGTCTGTTGCAGAGTTTACCAGAGGGGTATGACACAGAGGATGAAGAGGGGTCATGGGGTAAGGGAGGATTGCTTCCGAATCCCCAGGGTGAGGATGACTTTGGCGAATGCGCAAACTATTTCCTTTCTGTCGTCCGCAAGGCCACTCGACGTCTTGATCGCTGGGATTATGAAGACGCTAACGGTCCGAAAAAGGATCGTCAAAAGGAGCGTGAAGACCGACAGAAAACCAAGGCCGCTCTTGAGGCTGATCTTCGGGCCGCGAGCAATCGTTCTCGTCCCCGTCCTTCCCGTGGTGGTGCAGCCGCGAAGCGCAAATCAACGGGTCCCACGTCTACCCCCGGAACCGCCAAGAAGTCGGCTTCACGCCCCAAGGGTGGTAGTAGCCGCCTTGCTGGCGAATATGCCGGGGGTGACGAAGAGGCGGACGGAGAATTGGACGATCTTGATCGTGAGTTGTTGGGAGAGGGCTCTGGTGACGATGATGGTCCGCAACGCGCCGGCTCTCCGGTTGACGGAGATTCTTCGGATGACTCTGGGGACGACGATGATGTGGTTGATGGCGATGAAATCTCATCTGCTTACGATGGCCCCAATGGCTATACAAGACACCACAGCTCGTCCCCCGTTCCCGGAGCCGGTGAACAACGAGAGGGTGGGGACGATGCCATGGAAGATTAAGAAAAATTCGGACATCATTATCATCTGTGTTATGACATCAATTTTTACCTAGTACTTTGAATGTTTTGGGATTTACTCCGGGGTCAATTGTGATTATTCTAGTTAATATAGGGCTTGTTTCAAGGTTTCCAAGGTCGTTGTTCGTTTGTTTTGAATGTTTTGTTTTTTTTTCGTGTTACACTTGATCCCCTGCACTGTACACTTGGACAACATTTGAAGAGAGCCCCAATACATCAAAAGGATTGTTTCGGATATTTGATTTATTATAATTCTTCCGAACATTTCAATACTACTATTCCAAAATCCCATGAATGTTGCACTTTCTGTCCAGCAACTTCCAACATTTGAACTTTTTATCAGTGCACATGTGCGGTCCGGGTCAACCTGTGGAGGTGTGTACATATATACATTTAGATAGACACCAGGTGCACATATATACATATTCATATCCACGGATGTTCATCCATGAATGGCTGGAGCGCTTAGTCTGGAAGTTGGGCAGTCTAAGACAGACAGAGTTCACTGTCATCAATTGACATCTGGATGGAAATTTCAATAGCCAAAATTGAAGAGTTACTTGTAATATACCTACCAATCCCCACGAACGATCGCCCACAGGTTATTGATGATCACCCACCCCATGCGCTGCCAAGCCTCCGACGGTGAAGACTGAGTCTCCAGTATGACCTCAACAACTCCAGCAGTTTTACCCAAGGCCCACCATTGGTGGAGTGATCGGAGGTCGATACGATGTACATTGTGCGCGCGTCGTGGTTTCACGTCTTTGGGGGGGTTTCCAGGTCTACAGTCAAGCGATGCGGGGACCTGAGTGGTGCAACGATGAGCATGCTCCGCAAGACACTCCAGCTCATGCATTGATGAAGGTCTGTGTACCAGAAGGATATGATTGCATGACCTCGTATTGTATTCGAGCTCCATGCGTGGGGATAGCTTGCCACTCGTTCCCAGTGCCACAGTAACTCCGTAACAATGTCATATTCCATGTGATGGCCCCTCTTTTCCAAGGTTGGAGATTTCCCCTCCCTTGTACTCTCTGCCACATGTATATTCTAAGGACTTTGATTTCTATTTTCCTCCCTTTTACATTCCCTCTGCACTTTCTCTTTGCTATTGCAGTGAATATACAATCTCTCTTCCCTTGAACCTCGGAACCATCGTCATTGACAAGATCTCCGCGGCCACTTTCCCCACTTTGAAAAACAAAAAGAAGAGCAAATCAGATCGAGTTGCTGAACAAGACGTGAACGAGTCATTCTGGCCAACGGCATCGAGTGGATTCCTAAGGTTTCCAAAACGTCTCCGAAAGTACTAAAAAGGGGTCCGAAGACCCTTACAGTACCTGACGTATTCTTTCTCAACACTTTTGTTCTTTGATTTGCCCAACAAGGTCCATTGTTCCGATATCTATTCAGGAACTAAACCTATTTTAAAAATAAAGGTCTTGGTGCTTTTTTTTTTTTCCTGGGTAAGTAACGGTCCGTAAGGGGGAAAAGTGATCTGATCCTTTTTTAGCTCGCAGTGGAGTCACTATCGAGAAATTTCGCTAACACATGCACCTGTTCAGACGCGTCGCACTTAATTTTCAGCTCAGCGCTCTGTCAGATTCTCTTTCGAAGAAACTCCGTTGAAAGTGATCAGCAGTTTTGCATTCTTCCCCAGACGGTATTTAGACTTTAACCAGCTCAAACCTGCTCCGAACTCGATTTGTCCCTCCCGCACCGAACACCAACTCACCAGCAACATGGTGGAACAACCTCGCATTCTGCGGCCACGCCCGCGTCGCGCATTCGAAGTCCCTTCAAATGACTCCTCCGGCCCTCCCACACCTGCCGAAGCCTCCAATCCCGACCTACTGAACCCCAATCTCAGCATCAACCCCAACTTCCCAGAGGGCTCAGCCTCCACGAGCGTAAGCCGTACTGGCTCTATCTTGAACCTGACGTCCTCTACCCTCTACGGTATCTACCAGCCCACCGCATTCGACAGTCTCCGCGATGAGAACAGCCCCTGGGGGACGGAGGCAAACTCCCCAGCAGCCGAATACCCGCCCGAGCCGTCACAGAGCGCCGCGTTGAAATCAGCCATTGAGCCTCGACCGTTGGCTTTGCGGCGCACACGCTCACGTCTCAGTCAGGGCTTGTTCCGTGGTGTCATCTTGCCACAGGTCATGAGCAGTGCACTGCTGTTCGGATTTGGTATTGTCTATGGCGTGATTACTGTGCATTTGCATGATAACCACTGGATTACACCTGTCAAGCTGGAGAACATTCATTACTACGATTCGTGGCAGTACTTGGGTTTCTGGGGACTGGCGGGTATTGCGCTGGGCAATGTGCTTCCTTGGCTGGATAGCTGGCGGGATAGCGAGTCGATGCGCGAAGAGCAGTCAAAGCGTGCCCGGAGCGATGATGATAATGAGGATCGGACTCCGTCGTGGGTGGCTGTTGCTCGCAGCGTTGGTGCGTTTGTTGGAATTGCATTTGCCATGGTAAGTACTACACACATCTACGTTTGCTCGTTTGCTTTCATCTTTTATTACCCAGTTCGGTTTGTTGATTTTTTTTCTCTCTCAAAATTTAGCGTCGCCTCCCCTGGGAATCTACGACTCAAGCCTCGCTTACCCTCGCCCTCGCAAACCCTGTCCTGTGGTACCTGATTGACCGCACTCAGACTGGCTTCCTGCTGGCGACAGCCGTGGGCGTCGCGGGCATGAGCGTGGTGCTGGGTCTGAAGCCTGAGCTGATCCCGGCATCCACTGGCCCGTCGGTGGGCACTACTTTCCTCAACGGAACTGGTTGGGAGAATTCATTGGGAGCTGGCATTACTCAGGAGAGTATTGCAGTCCGCACCTGGGTTGCCAGTGTGATTTTCTGCGCCTGTGTTTGCTTTGGTAACATCGGCCGTCAGCTCGCCATTGGGGCCAACCGCAGAGAGACCCTGAAGTCGTGAAAGCAGACCACGAGGAAGAGGATGCATGTTTGTTGACAGTCTATGATGGGTGGCTTCTCCATCTATTAAGAACAATGTCACCGTGTAAAGTCTGGAAGGAAATAATGGCCATGTAAAAAATGCTTATACGGAGAATTCTTTGTTTTCTGTTGGCATCAAGCACGAAGGCAAATAAAATTGTAATAGAAACTAGCTCGAAATATAATATATTCCACTCTTAAGAAAAAGATCCGGCCAACATTAAGACGCAGATATTTTACAATCTTGATTTTCAAATAAAAGAAAAAACAAAATATAGAGCGTGTTTGATGATTTGTAGAGTCAATCATTGCAGTTCCTTCCATGAGACCCGTAGGTCAGGCAGGCACTGCACCCAAGATCGACACTGTGCGTACACTCGGTCTCCATTCTTTATACGATTTCCATACTTCATGAGACGAATCCTCGTAGGAACGCTTTTGAAAGAAGGTGATTTTTTGCGTTGTTCATGAAGAAGAAAAGAAAAAGAAGAGGAAATGCCGCGCGCAAAATTTGCTTTTGTGCTCGAGCGGAGATCACGTGAGAGATGGATACCATGACTCAGCCTAGCTTCCAATTGGCTGTAACCTGTTACTGTGCCCCTCCGACCTTTAGTGGAGCTTTTATTGCGTATATTACGTATCCATACGAGCGTACTGTAAATCACCGTCCGATTGCGGCCATGAAAAAAGACCCCGCGGCGGGACAAATTGTTTCTTTTTTCCACTCTCGTTCAAGCTGATATACACCTTGTACGCTTGGATTTAGGTATGTAAAAACACCTTGATCTACACTTTGAATTGGATTCGAAGCTTCCATCCGAGCTTAGGTTGCATTGGAGTTGCCTCTTGTTGACCCTGACCTTGTTTTTATAGTGTCGACATCATGTCTCAAAAGTCCGGTAGGCGCTTCTTGGCCTTGATACCATTCCCCCGGATTGAGGGTACAGTTGGCTGATTTTTTTTTCAATTGGGCTTTGGGTATAGCTATCATCTCCGTCTATGACAAGACTGGACTGCTTGACCTTGCCAAGGGTCTGAACCAGCAGAATGTCCGTCTTCTTGCGTCTGGCGGTACCGCTAAGATGATCCGTGAGGCCGGATTCCCCGTCGAGTAAGTTATTCCATTGAAAATGACTCAAGGATGAGTGGGATTTTCTGTATCTTTTGGTGGTCTAGTAACTAACCGATTGTTCTTCAGGGATGTCTCCGCCATCACCCACGCCCCCGAGATGCTCGGTGGCCGTGTCAAGACCCTCCACCCCGCCGTTCACGGCGGTATCCTCGCTCGTGACATCGAGTCCGATGAGAAGGACCTTGCTGAGCAGAAGATCTCCAAGGTTGACTTCGTTGTCTGCAACCTGTACCCCTTCAAGGAGACCGTCGCCAAGGTTAACGTCACCATCGACGAGGCCGTCGAGGAGATTGATATCGGTGGTGTGACTCTGCTCCGCGCCGCGGCCAAGAACCACAAGCGTGTGACTATCCTGTCCGACCCCAAGGACTACTCCGAGTTCCTTGCTGAGCTCGCCGCCGGTCAGATCACTGAGGCCAGCCGCAAGCTGTACGCCCTCAAGGCCTTCGAGCAGACCGCCGACTACGACTCTGCCATCTCCAGCTTCTTCCGCAAGGAGTACGCCGGTAACGGTGAGCAGCAGGTTTCTCTGCGCTACGGTATTAACCCCCACCAGAAGCCTGCCTCCGCTTTCATGCCCCAGGGCAAGCTGCCCTTCAAGGTCCTGAACGGCTCCCCCGGCTACGTCAACCTTCTGGATGCCCTGAACGCCTGGCCCCTGGTCAAGGAGCTCAAGCAGGCTCTTGGATTCCCCGCTGCTGCTAGCTTCAAGCACGTCTCCCCCGCCGGTGCTGCTATCGGTGTCCCCCTCACCGAGAAGGAGCGCAAGGTCTACATGGTCGATGACATCAAGGGTATCGAGACCTCCCCCCTTGCCCAGGCCTACGCCCGTGCCCGTGGTGCGGACCGCATGTCCAGCTTCGGTGATCTCCTCGCTCTGAGCGACATCGTCGATGTCCCCACCGCCAAGATCATCTCCCGTGAGGTGTCCGACGGTGTCATCGCTGCCGGTTACGAGCCGGAGGCTCTTGCCATTCTTTCCAAGAAGAAGGGTGGCAAGTACCTCGTCCTCCAGATGGATGAGAACTACTCCCCTGCTGCCGAGGAGACCCGTACCATTTACGGTGTCCAGCTCACCCAGCACCGCAACGACGTTGTCATCTCGCCCAGCAAGACCTTCAACACCGTTATCACCCCCAAGGACCTCAAGACCCTCCCCGAGGCCGCTCTCCGCGATTTGACCGTTGCCACCATCGCTCTCAAGTACACCCAGTCTAACTCCGTCTGCTACGCCCTGAACGGTCAGATCATCGGTCTCGGTGCTGGTCAGCAGAGCCGTATCCACTGCACTCGTCTTGCCGGTGACAAGGCCGACAACTGGTGGATGCGCTTCCACGACCGTGTCATCGGTATCAAGTGGAAGCAGGGCACCAAGCGTGCCGACAAGAGCAACGCCATTGACTTGCTCTGCTCCGGCCAGACTCCCCGCAACGAGGCCGAGACTGCCGAGTACGAGCGTGTCTTCGAGGAGGTCCCTGCTCCCTTCACCGAGGAGGAGCGTGATGCCTGGTTGCAGAAGCTTAGCGAGGTTGCCGTCTCCTCGGATGCTTTCGTGAGTTTCCTTCCCTGTTTTTCATTATCCCCAATTAAATTTACTAATTTTTTCCACAGTTCCCCTTCATTGACAATGTTTTCCGCGCCGCCCGCTCCGGTGTCAAGTACATCGCCGCCCCCACTGGTAGCCAGAACGATACCCCCGTCTTCGAGACCGCCGAGAAGCTGGGAATTACCTTTGTTGAGCAGGGCACCCGTCTGTTCCACCACTAGGAGGTTAATTTTCTTCTAGGGCTAAGGAATTAGAGGTGTTTTGTATTTGGTATTTCGGGATTTCACCACAAAAAGATATCTGGTTATGATGATGATAGCTTTCCTGTTTATGATTAAATTTACATATTTTCAATACTCTTTTTCCGCCAGTAAATATCTAGCTAGTTACTCCCTCGAGGGCTATAGACACTTCGGCCACGAGGCTTATTGATAATTTCCATTCAATGTTTACTACTAGTATGTAGTACTGACTCGGTGGTTTCAAGGGTTGCTGATGACTTGATGTACAAACTTACACATACCAAGGTATGAACTACGCTTCAAATAAGCAATCGGTCATGCACAAATTGGATATCAATGTTTAATGTATTTTGACAACCACAAATTTGAACAAATTCAAGGCCAAACTTCATCATAGCAAAGGTTTTGGAACAATTTAGTTCATCCAGATCACCAGCAACGATTTTACATCAAAAGTCCAGCTCACTCCCATACAAACCTCCCAACAGAAAATGCCTTGTTCCACTTCTCAATAACATCATCCGGCATCCCCTGCCACTCGTTTGCATTCCACGACAGCTCGGTCCTCTCTTTCTCATCAAGCTTGAAGTACCAAGCCTCCATCCCAATCAGCAATGTTCTCGGAAGGTCCATCAACATCCACCCATCAGGATCCTTATAGAAGCTCTTGGCATGCCAAAGCAGCGCAGAAGCAGGCTTGCCCCAGTCATCGACCGGATCAACGCGACAGTACTCCGGAACAAGATTTTCATTTCCTGTTCCTGGTGGTTGGCCCTCGAGTAGTTCGGCGGCGGTTCGAAGGTTCAGGATGCGGTGCAGTGCGCTGCGGCTGTTCCATGGCGCACAGTCGGCTGCCCAGTGAATGTGACGCTCGATTTGCCAAGCTACTAGTCTTTTAGGGTCGCGAGTGTCCCAGTTTGGGACTATGAGGAGGTCCGAGTTTTCTTCGGCTGGGGGCTCTCTTTCCTTCTCTTTGGGACTTATGGTGGAGGAGGGAGATGAAGAAGGGGGCGAGGATGAGAAGAGAGAAGAGGAGGAAGTAGAGGAAGTAGAGGAAGAGGAGCCAGAGGAATGGGAAGCTGGAGAGTCGGAGCTGGAGGATGCGAGCTTGAGCTGTTTTTTGAGTACTTTTATTCTCTTAGAGATGGATTTGTATCTTGATATGGATTCATCTAGGCCTTTCACTGTACAGATTCTTCTGCCCTTTTGGATCTTGTAGCGGCCAATAGTATTGTTTCTCTGTGTGGTGATCTTGAGATTCTTCACTTCTTCTTGAAGATTGTCAATTTTTTCATCAATCAAGGTGAGCTTTTTGATCAGGTTGTTGGAAGAGTCTTCTTCTAGTGATGCCATAGTGCTAGACGTTGACGTGGAAGGAGTGGATTCCATGGTGACGAATGAAAGTAGGTGTACAACAGAGAATAGAGAATGGGTAATGAGTAATGGAGAGAGGAGATAGTAGGAAAGAGGAGCGAGAAATCAATTTGTAGCCTTGAATGGTTGAATCCGGTTAAATCCGTGCACATCCTTGGATGATGCTTCTCAGTGTATACGTTACAAACATAGGGCGCCGGACATACCTCGCAATAAGTCCATCAAATCTTGGATTTTCTTCACGTCTAGAATACTGATGAGCCTTGAACTTATAACATAGTAGGATTACTAGTACCTGGGCAGGTTTCAGACCTACCGGAGTAAGTGGACTTCGTACTTGGTTAGAATTGATATGGTTTACTGGTATACTCAAGGGAAAGAGGATTTGCCTCTTCAATTAGTTGACCATCGAATAGGAAGTAGAATAAAATGCCTATTCCAGTCTCGACATTGTACTGTGTATGGCAACTACAAAGTATGCTCTTCCTAATTGAAGCCTTAAGCTAGGGGTTTCAATATTTGTCTGATCCAGCTATATAATACATGATGTAAAGCAAGTAGAGTCTATGTAAACTAATCATGTTCTTGGCCAAACATCTTCATCACTCGCAGCACACCATCTTCCTTATACATCACATCCTCAAAATTAATACTATCCAGAATACTCTCATGCGCCCGAGGACGCATGTGGGCCTCATATGCAACAATGGCGCGTTCCAACGCAGCAGCATCATCACGCACATCATACTCATCATTCTTCCCAGCCAATTCGCCAGTGATATGCTCGAAGAGCACCATGGCATCCATCATCGCATGATTTACGCCCTCCCCATTTGGAGTAGTAACATGCGCCGCATCACCCAACACCACGACTCCCGGCGTGCGTGTCCAGAATTTCTCTCCCATCTCCCCATCCTCTCTCAACGCACCGGGCAAGAAGAGGTCCTGATCCAGTCGATAAAGAGGCCAAGGACGCCAGGGTCCCTCAGATTCAGCCACGAAATCACGAAGCTGTGGAGACCAGTTGCTGTACAGCTTGTTCATCGTTGCCCGGGCCTTGGGCATGTCGGTCACATCGGCTTCGCCGCCAGGCTGTGTGAACTTCTCAGCTGCATCAACGCCCATGTACACACGATACGAGCGATCAGACATCTGCTGAATGCACAATGCAAGGCCTGCGCCCATGGCGATTGAGTTCCCGGCGCCGACCATCTTGACCGCGGCATCGTACTGCGGGTTGTCCTGTGATATGCGACCCTCGATGAACATCTTGCCGGAGTATTGGGGCTTTGCTTGTGTGATCTGATCAGAATCTGTTAGTACTCGCTTCATCAAGGGAAGTAAAATGGCTAGAAATGATAGAGTCAAGACAAACTCACCAATTGCCGCACCTTGCTCCATGCCCCGTCGGAACCAACAATCAGTCTAAACCCGCTCTCACTTGACCCATCATTGAATCGGAGTATCCAGTCTGCCGCCGACGCAGGACCATCACCATTGCTATTCCCACGCTCAATGCTACCAAGCGCCTTGTTCCATCTCACCCGATGTTCAGGGATAGATTCTAGCAAAAGCTTCCGCAACTGCAGGCGATCGATCTCAGGCCTATCATTATCCTCGCCGGCCGAGATGCGATGCTGGCACTGCGAGTCCTGCATAAGGATTGTCGTCGCATCCCGACGAGCTAGTTTCTCAAAGTCGGCCGATAGACCAGCGAGTTTGAGGGCTGCTTGTCCGCCTTCCACTGTGAGGTCTAGCGTCCCACCTTGGAAACGGGTCGTCGTGTCTGGAGTTTTGTCGCGCTCGAAGACGGTGTAGTCGATTCCTGCTCGCTCGAGGAGGCGTGCGAGTGTTAGGCCACAGGGCCCGCCGCCTATAATGGCTATCGGAGACGGCTTGGAGGGTGACTGCTTCATTGCTTGGGGGTTGGGGGCTGTGTGGTAGAGTTTTGAAGGGGATTTATGGAGGCAACGAAGAGCAGTAAAGAGGCGTCTGCTTGCTTGCGCTTGCATGCTTCTTCAAATGTTAGATATTGGAAGTTGGTTGGTGTTATACTGTCCGCGTGATAGAGCAGACAGACGGATGAAGAGAATTGGAACTCAGAAGTCGGAGTCACATCACGTCTTTATATGTGTTTTTTTTTTTTTCAAGCTACTCCTGATTCCTGACTCAAAAAAAAAGGTTAAAGCATGGGTCTGCATTCTGGAACGATAGATCTTTCAATTGTCGGTGTTTTGGTTGAGGACTTTCGGGAGTTAGTAATTCCCGCGTCTCGCAGGTATTGGAGGAAACTTGTGGAAATCGTCGGGAAGTAGAATTCCCCGAGCCAAAAGCCCTACTTACTACGTACTACTACTAGGTATCACGCTGTTCACTGCCCAGGCGTCTTCGGGAATTTCGTATCTGCTAACTTCTCTTCCAAAGTTCCCATTATAATTTTGTAAGTAATGTTTGTTCTGCTTCGAATATATTTGGACACACACGCACACCTAGGTAGCACTGGCAACTGGACGAATGCTTTACATGGATATTTCAGATGTCAAATTTTCAAATACAATGAATATTGAGGTCAAGTCACATGTGCAACTATCCAGGTCCATATGAGCATCTGAATGCATGGATTCAGCTGGGCATATGTACCCCAGGGCTTGAGTACATGTTTACATATGAAACATTGAACATCAATTGATTGATGTACTTCGGATATACATGCATAAATTGACATGTTCACATACTACTTACTACCCATGTGGGAATGCCACTAGAGCATTTGAAGCGAGGTCGTTACCGCGAAATTGAGGGAAATCAATTAAATCAGCGCTCGAGGGCATATGGATATAGATGCCGTTCAATCCGAAATGCCTGCATGACCAGGTAATCAGATCACCACTATCCCCCATGTAAGATCCTAAAATGACTCACTCCGCGCAAAACGGATGAAATGTCGGATATGGACGGAGGCACGACACGAAAATGGCCGAGCTCCATATTCACGTGGGACGTCGATCACCCTTAAGGCTGAGCATAAAAGAATAAAAATGTGCAAGACGACCACCTCCGACCCACGGATCGCGGATCTACGCACGGAATCTTTTTTTTTCTCTTTTCCTTTTCGCTGTTCGGAGTCGGAGTACCGTAATCCCGATTGCCCCACATCAAGTCACCAGGGAACGGGCTTACTCGGGGTTAGCTTGGGGGAATTCTCGTAATCGTAAAAGGGCGTAAGGTGCTCGGAATATTGAGGAGATAAGCTTGATTCAGGTGTTGGTCTTTGCTTTAGGCAACTCTGACATCTGTGCACGCTGCGCCATGTGCACAGGGAGATAAAGAAGACGGGGATAAGCATAAGCATAAAGCTCAGGACATTCGTGTCTTAGAGGGATCCGCTTAGGTAATGGTGATTTCTATGAATTTATCCCATGAGTACTACTAGTAGATTGCTCAAGTGCTGATATGATCACTGATAACTGAATCGCTGATCACTGGCAAAATTGCTGGAAAAACGTCTGGAAGAAAGTATAGATACACAACTCCACAACTGTATTTCTCATAGGGTTGTCTGAATCAGGAAATTGATGTCGTGGTGTTGGTCGCACCCAATAACCTCGGAATCCTCCATATGTCACAGCTCACTCCAAACTCAATTGTTGACGAGTAATAATTCATACTGTCAACAGTCCGACTGTTTATTACTCAATTACTCAACTCATCCATGTTTACCCTGTAGTCTCGGCCATCAGGACCACTTGGCCGAGCGGCGGTGGTTGATGTCATGACATGTTAATAAGTGGGTCGGGCGCTCGGAGAGAACGAAAGAGCAAAGGCCGAACAAACGAGCCGCACAACCGCTTTTGATCTCCCAAAAGTCCCGAGCATCCGGCTCCATCGTCAGTGGCTCTCCGGATATACCAGGATAAGGATATAGCATTGGGCGTTGGAAAAGTAATCAATGGCCATGGCATCTGGGTCTGTCATTCAAATTTTCGGATTGATGATAAGGTCCAAGATTTCATAATCGTAAAACCATAAATTATTATCACAATCGTTTTCAATGTTTGCAAGTGATGATCCACTTGAATCATGATCGGATCGAAATGGGAAAGCAATGCGATTCGTACCTATCCGCGCTTGTTCTTAACGAGAAAGAGGGCAGTTACAAATGTGGCAAGGAGGAGTTTCATAATATCCACAACGGGATCAATTATCTAACATAGTTTAGTTTTATTTCCGTCCAAGATGCTCCTCACGGTGGGGCGTGGATACGACTTTGCCTGGTACGAAGTGTAGGTTAGTTCGAATTAGGCATCGAGTTCGGTTTACGAAGGAGACTAGTGGATTAGTAGATATAAGGTATGAAGATTATTCAACGGGTGGGTCCCCCTTACAGAGATTTTTCTTCTTTTTTTAATTTTGGAAGTAAGTGGAGATAACGTTGGGAGAAAATAGACGATGTGGAAGAAAAGAATGGAAAAAGAGGGTGGAACACAGCGAGAATGTGAAAATACGAAAATGTACAAGTAAACTAAGCTCCACAACGGATTAGGAGATTGGGCTGGAAATGGATTTTTACCGCGAGAGACATCCACTGCGAACCATGATTTGCGATCGACGTTTTGACTATTTGCTTGGGATCTTGGGAGATCAGTGGCTGAGCTAGACATTTGAACGGGCTTGGAGGGGCTTGGCTAAATAGGCTGCGAAAACCAGGCATTCCACAGTGAGACATTCAACTCAATAAGAAGCATAGAGAATGCTAGGAAACCAAGAAGAAAATCTTGAGGAGAATCTTGGCATAGGCAAGCAGCAAGCTACACCGTAGAAATGATGAAATGACATTGTACATGAATGCCGTACATGATCGCTTGCTTTACCTTTTTTTTTTTTTTTTTTTTTTTTCACCTCCCCCTTCTCTTCTCTGCGCCCTGCAAGGAGTACGACGTGGCTCGGGGGAGACAAGGCAGTCATAGGATTGGGGCCAAGGTAGCCAAGGTAAGCCAAGATGGGCCAAAAATGACAGGGGATAGATAGAAGGTGGATTGTGACTGGCCCCCGCGTAAGTCACAGCCCCCCCTAACTGCCAATAATTGAAGGCATCCTGGTTTCCTGGGGAATGCTGGACCTTTCACAGCCGCATGGGTCAGATTACGGAGATTATGGTCTGTGTGTTTTGTGTACTCTCTCTCCGGATAGAGTAAATGGCGTTATTCTGGCATAAGGTGGATTGGTCATATTGCTTCATATTGGTCATGTTGAATCATTAAAAGTGAAAAAGGGTTTAAGTTGGAAGATGATTGGAAATCATGAAGTGTATCGAGTACCACGAAATGAATGGAAGGTTCATGAGTAATCGGGGATTATAGTAATAATCAGGCCGCGGTGTTAAGCGTATCCGCGGTTAGTCCGTGTCAGTTTGAAGCTGAGGCATTGGTCATCGGGAGTGGGTCCAGGGTCCTTTTGGACGGCTCGAACGGAATAAAAAGAGAAAGAGAAAAAAAGAGAAAAATTTCGCGAAGCGGACTTAACCGATGAGTCAGTTATGAATCCCGTTAACCGCGATAACTCAATTCTTTCAAAGATACATAGTAAAAAACAAAAAAAAAAACAAATAAACAAAAAAAAAAAGAGAATAAAGAATAAGATGTATGTCAATTGACTACTAGTATACGAGATTAGCGGTGTAGGCCATGAGCACCTGAGTTATCTGAGCACCTGCATATGCAGTAAAAATTATTAAGGATTAAAAATCCCCCGCTGAATAATGCTCGGACTCGGATCCAGTGGGGATCCTCCGATCGGGTCCCGGACTTTAGCTGAACGGATACACGGGAAAAAAAAAGAATAAAAAGAATAAAACGAATAAAACGAAAAAAAAAAGAAAAATGGATTATAAGCAGGCCGCATTTTAAAAAGTCACTCCGTCCCCCAAGGCTGAAAGGAAAAAAAAATATTAACCTATCCTCTACAAGATACATAACACGACAAGGACAAAAAAAAAACCTCCCAGGTTACCAACATTATCATTGATCTGCCTAAATCCACACACATCAGAACTGATCGGATTTACGTGATTTACATCTCAACCTGCACAACCCACACCGCCTCCAATCACCACCTGTGACTGGATGAACACACGATTGAGTCACCACCTTGGCAGAACGAGTCATACCCTTTACAGCTCTTAAATTACTTTGCCTTTGCCCACAATGGGTTCTCCCTTAAACCCTTCCAAGGATACTTCCTTTGCCTCTGCCGCCTCCCCCTACTTCACCTCCCTCGCCCGCCGCCGCCAACAAAAGAAGATGAGCATCACTCAAACATACTACCTCGCTCACACCGCCCGTAAGAAGCTCACTCGTGAAGCTTCCCGGGCGGACCACGACCTCCGATTGCTGGTCGGTCACGCCAACCTCCTCGACTCCCTCATGCTGGACCTGGCCGACGCCGAGCGAGAACAAGAACGCTGGTTCAACCAAACTGTCAGCGGTGCCACCAAGGCCCAAGAAGAGCCTCGACACATCCAATGGGCTTCGACCGTGCTCGAAGAGCCCGAAGAGGACTGGGATCCGGAAGATGCCTCCGACCTGGACTCCGATGCCAGTGATAGCGACGAAGAGGATTCCGACTTTGACGAAGTTGGCTTTGCCATCAACGCCCCCATTCGCCGCCGCACCCCTACTCCCGTCGGTCCCGTCGAGCCCATGCTCATGGAGGACGAGGACAATGATACCGACAGTGACTTTGAATACGATGATGTAGAGGACCTCGAAGACCTCAGCTTGACAAGGTCGCCTTCGCGCCAGTCTCCGCCGGAGCTTCTCGCGGACTCGGATGGCGAGTCCGAGGATGAGGTCCTCCCTCCTTCCCCGCCTCAACCTACCTTGGAGACTTTCCATGAGAAGGGGGCCACTACCACTGCCATTCCGCTAGCGCCGCTAGCGGGTGATGATGACCAGCCACATCTGTTCGAGACAGGGTATTTTGTTACACAAGAAGAAAGTACCATTATCGAGGCATACTGATTCATTTCGGTTTTGACCTTTTGAAATGTCTACTTGTTTCTTGTATACCATATATGCCTTGATTTTTTTCTCTTCCTCTTGTGATACCCTGATGCTTGTTCATGATGACCGGGCTGGTCAACTTTCTATTTGAAGCGACACGATTTCTATACTTTTTTTTTTCTCATTTCCATTTACATTCACGGCGTTTGGGGACCTTACTACGGTCGCATATATACACATCGCATCTCTCTCCACATCTCATCTCTGCTACCAGGAGTAGCTCATGTTTTCCCACAATATTCTTTTTTTTTCTTTTTTCTTTTTCAATTTTACCCCCCTTTGCCACGTTGGATTGGCATTGGGCAGCTCTCCCTTCTATTGAACAGGTTGAGACTACCCAAGTGGGGTGGGGAACGAAACACAAGGAAGTCAAAAAATTGTGATTCCAACCAGGCTGTACATAGATTTGGGGTAAAAACCTCCGTACATAGTCAAATCCAACAGAACATTCCAAACTGGAACTTATCTCCCTTCCGTAGTACTCTAGAAACCTAGAAACCTAGAGACCCAACTCTGTTGATTTTTATGGATGTACTTGCAGAGTGCATAGAAAAAAACCCACTTGTGCCAACCAGATTGGCTCCACGCCGCATGTGACCGGTCGATCGGCCTGAGCGCAGCCTCACCGCTTGATAGATCAACGCCAAGGGACGATAGTCTCTGATCAGCGCGGCTAAGTCGGCATAGTCGGTCCGCTACGGGTACTAGTGTTGTGAAGGGTTTGTCTAGGGCAATTATTGGTGGAGAACATGTCCATGAAGAACCGTTCTGTCCAACTCGGCGTTTTTTCTATCGATTTCTCTTTTATTGCAATGGTGTACGGCGTATATCTAGGTAACGGCAAAAATGGATCGCGATTGTGCGTGGCCTTTTGAGGGGAAATTGTGGCCTTGACACCTAGCGCTCGCGTTGGAGCATCAACATACAACACTAGCCAAGTCAGGTTTAGCGCCCTTACAGGAGTTAATAAAGTTAGTATTCATATAAAGTATTCATCACACATCGATGCCCTCAGCGCGTACATGATAAATCCATAAAAGTTATAAAGGTTCAATGTTGCCTAATCATACAGATTGAAAATCCATCATACGGGTATCCCTAGACATGGAATGTAAGATATTACTCCAGTGCCTTGTCTAACTCTTTCTGGTAATCCTCTTGAGCCTTTCTCAGATCCTTCTGATAGTCTTCCATGTCTTTCCGCAGATCCTTCATCTTGTGATGCGAGGGACCCTGTTGCATGTGCTGAGAGACACGATTAATCTTGTCCTGAAGCTCCTCCACCTCCTCCTGTCTTTTCATCACAGACTTCTTATTGTGACGCAACTGATCCAGCGGATAGAATTGACTGGGCGGATATGGTCCTTGAGGATATTGTTGATATGGACCCGCTTGCGGATATGGCTGCTGAGGGAATTGTTGCGGGTAGCGACCGCCTTGAGGAGGATAGTTCTGTGCGCTCGCATTCTGGTGCTTCTTGTAGGCGTCTTGAGCAATAGAACCGGCAATCGCACCTCCGATGGCTCCGAGGAAGCCGTGGTTAGCCTTGTGGCCAGCGAAACCGCCAACTGCACCACCGGCGAGGGCACCTCCCAAACCACGCTCATCGACCTGGGCTTCACCAGGGGCAGTCTGTTGCTGCTGCTCGTTGTATGACTGAGAGTATTGAGGCTGAGAGTACTGATTCTGAGGCTCTTGGTACTGTTGCGGATATGATTGCTGATACCCTTGGTGAGGGCCCTGGGGAGGTGGAGGCCCAGAGTAGGCAGACTCATTTTGTTGAGGAGTTCCGTAGTAGTCTGAATTCATTATTGCTAGCAGGGATCGAGAAGGTTCAAGATAGAATGGATGTTGAAACGTAATGGATGGCGAGTATGTATTCCTTCACACTCCCCAGTAGAGAGTTCAATGTTGCCTTTTAAATATCCATTGGGCCAGGTTTTAGCCCCCACAATATCAACTCAGCCCTCATTTTGGCCCCCAAGCCTGGGCTGTGCCGTCAGGTCTGATCCGTGGCTGTGTCTGCTGTTTTCCATCCAGGATTACGTCTATGTATGTACATACTCGCAAAACGAGTATGCAGTGCGGTGATGCTCCAGTGTGGCGTAGTAAGGAAGAGCTAAACTGTATTGGGAAATTCGGTGTCACTGCCGAATACGGAGTAGAATTGATCAGATTCAGAGTAAACAATGACACGTCAATAGCCTATTATCTATCTCAGGGCTTAAAAAACACGGGGAAATCAGGAGCGTAATCTCGGAGGCAATTGCAATCATGATGTACACATGTGAGGTAGAAGATGGATCTGCATAACTTCTTTTTCGGGCTTTGGCGAAGGTTTTGTTATCTCATTTTCTGCCAGTTAGCGTATCCCGTGGCCCTCCTTGACGCCTTGTAAGGAGTCCCGCAATACACTTTATTGCTTTGCGGAGTATAGGATTTTCTTCTTCGGGGAGATCACCGGGCTTTGCATTTATGATTTTTGTGTGCTTTCCCGCTTTTCCCGCTCGCACCTGCACCTGGGTTTTTCTTTTTACCACTGGTTTACGGGGGTGAGTACAGTCTGCGCACCCAGGTACACCTCTGTGGATTTAATCCTACTTTTATTTTCAAAGTTGCCTGGTTATATCCTGCTGCCTCTCGGCTTCTGTCAAGGTACTCAGGACTCAGGCAGATGCCAAGTTTTTAAGTTTTGCCGGGAATGTCAAACAGCCACTTACGTGGATGGGGCTTGACATGAGAGAATCAGGAAAATCAGGAAAATCAGGTACCTGTGGGGAGTAGATTAAAACATTCGATCTGGCCCGTTTCAGAGAAAGGTTTGAAGCTATTATAGATCAATAATATTGAATAAAGTACCATGAGAGGCGTATTTATGACCATCACGTGTCAAATTGTTTACATGCATTTGATGCCTAATATTGAAGGCACCAACAGATGTTATCGATAACCTTGAAAATGTCCACCGCCTGCTCCTTCGGGGCCAAGCCCCTCGCTGCAAGCGTCACTTCTGCCCGATGCTGTTTCCATCCCAGCTCTCAAACAAAGCACTCTAGCTAAAAAAGCACTTGCCTCGTGGCTGAAATGCAGCCCATTCCTCACATATTTCCCCTGAGTGGTCAACATACAACCTGACCCCAAGTTCCCCAACATACCTCAACTGAGACAAATCACCTCCACCTTAAAATAAACTCGCCCCGTCCGATCACCCGATACCAAGATTCAAGACAAAAACAAAGACTGAAAGCTTGGATCCCACCCAACCCAAGAAACTTCTGCCGGGAAAAAAAAAGGAGAACCAGATCACGAAACCAACCACCTACACTCCTCGTTCCGAGACCGAAAGCCCCTTATCCACCTGGCCATCGGATCGATTCCCAACTCGTCCATCATCGGAATATCCCGACCTACTTACTACCCAACTACCCCCCTCCCTCCCCCCCGCCCACAATGTCGGCCCCCCCATCACCCAAACCGAGCTTTGAGTCCGATGATCGCCCGGACTATAGGGCCAGTATGACCCGGTCATCGGTAACACACAGCCCCGGCGCAATTTCATTCGGTGATCAGCCGCGAGCGCGTAGCCCGCGCCGGAAATCGATACAGTTTAACGTTGGCGCGGCCGAGGCACAACTTCCTTCGCGATCACTGAGTCTCAAGGATAAGCGAAGATCACAGGGTGAAGGTGTGTCGATCAGAGATGTGGAAGTGGAGAGGGAACAGAGGTTGTCTGCTAGTCGTGGCCTATCTCCGCCGCCGCCAAAGTATGTTCTCCATTTATTTTCTTCTCTTTTTCTTCCTTTGCCCTTCTTTTATTTCCTGATATAATTTCCCGTGAAAACGGAAATAGAGAATTTCTACCTTTTCTTTTCTTTTGTTTTGCCGTGTGCTGATCCATCATGCATAGGACCTATGAGCGCGGTGTCTCGTTCGATACCTTTGATAATCGCGATGCGGCGGATTTCTCCTTGACCATGAATTACAAGCATAAGGGGTACCAGAGTACGCGGCGGAGTAGGACTTTTCTATGTGGTACTGATCAGAATGATTATTCCGAGTTTGCGCTGGAATGGCTCTTGGATGAACTTGTTGATGATGGGGATGAGATTGTTTGTCTTCGTGCCGTTGAGAAGGATTCGCGTATGGCGAGTGACGCTGCCATCGAGGCGAGGAAATATCGACAAGAAGCAGAGAGACTGTTTGAACAAGTTATTCAGAAGAATAGCCAGGATGAGAAGGCTATCAGTCTGGTCTTGGAGCTGGCAGTGGGTAAAGTGGAGGATATCATACAGCGAATGGTGCGTTTAAATTTCCGTCATTGCAGTATGGCTCTGAGGAACAAGCGTCGATACTAACCTGCTCCAGATCCGCATCTATGAGCCTGCCATGCTGGTCGTGGGAACCCGTGGCCGCAACCTGAAGGGTGTTCACAGTCTGCTTCCTGGATCCGTGTCCAAGTACTGTCTGCAGCAATCGCCAATCCCAGTGATTGTCGTGCGCCCATCACCAAAGCGAGAGAAGAAAAAGAAGAAACGCCGCGCAGACCCCACCCGACGAAGCTATAACCATATCTTGGAAATGAGCGAGCAACGCGGTGTCCGCATCTTTGACACCAGTTCCAGCGCCGAGACCAGCGCCGAGAAACTGCCTGACGAGGAGGCTGCTGTTGCGACTGCACTAGGCCTTCCTGCATCATACTCACACGCTAACTCGCGGAGCTCTCTGTCCGTCTCTGATCGCAGTAGTCTGAGTCTGAGCCACGACGATCCTGATACATCACCGGTTCCATATTCTCTTGACTCGGTCATGATGAAGAGCCCGATGAATGGGAGCCCCGCTAGCTCGGAGGAGAGCGTTCTTGCTACCGAGGAAACAAAGAGATCGCCCTCGCCTTATCCGAGAGGTGAAACACCTTCTCCTGGTCCCGACCAAGATGGGAGTTCATCCGATGAGACCCCTTTGACGGAGACGGAGAAGGGGTTTCCCACGAATGAATCCACAGCTGGTGAATCGTCATCAAAATACAACACTGGAGTTTCAATTCCCGTCATCGAAGTATCTGACAACCACGAGCAAGAAAGTCCTCCCCCACCACCGCCAACAACAACAACTACTACTGAATAACAGAGTACTTGCCTATGCATCACCATATTTGTTACATCCCATTCTCTGTCTTTGTACACAGAGAAGCATTCGGCTATACCTATCATTTACAATTGTCAACGTCGTGTAAAAGAACACCAAAAAAGTGCATTGTGTACAATGTGCCAAGTCCACACTATCTTGACCTGATTATACCATCCAGCGTGCAAATACCCCCATCATTTCCGGCCGTTTCTGTCTTGTCTTGTCCCATTCTGTCCTTGTGCTGTCTTTGCTCTGCATACTCCTCTACCCCCTCAGTTCTCTCCTCTTACTATACCATCCATAAGCAAACATCAATATCATCATTAGAATACATGGCATGAAATTCAAGCATGAAATCCAAGTTAACCATTAAAGGACATAAGTCTCTCTATCCCTTTACTACTCGGGTACCTACTACTTGTACTGTGCACTCTGATAATCTGGAGAAAGTTATCATAAATGTAAAGAACTTTGGATTTATTAATCACATGGTATAGAAGAGAAGAAAATTCAAGAGACATCGAGACATGGAAGCCATTTCCACTTGCCATCCACTCACTCATCCACCAAAAGTCAGAGTATCTAGAAAGACCCGATCCAAACAGGACCAGAATACACAGGATGTCCCCGCTAGACTCCCAAGTACCAGTCTGCCCCGGTTCTATACCATCCGATCTCCCTAGATTAACTAATCTCCCCAACTTGTAGCCCACTCGACTCGACTCGACTTCACTCCTTACTAACAATACCAGTACCGTCAAAGCCTGCTTGCTCTGCTCTGCTTTCGTTCATCCCCAATCAAGCTACCTTGGAAGCGTTTCAAATCATAAAGAAAAAGATAAGGGATAAAGAAGAGGAAGAAATAGTGAGAAAAGGTGTGAAAATTGTACACTATGAATCGGTTTGAAAAAGAAGCACCCGAGCCGTCAAAATGAAAAAAAGTGGCAAAAAGTGCAAATAACCGACCCAGTCGGAACATGCAAGGGTGTCATTGAGATTGACTGTGAATTTGACTGTAACTTCGGGTGTGCGAAGCGCAAAGCAACGCGGAGGGAGGAAGAGAGGGGGGGAGGGAGAGAGAGAGAGAGGGAGAGAGAGAGAGAGAGAGAGCAAAGGTGGGAAACATGAGCATGAACATGGAGCATGAAAAGATCTCGGTCGAAAATTCGAGTTCGAGATCAAGAGGTGACGAGGAAGAAAAAGCGGGAAAAAAAAAGGACAAGTAAAAGGGAAATCTTTTGTTGAATCAAGCGTAAAGAGAAAATGGAAAACGTTGATCATTACTCCTAAGGAATCTATGCGTTCTCGCCATCCTTAGATGGGGTTTTTGAGGGTCGGCGCTCGGCCGCGGGCTGCGACTTGGTCAGGACAGGGGAAGTGTGGGCGGAGGGGGGAGATGTGGCCATGTTGTCCTTGTCTTCCAGGGCGGCGAGGGCACTGAAGGCGTTCATGGAAGAAGCAGCCTCCTTGTCCTCCTTCTTTCCGGCAGGAGGAGTACCAGTACGGCTGCTAGCAGCACTGTCATCACTGCCGCGAACGAGGTTGCCACCGGGGCCCAGGCCCTTGCGGCCGCTGCTGCTCCGTGAGCCGAGCATGCTGGACGGTCCGAATGACATAGGTTGGTTGGGGTTGCGAGTAGCACGCAGACGACGCAGGTCGTCGCTGCCAACCTTGCTGGAGGCGTAATCGGGAGGAGGAGCTTGTTGGCCGTATCCGAAGCCACGGGCATCACCGCGACCCATCTGGGGACGACCACCGCCACCACCACCGCGGTTGGCCTGCTGGCGCATCTTCTCTTGCTCAGCGGCTTGCTGGGCACGAGCAGCCTGTGTTTTAGGAGTTAGCATCAGATGATCTAAATCATGTCAAATTTTTAAGAATAATGGAATTGCAGAACATACCTCCTCACGAATCTGCTGGATGGTCTTAGGGCCCTTGTCGGAGTCCTTGGAGTTCCAGCGCTTAGCACGCAGATCAATGATATCCTGGAGAAATTTCGTTAGCCGGATTGTTCCTAGGTGACATGTAGACGGACAAGTAAGAAACAAGAAATACATACCATAAGCATGAAACGCAGACGGCTGGGCAGGTTGGGTGTCTCAACCATGAGGTGAATGCGAGCGAAGTAAGCATCCATCATGGCAGGGCCCTTCTCGGAAGCATCCAGGCTGGAACCGATGGTACGCAGGAGCGAAGTCAAACTCTCCACCTCGGCCTCATCGGGCATGCCCTCGTAATCAACAAGCTTCTTCACACACTCGTGCATGATACGCTCAGTCAACATGCCAAGCTTGTACAGCTCACCAATGAATTTCACGAGACCAAGACCACGACGCTTAGCGGCAGCGGCAACATAGTATCTGTTATTCTGGATTAGCACGAAAAGAAAACATCAAAGGCATATGGAGGAGGAAGGGGGATATCATACTCATCGGACAACATTTGGGTCTCCTCTGAGGCGCCCTCGGGCTTCTCAGGCAGGTTGACCTTCCAACCACGCTCGAACTCCTCTTGACAGCGGTTAAGCAGGTACTTGCGGAAGAGACTGCCACCAGCAACAACGTTGCCGTTCTTATCACGGATGTTCTCATCCTTGATATCGGCGCTCATACTCTCCAACATGGCCTTGGCAAACTTAGCGTACATAGGAGCCCAGTGAGCTTCATCAGTGGCCTTCTCGAACGTGAGCTGAATGACTTGACGAAGAGTACGACCATCAGACTCATCCTTGGACTGTGAAACGATGTCCAGAATTTGAACGGAGATACGGTCGAACTTCTCGGGGGTCATCTTGTTGAGAGCAGCCTTGACCTTGCGCTGCACAACATCAGGGGCCATGTAGCCCTCACCACCGGGGGTGGGACCGGACTGAGCCTGTCCAACACTGCGGGGCTTCCATCCGGTGGCGGAGACTTGAATGGCCTCCAGCTTCAGACCGGCGGTCAAAGGCATAGACTTATCCTGCTCTCCCTCCTTCTTGGGGTTTCTGCTACCGCGGGGCTTGCTGTCCACGCGACCCTTGCTGGAATTGCCACGAGGGGACATGGGACCCATAGTGCTGCTAGAGTGTTGACGGATCATGGGGTTGCTACCCATGCCGCTGCCCATACGAGGACCGAACTGGTTGAATTGACCACGGCCACCAGGGTTGATGGGGCCCATGCTGTTCCGACCACCAGGGTTAATGACGCCACTTCCCATCATGGGGAATCCAGAGCTGCTGGCGTTGCGAGAGGGTTGACGGCTGCTCATAGGAGTGCGAGCAGACTGGGTAGGGTCGCCAACGGTGTCACGGATACGGATATCCCAATCAACGGAGGGCTTGTCCTTGTAGGCAGCCTGGAATTGGAGCAAGAACTCGCGCTCATAGTGGAATCGGCGACCGGTAGAGTTCAGAGAAAGGTTGGGAGCTGTGATAGAGGATGGGTACACGATCTTAGCCAGATCCTCGATGAACTTGGCATTCTGCAAAGACTTCATGGCAGCACTAGGCTCGGTAGGCTCAGTAGGCTTGGGAGTATCCAGCTTCAAGGCGGAGGGCTTCTTGGCAGTGGCACTGGCAGGCTTTCCAGGGGGGCCCATGTCAGACGAAACAGGAGTAGCGGCACCGCTGTCACCAGGGGTCGATGACTCGGTTGCGCCCAAACCACCCTTCTTGAGTGAAGCAAAGAGGTCATCGTTGGAAGTGGTCTCGCCCTTGGCGCGGGCGTTCTCACGAGCGATCTCACGCTCCTCAGCCTCAGCCTCGGCCTTCTTCATGTTGACTTCATAGGCCTCACGGTCCTCACGTTCCTTACGCTCGGCCTCCTCCTTCTTTTCATTCTTCTTGCGGTAGTAGTCCTCCTCAGCGGCACGCTCCTTGGCCTCAATCTCAGCCATCTCACGCTCAATGGCGTCGAAGTCGGGCTCATCGTCTTCCGCAGGCGGGGCGGGGGCATCGGCCTTCTTGGGCTCCTCAGCAGCAGGTGCGGGGGCTTCAGTGGATGCAGGAACCTCAACAGCGGGGGTTTCAGTAGCAGGGGCAGGGGCAGGGACAGGCGCAGTCTCAGCGGCAGCGGCAGCGGCAGCGGCAGCAGCAGGAGCAGCCTTGTCCTTCAAGCTCATATCCTGCAGAGCAGCGGTAGCAGAATCGGCATCGGCATCCTTCTTCTCTTCCTCAACCTTCTTGGGCTCCTCGGTGGCCTTGCGAGAGGCCTCTTCGGCCAGACGCTTCTGAGCAGCCTCATCTTCCTGGATCTTCTGGCGAACGGCATCCTTGAGTTCCTGCTTCTTCTCCTCATCAGTCTTGACACCACCCACCTTGCTGTCGGCCCGAGCATGGTCCGAGGCACTGGCGGTTCGGGGAGGTGGGGTTGCTGTAGGAGTGGCGACCTTCACGGGAGAAGGAGTGGCACGAGCGGGGGAAGCGGGAGCACCGAAAGTCTTCACGGAACCACTGCTGGGGTCCTTGATGATGATGGGGCTCTTCTTGGCCGAAGGGATGATGAAGTTAGGCTTCGCAGGCGCGGGGCTGTTAGAAGATCTGCTGCCAGTGTGAGTGTGAGCAGTAGCCGAAGCACCAGCAGGTGCCGGCTGGCCCAGGCTTGATCCCGGACGGTCAGTAGAGACTTGGGAGGGAGTGCGCGAAAGAGGAGTGGACTGCGGTGGGGGTTGGGCGGGGTACTGGCCCTGCATGTAGCCGGGAGCCTGGGGGTTATAGGGCATGCCGGGGCGGGGTTGGGGCGATGGAGGAGCCATGTATTGCATCTGTCCGCCCATACCGTAGGCTTGGTTGTAGTATGCATAATTGGGGTCATAAGGAGGGTAGCCCTGTCCATTTTTCACGAGTGTTAGAATTTGTTCGAAATTTCCACTGTCAGGCGCGAGATTCAGATTCAGAGGACCATGATAAGGACCTGGATTGGTCTCTCGCCTTCCTTTGCTGGATTTGAAGTTGCCACGCCGGGGAGGGTATCTAGATGGACGATCATGGGGTGGGTTTCTCACAGTTTGGGGGCCCATGTGTTGTCCATAGCCATAGGGCTGAGGGGGCATCTGTTGATGGGCCATGGGGACCGGATTCATCTGGGGAGTAGTGGGGTGGGCATTAGCCAACGCCGGGCTGCGGTTGGCCTGGTGCGGGGAGTTCGGGAATGGCGCCGCGAGGGGACGACCTTGGTTGGGGCCATGGAACTGAGGGCCCATGTTGGGACCACCACGGGGCTGGTTGTGAGGCTGGCGGAAGTTCGGCCCAGGTGAGTAAGGCATCTGTCCCTGGTATCCGGACTGGGAGTATCCACGACCGCGACCACCCTGGGGGTAGCCGCCACGTCCAGGACCACCACCCATGTGGTTGCTCATATCACTGTGAGTGGGTTGAGAGGATTCGCGACGCAGGTGCTGGGGACCGGGACCAAGAGGAGCCTGTAGAGTTGAGTAAGTCTATGTGAGTAACCGGTTAAAAAGTGGCGGAGGGATCGACATCAACGGCAGAAAAGCCGTGGATGCGTCAACATTCTTCACGTGCATCGCATACACCCAATTTTTTTTTTTTACTTTTCTTTCTTCTTTTTTTCTTCTCGTGTTCGGTCTCTCGCTTTTTGGGAGAAATGCCGTTGAATGATCAAGGCAAATGTAAGGGGACGGTTTCACTTACGTTGTTATCTCCAGTCTCACCGAAGCTTCCAAAGTTAGGAACGTTCCCTTGTGCCTGGTAAGTGGATGGGGGACGACCACCGCTGGAGGCGGGTTGTGGGATGGGAGACGGCGAAGTCTGCGGTGAGGTCACACGCGGGTTTGTCGACGGGGCACCCAGGCCAGACTGCGACTGGTTGGAAGCGAGGACGGCAGGATTGCCCATGTTGGGGGAGCTCTGCTGGTTGGTGAAACCGAACTGGATGCTACTGGGACGGCTTGCAGAACCGCCGTTGGGCATATATCCGGAGGTGCCGGCAGAGGTGATGGTCACAGAGGGCTTCCGAGAGTGATCGCCTTGCGAAGCAGGAGCCGTTGGGGCGCCATTGACGATGGTCACACCCGAGGCAGCCTGCGCGGGTTGGGTTTGCATGGGTTTGCCGTTCACAGGAGATACGGAAGTCGACTTCCCATGTTGCGCTGAGCCACCCACAGTGACGGGAGCGGCGGACGAGTCCGTCGCAGACTTCTTCGTGGCGTTGGCGTAGGACCTAGCTGGCGCAGCCAGGGGGGAGGATGCGGCGGGCTTGGGAGAGGTGGAAGCGGTGCTCTGTCCTTGTTGAACGCCCGACTTGGAAGGGATCGAGCTCATTAGACAGGTTGGTGTTCACGTAAAATCACGCGATGAGGTCGAAAGGGAGAACTCGTAGGTGACGGTGATGTCAAAGGATGTGAAAGAGGCTTCGTCAATGCCACATTCAACTGGGGCTATTTTTTGTGTAAAAAAAAAGAAAATGAGATTAAAGACTTGTTTTTTAGAGAGAAAAAAAACAAGGTCAAATCAACCGAGTGAAATGACAACCACAAAAGAAACGCAGCTTAAAAAAACAAAGCAACGTGTGGTCCACAAGGGTTGGGTTGGATTGTTCAACACAAAATGTGTGGGTGTGGGAAGGAGAAAAAATCCAAAAGGAAAAAAGTTGTTTCGGTGGGAAAAAAAAAAATAGGTGGTTCGGGGGTTTGTGGAGGCAACAACTTCTTTGAATAACAAACTCACCTTTTTATTATAAGTGACGAAAAATTAGTTAGAATTCACTTGTGAATCCTATTCAGGGAATTAGGAAGAAAAATTGAATGGAAAGAAGATGGAGGGGAAAATTGAATATAACGCGTACTACAGTGTATCTACAAACACCGCCACCATGACATCTGCTGTGTGTACTAGTAATTACAATAGCCCTGAACCCGTACAGAGAACATGATTTTGATATTATATCGGTGATGAAGTCAAGATTTGAAGAAATATTGAATCATTTCTAATAGGAAATTTAGTCATATCACCAGATACAATATAAAGCAACAATACTAGGAATTGTCAAACAATGAAGTGGATCTTCCGTAAACCCCGTAATGTGTAGGGCCAAGTCCCGGTTCTCGCCACAAGTTCATGTTGAATGCATTACTAGTAGATAGTAGTAAGCACTTGAGTACTTACTACCGAGCACATATGAGGCTACGAGTATAAGCCACTTTGACTCATACGTCCGTGTCACAAAATGACTCCTAACTTAGTACTATTAGGGATTTATATGCATGGTTTTAATTCAAATGCATTCCTAAGATCGACTTTCTCCCGACTTCCGCACCTTGCAGCTGCGTACTAGTAACCATGTTTTTTTCTTTCTTTCTATTTGTAGACCTGTTTCTTCCGGTCGGATTGGCTCATACTCTCCACCCTTGGCTATCAGATCTGATGTGTATACTAGTCGTATACCAAACGAGTGGGGAACAGGGAACATGGAACATGTAAAATGTAAGAAAACCAAGAAAATAAGAGGTTTTGCTGGAGCCTCCAAGCTTTTGATTAAGAGCAAAGGCTAAAAAAGCCGTATAACTAAACACCATTTCCATGTTGGAGAGATTCACCAGTGCAGTATTTAAATCAAAAACTCCCCTTGTTTAAGTTGAAAGTTCTGAATCCTCACAGCTCACAATTTCAACTCAAATGCTCATCATTTTTAATCAGTTGTATCGGTCATATCCCGTGGTCCGGGAAGTATGATCGGAAGAGCCTGAGGAGTCATGCTCGGGACCCAGCCAGCCAGAGGTCCATTTACCACTAGTGCGACGAGTCGCGCGAGATTCCAGATCTTCATCGTCAACAACCTCAAAGGAATTATCGCTTCGGTTCTTTCGCAATGGAGCTCCATAGGCAAGATCGTCACTCTCAGGATCATCACGATGGATCGCTTGCTCTTCTTGGGCTAGTGTCGATCGCAAATAATCCAGCACCTCTCGCTGGTGAGAAATATACTGCGCCTTATCGATGCCGGTCATGGATCGAATTTGGCGTTGAAGTAGAGTACCACTGGCTGAAAGCTGCTCCTCATGGGTCTCGCGCGACTTGCCCGGAGATGCCACTGACCCAAGCACAGAGCTGAGAGCAGAATACCAATCTCCTGGGGCTGTGGACGCTGCCGCCGCAGTGGGGATATTGAATCGTGACAGCAAGGACTGTGCGTACGCAGCTGGCCCTGATGGAGGTGGCGGGGCTTCCTTCTGTGGGGGGAGACCTAGCACCTTTGTCCGAATCAGATCCATGGCCTGGTAAAAATATTGCAGGCCAAGTGCTTTGGCTCGCTCATGGCTGCGACCGATGAGCTCCTCGATTTCGTGCTCGTGGTGGTTCAGGAATGGGTCAACGTAGTCTTGGTAGAGTAGACGGGCGCCTTGAGTCTGCGGGAGGACGAGATAGCACATAAAGAACAGTCGGATCCAACTATAGAATGGGAACCTAGGTTTTGTCAGCAGGGCACGTTATAAGAGAGACAAAAAAACCCATTGCATACCATCCAATGATGAACACTGTCCAAGATTCTACCAGCAGAATCACGGACAGAACCACCCAGTACATCAGCCATGGCGCAAGTTGTGAGGGGTCGGAGGAGCGGAGAGCCTTGTAAGATGCAAAGACGGGGAAAAGGATGGTGATGATGGAGCTATAGGATAGTTGAGCAACTTTTCGATATTCAATTAACAGGCCGAGACTCCGAATTCAATACTCACGACAACAAATCCGCAAAGATCCCGAACATGGTGGCGTATGAGCGTCCGGACGATCAAAAGTCACGAGGGATCGATAAGCGGGGATGGCTTTTTCAATCAAGCAAGCTTTCCCTCCAACCACAGGCCGAAGGGCTTGAAGGAAAAAAAGAAAATGACAGGGGATACTAGATCAGAAAACTCCCCCCTGATCTGGTCAAGAAGAATCGAAAGAAAAGAAGCGTATGAAGAAAAGTTAGGTGTAAGGGGAGAGAAGAGAAAAAAAGGAAGTGTCCACTATGTAGGCATCCATATCAGCTGAAGCATGACCCGCAATGGAAGTCAACGGTTCGTTTTGACGTCACGAGCAAAAACATTGGACTCGGAGCTTGAGAACTCCAGAAAACAAAATCAACATCCAACAACAATACATTCCCTTTAAATTATTGTATACTACTTGTTCTTCTCTGCGCTGCCTTTCCTACAGCTTCAGATCTAAAAATCAACCAGTGGAGACCCGATCGGCCCAATCACCTGATGCCCGAGGTCTTTGTATGACCTCCGACTCCCCGACTCCCGAGCAAGGGGCGCTCTTCCCCCGCTAAATCCTACTGATTCTTACAAGCCCCTTCACCGCATCTTGAACCGTGGAGTTGAACCTGCAGTCTGACCTGTACCCTGAGCCCTACCTTCTCTAATCCTTGGACCTCAGCTGTCTCTCTCGGGAGCTCAACAACCATGTGTATCGCTTTGATCTCCACCGCCCACCCGGACTATTCATTGATCGTCATCGACAATAGAGATGTGCGTTGACCCACCACACAACGGTGACAAGCATACTCCGTACTGACCCATCTACCAGGAATTTCTCCACCGACCAACTTCAAAGCCAGACTGGTGGCCGGAGCCGTTCTCGTATGTTCTCGGATCACGCGACCTTGCACGTTCAACCCACGGCACGTGGATGGGAGTGACAAAACAGGGGAAGTTGGCCGTTCTCACAAATTATCGCGAAGACAAAGCCTCTCTAGCCATCGGACAATATAGTCGCGGCGTAATCGTGAACAACTGGCTGACCGGTCCGACGAACGAGAGGCAGACTACTCACAGCTTCGTGCAGTCCATGGTGGCCAGCGAAGAGGCGAAACAAGTGGGCGGCTTCAGTCTGGTATGTGGTTATATAAACGAGCCCTTGGCCATTGTCTCCAACCGCTCCTCCGATATGGATCAAATTACCTGGGTTGCAGCAGAAAAGAAACAAACCAAAGGCCTGAGCAACACGACTGTGGATGACCGATCATGGCCGAAGATCCTCAACGGCGAAAAGCTAATGGATTCCGCCATTGCAAGTCACGCTCAAGCTCAAGAAGATGAGGATAGCTTGATCGAGCGTTTAATTCAGGTTCTCAGCGTCGACACTTTACCTCGATTGCCTGAAGGCGAGAACCATAGTATTGACAATTATGTCCAACACCTAAGGAAAAGTATTTTTATCCCTGTCATTGGAAGAAAAGATGATATCAATCGAGCCGCAAAGACAACTGCCGCAGCGCAAGTCACAGATGAGGCAAACAAGTCACCAGCAAACCAACCACTAGGGTTGGATTATAGCAGTGGCCCATACGGAACTCAGAAGCAGACTGTTCTCCTCGTCACACCCGACGGGCGGGTGCGATACTTTGAGCGGACATTGTGGGACAGCAACGTGAACGCTATACCCATCGGGAAAGGCGATCGGTCTTTCGAGTTTCATATCGAGAGATAATACGAGTACGGTGTCGCAATTTTGAATTGATTCGGTAGTTTGGATGAGCTACGATGTGACGGCATTGCATGGTGCTCAGGGGTCTGAGGTTATTCACAGTGTTCACACCAGCCTGAGCGCGACTTCTGTCAACCTTGTAGGGAGTATCCGGTTTTTTTTCTTCTTCTTCTTCTATCCCTTTCCCACTGGGATCAATATAAATTATGAAATGGATCGAGTTCAACATATTTTTCTGCCCTGATTTGGGCTAGAGCTAGTCATTCGAAGTAAACGCTCCGCTTTGTTTCATCTTGATACGCCGCTCATCTACTTGGGGCTTTTCTTTTCGGCCACCACCCCAACAGGGAATGGTCAAGTCCACCCTTGTCCCGGAACAATTTACGATGCTGATTTGGGCTGATTTTCCACCCATACATATCATGTCTAATCGCGCAACAGCAAAATGGCCGAAATGACCCTGAACCCCTGTGGACCCTCTTGTCAAATTCCACCCCACTCCACTGATCCACGTCTAAATCTTCCGGCTTCCCATTCCATTCCTTTCGGCCTCGCTACAAACTGACATGAACAAGGAAATTTAGATTAAACTATGGTCAGCACATCCTTTCGGGCCGTTCGTGCTAAATCCTGTGGTCCCCATCCACTTCCACGGCGCTTCTAGCCCAGACATTTGAACCCCTCGCCCCACAAACAAATATACTGGTCGAATTTCCAGCTCAATCTCCGTCGGAACACCTGCCGTGGCGAGTCTGTGAATGGGTTCGGTAAAATTCGCCAGGGAAGCTAGTCTAGAGCGTTAAATCCACATGTATCAGATCTTGCGGCAGCCTATGCCGTATCCAATGGAAGGCTTTGATTGATGACCCCTGACAGAAAACCTTGGAAGCAAAACGGTTGCTATATAACATGACCTATTGCACATACTTGACTTGAAGTCTTTTTTTTATTTTCTTCGCTGCATACATTCTTTTATTTTTCAATATCAAGACCGGTTTCTTGATTTGTCTTTCTTTTGCCATTCATTCTTTTATTTGACAAGCTCAACAGTCATTCTCTTCTTTTTTATCCCTACCTATCTTTCAAAATGAGACTTACCAACTTGATTCTGGCTGCCAGCGCTGCTGGTCTGGCTTCTGCGTACCCTCACGCCCGAGAGGTCGTTCCCAAGCGCAGCAGTGCTGTGAAGAAGCGTTCTTCTGGCTTTACCTGTACGTTAAAAACATATTTATGCACAGGGCTTCAAAGAGCCATCAACTGACCAGTGTTTTAAATGTAGGGGTTGGTTGCAACGAGTCCGGTGCAGAGTTTGGTTCGGCCATTCCTGGAACCTTGGGTACAGACTATATCTGGCCCACCACATCCAACATTCAGGTCCTGCGTGATGCTGGTATGAACATTTTCCGCGTTCCATTCTTGATGGAGCGTCTGGTGCCTACCAGCATGACTGGTACCCCGGATGCCACATATCTGGCTGATCTAAAATCCGTGAGTAAAAGAAAGTTGCGATGAGTCTTCTAATTGAGATATCTAATGGAATATTCTATAGACTGTGGCGTTCATCACTGCCAGTGGTGCCCATGCGGTCCTTGATCCCCATAACTATGGAAGATAGTGAGTGACCTTGAACATAAAGGATGTTGTCTGTCCATGTACTGACCGGATCTCTAGCTCTGGAAGTATCATTGAGTCGACCGCCGACTTCGAGACTTTCTGGAAGACCGTTGCTGCCGAGTTTGCTGACAACGATCTGGTTATCTTTGATACTAGTAAGGCCCAGTCAACAACAATAAGCGTTGATCCTCGCAAATACTGATACATAATTCCTATAGACAACGAGTATCACGACATGGACCAGACCCTCGTTCTTGACCTGAACCAGGCAGCTATTAACGGTATTCGTGCCGCCGGCGCTACCACCCAGTACATCTTCGCCGAGGGCAACGCCTACACCGGTGCCTGGTCATGGACTACCTACAACGACAACATGAGCAACCTGACGGATACCGAGGACAAGATTGTCTACGAGATGCACCAGTACCTCGACTCGGACAGCTCTGGTACTTCCGAGACTTGCGTCAGCTCTACTATCGGACAGGAGCGCCTGGTGGAGGCCACCGCCTGGTTGAAGGCCAACGGCAAGAAGGGTTTCCTTGGCGAGTTCGCCGGTGGTGTCAACGCGGACTGTGAGGCTGCCGTTGAGGGTATGCTCGAGTATATGAGCGAGAACAGCGACGTCTGGATGGGCGCTGAGTGGTGGTCTGCCGGTCCCTGGTGGGGAACTTACATGTACAGCTTGGAGCCGACTGATGGCCCCGCTTACTCAACTTATCTTCCCATCCTGGAGAAGTACTTTGTTACTGACTCTACCACTACTACTTCCGCTTCAACCACTTCTGCTTCGACCACTTCTGCTTCGACCACTTCCGCTTCATCTACCTCGACCTCGTCTACCTCTACTTCGTCCACCTCGACCAAGACCACTTCCACCAAGACTACTTCCACCAAGACCACTTCCGTCAAGACCACTTCCACTTCCACCTCCTCTTCGACTACCGCCGCTGTGGAAGCTACTACAACTCCTAACAGCGAGGTTGAAGTCACCAGCTCATTGGTTGACTCCACCACCACAGTTACTGCGACCGCCGTTGCCACTACTAGCGAAGCGACCACCTTGACCTCCGTCTATGTTCCTTCTTCCACCTCTACCTCCACCACCTTGGCCACTGTCCCAACCTCTACCAAGTCGACCACTGCTGCTGCTGCCACCGCCACTGGAGCTCTCGTCGCACACTACTACCAGTGCGGTGGAACCAACTGGACCGGTGCCACAACCTGCGAGTCCCCCTACACATGCAAAGTTCAGAACCCTTACTACTCCCAGTGCGTCTAAAGTATCAGTGGGTGAATTTGTCAATTTGAAGAAGCAAGGGGAATGGGGAGTGTAGCTGTGATGGATTGGTGATTATCTTCTTCTTCGAAGGCTTGTCCTTCTTTTGTATATTCCTCTTCAAACTTCAATTCAGCCATTTATTTATATTCGAACAATTCATTCTGGGACTTCCTAATTTGGAAATTACTTCTTACATCAGCAGTGCTGGGAAACTATTGCTGCAGTGTTTATGATTTTTAGTCTGACTCATATTTAGTACTCAAGACATTCTCTCGCCTCCGACTCCGAAATTTTTTCCTCGGTCAATGACTATATCCAAAAGTTTATATATGTACACTTTGAAGTGAAATCCACACGCTCCAATACCATTTCTCAAAGAATGGTCAATACTCTTTTTTTTGGAAGGATTTGGTCTGAAATGGGATGGATACAAGCAGCTCATGATAGAAGACAAGATTTCAACTAGCGAGATTGCGCCTCTGAGCTTGTTTATACTGACTTCTGAGGCTACAGAATATGATGGCATCATTGCAGAGAATGTTGCCTTAACTTCAGCACAAACACTCACAAAACGCCATGGTTGGCCATTCTGTTGGCATAGCAGTATGGTCGAATACAAACAAGAAGGTTCAAGTTGTTGGCGCATGCAAGGAAGATCCAAAAAAAAAAAACTACCAGACGCGCATTGATGTAAAATCGGTCAAAGAGGGCCCCGGAATGCGGCGGCCGATAGAGGCCACCCAAGGTCACATCTCAATTTCACTTTCTAACTTCACCGCCTTGTTTCCCGCCTGTATTGTATTTATCACATATAGGAATATCTTTAAGGGATTTGATCTAAATACGGGTCACTTTTAGAATAGACTTGAGAGAAGATTTGAGACTAGTCTTGAGAAGGGACTTAAGAATGGATTACATGACTAGGATCCCACATGTGCAGCCTCTCTTTTTTGCCAGTTGTTGTGGTGATTTACCTAGATAAAGAAAGAGAATTAATATAAATTACAATATCAATTGATAGCATTGTATATAATAGTTCAAGGATTTAATGTATAATGCAGCGCTGAACATAACATTGAATGGAGTTCAGAAACTAATATGAATTTGGAATTACTCGTCATTTACCTTCTGCCGGTCGGAAAGTTGGAATTGGGATGTGACCTAGCCTCTAGGGGTGGCCTCTATCGGCCGCCATAGCCCGGAAGGTCAAGGAATCTCTTGGCTTTCGAGTCACAAAACCATCAAGGGTTCGAGGTGTTGGGTTATATCGGATTGTTAGAGCTGGAATTTCTTTTCCGGAATCAATGTCTATTATCTTTATTCGATGGATTGATAGATGTATGGCTCTATTCTGCCAGCAGCTAGTGGTGTAAGAACATATCGATGAGCGAATTTTGTTTGTTGTACTTTTTTTGTGCATCAATATTCGCGTGATGAGTTCTTCATGAGACCTCGGTGTTAGCATACATACTGCTACCTCACCATGACGTTACTTATGTTAATATTAAAATCATGACTTTCAAAATGTTCTACCAGTGGAATGTTTCACCAAGGCTGACAGCTCAAGGATAGTCCGAAAAGAGAAATCGCTCTATTGGAATGTTTTAATCATAGGGTTTGATATTGATGAGACGGGATATAGATTTAGGTATGAGATGCCCTAAAATAATTTCAAAAAGGGAACAAATCGAGGAAAGTGCAGCAATATAGCCTGCCCATTAATCTCCTCCCCGAAACAACAGGGGGGAGCAATAAAAATAAGAGGCAAAAAATAGAAAAACGAAATTGAAAAGACTGGGTGATGAGATCAGATTTGGATGTATTCGTCACGGCGAATGCTGACGCTTCTGTCTTTTGGCCCACTTTTGCTGAGTCTTCTTGTGCTTGAATCTTTCGACCGTTATTTCGGTTTGCAGTCGCACTTGGATATCCGACAATCTCTTGGAAATTTGGCTGTTTCTATCATGGGTGCTCATAAGAAGAGAATGCATCGATTTGCAGCATCGAGCTGCGGACTGCACATAGCTTGTCCCTTCACGAGTGTCGCCGGTAAGGAAGAGAATGCTGATATCCTGCAAGTCGGCTCGAAGATTATTGTGCTCTTCTAGCAGTTGCGAGCTTTCAGAGAGCAACTTTTCAACCTCGAGATCAACTTGCTGGAGCTCTGTAGCCATCTCTTCAATAGGGCCCTTTTCGATAGGCTCATCGGGGTGAGCAGCTATATAGTACGTGCATCGCCCATCATCGCCGCTGAAGTGACAGTTTGTGCATGCCGTCATATCGGGGCAGTCGGAAGCAACGACACAGTGAGCAAAAGGTCCTCCTAAGTGAGACCGACACGATGAACAAGCTGGTTCTGCTTTCGTCCCAACGACATAACCAAGTGCTGCCTCAACCTTTATTTTCTCCTCTGACAGCCTCGCATGAAAAGCTCCAGGCGTATAACCGCGTTGCATCCTGACAACTAGCTCACGCTGAGCTGGCTGCTTGTTCAGAGCAATTAGTGTTTCCGACTTCAGTATCTTGTCCTTTTTGGCACAGGGGAAATCCAGCCTCTTCAAGTAGGTGGCCCATGGGCCTGGCTTCACAGATTTCGTTCCCCATGAAGCTGATATTAGGCCAGTTGGAGGGAGATTCAGAGAAGTAGCTTTTTTTTGCTCATCCCTATACCAAATGTTAGTATCACAATACCAGTAGATTCGAGAGGAGACTGGTTGGACTTGCATGTCAGGCAGCATGATGAAGAGAAGATGGATGAAGAGATTGTCAAGGTGTACAGGAACACACGTTGGAAAGAGGTGAACAGAAGGAAGGAGATCGGGAAGGAAGAGAAAAGAGAGTATGATAAGTAGAAATGAGGCTTTGTTGGTGAGACGAAAAAGAACAACCCATGCATGTGGATGGAGAACCTTGCATTGGCTGGGAAGAGTCAACTCAATGGTGGAGAGTGAAAGAACAGTCCAAGAGAAAGTAATGGAACTTACAAGGATTTCCAATATGCCTCTGGGATGTCTGACTAGTACTATACATATTCCCACTTGTGCCCGGTTCTCTTTTGATCTAACATTCAGCCAGATTAGACCAACGTACTGGTAGTTGATCCTGTGTTAAATCGACACTTCATTTGATAATAATGCTAGCAATGCCATCTGTATATCTTGAAATTATTGGGTAAGACCTTTTTGAAATTGGCAGCAGTAGCAAATTTAAGTGGGCGGGGGAGATTTTGGTGGTTAGTTGATTGTGAGGATGTGGAAGGTCAACAGCGCAAGCTAGTATGGATGGAGATACCCTCCGTTCTTCTCTTCCGGCTTTCCTCGGTTGCGAACGACTGCTGCGTCTAGCTTGTTCCGCTCTTATGAAGCTGAAGTGCGCCATAAACCTTGCTAATGACCATAGCTAACGTTGTTTTGCCAAGCTTCATCCCCTTTGAAAAACCGGGCTTGCTCCAAGTCAACAATCCTAACTTTCCGTCTCCGCAGAAGAAGAAGTTATCAAATCCGTCGTCCTAATATTCCACTCTGCAGCCATAGAGAGTGCAAAGGGCATTCCACCATAAGTCAACTGGTTGAGATTCCAGCACGTCCGTTGAGAGATTTGATTTGCTTTCTGCGAGAAATTGCCCATGTGTGGAGTACTAGTGTGCATATGTGTAGTGCTATACATAATGACGACGACACCTGCTCTCCTAGTCAATTCTATAGGAATTTATCAAAATGGTACTACTATGCTTTGAACAAATATTCGAAGCACTTGAGTGTGTTATATTATGTATAACAAAAATCGTCGAGAAATGCCAAAATGGGCATTGCTGAGCCCAGACCGAGAAAGGATATTACCCAATAGCACAACAATCGGCAAATCATGATTTCGTGAGACATTACCACCTTCTGCTTCCCTTGACCACCTGACTCACTCTCGCATCCAGAAAAAATCTACATCTATTCAATGTGTTTACCCCAACAATTCTATCGTCGGATGTTGAAAATTCTAACCTTAATCCAGTCGAAGAGATCCGTGACCCTCGGCCTTGTCCAGCGCATCGGTAACTCGCGATCCGTCTCCCTCGAAGAGCATACTGTCATAGGTCACCGCACCTACGACACAGCCAAGAACAGGGGCGAAGAGAGGCACAAGGAAGTAGTAGCCAGCCGCCGTGAAAACTTCCCGACCATAGATGATGGCAGAGAACACCCTCGGACCAAAGTCTCGGGCGGGGTTGAGAGCCTGGATATCGCATTAGCATTACTGGCTTGAAATATCATTATTGATAGCCTGTTGGACTTACATAGCCGGTCTGCCAGCCCAACGCCGCTCCGATCATAAGCAACAGCAGAAAGAGAGAAAGATGGGGAGCAGTGAACCGCTGGGCATTTCCTGGGTTCGAAATGCTGAGGCATCCAAACATCAGCACAGCTGAACCTAACACCTCAGAAAACACAGCCTCCCAGTTCGACTGGAAGAACGAAGACGGGTACGTCGAGAAGATACCCGCCGAGTGATGTCCGGTCGGGCTCAAGATAGAACCACCGGGAATGGTGTATTCCGGGTCCCAAGCTTTGATGGCCGAAAAGTAGTTGATGTACACGATGACAGCTCCGACGAACCCGCCCAGGAACTGCGCAGCCAGCTTGCCTGGAATGGTCTTCCATTGACCGGGGGATGGACGCACAAGGGCTGTGCAGATAGTCACGGCCGGGTTAATGGTCGGGCTGGGATCAGACAGGAAGCTGGAGAGGCAGACAGCACTGGCCCAAGCGATGTTGATGGACAGCCAGGTGCCGTACTGATACTCAGATAGCAGGCATTGAGCGACAACGCCATCGCCAATCACGATAAGCAGGGCTGTGCCGAGAAACTCAGCCAGATACGGCTTCAACGCCCGACGAGAAATCATCGCTATGAATGATGGTGCTAAATCCTGGCAATTCAACCTACCCGGTGAAAACGAAAAAGTCGCGATGTTTACTCCGTACTCACTTTTCACTTAAAAAGAAAAGGAGGGGGTTGGGAACTATGATGTCATGGTGGTCGGTATTTCCAGATACGGGATGCCGATCTATCATAGCCGACTCTCTAGCGTATGGAGACATGCTGCAAGATGATGAAATTTTTGCAGATGGACCTACCAGTAGGAATCACCGATCGGGGCATACATAAGTTGCAATGTTAATGATCAACTGATGAAGTGAGTGATTTGCAATTTCAAGATAAACATCACCTACCCAGACTAGGGATCAAAGGGCTTTTCCAAGCATGATTTGCATTATTCTGCGTCCATCAACAAAAACGGATCCTTTCAACAGATAATTATGAAGGAAGGCTCGGATAGCCCGGAGCTTCATAAGAAGCACCGAAAAAGCCAACTCACCACACCGCAAATCAGATTCCCAACACTGTTTGGAATTTTTTAGCACTAAAACCAGACCCACCTGTCCCGGGCGGCACATTAGTGACTCGTGAGTCGTGAGCTTATAAGAAAGTGTTGCTAATAGACAGACGCCGGAACAATATCTATTATAATCAACACTGTTCCATCGACAAAGAGCTTGGAAAAGACCTGGCGAGCTCCCGTTCGGACTTTTGGTGTTATATGTGGCAGATCAGGATTGGGGACAGAGTACTCTCAATAGACGATTCACATGCCGTGTGATTGTTCTCAGGATCGGCACTCGAGCTGAAGCTAAAAGGTGTTGCTTCCCGTATAACCGGAGCTAGTGCGGACTCACGGAGTATCGCTACTGGTAGTAGTAGGTGGGGACGCGACTCTGTCACGACTCACGCCCAAACTGTAGTGTACCTCAGAGATTCAAAAGTCTTGTGGTTTGAATAGTTTAATATCCACACTCCCAGAGCGCCAAAAACCTTTGCAGACATTCCACACTCATGCACGCACTTCTTCCTCGTGTTTTTCAATTTTCATTATTTGTCTAGGTGGAAAACTCATTTCTACGCGTCTCGTTGGGCAAACTTCAATTCTCACTCATCTCTACACGTCTTTCATTTTCACCATCTTATCGATCAGTACCGCTAACAAGTTGTCCTTAACTCTCCTCATTTACTGATTCAACTAGGCACATTGTACAGCAGACCTTCAACCCCCGATATGATCTTGTCGAGCTACGGCCGGGTACTCACACAGGGCGGTTTTACATGAAGATTCTTACTGAAAGAATCTTGCGACACCTCAAGGCAAATGCGGAACAGTGGACGAAGAATATGAGAAGTAACAATCATGGACAACGGACGGTTTACAATATGGAAGCACTTCCGCGGATCAAAGCCAAGCTTACAGGCTGACCTTCAGGCAGCCACACAACTTTAACACAAGCTGCGATCCATTACCCGACTGTGTTGCATATGGTAAACCAGTCGCTGCTTGGCAACATGACCTTCCAAAGGTGCTCATCTGCAGGGTGTATCTGGTGCTTGGTGGTCGCCGCATTCTACTACCCAGGGGATTCTCAGCAGGTCATCACTCGAGCTCGCGCATCGAAGTTCCAAGTGGCGGATGGTTGCCACCAGGGGTTGAATACCCGTGGCCAAGGTCAAGGGAAAGGATGGGCAGAGCTATAATCACGAAAAGATTGAAGTACTCTGAATGAAATGAATGGGTCGTGTAAGATTCAATGTTGTGACTATACATCCTGTGATTCGTGACGCGAAGGCTGCCATGTACTTGGATCGGCGGTCGGTCTAAACATTCAAGTTTTGAATGTTGAAAGGTAAAACCCCATTGGGTCCTTGGTCTAACCTAAACACTGGTTTCCTCCACCCATCCAGCAGGTCAGCGGCTCACAGTGCCTGCAGGCGCTGACGTATCCTGCAGCGAGCCGTAATCCTAACCCGTTTAATCCATGCGAATGAGTGACAGCGCTTACCGATACTATATATAGCCTACCATGAGAGACTTAGACGTAGTACGATTTAAAGCAATCAGTCAACCGATGAAAATGCATGAGATCGTCCACATGTGCATGTTCCAAGGCCCAGGTATTTAATTCATTTGAATGTTGATCCAACATAGAACATTTGAACATTGAAGGTTGATGTTTGCATACTAGTAGGTCTTAGTGAATATTTTGAAAGTTTGAAAGAGAGTCTTGAAACCTTGGAACTCCATATTTTCAAGTTACGAACAGACAAAGATCTTCATGAAAAAAGGACATCTGGAGGAAACCAGAAAGGGAAATTGGTACACCACAATATTTGAAGTAAGCGGCAAGCCGGATAACTCCGCAGGGGGCGAGCGCACCACATGTGCAAGTTTGAGCGACCCGATTGGGAAATCGTTTCGCGGCTGCGGGAACGAATCAGGAAGCACTTACGATTTGGTCGCCTTGCAAATTAGGTTTGCACCGTTTAATCCAAGCTGCCCATCGAAATACCTGCCAAGCATGGAATAAGTTGAGTCGCAAAAGCTGCAGATGATCGCCGGGGCTGAGCCAACGAAACAATAGATCAAACTAGTAAACTCCTCGTAGATTTCGAATATTTAAGAATCTCAGTAAACCCCAGGTCTGATGGATTTTCATCAACAATTTACTTCCAGACATTCCACTTCTATTTTAAATGGGAATCATACCCTCACCACCATCTACCAAAACTTTATACGCTATGGGTTTGATTCGTGATGCTATCGGCACGGCACTTGGTTCCGATCAAGTAGCCAACGGCTTCAACGGGCCCAAGTTGCCTTTTGGAAACAAGGGCAGCAGCATCCGTGACATGAGACGCTCAGCACTATCCTCACCTTCTCGTCAAGGGTACATTTCCGAAATCAGTTACCAGAATGACAGGGGTTTGTACCCACCAGAGGACATGCAGAGAGGTATGGCAAGACAGCAGGGGTACAACGGTTATCAAAATCGAGGCCCACCACTACCTCCCCGCTGTGAGCCTCCTCCATATGCCAGCGATAACCAAAGCTGGTATCAAGAAGAGCCTTACAACGGCCAACGCTTTGACGAACAGCCTTACAATGGTCAACGCTTTGATGAACAGTCATACTACCAGCAAGGCCCCGTCCGAGACATGGGGTACCCGAGAGATATGGGGTATTCTAGTAGGGATGCTGGTTTCCGCCCGATCGCCTTGCCTCAGATTTCTTATGGTGACGGACAACCTTTCCTTCGAGGCTACTCAAATGAGCTAAGCAGATATGGCATCTCTGAAGCGGAGTTCATTCGACTTGTTGATGCCATCAATGTTGCAATTATTCCCAGTCCCGAGAACCAAATTTTCCAAAAGGGTGCAAATATCGCTGGATGGTTTGTGTAAGTTACCATATTGCCCCCTTTCCGGCGGTTTGTTGTGCTTTGGGTCCTTTGGCTAATGGATACCTCTTTTAGACCTGGTGCCGCCGGGATCGGTCTCGCGGTCGGACAGATTGGTGTTGGAATCGGCGCAGCAGTCGGTCACGCTTCTGTGGTCAATCGGAATCTGTCCAAGGCCAACCTTGATATGTTCTTACCAAACGGCCTTGAGATATGGTAAGTTTAAACCCGTGGACTCACCAGATCTTCGAATATGCTCTGACATTGTTGAACTATAGTATTGGAAAGACCAAAGATCTCGAAGCTGAACTCGGTCTTAACCCGGCTTCCTCACAATCCCAGTCTCTCTTCGGTGCAACACCAGGGCAAAGATGCGCACAGTACGGTGATATGATCGCACCTCTTTCTCAAGTTCTATCACCACTGGAACAGAGTGGCCGCAATGATCCAATTGCCAAGCTCGGCCGGGGCCTCGCTAGTCGGGGAGATCAAAAGAAGGTGCAAAAAGCGGAGAAAGATATGGCGAAGAAAGGAGGAAAGAACAAGAAGCTAGATTCTTTAGAAGGAGGGCTGAAATGGGTGAGTCTGGGCTTTGATTGGCAACTTATCCCTATTTTGACAATGACTAATCATATAACAGCTCATAATTCGGAAAGCTTCAGCAAATGCCGTGGCCCATTGGGAGCAAACCCTCGATCAAAGCAATGCTGCCATACAGCAAGAGAATAGAATGGCCGAGCAAAGCAGATATGGTCGGAGAAACTAAGGTGGTTGGAAACTTCGAGGTTAGCGCAACGACTTTGGAAATTGTGAAGGCACACCATTTCAGCCTGGATAATTATGATGGCTATGTATAAACGAAGTGGCGTATGAATTTGCACCGGAAGCATTAGACGGTTAGGTGGCGTTACGTTTGATTTGATTGAGACCAAAAAATGACAGAAAGTTCGAAATGTCACGAAATCTTTACCGCGCACCGAGGTCCCAGCATAAGTTTGCACAATAGGCTGGGGATTCCAAAGTAATTAATTCTTTGATGGAAATTTACATCGAAGAACAGATATTCTTCTGTTGGATTTTCATCATGTACGCTTGGACGCAAAATTTACCAAATGACGGACTAGATGACAGTAACCGTAACAACTCCCTAGTGAGAAAAAGTCAGCATAGCGTAGAGAGTGCACGGACACATAAGCGGTGCAGCGCGTTCGGGGGAAGGGCTAAATGGTCTAGAAAGTAGAGCAGCAAGAGTAGTCTCTTAGACGATAAAAAGAATGCAACCGTCCCGAAGATTTACTGCGCATTGCTAGGGTCATTGGAACAGCCCAACCTTTTCTGCATCATCTTTTGAAATGGTAGAAAGAAAGGGAAGAATTTGAGAAGGAATTGCAAGGTTGTAAGAGCAAAGTGTCCGGTCGCGGAAAGACTTAGTCTCATCATCCATGCAAATGTAATCCGTAAGATGAGCTAGAAGCATCTGGTGTGGGCAAAGTCACCAATAGGAGGAACGCATTCGATAATAGAATGGCCTGTGCAGGTCGCGGGATCTCGGGATCTCACCCGCCCTTCTCTAGCCGCGCATTAGCCACATAGTCTGCGCCAAATCTTTCTTCAAGCGAATCAGTAAATTACTCAACCAGGAATCAAATCACTATTGAGATAATTGTAGGCGACGAAGCCCTGGAGGTGAAAATAATGAAGATTGTAAGGTGAGAGGTGAAGCACTCAGGGATCAAGGATAGGGGTACATAGACCCCACTCTTAAACAACAAGCCCCTCTAGGATTGGCACATAAGCGCATTATGTACCCAGACTGCTGGGTCAAAGAATATGACGAGGCAACAAAAAAGGCAAGAACGGCAAATTTACGTAGTAGTATTGGACCCGGGTGTAAGCTAGTGGCTATGGAGATAAAAGAAGAAAAAACAAAGGGAAGAAAGAGCCGAAGCACTGGAGTCAGAGTAGAGAGACTACTACTAGTAATTTCTAAGAGTCCAGAGGGAAAAACAAAGAGCTAAGCCCAATTAGGCCGAGGGGAAAAAAAACCAAGTCTATCAAAATACGAGATGCACGTGACAGTCCCACTTCCAAAAGTACTTCAGAAGTACTTATAACACACTGCAACTAGAACCCCAGAACACCTACCCTGTCACTTATTGAGGGAAATATTGATGGATTCTTCTTCCATGGAGGAACTGTGAATATTGTGGAGTGGACTTGATTTCCGGCCCCGTTTCCGAGAAATTTCATTGGCAAGCACGGGAAAGCAGAAGCGACCGGCTACATCAATGCACGATAGATCAATCTCCTTCGAACCCGACAGTCTGGATACAAACCCAAACTCCACCCGAGTTGAGCTGAACAAGCGAGCCCATTGCAGGGAAAATGATTTTATTTATTTCGCGCCTTCTCCAATCCCCCCCGTGAATTTGTTACAACCCATTGTTTCTGTTTCTTGCACAATGATCTCTACTCAACACCAAGCCGGGCCTTCGCCATCACAACGAGCCCCATCCGAACCAGCCCCATCCGAGCCCACACCATCCGAGCCAGGCCCATCCGAACCAAACGCTTCATCCCAATCAACCTCATCTGTACCACAGGCCAACGCTGAGACTCCTGTCAATGCGCCCGGTCCAATTGTAGTCGATAATTTCACCGACGTATGTAGTAGATCCAAATCTTTTGCTCATAATAACCCCGAACTTAAATTTCTGTTATATCATAGGACTCCGACAGTGCATTCAGCGATGAGCTGTCCGATCTCACTTCGCTCTCGTCCAGCGTGCTCCAGTTTGAATATGAAAATGGTCGCCGGTATTGTAGTAACCGCTCTGTAAGTAGTCTTGCCCAACATATGCCCATGACGTTTGAATTAAAAAAAAAAAAAAAAAAAAACTGACCTCCTCCTAGGGAAATTACATGTACATTCACGCCACACTCTAAAAGCTACTGTCCAGGAAGACTGACCAATTTAGGATGCCGAATGATGAAGAGGAACAGGATCGAATGGATCTGGTAAGACATCACCCTTAGTGACTATTCTATGCTCATATACTGACTTTTCCCTCCAGACACACCACATGTATGTGAATTATTGCGTTTTTTCTTGATGAACAAACGTGGCTAACTAGACCGGTGCAGATGGTTGATGTTGCTAGGCGGCGAGCTTTACAATGCCCCTATTTCATCATCACCACAGAACATTCTTGACTTGGGAACCGGAACAGGCATCTGGGCCATGGATATTGCCGAGTAAGCTGACACCTCCACCCTCCAAATTTTCTACCAGCAATATTGACCATGAATGATAGAAAATTTCCCGGTGCCCGCGTTACTGGCACTGACCTGAGTCCTATCCAGCCTAATTGGGTGGTCCCAAATGTTGAATTTATCGTGGAGGATTTCGAAAGCGAATGGTCTCATGAACGTGACTATTTTGACTTTATCCATGCGCGATGTCTAGCAGGGTATGTCCATAATCCCGGCCCCCAGTATTAATCAAGGTGCCACTCTAACCCGCTGGACAGATGCGTGGCTGACTGGCCCTCGTTTATCGGTCGTATCTTCGACTCCGTCAAACCCGGCGGCTACTTTGAATCGCACGAGAGTGCCGTCTGGTGCTGGAGCGACGATGGCTCCCTCAAGGAAAATTGCGCGCTCATGGAATGGCAACAGTCCATGAAAATTGCCGGCGATAAGATCGGCAGAGAGCTGAATATCTACCATAAGCTGAAGAACTGGATGATCGAAGCTGGCTTCGAGGATGTTCAGTTATTGGTCTATGTGCTGCCTTTCTCACCCTGGCCCCGTGATCCTCATCTGAAAGCGTTGGGCAAGTACCAGGCAGTGCAGTTGCAACAAGCCATCGATTCATATTCCTTGCGTCTGTACACGCAAGTGCTGGGCTGGAGTCCAGATGTGGCCAAGATTCATAATGCTTTGGTCAAGGCGGAGCTACGTGATAAAAAGCTGCACGCCTATGTTCAAACGTACAGTTCAACCCCCTCCATTCGATTACCTGACTACGTATACTAATTTTATATGAGCAGCGTCGCCGTCCATGGGAGAAAACCTATGCGTTCTTAATCTTTTTTTTTCTTCTTTTTTCCCTTTTTTTCCTTCTGGGAATTAGCGAACGAACGCCGGATCGACGAGAAAGTTTGCCAACAGTAAGATATTGGGACAAATTTAGGAATTCTACTACCCATAGGAGTTATAACCGAATCAAATGATTAGGCATGCACCTATATTTCATGTGAACTATTATGTCAACGTCCTCTGTACAAACGTAAGTTGAGCTGTGAGATATGAACCTAAATGTAGGAAGATTGATTGATATGTATTTGTAACATTGAGTTCTAAAACAAAATTTAAATTATAAATGACATGTCAGATGGATGACAGGTGTCGTCGTTTCTGATACCCCTGCGCCTAATTACCTTGCATAAGCAGAAGGGGGCTCCACGCCTTCCAAACTCGGCCAGGCGAGGACAGAATGGCAGTCAAGGTTCCTCCCATCTCCTTGTGATCGCAATCCTCCTCGCCGTAGACACCATAGCCTTCCATCTCCTCATCAACATCATTTGCATCCATCTCCTCAAGCTCGGAGATTGCATACTCAGGCAACTCTACCTTGACCATGGAAGCTTCACTGGGTGTGCCATTACTATCCATGGCAAACAGCATGTACCATCCAGGAAGCAGAATACCAGCCTCGTTAGGAAGCTGTGCAGTGAAGACGTTTCCATCGTGAGCCTGCAGATCAAGAGGCACACGACGCTGGTCGGTGTTGACAGTGTGGGTGGTGGTTCCTTGTCGCACAAGAGCCGCTGATCCAACGAGGGCTTTGGTCTTGAAAGTCAAAACGTTGCCCACGCTGACTCGGGCATCAGCGCTGATGATAACGGGACGCTCTCTTCTTTCACCGTTGGGCTCAAGCAGGTAAGGAGGCGTGAAAATTTGCGCGTCGTAATGGTTCGCAGAGCAGTTTCCACAGAGACCACCTCCTCCATTCAAGACGGTCGCATCGGGCAGCAACATAGAGATACTGTGGTAGACTCGGACAAAGTTGTGGGCGTTGAGGAGTTCAAAGGTATCAGTCTCGGGATTGTAAAGTTCCGGCACGAATTGAGCCTTCTCCTCGTTGAATGGCTGTCCCCATGCCTGGCCACCTGCAATGAACACTTTGCCGTCGGGAAGAACCACAGAGGTATGGTAGACTCGGGGGAAGTTCATGCCGCCTTCATTCACGTTGTTGCCTCGTCCAGCAATCTTCACATCAGGGTCTTGAAGAGCGGTGTCCAAGGTGATGATGTGGGCGTTGTTGGATCCGAAAGATCCATCGTAAGACTCTTGGCCTCCAAAAGTGAGAATTTTGCCGCGAACAGCGTCAAACATGACAGCATTGCCCGACATGGAATCCAGATCATCTCCGCGTCGTCCGGCATATTGTGTGGTACCCTTTCCTTCGACAGTGTACCAGTGCATTCTCACACTGGGTCCGGCCTGGAGGACACTTCCATCCTTCCATCCAAATAGCCATGCGTGGTTGTCGGCGCGCCAGCGACCCAATCGGTCGTTGGTCAACATGTCGTTGACTCTTGCTCCGGAGCGAGTGTACCATTTTCCTTTATGGGGGTTGTACACCTCGCCGTTCTTCTCAGCCTTGTTACCGCCGCTCCAAGAGCCACCGATGGCAAAGATCCGACCGTCGGACAGGGTGGTTGTTGCGTGGTATCCTCGAGGCATGCGCATGTCAGGGCCAGATTCCCAGCCCGATCCATTGAAAATGCTTGTTCGGCCGGCATCTCCACCACCACTAACGACAATATTTCCGTCAAAGTCCATGGACATGCCCGGGCAGAACATGTCATGTTGGGTGTTTGCGACGACAGTCTGTTTAATAGACTTGGCCTTGGGGCTCCAGGTGGTAGTGAGGGTTTTACCACCGGGCGAGGCAAAGAACTGATCATCTGCCCAAGCAGACCAGAGAATGATCTCACCGTTCCTCTCCTGAGCAGCACCGACAGGGATAACGGGTAGATCGAGAGTTGGACCCCAGGCACCCTTGCCAGGCTCGATGGCGAGGGTATAGTCGGTAGCGTAGATACCAAGATTGACAATCATAGCAGGGTCACGCCACTGAGGGTAGTCGGGGTCTTTTGCTGGAGTCTCAGCGACAAGTTTCACATAGCGCGCAGCTGTGGGATTGAAGGCAGCAAGTTTCATGCCCTTGTTCTTTCCCCATGTGCCGTAAGCTACTGGCTCGCCCCAATCCAGCCCATTCTTACTCAGATAAACAAAGTGTTCGGAGATCTGACCCTCGGTGGCATTTTCATCCAAGCGTGGCAGCATTGTCAAGCCGCTGACATAGTGAATCTCCTTGAGATCAACTGAGATCCACGGCTGTCCGTTGCCTTGAGTGTCACTCTCCCAATAGGTGTCGCCCTTGCCGTCAGTGGCGTACTCGCAATTGCGTCTCCATTTGTTGCCAGTGCAAGTCACACGGAAGGGTTTGAGGTCGAGAAGAGTCGAATTGACAGGGGGTGACTGCCATTGGATAGCGCCCGAGACAAGACCGTTGACTTCAGGACTGTTCTCTTGCGTCGATTCGTAGGAGTACTCGGTGGACTTGTGAGCGCCGACAGAGACAGCTCCGAGAAGGAGGCTGGCTGTGTATGGGACTTTCATTGTGAAAGGATGAACAACTGAATGCTTGCATCGTATACGGCCAGTTCTTCATGGGAGAACTTATAATGGGAAGGCGGCTGGGGTTTCCACGCAAAGCTCAACATGCAACATGAGAATAGGAAGCTAAAGCGAGGACGATCGGAAGGAAGTGGAGCTGAGTGAAGAAGCTAGGGATCAGCATGCCGCAGTATGTGTACAGCAACCTAGTGCGAACCATGTGGGCTTCTGCATATGGGAGTGGAATGCGATCATCGGGATTCTCAGCTGGTGGGTTTCTTCGCCGGGAGTAATCATCCGGCACTTTCCATTGTTTTGGTTGGCTCCGTAAAGGCCCCCGCTCTATCTGCGCTATTGAAAAAGCTGCAGGAGTTCGTATGTTTATCTTTGCCGAAACAGATCCTGCACCCTGAGTCCTGATCCAGATGTCGATTGACCAATCTTCACAGATCGGCGACTATGTACACTAAGTTAACTTTTTGTTGATCTTCCCGAGCTCAACTTCCAAGGTTCAGTTCAGCCCACAGCCAATGCCACAATATACTACAGTACGGAGTATAACATCATTGTACGGGGAATTACGGAGCCCAGTTGGGCTTTTTTTCTCCCCCCCACCCCCCCGAGTGCTGAAGATTTGAATTTATTCCGGAAGTTTCTTTCGCGGTGAAAAAAACACAGTAACTGAAGCACTTCGTACGTCATAGCGGTGAACATATACATACATGCATGTATGCACCACAGGTTAAAACCCCCTTCAATCGACGCGCCTCCCTTTCAAGGTTCCAGATTTGAAGCGTACATACATTTAACTCCCGAATTCTGTGCAGACATGTGCATTTTCAGGGGGCACCTGTTTCATTTGACATCATCCCGAGGTCGTATGCCTCCAGATGTCCCAACCTTAGCAGAATTATGTAATAATCATGAAATGTCACTCAAGGTGATAGCACCCTTATCCGTAATATTGAACCAATAACATTCCATGGTTGAGAATGATCGGACTTTGACCGTAGACAACACATCCGAATAGAGTGCAAGACTGAGGCCCCTGCACGGCACGAAATTCCTTGATGTTGACTCGGCTCGCCGATCTACTCCCCGGGGAGAAAACGCCAACATGATCCGGCGCTGGATCGGCACTTTCTATTGCATAATGACCCACGTGTGTCTCAGATACCGCCACTTGCTGGGCCTTTGAACGCCAGGTCGTCATTTGGAACGGATCGAATCAACGACAATTGTTTCGTAGTCAGTGTATCCTGATTTGATCTTATTTTGCAGATCGCAGTATCTCGATTCTCAACAAAGATCATGCCCGGGGGTAAGCGATGGGAGTCCAGACCCACAAGGGCGGGCCCGTGCCAGCGGTCCGGAACCTTCTTCGGTGTGACTTTTCACTTGGCAACTTGGGACTTTCCAAGGTTATTACTAGTAGTAGTTTAGTAGTTATTACTGTGTTCGTCTTTATCTACACTGCACCATCGCGAATTGCCCAATCAGACATCTGGATGACGCTCAACTCTAAAAAAATTCGGACATCATCTGTCGGAAAAAAAATTAGTTGGCTTCAGCTCCACCTTTCAGCCTAGTGAATTGAGCAATGGGCGAGGGTTAAATGAGCATTTGAAATAGTGGGTTTCCACTGCCACTGTACATTAACATTGTCGAAGATTTGATTTGATGGTATTAGTGGGTACAGAGACGATAGCTCGAACTTTGGTGTTTCTTCATCCACTGCTGAGGGGTTCATTTACTAGTTCGTACACCATCGCCTTGGCATGATCCTGCCCCTACAATTCCAATGGCAAACCAGATCTACACAAGCCGGCTGGGGCGGCATGAGACCCGCTTACCATCAGCGAGAAGCTCAAACAGGCTGTGTTAATGGTGACCTCACAGATCGGTATGTGTAGAAGGAAAGTGAAGCGAGAATTGATAGATGGAATCTATCAAGTCGGGATCCGTGATTGGAATTGAGGTGTTGTCATTGGACATCTTGTGTGGTCCAATCGAAGCACGGGGAAAAAAACTTTAGAAGATACTGTTGGTCGGGAGAGAAGCATAAAAACTCCCAGCTCTCCTCATGAGTTTCCATCAAATCATTTCTTCCAAAAAATCGTTCAAAAGAAGATTGCAGTGATGACTCTCAATCCTGTGAATAAAAGCAACATCCAGGGTGGCATCTGGCCACGCATGCCAAAGGAGTTTGAGTCCTACCTCTTCTACAAGATTACCGACATACGAAGATTCCGCAATGATCTCAGAGACTATATCAGCAACATCACCACCGGTTTGGATTGCGAAGCCCGCCTAGCAAATATCAAAGCTGCCCAAGATGCAGGTGTTCCCAGAAAGGTTCACATGTCGGGTGTGAATGTTGCATTCAGCCAGAAGGGGCTACAAAAGGTATATTTGAAGTTTTCGATTCCCGAGATTGATGGGTCGAGCAATTTGAAGATACCCATGCTAATACAAAATTCAAAAACAACCAGTTGGGCAGAGCCGAGCTTGATGACGGCTTGTTCGAGAAGGGCATGTACAGCGACCTCGTTTTCGAGGGTGCTGATGCCCCCGAAAGACTACTTCCGGAATTCAAACCTCCGCCTGGACACAACTCCGCCAAAGATGATGACAGTTGGCGCTGTGACTTGGTCTTTATTGTGGCTGCTTCAAGCGATCAGAACCTGAACGATGGCATTGCGAAACTTGAAACCAACTTCCACTTGAGAGATTTCAACAAGAGAAGTCTCGAGTTGGTGGTCGCGAAACATGGACAGCGTCGACCAGGAGAGCTTCGCGGCAGAGAGCAGTAAGTTCTGGTTTCGTCATTGAAACACACATAAGGCGCTTTTCTGATTGATGATGCAGCTTCGGATTCGAAGATCACATTTCGCAACCTCAGATCCAGGGCCTTGATCCCGAGCCCAAGAAAAACGAGCCGCTTTCGTGCCCTCCAGGGTAAGACATCTTGAAGCTTGGAATTATTTGAATTCATGTAAGCTGACATAGTCAGATATATCTTCGTTGGTCACGACGGCGATCCGAGACAGCACAAAATGCCGCCTTGGTCTTATGAAGGCAGTTTCCTGGTTTTCCGCCAGATGGACGAGAAGGTTCCCGAGTTCAACAAGTATGGCTCCCATTTATACCGACCATGAAATTCCCACTTACGCTTCTTAGGTTCGTCAAGGAAGCCGCAAGCAAGATCCCCAATTATCAGGGAGATAACGGCGCCGAGAAATTGGCAGCTCATATGATGGGACGCTGGAAGAGTGGTATGTCGATGTTATCTTCCTTGCCATACGCATAACGTTAATATCGCTTAGGCGCGCCCGTGGCTTTGACACCCGACAAGGATGACCCAAGTATGGCAACAAGAAACGATTTCGATTTCCGACCTAAGCAGAGCATTTTGGGTTGCCCCTTTGCCGCCCACGCCCGCAAGATGCGCCCCAGAGCCGATCACAAGCGCGATCTTGGAAAGTATGACGATGACCTCGTGGCCGGGCAATTTACCGATCCACAGGTGCCCGGTCCTGAGAACCCTCCGGATGAGGAAGTCGACAGTGACGAGGAGCCAGATCAGGAGCCTGATAAGGAAGATGCTAGCGTAATCCTGCGCCGTGGTATCACTTTTGGCCCCGAGCTTGGAGCCGACGAGACGGAAAAGACACTCAGAAGCCGTGGTATTTACTTCACCTGCTATCAGAGCGATATTCGGGATGGCTTCAATTTCCTCATGACCCGTAAGTCCCCCTTTTTACCACTCAATTTAAGCATTGTTGACAATTGTAAAGGATGGGCAAGCAACAGCGTTTTCCCGACGTCCAAGAAGAGAACGCACCAGGATGGCCCTGGAATGGATCCATTTATCAACCAGAGACAGCGCAAAGATCATCCTGAGGGTCACATCAGTTTATACGACGGATTGGATCCGGAGAAGACACACAAGCTTGAACTTGGTACCAGTCCTTGGGTGGACCAGCGGGGTGGTGAATATTTCTTTACCCCGTCCATCCGAGGTCTGCACTGGTTCTGCAATAGTGTATAGAGGGAACATGGTTCTTACTGATATATCAATGACTTGTTCCAATATACATAGTACTTTTGAGGTTCGGACTTTGACCAATTTGAAACATTTGAAATGTTTGACAGATCTTAGTACATAGTACCCAGTAGAGTTGTGGGCAACAATGGCGTTGTTGAAAAACATTGAATCCACATGCAGTTGTCAGTCAAATGAAATTTCACTTCACGTAACAAATCATTCAGTCAGTTGTATTTGAGCTTGGATGGTGAGTGAATAAGTCTAGAGTACATCTGGTACACACCTGTATTTGGTGTCTACCGCTGGATTTTCACTAGGAATAGACTAGTCATATGATGAAAGAGAGCCCAATGAAATAAAGTCTTATTTAGAGAGAAGCTATGGTGAGGAGCATGGAGAGGTATGGCTCTGATATCGAGTCAGCATTCCTTCAAAATCCAACTCAAGACAACAAAGAACAGGAAGTTACATGTCGCAGGCCATCAAAACAAACAGGACACCACAAGTTACAAGCCATAATATGATACACGAGAGGACGCAGCAAAAAATCGATTCAAGAGCCGGTGACACGATTCCTTCAATCGCTGGATAGTGGCGAGAAAGGCCGCAGCACCTCTGGAATTCTCAATATGCGACCGCAGATCGTTGATTAAAACAGAGCGCCAAAAGTCATGATCAGAAGCCAGAGCAGCAATCGTATGAAATCTTCAGCAGCCATCGAGAATATTCCACATTATTCTCAACAAACGCTGAAGAGGCCATAGAACAGCTGATCCAGAAATCGAACATGGCCTCAACAAAAAAACCTCCTCGATGAAGGAGTAAAAAAAAGAAGTGCAGGTGCCTCTGACTAGTAGGTACACTCAGGGGAGTGAACATAGTCGACACACTGCGAAACACGAATTTTCCTAACATTTAAATGACTTTCCATGGCAGTAGCGAGAATGAATACAGGGCTTCACCCTCTTGCTGCCTTGTACTCAACATCCAGCCTCGACGTGATGTTTTCCAGAGTGCTGTGGATGCCAATCAAATTCAAACCACAACTCCTGAATCACATCTGACACGCCTGAAAAATGCCAGTATTCTATTCGTGGGTGATCAGATTGGATGATGTTTCACGACAAGTGTGTAAAGGACGTCGTCCCTACTAACTGTCGTTACTCCAACAGAGCACAATTAATTATCTCCAGTTGTTTCGCCGCGCTGGCCGCGGGTGGGTGATGTTTCGCGACAAGTGTGTAAAGGACGTCGTCCCTACTAACTGTCGTTACTCCAACAGAGCACAATTGATTATCTCCAGTTATTTCGCCGCGCTGGCCGCGGGTGGGTGATGTTTCGCGACCGTTTACAAAGGGGCTGATTCGCTCGCCCTTTGGATGCTGAGGGGCTGATTCGCTCACCCTCAGCTGTCACTACTCCAACAGAGCACATGTTTTCCAATTTCCAGTTTTTATCACCGCACTGGTCGCGGCTGGTGATGTTTCGCAACCGAGTGCAGAGGACGAAGTCCCTAGCTGGCGCTACTCCAGTAGAGCACAAGACATTTGTTCGCCGTGGGGCACGTATGGGCACGTACCCCAAAGCATTGACCACTTTTGCCAGGTGTTTTACCTTTCTCCGCACAAGAGAAAGGGAGACAACTCGTCCAACTTAATCATCACCGCCACCTGACCAACATCATGCAGCCACACTCAACATGTGTCTACCTGGTGTCTTATCAGAATGGAGGCTAAGAGGACGTTTTCGGAGTTCTCTGGAAGGAAGGCTGAACAGGAGAGCCCGGGCGGGGGTTTTAAAGGGGTGTCAAGTGTTCGGATAAACTGTTCTTCAAATTTCCGGCATCATACAGCTTACATTACCATCCCTTGCATGCAGATTCTAAATCTCCACTAACGCACATTTAAATAGTGGTAAATAATGTACAAAAGAAAATTCCTGTATCAATCAATTAAGCAAACTCTGTAAGCATGTCGGATAATTTCGCCTCAAAAAACCCAGAAACCTTGCAAAAAGGTCATGACAGGTACGACTACTACTTTTCGGGTGTTCTAAATCAGTACTGGAGGATGATTGATAGTAAACACAGGTCATATGACGTGCTAAGCCTAATCGGGATGTTTTATTTTCCTGCCAAGGGGGGGCTGGCAGAAAAAGTGGTCATGTAATCTTTTAATGAACTTAAGAATGTACTTGAAAAAGGACTTGAGAAGAGGTTACATAGCTAGAATTTCTGCCTGCATGTTGTTTCCTTAACTACGGATCAATATAAAGTTACTAGTATATTATTTTAGTAACAATTTTTCATGTCATAGCCTGAAGATCTAGGTATTAAGGTTTTGGTGCCTGGGGGATCAGGTAGCAAGGCTGTTAGAAGGCGGTGAGATCTTCGAAAACGGTGAAAGAAAGCGGTCTAGAGCTGTTTTGCTGCCCGAGGCAGATTCAGGCAGATTAGGGCATCAACGCGCCCCGATTGGGATTAGTGCATCACGTAACCCGTGTGACACGTGAGCATGAGACTCAAGTGACCGTTTAGATTAAACCCCTAGTTAAATCACTTCAGAGGAGCGCTCTTTCAATCCTGGTTCCAAGATTGGTTTGAAAAAATGGAATAGCCTTCAAGGTTCAAAGGTAATGCTATCTATTGGTTTAGCCAGTCCATCCTCTCACCAACATCTGCTTGCCATTTCGCGAATGTGAACCCCCCTGAAGCCTGAACCCGGTTTGGAATCCAAACAACGTCACTCGTTCGATCTGGCATCAGCTTATGCAAAGTTTGACTGTTCCGAGGACTTGAAAATAGAAGCTTGAAAATACAACTGTATTTATCCGTTTCTTGGACGATTTCAACCAGTTTCGACACCGTCAAAATACTTTCTTCAAGGAGCGCGGTGCCAGTTTCAAAAGTTGTGACTGATTCGATGATGCAGAAAACCAGAGTATCAGAAGGAAGCTCATGAATAAGGCGATGAAAAACTTGGCATAGGGCACTGACATCCGCGAGCTGTATTTTTGGTATTTGATCGAGTGTTTTCAGACTGAATTCGGGGTATGCGATTAGAAGTTGCGAGATCAAGCTTCGCATGAGACCAACTACTCCTGTATCTCGATCTTCACGGCGACGATGCGCCCCACAAAAAAATGAAAGAGCTATTACCTGGTGATTATCGTATGCGGTGATAGATTCCACCAGTTTCGCAAATGTGAATGACGAGACCCTCTCATCGCCGGAAGAGTTGCAGTTGATAAATAGCGCTGAGGAGTTGGACGTAATGATCCAGGTACTAAGCTTGGTTGATTGTATGATCGTGGCTATTCGGTCTTGCTCAATTCGGGAAATCCTCCAGACCTCTCGTAGACTGGTTGAAATATCCCGGGCGATGATCAAGTTGTCATAATTCAAGGCTTCAAGGCAGTCATCTCTTGCTTTCAAGTACTCTGCTCTCTGAGAATTAGCCTCCAGCCATGCAAGGGATTGGTTTGACAAATGAACTGTACGTTTTAATGTCCTTTGACGGATAGCCGCATTGCTGGCAGGGAGAATGGGGCCCCTAACTGTGAGTTGTTAACAGGGATTGATAATGAGAGATAAACTAAAAATGTTGGCCACAAACCTTGACGCGTCTTGAAATCCACTCGGCCGTTGCCCGCCAGAAAATTGCGACATATCGCTTCTGTCAGATTCGAGATTTGAGCTTTCATCAAATTGACTTCGCGCTGATTGTCCGTGGTTTTAAGCTGAATCTGGTCCAAACGCCCAACGAGAATCTCCTGATCATCGCGGGATTGAATATCATGAGCTAAGAGTATCATGTTCGTTTCTTTGCCCATTTCAAATGACGAAATTTGAGCTGATTTGTCAAAACGAGTAGATTTCTCTCGTAGATCTTGTATCAGAGAACTCAGCTTCATGCCATAAGATTCCTGCTTAAGAACGGCCTTGGCAGCTTTGACTGTAAGGAAAGGTCAGGATAAAACAAAGACATTTCTAATCAAACGAGGATAGTCAAGATACCTATTGAATTCTGCGAATACCAGTTTACAATATGGTGAAGAATCCCGATCGTGCTAATGTAGAGCTCCAAGGCCCATTGGCGCAGTTCTTCGGATGTTTCGAATATCTTCAAAACACGATTAATGCATGTGAGTAGTGAGGGGATCTCAGTCAAGGCACTCAATATTTCTTGGCGCATATCGGCCAACCGAGCAGAGGCCTTTTGTGAAGTTAGTTTTAATCTTGTATTTTCAAGGATTGATGAAACATTTGAAGGGGTGGATACAAACCCTCACTATGAGCTTTAGACCTCCACTGAGTACAGATGACCAGTCTGATCCAGAAGGTAACAGGCCAAGCCAAGAATCAAATGCTTTGTTGTTGTCACCAAATTTGTGGAATCCTTTCCTTATCTTATTCCAAGCCCGTGAGTCGGAGTTGTATACTTCTGAGGCTTTATTAACTTCCGCCAGGACATCTTCCCAAGTATGCTGGTCGGAAATGATAAGATCCGTCCGGAATTTTGCACCATCGATGGTTTTTCCATAAGCGACCAAGGCGGCCTGGAATCTTTCGCGTTCGTGTGTGGCCTCGACACTCAAATCATTTCTGGAGATTGTCAGAACTTCCACCAAAACGCGGGTAAACAAAGCGAGCTCCTCAGATCTGAAAGCATCGAAAGCAGGATGCACGCCTCGTTGTATTTTTCTGCGCATGTATCCTCCAACCAAAGTACCCAGTCCATGGTTCGATGGACGACCCTTGACCGTAGGGGAGTCTACCATGATAACGTTGAATGAGTCGTGTCTGAGCGCTTGAGTTGTGTCGTATAGCGCTGATGATATTTTATGTATGGGGCAGTTGTAAGTAATTCTCTCTTTTTCCCCAAGGTTTCACCAAAAACCTGCTTCGATCGCGCAAAACCTATCAAAGTCGCTGAAGGAAATGGACTTGAGACAGCTCAACCATGAATAAAAAAAAACAATTTGGGAGGACAATAAGGCCTGCTCTTGGGTGTGTTCTGTTCCAAGGTTGATTTATCTCAATCTGATTAATCAGTAACTCCAAGCACTAGAAGATGCGTGCACAGCCTTGAGCCACCCAAGAGCCTCAGCTGATGAATACTTATGGCCCCGGTGGACGGAAAGCGTGCTTTGACATTTGGTTGCTCTTGATTCCGGTGGCCTGAACGCATATTCTGACCAACTATTCAATGTAATGATATGAATAATCCAGGGACCAGGGAGGGGGAAAGGATTCATGCATGCATATTCTCAGCCATCGTAATCTGTTGTCTTGTGATGATTGGTGAAACTGTTACAAAAATAAGCCCTGCTTACGCACAGTTCTCTTGGCTTTCTTCCCCCCAATCCTTTTGCTTTTTCTTACTGATGATAATGATTTACTGCCCATGTTGAGACTAGTCAATCTTACCCCTCAAAGAGGCAAGGAAGATATGCCAACTTCATTTTCATAATACGACTTGACTATTATGCAGGATGCTACTTACCGAACTCACAAGGATACTATGATATTTCTTTTTTTTTCATTGTAGCCGGCCCCCACCCGTGACCCTGTCAATTATTTAAATCGCTCACTCGCTCCTAGAACCACTGAGTCATTCTCATTGCTTAAAATCAATCACTTCGAAAGTAACATATACAGGTGATATCTTCTACGCCAAATGAAGTTCCCACCAAGTGATAGCACGATGACCACCAACGAGAATATCCCAACAGTGCACATGGACAAAACAGGAACTGATGTGAAAAAGGCGGAGCAGGCGACATACTCAAAACCCCAGGAATCTCCACCTGATTCTACGAATGTTGAAGATCGTGAGTCGTGAAGCCCAAATACCGGAAACTGTCAACCAAAAAAAAACCATGGTATTTTGCACATGTGTACTTATTCATGTCTTCTAGCCAAGAGTATGGAATCCATATCAGGACCAAGGTTCGTGTTTAAATCTTCAACCCAAAATCTAGAAGAGACCTAACAGGGGCTTCCATATAGCAAGGATGCTCAGCGTGAGCCAGGCTCTTCAGCGGAGGAAAGCAAAGCCAGAAGTGAAGAAGAGCCAATTGTCTGGCAGGAAATAAAAATCACACGGTTGGCCCCTGAAAAGTGGCGGAAGGTCAAGAAAGAGAAAACCGTCGATACTCATCAGAGTGTTCTCCTCACTGCCACGAGAGGCAACGGAAGCACCATATCGGAAGCAAAACGAGTGAAAAACCAGTCGATTGCCATCAATCCAAGCCCTGAAGCTTCAAATCAAATTTTCAAGCCATACCGGTTGGCGATTAACTCGATTTTCCTCTTGCGTATTCTAGAGGAATGCACAGAAATAACTTTTAGGGAGGCGCAGAATGTTTTGGTTCGACCTTTCAAATGCTTAGTGGAGTTTGAGTCAGAGATTCGTGAGGCTTTAGAAAAGGCCGAATTGCAAAGCGCAGAGGCAGATGCCACTATTGGGCATTTATTGCATGAATCTGACGATAGCAAGATCCGGATTCATGGAACTGCTACTAGTGAGCGCATTGAACAGGGACCAATTGAACAGGGCCCCAAAAACCGGAATGAACTCGCTATCCTGAAAGCAAGGGAGCGGGACGAATTGCGCTGTCTGGTTGAGTTTATGGATACAGACATGAAAGACATATTTGACATGAAGCGTCGGATTAAATCCGAATCTGTTGACCAAATTGCCTTTGAACATCTTTGGCTTTTCTTCAAACCCGGTGATTTGACCTCTCTTTGCCCTGATAATGATGCAAGTCGAAGACAAGCCTTTCGAATCTTGAGTGTTACCGGTGGAAGAGTATGCTTTGATAAGTCACGAAAATCGTCGTTTGATCCCGTTAAAGACCGAAACTGGGATTCGGATTCGGAGAACGATGAAAAAGTCTGTGATTCTGTCAGATTCTCTGGCGCTGAAAGAACAAATTTCATAATCGATGCGTTCTATCTCGATTCAGATGGCTATGCAATTGCCCCAAGAGCGAAAAGATTTGTCGTTTCGCCCTATTCTGGGGAGAGATCCGTCTTCTCCCTTCCGCTGCGGCATTTTGATTTTGAAGCAGAAAAACTTCAGATTCAAAAAGATCTACTGACTCGGGGGTCGCGTTTTCTCGAATTGGTTTCTCGGAAGCACAATATGCATTCCACACATACCATGTACTCTGGTTCTACAATTCAAGAGTCAAACTTTGTATCCTCGCGCTACAAAAATTGGAAGATCAATTCAACAGAGGTATGTCCCAATCTCGAAACTTGATTTGCTAAGTACTGACTGTCTCTGTCATTTTCCTTTTTTTAGATACATGGAGAGATCATTATAGACCAGGAAGCCGCGTTACAGCATTTTAAGGAAACTTACTACTACTTTAGCTTCCGTGCCGGTGGCGCAATTCTGACATCTCCCACTGCGATGGACATGCGAGAGTGTGTTGATTTCTTGGCATTTGACGGTGACATAGTCATCACTGATGTCTTTGACGACTCGGTATTTGAACAGGCCAGGTACCAGGTGTTTCTGGACTCTACCAATCAACTGAACAGTCGCTCTATTGCCACTAACGCCTTTTCTGACGAGGATCTCTTGCTATTACCCCCTCGAGTCTATGGCTACTCACTATTGGATCATCGATGGGCTGCCTTCAATATCAACTTTCTGAAGGACTTGATTGCTAGCAGAGGAAAAGACGGCTGGGCTAAGATTGAAGATCTCGTGCTCCCCGAAAATCACAAAACCATCCTCCAGGCACTTGTAACAAACCAGTTCCAGCAGTCTGCTTTAGAGTTTACTGGTGATAGAGGCCCACAAAATCAGTTCAGTATGGACGTCGTTCCTGCAAAGGGCAAGGGGTTGATAATCCTGCTTCATGGCGCACCTGGGGTGGGCAAAACTTCAACAGCAGAATGTATCGCGGCCAAATTGAAGCGACCAATCTTACCTATCACATGTGGCGATATTGGAACCAATGCGACCGATGCAGAAAATAATCTTGAATCATTCTGCAACTTGGCAGATAGGTGGAGGTGCGTGCTTCTCCTGGACGAGGCCGATGTTTTCTTGGCAAAGCGCGAACGTGGGGATATCAAGAGAAATAGCTTGGTTTCCGGTACGTATCATTGATATTCTTGAGACTGGAAGAGAGGAAAGCAAGTGAGACTAATTCAACAATCGCAGTATTCCTAAGGGTACTCGAATATTTCTCCGGGGTGATCATTTTGACAACAAATCGAGTTGGCGAGTTTGATGAGGCTTTCAGATCTCGTATCCACATTTGCCTGTACTACCCACAGCTAGGAAAGGGAGAGGTCAAGCAAATCTGGCAAAAGAACCTGCAGCGACTGAAGAGCGGTCCCCTGAACATTGACATCGAAGAAAAAGAGATCGAGAAGTTTGCAGACGACCTTTGGCAGCGTAATGCCCACAAACCAAGCCGGCGTTGGAATGGGAGACAAATCAAAAATGCATTCCAGACAGCCATCGCACTTGCAAACTGGGAATACCAAGAATCTGGTGCCAAAAAGAGACCAAGACCAATTTTGCGGGTCCGCCACTTTCGAAAAGTCGCCAAGCTGGCAGCTCACTTTGATGATTACATTAGTGAGATTTACGACCTACCCGACGTTGATACATACGGGGAGTTGGCTAGAAGATCTGAGATCCGGAAGGACAGCAGTTCTCCTCGTAAACAGTTCAAGAATCCGCGAGATGGGTCGCGCGCGGATCACCGAAGGTCCACTCGGCGGCGAAGCATTGATCAGGACAGCCTTAGCGGCTCCGACGATAGCTTCGGTAGCAACAGCGAAGCAATGGATCCAGAGGACAACAGATCACAGGAAGAAGATGACGAATCTTGTTCGGATGATGATTCCGACAAGATCAAAGAGTTGGAGATGGAGCTAAAGCTGAAGAAGATGAAAGAGAAGAGAAAGGCCAAGCGGCACAACAAATAGAGTACTGTGTGGTACTTGGTATATGTATGTAAGCTTAAGATGAACAAACAAGCGTGGCAAATTCAATCTGAGAATTTGGGGAATTAATGGATGTCATGGTTCAAATGTTTATTCATCCGGGTTCAGATAGAGAACATTGAAAACAGGCTACATTCAGCCCAGCGAGGTCAATGACTGGAACTAGATTGCAAAAATTATCAAATCTTTGGATCCCAAAACGGGTCAAGTATCTCGTTCGTCATTCACCTGGCCTTTGACCGTGCTACACCCCCGCAGACCGTGCAAGGCAGCAAGTTCTACCGCTGGTCTCAGTACTTCACTCATTCCAAACCGAGCATTAAATTGATGGAAAGTTGGTTCAAACTAATTTAGCTTATCTAATACTAGGTAGGGTTTTAGCCTCCGATAATAGAAGTGTGAGTGTATGTATACATGACTGGGCTCCCCTGAGAGGTCTTTCCAACATACAGAACGGCGTTGGAACTCGGGGTTACACTAGCACTATCACGTTCATACTTGGTATTTAAACAAAGATAGATGAGGAATATTTAACAAGCACGTACATTTCAACTTGTATTTCAATGAGACAATTTGATGGGAGTAGCACCAAGCGGCTTGAGAACGTCAACAAATAATCAACCTTGGGGCCAGGGGGAACGATTATTCCACTATGGATTGTACTGAAGTGCCAGTTGGCAAATCAACGTCGCTGGAGCTAATTGTGGCTCGCCTTGGAACCAACTTTCATAGCATCATCCATTTGGCCGACCCAGTCCATCGCATTTTGGATTTTACCAATGGCCTTTCGCTCATAACAGTCCCCTCCCCCAAGAGGCCATTCCTTTAACGTGATAACATCGGAGGGATCGGAGTCATATGTCAAATTCCACACAAAATGGGGCTTAGAACCATTTTTGTTCACCAATCGACGCTTGAACATAGGCCCGCCTTCGCACAATCTACCTTCATCGCACGAATCGTCCTTGTGTTTCAAACGAGCTTGATCAAATCTGTACTTGACAACGGGGTGGATGTATTCGAAGGTTTCGCCCAGAGACTTGCTTCGGTCGCCAGCCACATAAGCATATCGGCCTGGCGTGCGGACATGCTTTCCATTCAGCCAGTACATCTTGCTGTAGCTGTCCTCCATTGCAGCAGTTCCCCAGTCGTAGGACCGATTTTCTTCAAAAGGAGGGACTGGGCCAGCAGTCAGAGGGTGTCTAATTGCTGAGGCAACCTCAAATGACCTGCGCAAGGCCCATGTTCCCCAAGTTTCATCTTTTGTCATTATGTTCCAATCCAACCGCTTTTTATTCTCGATCCGGAAGTTCGCTTCGCGAAGATCGTACTCTTGATTAATATGCGCTTCGTTGAGAGATAAGTGTTTCTTCAGTTGATCCAGCATCCAGGAATAAGCGATGTTTGACATTTCTTCCATATTTCCCTTGTTGTGCATAGTCTCGGATGCACCTCCGCCAACGTTGATATGATATCCTGGAAACCAAACTTGTACGAGCTCAGTAGGTTTTTTCGATCTGTCTTGGTAGTTTATGAGATGTCGAAGAGAATCGTTCCATTTCAGAGCGAGGGCATTGACTTCACCAGCGATCTCATTGATTGAGGCATCGGTCGGGAGTTTAGCCCTCTTTCCTGCTTTGGTTTCTTTCTTTGGAGTCTTTAGTTTCTTGGCTTTCTGCAAATTTTTCTCGTAAGCTTCCTTATTTTCCTTGACTGCGTTCTTCAGGAGTTCCTCCTTGGTACCATCCTTCTGAGGGGGCACAAAGAACAGGGTGGGCTCGAATGCCTTGCGTTGTTCATCGATAGCAAGGGCCTGGAAAGCGTATTTTATATCTACAGAAATATCATGTTAGCGATGAAGACTTGCGTGAAAAAAAAAAACTAGAAACCCCGAGATATCAACTTACGCGTCGAGAGGCCCACACTCTGCCACTCAGGGTTCTCCTTCCAACTGAGCCATTGAGGTATTTTGACCCCAGCGACCTCTGGCATCCCGATAGCACCAACAGTGTCATAAACACCAACCACTTCCACTGCCCTCGAGCCTTTCTGAGCCCAGTCATCACCCGATTTCGCATCACCAGCGCCCTGAGTGATATCTGCCGTTCCCCACATCCATTCAAACCAACTCTTGCTGTGGAAAAACCGCTTGCCCTTGTTGTCCTTGTTGGTTTTGAAGGTCTTGTAGTTTTTCCAAAGCTCAGGGAACTTGTTGAGGTCCGCCTTATTGCAGAGTCCAATGTCGGTAATAACTCCAGCGATTGAACGGGCAGTAAAAGCGCCTCGGGAGAAACCAAAGGCCATAATCTGGTCACCAGGATTCCAGTTCAGCACACAATAATTGTATGCTTCAATGACATTTCCTTCAAATCCGGAGCCAGTAGCACCCTCGTGAATGGTACCAAGTAAGAGCGAGGACGTGCTCCCAATGCCAGAGTCGTACCAGACAATCTGCTGGAATTCGTTTCCCTCGGCATCGGTTCCGATAGGATTTATGGCGCGGCAGAGGCGTGTGACGTTGGAGGGGACGTTCTTTTCTCCCGAGACTGACGACTGCCAGGTACCATCACAGCAAATAATGATGCGCTTGGGTCTAGGTTTGCGCTCCCTGTCTTGTTTATGCCGCTGCTGGAAATCAAATTCGCTATCTGCGTGACCGGTAGACTTCTTAGCAGATCCGTTGTGAACCATGGTGGCTATTTTCAAGCTTGGAAGAACTTGAGGTTGGCCTTTGAAGAATGAGCTTTGGAAAATCAGTGTTCACGATCCGAAAATAGCACCTAGTATTAACGTCCTTGGCCAAATTTATATCTTCATGCTGAGATCGCAGTACATATCTTCAACCCCTCGAAAGGGGCATGGACCATCCATCCTTTCCCAAGATTCGCCGCTCGAGGGTTCTAGATGTCAAGAAAGGCCCGAATTCTCTCGCTCCGAATGCCCAATGTTGCCTCGTATCCATCTCAAATGGGAAGCTGTCGACGCTCAGCTCTCGTTTTAGTCGGCCGGACTGACTCAAGATGCAGTTTCAGGCAAAATCCGGCTGCAAGCCATGTTCGACTTTTCAGCTTTCCATATCGTTCAGCTTTGCAAGTTTTTTTGTCAAGCCAATAGAAGCGTGTATTTGCTCGGCATAGATAAGTTTAGTCTTCATGCGGGTATATCACACGTGGAAATAACGCGTTCCCCACCTTGCAGAAATAATTGGGGGTGGCTGGCTGAGTTGTGACAAAAGAAACGACTAGGAAGGCGCGTCGAGCTCGAGGTATGATTTGTCACAGCCACTGAGCCAGTCTGAACGACCCGGTACCGAGTATGTGATTCAGTTAGCCCACTGGATCAGAGTGGTGAGTATAACTAAAGAGCGGCACATGCATGCGCGGCGCGCAGCTAAAGTTCCGGGCAGAGTAGGTACCTCTAGGTCCTAGTTAGGTAGTAGGGAGTAGCCCTGGATGTATCCAACCCTGAAGTTTACGTACTACTACGTACGCACTTGATACCCAAGTACACAAGATCAGTACTTCAGATACTAGGTATTGAATTTTTCTTCTCGGGGAATTCATGTGACGAAAAAGACCGCAGGGCCCAGGCACGTAGTAAAGGGGGAGAAAATCACACACATCACACATGCATTAAACAGGACTAGTGCTTTGAGGATTACAGTTTACGCAACGCGTGTAGCCCAGAGACAGAAGGAAAAGAATTCCTTGACATGGGAACATGGATATGCCCGCTGTTTCGCAACCTGGAAGTAGGGTAAGGAACTCAAAGCACGGAAAGATATCGGTTTTAAGTAGAATACCCAAGTGTGAAATAGACAGCAAGCATTGTTACCGTTGAACTGGACTCGAACTACAGAGATGAAATGTAATGAACTGTAGATGGAACAGTTTGAACTTGGGACAGATAATGATTTGGTAATAGATGCTTGGTAAAGGGAAGTTCAGGATAAGAAGGAACACCAAGAACGGGCAATTCAAACCAGGTTCACCGCTTCCCTAACCCGGTCGCCACACCGGGCCCATGTAACTATAGCTACGTCACCTGACAGTTTGTCAGGACTCAGGAGTCAGGACTCAGGATGCCTATTACGATCACGTGATGCGGCGGCCGATAGAGGCCACCGGGTCACATCCCCTTTCCGACCGGCAGAAAGTAAATTACGAGTAATTCAAAATCATATTAGTTTTTGAACTCCATTATGTTCAGCGCTGTAAAAATAAAATACTGACAAAAGCTCAGTACTGGAGATAGGTACCGAGTAGGTAATGTACCCACTACTCAGTACCCAGATCCTATTCAAATGAAGATACAGGTACTATCTTCATCCATCCAAGCCAAATACAAGAAAGATTTACATGTTCATGTCCCCGGTAAGCTACAACATTATTTACTCTTGTGCTGGAATCCTTCAGTGAAAAGGATACACCCAATCACACCAGCCAAGGACCCGATTCCCGCCCCGCCAACGACTCCGCGCCAACCCCCTAATATGGCCACTGGCCGCCTCTGCAAAGTCACTGCAAGAGCACCCATGACTGCTCCCGGCTCACTCCAGTTATCCATTGCCAACTGCCCTATATTATATCGCAATCTCCAACTGCGATCACTCCACTCAATATCCTCTCGACCCCACATTCTGGCAACCATCCCAGCTGCTGATATTCCGGCGCCGATGATACTTCCGGTACCCGCCGAGCGGAGGAGAAGAGGCATGGCAAGAGATCGACGTTTGAACGCAGATTCAATAGTACAACTTATTAAGCCAAGCGCCGTGCCTAGCTGAAAGCCACGGCTGGCGACATGGGTGGCGAGAATAGTTCGCGCCAGAGGTTGGTCTTCGGCGTACTCGGCTGTGGGGTAAAAGTGGGACATTGGGACTTATTAACAATCAATAACTTGTTATTGGAATGGTTGATCCTGGATCGTTTGAAGAGGCAAGTCCTCCTGACTTTAGGTAGAGAATTCCTGCTGACACGAAGGTGGCGGGAAACCCGGATTGATGAATACCACCGGAAAATGTTCTGGCCCGAAAAGTGGTCGGCGTACTTTTGGTGTATTCAACCTACACCATACTGTATTCATCATCTGTGGTTTGTTTTTATTCTTTTTTTAAAACTTTTTTTTTTTTTTTTTTTTTTTTTTTTACAAAATTTTGAAATAATCATGGAGGACTGGATGAGAAGCAATACAGTTTGCTCTGTAGTTGTTGGTCTTAAAAGCCCCAATTCACTTCAGCTTCACCATTATCAATTTCGTGGAGCCACATGGGCAAGACTTCCTCATTCTTAGCCAAAGAACCTACCCGCAGTCATGTGAGTTTCAAAAATTGGAGGCATAGTGCTTCTCAGGCTCATCCCACTGGTTCCTTCTGATTCGTGGCCAGATTCTTCAAATCCCTGCAATCATAGGTCGTGATCAATAATCAGACTAAAAGCACACACATTGTTGTCAGACAAATAGGATTCATTTTATCCTTTGTGGTTTTGTTCGAATCTTCATTGCCAGTTGCCAATGTTCCCTCGCTGTCATACCCTCTAGACCTCAATTAAAGGCCAAGGTAAGGGCTCGTCTCTTGTAAATCTCGGCACTAATTTGAAATCGATACCCAGTTGCTCACACATAGTATGAAGTCGTCCAGTGTGTACGATGACAAAGAGGGAGACTGAAACCATGCTATAGCCCATCGAACGCGTCATCCATTCTGGAAAGCCATCCTGGATCTCGAGGACTTTGAGGTTTGGGAATCTTTCTCGCTGAGTTAATAAATTTTCAAGAGTTTCGACCATGGGGCCCAAGTCTTCCCTACAGTGATAGACCAACTGGAGATATTCAAGACCAAAAGGGAGAATATCCACCAAGGATACCATTGGTAAGCCAGTCATTCCATAGCCCATGAGGGGGCGCCATGGAATTCTGAGTTCACGGAGACGATGAAATCTAGCAAGTGACCCAAAGGCGCCCCAGTTGATGTCCTCCCCATCTGGAATCCAATCCTTTGCGGGCTTGGTGTCACCATTGTTGTTGATACGAAGGACACGAAGACTGTGCTTCTGTGTGTATAGGCTTGTGTAAAGGGCATTGGGGCAAAATGTGTGTCCTTGTTCATCCCTGATGACTTTGTCCCGGTGTTGATAGTCGAATACCTCCAAGGAGATACTTGATTCAATGAACTCCTTCAATCCAAACTTAGCATTACATCGCCGAAGATAGAGTTGCTTGATTCCCTTGATTCCAGACGCTCTCGTGGAAAGCCTCTTATTTTCAAAATAATCCTGGTCTGGACATTCACATATTCCGTCCGCGGAAAAAACGCGTAAAGCTGGGAATTCAAGGAGTGGGAAAAGCATGGTTGACAAGGGAGCATCAAATTCGCTGCAATTTCGGATCCTGACCCATTCCAAGCGTCGCAACATCGGGTTGGAGTCAAAAGGTCGTTCGCTGGCGGCAGCTCGAGCGAGAATAGTTAACAAGTATTTTGCTGAGCCGTTGAACTCAAGCGTAAGTGCCCGGACAGATTCGAGTGAAACCGTCAGCATTGCAAACCAGGCATCGGGATCTCCCTTCATTAGATCCTTTCCCCATTCTGTCCTGTATTTATTCGAAGGACTTGCTTGCTGGAGTGTATTCTTGAACGGTTTGATACTGTTTCGACTCTTTTTATCCCGGGTTGATGACCATTCAAGAGTCAAGAATTGAATCGCGCGTCCGATTTGTGGGTTTCTCTGGACAGCACGAGCTAGACGGTAGGCTTGGTGGCCTTCAACTTCAACACGCTCGTAGGCTTTAAAAAACGCGTCCAAATACCACTGCCGGCAAACAAGCAGCATCTGGCGACGGTCTTTTCCATCGAGGTAGTCAGCTATGAGACACAGAATGTCATAATGCAAGAGAGGCATAGCCGTGGGAAAGCAAGTCCGACTTGCTAAGAGAAAGGCACAGCGTCGATGGATGAAAAGAATGTTAGGAAGAAAATGGACAATGTCAAAAGGAGAAAGATTGAAAGGAAAGGATTCAAGATCAAAATGTTGGCCGGGTGAGGTTGGTGTAAACATTCAATGTTTCTGCACGTTGGAAAAGTGAGGGCTCAAACATTGATACCTCCTGCGCGGTTGAAAGAGAGTACACGTAGAACGTACATTCCAAATAGCCATTTAAATCCATGGAAAAAGCCGCTTTATATGAATCTTGTATCGATGATATAAATAAATTATTATCTATCATATATAAATGCCAAAACAACATTTCAATGTTGAAACGAAAGATTGAAGAATGTTTGAAAATGGAAGAAATCAGATACAAAATTCCTTTGGGTACTGAAGTAGACTGCACATGTGTAGGATGAAGGAAACAAACAACGGAAACTTGTGCGGTTCATTGGGTTTTTAATATTCAGAAAATGATCCACTATTTATCGCCTACTGAACGGCCATCTTCGCCGAGGCCTCGCATCAAGCAGTGTACCCTCCGCAAGTGGCAGAGTAGCAGTCACTGTAACCATTGTAGCCTCCATTCCAGGTGTATTGCAATGCCCCAGTCCACGAATAATCCCCGCTCTCCTCGTCGCAAAGGCAAGCACGCCACCACGATTCGTCTTCCGATTTTATCGTAAGGTCATTAGAAAGTTCCCAAAGACCATTGCTGTCTGGGTATTGACCTCCAGCGTCGGCATCGTACTCTTTCCACTGAGCCTCGGTTCCATAGAAATCCAAGCCGTAGTAAACACCGGTAACACCACCATCCACTGTCTCCGTGCCACCTCCCGCACAAAGTGCCACATTATCAGCATACACGTCCAGATCGTCACTGTATCCATCACAGTCTCCATCACTAGTGCGCTTGCGCGATGCTGCAGGTTTGTCGAACGCATTGAAAGCACCGAGACCGGCCGAACTTCCAGTGCCATTTACATAAAACATAGACACGGGCGCACCTAGTAAAGTCCCGTTGATGGAACGCTGAACCAGTATGGGGTTCTCATCGGTGGCGTTGATCACATGTGCCATTGTGATGATTGTATAGTTGCGGTTGACATCATGCATGATGCTTCGATTCCCAGACAGCATGTTGCTGACCGTCCTGTTTGCCAAGTGAGGATGGAGAACTGACCAATCGTAGTAGCCAGTTTCATGGCCGCGTGCCGCACGGGGAAGATCTCGACGACGACCTCCATTAGCGACAACTTGGCCATAATAGTCAAAAAATGGCACTAGCTCCACGCTTGTAAGGGAGTCTGACACCGCTTCTCTCCAGTCATTCCATGCGACGGCGAGGTCGGCGCGTCCGTCCCAGACAGAGAGCGCGCCCGTGGTGATTCCAATTGCAGCGCAGGCATATTGTAGCCAATTGGGAGCATCAAGCCACCAGCCTAGAACATGACATGTCACCTCACTGGCGACACCCAGACCAGTTACCCAATTCATGGGGGCGATGAAAACCTTGGTGGCTGCCCACACGAACCACGACAGAATACCGCGACGATTTGTATCGCTTTTGATTGCGGTACCTGGCTGCTTCGAGGGGGGGCTCTGGTAGGTTCCCCGAACAATAGCTTCCCCATCCCGCCCAAAGGCTGAGATTTTGCTGTGCAGGTGAACATGGAGTCCCTGGGGTAAGCCAAACTCACCACTAGATATTGCCTTGATCGGCTGGTCTAGTGGCTTGATGGATTGTGCGTAAACCCCGGCCCCATTGTTGTTCAAGGCTGAAAGCCATAAGATAAATAGCATAGCACGCATATGGATGCTATTTTGGTATATTTTCGCTTAATTGAAAACCACGGTCGAAGAGAGCTAGGGAGACTAATAGGCAGTTGGTCGGAAATTCGGAATTTATAATTTATCAATGTAGGTGCAGAGGTTGTGAGGCTCCAAGAATTTGAACTGGCTCCTGTAGAAGAGCTGAGACTTTTGATTCCAGGGATTTTGTCTCCCTTATATATGCTAAGGTTTCCTAAATTTATCAGCCAACATGAACCTCCAAAAAAAACCGAAGTCATGCTTAGGTGCTCGACCGAATCACTCCAAGGCCACCGAGGTCATTCCCGTCAATCTTCACGATTATTTTGCCTGCATGATCGTTTTACTCCCTCTCTACACAGGGCTGAAAAGAAAGTGATATTGTAAACAGTGAGATACAGTAAGCAAATGCGGGAAAGGGAAAAGTAAGTTTAGTGGATGCAGGTGAAATAACGAACCGGAGGGCCGCCTCCGCACTCACACATGCATCCCGTACAGCCTGGTCTTCAGATCGGCTTGGTGATTAGCCTGTCTTCTGAGTTCTGACAGCCCTACAGCCCTGTTTAGGTGCCTAGCGGGATCCGACGGGGGTACAACCACATATCTATAAGTGCCAAAAACATGGGAGCACGCAGAATAAGCCAATGATACTACGGATAAATGCACTGCCCACCTCAGCAATCACCCCGCCCTCACATACTTGCATCTGGAACTACTTAATATCGAATTTTTCCTTAATAAACCTCCAGGCCTGTGCGCAAGCCATGGATACTAACCGATATGAAGCCGCTGACTATATTAGGGAACGTGATGAAATCCATAAATCGCGCGTTCTACACAACATTTGAAATATCAAATATAGATCTTGGCATCGATAAGCTTCCAATGTTGGAGACGCTCACCATTTTATTATCATTCACCGGATATGTCTATAAGCTTGGAATTTCGAACATTATAGCTCCATCTCAAAATTGTTGTTGGGGGGTTTCAAGGTTCTCTTGCTAGTTTCAATTGATACCAGAATCTTTCAAATCCTTGGATCCTTGGCGTATACATATGCTTAAAGCTTGGTACAAATCTTGGTATCTTAGTAAGGCTTAAACCCCAAAGTCCCAGGGGAATGCCAAGAAACATCGCTGGGCAGGGTTTCTTAGTCAGATTTACGAACATGCCCAGCTGGATTCTTGGCACATGTATGGTTGAAATTGGCTGATTTTCTTATATCCAGTTCCTAATAAATAGTTATTCAAATGTTACTAGGTAGGGTGGACATTGTGGTAAAGCAGCCGGCTTCGTAGAGTGCATTTGGACATCAAGACCCGGATCATTCAATATCCCTGCATCTCGGTCAAGGAGGCGCTTTCAGGCCAGCTACTCATACGAGCCTTGGCATGTCACCATCAGTGCTTTGATGCAACAATATGCAGCCCTGTATCTATGTGAATATTAACTATCTGGTTCTTTTTTTAGCCTTCGGTAGAATGCAATACTTTGGGTAGTCTACACGGGAACCTCGACGACAGACTTTGAATCCTGTTTAGGTAAATGCACTGAACTCCACCTTTCAGTACAGCATTGTGAGAGCCAAGAAAGTTTCATTTGAGCTGAGCTGGGAGGGTGGGTGGTGGTCGCCGATCGACGGAAGATGGCATTCACCTGTCCTCGCCAGGCATATACTTCGTAATCGTATACGTAAAGCTGCCGCATTTAGTGCCAAATTCAACGCACAAACAAGTTTTCAATCAATTAGAATTGACGTTCGAGTCCATATACACGGCGATATGGCCCGATCGAACATAACAGATCGTCCTCGGCCGAACATTGAAGTAATGGAATTTCCACCAATTTTCGTGCACCAATATATTTACCCGGACATACTCTAGTCCCCACATGTGCATATGTACCGATAGGACGTAGCGGACAGGACTTCCCGTCATTCCAGCCGTGCGTACATGTACCTAACCGACATATGTATGATATACTGTGCACCTATCACCATACATTGACTACACATGTGCGCTCTTTTCTTCATATATAACCGTACATAGTGTATGTAGTATTAAGAACCAGTTGACAGGGCCTAACTGACAATCAGAGTTCACCACGAGCCATAGGCTTCCGCGCTATATGGATGTGGACTTGGACAATAATACCGTATGTACAGGATGTTTTAGCAGGGAGATAAGTATTATTAAAGCAATTTGCGGTCACGATGAAAGTGACGCGGCATTCATAAACATATCATTTTTTCTCGTTGATGAATGCTAAAAAGAGAAAAAGGTTCCTTGACACGTATGTTTGTAGCAAACAAAGGGGGTAGAAATAGCGAAAAAAAAAAAATTCATTTTAGTAAGACACTCACTTGTTAGTAGCGATGGGGTCATTGGTTCTCCATGCCAGGGAGCCAGGACCCAACATCGCCAACGTGTCTCTTCTTGTGGGGCACTGGACTGTGGCTGGGGTTGATTGCCAACGCTGACAGACTGGTGACAGAAAGTAACTCTCCCACATTCGTGCTCCCATCTCTTGCAAGAGCATTGCCGCCAGCTCCGTCAAGATGCCTCATAATTTTTTCCACGAGTTCTCCGCGTCCAGTGGCATGCAAGATGTTCCCAATGGACGCATGCAAGGCGAGGAACAAACTATTTGGAGAGGGGTACTGTGAATCCGGACTGTCTATCGTAATGAAATCAGGAATGAACTGTCGAAGGAAGGTATTGTGGAACTGGGGGAATGTTTTGACACGGTATCGACCAGAAATAGTGCTCTCCTCTAGGACCAGATTAAAACGGCCAAACTCCGCGTGCAGTGATGCAGTAAGCATCATAACATTATCAACACGGTTGACACTCTCGTCGCTCCTGTGAAAGAAATTTCGGATTGGTGGAAAATAACGGTACAGGCAGTTCCAGATTAGTGCATGTCGCCGTCTTTCATCTTTCTGAAAGTTTCCCAGACCAAAGGGGAGTATGTAGACGGCTTCCAGATCTGAAGTATGTGCGTCGACGGGTCGGCTATCGGATGCGTAGTCAAAGTCCCAGAATTTTGTCACCACGCATTGGTGGTTATCCCGCTGTAGACATATTCTCCGCAATTGCCCTTGTCGGCGGTTAATGGAATCAAAGTCATGCGAAAGAAGATCTTCAACGGAATCTTCTGCTCCGGGACGGGGGGAGGGAATAACCGCAGGTGTTTTACCACCTGTGACCACCATCGGTCTAAGCATAGCAGTATCAAGGTGGGTTGAGAGTTTCCGCAGGCGCTCGTCATCATCACAGCTATCGATGTCGCTGGCTAGGTGTACTTGCCCTTCGACCGGAAGGAATCGGAAGACAGACTCCAAGAAGTGGACGGTATCATCATCATCATTGAGTGGTGCATACCTTTCCAGCCGAGTGGATATCTTGTGCCGGGATTCATGGGGGTTGAAATCGTTGTCTAGTACGGGGGGGCTTAAGCTGCTGAGCGACTCAGGTAGTCGATCCATGGCTTAGATCTAGATATAGTAGTTGTTAGCTCGATCGATCGACGTGATGGTGCGGTTCTCTGAATACTAGTATGGTTAGTTACATACCAGAGCTGAGTAGCTACTAAAGTAGGCGGTAGCTACTTGAGTAGGCGGTACACACGTGACACTACGGTACACACTGCGGCGGCCGATAGAGGCCACATCCCAATTTCAACTTTCCGATCGGCAGAAAGTAAATGACGAGTAATTCCAAATTCATATTAGTTTTTGAACTCCGTTATGTTCAGCGCTCATTATACATTAAATCCTTGAACTCTATTATATATAATGCTATATTATATTAATTCTCTTTCTCTAGTTAAATTATCACAACAACTGGCAAGAAAGAGAGGCTGAGATCCTAGTCATACAATCCAATGTTCCTAAGTCCCTTCTCAAGACTACTCTCAAGTCTATTCTCAAGTCTATTCTCAAGTCTATTCTCAAGTCTATTCTCAAGTCTATTCTAAAAGTAACCCATATTTAGATCAAATCCCTGAAGATATTCCTACTATATATGATAAATACAATACGGGAAACAGGGCGGTGAAGTTAGAAATTGAAATTGGGATGTGACCTAGGGGTGGCCTCTATCGGCCGCCATAGTACACACCCTTCTCGCCCGCGGTCGCGCGACGCTAAAGCGGCACCCACTTCTCACCCTGGCGGCAGTGGGCAGCTACTGGCCGCATTCAAGCCACACGCCGGCCAGTTAGTAGTATGGTGGGTGACCACATGCGAATCCTGACTGTTGTATGTTTTTGCCTTTATTCTTGAAAGGCGATTGTGGAAAGATTCTAGGATAGTAAAAGAAATAGTAGGTCATAGGTTACTACAAGCTAAACAGGGCGCGCTTAGGTGCGCCGTGCGCGTAAGTTGTAACGCGCCCCAACTGTTAAAACTTAGGCTCCCTAAAGTCACGTTACCAAAGAAAAAACCGTCACCCGGTTAGAGAGAGAGATAGACTAATTATTTATTTACTATTAGTCTATTACTGAGGGTGCAGCACCACTAGAGTACTTCCGAGTCAGGATAGAACGCCAATTTTCCATGGGTCGTTGATTTCAAACGTTCCGTCGCCAACACCCACCTTGCTGGTTTTTCCTCTGACAAAAAAAAGGTTTTCAATGCCACAACATACCTGGATCTTCTTCCCTCTTTTCTTAACTTTGGTCTACATCTGGTTCCACAATACCGGAACCATGTCTTCTCCTTTCCTGACATCTTACCATGAAGAAACAATAGTCACCCAAATTACCACTATTTACACCCTACTTCTCAAGCTGAGCTACTTTCCCCCTGATTGCGTTACTTTCCCACCAGAGGGTGGCCACTTTATCAACGAAGAGCTATGCCATTCGCTCCATATCGCCCCTCGGGTAATCTCCCTGATGAAAAAGATGCCGTATGTGGTGGACGGCTACCATAAGCCGATCATATGGCAATCGCGCGCTTTTGAATACTTGCGCGATGAAGAGATCCGCAATGGCCGTGATCCTGAATTATCAGGCGCGGCCGATGACGACGAGCTGCGGTTGGACTTTTTGCGACCGTGGGAGGTTGCGCTGACTTGTTGGTTGGATGAAGGGGTTTCAGTCATTCTGGATACCAAATCAGGTATATTTCCACCCCACTCGATATATTTACAGGACAGGATTAACTCTGAACTAGATACCATTCGAGTCATTGATGAGTCTGAACCACCGGAAGGTGATTTCCGGGAAGAAACTGAGGCATACAATGCCTCCAACTACCTCCAGAAAATTATCGATGATATAATTCACTTAGAGATGATCTATTTTCCTGGTGGAGATATTGGCTATCTTCATCCGCCCGGGTCATGGGAGCAGATTCAAGTGAAGCGAATCTTGACCGAGGATTTCGGCTGGGGGGCTGAGTTTCGGGAGGAGGATTGGCGACGGGAGGGAGAGGAGATTTGTAAAGCAATCGGGGATGAGGGCTTGGATAGGGAGGATTAGAGGCAGAGAGGTGCTACACCGTTGGATTATTCCTGGTAATACTTGTTTGGGGGATCTGTTTCGGCCACTCTGCCATCATCATACTGTGAGTACATGCACTGCTCGACACTAGTCCCAATACTGACTGATATACGATACATGCAGGGCTTCAATGTTGTCGGCATGGGGCCTTTCCTGCATCGGTTCAACTTTATGAGTTACGATATCCACAGCATATGGGATGGAAAAAATCTGTATATGTCCGCAGTTGTCCAGTCCCACACCAACTTGACTGAAATTACTGAGGTCCTGGGCCTTCTTTAGCGGAACGATGTCAGCCACTCCAAGGCGATTCTAGGAGAGGCTTTCTACGGCCGCTGCTTCACGCTTCCTGGGACTTCATGTACCGAGCCCGGCTGCCCATTCAGTGGAGGATATTCGATTATAAAACGGATCGAGTTATATGCTTTGGGGATATCTTCACCATCAAAACAGACGACAAAGAGAAGTGGCCATTGCCATAAATAGACCTAATCAAAACGATATGGATTTTGAAACGCATCGCCGCTATGCCAGGAGCAAGAGAGCAAGAGAGGATGAGGAAGAGGATGAGGAAGAAAAAGAGTTATGCAAAGACGCTACTCCACCGTGTTCACGTTCACCATCCCCGGTATGGGTGACGGCGGTTCACTACAAACACTCGCTCATATCGAATTCGTATGACAGAATTGGATCAGCAGAAAGGTTTATTACATACTACCTACTCGTTGGTAGTAAATCACATAAATTATCAGTCCATGCACTCATATCTTATGCCTCTTCTTCTCCAGCATTGGTTCCAAAATCATTCTGCTTATCCCTGCGCCACACTAGCCACCACGAAGCCAGGATTCCCGAGATAGCTAAACAGAGAAAGCAAAGACAAATGATATATGATACATGATATGTTGGTCCGAATACCGTGCTGTAAATGAATGGGCCAGCAATCCCACTGAATTGTGCCAGAGCATTGGTAAGTCCAATTCCAATACCGGCACCTGCAGTACCGTCAAGAGCGCGAATTCGTTCCGGCCAGATAACGGGGTATGCTGACCCGGCACAAGCAGTGGCTACAGCCAACGCGATGTACTTGACGACAGAGCTTTTGACGGTGATTAATACTATATAACAGACAATGGTTGTGCTTTCGACTATTTTTGCTGTTAGTATCGATGTGAAAAGCGAATATGCATGAGATGGTCATCCTTACTTGCAACTGCCGTAGTCCAGGGTCGGATCCACTTTTTGTGTAGCAGGTATCCGAGGGTGTTTAGGAAGAAGAAACATACAACATAGGGCGGCTATTTATCAATTGTTTGATAATTTTTAGTCCGAGTTTCTCGATCGGCTCGTGGCATTGGAATTTCACTCACTATGTTCATCAACTGCGCTGAAGCCGTTGAGGTAAAACCGAGATCGTAGATGACAGTCGGCAAGGCGTACGTCACGCCGAACCCGCCAATGCCATGTCCAATCCAATAGAGTGCAAATGTATATAGCGTAGGACTGGAAAAAAGTGTCTTGATATTTTCCCAATCCCAGCTCCTCTCTTTTCCTGAAGGTGCTGAAGATGTAAGACGATCCTTGAGAAAATCTCGCTCTTCTTCAGTCAACATGCGTGCAGTCTCGGGGTAGTCTGGGAGACCAAAAAGTGCCACAATCGAGAGGGCGATCGCTGGTAGACCTTCGATAATAAAAAGCCATCGCCAGCCTGAAAGCACACCGATCCCGTCCATGAAACTGATAGCATAAGCTAGCAGTCCACTTAAAGCACCAGATACTTGACCAAGTGAGTAAAACAGGGCTATTCTCCAAGGCATTTCGGTCGCATTGTACCAAAATGCCATATGGAAGAGCACAGCTGGGTAGAATCCTGCTTCAGCCATCCCGATCGCAAATCTCACACACATCATTCCTGAGAAGTTTTGAACAGCCCCAGCAGAGCATGCACATATTCCCCAGAACAAGATCAGAATGAACATCCATCTCGATGGCGTAAAATATTTGAGCAAGATGGTGTTGGAAGGCTCGAAGATAAGATAGCTGTATGAGAAGATAGATTGTGTCCAAGACCATTGCGAGGCATCAAGATGAAGCTCCTTCTTGATTCCAGTACCTGCTTCCAAGTTTATGATGGCTGCGTTTGCGTAGTTGCTCGAATCAATGACCCGGAAGATATATACCAGCGAGTAGAAGCCAACAAGCCAGAAATCAATCTTCCTCATCACCCTTTTTTCGAGCTCATCGTTTTTGTGAATATCGGCAGATTCATGATCTGTTTCACTGACTTGAGAAGATGGCAAGCTGATTGTGGTGGTATGGTTCTCAGCCTTGCGGGATGTCATATTGGGATTCGCTTTGGTGCACATTCAATGTTGTAGGGGTCGAGCCGAGCTATTGGAATTGACAAAAAGATCAGCCTAGCAGCTTCAAACACCTCCAATTTAACTTTGGTTTAGGCCCCTCTTTACTCCGTGACGAGGTCGGAGTAAGCTTGTACCATGATAGTTCCGATCACGACATAAGCCCTTGGCCATCTCATTCAATCTGATAAACTTTTAATTCAACATCATTGTTGATAAAAATTTTGCATCACGCCAAGATGCTGGACCTTTACTGCCTGAATCTGGTGGGCCTCTTTATTTTTCTTTTCTTTCTTGGGCGCTCATGTCAACAGCATTTAGCGTGCTCAGCACAGCCGAAACACTGGGCCAGAGGTCAACAACCATGTCGATTGTGGCATAGCCGGCATAGAAAAGACTAACCATAACTGTGGACCAGGATGAGTGACCAGATAGGAAAATATCTTCGGTATCTCTCCGTTGGCACCATTCGAACGGAGTAAAAATGCCGGAATGTGCGACGCAATCTGGGACAACGATGGTATCATTCTAACCCCGCATTATCTGCCTGTGGTGAAACGACGAATAGGAAACTCAACAACTGTCAATATGGTAAAAATTAGCTTCTCTAAATATATAAGAATTCGCCTTATCCAAACGTAAAAAGCTGGCTTTTCAACTGACTATTGTCTCCCGCGATTCAGTATTGCAATTCAAAACACATCATGGCCCCTGTTGCAATTGAAAAGACTCTGCCAGGAGAAAATGTCGTGATAAAATCATGGACTCGCCCTGCACCCACCGAAGAGAGTCTGGATTGGGCTCCTCTGGTTGAGATTGATCTGTCTCGTTTTGATGAACCGGGCGGGAAAGAGGAATTGGCCAAACAGTTGTACGACGCTGTGACTAGGGTCGGGTTTTGGGTGGTAGTCGGGCATGGCCTGGAAGAAGAGCGTGTTATCCGCCAATTTAGTATTGGGAACGCATTCTTCAAAGAGCCTCTTGAGGAGAAGCGAAGCTTCGCATGCAATTTTGCGGAGGGCGAATATTTTGGCTACCGGGAGAATAGCAGGTGGATTGGAGAAACTGGTGTGAAGGATAATATAGAAATGGTAAGCAAGTAAAATCAGTCAAGAAATTGGCAATCAGCTGACCTTCTCAGCTCAATATCCACAAGCCAATTTCTACATGGAAGAATGTTCCAAAACACAGGATTGTACATCAGAATTGGGACGAGATTGCAAGCTTCCATCGCGATTTATTCGAGAATGTCATCAAAAAGTTGTTCGTCCTGCTCGCGATCACTCTTGAACTTCCTGAGGATTTTCTGGTTAACGCTCATGCCTATGAGCGGCGTTCTGATGACCACCTGCGATACATGATTTACAACACCCGAACGCAAGACGAGTGGGATAAAGCACAGGGTTACACTAAGGGTGGACACACAGACTTTGGCAGCTTGACGTTGCTGTTCTCGCAAAATATTGCTGGCTTGCAGATTCGAACTCCAGAAGGGGATTGGAAATACGTCAAGCCCGTTGATGGTGGAATTACATGCAACATTGCCGACACTTTATCCTTCCTTACAAATGGTGAGATTACATACCATGATCTGTCGCCGAGATTCCCATTCACTAATCGCCAGTAGGCTTTTTTAAATCTACAATTCATAGAGTCGTCACACCGCCGAAGGACCAACTCATCATTCCTCGTCTTGGATTGCTCTACTTTTGTAGGCCTGGGGATCATACCGCCATGAGAACAGTGCCATCACCACTGCTTGACCGTCTTGGTCTTCTTACCGAAGAAGATAAAGATACCGGCAAGCCTGTCGCCACAGGGACGGAGTATGTCCGGGCTAGGGTACGCGATGTCCACCATAAAACTGTCATTGATCGTCGGGAGAACACATCGTTTGAGTTCAAGGGATTAAAGGTGGCAAACCATTATGCATAGATCATATGTCCTCCACAAGTTGACTTTAAATGTCCCTTACTATGTTCTAGGTATTTTGTCAGTCGAAAGCCTCGGGCAGTTCAAGTTCTAAACATGTCTCTACTACATTCTACGTACGTTGCACTTGGGATGGGCATATACTGAGTACCTGCTAGTAAGATAGGTATTGTACTCAATACTCAATGCCTAGTACTAATTTTATATCTTAACCTTCAGCTTCCAAGTTGGGAAATCATGCGACGAAAGAGACCGCAGGTACCTACTAGGTACCCGAGTGGTAAAGGGGGAGAAATATGGCATATGAGCCTCATTTCTAAAAACTTCATAGTGGATTTTCAGAACAGCAAGTGAATACTGGGTTTATTCAGTCTGTCTCTCCTCCAGGTCAAATGGGCCGGGTTTTCTTCGTCTGCACAGTTCAGTGCTCTCACCTTCAAGTTAGTATTTCCTGAATCAATCTACTGATTTTCTTCCATTTTTGCGCACAATCCTTACTATTCGTAAGTGTGTACCCCATTTGCCCCTATGGCACCAGTCGGCATCCACGAGCAGACCTATGCAAGATAATAATCAAATGTAATATAGACCTCGAAAGATAGTTCCGGTCCCAGGCCAATGTCAAGATGAATACTGTTTTGAATATATGGAAGCCACGCCCGAAAGTGTCATTCTGATTCTAGGAGAACTGCATGGCTGAGCGAAAGACACATTTGAGAATGAGAGATAGCTGAAGAGAATTCAAATGTTCAGAAGTCTATTAAAATTCACTTCGATGTATGGTCCTCCTCCTATACATACTACTACTTACTACTGCTCCTAAATATGAACCTCTTGGGCTCTCAAGGACTGGATCGACCAATTAATGTATTTCAAAGTTAAGCTCTGTATAATTGTAGCTTTTTACTTAACTTTCAGATCTATCCTCCGTTTCAGGTTGCTACTGCCTAAAAGGTTTCAAATTGAAGCTTTGCCTATTTCATCTCTTGGGCTCTATACTTACTAGTATCTATACCTCTTCTTCCTCACTGCGTTCCAGGAGGCTATCCTTTTGGCGGTCTTTTTCGTTTCCTAGTATCTCTTCACCCTTCACCCTTTCCCTTCTCATCTACTTCCTCTTCTTCCTCTTTTCTTTTCCCTCTCCTCCTTGCCTCTCTCACCACCTTTCTCATTGCCATTCTCGCCGTCCCCACGCAATCACGATCTCCACTCTCCGTTTCCCGCAAATCCCAACATGGATGTCCTCTACATGGCGCGTGATCCCCCGGGTGCAAGGTTCCCGGGAAAGTTCCGTATTGGGGCTGATATCACTAATCCCAGATACGTATTCGAAAGCCGTCCCAACGGCCGTGGCCCCCGCCCCACCGGACCGTCCCGCTTCATTCGCATTGCTAACCACCGTGAATTTCTCGTGTGCGTCGAAGGTGCCTCAATCGAAGATCCCGATAACTCGCAGATAATCTCGGCCGGATGCGCCTTCAAGATGAACGCCCACGGTGGTATTGTCCGGTTCCCGTTGGAAGATGAAATTCCCACGGGAGAATCGAACTCGAAGAGCACGACCAATGCGGCCGTTCGTGCTACTATCGGCTTTTTGCAATCTCGTGATTGGTCTCGTGAGGGTTTTGACCGTCTTGTTATTGCGTCGAGCAATGAGAGTCTTGTGGAGGGAATTACGGTTAATATGCGACACTGGGTGCGAAATGGATGGTTCAAACGCGACACCGATATCCCTATCAAGGATGTTGAGCTCTGGGAACTTCTTTTCGATGAAATTCAGACGTATGATACCCGGGGTTTGACTATCACCTTCTGGCACATCAATGGCGGGTGGAGCCAGGAGACTCTTGCGCATGCTGAGTTGGCTGCTGAGATGGACGCTCCCGAGAGTTGGAAAAGAATCCGGGCTACGGGGATTTAGAAACTGGGCTCTAAGCCATGGCCTTCTTTGGAGGGCGAATGATCTGCGCTCGTGATGATCAATGCATTGACGGAATATTAGACCCATCTTGATTCTTATGTCGTTGAGGAATCTAAATTCAAGGATACGAATACGGATACGCGTTTCCACTGTTTAGTAGTATGTATTCACATCTTACAACTTACAACTAAAGACTCCGAGTTGCTAATTAAATATACAGCTTGTACCTCCACTGTAAGAAAATACTTTTCTGAATGAAAAAAAAGTAAAATCAAGACTAGTATGTTCAATTTGATGGTATTCGTAATCGTCGTATCAGACAAATTTTGTCTCACTAGGTAACCAATATGTGCAGCTGACTCAAAATAACAATAATGCAAAATCATCAGTCAAATCCTCCTTCCCCCTATGCCGTATTATTTTGTATTGAAGAGTGGTGATTATATCCATATCTCAGAGTATGGGTATTTAGACATCGTCAGCCTCGTGCATGCGAACAGTCAACAGATCAGCAGGACACATAGTCAAAGTCAAGCCATAGCGAATCGGCTGATCGGAATTGACATCCTCGATCTGATCAAAGCGCTGCAGCAGACGAACGAGCACATATCCAGCCTCGGTGAGAGCGAACTGCTGACCGATGCAGATACGTGGACCACCGTTGAAAGGTAGGTACTCCCAGCCTGCCTTGCGGCTGGCAAAGCGCTCGGGCTTGAACTCCTCCGCGTCGGGGCCCCAGATATCCTTACGGCGCTGCATAACGAAAGTGCTGTACGCGACAGACTCGCCCTTGCGAATATAGACGGGGGACTCGCCATCTGGACCACCGCCACGAGGGATGGTGGTGTCACGAGTTGCGGAGCGACGGTTGAAGGGGACGACGGGGTAGAGACGAAGAGACTCGTTCATGCAGTACTGCAGGTACTGGCAGGATTTGAGGGCGGCGAAGGTCATGTTCTGCGGGTTGTTGTAGGTTCCAAAGGTCTCGATGATGGTCTCGCGGAGCTTGCGGAAGATCTCAGGGTTGCGCGCAAGGGATAGAACGGTCCAGCTGAGGAGGGAAGCGGTGGTGTCACGACCAGCGAGGAGGATGTTGAGGAGCTGCGAGCGCAGCTCGATGGGGTCACGGGTGGTGGCAGCGAGGGCATCGAGGAAGACGTATTGGGCTTTCTCCTCGTCAGGGACCTTCTTCTCGTTTTCGGTGTTCTTCAGTGCGGCTTCGACGATCTTGTCCACGAATGCGTGGACCTGCTTATCAGAGTGTCGGGCTTCCTTGGTCTCGGCGAGGAAGGAGAGTCTCTCGAACCGAGCACGCTGGGTACACACCCACTGGGACTTGTCAAAGTATGCGGCGAAGTTATCATCGGGACGCTCAAGGCCCTGAAGGGCCAGGAGCTGGCTTTCCACACTCTCTCCGAACAGGAATTCAGTCGCGGAATCCATGGTCAGGCGGAAGAAAATGGTCTGGATGTCGGTAGCCGCGGTCCACTTGTTGGCGGCGACCGGCAGGGCCTGCATCGCTTTCTGTACGTGTGTCTCTTCTAATTCCAGCTGGCTGATTTGATCACGGGTGAACTGAGGACGGAGAAGGCCGCGCGAGTGGTTCCATTCCTGGCCATCGGCCGTGAACTGCAATAAGTCAGTATTCTGCAAAGGCAGAGCAGCGCGTACACACTGCTTGGTGTTCAAGTAGACACTTACAATTCCAGTTCCGAGGAGGGGGTGCAGGTTTCGGCGACGGGGGGGACCAAGCTCAAAGTCCTTGAATTGAGTTGCAAGTACAGCTTGAACGTTCTTGGGGTCGATAGTGAATGTCACGTCTTGTCCAAGGTTGCGCATGATGAAGGTCGAGACAAAGCGGTTTTCCCGTTCGCTCATCATTTGGCAGCGGCGAGTGGACAGCTGGGGAATAGTCTTCGTCTTGTCGGCTGCCATGGATTCTTTGAGGGTTGAGATTCCGATCGGGTCTTTGCAGGGCAAGCGAGGCGCGGGACCACAGCCCAGAGCTCGAGCTCTGCGAGCATGTTGCCATGAGTTGACAGCAAAACGAATGATCTGTAGGACCACCGCGGCTCCGATAAAGCCCAAGATAAAGGTAGGCGTCATGGTGAATGGGTCGATGATGATTACAACGCGCCACGAAATCTGCGGGCACGGGGAATATTTAAAAGATATTTATGTTTTTTTTAATACATTTTATTTGATTTTCCTTGTCATGCAACCTCGGTTCATAGCCCCGTCATAAGGGCCGCATTGACGCAGCATACCCGACGATCCTTGCGTCAGGGGCCAATAAGGGCGGGTACGGAGGTCAGGTTCGATCCTCTCCATCGGGTTTCGTCCATTTTTCAATTCGAACTCCGGTCTGTGATCACCAAAGTCCAGATGTCACGGGCCAGTTACTCGGGATGGAGTTACAGGCCCGAATCCATTCCACTTTTTAAAGGTTCTTCCGGAGATGAGCGACCGGAGCATTTCTATCAACCGGACGTAAACCGCATTAAGGAATGGCGTCCCCACAGTTCTTTGAACGGGGCAAGATCTGAAACACAAGACAGTTCGGCAAAGACTTGGAAGATCGTTCAAAAAATAAAAGGCTTACGGTTTTGCAGTTTGATGTATAAAGGAGGGCTTAGGGAAACACAGCCACATTCAAACGGGTATACATACTGATAGTATAAGACCGGATTTGGCATGGATGAAATAAGGGTTGACATCATGCATGATGTTTTAAAATCCCTGCTAGTTTGACCCTCTTTTAGTGCAAGGTTCTGACTCCGTATTGCCGTACTGAAGTAACTAAAAGTAGTAACTACATAAAAGTACTAAGTAAAATTACTTTAGCTGTTTAAGTGCGAAACCTGACTAAGTGTGAGGAAGTGTGGGTTTTCACGTGACTGGTACAACTACCTGTTTAGGAAGGCGGCACATACCTCTTTTGGTCTTTTGGGGGCCGGTGGTTACATTTTGGTTACATTTGACATTCTACGGAGTAACTTCTACTGGATACACTCCGTGCCCGGCGTAACTTTCCATCTCCTTGTCCGATATTGTTCCAACACACTTGCTTATTTCAGTCTTGTGGCCGAATCCCGATACATTGTAATTTATATTGTCAATAAGGTCACGTGCGTTGATCTCGGCACAGGAAAGCCGGAAATTGTGTCTCTTTAGTAATATCACCTAATAACTAATCCTCCAATACGGAACAGCCGAGGCACTTGAGATGATTATTGATCACCATAATAAAACCTACATCATCACTATCATGATTTGTGATCGGGTCTTCTCATTTTGCATCTAATCTAATTTCTACTTCTTTATCCTCCCTAGGCAAGGATACGTCGCAAACCCCGACATGCTTTCGGACACTCTGTCGGCCAGGTCCTACCTCGAGCTAGGCGAAGTACTAGCTCCGCGGGCCGAAACATCACAAAGTTCCGAAACCCCTCAGAGCCTGGAATCGGCCCTTGAAACTCCCTTGGAAGGAGAGGATAGGTCGGGCCCGCACTTGCGGCCTAGAAAGAACCCACCAGCAATGCCGGAGAAGACCGAGATGGGTCCCGATAGACCTATCCCTATCCGTAAACGAGGCCGACCGAGACTAGAGACAACCAAAGATGCCGTTGCGATAGAGGTAACCTTGTAACACTCTATATGACTTTAATGAAAGACTCTGAGATCGCCTGCTGATCTCCCCAATCCAGGAACGGCGCATGCAGGTTCGTCGTGCTCAGCGTACTTACCGACAGAAAAAAGACACAACAATCCAGACCCTGAAAGCACGTGTAGAAGTGCTGGAACAGACACTTCAGAATGTGTCAAATCTGCTTGGCCCAACGGACCATAACGTCAACAACAAAAATGCTACTGACACCATCGGGCCAAGTGCACATGATTACGGTCGCACCAAGCGACTAATCCTTGCTGAAATCAACAAAACCCGGTCATCCTCACACGAGAAATCGTCAGCCAACAATAATAAATACCAACAAGTCATACACAATACTGAAACTCCTGAAAATAAATGGAACATGTTCGGATATAATGTCTTCCACACCAACGACCAAGTATTGGAATCAAATCCCCACAGATCCAGATCCAGATCCAGATCCATCCCTCGATCACCCACCCCACTACTCAACCGCCTCTTCCCCACAACAACAATCTATACCTACAGCAACCAAGAATCAAACCTATCGCGGCGCCTCCACCGCTTCTGTCTCGAGCACATATACCGCTGGCTGACAGACCCACATTCCGACCCAGGCCTCATGACCCGTGTCTTCGGCCTCCTCCCATGCATCCACGACATACCCGGCGTATGTCGGAATTTTCGTCGTATCCTTCAATCGGAGATAGGCAGTCCGCTCGAGGGCACGAAACTCCCATTCTATGTCCTCGGGGGTGCGGGGACGCATTTTCCTCGTGCCGAGTCAGCCATGCCTGGAAATGTGCGGAGGCCGGGCAAGATCTTGCGCAGGTTCGCGTGGATCTTACGGAGAGGTGGGATTCGGGATTGGGATGAGGATTGGAGTGGAGATGCGGAGCCGGAGAGACCTGAGATTTCTTCGCCTATGAGTGTAGAGGATCGTTTGCGCTCTTTGGATCTTGATGGGGATTGGTTTGATTGCTATGATGTCCAGGGATACTTGGAACATCGGGGTGTTGTGTTTGATGGTTCGTCCTTGTGGTTAAAGGTCCCTGCTCGGACCGTTGGAGATCTTTACGGTGTTTCATCAGATGGATCTGCAGCTCGGGTATATGGTGTGAACGAGGCCTCGCCAAATGACATGAGCGGTTGGCGTTATCTGAGCCAATCGACTTATGTGTTGGATGTGGAGTGTTTCTTTGACTGTGAGTATCTGATTCGGGCCGCGTCTTAAATCCCCACGCTAACTTTTCCAGTGCTGCTAGCCAACTTGAGGATATTAGGCCGAGCTCCTGGATTTCGATTGTGGGACGTAGACGCGGCTCTGCGGACAGCGATCCACCGGCGGTCGTTTGGTTAAGAAAGCACCACAAATCCTCTTTTGTCTTGCCTGCGCTGTCGATTATTACAATAATGATAATATATGATGATTATTTGATGTGTGATTTTTTTTTCCCATTCAGTGAGATCAAATTGTGTCATTGCATTTATTGTTGGGTATATCGCATAGACATCCGGCATGCCTCATAAAGAAATTCGCAGGCTCCACTTATGGACAGGCAAGTTCGAAGCCGAGTAAACCTCATCTGCTCATCCCATGTACCTTCCGTTCCCCGTGTACAGAATCTTTGTGGTAGATCTAGCAGCAGATCTCACAGCACTCGAAGCAGGCAAGACCGGCGCAGCTGGAACAATGTGTTAGCGCCCGTAGTTTCAATACCAACAACACGGCGGTTACTTACAGTCCGCAGCAAATACCACCGCCACCACCACCACGCAGCTGCATCTGCATTTGCTCCTGGTTGGCCTGATGGTTCACAGGTTAGTTATCATTCTAACTTTTTTTGGCGTCATTAACAAATTGGCGGGGTTTGTCTTCACGTACCGGCTGCTCAGACACGACGTGGTTGGCAGAGGGGGCGGCAGGGCTGGAGGGCTGCTGCATAGCGATGGTGTTGGTGTTCTCGTGAGCGCACTCAGCCTCAGCGGCGGGAGAAGACTTGAAGAAGTTGAAGTTGAACATGATGACGGTGGGGGTGGTAGTAGATCGGTGGTGGTGAGAACGTGAAGGTGAGAACGTGAAGAAGTTAAATCAGAGAAGAAGTGGACGATTTAAGTAAACTGGAAAGAGATCGGCGCAACTAATGAAAGAGAAATAGAATTTGCTGCAAATACACTTTCAATGTGGAGGATCGGCTTCAATTAAGTACTGACTGGGCTAGTGGCCCCCTCTAATCTCCCCAACCATTTCCATGGGGCAAGGGCGCGCATCCTGTGTGATGTCGCATACCAATGAACACCTGGCTAAGGATGCATGTAGTTTCGTGCTAAGTATAGTTAGCGTCGGACTGATCGGAATGGTGCTGCCTGAACTGCGCCTATACACCGCCACGATGTCATTGGAACTTTGAACAGCCTCATAAGATTCGTACAAGTCTTCTATAAACAGCTCAAATGGGTCTCTCCCGGTCCTTCTCCAGTACCCATGTTATACGCCACTGATGCGAAATACGTCTCCTTCATTCATGGAACCTTCTCTTGTCAACAAATCAATAAACGCTGACGACAAATGTGTGCGCGTTACGTGTGTGCCGCACTGCCGCTCAGCCCTAAAGCGCGGCGGAGTGCCAAGACCCTTGGCAACTAACTTGATTGGTTCTTCGGATCTGTTATTCGGATTCACAGCTTGGCGAGGATGCCATCGGATTGCAATACGGAGAGATAACATTGCTGGATATCGCTGATTGCGTTGCATCTAGTGGATCAAGTCAGTCATCACAAACCCAAAATTATACCATGCATAAGTGACTGTGGAACAAGTTAACAACATACCCAGCCAGCGCCATGGTAATCTTCAGCTCTTGGCGAAGGATCCGGATCGCTAGTTCGACGCCTTCTTGGCCGTTGTACTATTTGGTGTCAGCTGCATATTCCTGAAACTTTGTGGCTTTGTGGCTTTGTGGCTGAGAGGTGGCGTACCGCTAGACCCCAGATGGGGATTCTGCCCAGAAAGCAGTGGCTGGCGCCTAGGGCGATGGCTTTGAATATGTCGGATCCACGGCGGATACCTCCGTCGATTGTGATTGGAATCCGTCCCCGCGCCACAGGGGCGCATATTCTTAGCGCGTCAAGTGTGGAGGGAACGCCATCTAGTTGGCGGCCACCATGGTTGGAGATCACGATCCCATCGATACTGTATTTTATCGCAAGCTCGACGTCTTCGGGGGAACACACTGCCGATATTGTCAACATCGAATACTCATGGCTCAGTCACTGAGATAGCCATATCTAGAGATCCTCTTGGTTCTTACCTCCTTTGAGCCAGATAGGAAGGCTAGTGTGTGCTCTCAGCCACGGGATCGCTGTCTCCCAGTCAAGAGTAGGGTCTTTCACACATGGGTCAGCTATCAGTTCAAGCCGATCTCTACTATGGGCATACCGTAATTTGTCCGATCGGAAGTATCAGCTCCACTACTGAGAATATTGGGATATTCCATGTCTTCAGGAATACGGAACTCATTGCGATTTTCGTTCAACCTCTTTCCCAAGACAGGCACATCGACCGACAAGAACAAGGCCTTGTACCCGGCTTCTGAAAACACACAAAGCGAGCTTCGTTAGTTCTAACTCCGAATCATCACATCACCACCAAGCGATGGGCTACTTACTCTCTGCCCGTTCCAACAGCTGGATTGTAATCCCACGGTCCTTCAACACACACATCTGCATGAAATATGGATTTTCCATACCCTGCGCTTTGACATCCTCTATGGAACAGGTCGCATAAGACGACAAACCCATGCCGATATTATATTTGGCTGCAGCTCTGGAAGTCGCGACTTCTCCATCGGGATGTGCGAGCTTGTGAGACGCAGCGGGACCAAAGCTAAAGGGCAACGATACCCTGCTGCCAAGGAATTCTGTACTTGTGTCGATCTTCTCGACGTTGACTAGGACTCGGGGGCGAAGTTTGTAGCGATCGTAGGCTTTCTCGTTGTCGTTGAGACTGTAGGCCCTGTTAGTTTGGATAGCTGATATGGAGAAAGATTGATTGTCAGACGTGATCAAGTCCATTGCACCTGCGTTATAATAATCTGTTGGAGTCAGACTTGTGTTCTGAACTCATTCCCAAAGTAGCGACACTCACCTCGATATGTTTTGCTGAGATTCTTGCCTCCAGCTTCCTTGAGGTCAGCGATGCAGCAAACATCTTTGTGAAGAGTTTCACCCCGATGAGACATGTCGATACAGGTACTAGTATGTAGGTATACTTTTAAGGTTGTGGGAGTTAATGAAGCTGGCAGTTGGGGAACGGAGCAAGATAAATACCCGCCAAAGGTTTCTGGGGAGCTCCAGATAGCATGTTTACTCCGCGGTGATTTAGAAAAGAATTACAGTAACCTTACTACCCATGTGTACTGTTGGCATTGACTTGCTATCGCAAAAAGACCCACATGGTGAGATCCGGAATGGCTTTCCCTTTTAGATATACCCCGCATACCGCATACCGTGCTTTATTAAAATGTTCTTACATTTTTCAGTCAGTAAAAAATTCAACTTTCCTCGCTGTACTGCAAGCATTTGAACATTTGAAAATCAATTGACCATGACTCGCATCTTTCTGTAAGTACCATGTGCCTGGTAGAAACTGAGTGAGACATACGCTGACTTTTTTCTATAGAACGGGCGGCTCCGGCTATATTGGTGGACAGGTACTCCATACACTTCAGTCAACACACCCCGAGTATGAATGCATTGCTCTCCTACGTGACAGTGAAAAGGCTGCTACTGTCTCAAAAACCTACCCTCGCGTCCGTATTATTCTGGGTGACCTCGACTCTACATCGCTGATCGAGGAAGAAGCCCGCCAAGCCGATGTGGTCATCAGTAAGATAGTTTTGATGTTGATTTCAATCCATCTCAGCGAGAGTGCTAACAAATCTCAGATGCTGCTACTTATAAGCATCAGCCCAGCATTGAAGCCATTGCTCGTGGCCTAGCCAGCCGCTCCACGCCTGGTGAGTAAATATAATCTTTGTGAAGGAAGACGCTCCTAATGCATTTATTCAGGGCATTGGATTCAAATATCCGGTGCAAGCATTCTTTCAATCCCAGATATCGTGAACAAACGCTTTGGAGAGGCGTCTGGCAAACTCTATGACGATGTCAATGATGCCTCTGAGATTCGCGACATAATTAAACACAACGCAAACACCCGAGTGGCAGATAACTACCTTGTCAACCTCGCAGGCCCCAAGACAGCATTGATCTTTCCTCCCATAATCTACGGTCAAGGAGAGGGTCCCGTCAACCAACGCAGTATTCAAATCCCAGAGCTTTCTCGAGTGGCGATTCAGACACGGCAAACCGTTCAAGTGGGTAAGGGCGAAAGCACCTGGAGTAACATCCACATCTCGGATCTAGCCAACGTATTTGTCGGCTTGGTCGAGAAGGCAGTTGAGGGCGACGATAATTCTCTGTGGAATCATGATGGTCTCTACTTTGTTGGTAATGCCGATGTGTTGGTAAGTTGAGCACACTATTTGAAATTGGTTAGGCAAGAAGCTGAACTTCCTGATAGTCATTTGGCGAAATTTCTCAGCTGGTAGCTGAGACAGCTCATGGTCTTGGTTTGACTGACTCAGCTTCAGTCAAGAGCGTTGGTGGCAGCGATGCTGATGAGTTGACTGCCAAGGGTAGCGTTTTCTGGGGTACCAATGCTCGGCAACACTCTCAGAGGGCAGCCAGATTTCTGGGATGGAGCCAAAAGGCCCACTCGCTTAAGGAAGAGATTCCGACTACTGTGAAGGTAGAGGCAATTCGATTGGGAAAGTTGTAACATGTTAGCTAGTATGGTTCTGTAACTTCTGTTTGAACAAGAGGGGAGCGGGGTAGATTAGATAAGTTCAAATAGGAAGGCAATTCCGACTCCGCAAGAGTCAAGACAGGCTACTATCTTCTTGGATTCTCCTTCAATTATTGATTACAATTATTGGATCCAATCATTACTTTCCTTGCAGGTGATTCCAGCAATAATTCAGAAATGGCAAGGTCCACACGAGCGCGTACCCGCCGATCTCACATTTTGGGCGGATGTGTTACCTGCAGGCGTCGACACGTCAAATGCGATCAAAGACGGCCCGTGTGTCGCACTTGTCGGAATATCGGTGCTCCATGTGAGGGATTCTCTGATCAGCTTCTTTGGGTGCATGGGGATCATAATGCGGAGGTGGCAGAAGATGGACCCCGGGCGACTCGTCGGCATCTCTACACGGGTTTGTCTGGTCCTTGACTAATACCTGTTCGCATTCATGGACTAAAACTTATCCGTACAGAGAAGGACCGTCTATCTATGACTGCTCATCTAAAAAGCAATCTTCTTTCTGGTTCAATTGACCTCTCACTAGCCGAAATCGAGCTAAGATCTCGAGACTGCGATTATGCGACAGATGACAATGTTGTCATTGGGCCTTTTGGAGTGCTCAATTTCGCTTCCAACACAGAAACACAAGATCAGCCGCCCTCTGAGTTCTTATCCCAAATAGAAACTCAACCTTTAGTTGAACCCTCTGTCTTGCAGGAGGATGGAGCTTTTACGGTAGACCCTGGTCCAGTCATGGCTTCGGCAGATGCTGTCGTCACAGAAGGAATCCAGGATACTAGCCCGCATTCGATCATAGATTCTCTATCAGGGATGAACGATTTTCTTCACTGGTCTGACTTACTAAGTTTTGATATTGATCCGTCAGGATTAGCAAAATATCCCACTTTGAGCATGCAGCCCGACATGTCGATTGATCTCGACAACGAGACAGGTTTGATGCCGCTCACTTCCAGTACGAACAATGGATCCATGACACATTTGCTTTCCGATCAAACGTCAATTGATTTGGTATCTGCTGTACCCGATCTTCTTCACAATGCCCAATTCCTGTTGAAGCACTTCCAAGATGTCGTGATACCCCACATTATGGCAATTCCTTTTGGACTCAAATCACCATGGAAGATGTTGAACTTACCTGCTGCGGTAGTCACTTTTGGCGACTCTACTTTCCTTGGGACGGATGGTGTCAGTCACGCCCGGCTTGCCAATCTCTTCGGAATTATTGCCTGCTCTGCTCTAGATTTGGCTTTGAGGCCACATGATGGAATATTGGAGTCCAGTGATCATTGGCACTATACTGCAACCCAGCTGTACCAAAACGCAAAAGACCACATGCAGATATCACTGCAACATGAAACTCAAGGTCCAAGGAAAGCCAAATATAAGGACCAGCTGATGTCTGCAAATATTTTAACACAATATGCGGTGCGGAAGCCTGATCCTACGTTTAAGCAAACCCTCGCGGATTCACTGATATTCCTATAGATCTTGTCAGGGCAGCAGCAGCATGCACGTTGTTTTTTAATAGATGCCGAGCAGCTTCTACGACTTCGTGGGTTGTCTAAAACCCGAATTTCCAAAAAGGCCCGTCTTTTGCATCATGTCTACACATGGTTAAGAATTCTTGGAGAGAGCACCTTCGTTCTTCACGACTATGGCCTATCCTATTCATGTCTCGATAATCTCGGATCTTCAAGTCAAACTCATGCACCTAGAGCCATTGGGGATGCTAGCCCTGTACAAAGCGAGCCTAATCCACGTCTTGATGACTTTCTTCGCCTGGGGAATCAAAATTCCGATAATGACCTCAATATCGACGAGCCCAAAGATCGCGCATCTGGATACAATGATATCCATCTACACGACTCCCGCAGCTTTTCTGAGCAGCTTTACAAGCAAATATATGGCATTCCGGAAACATGGCTCAGTCTCATATCACAAACAACCAGACTCGCAAACGTCATGGAAACTTTCAGAGTCGCCAGAAGCTCGGGTAAGGCCGTTAGCATGGAGGTCTGGGAAAAGTTACAGCGCCGAAGTATGCGATTGGAGAATATGATCTGCTCGTTGAACTTAGGCCGTAACAGAGCACATTCTACCGACCTGCAAAGTCTTTCTAAGCCCCACGCCTGTATGCTGGAAGCGTTAAACCAGGCACTTATGATCTTCTTTTATCGCCGCATTCGCAACGTCCACCCTGCTGTATTGCAAGGGCATGTTGACAACGTTATCAATGCATTAGAAGAGTGCAATGACACATTGTCAAAGGATGTGCAAGCCGGTCCTGGAACTGCTTGGCCGATTTTTATTGCGGGAAGTGAAGCCCTCACCAACACAAGGCGAGAGGGTATCTTGAGATGGCTGGATAACGCAAGTTCAAAATGTGGATGCACTTCATTTGCCACGGCGCGAGACGTCATGATGAAGGTTTGGCGAATGCAAGATGAACACCTGATAGAGAACCGGGGAGACCCGATGCTATCGTGGACTGATGTTGTTAAAAAAGAACAGATATGGCCCTTATTCTTTTGATTCTTTTTTTTTGGCAGCGTTAATGCTCTCAGCAGTCATCTTGGCATAACATGCATGTTTCACGATGCTACGATACGAACTTTTTGGGCAATATGAAATGATTGAACCTCAAACACCAAATACAAATTCATTTTCAATCTGGATGATATACTTACTCGGTCCTATATACACGGTTCAATTCCTCTAATCACTTAGATGTTTAAATAGTTTTAACACCAGCATTCTGAATCAACTGTCTCAACTCCTCTCGCAGCTCAGGCTTCAGCAATGAAAACGGCTTCCGCAAGCCACCAGTAGGTTGGCCAATTAACTCAACGCCAGTCTTGACCGACCCACAATAGTTGTGCGATTCCAAGAACTTGCAAATAGGCCAAGCCTTCGCCCAAAGCTCCCGACCACGCTTCAGATCCCCCCGGACTGAAACAGCCTCATATAGCTCAACAGCCAACTCAGGAAGAAAGTTCGCAGCACCCCAGACACCGCCCGGGGCTCCGGATGCCAATCCAAAGAAAGTCAGACTATCCCAGCCGTTGAATGCAGTAATCTTATCAGAGTGCCCAACAAGCAACTCCGTAAGCGCAGGCGCATCACCAGATGTATCCTTCATATACTTCACGCCGACAGCAGATAGACCGGCGATCTCAGTTGGTGTGAGCTTCAGACCTGACGCGCCGGGGATGTTGTAGAACATTATTGGTAGGTTGGAGGCTGTGTGAACCTCCCAAAGGAGTTCATGTAGCTCTTCGAGGTTAACGGGGTCATAGAAGGGTGGCACGACCATGACGGCGGCGGCACCAACCGAGGCAGCATGCTTGGATAGCTCAATGGCTTCTGCAGAGGATGTGCTGCCTGTGCCGGCGACGACGGGGACACGGCCGTCGGCAAACTTTACGCATAGCTCTGTGAGCTGCTTGCGTTCGGCGGTTGTCAAGACTGTGAACTCGCCCGTGCTGCCTCCTGGTACGAGACCGTGCACGCCGGCCTTGATCAGGTGCTCGATATGGGCTTGAAGGCGGCCTTCGTCGATTTTGGTTTGATCATCGGTGAAGGGGGTGATCAGAGCCACCATGATTCCGTGGAGGTCAGCCATTTTTATGGTGTAATGTTTGTGAATATTTGAGAGGCGTTGAGGTATGGAGGAGTTGTTTGAGAGATTGGATCGCTGTTGAACCTTTGGAATTTTGTTTCTTAAGTACATGTGGTTCAGAAGTATACACTTGCTTGACCAGGAAACGGTTTCTGTTTGGGGAAACACTTTCTCTTTGGGTGCGTACCGGTTATCTAATCGTCCGCGGAAGCTTTCCTCATTCTCGATGGGCGTCATTCCTAGGGGGAACCGGAGAGCCTGTACTCAGGTACATTTGAAAGAAATATACGTGTAATGGGGAAGTCATCTGCGAGAATCATGGCGTTGACCTAAATCATTCCCAATATGATTATGAACGACCTATGCGTGGAACTTTCGCGCGTCTCGATTGTTAGAACTTGAAACTTGAGACCTCCATCTTGATCTGCGATCGTACAAATTCTGCTGCATTTTTATCGGCCTTCTCGGAATTTTGACTGACATCACATAGACAAAGGTTATACGCCCCAGTTTTTATCTTGTTCTTGTTGAATCATATAGGTAGAACGCCGTCAAGGACGGTCGGACAAAAACCAAACCACTCCCAACAACAATTTGGGGGAAGAGGCAGAGAAATGTGCGCTCTTTTCAATGCTTGTCAAGCCGAGTCATCTTAGATAGATGGCCCGTATGATTAGTACATATCATTCTCATTACTTCCAAGGTTGATGTTTACTATCACAGTCACGACTCGCCAGTGTCGGTGACTAACACGTCGGCTCTCGGTTAGTACCTCTCACGTGCCAGTTCGACAACGCTAATCCAAATTTAGTAATCAGCTATCGGCTGGGTCCGGACCCTATTTTCCATTTTAGTCTTGAACAACTTCTGGTTGTTCAACTTCTCTACTAGACTACACCCCATTCTACAAACCTCTTTAAATGTACTCTTGAGCAGTCTCTCTTGCAGGGTTTTCAATGAAGTGGATTTTGTTGGAAATGATGCTCACATAGGTCATCAATCTTGAAAGTGTCCGGCATTTCTTGATATCTAATTTTAGAACTTCCAGGGCTCAGCCTTGGAACATTTGAAGGTTTGAGCTCTTCAACCCGATTGTCCTTTAAGCCGACGAACCATGGTCAGCTGTTCAGAATCTGTCTTTTTTGTTCTCCCAAATCTTCTCTCAAGCCACGTAGTGCTTAAGTGCGTCAAGCAGCTAACCTAAACCGTCGATCACGAAAAACCTTTTTTGTCTTCATTACTTTTTACCCGGGCAGGTATTCAAGTCAACCTCGGAGCTATGCGGAGAGGAGCACTTGAGCGGGGCATATCCAGATGTCGCCGCATCTACTTACTTACACGGAAACCCAAGACCGACCAATAACCGGTTTATAGTCCCAAAGTCCGATCGTGCATATTTATATCTCATAAGATAATGTAGCTTGGGCATAGCGACCTTCATGATGTGTGCCAAGGGCATGGGTGGAGCAAGTTGAAATAATTGCTCGTACCGATGGGCCCTGAGTATTGTGGGCCACGGGTGGCACGCCCAATTCTGGGGTAAGGTCTAAGACATAGTTACATTGCAGGAAAATCATGCAGATCGTAAGCCACAAAGACTGATAACTCCGAAGATTGAATTCTTTTACTTGATGAATCATTTCAAATGATTTTGCTTCAATGTTTGATTCAAGGTAAAACTAGTCGCCCGCGTTAGCTGTGTCCCACTGTGCTTTCAGAATACTAACTTTGGAATCATGTTCAAATATTATAGGCTGACTGGCTCTGTATGGTCTTGCTGGGAGCTTCGGGGCTTTGTTAGCGATCGTGGCATGACTGCACCTGACAAGTCATTTGGAAAGTAAAATGTGGGGCTGATGAAGCCATGCCACTTGTGGGATGAAGTATGATATAAGCGACGTATGGCTCGTGGAAGGTGGGCGAACATGCAGGGAAGCTAGATTCCGATTGGATGGGTCTTGAATTTTGTCTTAGAATTCATCGAAGGCTAAGAGACTTGGTACATACATATGTAGCAACAAAAAAATGGGGTCTGGTTTAGGCGTTCAAGCCAATGTCTCACCTATACTTAAGTGAGACATCCGCCGCCAGCACAAAGTGCACCGTCATCCAGGTACTCAACTTGTACCGTTACGTCGATCCATTCTGGGTCTATTTCGAGTGCATTTTGGCGAAGCAAGAAACCCATCACGATCCCATACTCGGGCTTTGCTTCATGCCAAGTCAATGAGGGGGCCTGAGAGAGAGAAAAAAACACTTAAATACCTCCCATTGTTCTCCAATCTTTTCTAACTCTCATCCAACAGACCAAAACATTCTATCAGGCAAAACATCCACCTTCCAAACAACCTCTTACCTCTACCTTCAACTTCAATCATCCATCAAACCGCAAATATGCAGTTCTCTCAGCTCCTTTTCGCCGCCCTCGCCGCTGTCCCAGCTGTCATGGCTGCCCCCGTTGCCAGCACAAACATGATGGCAGCTACCTCTACTTGGACCATCGATAACATGAAGCGTGTCTGCAACACAGCTGACACCTCTTGCACCTGGACCTTTGGCATCAACACCGGAGCTGCCACAACCGCCTGCAGCTTCGTTGTGAAGGGGACCACTGCCGCTGACCTGAACGGTGGCCCCGCTACCTGCGGTGACTTCACCGTTACCTCTGGCTGGAGCGGACAATTTGGTGCCGGCAATGGCTTCACCACCCTCGCTGTTGTCGATAACGTGTCCCGCCAGATCATCTACCCTGCCTACACTGATGTCCAGCTCAACACTGGCAAGGTTGTTAAGCCCGACCAGAGCTACACCCCCGCCAACCTCCCCTAAGTGGGCAATTTCTTGAGAGAAATGTCGGAGGGGAGAACTGAGGTGGTGGAGCGGTACTCTATTTGGACTGAAACATCGACCCCTTCACTTTCAACAGCTTTCGATCAAAGATAATAAGAACAATCTATTCTGTATCTAGTTGTTTTGCGGTATATATAATGTCAATTGAAGTGAATGCGTCCGTCTCTTTAAAATTCATCAATCTGATAAGATGAAGCTTGAATTTCAATGTTACCTCGTAATTTGAATGCAAGGATGAAACTTTGGAACCTTGGATCTTCGACATTCTTGTCTCAATCTAACATCTTTGAAAGCGCACCAAACACTAGACCTGTACCTACTAAGGCTAGTAAGGATTTGCTCAAGGTTGACTCTTTCATCATGGATCAGATTTCAAACATTGAATTCGGATGATCCACTCGACTCCTCTTTGTACATAACATTTGACCTCGGGAATCCTGCCACACGTCAACTGGTATGTACTGAATTTCCTGTCCCAGTTCTTGGCTTTCTTCTTCCCGAGCGCCCTGATCTGATCAGTGAGCATAACATAAAGCACAAAGGTTCATACATATCCGAATGGTAAATACTCAAGTGCTACCGATAAATTACTACTTTGTATCTCAGCAACCATATGCTAGTTTCCATTAATTATCTGGATATAGGATTTTCTTAGCACTTGAATGCATGGAATAAACCACTTTAGTTTAATGTAATTCAAAAATGTTTAGATGGTTACTTCAGAATCGATGCTTCAAATTACCATCAATTAGTAAGATACCACTTATACCAGTTGACGGAGTGACTAAGTTTCCTATTTAAATTGGCTGATACAAAGCTTTTTTACAGGTAGATTACTATTAGTGGCCTATTAAATGCGACTATCATTGAAGCCGGTATTTGTATTGAAATGTGGCCCGAGAATTCGCCGACTTATGTAAGCTCCAGATGTCAACTGCCGACATCTGGATATATGTACGCTCTTCAAAACATTGAACAGATTTCCAAGCTTTATTTCGGTCTAGTGCCTAGTTTATTTAGTCCGATGCGCCCGGGTTAAATAAGAACCTCGCGAGTCACAAGTACTCCGTACTTTTTTTCAATCCCCCGACGACATGGACTTTTTTTTTGGTCCTCTCAGGTATGGTCTAAAATTATTGGACATTCAACCCTTGTGGGCCTCACTTGCGGCAACGATCGTCCCTGGAAGCGGAAACGTGCAGCCGAGAGTGATGGTCGCACTTGATGGCGCGATTTGTCTGTACGTACGCGCACTGAAGATATGAAAGGACCGAGGCGGAATCTGACAATTTACAAAGTTCTTATCCCAGCTATCCCACAGTGTGGCTCTCTCCACAATAAATCCCCACCTGGAGGCTGCCAGATCATAAATAGTGCGAAGCCATCAAGCCATCAAAACATTCACGCCAGAAAAAAAACCCGGGACTATTGGCTTGTGCGCTCGCTAGTTCGCCTCAGATCCATACAAAGCCATCTCACGTGGGTTCAGCATTGCCGATCGAAGCAAGGCCAGACTTCATGCAGGAAAAGCAAACGATGGATGCACCAATGCCTGAAATGGGAGATTGTGGAGTTGGTAACCACTAGCTATCCAATAATTTAATTCTTTGGCATTTCGGGTATCCAATGGATGCTTTTGCTCGCCTTTTCTTCTCGTTTTAGCTCGGGGGGCCACGACCCCGCATGGAGCCTTCAACCCCCCCCATTCAACCCAAAAAAAAAGCTCCACAACGAGGGGCAAAATTTATCCATTAAAGCAAAAAGAAAAAGGGGAAGAGGCAGAGGAAGCTAGACGCAATTAGGATCATCTGCAGACTAGATGAGGCTACAGGAAAGGTCTTAGAACCTCATTGAGGGCCAGGTCACGTTCAAATTTCTCGGAAGGGATGGGCATTGAGCATCAAGTGGCACTACCGCATTAGCGCGTTCGCCAAAGAATACACGTCCTAGTTCAACCCACATCGCGGGTTATAGCTGCAGCTGCCGGGTTTTCTCAGCCCTGCAAGTGTGTCGGCTAAGCCGCAGTGAAGTGACTTTTTTTTTCCCTTTTGCCCCTCCACAACAATCCCCATTGTTCCCATTCAACACCATGGCAGTCCCCAACGACAAGAAAGCGTGGGAGGAAGGGGCCGAAAGATACAGGGGCCAGCGATTACTCCCCCATATCATTGATTATTATGCCCATCACGAACCCGATCGGGTTTTCGCATCGATCCTCAAGTCGGGGAGCCTTGACAATGGCTTTGAAGATATCACAATGGCGAGATTGGCGACCGCGGTCAATTATGTGAGCTGGTGGTTGAGCAAGAATTTGAAGACACGCAACACGCGACGCACACTGGCTTACATCGGCCCGAGTGATCTACGATACACTGTCATATTCTTGGCAGCCATCAAATGTCGGTGGAGGGTATGAAACATCATCCGGGGAAACAATTGCCAATTGAAGGTCCGCTCTAACATGAAACCAGACTTTTTTTATCAGCCATCGAAACCCAATCACTTTGAACCTCGGTCTTTTGCAACAATCCGATGTATCCGCACTTCTATATGCAGACACCTTAAAATCCCCCGCCAAATCTATACAAAAGTTCGATCCGTCAATATCTTGCAAGCAAATGCCGTCGATGAATGACATATTCAATTCCGAATCGCCCGATTTCCCATTTGAGGCTTCGTGGTCGGATATAAAAGATGAAAACTGCCTAATCTTACATTCCTCTGGCTCGACGGGTCCGCCAACACTGGTGAACTACACACACGCCTCATTTTCTTGCACAGATAACGACCCCAAAATTCCAGTGCCCCCAGGAAGGCGCCCTCAGAATGGATCACAGTTTATGTTTGACACGCCTGGTCGTTATTACTCATCCTTCCCAATCTTCCATGTAAGTGCTGGTGATATCTACTGCTAATCATCTTCTTTGCTGACGGATAGTCAGCTTCTCGGTATTCAAGCATACATTCTCATCCCTTCTTTCTTTCCCACTTCCACTGTGGTCATGGGTCCTCCACACATAGCGCCAAGTGGTTCTTTGGTAGATACTGTTATAAGAGAGCAGAATGTTCGAGCCCTTTGGCTGCCACCACCAGTTATCGAGCAATGGATTTCAAACCCATCCTCTTTGGTACAAGCAGAGAAGCTCCAGTTTGTCGCATACGGTGGAGGAATAATGTCAAAAGCAGCAGGTGATAAGCTTAATAAGGTGACCGATGTGTGCCAAATTTACGGCTCTGTCGAGGCGGGCCAAGTTCAGTTGCTGGTTCCTCAAAAAGGAGACTGGCAATTCTTAGAGTTCAACCCTGTGGAGGAATGTGACATGCAAGAAGTGGAAGACGGTGTCCATGAACTGGTGTTTCATAACGATAAGAAGTTCCTGGGCCGGCGAACTCTTTCTCACACATTTCCCGATGTGCAAACATGGCGATCCAGAGATCTATTCACTCCTCATCCGACAAAGCCTGGTCTCTGGAGCTTCTACTCTCGCAAGGAGGATATTATTGTGCTAGCAAACAATCAGAGGGTATGGCCGATCCCTATGGAGAACGTCATTTCAGGTGATCCCCTCATTAGCGGAGCCTTGGTCGTTGGAAACGACCGTCCTGAAGTTCTTCTGCTTGTTGAGCCAAGATCCTCACCCGAGGTAGACCGCATGAGCAAGAAAGAGTTCATTGACGCTATCTGGCCAATGGTTGCCCAAGCGAACAGGATTGCACCCTCGCATGCCAAGATTCGAAGGTCTCGAATTACACTCAGTCAACCAAATCTTGGTTTCATTCGCACGCCCAAGGGAATGATCGCACGCAAACCTACCGAATCCCTCTACTCCGAATACATCACCGCAGCCTTTGTAGACGGCACCACCGACGAGCAAGGAGAGATTGGAGTTCTAGAAAACTATTGGACAGACGAAGCCAAGAGGTTTATTGGATCTGTTGTCCATGACATTCGCCCCGACAGCAACATCAGAGAGACAGACGATTTCTTTGTTCTCAAAGCCATGGACTCCTTATCAGTATTGGAACTCGGGCAGAAGCTCAAGCTGGGTCTCTCTGGTCGCATGGACAAGGAAAAGAATACCATCGACTTCTGGATGCGAACGATCTTTGAAAACCCTACCATCGAGAGTCTTGCAACTGCCACGCTGGATGCGGTATTCGGACACGGTGAAAGTGGTCAATCAGAACAAAGGTTTAGCGTCGATGGGCTCGTGGAGGACCTCATAGCCCACCTTCCCGAGCCTATGTCGACCACCCCACCCCCGCCTCTTAACACAGAGAACATCAAAATCGTGCTACTTGGCTGCCAGGGCCGTCTTGGTCCATATCTCGTGAGAAGCTTGCTTGATGATGAGCGGGTAGCTGGCATCAAGTGCTTGGACTGTGGGCCTGACGTGCGAGAAATGTTCCAGATGCGTGTAGACGAGCTAGGCCTCGACGTGGACTCCAGAGACCCGCGCCTACAATTCGTTCCCATCAACCTCGCCAAGCCGGCCTTGGGCTTACCCGAAAAACACCTCGATGAAATCTGCACTCATGCAGATGTCATTATTCACAGCATCTGGACCGTAAATTACGCCCTATCCTTGGCGTCATTCACACCGGAAGTTCTCAAGAGTGTCTTCACCGTAATCGACATTGCAAACTGCGCCACTTCTCGCCCACGCGTGGTCTTCGCCTCGAGCGTCGGCAGCGTGCACCGGTGGGCAAAAGCCATTTCCCCCACCGTGCCTGTCCCGGAGGAAGTCGTCAACTGCGCAGCGGTGGCAATGGAAACAGGCTATGGACAATCGAAGCAGGTAGCGGAGCGATTTCTCGCTGCAGCAGGGGCCAAACTGCAGATCCCGATCTCGATCTTGCGCATTGGGCAGATTGCCGGCCCGACCAAAATTGAGGAAGGTGGCAAGTGGGAGAGTCGTGACTGGTTACAGTCACTAGCCATTCTCTCCAAAGCTAGTGGTCTGGTGCCCACGACTGACTTGGCGCATATCAACTGGATTCCAGTGGATCAAATGGCGAGCGTGATACAGGAAATTGCGTTGCGTGAACAGCATGATGATCACGAGACAGCTACTCCCAACGTGCAACTTTATAACATAGTGCATCCGCGACCGAGCCCAACGTCCAAGTTTTCCGAGGGTCTGCAAAAGTGTATATCCTCTCCCCGGATGGTTGGGTACCCCGAATGGGTCTCTCATTTGTCCGGCCTTCCTCCCAATAGATTGTCAAAGGAGGCGGAGGAGGAGAGGGCTCGTGTTTTGCCTTTCTTCCAGACGCTTGTTAGTGAAGGATTCGCACGCTTTGATATTAACAAAGCTTTGGCGGTTAGCCCAACCATGTCTGGAATGGAACCGATTTCAGTCGAGTCGATTGTGAAATGGTGCCGCCAGTGGACTGCGACTGAGACTGAAGATTTGTGAAATGGGTATCGTTTTTGACTCCCAGTGATAGACAGTATTTTACGACCTTATGAATAGTTTTTCTGTCTCCCAAGGACACGGTGGGGTATACATTGTCAATTAGCGATAGTTCAGGTCTCTCTCTCTTTTTTTTTTTTTTTTGTCATTTTCTATATTATTCAGGAGTCAACATGCTATTTTAGAAGTGTTAGTACTTTGAAGACTGGTTTCATATTGTGGTGGCCATCCTTCAACCAGTTGACTGATTCCTCCCGTCCCTGTGAAAACCTCCATCATGTATACTATCTTTCACCTACACCGTTAGTAATTCTCATTTGAAAGATAAGCTCGGCTGCGCCTTCCAAGTAAATAGCATTATTATCGGTCCAGAGATGACGCTTATCTCTATTTAGGAGATGTTGGCGCATTTCCAATGTCTCTTCCCCACTATGTAGACTCCCCGGAAATACCTGCCTGGAACGGATTAGACCCACGGAGAACTTCTTGCCTATGACCCCTCACAATATATCAGCGATATCATATATCAACGCGGGGATTGACTGTGATCGAGTTCATATCTCCATTTCACATTCCAATCATGAGTCCCTCACTGGATATCGTCACCCCCAACAGGCACAGCTACAAGCAGCCCACCGGCCTATTCATTAATAACGAATTTGTCTCCGCCACATCAGGACAAACCATCACCTCCATTGATCCCGCGTAAGTCCATTTCTACCCCCCAACAACAAGCTCGGTTTCTTACGACCTTTTAGTACCGATAAGCCAATTGCCACTGTCGATGCTGCAAGTCCCGAGGATGTCGACCGCGCCGTAAAGGCAGCCAAGGCCGCCCTGGTGCACCCATCGTGGAAGCTTCTGCCCGCCACCGAACGTGGCCAGTTGATGGCCCGTCTGGCCGATTTAATGTGGGAGAACAGAGAGCTCCTCGCCTCAATTGACGCGTGGGACAATGGTACGTTTGCGTTACACCCGTGCACAAGCATGCGGCATGCCGATCCCGATCCACCACCTAATTTTTCTTTTCATCTCCGGCGCAGCCCTACGGCACCCCCGCTAACTCTAAACAGGTAAGCCCTACCATGTCGCTATGGAAGAGGACCTTGTTGAGGCTACCACTACCATCCGCTACTACAGTGGCTGGGCCGATAAGACTTATGGCCAAACTATCAATACCACCCCGCAAAAATTCGCCTACACCCTCCGCCAACCTCTCGGTGTTATCGGTCAAATTATCCCATGGAACTATCCTTTGGCCATGGCAGCTTGGAAGCTGGGTCCTGCGCTCGCGTGTGGAAATACCGTCGTGCTTAAGCCTGCCGAACAGACTCCACTTAGTATCCTTGTTTTGGCGAACTTGATCGTTGAGGCCGGTTTCCCGCCTGGCGTTGTTAATATTGTGAATGGATACGGTCGTGATGCCGGTGCCGCACTTACTACTCACCCCTTGGTTGATAAGGTTGCCTTTACCGGGTCGACCGGTACCGGTCGCGAGATCATGAAGATGGCTGCGGGCTCGTTGAAGAATATCACCCTCGAGACGGGCGGCAAGTCGCCTCTTCTGGTCTTCCCTGATGCAGACATGGATCAGGCGGTCAAGTGGTCGCACTCTGGCATCATGTCTAACCAGGGCCAGATTTGCACTGCCACCTCGCGTATCTTCGTGCATCGTGAGATTCTCCCTACCTTCTTAGCTGAGTTCAAGAAGGCTGTGGAGGCCGTCTCGATCGGCGACCAGTGGGACGAGAATACCTTCCAAGGGCCCCAGGTGACCCGCGCACAGTACGAGCGTATCCTCTCATACTTTGATATTGCTAAGAGTGAGGGCGCCACGCTCGTCACTGGAGGTGCTGCGCATGTCCCTGCCAAGGCCGAGAACAAGAATGGATACTTCGTCCAGCCGACCGTGTACACTGATGTGACCGATTCCATGCGTATCGTCCGCGAGGAGGTTTTCGGCCCGGTGGTTGTCATCTTGCCTTTTGATACTGAGGAGGAAGCTATTGAGCGCGCGAACGATACTTCTTACGGCCTTGGTGCTGCTGTTTTCACTACTGATCTGGAGCGTGCGCATCGTGTGGCTTCCGAGCTGGAGTCTGGTATGGTCTGGATTAACAGCAGTCAAGACTGCGATCCTCGGGTTCCGTTCGGTGGTGTTAAGCAGAGCGGCATTGGTCGCGAACTTGGAGAGGCTGGACTGGAAGCTTATAGTCAGATTAAGGCTGTCCATGTTAACATGGGAAACAGACTGTAAGTAAAGTTGATTATTGTATATAGAATTTCTCGTGACAACGAAGACTACGTGATTCCAAGGTTTCAACTGTGCACCACATTTTCGCCATATCCGCCAGAATCATTTTCTTCTTTCCAAGGTTCTCACTTGCGTTTATTTCATTATGCGGTCAACCTTAGAAGGACTAGTATGTAATGGAATTCCAAGCATCTATGCCCGAGATTTGCCCCTTGGTATATGCTCCTTCATAAATTGTCATGTAGATAGTAATGCAATGCAGTACTAGGTAAATACTCTTCATCCTTTACATTTTCCTCTTAACAAGCCCCTTGAAGAAGTCAAAGCTGTTGCTATCACTCTGCAACTGATACAATCGGCCAGTAGGTCGATCACCCCATCCAAGCTCTTCTGCAATCAACAACCCATAATCGCGAGTAATACCTTGGATGCGGGCGCGAGCGCCACCCTCTTCTTCTAGCGTCACGATCTGATGCATATGGAGCCAGTCCTGGTAATACATAGCCTCGAATCCACGATCAAAGCCCGTCCGCAGGAATCGGGTATACAGATCTTCAAATGTAGTCAGGATGCGTGCGAGAAGTTTCTCTAGAGTGACCGGGTGGGCGGTAGCGGCGCCATTGGAAGCGTAGCGGGCAGCCAGAGCCGTGAGTGCAGTTGTGGGAGAGGCATTCGTAGCGTTCACGCCAATGCCAACGACGGAAATGTATTCATTTGACATGAAGTGGGAGTTAATGAGGATACCGCAGATCTTAGTGTAGCGTTTTTGTTCGGGGTCTTCCGGATCGAGGGCGTAAATATCGTTTGGCCACTTCAGCTTGACAGGGAGATTCTCGTAGCCTTTGGCGTAGGATTTGATTCCCCTTACAACGGCCATGGCTGATAGGTATTGGATGAAAATAACGGGGGCTGATTGCATCTTCTCCATAGGATGCCTAACCACGGTCGAGAAAATGAGAGAGCCAGCGGGAGAGATCCAAACGTTAGATCCTCGACCACGTCCGGCAACCTGGACAGTCGCTGTAGCGGTGAATCCATTTGGGAGACGACGCAGAAGTTTGGTATTCCTGTGAATGTCAGTAAAATATATGGGGACCAATTGCAATGAGGAGACTTACTTCTCTAGGATCGTGTTGGTGCTGGTGACCACCTCACCGTACATTATGTTTGATCCAAATTCCGAAGCACCTTCTCGGGATTCGGACTGATATTGCTTGAGATTGGCGTAAAATGCATGGTGGTTAAAGTAAGGTGTGAGCTTAGACGATGGGAGTTCATCATGGAAGACAAGCCGCTTAGTGATTGCCTGGTAATCAACAATCCCTTCGGTAGATTTTGACTCCCCGTCAGGGAGGGCCTCCTCCAAGTCGCTTAAATTCCAAGTGCCGGGTCGCTCAATTCGGAATGTATCGTTCTCGTCTTTTAAATACTCGTTTTGCTTCTCTTGCGCCAGGTCCGGTGCAAGAAGCGACAAAATCTCTAACGACTGCTCAGGGTCCTGACCGGAAATATGTAGAGAAGATAACGAAGGAACGACCGAGCTGTCCTTTGCGACTTGCAGCCCAAGTTTTGTCAAGCAAGCCTTCAAGAAGTCCGTACGTTCCTTGTCGTCAGCAGCCAGTGCAGCAACAAGATCAGCAAATCCAGGACCACCGGCCTTGGGGTCAAGGTTGGCAGCAGCAAATCTAAGAAGTAAAGTCAGTGAATCTCCGATCTCACAGATTATACGATAGTATACATACTCTGGATGCGGCCCCGTCAAGACAGCCGCGCCCTCACCAACCTTGCAGTAGACAACAGCAGCTGCACCACCCTCTCCAGGATCCACATTAAGCTTCTCGTTATAGTTCGCCAGCACCTCGATACCCTTCTCCTTATACAACGCAGCGTCCACAAATACACCCCCACCATTATAGTACGAGCGGAACGTCGCAGGCACAGTACCCACACTCAAAGCCTCCTTCGAAACATCCAAGCCGACAGCTCGCGCCCCATCCTCACTATGATAAACAAACCCCGGAAACGCCCCGCCCCGACAAATCCCTGGGAAGAACGCCAATTCGCGCTCCCCCACAACTTCCATAGTCTTATCCCCGACCTCGAACTCGCATCGCTTGCTGCCATAGTATCCACCCGCGCACAGGCCCAAGTACCGTCCTCCCCGGCGCACGTACAGGGTAATGCGCCTGTTCCCCGCACCATTGAGCGTCCGGCCGTATCCCAGGTCTGCGCCGCCGGGAATCACCAACAGCGCACAGGTCGCAGTCCACGGCTCATTGAGGAGCATCTCACCTGTCACCGGGGTGACGGCATAGTTTTGGGCGAGTAGGCGGCGTAAGGTGTAGACGCAATGGCGAACAGAGTCGACGGTGGTTCCGGTTCCTGTGTCGAGTTTGTCGGTCAGAAAGCGGCTCATTTTCCAGGCGGAATTGGTGAGCGAACCGGAATAGACTAGGACATTGAGTCTTTTAGCTGTGAGATTGGCATCATTGCCTGTTGGTGTTGATGTTGGCGCTGCCATTGTTTTGGCTTGTTGGTGTGGGTTGGGGAAGGAGGGATGATTCATATCGGCGATAAGATACTAGTAGAATATCAGATTTACCGACGCCAGCCGTCGATTCCCTCCCCTGCATACATACTACAAATACAACCATGTCGAATAACGCTGAACAACCTCGGATTGTCCCTGAAGATGACGATGAGCCAGATGAGTGGTGAGTGAGACTTTGTAATGTCTTTGAATCAGGGATTGAAGCTAACTTTTTGATAGGGATAAGCGCATCTTCAGCACTGGCTGCCACAGTGAGTAGTATCCTATTGATAAATCGTTTCGAATCAATTCGCCTAACAGTTCATAGCTGAGCAAGATAAAATGAATGACTGTTACTTCGCTAAGAAGGATTGGAGAGCTTGCAAAGATGAGGTGAGTCTAGTATCAACCCGGTCGTTATGGAGAAGCTGCAACCCATTCCTCCATACCTGTGGCAATTGTCACACATGTGGCTATCTCAATAAGTCGCACTACTGGTCACCTTATCTATCCCATTGGCTCAACTTTCTAACATTAAGTCCAGATGGAAGCTTTCCGCGAGTGTTGGAAGCGCCAGGGTAATGACCAGCGCACCGAGACCAAAGACGCATAATGCGACACACACATGTATTATAACTTTTGTCAATTAAACCCCCCTCTCTCTAATCATAATCCTAGTTTCATACTTAATACTTACCTCAATTAATCTAAAAATTCGTTGCTAAACGCCCGCCAAAACACATCACGTGACATCATCTGCAATCACTGGCAGCTTCAGCTTCAGCGCGCCCTTAGCTACCAATTTAAGCTCTCCAAGACCACCACACTCCCCCAACCACACAATGTCTAGCTTACGCTGCCGTCCCTGGCGGGTACTGGAATCTTTCCAGCAGATGCCCAGCCTCGCCCAAGCCCCGCGTTCCAAATTACCAACCCAATACCTCTCCCAAGGCAAGCGTGCGATCAGCACGAGCAACTACCGCGCAAACAGCACATCCACACCATCCCCAGCTTCCAAACCGACTACCCCAATACCCGCACGAACTGCAACACCTTACACCCCCTCCACACAATCCAAGCCCACTCCCACCGCAACCCCCAACCGCCAAACAACAGACAACATCTCCAAGAGCGGGTTATCCGATAAACCCCTGGACGTAATCAGCGCCGCCGAGGAAAAAATTGACTGGACACGCTCCTTCCACGGCCTCTCCGCTGAGCCGTTCCCAGAGAAAGCGGCCAATATCCTGCTCGCGGAGATCGATCCCCACCAGGTCGAGATCAAGCCCGATGGAATTGTCTACCTGCCCGAGATCAAGTACCGACGTGTACTGAACCAGGCATTCGGCCCTGGCGCCTGGGGTCTTGTACCTAGGAGCGAGAGTATCGTTACGCCGAAGACTGTCACAAGGGAGTATGCGCTTGTTTGCCACGGACGGTTAGTTTCCTTCCCTTGCCAATTATTGATACAATGTACATGGATATGCGATTCCAGAAGCATCAGCTAATAATACTTTTCTCTAGACTTGTCTCCGTCGCCCGCGGCGAACAAGATTACTTTTCTCCCGACGGAATTCCCACCGCAACAGAGGGATGTCGCTCCAATGCGCTGGTACGCTGCTGTAAGGATCTCGGAATCGCGAGCGAGCTCTGGGATCCACGTTGGATCCGGATGTATAAAGCTAAGTATGCGCGTGAGGTGTTCGTCGAGCATATTGTTAGTAAGAAGAAGTCGAAGATTTGGGTGCGGAAGGATGATGCTGTCTCGTATCCGTGGAAGGAGAATAAGTAGTGGATGATTCATCCTCTTTACTTATACTGCTCGGGTACTCGTTCAATTCTTTCTTTTGTCCATTAGACTTGGATGACATGCAAGAATAGGCAATGTCCTTGTTGGTTTGGGGATAGATTTTTCTTTCCTCTTGTATTATATTGTGATCATAGTATGCTTTGCAGGTAGAGCTACATACTTGAAATATATCGTACTCTACTCACTGCCTTTGATACGATGATACTTGAAACTTTAGGAGATTCCAAGCTCAAGTGTATCTATTATGGAAACATTTTTGAAGGAATAGGTGAAATTCAAGAGTCCCGTGGGACATCATTCGCATTCTTAATGCATCTAATCTGACAAAAAAATGGCTCCAGTATCATACAATACATTTAAAACACCTCACCTCACCAGAAATGAAAAAAAAAAGGATATTCTCAACGGAGAATAATCCAATAAACTCCTTTTTTTTCTCCCAAAGAAAAAGGAAAAGAAACAAAAAAAGTGATGAAAAACAAAAAAGAAAGAGAAATGCAATCTAGAATTCAACATATGCAAATGAACGAAACTTAAGCGTCATGCTCGCCATACTGATTCGACTTATCGCGCTTCAAAGTACGTGACAAGAACGAAGGCCGTCTCCCGCTTTGATCTTCCGTCTCAAGAGGAGGAATGTTTTGTTGCGGAGGCGAGTAGAGGGAAGGTGGGGAGACGGGATCATACCGCTCCGGCACTTCATAGCCACTTTGACTATGATTGCTGGAGGGGTAAGGGTGAGACTGCGCATGATCACCACTGAACCCACCCAATTCCACAGACTCATAGTGGTTATTACCATCCGCACGCGAGTTGTAGTAGGAAGTATTGTATGTTCCCGACTCAGGCGAACCGATGATGGGTCGGATGGACTGTTGAGCCTGCTCCTGGCCCTGGAAATGGGAGGTAGGCTCGTAGCGTGCACTACCGCGGGAACCGGGTGGAGCGGGAGTCTGGAGGATAGGCACGGCACTCGTTGAGGGGGTGAGACCGGCGGGGACGGGGGAGAGTTGGGGCATGGGGATGGAGTCCTGGTCGTTGTAGGCGACGCGGAGACCTGCCTTGCGGTGGCCGGTGGAGGGTTCGCGGCCAATGGAGGTGCTGTGCACGCTGAGCTGGCGGGCGCCTTGGGTGGAGTTGTTTGTGGTGGTGCGGTGGAGGGCGTTGTTATCCTCTGGTGCGAGGTCGAAGTTGTGGGAGCGCGTGTTAAGGCCTGCGGCGATGGCAGCTTCGGAGGCATTGCTTGAGCCGCGGTTCTTGAGCGTGCCTGATGAGCGCCGCTTTTCGATGCCGGTTGCTTGGGCAGTGTTGGGTGCAAGTTCGGGGTCGGCTGCCACTGCTGCGGCGGCGGCGCTGGTCTGGGTGAGTGAGGACTTGCGGTCACCCTTATCATCGCCCTTGTCATCGCCGTCACCGTCAGCTCCATCCTTGGATTCTTCCTCGGGAGCGGCGACACCAGGGGCACGGATCTTGAGCTTCCGGGTGGCTAGGACGAGGGCACACATGAACTTGGAGCGGCGCGAAGAACGAACGGCTTCGATGGCCCAGTTGGACTTGTGGCGGATGTCTACTTGGAGCTGGAGCTTGTCGAGATCGCCGAGACCAATCACCTCGATGGTGAATTCGGGTTGGAAATCACGGGAGTTTTCCTTGTCTCGGACAAACATCTCCATCTCTTCACGCAAAGCTTCGACCTCGGCAAAGGTAGTATCGAAGGCGACGGGAACGGTGAGTCTTTCGTGCATGGCATTGGCGCGGGTGAGGTTATCTACCCACAAGCTGTTGAGGATGTTGTTGGGTACCTGGGTCAAGCGGTGATCGTTGATTGAACGGAAGACAGTGAAGAGCAGGGAAATACGCTCCACAATGTAGTCCTTGTCGCTGACGTCGACACGGTCACCAATATCGAAGGGGTGTTTGACGAACAAGAAGATACAAGAACCCAAAACCTCCTGACAGGTAGTCGAGAACACGAAACTGAGGGAGAGCAGTGAGGTAGCTCCAGCAGCAATGACGGTACCAAACCCGGTGGTGACAAATGAGATGAAAACGAGAACACCAACGATGAAAGCACAACAGAACAGAAGATTGTCCAGGACACCGATAGCCTGGTCGACATCGTGCATACTATGGTTCAGAGCTTTGCGCATACGTCCCAATTCCGTCAGGGTAAGGACCATCTCGTCCAAAGAAATATCTCCATTGCCATCCTTGTCAAGCATGGCAAAGCACTCTTCAGCCTCGGCTTCATGGTCAGGTCCCAGAACCTCGATAATATCATCAATGTACAGAGAGTCCCGGCCCTCGACCACAAAGGACATCCAAACACGGCGGGCCAAGGCCGCAGCACAGCGTTTACGCTCCAGAGCAGAAATGACAACCGCGTGAGTAGTATTGTTGTTGAACATTTGCTTTCCAGTCAGTTCAGAAGCAACATTGCCAACGGCAGCCTGAACTTTGTCACCGAGACGGCCAGCCTGCTGACCAACTTGGCGACCGACCTCCTTCACCATGCGCAGCGGCATGATTGATTTCGTTTTGCCCTTCTTTGTAGCCTGGCTCAGGATGGGATCCATGATGGTTGAGTCATCCTCGTGGAACTCCGCGCAGTACATGGGGAACATGTTGCGGGAGGCCTCGAAGAGGAGACCAACAAGGAAAACATTATGCTTGGACTCCTTGATCTTGGAGTCGAATTGCTTGCGGTGGTAGCTGATAGAGATCAGTTGAACAATGGCCTTCTCGCCCAGGAAAATCAAACTGCAGACAAGAAGACCGAGAAGAACGTTCTTGACACTCTTTTCCCAGGCTTTAGCATCGGTGTCCTCTTCATCTTTCTTGTTGGGGTTTTCAGTCATGATCTGGAAAGAGTTCAATTAGTACATACCACAACATAATTTCTTGCGGCCTCGGGCACCTGAAGATATAGTAGGGAAGCATACCGGAAGGAAAGTCACTAGCGAGACAATACACCAGAGCACAAGGGTAAGAGGAGTCTCAAGGGCCCTCAAGATGAGTGCATATTTGCGTGTACCGGAGCTAACCATACCACACAAAACCTGGAAGACATAAGGCAAGAATTGAGCCATAACCTTACAAACCCACAAGCTGACCCAAACGACCTCAATCCAGGTAAAGAACCAATAGATGTGAACACCGGCAATCTTCGCATTGGGCGCCGCAGTGGCACCGATAATAATGGGAATGGCAATCAAGAAACCAACGGGAAGAACATAAATCATGTATCGCGTAACAATAGAGAAATTGTAAATGGCCTGGTAGATGCGGCCGACGGTATTGATTGTACCGTCATCAGAGGCCTCGGCGGCCTTTCCACGCATATCATGCATATCTGAGTCCGTCCTTCGACGACGTCCAGGCGCGATACCCTCCTGCTTCTCACCTAGCCCCGGCTCCACCAGGCCAGCCTGGGAAGCCGGCGTGGAAGCCCACTGCCCCAGAGTATTGTGACTAGGGGCATCGGTGAGGGGAATATCAATAGTAGCGTCGTTGGGGTTATGCATCCCGTCGTGTGGTTGATCGGGGATTTGTTCAAACCGATGTATGACCGAATGCTTGGGTGCGATGCCCAGCTTGCTCCTCATCTCGGAAGAGGGGAAAGGAAAGGAACTCCGGTGGGAAGGACCACTTCTTTAAAATGGAATTAAAGACCCTGGGGCGACGATCGATTTCTTAAGCTGGTTGGTTCGATTGAGTGATTATGGTGGAGAAATTGTGGGCAAAAAAATTTCATAGGCCGTTTTTTGATTTCCACTTTTCCGTCTTTTTTCCCCCCCTCACGGGCTGCAGATGGACCCAATGAAACTGGGAGGTTTGACCTCTTGCGCGGCTGGAGACGTTTGGTCTTGGCTTGGCTGGTTCGTTCTGGGTCCGTTAATGAGTGGTCTTGGTTTGTTCTTGGACTCCTGAATTGCTGATCTCTGCTGTCACCGATTGTAATGTTGTTGCTGGTCTAGGTAGGTGGAGTTAAGATCGGCAACAACCGAGGTGTTGGATCAAGAGATGTTTCAAAGGAATTGGGTTTCTTTGACAAAAGAGCGTGATTGAACAAGAGTATAGGAAATACAGCGAATGGGTGGATTTTTTTTTTCTTCGAATAGAGTTGTGGTTGAAAGAAAACGCGACTCCGTTCCTGTTTCAGTGTTGTTGGCTGAAAAAGCCACAAAAATGTGAGACAGCCATTCCTCGCAGTGAACTGATCCACTCGGGGTCATCTAGAGACTAGCCGCATTCCAGACACTACGGAGCACTTGGCAAAATGCATTGGAAATTGATGTTTATTTTCTTACTGCATTTTCTTATTTTTGACTCTTTATCAAGTTCATCTCATTTCCACAATTAGAAACAACTTCATCATGTAATGATCACGTACCTGTTTTTCCCCTCGCCACCAAAGTGTCCAACCTGCTTCTTCCCCTTAAGCCACTGGACGCAGGTCCACTCCGGCCCCACTGGGCTTTAGATTGGATCCGCCAATCAGCTTCACTTCGCCCCAAGCCTCCCGATCTGACCCTGAGTGAATCTGATGCATACAATTTTCATGCATGGATTATACAGAGATGAAAAATGAAAAAAAAATGAAAAATAAAAATAAAAAATAATAAAAAATAAAAAATAAACAAAACCATGAAATCATTCTTATGATTGGACTATGTCTACTTTAGAACTCTATGACAAAATAAACCTTGTGCAAATCCTGATTCATGCTCGCTCGTCTCGTCGAATCTTCTCCAATGCAGCAACCACTTCTTCGCAACTCCATCCTGCTACCAATCCCCCCAATACCACATCTTGTTCACTTTCCGGTGCCATACCACTTGGAGCTGGCGGTCGACGATCAAGATTGGTAGGGAAAGGGTATCCTTCAGCTACCGTTTGGATAAATGCCTTGATCTCCCGGGCCGCGAGTGAGGACTGCTCCGGGTCAAGATCCTGATCGGCAACCTGTTTCCCTGCAGCCTGGTATCGTTTAACCAGTAAATCCCAGGTCCCCTTCACCAGCGGCAGCGAGTCGACCGTCTCCATCGGTTTTCCAAATGGACTACTCACTTGCAATAGATTTGCGACGCGGCGGAACCCACCTGCATTTGGATCCATCACATTCTCTCCTGCAGCGTGGAAGAGCGCCGGGTTAAAGAAGACACCATCACCTAGAGTCAATGGTAAGGCGACATAGTTCTCCTGGAAGAAAGAGCGGAACTCGGGCCGACGCCAGGCCAGGTACCCTGGTGGGTAGGTTTGAGAAAAGGGCAGGAAGCGCGTCGGCCCACTCTCCACGGGCATATCGGTGTGAGCGACGGCGCCTTGTAGTGTGAGAAATTGTGTCGCTAGCTGTGTTGGTGCTGGGAAACGTGCGCACGCATCCGGCTCCTGGAAGCCAAGGTGGAAGTCGCGGTGCGCTTCTTGGGCTGCTCCGCCTGGGTGGACTGCATTGACCTGCGCGGTTACTCGATACCCCGGCCCAAGCCACGCACTACAGACAGCGGCTAGCCAGGGGTTGGCGTAGTAGTCCAAGAATGAGGCCGGATCTTCGGCGCCATGCTTATTGAAAGAGTTCCAAATCCGGTCATTGCTGCCGCTGGCGGCGAAGTGGTCACCTTGGGATGTGTTGGATTCGCGTTCTCTCGCGATGATACGGTCAAAGGCCTCGTTCGAGGCGGAGAGCACATGACTGTACCGTGCGGGCTGGTACATGTCTCGTAGAACAAAGACACCGGGGCCCAAATGCAAAATGTGATGCCATTCATCTTGTAGTTGTGAGATCGTGGCGGCAGTTAGACCTGCATCCAAAGCCCCGAGGTCATAGATGGGGATATTCCGCTCCACCGCACAGGCCAACGGGTAGCTTGATGTATCGGATGTGCGCGAACATATTTTTTTGAATTCGTCCAACTGAACGGAGGCCGGCTCAAAGTGCCGGGATGGAATCTTTGTGTGTCCATTCATTCTGATATCTTCAAAATGATGTACGATGGTGTATATGCGGTGTGGCTCAATTTTGTTCAGTTGAAATGTTCGAATGATATTTTTTAGGGGGCTTTTCTTTTTTTTTCTGCCGCGAAGGTCCAAAATGTATTGAAATGCCGGGATTCTAATTCCTTCTGATTCCCCGCATTTCTTTCAATTAGACCCGCATTTTGACCTCATCCAACACAACCTGGAGGGCATTTCCACTTGCAATGTCGCTAGGCCTTCGGATTATGGTTTCCGATCAAAATCTTAACAGATCAGTAAAGTAGTTCTAAACATGGGTATCACAGCCATCGAGTAGTAAAATACAGAGTCTACCATGGGGGTGAATGAAGTAATCGCAAAGGGACCAAAAAAAATGATGGTCCGCATGTCCATGGCCGAGTTATCCCAGACGCCAAGTAACCGGGGGTTGATGGAGAATCGAAGATCAAAAGGTATCACCAGAGCTAAGAAGAGATATTCCCATATAAATAGCAAGAAAACCAGAAAACCAGCAGAGGGGTAGGAAAAGAAAAAAAGAAAGAGAAAGAGAGAGAAAAAAAAAAGAAGTTTGCCGAAGTCATCACCGTTGCTTCGTGCCTCATGCAGTCATTATGAACCTGGGACCCAAATCAAACCCCAATGTGCAGATCTATGAAGCAAAGGATCTTTAAGTCTCCGTGGGGTGGGGGAAGACTGAGCAAAATAAGAACAGAGAGATTAAAAAGAGATTCGTGAAAATATGGGGGGGTTGGTGCGAGACCGGCCAGCTTTATGCATTCATCGTGACTGCACCGAGGCCAGGGGTCAGAATTGTTGACTCGTCTGACTGGGTGGGCTCGCTCACAACGAGTTCGTTTTCGGACATGGTCTCAACCAATGCACTAGGACGCCCGGCGACGGTAAAGAGAACCTTAAACAAAAAGGTCGGACCAGGGATGTCTCCACTAGGCGGTTGATGACGGGTGTGTGTGAGTAGCACTCGGATCAATTCTCGCAAGGCAACATCCGTTGATTCATCATGGATCGTATCGATGCCATCGATGATGCAGACTAATAATGGTGGTGCGAAATGGAGAAGAGTATCAACGAGAGATAATGCCGCTGTCCAACTGGCCAAGGTGCCGTCAATGGGACGAAAGCGCTCTGCGGTGAGATCCAGTAATGAGTCACTGTCAACCACCGTCGGTAAATTATCAATCATTTGTCGGATCAGACTATAGGTCAAAGCGATGAGTCCCTGCTGGTGCGGGGTTTGACCGGAGACCTCTTTGGGGGAGAGCTTGCAAAAGTGTGACAGAGTCGGAAGGTCGGCCTCCCGAGCAAAAAAGGCATACGATGCGGCGATCAGGGATACCGGGCTTAACGTTTCCGTAGATTGGGTTCCGGCCACAGTTAAAGCCTGGGAGCGGGGGCTTGTGACCCATTTCTGGAGAGAGGTGATGGTGCTGGCTTCGGTCACAACCTTGGCGTCTGGGTCGAAGTGTGGAATCTGATCCTCGCAATCAAAGAAGGGCTGGAGATGCTTGGATTCACTTTGCAACTCCAGACGGGCTAACCGGCGCTTGGAGCCCCGAGACCATTCCACTAGAGGTACCACTGCAGTGGGCACAATATGTTAGTCAAGGCGCTTGAAGCGTCCAAATGGGGGGTAGGCTCATCTTACCAAGATCCGGTGCAGCAGTAGTCAAGCACACAATACGCTTGCTCTGTTCTTTCGTAGGAACCAGTTGTTCAGTTGTATTCTGTAGCATCTGCCTTAATAGCTGATCCCTTGTCTCTCTTAATCGGTCGCGCTTCTCTGCATCCTGTTGGATATCCCATATCAGGCGTCGGGTCATGGTATTTTGCGCGGCGTGTCGTCGGCGTTTTCCTTCCCGTCCGACCTGGCTGAGCTGAGACTCTTCCCACAGAGAGCGCGGACTATAGGCGGAGTCCCAACCATCATCGATATCCATCACATCCGTAGGTCCCGAGAGGTCTTGAGCCTGGCGTTGGATGCAAATGACCAAAGGGTGGAAGTGGGCATAGGCATCCTGGCTGTGGCTTCTCAACAGGTGGCACGTGGACCGGCGCACATACCAATCCATAAATTCATTCAGGAATAAGAAGATCAGTGTATATATTTCGGCCACGGGTTCCCTGTGGGAGGGATTGAGGTCCGCCGGGGGCCGGATGGCACTCGTAATATTATTTAACGCAGTGAGGAGCCCCTCAAGGACTCTTGGGTAATTTGAAGATGCCTAATAAATAAAACCAGAGCGGGTTAGCAGACCGTTAGGAAGTGATTTTTTTTTAAAGGGGGTGTGTATCGTGATAGGGGTGGCCGGGTTAGGCTGAGCTGATTGCCACTCACCTTGATCACCGACTGAAGAACCCCATACAGCAGCGGGGTATAATACAAAACGCCATCGGGTAGGACGGCGAGGATATGAGCATGGGTCTCGACGGTCGGGATGAATCGTTCACAGAGGCCGGCAACCCGTTGGCGGGGGCGGGATGCCCATACGGTGTGTAAGTTGCGCACCAGAGCCTGAACATCGGTGACGGTCTGTGGCCGCTCCTCCCATACCACACGATTCTCGGCCGGTACATGACGAATAAAAGCCTTCCATGACTGAGCCAATTCACTGTATTCGATATCGAGGTTTGCGATCACGGGATTCCTGATGATAAGTGTGAGAATATTGTTGGGCCAATTTTTTTTCCAATTTTTTTTCCGTCTTTTTTTTTTGTTCCATCCTTCATGTCTTGGATTTGGAGAGACCTACGCGGAAACGGGTTTTCGGTCGAAGCGAGATTCCCAAGCCGATGGATCATTGTCCTGGGCAGGCATGGTGCGACGCATCACACCCGCAGCCCGGATTGAATGATATAAAGGTTCAAGTTGTCATCAGTGGATCATTTGCCGATCGAAGGAGAGGGGGAAAGAGGGAAAGGGAAGGGATTGCAGAGGAACGCGGAGGAGCGGGTGCAGCCGCTTTTTGCTCAAGGGAAAAAAAAGGCAAGGGAGGGAAAAAAGAGCCCAGATTGAATTCCCCTAATAAAAAATCCCAAATAAAATCCAAAAATCCAAAATTAAAGATCAACAAGAGGTATACTTTATTTTAGAAAGGAAATCAGGGAAAGCCAACTATTAATATGAACTTTGCCGTCATTTTTTTGTTTTTGTTTTTTGTGCCAATTTTTCCATCTTTTTTTTCCCTCTTTCTCTCTTATTTTGCTCTTGTACGTCGGTCGATGAGAGCCTCGCCCTTCTTCTCTCCACTCTTACTTCTCCGCAAATCAGACACGAAATATCCGGGGGCTTGGTGCTGTTTTTTGTTTTTGTTTTTTGTTTTTTTTTAGAGAATATCTCCCGAGTACAACATTGTAGTTGAAATTCGGGAAAGAATGGAATTGGAAATGTTGCTAATATTGCCATCTAGGCCTGGACCAGATTACATAGAATGGGGGGGGTTTTTAAGGTTCGGGCGGTCGTCCAGTTGGCGATTTCTCGGATCACTTTTAATCCTCTTAATCCTCTTAATCGGTTTAATCCTTGTAATAATTATGCACATGTGGTTCATTATGGTTGATTTAGGGCTTTTTGTTTAATTAGCACATATTATTGGATTTGGCTTTGGCTTAATGATTTTGGCTTAATCATTTCGATTGCACTGCCATCTCTGCGGGGGAAAAAAGCACAGGGTCCGTTCAAATGTTAGGAAAGGGAAAGAGAAGCGAAAACGACAAATCCATCGAGGTCCGAGCGGGTCAAATCATCCGAAAAGTCCGTTCCCGATGGCTTATGTAAGGACACTTGAAAATAACATTCGATGGAATCAATTGATTGAAGAAATGGAAGAGACTATGCACGTGTGGAGTGCTTGATTTGATTTGATCTTTACTACTATATACCATGTAGTAGAATCTTGACATCTGTTACAACAGATTCTTGCATACACTACTCCATACTCCGCTAGTATATGTAGGTGCATATTTGTGCGGTGAAGCGAGAGCGAATCGTGTGGATCCCCCACTTCACACTTAACACATCACCCATGATACCATAATACACGGATAAGGGAAGAGAGAAAATACGAATACGTACAGGAAGAAGTGAGACATTAGAAACACTGGAGGAACCCTGATGTACATGTATCATACCATGTATCATATGTAATGAAATGGTTATATACATATATTTCTTCCTGAATGGCTCTGCAAACCCGAGTTAGAAACCTTGGGAATCAATTCAATTCAAAACAAAACAAAAATAATAAAAATAAAAATAAAGATCAAAATCAAAATCAATTTGGAATTTCTAAAAAAGATCTTATGATCCATGAAAAGAAAAAAAAGTTCTTTTTTTCTGGTCAATTGAATTCCAAATTGATTACTAGTATTGCTTGTATTGCTTACCATGGAACCCCCGAACTTCCATCGTCCTTATCGTCATGATCAATGGATCTACTTTCTCCACGGGGATCCATACTATGATCGGCCTTAGCTCTCCCCTCTTTTTCTAAACCCATTTTCCGGTTTTATTGTTCGTTCATATGCAACTCCACTCCCCCTCCACTTACATCCCCTCGTCCTTGTTCACATCCTGGTGGCCCTGACTAATGCTGCGAACCCCACGCTTCCGCTGAGTCCCGTACTAATCAGCGGCTATGGGTCCCTTCTTCCTCTTTTACTTCTTCGGTTCGGTGCTGGCGACCGTCACTGTTCAACCTTCTAACCTCACCCAGGATCTCTCCTGGTCCTCCTCCGCTCTCTTTCATCTCCAGGTCCCAGGTTCCTCGGGCGGCTTCACCCTCGCCCCGTTGACCGAATCACTTGTTCGCCTAACCAATACTCAGAAACAGGTACCTCGGCCCTTCCCCCTCCCCAATATCATCTCCTCGCCCCCAATTTCCCACGGGGGCGCGCGTGTGGCTATTGGCTTACTCTTTTTTTTTTGTCTTTTTCTTCTTCTTTTAGATCTTTAGTATCTCCGGAAACCTCACCAAAGTCGTCGCGGAAGACTCGGTTGACGTGAATTCCACCTCAATCGCTTGTATCCCGTGTGATTCTTCCGACTACCCCGGACCGTTCAAAGCGGACCGCACCGTCGACACCGTCGACAGCGAGTCGAACCCACCAGGGGCAATTATCCTGTACAGTAGTTCGGCGTCGCACTGCAATTTAACAACGGATGACGCAGCGGAATCATATTCCCATATCTTTACTATCATCAATCTACAATCTTCCACGGTTCTACAGGACGCCTTTGGATCAAACAATACCACCGCCACCATCACCAGTATGTCGAGCGTCATGAGCGGCGTCGATACCGGAAGCACCACAACTCAGGGCACGTCCGGAAATAGTCCCAATACAGGTTCGTCTCTGACCACTGTTCGCCTTCATATATGTTATGTCTGCAGTGTATACTAACTCGGAATCCCGCAGCGATGATCATCTTGTATAGCATTACGGGTATCATCACCGCCCTGTTCTTGGGCATCATCATCACGGGTGCTGTCCGTGCTCACAGGCACCCGGAGAGATATGGACCCCGTCGGGTTGCAGGTCGACCCAGGCAAAGTAGAGCAAGAGGTATAGCTCGAGCCATGCTCGAAACCATTCCCATTGTTAAATTCGGAGATGAGCCCGCTGGAGACGGCGTTGATGCCGCCAAGCGAGATGTTGAGATGGCCAGCCAGAACTCTGGTCAACACTCTCCTCGCTCAGAGAGCATCGCCGACGTCGGCGAGACCACTCCCGGCGAAATCGAAGTTGCAGCACCCGAACAGGAAACCGACCATCCTATCACCCCAGTGCCCGAGTCCAAACCCGATGCAGTGCCCGATGCTGGCAATTTCTCCTGTCCCATCTGTACCGATGACTTTATCAAGGGCCAAGATCTTCGAGTCTTACCTTGTCAGCATCAATTCCACCCTGAGTGTATTGATCCTTGGCTGGTGAACGTATCTGGCACCTGTCCTCTCTGGTATGTTCCTTTGCTCTTTATAGACATCATTTCCCCTTTCCCTTTTTCTCCCCTTTTCTGTCATGAATCATCTAACCCGCAGCAGCCGCATCGACCTCAACCCGCCCAAGAAGGAAGAAAATGCCGAGCAAGACGAAAATGCCGAGCACACAGAGGAAAACGCGGCCGAGGAGGCGGGAACCTCTTCCACTGATGTAACACACCGACATTCCCACCACCGCCTCACAAACTATCTGAATGCCCGTCGCATGCACAATGCCACCGTCGAGGAGCGCCTCACTGCCCTCCGCGAGGTTCGTGCTGCTAACCAAGGCGATGCTGCCGACGCTGCCCCTACCCCCAGCCGTCGGCGTCTGAGCACTCGAATTCGCGATCGCCTTCGCGTTCGCTCTAGTGTCCACGGTATGGAAGGTCTCAGTCCTCCTGGAAGTGGCGCAAATACCCCAGTGACTGTGACAACTCCCACCGTGCCTGTTCATACCCCTGCGCAGATCAACGAAAACGAAAATGAGAATGAAAGCGAAATCGCCGGGCCTGCTGAGCCCTCTGAGTCTGCTGAATTGCCCACCAACTCCAGCAAATGAAACTATGTTTCTCCCCCCTGATTACATGATTTGATGACCGATATTTTTTTCCCCTTTATTTTTTTTTTACATTAAGCTGCTTTACATATTTATTTGCACAGTTTTAGCTGATAACGGCGTTTACGAGGCACATGGAGGGATGGGGTTTTTTTTGGACAGATGTTTGGATTTTTATGAACAAATTATGCCGGTACATAAGGCGTTTGAGATGTGGAGGAAAAGAGGCAGTGTTGTTTTTTTTCTTCTCTTTTCACTTCTGACCTCATCTTCGTCGGCTTTGTCTTGATTATTGTGTTGCATATACTTCCCGTACATTAAGCCATAGGAAATGTAGATTTGACCGCATGCACAAAGCATAACATATTCGAGTCCCATCATACTAAGCCTCAAATATCTCTACATAGGGCAAGTACTTCCGCAAACCCCAACCCCAACTTCATCGGCAAAAGGGATCTCCGCGCCTTGGCAGCGGGGGAAGTAAAACCGCAATCCCGACAGTGGAGTCAGTGGGGAAAAAGAATAAGATAAACAAAGAAATGGGCAGAAATGAGAGAAAAACGAAAAGGAAAAATGGGGATCCATCACACTCCGTCTTTAGCCTAGAGCCCTAGAGCCTTACGTGTGTGGCTCCCGTGTCAGCAGCGAACCTTTGAAATTATGTACATAAGAAGAAAAAGGTCTCGTATAGAATTTGTCCACGGGGCTCTCAAAAACCAAGGTCAGCATCATCACCATAATCATGTGCAGCCAAGACCCTTGGGACCTGATCTCCGTTCCACTGGAGAGAAAGTGTACCGACAACTTAATTTGTGTGTACTTCCCTTAGTAGTAATAAGTACAGAGTATGGTGTACCTAGAAGTAGTAACCACTTCATGCATTGAACACGTCAGGGAAATAATTACCCCTACCGGTGATGTCATGAAGATCAAAATCCAAAATCCCTCGCCTTGACACCATTACCATTTTGAAAGGTTCTAGGTCGGCCTTCTCTTAGCTCCCGACTTTCCCCCAGTTTCTCCGGGGAACGGTTGGAGTCGGAGGAAGTCCGTTTTGTTTTTGTTTTTTGTTTGTGGGCTTGGGTGCTGCGGAGTCCCGGGATCGTCCTGAGTGTTACATAGTAGGGCATGGGGGAGGATATGGGGGGGAATTGATTTCCAATCCCATTCTCCTCATGGATTTTGGAGATCGGAGCTAGAGCCGAAGCTCCAAGCCTCGAGACGTGGGTATCTGGAAAGGACTGCTCTTTTTTTTTTTTTCTTCTGGATTGTTTGTTTGGGGATTGGGGGATTAGAGGGCTTGAAGTACTATGTATAGATAACATTTAAGTGGCCCTTATCGCATGCAGGTGAGGGGCTTATGATAACCTTGGTGATTTCAAGGAATTGGGAATTTGCCTGGAGATGGAAACTTGAGTATTTTCAAGATCGAAATTTAAACCGAATGTAATCAGTACCTGTTTCATTGGTCAGCTAGGGGCTCTTTTTACAATCTTTGGACATAGCTAGGGCACATGATATGTAAGGGGCAAGAAAAAAACCCTCTCCGCACGCGACCTGAAGATGAAACGGATAATAATAGCCCACGAAAACATATACGTAGTCATTTTCAATGTCGTGTTATCAGCCCACGTCAGGTCCCTATTTCTACTTTAGTTCCAGAAAAGGATCCACTGCGTCTTTTTTCTGTTGCTTTCTCTCTCATTTCTCGGCGTTGGATGACACACGGCTTTTCGCGGCGGCGGGAAGAGCCTGTCGGAGGTCACAGATCAGACCATCGGGTAATTTGTATTTTTCACAATGTAAACAACTTTCCATTCTTTCAATGTTCCTTCTGTTTGATATATATACTATATATAAAAAAACATGTACATCTTCTCTCTTACTCAATATCACCATTAGATCATTTGATCATCTCTTCATTTCTTCAAGTCATTTCTTCAATCTAATATACTCAAGCTTAGACCAAGTTCCTATTTAACCAGATTTGACACATGTTACGCATGTGAACTCCACTTCACAGCAACGAAGAAGATACGGATCGGGAAACTTCCTCGGTTCCAAGGTGGACACCCCCCTCGGCGATAACTTCATAGTATATATAGAATAGACAAAGGGCACGTTTATAGAAGAAAATTACATATACTTTTTTTCCATAACTCCTGTATTACAATCGTGATTTTAACCGTTCTTCTCTATTTACTCCACCCCCTCATTCCACCTCATCCGGTGAACGCAAGCAGCAAGGTTTCGGTGACAATTCCGGGGGAAAATCCTGGTGTATTTGCATTTCACTTGTATCAGACAATCATGGCATCCCGTCAAAACCCCACGCTTTCCCCTTCTTCAACAGCTCGCGACCGTCTCTCCTCCATCTCATCACACATCATGGGTCCCTCCAATCCCTCCGTCTTCACCACCGCTACCGTGGCTGCCGCCCCCGAAGATCCTCTCTTTGGCCTGATGAAGGCTTATCGAGAGGATCCCTCGGACAAGAAGGTTGATCTAGGTATCGGTGCCTACCGTGACAATAATGCGAAGCCTTGGGTTTTGCCCGTCGTCAAGAAGGTAAGAAAAGCTATCCAATTCCGGCGTTCTAGTTCTTATCGCGGGGACATACTTTTTCTTGTTTTTTGTTATTTTTTTTTGTCCTTCAGCTCCTTGTTCAGGTTGTTTATTGATTTGTGGTTTTCTTTTGCTATCTATCTTTTTTTTTTCTTGTGGCTGGAAGCTAACTATCCCTTCCCCTCCAGGCCGATGACGCAATCCACAATGATCCCAGTCTCAACCACGAATACCTCTCCATTGGCGGTTTGCCCGACCTCACATCCGCAGCTCAGAAGCTCATCGTCGGTGCTGATAGCCCCGCCATCCAAGAAAAGCGGGTATGTACAGAAATAAACCCATAAACTGAGCAACCAAGCTCGATCCAACATCACCACCAGGAACACAACAAGAAAAGAAGAAGAAGAAGAAAAGCTAACCTCTACCCTCACAGATCTGCACTCTCCAAACAATCTCCGGAACTGGTGCCGTCCACCTTGGTGGCCTTTTCCTCTCCAAATTCCACCCTCAAAAGCCTACAATCTACCTCTCCAACCCAACATGGGCTAACCACCACCAAATCTTCTCCAATGTCGGCCTCAACATTGCAACCTACCCTTACTTCTCCACAAAGACCAAAGGCCTCGACTTCGATGGCATGATGTCAACCATCCAATCCGCCCCAACAGGCTCCGTCATCCTCCTCCACGCCTGCGCCCACAACCCCACAGGTGTTGACCCAACCCAAGACCAATGGCGCCAAATCGCCGCCGCCATGCGCGCCCGCTCGCACTTCCCCTTCTTCGACACCGCCTACCAGGGCTTTGCATCCGGTGACCTCGTTCGTGACGCATGGTCAATCCGGTACTTTGTCGAGCAGGGCTTCGAGCTCTGCGTTGCGCAGAGCTTCGCCAAGAACTTTGGTCTGTACGGTGAGCGGACGGGTGCGTTCCATTTCGTTTCGGCGCCCGGTACCGACGCCGCGGCCGGCACCGCGCATGTGGCTAGTCAATTGGCTATTTTGCAGCGGTCGGAGATCTCCAATCCGCCTGCTTATGGCGCGCGGATTGCCAGTCGGGTTTTGAATGATCCTGTGCTCTTCAAGGAGTGGGAGGATGATTTGAGGACCATGAGCGGCCGCATTTTGGAGATGAGGGCTGGTTTGAAGGAGAGATTAGAGAAGAAGGGGACGCCGGGATCTTGGGAGCATATTACCTCGCAGATTGGAATGTTCTCGTTTACTGGGTTGAGCGAGAAGCAGGTCCAGACTTTGCGGTCCAAGTGGCACGTTTATATGGTGAGTTTCTTTTTTTTTTCTTTTCCCCGAAAGTCTGAGGGGCTATTTTTGCTAACGTTTTCACAGACTAAGAATGGTCGTATTTCCATGGCTGGTTTGAACACACATAACATTGATTACTTCGCTGAAGCGGTTGATAGTGTTGTGCGTGAGAGTCTGTAGATGTTCTACAGTGGAATATTTTGGATTCTATACATCTTCTTGGCACTTGGGTCGAAACCCCCTTTCGGATTGGCGTTTAAATTTCATAGTGACTCCCCTAAAATCATGCCCCTCGTGGCTGTGATATGATATCGATTCTTTGCTGGCTATCTTCTCCATCTTTTGATTCTCCTTTCGTATACCTGTTGTGCTAGTGGGTCCGGCTTGTATCACATGTAGAACTAGATAGTAGACATGGAGAGGATTTACCTTAATAGACCTCCTTAAATTTGAAACCGTTCTGTTTTCATGGGTTTCTTGTTTACCAGTGTATGCCATCATGGAAGTCCTGACTTGATACTACCTCGGTATATTCATGCCAATGCTAAAGAAAATTCCAAACGCCTCATCAATGCATATGAATGCCTCTGAAATGAAAGCGATCCAATCGTTGTTTATATCTTCAAAAGACCAAATCCCACACGACAAGCCAAGTACATAAGCCCACGGTTCCCCAAAACACAGCCTGGGCCGTACTCCGCCGCTCAGATGCACGCTTGAGCTCCTTGTTTCCACGTCCGACATTTGTATTTGTCGTATCCGCATCGCTGACCAATTGCGAGATATACTCCTCCTGTGTGGAGAGATGTGAAACGAGCGTACTCTGTAGAGACGAGATCTCAATAAGGGATTTCTCAGCATTCCTATGGATATAGACACATCGGTTAGCTCAGCTTCTCAATCACGTAACAATAACAGCAACAAATTGGAAAACAAGACAAAACATACTGGACCTTGCTCAATGTATCCTCGTAATGGCGCAGCATGGTATCATTCTCCTCTGCAAAGAGCTGTAACTGCTCCGGCGAAAGCTGCGCCTCGATCCGCGCCGTATCGGCCTCACTCAAATGCACCGCATCAGGAGTCGACAACATCGATACAGGCGACTTATTATTATAACCACCCTGTCGTTCGGAAGCCCCACTACTACCACCAGCACCTTGTGCCGTAGGGGCCCCGTTCCCAGATCCAGCTCCACCCTTCGACCCCGCAGCCTTATACAAAACACTCTTCTCCTTCTCGCGCACACGCTCAATTCTCTTCTCCACCATTCCGCCCTGCACGCTCGCCGCACCCTCCAGCCCGCGCCTCAAAAGCCAAAGCACGCTCTCGCGCACCGTGCGAATCACCCTCGCGCTCTCCTCCGCCCGTACCTGCTCTGCTGATTTCCCCTGCGCATCTTGGTCATCGCCTGGTGCACCGCCGCCAGCCCAGCGGAAGAGGAGGGCCCCTGCAGCGCTGTGGCCGTAGCGTTTGCGGAGAATGGTAGCTTCGGTGTCTTGGCGGAGGGTTTCGGCGGAGGCGAGGTTTGAGATTGAGGCTGCGAGATCGCGGAGGAGGAGAGCTGTTGAGGAGTCGACGGCGTCGCGCTCGGGTTCGGTTAAGTGGTGGGATGTTGAGGGTGTGTGGGTTTGTGGTTGGCGGGCGTTGGTGTTTGCGCGGCGTTGTGAGGGGGCTGTTGTGGTGAGGTAGGCGTGACGGATTGATTGGAGGTATTGAAGGAGGGAGGCAATGTGGGAGTTCTGGGTTTTTAGAACTGAGTTAGTTGGTGCAATTTTGTTGGGGTTTGCGTTAGGTGGAGGGGTGATGGTGACTGACGATTCGATATGCCTCCTTTAGGAATTCGTCGGCGGTTTCGGTGGACGGGCGGCGGGTTTGAGGGGAGGGAATTGAAGGGCCATGCTTGGATTTGACCAGCTGGCTGAGCGTGGGTGTCAGGTCGGTCATTTTGTGGTGCAGAGGGTCGCTGGAGACGGGGAAAAGTGGAAGGTGTACACAAGGTCCAAGTTGGAGAAGTAGAGAAGTGGAGCTCCCGTCAACAACGTCACTGGGTTTCGATTGGTTGAGCTCTCACCCCGGAGATGTGCAAGTTTACTGGTTGATCTATGTGTGAATCAGTGTGATGCATTACTGTTCATTTCAAAGGCTAGTTATCTCTGTCTTGAGTTTACCTTTTTCTTTGTCATCATCCCATAGAAGTTCTATTGAAGAGCTGTAATCCAATGTTGGTTCTTTCAATTTGTAATAATGCTGTAGACCACCTTTAAAATGACTGTACAGTAGTTTACCGGGTGTTTTCTTAGTCTCGAGGCCAAATAGAAAATATCCAGTACCAAACATCACCTCCATGAGTACCTCCATCTACAGACAAGCATATTGGAAATCATATAACCCAGCTCTTGAGCCCGAACATGACTTTGGAAAGGGAAGCATGTGGTGGGTCAAACCGGACTGGGCTTACTTTGGCCCGCGCGGCTAATGATATGGGTAATCCTATCTCCATGACATCTAAGAGGCCATCCGAGTCAGCCGAATACAAATGTCAGCCGCATGGTTGTTTTCTCTATAGATTAAGCATGTCCGAAAGCTAGTCCAATTCTATACAGGATTGCAGTTCCATCTGAGTAACAAGACAGCATACTACTAGTAGTAATAAGTAATAAGTTAGAAACCTCGGAAATGGCTCATAGTCTTCGATACGTTTGATTCCCAAACCTTGAGAATAAAAGGAGATCTGATTTGAATGATGGATATCATATAATCCCCTTTTCTACTACTGTCATGTACTTAGTACATGGTAAAAGTCGCCGGTTAAATTAAATTACAAATGTCACGTGTACTCGCGGCTCTCCTTTTAATACTTCGACACTAAACTCACACTAAGAGCCATCTCGCGCTCGATCGGACAGGGATCTCAATTTCGCCGGGGGCCAATTTCACCGGATAGCGTGGTCGCCACGCCTTTTCCACTTCTCCCCCCTCCCTTCGACTTCATAACAATGATGGCAACCCGAATGTTAGGGTACCAGCTGATCTTGTTCCAAAGTTGCCAACCCTCCAAGCCCCCTAATCCCTTCGCCCAAGATGGCTGAGATTTATAACACGGACCGCTTCGCGGAGCTTTATTATCCCTCCAACACCGCCGACCTCCTGCATTTGGGCCTCGCCGCGAGGTTCGTCGCGGCGCTTTTCGAGTCAAGTCGGGTTACTTACGCGTTTATTGGGGGGTGGGCGGTCTATTTGCGGGGTGGTCGTCGCCGCACCCAGGATATCGATATTACAGTTGCCACTTCGATGGATCATTTAAGACAGATTTTGACTGCAGAACCGCGGTATTTAGTGAACCTTTTTCTCTTACTTCTCTTCTCTTCTCTTTTCATTGCTTCATTGCTTCATTGCTTCATCTTTTTGTTTTTTGTTTTTGGCCCCCGCCCCCGTCCATTCATCCTGGTGTTCCAATAGGACTTTTGTTGACCGCTACTAGTATTCATTTCCCGGCAATCCATGGCCGAACTTCGGTCCAAATATTTATTGACACCGGCCGCAGTGTGGATGAAGAATTTCCTCATGTTCCGGATCTGGCGGTCAGTATGGATATAGTTATTAGTGGTGAGTGTGATCCTCTTGGTTCCCTACTGTTTATGTTGCTTATCCCGGGGAATCACTTTACCCCCCGAAGTAATCGATAAAAGGCGGTTGACAAATGATGATCTCTTTGTAGGGAACTTGGGTACACCGGAGGATCTTCAATCCTCGCGCGAGCATATCAATCCTCATAGACCGACGCCATTGGGCTCCCCCGTTTTGGTACTTGGATTGGTCTTCCAGATCTACGCAAAGCTAGATGCATTCGCTAGGCGCGGCGAACAAGATAGCAAGGACTTTGTTGATCTGGAGTTCCTTTTCACCCAATATGCGATTCAAATACCAGCATTCAGGGACTGCTTTAGTATTGAACAGCGACAGTATTTTTGGATGCAATATGCTGCCAAATATACGTCATTTCCGGAACAAGTGGAGAACATGAGGATCCTCCTTGGGCTTTGACTGTTGATTGACCTTTCCCCATGCGCAAAACGAATTTCCTTGTCTCATTACTTGATAGTAGTTTGTTTTAATTATCTATTTTTTTTTTATTATTTACCCCGAGGACTAATTTGATATGAGCTTCTGAGTCCACGGATCAGGAGAACCTTTAAGACGAAATCGCGTGTCGAATATAGTATCGGGAGTTGTCCAGCCCAATCTCCCCTTCTTACTTCGCACCCTTGATTCCCAATGTTCTCGTCTGCTTATTGTTGATGTGGGGAAGTAATGCACGAATAACCACCCTCTCCCCCTTGCAGCATCTGCAGCCCCGATATTCATTCTCCGGGTCCATTCTAGGTCATTGGTCCCGTCTAACTGGAGATTTTGAACCCCCCACTCTTCTGACACGTTTGATCCGTCAATGCAATCGCACAGCGATACGTCGTCGTTCATGTCCAAAAAGCTTTGCATCAGGACTTGTAATGTTGGATATGGTACCCCATTCAAACTGCGTCGTATGCGAAAGGGTCCACTTGGGATATGGGCGTGATATGCAGGAACAATAAGAAAGTAGAAATGGACGCCCCTCCCTTTGAATCGAGAATATGTATGACTTAGAGACGAAGGTTGCGGGATCGGAATTGGAGGTACGGCGTGAATTTTGCTCGCCATTGAGTCATCGGAGAGAAGAGAAACCGCCTCGCTGACCTTATCATCGGGGACACATAGTTCCCATTCCTGTATTGCAAAAAAAGTCAAGTCAGCAAGGCTACCTTTGGTAATTTTTCTTCTTTTCCGTTTCAAGTGCAACTTCAAACATCTGAACTAGATCCACCGCAGCCGCATCTGGACCGTGGTTTTGTTTCTAGTACCAGTTTCAGATAGATATGCTCGAAAGATATAAGGTAAGAAAGAAGCAAAAAAAAAAAAAAAAAAAAAAAGGCGAAAGGATTGGAAAAACAAAAGAAATGGGCCTTACATCTCGTGCACGCCCGGCACCGTAGAACATCAGCGCGGAAACGCCAACAATACAGCACTCGATGCCATGGTTTTCAAGATAGCGAGTCACCTCCAGAATCTCGAGGGTCCCGTGGCCGCCACACGACGGGACCTCGTCTGGGGAGTAAGTTGGGGCCTTCTCTACGGGATCCGGCGGGACAGTGAGGTGGAAATTCGGAGCTAACATTGCTGTACACTAGGAGAAGGCCCTGCATCAAAGGCACTATGGAGTAATGGAGTCGCGGGGGAACGGGGCGCCATTCCTTTTCATGGCACGTGATTGACTTAGTCACTTTTTTGCCTTTGGGTCTGGATGCTTCGATTTGCGAATTTGGCGGATTTCGTGATTACTGATGCACCTGGCTTTTCGCTTCAAGTCTGGGGGAGGAATTCTGTATTGTTAGTATATAGTAGTACTTGCATATTGAATGTACAAAAGTCCCGCCGAGAAATGCCTTGGTTACATACTCCCATATCAGCTTGAAAGTCGGGCACAAAGACTTTCCGTGGGAAAGAAACCAAAATGACCCAGTAGATCCTCCGGTGGGGCCACTCGTTTCCCTGTGTCGATCAACCCATACCTGTTCGTGCCGAATCCTGCGGCAACCATTATCACGTTGAATGTCCATGGTATCAAAAGCCGGGGAAAAAAATAACATCGCCAAATTTCAATGTAAAAATGAAAATTAAATCAATTGCCTTCTTTTTTCTTGTATAGTCTTGGCTATGAAGCATACTATATACACTTGACATCGTAAATCATCACCATCACTCACCGACATCACAATACATAGTACCTGACTCAGCCTGGGCTCAAATTCATATAAAACAACCCTTATATAGCATTCAAGTCTCCCACTCTTATACCATGCCCTGAACAACTTGCTCCTGTCTTTCCTGCCAAACATTCTTTCCAGAGCATGAACACACCATCTTATCATTATCCCAAACACCCGCACTGCGGGCAATAACACCAACGAGGGTGTTCACATCCTCTCTTTGGAATGGCCCCTCCTTACTCGAAGACAGAACCATACTACGTCCAATCAATTCCCAAATAGCCACCGGTCGGTCCATGAAAACATTGCCGCGACCCTTCTCGTCCACATCTACGGAGCCAAAGATGCCCCGGGGCTCCTTCGCCGTGTCGGCCTCCGGGCCCAGCACCTTCGCCTTCAAAGAATCCCAAATGCCTCCCGTGGATGCGGCACCCTGAGAGATATCACCAGCTTCTCTAATGGTAGCCCAGTATTTGCCTGGCGCGATACCATTCACGGTCAGATCGACTAAAGTTATGTTTGGAGAAACCTGGACCATGCGAGCAAGGCCACGGATCTTATTAGCAACGGTGTTGGAGTGTGTCTCGAGGATGCAGACGGCCGAGCCTAAAGATTGAAAGGACGTTAGATTCCGACTCTCTTCAAAAGAAGGGAAAAGGTAGCGGATCGGCGGATTTCGGTACGTACTGTCCGTTGTGCCACTGCCCCGCAGGATCGCGTCGCGACCTGTGTCCTGGATCACGGAGACGATAGAACTTGGAGGCGCGGTTCCTTCAATGAAGACAAGTTGGTCCTTGAGGTTCGCCTCGACTTTCTGAATGCCTGGAGTATAACAGTTTGGTGAGATTGTGCTAGACAAAAGCAGGTGGCGCATCGGTAAGAGGGGTGGATCGCACCATCGAGTTTGTACAAAGAGTCCGAGATGGATTTAACACAGCCTTCGCAGGTCATTGGGACCGAAAAGGTCGTCTGTTGTAAAGATTATTAGCACTCATGCCGCTGTCAAATATCCGAGCAAACCGACCTGGAATGGTTGAATCATGGCGGGGAAGTAGATCCAATGCTGAGTCGACAAATGTCCAATGAAGAGTAGGGTCCAATGGTTGGAATAGACCAGAAATCAGCCGAAATTGTAGTTTGATAGACCCAAACCAAAGAGTTCCGCTTGTTCAAATATAAAAAAGCGCGTGTGAAGAAGAAAGCGTTTTGCGGAATCCAGGAACACTTAGCGGGGACAATTTGGATTTCAAATCGGAGCTGCACTTCGGCCCGTCCAACCTTCCCCAGAGAAACGTCATTCCGCCTTTTCACTGAAAAACCACTCGATCCCGATCCCACACCACAGACAATGTCTGCCTCCAAATCACGATGGGCGGACGAAGACCCCGAAACTGAAGCCATAGTTGCGCAACAAAAACGCGAGAAAGAAGCGAAACGACGCGCCAAAGCCGAGAAACAGCGCCAGCAGGAGGAAACCCTCAAGGCCCGGGCTTCGACACAGACAGGCAACAGCGCACAATCACCCAATGGAGAAGCAGGCCCTCCAACTAAGAGAAGGAGGTTATCAAATGAACACAATGCGACCCCTGCCGATGCCGACGCGCCCGGGAGCGCAGAACAGAAGAAACAGACCAGCTTGCTGCGGTTTCCGGTACGGGGATGGGGGACCTGCAGACATGTGGACAATTTCGAGCGGTTGAATCATATCGAGGAGGGCTCTTATGGTTGGGTGTCGAGAGCGAAGGATATCAACACGGGCGAGGTGGTCGCGTTGAAGAAATTGAAGATCCAGGACTCGCCGGACGGGTTCCCTGTGACGGGCTTGCGGGAAATTCAGACACTGCTCGAAGCGCGACATCAGAATGTGGTCTTTTTAAGAGAGGTGGTTATGGGCAACAATATGGACGAGTGAGTTCTTGACTCTAGAACTTTGCAAATTGCAATTGCAAGGTGCACCAGAAAAACTAACACAACGATTATAGTGTTTACCTGGTTATGGATTTCCTTGAACACGACCTCAAGACCCTCCTCGATGAAATGCGCGAGCCATTTCTCCCCTCAGAAATCAAAACGCTCCTTATACAGGTGGTGGGTGGTCTGGAATTCCTTCACGACTCATGGATCATGCACCGCGACCTCAAGACATCAAACCTCCTCATGAACAACCGCGGCGAGATCAAAATTGCTGATTTCGGCATGGCACGCTACTTTGGCGACCCACCGCCAAAGCTGACCCAGCTCGTCGTGACACTATGGTATCGATCCCCCGAATTGCTCCTCGGCGCAGACAAATACGGCACAGAGGTAGACATGTGGAGCATTGGATGCATTTTCGGCGAACTCCTGCTTAAAGAGCCCCTTCTGCAAGGCAAGAACGAAGTGGATCAGGTATCGAAGATCTTTGAATTGACAGGACCTCCAAATTCGCAAATCTGGCCTGGATTCCGCTCCTTACCCAATGCTAAATCGTTACGCCTGCCGCCATCTTCGTCGATATCAGGCTCGTCCGGGAAAACACCTTTGCTGCCTCGCTCGCGATTCCCGTACCTCACCAATGCAGGCTTGAGTCTGCTTTCGGAATTGCTGGCACTCAATCCCGCTGCGCGTCCGACGGCTCGGCAGTGCCTTGCTCATCCATATTTCAAGGAAGACCCTCGCCCGAAGCCGAAGGAGATGTTCCCGACCTTCCCTTCTAAGGCTGGAATGGAGAAGCGGAGGCGCCATCATACACCCGAGGCTCCTAAGCATGGCCAGGCAGCACCTGAATTGGATTTTGCTGGGGTGTTTGGAGGAGCTCCGGGAGGCGATACAGGGGAGGCGGGTGCTGGGTTTACACTCCGTTTAGGTTAAATAGAGACCACACAAGTATTCAAACCATCAATGATGTATATGGTTTCCAGAACGGCGAATTCCGGAGCCAACATTTGAGCGGACAAAACACCGTTTCCCAGGTTTTACACTACAGAATTAGGCTATACAGAGCCCGTAAAGAATACAAACCAGTAGCTGCTCATCAATGGGCAGATGGCTAGCTTTCAAAATGCCACATTCCCGTATACATAAATATTGAAAGCTGTTCCGGACGGGCAGTTGCATTGCTTCATACGGGACGATACAGATAATTGCTACATATATGTCGGGGGCAGTAGGTAATGTTTATTCCTAAAAAAAAAAAATCGTGGCAGCTGCGGTTTAGTAATTCAAATGTTTAGAATGGCACGTGGCGACAAGAACCCTAACGAACTTTGGATACAGTGTATAAGTTCAGTTCTTTGGAAAATTGAATGACCGACAGCTTTTTGGGACGGAACTATTATCTAAATGTAAGCCACCAGACTAATACAATACAGATGACCACATGGATACCGGCAGCCTGCTTATACTGCAAAAAAGACAACTTGACTAGTAGTAATATAACCTCAGATGAGCCTCTCCCGCATCCGGCTTTCACATAAACTTAAGATTGACCAGAATAGTAACCACAAGGGTTGGATGGAGTTAATTGAACGTTCAAGATACTAGTACCTAGGTCACTAGTATACCTATCTACTAGGTACTCACTAGGTATGTGACCTAGTAGGTACCCGTATCGGTAGAGGGTCGAAGAATTGGTACCTCATATCTTAACCATTTAGACCCTAGCTTGAGTTGAAAGAAACCAGTTGGAAGTATTCAAGTGCCCTGTGATGCCGGGAAAAAGACACTAGAAAAGAAAAAGTGGGGTAGTTACACGTACTAACCTAAGAATGAAGAATATAGGACTTTGGAAACCCCTCGAGAATTTCTGAATAGGTAGTCACAACACGCCTGTTGGATGAAGGTAGAGATATATGTTATCTGTTATGGCCACGATATTGACCAACGAGCTCTGAGCTCAGATTGAATAATTATTACTAGCAAAGTGTAGCATATAATTGAAATCACGTGGTGTAAAATAACCCTGACTCCTTGAGTGAGATATCGTTCACTGGCAACCCGTGAGATACATATTCTAAACATTGAAGTGGCATTCAACCCGGGTAACCACTTCTCGGAGCCGCGTTACATCCCCCCAGGGCAGGTCCATGAGTACACATGAAAAACAGAGCTACAGGACGTGATGCCGCTTCATATTAAGTATTAAATGCAGCATCAATGACAAATGTTGTATTTAATCATTCATCAAATGTTACATCGAGACTACCCAAAAGTAAAAGGAACCTACGATGAAATGTGAACAGCAAATGAGGACAGCCTTCCACGGCTTGATCATTAGAAGAACCCTAATAAATACTTTTTTTAAAAATAATGCGAACAACAAATCATTCTCGCCCGAATCATCCTGACCACTGCGAGAAAGCTGGGACCGGTGGTGAGCTTACTGCTCCTTGTCGGACTGGGCCTCCTCATCTTCGCCCTTTTCGGGCTCGGCGTTGTCGGGTTGAGCTTGGGCAGAGCTCACAGCAGTGTGCTGTCGTACCCATTCCTCCCAAGCAATCTCCTCTTGCGCCCAGGCCGGCTTGTTACCATCAAATGGATGGAAGCTGCAGTCTCTATCGGTGCAGTATGCACCCCTAGTGACGTTAGCTTCTTTATCATTAAAAGAGTGAGCGAGAAAGTGGGCTGACGAACTGGGTTGCAGGAGCACGAGTTTCACAAGGGTGGGCTCCAGGGGCAGCAGGCGCCGGTTCACGGTTCGCATGGCTAGGGCAGATGAGGCCGTAGCGTCTTTTCTTGCGTTCATCTCCCTATCACCAACATTGGTTAATAATTTAAACAGTGCTGGTGATTGATTGATATATTACTTACTACACCATTATCAGACGGAAGATCGGAGTCACCCTTCTCATTGGGGCCAGAATTTGGCAGCTTGGAGGGACCCCCATTGTCTTTATCACCGGGGGGAAGTGAAGCCATTGCGTCGGACTTTGAAAGCGTATGAACCGGTGTGGTAGTGGCTTGGATGCGTAAAGAGAGGGGGGAAAGTGCGTGAGTGATAATGGGAGAGGCGGGAGAGTTGTGAAAAGGAAAAGGTTCGTGGGGGGTCTTGAGAAATGAGAACAATGTTTTATGGGTGTCTTGTTTGATGCGATTAGTCGTCGATGAATCCTATTCGCCGATCTTACACGTAGACACGTAGAGTAGAGAACGTTGCGATCTTGATCCTATTCGCCGATCTTGCATGTCTAGAGAGAGGCAGGCAACTCATGATGGCTCTCACTACCACTTGCCCATTGCTCCATCATTGCCTCATGCCAGCCAGGAAAGAAGATTGGAACTTCAAGAGAGCCTGTCTCGAGGCTTGAGGTAGACAGAGAGTCATCTGCAAAACTAGCTGAGCTGTTCTGCTGCAATAACCTCTCCTGTGTTGCCGCTAACGCTTCGGATTGTATAGAACTCGAACCTTGTCCCTCGGAGGCGTTGGAACTTTGACTCGAAACACCAGAGACTCGTCGTATAACTGATTTGTTCTTATTCACCAACGGTTGCTTGCTCAATGTCAAGTTACCCGAAAGTTTGATTGGCTTCACCTCCTTGTTTGATTGGGCCGTTAAAATGCCACCATTGAGAATGATACTTTGGCTGTGCTGGGAGTTCGTTCGACCCTGCGCATGTTCAGCTTGAGAATCATATGCATCATGCAGTCTCTGTTCATTGCCACCAGTGGAACATATCGAGGAAGAACTTATGGTTTCCCAGTCTGTCGAGGATGTCGCCGAATGAGCTTCAAGAGTTACATTCGTCTCTTGCTCCATGTCAATCTCTTGATCACCATTCCTCTCGGCTTTCGTTTCATGGGAGCTCTGAGGATGAGCGATATGATCACAACTTCTATTGAAAGTCGGTGAAGCATGAAACGCCATGCCCGCCTGGTCTGAAAACACCGCATCTGGGTCATGAGATCCCAAAGTCAAAAAATCCTGAACCTCGGGAGCGGATGCAATGTTTGCCAGCGGATGGAATGCCGCCGCTCTCATCAATATATCGATACTAGGCTCATCATCTGTGGGAGGCCAGGGGACATTGGTTCGATAAAGGGCAACACCAAAGCCCAGATCCTCTTGTGTACTAGCACTCGATAGCTCTCTGTGATGAGCCGGTGCATTCTCGATATTCATGTTCTGACGGGGGCGTCGCAAAAAGCCGGAACGAAGAGCCAGCAAACCAGATCGAGCTTTGTGGAGAGACCGACGGGGGAGATCTTGGACCCAGTGGGATTGCTGCTTCTGTGAGTCTGAAGATGAAGTATGGCTCTCCTGACGACGAAAGGGTGTTGTACTTGGTGGGTTATGTCTTGGATCGTGTGGATTGAACATAGGATAATGATCTCTTTCTGCACATGTTGGTGAATGGCCGGGCGGATCTATGACACTGTACTTGTCTGTTAGTACTTGTCTGTATGGCGATGGCCAGTCGTGGGTTGAGCCTTACTTGAGTCTTTTGAACGATGACATTGAGATGATCGGCCGCGAGATCTTCGACATATGCCTATTTGGCTCCTCTGGCGACGATGGGGTCTTTTTGTTTGCATGCATTTCAATGTTTTGGGAATCAACCAATGATCAAATTTGATGCCGATCGGACTGGCGCGTACAGAAAACCATGGAGATCGTGCAGATGGGCAGTAGGGGTGAAACGGTAGAGAAACAAGTAGAGAGAGTACAGTTGAAAACAACGCGAAGGCAGGACGACGATATCGACCGATATACCCGAACAGGAAGGCACGCCTCTTGTGAGTATCTTACTACTTCCAATATTATATTGTTAAGTAATATTTGCCATTGCTACCACTATTAGCATATAAAAATTGAGTCAAAGTTATATTTTGATTTTTCTGATTCATCATTAATTGGGACATAAAAGAAGCCCTCTAAATAACAAAATAGTCGAGTTCTGTGAATTGAGGGTTCAATATGCAAATGTTTCTTGTAAGCTGATGTATTGTTTTGGGTGGAGACTTGCCGATCCCGATTCCTGGAGGCAAAGCCGCAAGCTCTTCTCTGATCATATCCACCTAGACCTCCAATTTTACCTGCACCCAAACACCAAAATCCCTTCAACCTCTCTGTTTACATTCAATCCCTCATTCACGGCACAAACTCCTGCATCATATTATCACCATGGTGAATAAGCAGAATAAGCAGAACAAAACCCCTGTCCCACCTGTCTCATTCGACGAGATCATTCAGTCCGGTAATCATTTCGCAAGTCCCCTTTCCATGGCCTTGACCTACGAGCAATTCTGATCAGGAGCGCTCTATCTAGATCGCCAGAAGAAGCAGAGAGAAGAACTTGCAAACTCCATTCTTGGAAAGAACCGATCTGCCCGTCGTGCCAGTGCGCCCGGCGCAGGGGGGATCCAGAAGTCGCAAAATGCCAAACCGGGCAGCCTGGCCAGTCGCATCGGTGTGCCTAAAGTAAGATCGAATGACCTTCGTCCTTGACTTTCCCGCCCCCCTTTATTTTTTTCTACACTTCAGAGACCTTTCCTCTAATCGAATCCCGTGAATGTTCAGCGCTCCGCCTCAACTGCCAACCTCCGTGGCAACAAGCCAAACTCCAAGCCAAACTTCAAGCCAAACCCCAAGCCAAACCCCAAGCCAGCCCCAGCAACCGCTCCTACTGCACCAGCAAAGAAACCCGCCAGGAACAATCGCCAACCCAATAAAGATCGATTACAAAATGCCATCGAGTCCGGTTCCAGCCAAGCGACCATTCACTCTCCCAGAAGTGGCCTGTCTATCAAGGGCGCATCCGGTCCCTTCATCGTGATCGGCAGCAACTTTGCGCCAGGAACTACCGCGGCCGATATTCAATCTGCCTTGGAACCCACATCGGGTCCTATGCTCAGCTGCCGTGTCATCTCGCATAACCCAACCGTGACCGCGGAATTTGCGTTTGAGAACAAATGGAACGCAGAGAATGTTGTTGCCAATTATCACCACCAACGGGTATGGAATGGACACCGAGAACAAAGTAAACTTGGAGTCTCAATGCTAATTCTATAATTACAGGCCGATGGACGCCTACTCTCTATGGTCTTGAAGCCTACTGGATCGGCTGCAAGCGCCAACCAGAACGAGTACAGCGATTTGCGGGTACAGGCTGATCGTGAACGGAAAAATCGACGGGCAGAACCCAGTGTGCAGGATGGCCGTTACGGTTTTGATGATAATACCCAAATTTTGCACAATACCGAGTCCTCCGGGCTGTATAGCGACAATATGATGGTGGACGCGCCACAAGGCCCTCAACCGCGAAGGAATAACAATCAGAACCGCCAACGTCGCTGAGTGTAACGATGGCTGTGTTGCCTTATTGAGAAACGAGGCGCTGTATTGATAATAGAACTGTTTTTGTGCCTGATTCTTAGCCTCTCCGGTGTATCCAATATCATGACCTGTATGAATATTTAGAAAGTATTTTAACCCAGGACTCGAAAAAGAACTCACAAACACAAAGATACCATTTTTTTGCAGCTGGGCTGACACTAGAGCCTGGTACCCTCAAGTGCTGTTTGCATCTTACTTGACAGTGCTAGGTCACAGAGTATCGGATGCCAACTTCCAACTTGCTCCCCAAGTGCTCCCATATCGAACCACAAGCCAAAAAAAAAAGAAAAGAAATTCATGAAATGTTGAGCACTTATGTTGTGAAGATACAAAGAGCCATTGACTATCTTACGGGACTGGTTCGAGGATGCAGCACGTATAAAGAGGAGGGTTCTGGCTGATGGCGGAAGTAATCGGTCGTTTTACGAAGATATTATCGAAGCCACCAGCCAGAAAGATGATCTTCCAACTTCCCGGTCGAAGAAGGCCTCAATGGAACAAATTCGAAATCCATTTATCCAGATGTCTTCCATGATGATGCACATGTGGGTTCCAGCCCTATCTTGAGGGCGTATCTCAACATTGAACCGGGCCTATCTTCTCTTACCAGATTGATGTAATATCCGGTGAAGTCTTGGAACCTTACAAAGATCAAGGGCCTGGAAGTTTGAAAGGCATGTTATACGAGACTAAGAACCAGGTACTGAAGCTTTTTTCTGTTCCTCGAGATGTTTATATAAGACAGGGTCTACAGCTCTTAGAATTCTCGAAGAGCTGCGATTTTTTGAAGGAAAAGGTGCTTCTTGGGACACCACCTGTGTCTCAGGTATAGCTTTTGGCTTCAGATGTGCAAAATCAATGGATCGTTTGAAGCAATTTAGCACCCATATGCTCATGGAGGAATTTGAAGTACCAGGAAGTGCACCATAGTCCCCAAATTTTCCGGATCCATTACAGCTGCCATAGTGTAGGATTAGACCAAAAAGCTTGGGGCGCTCCGCATACGCACGTCGCAATAAATCCATAGCCTCGGAATGTTACCTCATCCAGATGTCCATGTCCAGAATAATGATGAGGCGGGCTTTGTACTTGATTCGAATTATTATTGTATACTCGGGCCTTCAATTCTGGAGGAATAGTATAGGTACCATAAACAGTACTTGTGCAATTTACATGGTGGATACTTGAGAAGAATAGTACCCAAGTAGTAAAGGGGGGGTATATTGAATGTGAGGCTCTGCCAAGTCATTAATGATTGGGCAAGACGCTAGTTAAGTTGCGGGTGGCCCCGGGTGTGGGTCATATGTCAACTGGAACTACGGGATCTACATGGGAATATCAACAACATTGCAGGATAGAATTGATATACTTATTAAGCTGCAACTCATAATGAAGTCGTGCTAAAGGGTGTGTCAAATGGTATTAGGCTGATCCTAAGCAAAATCTCTGATCTTGATCCTGTCGCGTGATAGGTCGATCCTGAGCAAGAGTGTGATCTTGATCCTATCGCACGATTGGTCGATCCTAAGGGAGGGAGGTTGATCTTGATCCTGTCGTCTCATTGGTCGATCCAAAACGAAGTGAGTGATCCTGGGACGCGTTCAGAGCGCTCCCTTGGCGCATAAATACCTCGCTAATCCCTCCTCTTCTCTCTCCTCCCTTCTTCTTTCTTTCCCATCTTTCTTTCAACTTTCAATTTTCATCACTAATCTTTGAACTTCCATCTCTTCCTTCTTCCTTCTTCCATCTTGCATCTTCCATCTCTTCCTTCTTCCATCTTACATGCTTTCCTTCTATCTTCTTTCATTCATCCACTTCATGTCTTCCAACATGTATGTTTTTTATCTTCTTACCTCTTGCCTCTCCCTCTCCCCCTTCCCCTTGTCTCTCTTCTCTTTCTTTTCTTGTTACCTCTGATCATCCTTTATAGCTTTCTGAAGTGGCTTTTATTCTTTCATCAACAAATATCCAACCTGCATTGACACGTTTAAGGTGGGTTCACAACAACAATCCCCTTTGCCATGTTGACTCTCTTCTTCTCTTTCCACTTCCATTCCCTTGATTTCCTTGTTTTCAATTCTGCTCATGCTTTATAGGCTTTTCAAGTCACTGTCTTTCTTTGATCAACAAACCTTCAACTTGTATTGACACGTTCAAGGTACGTTCACATCAATTGTTACCTTCCTTTGTTGATTCCCTTCCCCCTCCCTTCACTCCCGTTCGCTTTCAATCTTGCTGCTCTGCTCATCCTTCATAGGCTTTGAATCCTCATTCTCATACACGCCTTTGTCATCTTGAAGAAGAAGAAGAAGAAGAAGAAGAAGAAGAAGAAGAAGAAGAACCCTCGGATCACTTTCGTTCTTACAGCAACAAAAACAAAATTGATCTTGACAAATTCCAAGGTACGTTCAAAAATGATTTCATTTACCTTTTTAACCTTTCAGATAGTCAATTCTCTTGCCACTCCACCAGATGGCCCACTATTTGCTTCCTCGCCAATCGAGTCTGCTGAAAAGCCACTCTTACCTCTTTGAACCCGCTTCAGGTTCCAATCAACTCCACATTTGAAAATATTGTCTGAACACATCATTCGCCCTCTACTTTCCTCTTGCCACTCCGCCAGATGGACCATTATCTGCTTCCTCGCCAATCGAGTCTGCTGAAAAAGCCACTCTTACCTTCTTGAACCTCCTTCAGGTTCCAATCAACTCCACATTTGAAAACATTGTCTGAACACATCACTCGCCCTCCACTTTCCCAGATTCAACTTATGACTGGGCTCAATTTCTCGCTGTACAGTTGTCACGTATCTACGTGTCTGGACAAACTCAGAATCTGCGACAGCTCGCTTTTTATTACCTTGTTGAAACTCAACGCCCGACAATCGATACTCGCCTTCCTCCAGTTTGGTTTGAGTTCTGTCTGCACATGCGTGGCATGTCACAGCAATATGCTCTCTTTTGATTCTTAATATCCCCCGGTTGGTGGTTGGTGGCTTGTCTTTTGTTTTTGTTTCTGCTGTTTCTGCTGTTTCTGCTGTTTCTGCTACTGTTGTTCTTGACCTGTGTTCTTTTGTTGTTTGTTGTTTGGTGAGTTGTGCTGTTTCTTGGGTAGGTGGCCGGTGGACGGGGTGGGTAGGTGGCTGGTGGACGGTTTGTAATTTGGACCCGCTCGGTCTCCTTTTCTTGATCACGCGACTCGATCTCTTCTGGACTTCCCTCCCCAGTTCTCTGGAGATAGGGGGTTTTCTGGATCTGCTCGTCAAGGCTGCAATCCCTCCCCGACCTGATGTTCCGGACTTCCCTCCCCATTCCTATGGAGATAGGGGGAAGGATGATGGTTCTGCCTGTCTCGGTTGGAAAGCACTCCCCACTAGAACACATGCTGATCCCTTGACCCGATGTTCCATGTGGCGCCCAGAATGGGAGTAGCGATAGACGGTCCTGCTTGTCTCGTGGCTCTCAGCTTGTGCACCTTTTGGGGGGAGCCTAGTGTTCGGATTATGATGCGCTTGTGGCACCAACCTTCTATGTACTTCCGCGAGAGACAGAGGACTGTTTTGACGGTCTTGCTTGTCTAGCGGCTTGACACTTTTCCATGGTCCTGCCTGTTCTGTGGTCTGAAACTTGTTGATGATCCTGCTTGTCCTGTGGTTTGGAACTTGTTGACGGTCCTACTTGTCTTGAGGTTTGAAACTTGTTGACGGTCCTGCTTGCCTTGTGGCTTGAAGTTTGTGTCTCTGGCTCTGGGGGAGCTTGGTGTTCAAATTGTGATTTGATTGTGGCTTCAACTCTATCATGTACTTAGTTCCGGGGGATGGTCTTACACAGATCCAAAAAAGATGAGCAACCAATTCAATGGCATTGAATAACATCAGGTTCCAAAAGTAAGAAGAACAGAAAAATAAGTTTCGGTAGTGATACAGTTATGTCTAAACTCCAGTGTGCTGTCTGCACTCTTGCCTACTTTTCTTTTCGCATCACTTCCAAGGCCGTTACATTGTGTTCTTTAAGATTTATTCCAACTCTATCAGGCAGGGTGCTTTCTCAAACTGTGTGTGTACTCTCAAACAGTCAAACTTGGCCTGCGAAATCGCCATTCGCCAGTGTAAGTACTAGTATATCAAAATATTTATTGAGTTAGTCGAGATCGAGCTATCACATTTAAAAGTATAGCGTATTTATTACTACTAGTTACTACGATGTACTAGTACTGTATGATGCAACTTGTTACTTACCTTGACTCGGCCGCCTGATCTATAAACGTCGCTTATCGATAAGATAACATGATACATCATGTGACAGCTTCCGCGGAGTTGCCATGATCAGACTTGAGAGAAATAAAAATTCTAAGAAGCTTGTTTTGACGCTTTATCTCTTCAAGTTTCGATCTACTCCGCTGAACCGCTCCATTTTGTCCTTTCCCCCTGCACCCGAAGTTGTCTGGACCCGAAAGCTGCCCGAAATAGCACCACAAACATGAATTCTGCTCGGCGCGCTGCGTCGCATGCGCTCCGGAAATCTCGCAACCCCAGATCCTATACAAGCTTGCAACGATGGAACTCTACCTTTGAGACAAGGCAATGGTCGACGCCTCTCGCCCGCACATTGGCTCAGGCCATGAAGGTATGTTTATTCCGAGCCGAGCCTCGCAACTATGCCCGGTCCTAACAATTGTGATCCAAATCCAGGTTACAGGTCCCATTCCAATCGCGGCATTTATGCGCCAGGTTTTGACTTCCCCGGAAGGCGGGTACTACACATCGCGGCCTGAGACTGGTGCTGTTTTCGGAAAGCATGGTGACTTTGTCACGTCTCCTGAAATCTCGCAGGTCTTCGGCGAATTGATTGGCATTTGGACAATTGCAGAATGGATGTCGCAAGGCCGGAAAAGGAGCGGCGTTCAGCTGATGGAGGTTGGACCTGGAAAGGGAACGTTGATGGATGATATGCTGCGGGTGAGTTGGTGTGATTGCGATTTCCATGAACGGATTGGCTAACTATGAGGCAGACATTCCGGAACTTCAAGAGCTTTAGTTCGAGCGTCGAGGCCATTTACCTGGTTGAGGCGAGTGCCACTCTAAGAATGGTGCAGAAACAGCTTCTTTGTGGTGAAGCTGCCATGGAGGAGACAGACATTGGACACCGGAGCACTTGCAAATACTTCGATGTGCCCGTCATCTGGGTGGAGGATATCCGTCTCCTGCCACATGGTACGTGAAGTTTTTCTTATACAAAATGGTAACACGGCAAACCACAGTGCTAATGAGACATTCCACTACCTAGAGGAAGGTAAAACACCATTCATCTTTGCACACGAATTTTTTGACGCACTCCCAATTCATGCCTTTGAGTCGGTTCCACCATCTCCCGAGAACGAGCTCCCAGAACAAAAAGAGATCATGACTCCGACTGGTCCTCAGAAGCTTCACCAGCCTGTCAAGGTGAAGAATACCCCTCAATGGCGCGAGTTACTCGTCACTTTGAACCCAAAGGCCGTCGAAGAAAACATCGAAGGGGAGCCCGAGTTCCAGTTAAGCAAGGCAAAGGCCTCCACCCCGTCATCTCTCGTGATTCCCGAAATCTCTGAACGCTACCGCGCACTCAAGTCGCAACCTGGCTCAACCATTGAAGTCAGTCCTGAAAGCAGAATCTACGCTGCTGATTTCGCTCGCCGTATCGGTGGAGATGCGGCTTCCAGCCCGTCAGCCACGAGGCAGAATGGTGACCCTAGCGCGCCGCGGAAAAAGACCCCCTCCGGCGCAGCTCTGATCATGGACTACGGAAGCATGTCGACTATCCCTATCAACTCATTACGTGGAATTCAGCATCATAAGATCGTCCCCGCACTTTCGTTCCCTGGCCAGGTCGATGTGAGTGCTGACGTTGATTTTACTGCGTTGGCCGAAGCTGCGATTGAGGGAAGCGATGGCGTCGAGGTTCACGGTCCTATTGAGCAAGGCGACTTCTTGAATGCAATGGGCATTACAGAGCGCATGGAGCAGCTCATTCGCAAAGCTGGAGATGATGAGCATAAGAAAATTCTGGAGACTGGATGGAAGCGCCTAGTGGGCAAGGATATTGCCTCGATGGGTCAAATCTACAAGGTCATGACTATTGTGCCAGAGAATGATGGAAAGAGACGGCCAGTTGGATTTGGAGGAGGTCTTCAGATGTAGTAGATATATCTGGATTAAATGTGAAATATCAGTCTTTGTATAATAGTGAACGATTAGCTTGCCTTCTGGGCTGATTTTGTGATATCATTGGATAAAACATTTGGTCTCTGGCAATTGTCTCGGACAAACAGTTCCTGTCTTTGAGGCAAAAACATCATGTAAATTCATATTCTATGTACTGTCGAAGACATTTGGCCCCGGTGGTATCTCTAAATTCCAGTCATATGACTCATATCACATAAAACGCGAAGCCGAATAAGCCTGGCAACGCTCATAATTGTCTGAGGTCCCGATATCTCATCTCTGCAAACTAGCAAAGATCCAACGAGCACGATCCATGAAGGCTGGATCTAGTAGTTCGTCCAAATATCTGCCACATAGCCCTCGGTCAATGTTTCATCATTGCCATACTTTTCCTGCCATTCCACAAAACCGCCTTCGAGGACAAGAATCTCCTGCTTCTCGGTCTGGTCCTCCTCGGGGCCAAGGATGAGCTCACGCTCACGGGCATAGCGCAGAGCAGCAGAGGGGCCTCGCTGCTGGCTCAAGGCACAGTGGAAAACAACCTTCTTGGTAAATCTCTGGGTTCGCACGAGCTCAGGCATGCGGTGATCAAGAAGGCCGCTGGCGACCCAAATAGAGGAGCGGATGTGTCCGCCGATGTGATCTGGATGAGTCAGTATATTTCCCAATCAATCATTTTTCTTTCATTGTAATATTCTATGTAGCATTAAAATCATAGGGAGGACATACCAGAATCACGAACGTCAATAATTGCCAGTTGTGAGGCGTCGGCGCCGGATTTAACAAGCGCGGCTAGGGCATCGCGATCGATGCGCTGCAAATTCGCGACGGTAAGGTTAGACATGTTGTAATCGGACCGAAAAAAATCGTTGAAGATAGTCGCTTCTCTGAAAGTGTGCAACGAGCAGTGATATTCAAGTTTGAAAAATGCGTTGAAGGTTAGAAAATATTTGAGTAAGTGAGGGGAGTAATTCCCCCAAGCTTTTCATACCAGGATCCACGTGACCTTGAATTCGGCCGGATTTTCTTCGAGATTCATTCACGCCGGATGCTTATTGTCGCGACCTCGCTCTGCCTTTCAACCCTCCATTCTCCCCACCCACAAACACCGGCCAATTCCTGTCAATTGAACTTGACTCGTTCAATCCAGGTGGCTCAGCCAATTCCACAATGGAATTCCGCGCCCTAGCCCGCGGCCTCTGTGCCCGACCATCCACCCGGCTCTTCACGCCTCGCATCCAACACTCCAACATCCTCACCACACTCCGCTACAACTCCTCAAGTTCTGGTCCCCAAGAACCCACTATCCACCAACTCTCCAAGCAAGGATCCGCCAAAACCCCCACGGATCCCTCCCAATCCGCACAATCCACACCCGAGGACCTGTCAACCTTCAACGGCATCCTCGATGAGCTCGAGCTGCAGAACGCCAATCGGCCCGGATCAGACCGCGCCCCAGTCCGCAGCAAGGGCATCGCAGATGCTATCTCCGGTACCATGTTCCCGTCTGCTTCACGCGACGGCGTGGCTGGACAGCTTGCCAGCCGCAAAACGGAGCTGAAGCTCGGACCTACGCTCGGTCGACAGATTCACGTCGAGCCTGAGCGCGGCGTGGATCTCCCGGCTGCTATTCGGATGCTGGAGGTGACTTGCTCTACCAATCAGATTAAGCAGCAGTCTATTCAGCAGAAGTTCCATGTGCGGAAGGGTATGAAGCGCAAGGAGCTGCGACGATCCAGGTGGCGGAAGCTGTTCAAGTTTTCGTTTAATGAGACTGTTAAGAAGATTCAGCGGATGCAGGCTCAAGGATGGTAAGAGAAGCTACTATCTTGGACAAAATCTTCAGTCTGTATCTTGTATATACCGAGACTGGATTCTATTTTGGTTTGCTTTGGACTGAGCATTGGAGCTTGACTTGATCTAGCGTGATATCAGACTAAAATTCGGGGGCTTTGTTTTCTGCTCCCCAGCCCCATTTTGTTGTTTTAACATGTATAACTACTATCTATCGAATTATCTTTTCTTTTTTTTTTACTTGTTTTATTTTGCATTAGACATGGGAATGCATCTGAGATCGACATACTATAACATTTTTCTTGTTTGCAAATGTCAAATAAACACATGTCATCATATAACACTCCAATCTTCGGGCTCGAGCTTTTCATCAATCACACTATACACGAGTCTATAAATAACCATACATACTAATGTTCACAATCCGTCAGTATAAAGCCAAATCCACATATCAATCCCTCTTTCCAGTAGGGAATCCTCCATATCCTCCGTACCCAGAACCGTTTCCATTTCCATTTCCATTTGCACCGGCGCCAGTAGTAGACGCAGAGTAACCTCCGTATCCATTGTTGCGTCCACCATTTCCAAAGGTCACACTAGAGCCCGTACCGCGAGAAGGCGGCGCGCCCAAGATTCCATCTCCACGCCACCCAGCTTTCCCTCTAAAGCTCTGCCCATTGCGCTCCCAGTAAAGCGCAACCAAGGCCCCCACCGAAGCAGCCATAACAAAGAACAGCATGCGCGAGAAGAATGAAGCAGATCCAGATCCCGGAGAAGCAGCACCGCTACCAGCAGCACCATCAAGAGCAAAACCCAAGAATGATTCCGTCTTAGATCGCTCCGGCCACCCGATCCCAGCACCGCCCTCCAGCCACGCAACGTGGAAGGAGAAGGTTAGCGGCTCACCACGAATAACTTTCGCCCCGTGGCCAAGTGTCCAGGGCTCGCGCGCGCCCTGCGCAACGGCTACGGGTTCTTCGTCCTCGTCCAAGACGACGTTCTTGACCGCAACCTCGAATTCGGGTGTAGAGTATGCCGTGCCTGCAATCACGTAGCCAGGTTGTCCGCTCTGGCTTCCTCGCTGATTCCCTTTGGCAGGGCTCAGCTGCGGTTGTGCGGCCGGGTCCGAAGCGATGTCGTGCATGAGCATGTTCATATCGGACCAGATGTGGAGATGACTGAGCTGGAGGGTACCCTGTAAGGCGATCGTGATGGGAGTGAACGGGGGTCCGTTATCGCTCAGCGTGGTGAAGGGGTCTGTCTTCTCACCACCCGACTCGGAATCCGAGTCTGTTCCATCGACTGTGGTTGGGGGCGCGGAGAGCGGGGATGTAGGTACGCGACAGGTCATGGGCACGTCGGAGTGCACGTAGAACTCTAGGAGGTGGTAGAGCGTGTCGGAGAGTTCGGGGATGGTGCAGGCGATTGTTTCGGAGATGCCATATCGGAGAGATAGTGGGCGGGCTGTTTCATTGCAGGTGAAGAAGGGGATATATTGGAGTCTTCCTAAACTGTCGGTGATCTAGATGGTTTTGAATTGCCATGGTTAGTTGGTGTTTTTTGTTTGTTCAGGAGCGTCAGGTCAGGCGCATACATGTTCTCCTTCTCTGTGTTGACACGTCGGATTAGCATGAGGCCGGGGAAGATTGGTGGGAAAGATAGGGAGACACATACACTGTCCGATTGAGGCAGGATACTGGAATCTCGTCGCCAATTCTGTAGCCATCCCCACCATTGATGTTGGTTCCCGCGACTGCGCCAGTAGGCCACAGTGCTGTCGCAAGGGAGAGTGCCACGGTAGTTGGGAAACGTGTGAGCGGGCGCATAGTAGAAATTTCGGTGATTTTCATGATTGCGACAAGAATCGTCACCCCCACACGAGTTTGTGTGGAATGGGGAGTGGGCGCGGAGGAGACACGGAGACGTTCAGCCACAAAATTGCGGAGCCAAGCTGTCCATATCAACGCTATCGACGGAGCCAAAGATCGGAGTTGATCCACCCCTGAACTACCAACAAGCTGATGTCTTTTTTTAAAAAAAAAAAAAAAAAAAAACCTCCTTGGAATTCATGATGTTAACTGTGGCAATGATTCATTGGAAACAATATTTGAAAGGAAAACTAGTAGCTAGTATGTATCCTCAATTGAAATCTCCCCCTTTACTACATGGCCCATGGGTGCCTGTGGTCAGCTTTTTTTTGTTGAATAATTTTTTATAGAAGCAATTAGTCACTGAGCAGTGAGTAGAGTACGGTCAGTACCTATCTCAAGTACATATGCACTGAGTAGGGACTCATTTTGAGTACATACTACTGAGTATATGCCCATTCCAAGTGTTAAGCACGTGGGATGCACATGTGTAGTAGTATGTACATAATGTACACTTCAAGATTGGACTCCATGTGTATACATCCAGGGCTACTAGGGCCTAGAGATACATGTACTTATTATACCTCAAGTGGTGGAACTTTGACCGAGCGGCGCTCTTTACTTGTCAACTGGTACATCAATACTACTATACCTAGTAGCACATAGCAGCGGTAAGTATATATCTTGGCGGAGGGTTCGAGTTGGGAACATGGAAAAATACATGTGCACTGTGCATGTGTACATCAAGTTGACATCCACTGGATGGATCTTGGAACATGCCAAACACTACCCCAACATTGAATATTTGCTCATCGAGGTCTCTATATATCTTATTCAATGTTCTGTACGTAACCAGCCAAAGAATCCAACATCGGAGTGCGAAAATATGAGATTACACCTGGGCATACTACATGTACTGATAGTCGCGTGCGCTGGACGGAGGTTGTTCCTGTCATCTCCAGATGTCTATGTGCCAGGTGCCCAGATGCTCCTTCCTCAAATATGTCAAGTTCACGTGCACCTTCAAATGTTGGGCAACCTTGTTCGAGTGCCAAGTACTATCCAGCAGTAGAATGTCAAAATTGGACCCAAAACATTCAAATGCTCCATTGGAAGAGTCCAATTGATCTTAAATTGGAAGGAGCTCGAGCTCCAAGCACGTACATCACGTACACCACGCCCATCACTTGCCAGGAACGATTTGCTATCTTAGGTAACAAGGTTACCATAAAGTTTGATTATACAGTACATAGTATACACCTAGTAGTACTTGCCTTTTTATTTTTGGAACATTGTTCTTCATCCTCTTCATCCCACCACATCCGTACCTTAGTACACCCCTCTCACAGACAATATTCACAACACTTGGAATACCTACCTCTTTCTTCTATTCCCCCCCGAATCTCGACCGTCAGCGGGCACCTGTTAACTCTACTCGGAGTCGAGCCACTCCATACACTTACAAGGCTGTCTTGCAGCCCCAAAGAAGCACAAAATGGCTGACCTACATGCGATTAATGAAATGGTTCTATCTGTCGCCTCGTTACTGATGTCAATATCAATAACCTGGCTGCAAACAAAGGTATGCCATCCTAACTAACACCCGTCGATCCCATGCGCACCACAATGAAATAAAACTAATGCTCTTCAAGGCCTACTATTTAGAGGAGAGGGTCCGAAGATTGGAGCAAAGACTCGACAGATTGGAAGGAAAGGGTGGAAAGAAAGATTGAAGTTGTTCCACCTAGTTCTACCATTCTTCAAGAATGTCACTGAAACCCCCGAGGTCGGGGTTATGTACGTGTTGGCTACTCTATATCAATACACACGCGGGAGGAATTATAATGTCATGGCCCCCGCCGCGTTTCAAGCCCGATTGCTTTGAATGAATCATTTGAACTGAGAAACTTTATTCAAGACTAAGTAGTGGTACCTACTACATTGGTTGATGCCAAAGTCGCAACATTTGAAACATTGAAGGTTTGAACGGAATTAAAAATGGCTTCACCGAGAAAATCTTCTCAGGAAACTGAGTACTCATAAGCTTAATATATTTCCACAACTGTCGTTAATCGGAACATCATATCTAGGCCAGCTTGGCCTTCTCCTTGAACGCAGCGAGCAGTCCGCTGGTAGAGGCATCGTGGTCACCGCTGGCTCCAGCAGTCTCCAGCTCGGACTGGATGTTCTTGGCCAGGGCCTTGCCCAGCTCGACACCCCACTGGTCAAAGGAGTTAATGTTCCACACAGCACCCTCAACAAATGTGACGTGCTCGTAGTAGGTGATCAAAGCACCCAAGGTGGAGGGGGTGATCTTCTGGGCCAGGATGGAGGTGGTGGGTCGGTTACCCAGGAAGGTCTTGTGGGAGACCAAGTGCTCGGGAGCACCCTCGGCACGGACCTCATCGGGGGTCTTGCCAACCATCAGGGCCTCGGACTGGGCGAGGAAGTTGGCAGCAAGCATGCGCTGGTGCTTGCCGTTCTCAACTGGGTTGTGGGACTCGGCCGCCATCAAGAAATCGGCGGGGATGAGCTTGGTACCCTGGTGCAACAGTTGGAAGAAGCTGTGTTGGGCGTTGGTGGCTGGCTCACCGAACAGGATTGGGCCAGTGGTGTACTTGACATACTCGCCGCTGCGGGTAATGGCCTTGCCGTTGCTCTCCATGGAAAGCTGCTGGAGGTAGGCGGGGAAGCGGTGCAAGTACTGATCGAAGGGAGCAACCAGGTGGGTCTGGGCACCGAAGAAATCACTGTACCACACGCTCAGAAGACCACCAATGGCGGGGATGTTCTGCTCCAAGGGGGTCTCGCGGAAGTGCTTGTCCATGGCGTGAGCACCAGCCAAGAACTGGTGGAAGTTGTCATAGCCGATGTACAGAGCCACGGAAAGACCGATGGCACTCCAGACGGAGTAACGGCCACCGACCCATGACTCAAAGCCGAACATGTTCTTGCTATCAATGCCGAACTTGGTGACCTCGGCCTCGTTGGTCGAGAGGGCGACAAAGTGCTTAGCAATGTGGGACTCATCCTTGGCTGATTCGAGGAACCAGAGCTTGGCAGATTTGGCATTTTGGCAGGTCTCAGCGGTGGTGAATGTCTTGGAGGCGATCAGGAAGAGGGTGGTTTCGGGGTCGGAGTTCTTGAGGGCCTCGGCGATGTGAGTACCATCAATGTTAGAGACGAAGTGCAGCTTGATGTCGGGGTGGCCGTAAGGCTTCAGAGCCTCGGTAACCATAACGGGGCCACTAGTAAAGAAAGAGAAACATCAATGAGCCATGCTTCACTTTAATGAATCTTGGGAGTGGGGAAGCAACACAAACTTACAGGTCTGAGCCACCGATACCAATGTTGACGATGGTGTTGATCTTCTTGCCAGTGTAACCCTTCCACTCGCCGCTGCGCACCTGCTCCGAGAACTCCTTCATGTGCTCAAGCACGCCGTTGACCTCCTCGACAACGCTCTTACCATCAACCTGCATGGGCTGACTGGAGGTGTTGCGCAGGGCAGCATGGTAGACAGCACGGTCCTCGGTGAAGTTGATGTGCTCACCAGCAAACATATCATCACGGAGCTTCTCAACGCCAGCCTCCTGGGCAAGCTTCACCAACAAGGAAAGGGTCTCCTCGGTGAGGAAGTTCTTGGAGAAATCAAACAGAATGCCGGAGTTGTCCACGGTGTTGGTAAAAGTACGGCTGAACTTCTGGAAGCGCTGAGGGTCCTTCTCGAAGTACTCCTTCAAGACAATGTTGCGACCCAAAGTGCTGTGGTGCTCCAGGAGCTCCTTCCAGGCGTTGAGGTCCGAGGCTTGCGAAAACTCAGACATGGTGAACGATGACGCTGTTTGGATTCTCGGGTTAGTGCGGGGCAATCGGGAATAGATAGGAAGAGCTTCAGATGTTCAGAGATTCCGGAAGAATAGCGCCAAGGACTTACAAAGATAGGACAAGGGTGGAAAGGAAGGGTATGTACGAATAAACAATCAAGTTGAAGCGCGATGGGAGATATAATAGAAAAGAGTTGAGTCCGGCACGCTGGGGTCCGGTGGAGCGTGGGGCAATCATCATCATTGCCGCATTCGGTCTGGAGGCGGGTTTTGTTTTCTAATCAAGCTGTGAAATATCCGACGTCAATTGCCGTATTTCCAAGGTTTATGGGGGTTTTGATCTGAGTACCTTGTTCCAGATTTTGGACTCTTGTGTTTGTTTTTTTTCTTGTTTTTTCCCTTTTTTTTCCCTTCTCAATTCAATATTGCCATGTACTAGCTAGTATGTAGCTACCATCCAGCGTATACAAGCATGTACATACCTCTTGGTACATCCCGAAGTACATGGATCTACAAATAGAACATGCAACCACTACAAGCTCTGCATACTAGCATGAATTGAGATTAATTCCTGGCCAGCTGACCTGACAGATTCTTCATTACTACTAGTACTACTAGTATCATCTCCGGGAAGATTGACTCTTGGCTGGGAAAATCACCGAATTTAACCGGCCGGTGAGCATTTCTCCGGCTTAACTGTTGTATACATACACCGAACGTATACAATTTCAAACTTATACCATTTACCATAGATGTGATTATTCACTAGTAGACCACTGAGGTCATCTTCCAAAGTTATAACTGCAAATTGATGAAAAGATAGAAAAATGAAAAGAAAAACCCCTCCAATTTCTGCTGATACTACTGGCAAATCGCCAAGATCATCGCGCACGGACCACATATAAACCGCAACTTTCCTTCCGACTTGAAGCTTGACTTGTGCTGTAACGTCGTTCCCCCGTCGTTTCGTCGAGCAAGCTCATTCGTCAATTGAGGCTCTATCAAAAAACCAATAAGCGCTAAATTGCGCACTTCCACAATGTATAACCCTTATCAACGTGAGTGCTTTTAGCCAGTCGCGAAAAACCTAATGAAATCCCCACCGCAAATACTAACATTGATGGATACTAGCTCCTCCAGGTGCCTATGGGCGTCCCCAAGAATATGGCGCGTACCCCGGTGCGCCAGGTGCACCCCCAGGCATGGGTAAGTTTTTGACGATTCCCTGTCTAAAGTCCCACATCATCGCTAACCAACCGTCCAGCTCCTCCTCCCGGGATGGCAGCACCCGGTACAGCCCCCCCTGCGAATATGCTACAGGCCAACAGCCAGCAGCCCGGCCGACCTGGAGGATTCCCTGCCAACTTCCAACCGCCCCCGAACATGCCTAATATCAACTTCTCCGCCCCGGTGATTCGCTTGGGCACCTCCGGGCCGGCCAAGCCTGCCGGTCCAGAGATGGGCCGCGAGCGTGGAGCGGAGGGCCCTGGACGACGTGCAGGTCTCGGTTCCTCCAGCGAAAACCAGCGCCACCATGGCCGTGATTCCACAATGCAGCCTCAGCCGCCTACTCGGGATGAGATCGTGCGAACACTCTTTGTCGGTGGCATTACGGAGGGAGCAGGTGGTGATGATGGCATTGAGCGCATTTTGCAGTCGGCGGGCCGTCTGCGACGATGGATCCGTGCGTTGGATGCTGACGAGAAGCCCTGCCGATTTGGCTTTGCCGAATTCGATGATCCAGAGAGTCTGGAGACGGCGGTCGAGGTGCTACAAGAGATCGAAGTCCCTGTTAAGCGACAGGTGCCTCGCGCCGAGGGCGAAGAGGAGAAGGAAGTGGAGAAGAGTACTTTGCTTGTAAGTGCCCCATCTCATCTTGTATTATATTGTGCACATTACTAACCAGCTATATAGGTCGTGGTGGACGAGAGCACGACTAAATACCTGGATCAGTTCAAGGAAAGCCGAGGTGATCGGGACCCTGAAGAGATTAACGCGCGTTTTGAGGCTGCCCGCGGTGAACTAAAGAACGTCCTCACCGGCCTTTTCCATCCGACTGACTCCACCACAAAGGAAGGTGCCTCTGCAGTGGACCGGGAAGGCGACCTTGAGATGCAAGACGGTGACACACCTAAGGATGGAGAAGTAGTCACCATTCCTATCACGGTTGAGGACGAGTTGGCCGATATTCCGCCTGAGATGCGTGCAAATGTGGCCAAGGAAATCGCTGCATTCCGTGAGCGAAGTAACCGCCGTGATATTGAACGGCTCAAGCGGGAAGAAGAGATTGAGTCTATGGAGCGCGCTCGTAATGCTGGATCACGCTTCAGCCGTCTTGCTTCTCCTCCTGCCTCGGCTCCTAGCGGCCCCGCTGGTGGCGCGAACGGTATCCCTCTAGGTCCCCGGGACCGTGGTGTACCCAATGCACCAGCTGGCCCCAAGGGATTCGGTGTCCAGATCCCGAAGGATTACCAGAAGGGTGTCTCTTTTGTCAATGGTGGTACAAATGGATACCAAGCCTACGGAAGTCGGGAGGATGAAGACTCGGATGCAAGCGACGAGGAGCTTGAACGCCGCCGTCAATCTAAGCGTGATGCAGAACAAGAGAAGCAGTTCCTAGACCAGGAGCGCCGCTGGCTCAACCGAGAGCGAAGCCGAACGGCTGCTCTGGAGCGTGAAAAGAAGCGTGACAAGGAGGATGATGGCAAGTTGCAGGCCGCCCACGATGAGATGGATGAGCGAATGAAGGCATGGAATGATGATACCGAGGCCAGCCGCAAGACCGCCGAGTACTACGCGGACCGTGGTGCCTGGCTCCGAAGCCGTGCCGCGTTTCGTTCCCGCGAGGCCAACTTGGACGACGCGGACCGTGCAGCTGAGGAACGTGAGCGAGCCCAGTCCGCCAAGAAACAGGAGCAGGCTCGTGGTGCTGCGGATGATTTCCTTGCCCGCCAGGCTCAGGAACTGGAGACGCGGACCCAGGAACCGCCACGGGAGCCCCAACGCTTCAAGTTGTCTCTCGGAGCCGCGGCTCAAAAGGCCCAGGCCGCAACAACCCGTCGCACTGCTGCCGAAGTCGAAGGCTTGCTGGAAGACGAAGAGGAGCCTGCCACTACCGCTCGTCGCCCACTTATCCCGATCAAATTCGATACCGCTGCCGAGGCTGCTGGTCTTTCAGACGAAGAACGGGCACAGGCGGCACGCCAGCTCGCCGCAGAGATCCCTACCGACAAGGAAGGACTGTGGAAGTGGACTGTCAAGTGGGAGTTTGTGGACGAGGCTGTTCTCAGCGATCAGATCAAGCCATTTGTGGAGAAAAAGATTGTCGAATACTTGGGTGTGCAAGAACAAATGTTGGTGGATGTTGTAGAGGGCCATATCCGCCAAAAGGGTTCTCCCCAGGAACTTGTGGATCAGCTCGCCGAGGTAAGTCTTGTCTTATGTGACCTTTTCATCTCAATACGATATACTAACTTTCTTAATTTCTAGGCCCTGGATGAAGAGGCCGAGGTGCTGGTTCGCAAGCTCTGGCGGATGCTCATCTTCTTCTCCGAGAGCGAGAAGAGAGGATTATCGGCATGATTCCACCGTGCCTCAATCCATTGATATCAATTGATGCTTGTCCATACTATCTGTCTCTACTATGGATGACCAGCTGTAACCACACATCTTTTAAGCAACAGAGTACCGTATGTATGTACTACTAGTATGTTTGCACTATTGCAATATTCCCAAATAATTCAAATAGCTCCGTCGCCTGGGCACATCTTGCATTTCATATTCAAATCTTCGATTCTCAACAAATTGCAAGGTTGGAACCAAGTGGCAATGGATAGCATATTAAAACATGAAAGAACACTAGGCTTCAAATTGAAAAGGCTGTAAACCAGCACCAATCCAAATGCGAATCTCCTCCAAGGAAGTCAAGTCGTTCTCTGCAAGAGACTGCTGAATCTTGTCATCAAGCCATTCTCGCAACAAAATGGACCTGGCAAATGTTAAGTTGAGTTGAAATCAACCCCACAAGTGCAGACAAAAGCCGGAGGTACTCCGATACACCTCCACAGCCGCTGATTGGTGGAGAAACCCAATTCCCCGACTCGGGTGATTCTCCTCCAATCAGAAGGTCGGATTTGCGGAAACGGGGACTGCGGAGTGAGGGGCCAAGGGCAAATGTGTCAACGGCGCGGGGGTTCCTGAGACTATATACGGGCCACGAGTCGCAATTTCTTCCGGATTCTTTTTCGAATTCCTTTCTTTCGTCGCATCCTGACTTTTATTATATCCTCTGTTTTCCTGATATTTCCCTGCGAAAGTATCTGGATTTCTAGCTTAACATCGTCAAGAACGTCCACGTTCAATTGCCTCTTTTCTAGCACGACCACTCATCAATCATCACTATGGTTAAGATCACTGGCTTTACCACCCGGGATGTGAGGTTTCCGGTATGTTTCCTGTTCTCAGAATGTCCAGTCTATGCCAATGTCAGTTACAATTGTTAACGCTTCACATTAGACCTCCCTCGACAAGACTGGTTCCGATGCCATGAACGCAGCTGGTGACTACTCTGCCGCCTACTGCATCATTAACACAGACTCTGACTTCAGCGGTCACGGCATGGTGAGTTACTATGTCCCCAATCTCCACTTATGCCAAAGCGAGGCAGTCGCGCACACATACACATACATACTAACACAGTTACCCCACAGACCTTCACAATCGGCCGCGGTAACGAGATCGTCTGTGCTGCTATCTCCCTCGTCACACCTCTCATCATTGGAAAAGACCTCGATGAGCTCACCGCCGACTGGGGTAAGACCTGGCGCTACCTGGTCTCCGATTCTCAGCTTCGCTGGATCGGTCCCGAGAAGGGTGTCATTCACCTTGCCCTCGGTGCAGTTGTCAATGCCCTTTGGGATCTCTGGGCCAAGACACTTGGCAAGCCTGTCTGGCGCATTGTCGCGGACATGACTCCCGAAGAGTTTGTCCGTTGCATTGACTTCCGTTACATCACTGATGCTATTACCCCCGAGGAGGCCCTGGCCATGCTGAAGGAGGTTGAGGGTGGCAAGCAGGAGCGCATTGTTGAGGCTGAGGCTAGCAAGGCTGTTCCTGCTTACACTACCAGTGCCGGCTGGTTGGGATACTCTGAAGAAAAGCTGAAGGTTTTGTTGAAGGAGAGTGTCGAGCAGGGTTATAAGCATTTCAAGTTGAAGGTTGGTGGCAACCTTGAGGACGATAAGAGTCGGTTGCGAATTGCCCGTGAGGCTATTGGATATGATAAGGGAAATATTCTTATGGTTGATGCTAACCAGGTATGCCTTCCTTCCCCTGACCCTCTGGTGTAAACCCTCGAGGTTGATATACTGACTGGTTATCAATAGGTCTGGTCTGTCCCAGAGGCGATCACCTGGATGCAAGAGCTTGCTGAGTTCAAGCCTTGGTTCATCGAAGAGCCTACCTCCCCCGATGATATTCTCGGCCACGCTGCCATCAAGAAGGCGCTGGAGAACACCCCTCACGGAACCGTCGGTGTTGCTACCGGTGAGATGTGCCAGAACCGTGTGATCTTCAAGCAGCTCTTGCAAGCTGGTGCCTTGACCGTCCTGCAGCCCGATGCGTGCCGTGTCGGTGGTGTGAACGAGGTCCTTGCCATTCTCCTGCTGGCCCGCAAGTTCGGTGTCCCCATTGTGCCACACTCCGGTGGTGTCGGTCTGCCCGAGTACACCCAGCATCTGAGCACAATCGACTACGTCGTTGTTACTGGAAAGCGAAGTGTTCTCGAGTATGTTGACCATCTGCATGAGCACTTTGTTCACCCTTCCAGTGTTAAGGATGGTTACTATGTTACCCCCATGGAGCCTGGTTACAGCGTGGAGATGAAGGCTGCTAGCATGGACGAGTTCGAGTACCCTGGCCAAGAGGGCAAGAGTTGGTGGCGTACTGAGGAAGCCAAGGTTATCTTGGAGGGTCCTCGTGTGGTATAAAATTTATAGTTGATGTCGTTCATGTTTATGTATTCATGTTTAATAGCTTTACAAGAGTATAAATCCCACAAATGTTTATAGGGAATTTGGTTCATTGTGCTGAGTTTAATACATTGCAATAGATGGTAGTATATGGTACATCAATCTGGGTCGGTCCGTTGGCCAACCCTAAAAATACAATAACGCAGTCATGGACTGGCGACAGTAGGCCAGTCCTGGACACGAGTGATAAAAAAACACCATTTCATGCTCCAGATCTGCGACAAGAGCTCGTGAAGATCCCAAGAAGATGAACGATGAAAGGTCAGTCACATCCATGGACCGTGAGATATCCCCGCAAAGGACTTCACAAACAGAAACTGAAATGGCATCATGTGAAAGGAATTTTAAGCGCAACTTAGCGCCACTGGAGACCGAATAGTTTCAACGAGCTAGCCACGCTGGGCTTCTCTACGGCCTTCTCCAGGACGACACGAGAGTGTCCCTTGACATCCAAAGCAAGAAGTTGGTATTCCCATTCGTTTTTGTCCAAGGGTTTCATCATATGCACACGAACAGTTCCCGAGTTAAGAGGACCCTCGACCTAAAAAGAAAATCAGTGTTTATCCCCCACCAAGGGCACAGCTTAACATACGTGAAAGTGCATACGAAGATGCTCGCGGCCCAAACGATCCTTCTCAACGCTCGTTCTGGATTTAATTAGCTTGTATTTCCAAGTAAATTCGGATGGTCATAGACTCACGCAATAGGCCGATGCCGTGCCCATTTGCTTGAAGTGTTCTCCCCGTAGGCTTTGATTTCTCGGCGGTCACCGAGGATTGTTATGCACCGCGCATCATCCTTGATACGGTCGACAGCTTTCTCGAATTGCCATGTTCGACTATTTGGAGAGATAACATCGGTCCATAAAAGATAGAAAACTCCGCCCTAGAACCATCGAGACGTTAGACCTTTGGTTTTCAGCTTTTGCAGTGGGTACTCGAGAAACCTACCGTCAAGACCACACCTGCCATCACAACCACGAAGTTGAAAGATTGCTGTGTAGCGCGCGAAACCTTCTCTCGTCCACTCAAATCACCCCACTCATATCGTCCATCGTCAGACAAGACTGTAATGTTCCTGCGCTTTTTGGTTGTGCTGCCCGGGTTGTTCTGTGTGGCGTATAGTCGGCTGAATGCGGTTCGAGGAGAAGGGCGCAGAGCTGCCGCCACAGCACCTGAAGAGGCTCGAGGTAGAACACGCACGTACTGAGGATTCATCGTGGGTGCGATCGTCAACTGCTCCAACCTTGAAGACCAAAGATGAACGAATCCGCGATAACGATAGGCGGGCTCACGTGCCTTGGAGAGAAAAATACCGTACTGTAAATTTGCCAGCTGCGTGGCGTCATTTCCCCATAGTTAAGGGGCCCCATGCCCCACCGCCAGGTCACCGCAGAACCGCAAAATTACACCAGGCACAGGGACTCTCCCGAGTCCGACCACGTTCGCCGTTCCCGATACATCATTTTGGGCTTCTGTCTACAACAACACCAACCATTCCTGTTCTCTGACTTCTATAGTCATCACCTTCACCATGAGTGCCTCCAAGGCGCAGTCTCAAAATTTCTTTGAGAAGATGAAGTTGAAGCCCGCAAACAAGGTGCGTTCTTCACCCCGCGCCCCCCGTCCCTCCGTTCTCGGGGCTTTTTTTTTGGCAATTGTTCGCTAACGAGAATCTCACCGCTAGGTATGCTTCGACTGCAAGTCTAAGAATCCCACTTGGTCGTCGGTGCCTTTTGGTATTTACCTGTGCCTTGATTGCTCGTCCAACCATCGCAATCTCGGTGTTCACATCTCCTTTGTTCGATCCACAAATCTCGACCGTATGTATTTCTCTCAAGGGGATATTTATTTTGCTACATCGAGTCTACGATTGGGTTCAAGCTGACGAGTCTTGAACAGAGTGGCAATGGGAGCAGCTGCGAGTGATGAAGGTTGGTGGAAATGAGTCTGCGACCAAGTACTTCCAGTCCCACGGAGGATCTGCTGCGCTCGCCAGCAAGGATTCCAAGGTCAAGTATACTTCCAATGCGGCCGTCAAATATAAGGAAGAGCTGAAAAGACGTGCTGCAGCGGATGCGCAACAGTCAGTATCCCTGGTTTCGTCAGCGAAATCTCCAGATAAATGTTAACTGGCGCATTGTTTAGGTACCCCGAGGAGGTTGTTATTACCGATCTTCCTGCTGGCACCCCGTCCGATGGCTCGGCCACACCTGCTGGTGAAGATGATGACTTTTTCTCATCCTGGGATAAGCCCTCCATCAAGCGTCCCAGCAACCCGCCTTCCCGCACCGGCACGCCACCCGTCGTCAGCCGAACCGGATCCCCGTTTTTGACTGCCAACTCAAACGGCTCTCGCTCAAAGTCCCCCCTATCTGCGACTGAAGACAAGTCTGCAGCTCCCGCGCCAACTGCCATTCGCGCCAACTCTGCTGCCAAGAAGACTACCGCTGTTGGTGGCGCGAAGAAGAGCTTGCTGGGGGCCAAGAAGGCCCCCAAGCTTGGGGCGAAGAAGGTTGCCCCTAGTGACATTGATTTCGAGGAGGCCGAGCGAAAAGCCAGAGAAGAGGCCGAGCGCATTGAGAAACTTGGATACGACCCTGAAGCTGAGCAGGCCGAAGCCGATGCCAAGGCCAAGATCAATGCTGCGGCGCCTATTGCTTCCCCAACTCCTGTCAGCCCCAACCGGCCTGGATTTGGTTCTACCAGTAAGGATAATGAGCGTGCCTCAGGCGATGTTGAGCGTCTTGGTATGGGTATGAACAGACTAGGATTTGGTCAGGTCTCAAAGCCCCCAGCTCCCAAGAAGCTTGGATTTGGTGCTGTTGCCCCCCGGTCAGCGGCCGACGGTAAGATTATAATGTAAATCTCTCGTGCAGAACATGGTGCTAATGATTTTCAAAGAGGAGGAACTCACTCAAGCCAAGTCACGATTCGGAACCCAGAAGGGTATCTCTTCCGACGAGTTCTTTGGACGTGATCGCTTCGACCCCAATGCCCAGGCCGAGGCCAAGCAACGTCTTACAGAATTCGACAGCGCAACCTCTATCTCCAGCAACGCCTATTTCGGCCGGCCCGAGGATGACCTTCCTCAGATGGACGATGGATACGGTGACCTGGAGACCACTGCTAAGGACTTCGTCCGTCGATTTGGTATTACCGCGGGAGATGATATTGAAAACCTGTCACACCTGGTTGGTGAAGGAGCAACCAAGCTACAAGGTTGGTATCTGTGATTTTACATACTAAAGGGGTGCAAGTTCTGACTTTCCCTAGGCGCCATTCGCAACTACCTGAACTCTTAAGTGCCGCATGGACCTTTCTTCTCCGATATCACGCGTTTTGTTACATTCAATACTTAGCAAGCCCCATTGATCCCCCTCCACATTCCCGTGATGCGTGACGTATATCTTGTTCATGAACCTCTCACCAATTTTTCGCCAATATCTTTTATGTTGCTTCATCCAATACCGTGACTAGCGGCGCATCGAAGAAAAATTGAGTTGGTGTAAATTGCAGTCTGGCGTGAATGATGGTTGATTGACGATAATTTCCTTGGCTTCTGCATTCCATCTGCGATATTGAAGCTAGGTGATGAAGGCATAAGGCTTTTCTTTTCTCTTTACTTAGTTTGACATGTCCCTTTCTTGTGTTTCTGATACGGTTTCGAGTTACTATGTAATGCAAAACGTCGTATGTTATGGATTTTTATATAGCGTCTTTTATCTTGCGTCGAAATAGAAAAAAGTGCAATCTTGGAACCATTGAATAATTGGGCAGGTGAGAAGTACAGTACGTAAAGACAAAAAGCTGGATTGGATTTGTGTACTAGTAAACATCTTCAATTGCGAATATGCGAAGTCAAGACGAAAATCACTGGGTACACCACAACGACTAGAACTCCGGTCTCAACTCCCCGAGGTTGTCAAAGACTCCCAAGTCAGTCAGACGTGACCCAAATTTGTCTGCTTATCCACTCATCACGCGAAATGCCCAAAGTGTGCTCATCGTAACGCCGCCAGTCGCCCTTCTTAGATAAGGCCCCGACCCGCGTTCCTTCGACGAGAAAACCCAGGAACTTCTTACCAACCACCAAATTGGTCTTAAATGACGGAACGTTGAACTCCACGCGTTCAACTTTCATCTTGTCAAAGGCCCAATTGACAACCCAATTGACAATCTTCCGTGCATTCTCCAGTTCGTAGTTCATATCCATTCCGATGTTCAGTTCGACGACCTTGTTGCGAGTCCCATTACCACGAGAGTTGGTGACAGCCACGATCGCGACACGGACCCATCTATCCCAATCTATTCACACCTCAGTATTAGCTTATTATTCCATGCCTGATAGGTGAGCGCGCAGGGAGGATGTGAGGTGAGGATAAATCAAACAGTACTCACTTCCATAGCTTTCGCACAACCATACGGTATCGAACTTAGCAGCATCTTGAATGAGCTTCTCTTGCATTTTATCGATACGGTGCCACGAGAGGTCTTCAGAGTGCCCCCAGGCCGTGTTCGGGGAGCAATTCTCGTTCCGCTGGATTTTGTGGAAGAAGGCAGCATCCTCTGGAGACTTGAATGGCCGATACTCCAGATATGTCCTATCAGGGCGATCATTTGCCTTCATGGCGAGTTTGAGAGGATGGTTTCGCGAGGGGGGAAAAGCAGAGGGGAGGTTGGACTGCGAGATGAGAAGATGAGTAAAAGCTTCAAAAAATCTTCAAGACGGAAGAAAAGGGTCGGATGAACCTTGAGAGAAGAGGAAGAAAAGCAAGAGATAGAAGAAAAAGAAAGGTGTCACTGAATGAAAAGACGCAGTACAGGAGTAAAGATAGTAGGAGTGAAGAGAAAGGGAAAGAAAAGGAAAGAGAAATCAGACTTGAAATAGCCAAACCAAACACTCACTCATATTACAGTCTCTTATAAGACATAGCAAATTCTTTTGGAGAAGCTGGCAATTTCAGTTCTCTCTTCTGCACCTCTAAAGTCTTACAACGATGTACGGCTCCCGGGCAGCAGCACCAACTTCACATTGAAGTTTAGATAGACCCGAAGACTTGTCAATAATACTAGTACAATCCCAACCACTGCGATTCTTTACAGGGTATTTGACGGATTATTGTGCTACAATTGAAGAGACAAAGTAGAGTCACGGAAAAACTTTCAAAGTCATCGAATCAAGATCAGCTTACTTGAAATCCAATTATGAAGCCAATCATGGCAATGAGGAGTTTGACTATCAAGTCTTCAAGCCCCCTCCAAAACTCCATGATGAATGAAGAAGAAAAAATTGGCGTGTATCGCACATAAAGTTGAAAGCATCACGATACAAAATCACCCAGCCAATATTGTATTACAATATAGTGAATGTACATATATATTTTGAAGGACCGTTTGAGTCCCTAGACACGATAGATCGCATCAGCAACCTTCGCAACCTGCCACATCTCTCGGACATCATGAACGCGCACGATATCAGCACCGCCGGCTACACTAGCCGAAACAGTCGCAGCAGTGCCCCAGACGCGCTCTTTGGGGGTCTTCACTCCTGTGATGTTCCCAATAAATCGCTTACGACTTGGGCCCATAAGCCACGGCAGACACTCCAGTCCCTCGGCTTCACGCAGAGCAGATAACTCACGCAAAATCTCCAAATCCTGGGGCTGTTGCTTTGCGAATCCGAGGCCGGGGTCAAGAATGATGCGCCAGCGACGGATGCCTGCATCTTCAGCGGCTGCTACACGGGAGCGAAGCTCGGCACTGACTTCAGGGATGACGCCATTGGGGTAGTCGTGAAGTTCTGTCATTGTTTGTGGTGTTCCACGCATGTGCATTAGGATGATGGATTTGCCGAGACTTGCTGCTGTCGGAAGCATTTCTGGGTCCAGGAGGCCAGCAGAGACATCGTTGATGATGTCTGCGCCGGCGACACAGGCTGCCTCGGCCACGACAGCGCGGTAAGTGTCGATGCTGATGGCAATGTTGGAGGCTTCGGGGATGTTATTGCGAATATGTTGAATTGCGGGCACAACTCGGGCTATTTCCTCCTCGGCTCCAACTGGTGTTGAGCCAGGACGGGTACTTTCGCCACCGACGTCGATGATGGTTGCGCCCTGGGCAATAAAGGTGCGAACTGTTTCGGTAAGTTGGGTGAAATCTGATGGGGAGTGGGTTCCACCGTCAGAGAAAGAGTCCGGAGTCAAGTTGAGAATGGCCATAACGTGGGTGATGCGCTTTGGATCTGTTGCGTAGAGATTGGGGAAACATGGTGAGATTGGTGTCATTGAGTACGGTGTTGGCTCTGGAGGTGGGAGAGCTTTGAGATGCTCGCTATATGTAAGTGAATTCTTCCCAGGTAGGGGTGTTCGCTCATGGGGTATTAATCTAATTTTGTTAGCCGTCTTTTTGATAGCTTAGGATAAGTTTGCCACATACTGGCAAAGAGGTCGAAGCACAAAATCACGCTCCAACATCAGGTTATGTGGAACTTTGAGGCGTTCATGAGCAAAAACCTCTTGATCGTACAATAATATGTCCAAATCGATTGAACGTGGGCCCTTATCGATCAGCTTTTTTCGGCCAAGCTCAATCTCAATAGATTGCAACGCGTCCAAAAGCTCCATTGGTGCGAGGGTTGTTTCAACCTGACAGCTGTCAGTGTCTCTCATGCGTTCAAACAGAACAGTCATGGGATATAAGTACCTCGCAGACTCCATTGAGAAATGTGTCTTGCTCAAGCACATACATCGGAGTCGTTTCAAAGAGTGAGCTTGTTCTTTTCACTTTAATATTGGCTCGGTCCAGCTCAAGACAAGCCTTTTCAATCATCTCAACACGATCTCCTACATTGCTACCCAGAGCGATAAACGCGCGATGCAGACCATGAGCTCCATTTGTGGAGCTCGAGCCAGACGTGGGCTGTGGCGAGTACCCGCTTGAAAATCGCCTCGCGTATGATTTCAAGTACGATAGGGCACCAGAGCGCTTTGGCTGGCCATTTCCATCGCACGATGGCATGGCCACTGGATTACCCATTGAAAAATTTCCTAAATCGCCTTAGTTTGGTGGCTGGAAAAGCATACACAAAGACGTAGGGAAGTAGAAAGAGCATGCTTGATTGTCCCGCATTTTTTTTTTCTTTGGGTGATCCGATAAAAGGCAGATAAGGCCGGAAGAGGCAAAGCCATTGTGATGAACCTACTAGTACTTGAACCTGCAGTAGCACTTATACTATAAATCTAATTGTCAGAATGCACAAAGTCCTCCGGTCATGATGAGATAATCAAGTAATAGATACCTTCTTGTCCAACAACCGGGCCAAGGCCGATCACTTCGCCGCGTTGCATTCGGGGCGGAGGCCGGTAATGACGGGAACCGAGGTGATCGTAGTGCAGGCGAAAATGAAGCACCACGTAAACAATTGGTTGCGCATAGTCGGTTGTATGACGTCTGTAAACTCATCTTCCCAGTCGAGGTAAGCGATTCTCGTAGTTGAAGTTGAAAGAGAAAGATGTTGCGATCAATAGATTCTCCTTATCGTGTCAGGTGAGATAGGTGCCTCATAACAAAGGATTGTGACCTGATGGCTCAGGCATTAAGGCATTAAGATGTTAAGGTGTTAAGGTGTCAAGGTGTCACCCCCGCCCCATCTCCAACGTATGATTTATCATTTGGTTCATATGAACCGAGGCTTGTGAGTGCGAACGCGCCTCGGTTGCTTCCCTTTTATAGGTCCACTTTCCCCGGACTTTCAAGTTCCTTTCTTTTCTCCTCAACCCCATACATTATTCACTATGGCTTCTCCTCGTACGTATTCTGATTTTATCATATCCCTCTATTGTTTTTAACTTTCTTTCTTCTGGCTTTCCAAGCCATGACTATACACGCTTCCTCCCCATCGAACGATACTAACATGTGGCCCCCGCAGAGATCATCCGTACCCCCATCACCGATCTGCTCAAGATCAACCACCCCGTCCTGCTGGCGGGTATGAACGTGGCTGCTGGCCCCAGGCTGGCAGCCGCGGTCACCAACGCTGGTGGTCTCGGTGTCATCGGAGGTGTTGGTTACACCCCCGATATGTTGCGCGAGCAGGTCGCCGAGCTGAAGAGTTATTTGAATGACAAGAACGCTCCGTTCGGTGTCGACCTCTTGCTACCCCAGGTTGGTGGCAGCGCCCGCAAGACCAAGTGAGAACCCACCCCCGTCGAAATGGTCACGAAGAGAATAAGCGGCTGATTCATCCCGTCATCTAGCTATGATTACACCAAGGGCAAGCTTGGCGAGCTCATCGATATCATTATCGAGAGCGGTGCTAAGCTCTTCGTCTCTGCCGTTGGTGTTCCTCCCAAGTCCGCCGTCGATAAGCTCCACAGTGCCGGTATCCTCTGTATGAACATGATCGGTCACCCCAAGCACGTCGCCAAGGCCCTTGATGTTGGTATTGATATTATCTGTGCTCAGGGTGGTGAGGGTGGTGGTCACACCGGTGATGTCCCCACTACTGTTCTCATTCCCACTGTTGCCAAGCTGGTCAAGGGCAAGAAGAGCCCTCTGACTGGTCAGGATGTTCAGGTCATCGCTGCTGGTGGTCTGTACAACGGTAATTCCGTTGCTGCCGCCCTGATGCTCGGCGCCTCTGCTGTTTGGATCGGTACCCGCTTCATCCTCTCCGAGGAGGCTGGTGCCCCCAAGGCTCACCAAGAGGCTGTCCGAACTGCTGGCTTCGAGGACAACATCCGCACTATTATCTTCACTGTTCGTGTACACCATCTTTGACTCTTTTCCAACCCGTATACTAACAAATGCTATAGGGTCGCCCCCTGCGCGTTCGCAAGAACGATTACATTATGAACTGGGAGAACAACCGCGCCGACGAGATTAAGCAGCTTACCTCCAAGGGTATCATCCCCGTTGAGCACGACTTTGAGAACCTGTCTGATGATGTTGATGATGATACATTGGACAACGCTCGCCCCTTCCTGATGGGTAAGGTCGCCGCTGTTGTGAATGAGAAGAAGTCCGCCAAAGCCATCGTGGATGAGCTCGTCACCGATGCTGCTGCTCTATTGAAGAAGGGCAACCAGATGCTGGCTAAGCTGTAGATAATGTCGTTTTTTGAATTTTTGTTTTCTATTACCCATAGCGTGGCTTACAGATGAGCCACAAGATTGGCAATGAAGTTGTGGAAATATACGGTTACTTGTCATTTTCAATCGAAGAATACCGCACGAAACTTGGAGAGTATGAGCAGTAAAGCCGAACACCCAAGGTAAGTATCGTTTCCTCATTTGGTATCTCCTCATTTGGTATTTCCCCATTTGGTATTTCCTCATTTGCGAATCCTGTCGCGAGCGAACGTTGAAAATTCATCGGGAGTTAAATTTCACCATTGATATCATTAGAGTGTCTTCCATGGGGGGGGGGGGTATTTTCCCCTGTCTTTTGCACAGGATCCAATAAACACTTGCGTCCACAAGTGCTTGCACATGCGCGACAACCTTGAAGTTATACACTTCTCTGCATGCTTAGGTAAGGCTCTCCCCAGCCACGAAAAGGGGTGCGCGAGAGCCCCCACTTCTTGATTTCGAAGACAATTCAAAAGGCTGCTGGACTGTTCATCAAGTTAAACTGGTGGTTTCATATTGCTATAGTTCCGTTGCATATTGTCTTTTCACTCTCAAAATCGGTTGTGAAGCTGAGAAGTTTCATTCCAGGTCGAGCGGCCTTTTCATACTCCGACCTTGGAACATAGTCACGCTGGGTCTCAACGTCGGAACAACATGTCGATTCTTCGAGATCTTTATCTCACTGGGCTCAGCTCCGTGTTGCAGTATATCATTCCAACGGTAGTCCTCGTTACAACACAAAAGAGATCGATTTTTCGATATCTCACTATCCCATTGATGATATGGATCCTCAGCTGCAATGTGCGCCCAATGGACCCATACTGTCAGTTGTTTGTCTTTATCACGGGTCAACTATTCATGTCTATTCCTCAAGCCACCACCAATTTGTTGATCAACCCTCTTGATGCGGATGATCTCATTCGCGAAGCACCGGATCAAACAAAGACGTTCGCTGGACTGCTTTATTACGCGTGCCGGCAGCAATGTCAACCCCGTGCTATAGGAACTCCTCGACAGGTGAAAGGCATTAAGCCGCACCCAGCATATTATCGTGATACCAAAACAGGTACCATGATAGTGTCTCGAGGATCGTTTATATTGCGACAATCTGTTATTTTAATATGGCAATATGCTGTGCTTGACATGGTTGAATTCGCTGCCCATGCGCAACCGATGAAACCAACGCCTCATCAGACATTTTCGGACCTTGAGTGGAATGTATCTTTTGAGGTGTGGATTGAACGTGCCATTTCGAATCTGGTATCTTGGTTTTTGATCGCTCGTATTCTCATCGATCACCGATACCGCTTGGCATCGATTATATCTATTGGGCTGGGTTTAGGCACTCCAGAAGATTGGCCACCATTGTTTACAAGGATGTCTGATGCTTATACGTTGCGGAGATTCTGGGGGTAAGAAAACAAGTTCCTGTGCCAATGTTGAGTTCAGCTATTTGTGACAGCTTTTAACAAAATTTTACAGAACCTTTTGGCATCAGTTCCTTCGGCAGCCACTTACGGCATTCAGCAATTTGATCGCACGCGACATACTGCATCTTCCAAGGCCCTCAGTACTGGAGAGATATACGAACATATTTCTTGTCTTCCTTGGATCAGCTATACTCCATCGGACAATTGATATAGTCCTGGGAATCCCCACTCAATACTCCGGGGCCATGCCATTCTTTACGACCTTTGCTTTGGCATACATGATAGAAGATGGTGTGCAGGCACTCTACAAATGCATTAAAGGATTCGAGGAGAAGGATAATACGGGACTGAATTGGAAGCACATTGTTGGTTACTTGTGGGTTGCCACATGGCTAGGAGTGTCGTCAACTTGGTACATGTACCCGGCTTCGCAACGCACTCCCCCACACGCATTGAAAATGGTTCCATTTGCAGTCTCCGAACGTATTGGAATTGCACCTGTTGCAGGATTTGCTGTCATTGGCGGACTTGGTTTGCTATTTGGATTTAAGATTGAGTTGTAAGAAGCCTCAGGAAGGTTGGTCGGAATATCCATGGATGATGGATGCGCGCCGGAATCCCCCCACTTCTTGACGACTCGAGTAAAAATATGCATGCTACTATATACTGGTGAGAAAATTCCTCACATGATCCCCCTCGCAGTTGGCAGTTGCCCAAACAACCTTGGAAAATACAACACCGTGCGATACATACATACGCAACCTTGGAAATTGTACAATGTACATAGGCATTATACCCGTGGACCTAACGATGTATATTCTTTTCCTGGACATTGACTCTACTTTTCACATGTGCAAATAAAGGGTTTTTTTTTTTTAGATCATCAACCTTGCAATCAACATCTCAAGTGGGTAGCAACGTGAGCAGTGCATGTGTAGATGATCACTATTATTATACATGCCGTTGACCTCGGACTACCTAGAAGTTGTACTTACGTATCGAAAACTGGCTGTAGGAAGAACAAATGTGGAAACCCTTGTCAGCACCAGCACTTGAGGCCACCATGTGCACGCGTGTCAACGCAATCTTGGATGCAACTTCCTCCAGCAACTACCAGACTACTCAGAACAGTATCCTGGATGCCAAGGCCCGAACACAGCCTTGTCAGAATCCAGCCTTATGGTGGTGAGATCCTCCCATGTACCACAACGACGTATAGCGGGTTCCCGCCCAGGACTTGCCGAGCTTACCGAACACAGCGATGGTCGCCTAATAACTTCTGCTATAGGTCAATGTTTATACGCGGGGCAAAACGTGACGAATTGCGGGGAGATGATATGCCCCGCCAACTGCAGCATACAGCCTTCCCCCTGCCCAGCGTGACGGTATATTTGGCGATCGGCTATATTTAGTCGGCTTATATGTAGCGACTGGGGTATACCTTGGCACAAGTCTCTACGTCGATGATTCAAGCAGAGACACGAGGGGCTGAATCTCGTGTCTACCAGATGTTCTAATGTTTTCCATAGGTTGCCTTGGGCTCGAAGGGCTGATGGTGTCTCATATGCTTGTCGTGTCAATGTAACTGTTCCTGTGTCTATGCAAGGCCAGCTATCAACATTTGAAGTACTGAAAATGGAAGGAAGATGACGAAGCTCTAAGGCTGCGTAAGGCTTTGTCGGAGGTGTATTGACCGATAAAGGGCATCTAGACACATAGGTCTGGGATATAAAAGAGGCTGTATCTCCTGTGAAAGGAAATAGTAACATTCGAATAACCAGAACTTGGAAGACGAAGAGTACTACTGTACAATATTCATTGACCAAATAATTCAATCGACAAGCTCATCTCAGACTTCGAGAAAACTTCAAGCTGCCTATATATTCAAAATGAAATTCTCCGATGTTTTTACCCTTTCTGTCGCCGTCGCTACTGCTGCAGCGAGCCCAGTGAAGCGCACCGATACGGTCGAAATCACCTTCCACGGTGCAGCCGGGGCTCAGTTTACGCAAGCATTCCCTACAGACAGCACCGTAATCTCCATCAGTCAGTATTGACGATACCCCCAGCATTGACGATCTTGCTGCTAACTGCAACCCGCAGCGAATCCCCTCAGTGTTTCAAAAATCTCCTCTGACACCCACTCTGTTGACTGTTCCTTCACTGGCGTGAATGGTAGTATCACAACCGTTGACGGCGATGAATCGAGTGATGTCGGTCCTCCTCAGACACAGGTCTCTGGGACCTGCGCAAAGGTGTCATTGGTGACCCGCCGCAGTAACGATGTTTTGATCACGTTCATTGGTGCTGCTGATGCGCAGTTTACACAAAGTTTCCCTGTCGATGACAGTGTTCAAACAATCAGTGAGTTGCATCCAGCAATTTCCTGGCGTGACAAGGGCTGATGTATATTTAGGCAACCCTCTGAGCATTTCCCATATCTCGAACAGTGATTCCGGCGTAGAGTGCATTTTTATTGGTGTCAACAACAGCAACACCGTTGTGGATGGAGCCAGTCAGGTCGATGTTGGACCACCTCAAACACAGGTTTCTGGACAATGCTTTGAGTTGCCTACCACGTCCCGCCGCTCGGACCATAATGTTGAGGTCACTTTTATCGGTGCCGGCAGTGCGCAATTCACGCAATATTTCCCAATTGATGGGCTGGCTCACAATATCGGTATGTCGTCATACAACCTTGTTAGTTGATGAATGAAAATACTAACTAGGTGTATTAGACAATGTTTTGAGTATCTCTCACATTGAAGTGGATGATTCGAGTGTTTCCTGTGTGTTTGGTGGTGTTGATAACTCCGTTACCTCGGTCACAGGACCACAGACCGTTGATGTTGGTCCTCCTCAGACTCAGATCCAGGGTGCTTGCTGGGCCAACTGATCTTTGTTGGGTTGAGGGAAGTGTATAGTCTGGGTGTGCGGTCGTTCAACACCGAGACCGTAGTTGACTAAATCTTGGAAGAAGTTACCTGTTGCGAATATTTGAAGGAAAGACACTCTTTAATGCGTAGTAGTTAGTATTGAATATCAATGGATTTTTTGTGATCAAAACTGCCAGGTGCTAGCACTTGAGGGCATCTTAGGGAATTAGTGTCTGCGACTGTGCAAATCTCATAAACTGCCTCTCAAAGACTACACATTTTCCATCAATACAATGTCCTAAAATATACATACTAGAAATTAATTTCACTCTTTTGAATGCTTCTAGTTCTATGACCTACTCAATCTTGTAATATGAGTTCAATTGATGATAGTAGTCTCGTGTATGTACATAATCAACATCTGGACTAATTAATTCGATATGTAGTCCTTTTCAATATAATTTTCAGACCTTCTATGAACTTGACTGTCAAATTATTGAGACTCTGCAATCGAGTTGAAGACTTGTCGATACTTCAGCAAGGCTTCATGGAAGGGAACGGGCTTGCGTCCAGTGAGAATCTCAACATCATTGCTGGTCTTGGCCATATAGCCATCCGCAACCATCTGGCCACAGCATAGCAGATCGTCCACACAAAGCTTCATTGGCAGCTTCGAAATCTCCGTCACAGAAGTAGGCAATCCACGCTCAGTCCAGAAGTCCCTTATCTGATCATCTGGCAAATCAATAAAGGTTCCCTGATAACCAAACTTCTCACAGATCCAATCAAAGACCTTCTGGTCTGTCACAGATTCAGGGCCCGTAATATCATATACGGTGTTCGACTTGCCGCGGCCTAAAAGAAGCGCAGCATGTACTCTTGCACAATCTTCCCTCGCGACATACGCACCTGCAGCGCCATGCGAGTTAAAAATCCACTTATGTTCACACCAATTCCAAGATGGAGCAAAGAAATTCGGAATATTATCGATGTACAGATAATCACGCTGGATATTGTACTCTAGCCTAGATGCCCGGATCAATGATTCGGTCTGTTTGTGGTCACGGGGCAGGAAGGGCATCTCATTCACCGGGGCGGGGCTATCGGCGCCCACGAAAGAGGTGTAACAGATGCGGCGCACACCGCAAGATTTGGCTGCGTTGATAACGGTTTGAGCTTGTTCGTGTCGACGACCAAAGGACCAGGTTGAGATCAGGTTTACCGCTTCGGCACCGGCGAAGACGGCCTTGAGACTGTCCACGTCATCATAGCTAGCTTTGGAGATCGTTGCTCCCTGTGCTTCCCAGGATGAGCGGGTCGAGGCGGTTATCTTTTCAGGATCGGAGGTTGTGAATGAGAGCTTGGTGTCTGGTGGGGCGATTTCTAGAGCAAAGGAGGCTGCGACACTACCAATGTTTCCACCTACCCCGGTGAGGACGTACTTGGGCATTTTGTGCTGATGGGCTTAAGAAGAAAGGATTAGACTCAATGGGAGCAATGCATGAAAGTGGGAAGGTTCTTACCAAGATACAGCGGGTTGGATTTTCAAATAGAGATAGAGATCGTAGCGATTTTAGATGTATGTAGTAGGAGAGAATTCTGCTGGTACATACACGGATGAATTGAATCAGAGAAGGGTGGACGTACACTCACTTATGGATATTGACTGAGGGGCAAGTTCGCCACTAAAGTGGACATGTTGAGCCTGCAGGAGAGCTGAAGACAGCTGAAGATCTTTGGAAGATCGAGTAGTGTTGTACATAAGAACTCCATAAACTCCATCAGCTCCATATGTACATAATCCATATGGAACTTATGATTGCCGAGGAGATCCATCTATAGTGGAGAAGGTGTGGATCCGCATCGCGTGCGCAGGTGCTCTTGACCAAAGAAACACGTGGGAAAATGCAAGCCACGTCGATAGTGGAGTTGAACCGGAATCCCGATCCCTTAAGATCCCGTGGGAGATTTAGGGCCCGAGTTTCCCGATATAAGTAATAGTTTCCCGACTGTAGCTCCGACAAGAGTCAAGATGCTAGAAGTCAAAAAACTACTCTATCATCATAGTAAAAATTTCAGCATTTAGCTGAATCTTTGTTTTAGTTCCCAACTTGACGCTCCATTTTTGAAATTTAGTGAGTATGTGCTGTTTAAATGTTTTTCAAAAAGGTAATATTCTCATTGTCCAGGGGTCAAAAACGAAGAGCATATTATATTGCTAAAATAAATCAGGAAGATTTACTTGGTAGTCAGCAGATGAGAAAGATTGACGATGAGGGACCTCGGGAGATGGCAATAACTTGGTAACTTGGTAATTGTTCAATGGTCGGAAAAGTCCATACGATTACAATTCCCTCCGTGACCGCGCATTTGTACACATGCATCTACCATAATGCAATAGATTGATCATCTCCTTGAGTTCCCCATCAACATGACTGTATACTGATTTTTAAGCTGCAAACCATTGGATAAGATACGTACGGCTCGAAGAATGCGGGTGAGTTTCCAACAAGTATGTTGGATTTTCTATCTGATTGCCGGGTTTTTGAAAACAGGTTGTGTCATACTCGGAAAACTCCGTCTGCGATTGTAGTCCTTTGATCTCCAAGGTAGCCGCGCTTGGCATGATCTATTTTCGATATCTAGGTGTCCGGGGACACCGGTATGACTAGAAGCTTGGGGGTGGACCGAATATGTCCGAGAGATTGGATTGATGTCGACATCAATCGATCAGTATATGGAAAGAATGTTGGATTTCGGGGGACTCCGACAGCTTTTAACGATGAATAGGGAGTATGAAGAGATGACATACAGGAGATAGGATGCAGTTCAAAAGCAAATATGCAAGCCACAACGCCCGAGTATAGAAAACCCGCCCGCGAACTTAGCCACTACCGGTCCGGACCCTAGCATCATCATACCGAGGAACGGAGCCAATTGAAAGGGCGGGATTTCAATCTGGGAACGGGAGTACTAATTGTTTTACAGCATCGGATCTACGGTATCAGCACGGAATAGATTTAGTAGATTGGGTAGATTGGGTAAATCCGGGGATGGCTCTCCATTGTCCAATAGGATTGTCGACGGTGATCTCCGCTGCCACGAGGATGGGGTGAGTCGTGGGTGGTTCTGCGGACAAGATCTGGAGACTGCCCCGATGATCTGTTATCTGGAGACTAGACCATGCCTAGTACTAGTAGTGTTTTAGTGTTTGATGCTCTGTTAAGGTATAGACCGGGGCTGAATGTCTCGATCAAGGGTGGCTCCGAGGGTCTATTTGGTTTACATACGGGGTAAGCTTTATTTGTGTTTATTTTTCATGTACAGAGAGAGGTTAGTGATATAGTCTGTACATGTCATCAGAGATGCTTTGTCCCCGTAATATGCGATTTTTAAGTTAAGTGCATGGTTCTCCTTCCCCGCAGTACAAAGTTACAAAGTGACAAAGTTAGTATAGGTGACAAGGTGACAGATGACAGATGACCGAGAGAATGTCAAGGAAAATCGAACCCCTGTAGAAATGAAGATAATAATAAAGAGTAAAGCTTAATGAAGCTTGAAACGGGGGATATTGGATATTAGGGATATTGGATATTAGGGATTTCTTGGATTTCTTGGATAGCTACAGGTACGTAAGATACGCAGAGTGAATCAGTGATAACTGAGATGATTGTCTTATCGAGTGGTCCGACCGGCCAATGACAGTTTGCCGATGGAAGCGAAGACAGAATGAAACCTCGGATTGCTGATAAGCCAGCGGATCCACGCTTCCCACGCCGATTGGTTCCTTTCTCTCCTGCAGCGCTTGTCATTTGCTCTTCTGGAAATTCTCTGCTTAGGACCCCACGCGACCCCCGGCCCTATCTTCTTCCCTTGCCACAATGCTCCGCGAGTGGGGCGACGCGCACTGGAAAGATTTTTGTCACCGCGACCGAGAAGTATTAAAAGGATGACCTTGCCTGTGGATCGACGAAAAAAAAAAAGAAAAAAAAGAAAGTGAACAATGTGGATTTGGGCCGGTCAACACGCATCATTTATCTCTTGATTGAGCTTGAGCTACCTGAGCTTTAAGAGCTCTTAGGATTTTACTCTTATCTTTTTTAAAACGTCTCTTTTTTTTCTACCCGAATTTCGAAACCATCCCGTTGGCCGAAAAAAAAAAGTCGAGACGTGAGCAGGGAAAAAAGGAACAATACCTTACCGCAATCATGTTCGGATCCCGTGGGAATGTCGATGTCGAAAAGGCGCCTCATGTCGATAATGCCTATGAGAGCAACAGCAACGATACCCCGTACGAAAATGTCCACGACAATGCTAGCGACGGCGCCGTACCGGGCGAGAGCTTCGAATATGGAGATTCCATGTATGCGAAGATTCAGCGATTCGCCGGAAAGTTCAACGTCGAACAACGTGGTGTCGAACGTGTGCCGGAGAACGAGCGGACGGATACTTCCTACCTGAACATTGGTAGCATGGTGTGTTCTTGCAATTCTTGCGATAAGCCCGAGGGCACCCAACTGACCCAACCCTAGTGGTTTGCTGCCAACATGGTCGTCAGTTCCTTCGCCATTGGTGTTCTGGCCAAGACCACTTTCTACCTGGGCTTTGTGGATGCCATCTTGGTGTGTCTGTTCTTCAACTTGCTCGGTGTTCTGTCCGTGTGCTTCTTCTCCTGTTTCGGTCCTGCCTTTGGTTTGCGCCAAATGGTTCTGTCCCGTTTCTGGTTTGGATGGTGGCCTGTGAAATTCAGTAAGTTCAATTCCACACGAAAGCATGCAATTGATGTACACCGGGTCATTTGAGGCAAAAATCGGGGGGGGGGGTTTTTTTTTTCTGGGGCAATTTACTAACCTATATCTTCTCATAGTCGCCATCCTCAACGTTATCGCCTGTGTCGGTTGGTCTGCTTCCAACGCCATTGTCGGCGCACAGCTCCTCAACGCCGTCAACGGAGTCCTTCCCGGTTGGGCTGGTATCCTCATCATTACCTTCTGCACCCTCTTCATCACTTTCGCCGGTTACAAGGTCGTCCACATCTACGAATACTGGAGCTGGATCCCCACCTGCATTGTGTTCTTCATTGTGTTGGGCTGCTTCGCTCACTCGGGTGACTTCATCAACATCCCCATGGGCGTCGGAACCTCCGAGTTGGGTGACTGTCTCTCCTTCGGATCGACCATCTACGGTTTTGCCACTGGTTGGACTAGTTACGCCGCAGACTACACTGTCTACCAGCCCTCCGACCGCAGCCGTCGCAAGGTCTTTTTGTCCACCTGGCTCGGTCTGATCGTCCCACTGATCTTCACCGAGTTCCTCGGTATTGCCGTTATCACTGCCACCGAACTCAACGGCGGAGTCAACAAGTACCAGACTGGTTACACAGCTTCTGGAAACGGCGGTTTGATCGCGGCCGTCCTTGAGCCCCTTGGTGGATTCGGAAAGTTCTGCCTCGTCATCTTGGCCCTCTCCATTATCGCAAACAACTGCCCCAACATCTACTCCGTCTCTTTGACCCTGCAAGTCCTGAGCCGCTACACCCAGAGAGTCCCCCGTTTCGTGTGGACCTTCCTCGCCTCGTGTGTCTCTCTGGCTATCGCCATCCCCGGTTACTCTCACTTCGAAACCGTCCTGGAGAACTTCATGAACTTCATCGCCTATTGGCTGGCTATTTACACCGGTATCAGTGTTGCGGATCACTTCGTCTTCAAGCGCGGTTTCGGCGGCTACCGTGCGGAGATCTATGATAAGCGCGAGAAGCTTCCCCACGGTATCGCTGCTACTATTGCTTTCTGCTTTGGTATTGCCGGTATGATTACGGGTATGAGTCAGACTTGGTTCGTCGGTCCTATTGCCAAGCACGCTGGTGCTTTGCCTTATGGTGGTGATTGTGGATTCGAATTGGGCTTTGCCTTTTCGTTTACCGTTTACTGTGCGCTGCGACCCTTCGAGCTCAAGTATTTCGGTAGGTAGATGGCTCAGATGGTGGTTTGTGTATATATAATAGGACGGGAGCTGGACGGTGGATCTTTTCTGTTTTAAGTACTTATGTACATTGAGTGTCTAGATAGAGTGCATATCTTCAATGTACCTGTGCATTGTTGATTACATATATGCGGGATAATGTTCTTTCCAATGGTTACTTTCAAATATTCCGTTTCAATGCAGCACTTGAGATATTTAAAATACGTAAGGTGCCTATGTATGTACAATTGACTTCAATGTTTAATGTTCCAAGGGGTTTCCAGGATTCAAATGCTCGGAATCCATAGATGCACATGTGCACATGTGGATCTCTTAACATTAAACCAAAAGAACCCTAAATTTACTTTGATCCATGGATTTTACAAATCAACATTCGAATGTACTACTGACTAGGTATTAAGAGATTCCGTTCATCTTACAGATTGATAGCTAAGAAGTTACCTACATGTACTAGGTACCTGTCTGTTTAAGACTTTCCATTGATTTGGCACAAAATCCTCATACATGCTAATAATAGTACCATACATAATCCAACATTTCCTTTGGAGCCCGGATAAACGTTGAGAATGGATCATACATAGTAGCTCTTTAGATGAATCATGAAGCTAGCTCGCATAGGAATCATTTCAAATCCTTTCAAACAACAGGAGCCTGACCGACAGGCTTAGTTTTGGGTAACATCAAGGGAATCACATCGTTGACTCGGGTAAGAACCCGAGCCTTAACGACAGCAGTTTGCTCCTCCGTTTCCTCGTCCACATGGTAGACGCACGGGAAAACCACCATAACGCATTCACCTAGACGGGTGGATTCCGGCAACGCAGAGAGCAACTCTGGTTGGACTCGCATGCGCGTTTCAAAATCTATCAGATCCAACTTCCCCAGAAGATTTAGGCCTGCGGTGAGTCCGAAACGATGCCATCTCCAATGATATTTGTTTCCTGAGCATTCCATTTCGGTCGCCAGCTGGGAGGCGGGCTTGATTACGTCGGTCAAGAGGTCTCTGAGTTGTTTCTGCCAGAATTCGGTGCTGATGTCTGTCAGCTTCCTGAGAAACTCCTCTATGCACATCAATGTGAAGTTGCAGCTTCTTTCTAGCAGGGCTGGGTAGTCGACAGATTGGACCCATGCCCGGATCATGTTGACTCGCCAAATTCGGGCAGACTGGGGGGCTTGGTTGAAGGAAGAAAGGTTAGTGAGACTGCAAACTGGAAGAAGATCACTTGACTCAGCTCTGTGGAGGAGACTTACTCTGGGGAGGCTGGATGTGCTCGATACCATCCCGCAGTTGAGCGAGAACATTGCGTTGCCCCGGTAGCGCACCCGGTATGACGTTCAAAAATAGCGCCTTCACAATGGTAGCAATAATCCCAACTGACATCAGCTCCGGTTCCGCCTTTCGCATGCACTGATCGTACGATGCGTTGTTTACTTTGATAAACCCTCTTTCCTTCAGCCATTGAATAGCTGCAGGCCATTTTGTGGCGAAATTGTATGGGATAGGCACAGTGGTTGTCCAGGCTTCAATGTTGTCGAAGATTTTGTTCAGCCTCTCTGAAACCAAAATATTGGTGGTCTCTGGAGTTCTGAGGAATGGCGAGGCTCGGGCGATGTGATCGTTATTCATATTCTCGAGTACCTCAATCTTTTTCTTGCAGTCCATGAGTTCGGTTTCTGTTTGGGTGAATTGGTCAAAAAGACTGTCGTACATTTGAACGAGAACGTCGAATTCGTGCTGAATGCCGTTTATGGAGCCCAGAACCCTCCTACGTCTTCTGACGATTGACGGATCGGGCATTTTGTAGACTCGGTTTCGCGTAGGAGTCAAAGTGTAAAGCGATGAATGAGATGGGGTAGTGCACAGATGGGCGCTTGGAACAACCAGTGAAGAGACTGGAAACAATCTGAAAGGTTTAAAGAGAAGAAAGAAAGGAGTAAAAAGACAGGAGAGAGAGAGTTCGACGCGTCTAAGAGCGCGTAAAAGTTCAAGTGGTGGAGTAAAGGAAAGCTGAGATGGGTAAAGCACAATATTGTTGTTTCAAGTTTTATTTAGCATCACATCCGTTGGTGTGATGAACCAGAATCATCTTTCCACCTTTCTAGTATCTCGCCCAGTCTTTTCTTCTACTTAGTGACCTTCGTTGAGTCTATCTCATACTCCTTTATTCCGTTCTAAATTCGGATGTGAATGTACATACTACTAGGAATCTACTACTAGATATAGGATGCCAAGGTCGAAGCGTTGACTATCCAACTTTAGTGAGAGGTCCTCCATCTTGGCAACTTGATATTCAAGTTATGAGCTACTGTTAATGGGGTTTCAAGCCTCATCGCCAGTATCCTCGAAGATATTAGAAGGATCTGGACTTGGAATTAACATTAAATCCACGAAATTGGTGTATCGTCGGTGCTGCTCAGCATGGCCACTGGTTATGCGGAAGATGTCTGTCCGAGGCTTTTTGTAAAACCAACGTTAGATCTTGGGAGGGTCAAGCATTTTGATTGCTGCCAGATAAGTCCTAGAACTTGCTGATGGTTGTACTAGAAAAGAATTGAAGTTGTAGACTTTGTGTAGTTGTAGACTGCAGTTCTATAGAAGTGGAGACAATCGGTTTGTCATGTTTGTTTGTGTTCCTGAATCTGCTGACTAACAGATAAATACAGTCACGTGCTTCTCACCAGCCACAGCCACAGATCTGCGCCACAAGAAAATCGCCGCGAATAATGAAATCCACAACGGATTCGCCTGTGAAAGAATTCCCAGAAATTGAGCTTTCGCCGCAACCACATCACAACCACACACCATGTCTCGACTTGGGAAGTGAGTTTAACTCCAGAACCCAAATATTTCCCGCAATATCTCTCTAACCGCTCTTAAATTTTAAACAGCCGCGCCGACTGGGCCGACGACGAGGAATTTGACGACCCCTCCGCGCTCCCCGCGCAAGAAGTTATCACCAACAAAGACGGCACCAAGACCGTCATCTCCTACCGTTTCAACGATGACAACAAGAAAGTGAAGGTCACCCGCCGCATCAAGACTACCACTGTCCGCGAACATGTCAACCCTCAGGTCGCCGAGCGCCGGTCCTGGCCCAAGTTCGGTCTCGAGAAGGGTCACCCCCCCGGTCCTACATTCGATACTACCTCCGTTGGCGAGAACATGGTTTTCCGCCCCAGCATTAACTGGAAGGCACAGGCTAAGGAGGCTGAGAAGGATGGCGGCGAGAAGGGCAGCATGAAGGACCAGCTCAAGGACAAGAAGGTCAAGTGTCGTATTTGTTCCGGAGAGCACTTTACTGCTCGCTGTCCCTTCAAGGACACTATGGCCCCCGTCGAGGAGGAGGGTGCCGGTGGTGCTGGTGTCGATGGAGAGGACAAGGAGGCCGGTGGCCTCGGTGCGGGCAAATCCAGCTACGTTCCTCCTCACATGCGGAATGGCGGTGCTGCTGGCGGCGAGAAGATGGGTGGTCGTTTCGAGAAGGACGACCTCGCGACTCTGCGTGTCACAAACGTACGTTTCATCTCTATCTCTATGGGCGTTGGGTTGGTTGATTCTAGGAACGCATATATGAGTCTTGCGTTCCAGATCGCCTTTCTTCACTTTCCCCTTTTCATTCTTGCACTTTTTTTTTTTGGTTCTTTCCGTTCTAACGAGCTTTGTCTTCTCTCCAACAGGTCAGCGAATTGGCAGAGGAACAAGAATTGCGGGATCTCTTCGAGCGGTTCGGTCGTGTCACCAGAGTTTTCCTTGCCCGGGACAGAGAGACCCAGCGGGCCAAGGGCTTCGCTTTCATCAGTTACGCGGATCGTGGCGACGCTGCGGGCGCTTGCGAGAAACTGGACGGCTGTACGTATACCTATATCATGGCAACGGAACATGGAAATAGACATCTTGAACATGATCAGTTGAAGCTAACACATTCTTTTTCCAGTCGGTTACCGCCATCTCATTCTTCACGTCGAGTTCGCCAAGCGATCTACTTAAAAACGTTTCTCGCCTTGTCACGACATTTCTGGTTTTCTTTTTCTCTTTTCAGGCGGGCCTAATGGCTGATGCTCTTCTCCTTTGTACTGTATGATCGATAATGATGATTTTCGAGAAAAAGACGACCACCATGTCATTTACATGCATCAGTCTATACAAAAGCAATGGTTTAGAAGAGTTTTGCATGATTGCTTTCTTTAGATTGCTATAGCCACAACCCTTTGATTGTGGCAGCAGATTCGTTTAGTCAAATGTTCAGCTTGTCTAATCCAGACACTTTTCCCTTTTTTCTCTCTCTCTCTCTCTCTCTCTCTCTCTCTCTTCTCTCATTCACCAAACTCGTTGTTGACTTACACAAATGACATGCCGAATACCACTTAGGCCAGGTATCATCAATACTGACCAGGATAACATGATCATCCGCCATCATCTGTTCATCCTAAGTTGGAAAGGAGCCGTGATTATGCGGGCGTTTTGTTGACATCTAGTTCATCTAGTCCCTAGGGCCTAGTCATCTTTCAGGGTATACATCAGGCCCCAACGTTCAGAGCCACACGACAAGGGCATTTCCAATTTCAAGTCCAAGACCTTGCCACTTGAGCGTCAGATGGGGAGAGAAAACTTCGGACCCATTTTTTCCAATTCAAATCCCGCAAGTACTGGTACACATCTGTACATGACCTTGGTTTGACCAAAGTAGAACTAATAACTAGTAGATCTTACCATACCTAACCCCCAGGCTCCACCCCCGGCTCAACGCTCAATGCTCAACGAGCGGATATGAAGAGTCCCGGAAGAGGTCAAACGTGACACCCGGAACGCAGATCCTGCACTCAATTGCAACAGCACACAGATCTAGATCTCCAGCGTAGCCGGCTCATCTTGTCCTCCTGTCCCAGCGAGCACAAAAACCGTCCGTCTTAATTTCCCGCGCGTGAAATTGGGTTGCATCACGTTGCATCGGTGTTTTGTTTAGGAAAGAGACTACACTTGGGGGCGAGCAGGGTAAGAAACGAAAAGTTAACATGAGAAAGATAAAATGAAAATAAAATAAAAAAAAATCCAAAAAAAAAATCCAAAAAAAATCTAGGAAAGAAATGGGAAAAAATAGACAAAAAATAGACAAAAGCTTAACTGTGACTAGGGTAGACTGTCGTAGTAAATCGTCCAATCTTGTTTGGCCTGACTTTCACTCTGGCTTTCCTATTCCCCCCCTGACGAGCCAAATTATATCAATTGATCAGTGCTTTTGTTTTAGGGTTTACAGCAGTCCAGGTCCAGGACAGGGGGTAGATAGGATGGGGGAAATCAAAACTTTCCAAGGTTCTTTTGTATAGCTTGTTTGACTCATAGCGCTAGGAAGTATCTTAGACATTGGAATTCTTATTCCCGGGTTTTATTCCTTGTTATTTTTCACCATCACTAGGCTACCTCCGGAACTTGGCAGCTAAGTCCTGCCCTTGATCCCAATTGATCACAATCCCAATCATCATTCGAGCCTTAACTCCGCAGCTCCTAGTCCATATCTCATCCCTACCTAATCCCCGTCGCTGCCGATGTCGATACTGTCACTGTTGCTGTAGCTGTTGCCACGGATATGCTGTATGACAAGCCCCGGTACATGTGAAAGGCGTTCGTGACGTCCCGGTGTCCCATTGCCATTCGCCTCGCATCCACGTTGCGGTCGCCTGTCATATTCGGCATCTGCGGCCCCGTCTGACTTGACGGGGGTGCAAGCCGTGAAGCTAATTCGAGAAGGGTATCTCTTCATGGGTCACTCTCTGGATTGCTGAGGTCTTGGCCTCATGTCCATGAGCAGATTTTTTTTTTTTCCCCTCTCTTTAGTTTTCTTGGCTTTCTTCGCTTGTGTTACCGGGCTTGAGTTTCGGGTTGGCTGTTGCTTTCGCCCGAAATCAATACGTAGATGGCTGCCTGTCCAGGTGGGCATGATGGGTTGGATTGAATTGCCACGGTGTCTGTGTCTGAGAGAAAGCAACGTATTGATTTGGAAGTTTGAGTATACATCAGGCAATATGACTTCATTGGATGATTCTGTGGCTTCAAATGTTGTCTTGCATCATTTGAATCAATATTTCTCAAGATATGGATATCATACTTGTCTAGTCTCTTCTGCGCTGAGCTGACTAGCGCTGATCGGAGTGAAAAGTTATGTTGATCATGCCCACTGCAAGAGATTTCTAGTTCCCTAGCAGTAGTCCCGAAGTACCAACGTGCTGACTAGCTTGTAACCTGTAAGACCCCGATCCCTGCTCGGGGAGATTAAAAGTATCAATGCCCCTGTCTCTTTGTCTGGCCGAGAGGTGTAAAACAGATTCTGGGTCCCCATGGACCCGAAACTATGGCCAGGATGTTCAAGATCATGTTACGATCGGCACCGCCGGCTGTTGATCCTAGGTTGATCAAAGTTCGCGTTGATAGGACTTTTCAAGCACCAATTGGAGTTGTGGAGCGTCTCTTCTCTCATTCGCATCCCATATCCTTTCCCTATTCCTTGTCATATATTGCATAGACTTTCTCGCCCCCACTAGGTAGTGTTCCAGCAGTGGGAAACCGCTTTTGGAGACCATTTGATGTTTGCGGCATGTGCCACACTGAAACCTTGTATCCGGAGAAGAGACGCGATGAGTAATTGGTATGGGGCAATAGCTAGCATTGTGTTTGAGTTTCCATGAAGGAACCCGCCTCGAAATAGAAAAAGAAAAAGAGAAAGAGAAAATACCCGTTTCTTTCTCTATTCTAATATTTGAACTCTCTGACTATGGGTCCAGCATTCAATTGACGAATTGGATCAAGAGATTCAGGTTGAAACTTCGAAACGGGAACCAAGAAAGCCGGTCCAGTCCTCGGGCATCTCCGTCGTCTGGATTCTGGTATGCGATTTGAATTAGCTTGTTTGAACAAGCACAAATTGCGGCTGTGGAGATTTTCTTTTTTACTCTCGAAGTGACATTGTGTTTTTTTTTTCTCTTTTCCTCTTTTTCGTTTTTGTCTTAAACTTTGTTCTTGGGAGTAATTGGGGGAATATGAACCATGGATTCCCAATGGGGGCAAAAGTCAACATTGTTTTCGGCCGTGGGGTCCAAGTTCCAACGGCTTTCCCCCGGTGAAGAGAAGGGTGTCGGGACATTTGTTTCCAGTTGTATTGATTTATTTTTGATCTTTGATTTTCAAGGTTTTGGTTTTTTTTTTCCATGTTGGGCTTCGTGTCTTTTCGGCGCGATGCTGACGGGTCCAGGGTTTGATGTTTCTGGAGTCATATGCGGATCCACTTGCGGGATCAAATCCTAGAATAACGGGCATATATTTTAGTTATTGTAGCTAGGATTGCGGGACAAGAATAATATGAAGAAATGAAGTTCCAGTCTAGAATTTTACTTCCTGTCGGTAGGCGTCCATGCTTAAGTTTGTTTGTTGGGGCCAATTGTCGTTAGAAAGGTTAAAAAGACCGCATATCATGCCATATTGGACTAGGGGGATGAGGATGCAATCCCGACCTCTGGATATGTACTGAAGAAGGCTGGAGTGTTGATTTTTTGGTAGTTTCTTTGTCTTTGATTGAGGGCTGGGGCAATGCTCTCTCTCACAGTTTTTTGACTTTTTCCCTCCCCTCTTCCCTGTCGAAAACTGGGCATTCGGCCGGGTGCAGCCTGGGAATTGACGCGGAACTGGATCACGGTTTGTCATTTGCGCGCGCGAAATGCCAGTCGTACAGGGTAGCAGGAATAAGTTTTTCTTTTTTGCTTTTTTATTTTCCCTCATTTTTTTTCCCTTTCTTTTCCCAATTGTGAATGTATTCTGTTGCGTTGAGATATCAATTCATCCCCGCTAAGGGCCAGGTCCTCCGATCGTCACGCCAAGATCATCAACCCACTAGATCCGGTGGCACGTGCCCACGAGAAACCCTGGTCATAGATGGGAAAGGCTCAGGGATGACAATGAATTCCCGAAGTGATCGACTTGTCTCAGGGGGAGTATGCAACGTCAAAGAAGCCCTCAAACTCTTTTCTGTTTTGGCCCGATATGTATAGGCCGAAGCTCGAACCATGGACCATGGAGAAGTACAAGGGCGAAAATTTCAAATTGAATAAATCGTAAATTGTCAATCGAAAATCGAAAATCGAAAAAAAAAACCAAAGCAAGTCTGGCTAATCCCGTCCTCGAGGGAAACTCAAATCGAGATCAATATCAGATTTAGCATAGAGAAGTTAAAAAAAAAAGAAATTTTACAGTTTGGAAAGAACAGGTACCTGCAGAACCCAGTCATAGGGCACGGGGTCGAATGTAAGATCTTGAAGAGAAGCTCACGCTGCTCCGCAGGTTCCTGGAATCGGACAATTAAAGAGCTCGTTCTGAGCATCTCTTGTGTATGTATCTCATAGGACAATCCCGAGGGCTGAGAGGGGAAAAGTGATAGCTCGGAAATGGTGGAGCTTCGGGAGTCAGATTAGTGGAGTCGCTCTCGGGTACGGGGCGGATCGATCTGAATCATCTGATATATCAGGAATTGAGGAAGGGGAAAAGAAAATTTGAAGCAAATTTGAAGGAAATTTCCACCAAGTGGCTGGCTGGAGGAACATCTTATTCTGCAAACTCCCCCCATGGCACTATGGAAATTGTACATTTGATGCCCCCCACTATTCATGCGGATGACAAGTGTGGACGGAGTGAAGTACCAATCGACAACCGTGCATTGATGGCCATCGGGATCCTTCACCGCCTTTTTTTCGACATGCACGTGTGGGAAAAAAAAAACAATTAAATCACGGGAAACGCGCTTCTCCCATTCATCTCCCTTACCCATCTTGTCGAAAGAGTCAATTGGTTTGGATTTGGTAAACCGTCATTTTTGGATCCCCTCACCTTTATCTCTTTTTTTTTTCTCTCGCATGAACTCCCTTTTCTCATGTACTTGGTTCCAAGTTAGGTGTCACGCAGGGTGGTCCGTGATGAAGGAGAAAGGAGCTGCATAACATACCCCATTTCTTCAAGGCTTTTCATTGGTCCCAAACACATCTATCCGAATCCACTAGTCAGCACGCGTCGGGTGCTTTAGCTAAACTACTCGCACTTTTGCCATCTGGACCACCTAGCCTAACTAGCTTCCTGCGGGATGGACGATCTTTTCAGCCACTAATGCAGTGATTTCGACACGATCAGGTCTGGCGATTCCACTCATGGAGTTCAGGATCGGGGGGCATCTTTTGGATCTACATATGAGATTTAGTACACTCCAGTGACTCCACCTTGAGAAAAAAGCCACCAGTGCTGGGAGGGGCAATGGAGGGGGGTTGGATCCTTTCCTTTGTTGTTTATCTTCTCCCTACTAATCTTAGGAGTAAAATCAAATCCAATCAAACAAAAAAAAACCCTCGAAGTGAAGATTGAAATCAACAAAGCCCCCTTAATTATACAGACCTTTGGCTTCTATATTAGACTATAGCTGAAACGTTTTCTCCATAGATGTCTCCATGGAACCAGGAAAAGGCTACCGGGTACGGACCGCACACCACCATCCCTTCCCGCTGCAGCTACTTTAGGTCCCACATTATTTCCCAGTTGATGACATGGTTCTCGCTCTCGGTCTTAACCTCTTTTGCTCCTCTCGACAATTGGTTCGGGAGAAATAATGAATTAAAAATGAATTAAAAATGAACTGAAAAATAAAAAATAAGAATAAAATAAAAAATCAGAATAGGGAAGGAAATGTCACTGCCTTGATCCCCTTTCCCAAGGTTCTGTCGTTCTGTCGGTGAGGGCATTGCCAACATGCACAATGCAGCTGGCTGAATGGAAATTGCCGATCGTCTGAGCGTCTTTAGTATTGGAGGTCGGGAAATAATAATAGTCAAAATCCTTCCAAATCAGGACAAACTCGCAAATCCTTTAGTGCCGAATGCAAAAGAGCTCTGGGATGACTCCGACAGGTTCTTGAATTATCCCAGTCACTTGGGTCATTACATTATGCGTAAACAAGTTGGGATGGAGCAGATATCATTTCTCACATGGACGAATGAAAGATTTTTGGACAGACAGCCGGGGCCTATTGGTTTGTCGATCTTCCTGGTCTGATACATCTCAATCCCTGTCAGGTGGGAAAGAGTCCTGCACGGGTACGGATGTATGGGGAGAGGTGAGATGGGAGAGATGGGAGAAATGGGAGAGATGGAGTTGATGGAGATGGACGAGATGGACGAGATGGGTTAATCGTTTCCCTCCTACTCCGTAAGCATCCTAGTTTCATCTTATTTGGATTTCCATGCAGCGTCCCGCCTTCGGGTGTTCGCGCTGGGACATCTGACTTCATCGAAGACCAATGGAAAATACATCCAGCGTTGTTGTAATGTATGGTCAAGGCCTTATCCACTTTAGATCGACTTTGTCGCAGTTTCGGGTCCTCCCAGAGTCTCCACGTAACATGGACAATCTGACCAATGCCATGCTCCTTGAACAATCAAACTGTCCAGAGCTTGGACCAATTGTGATGTTACCTATACTTCTCGTTGGCTTCTCGTTGGTTCTTTTCTCTGTCTCCACCCCCCCATAGCCCGTTTCCCTTCCACTGACCGGGACCAGGATTACACCAAAAAAAAGGCCCATTTGGGTATTTCCTTTTTCTTTTTCTCTGTTTTCTTTTTGAATATTAGAATATTAGGATTTTCCTATTTCTATAAACATTTTAATTTTTCTGATTATCAAGGAAAAATCCGGATATGAGTACTAATTATGGTTGGACCCCTTATGCAGAATGGCTGCCACCCTGAATACAACGGATTTTTCGCCCTGACAGGGAACACTTTTTTAACTCGTGGCGAGAATCGGCCGATGATAACCTGAGGCTATTTTGGTTGTCGGGTTTTGTATTTTTCTCTTGCATTCATCCATTTTACTCGCATTATCTTTTTCCAATTTCCTCTGGTAGCTTACCAGGATACTCTTCACAAATATCAATTGCCTGGACCTCCAGCTTTCTTTTTCTTTTCTTTTTTTTTTTTGGATCTTCAGCTTGAGTTGAAAATAAAAAGGCTTTTATTCGTGCCAGCCACTGACAAGTTTTGATTTTTATTCTTCACCTGCAAATCTCCCTTCAAAAAGAAATTATTCTAATCACTCTCTCGGGGGAGGCTCTGGACATTCTCTGCTTGCATTCATTTTCCGTGCTTGGGGGCTTGTGTCCCCAAAAACTCTAAAGAGTAGAAGGAGAGAAGAGAAAAGAGAGAAAGAAAAAAAGACAGAAAAGACAGAAAAGACAGAAAAGACAGAAAAGAGAGGCTTAGAGTTGGGGATTTTCCCTATACATTTCTGTCCCACTGGACCACATCAGGTACTTTACTTTTTTTTTCCATTTCCTTTTTGCCTCCGATGTCATAATCTCCCTTCATTCGAGCAAGTTATTTTGCCCTTTTATTTCCTTTTTCTATCTTTTTTGTTCGCTCTTGTTTTCCCGAGTGTATCCTCGTGGGTAAATCTTCAGAAGGCCCATGACCTTGAACGTGCGCCCTGTGAGGAGTGCATATTGACTTCCCTTTTCATACTTCTCTATGCTGACTCGTCATCGATCCTCTTCACTCTTTCGGACTTTTCCTGAGACAATTTCTGCTTCTTAATCTTCTCTTCATCCTCTTTGTTCACTCCTTTCGTTTGATGGCATCTATGCTTTGAAGCCCGTTTCCCTAACTCTTCCTCACTTCCTACATCTGTTGCCTTTCCTGTAACCATTTCTTCAATTATCCCCACGTCAATCACCATCCAAATTCACGTTTGAATTCCATGTCTTGATTTGGTGATGAACTTCAAGTTGTATCTTGAAAGCAACAAGACACGCACGTTCTTCTATTCATACGCACACTGCCCCACTCCCTCTACTCCCTCTACTCCCCCACCATTACCACACTCTTTCATACTCCTGGGAAGATCCTCCAACTTTGATTTCAAGAGATACTCGAGTCTTCCATCTGTGAGGAAATATGTTAACTAGTGGACCTGAGCTCTGATTTACTAACTAGGCTATGCTGGTTCTAGGCAATCGTTCCTTCCCTCAACGCATCAAGAGACAAAAACTAGCGGTGTTACCTCAAGTATATTCTTGAGAATCTGAATCATGATGAATCCTTGTACGTTCTCTTTCCCTGTTCTTTCATCATATCCCTAGCAGCTTCCCTTTTTTTTTCCCATGTTGTCATGCTGTCATGCGGGTTACGCGATTCGGATTTGATTATCGGCAACTAATTCCCTGGATATCAGCCCTTCTACCTGATTCCTTTTCCATGGACTGCCCAGTCACTACAGAACGTGACTATATAAGTTCTCATGTGACAGGGTTTTCAGATGAAGACGAGAATCAACGAGTCGGAGGGCTCGCCTCTATGCCTGTCACCAACGGCGTGCGGTACCACGCACAACAGCCTGCGATGCAGGACTTACAGTAAGTAATTGCCTTTTAATCCTGACCGATTTGGTCTCCACTCGGCCACTCGACCCCTGGTCGCTGCACTTTCTCCGGGTCCGGGCAGCTTGGACTTTAGTCCAGCCTGGTTCGGTACCTTCCATACCGATCCGCTGCGTGCATGCGTTTTTTTCCCGATGTTTTGTCCTTTTTTTATCCAACTTGTCTCGTGCCTTGATGTATTTTTCCTTTCCTGGTTTTTGTTCTTTGCCGTTGCCATAGTTCATGTTCAATGTTTCTGTCTTTTTTTTTGATCCCATCACCACCAACCCCTCCTAGCCCTTCTCATGAGTTTTGAAGTAATAACTCATGATTTGGTGTTGCTTTCAATCTATCTCACTGCCTTCACTTCAATCTTTCTTTTTCAGTGATGTGACCGTACTAAAAGAAAGATGTCTTATAGTTACTCTAGCTCTTCTACTCTGGCGATGACACCTCCTGATTCTGTTTCCGGTAAGGACATTCTTTCTTGCTGGGATGCGAGTTGCCGAGTAGCCGTACTGATCAATGTGGTATCCAACAGATTCTTTCTCCCCAACATCTAACCCGATTTACCCATACCTTGCTCCGCATCAACACTCATTTAATCGCATGAACGAATTTCCACGAGGGCTAGCTCTGTAAGTTTTTTTTGAAGCATTTTGGTTCTTTCTTTGTTTGGCTCCAAGACACAAAGCTGATGGCGCTTTGCGTAATATAGTCAACCACCTACTGGCATGTCTTCTACTATGCAGGCATCTTCACACGCAGTCAACTCCATTCCAGCCTTGATGGGACGAAGCAACGCATATGCTTCTTCCTATAATCTCAACCGCGGCATGGGTTTATCTCCAGTAGGACTCAATGAGGTTTCTCGCTCCCATCAATATTCGGCTGCTCCCCGAGCTCTAGATGGAATTCTAGATCGCCCTCAGACCATGTTCCAGCAGTCGATGGTGGAATCTTCGCCACGGTCTCAACCACAGTTCGAAGCACCGCCTTTTAACGACACCAATATTCTAGAGTCTATTGTGGCTGACTTTGGAAATTCGCAGACGGTAGTGAAGCCTGACATTCAAGCAAAGATAGGACGAGGTTTTTTTGCCTCGGACGGCAAGTGGACGTGCTATCGCCGCAACTATTTCGCCGTCACATGCAGCTTCAGTCTTCAACCGTGGACTTCATCAGTGCCTCTGTATATTAGGCATGATGGGGGTGCCTTGACGCCAATTCGAGGCTTCCAAATGTCTATATCTGCCATTGTCAATGAGCAGTATACCGAGACTCGCGAGCTGGTCCAGCATACGCCAAAGAGGGACAAGCAATCCGAACGAAAACCAGGCCCTGTAGCCCTTCAGCCTGCACCCCCGCCATCTTTGGCCACAGGGTCTACGGGGAACGGGCATTCGAGTTTTCCTCTGACCTCCCAATCCCTAGACTACAACTCCTCATTCTCCGGCGGTCCTCAACCCTGTTCGCCCCCGACATCCCACATGTTCGAGCGTATCCAGTTCCAAAAAGCAACTGCTAACAACGGCAAACGCCGTGCCTCGCAGCAGTACTACAATCTTGTAGTGGAACTTCACGCCGAGATAGCAGACCCCGTAACGGGGGAGTCAGAATCTGTCTTGGTCGCCCGTCGCCACTCCCACCGCATGGTCGTTCGCGGTCGCTCCCCAGGCCACTACAAGGACGGGCGGCGGGACAGCACGGCGAGCATGGGCCCGGATGGTAGCAGTGGCGACGGAAATGGTTGCCTCCCTCATGGACTGGGTCAGTCTACGCGCTCGCACCTCATGATGTATGACTCCGCCCACCGAAGCGCACTTCCTTACGGACGAACGGATTATCGGCAAATGGCCAAGGCGGAACATTCACATTCACCTTTGAGTGATAGTCCGCTTGTTTCATCCTCGTCTTCGTCTGGCTTTGATTACTCGATGATTGACGATACTATGGATCCCATGGATACTTTGAAAACGTCCCCCATCTTGGACTATCAAGATCCATTCACCGGGATCCCCCACCATCAACAACATCACCATCATCATCGCACTAGCACAGGAAGTGGTGGTTATGACCCCGTTTATTCGACATCGAATTATGGACGTTATGACCCCGTCCAAAATCCGCATAGCCTGTGCACTTGACCGAATCAGGCCACTAATGTCGATTGATTTCCATATATATTCTTTGGGTCTATTCTACCTTTCTGCTTATTTTTGACTTTCTTTATTTTTTCTTTATGATTTTTCATATGTGAATTAGGTTTTTATCTGTTTCGAGGCATTTTTTATGTGGGAATGGCTGGATGGGGGAGGGGGTTTACGGTGCAGAACGGCGCGGGAGAACGAATTATGGTCCTTTGATCGATTTTGACCTTTCTTTATTCTTTATTTGTCTTATTTCTACTTCATATTTTTTTTTGGAGAATTCTTCAAATTACTGAAAACTTCGGTTTCTTCTCATTTATTCACTTCTACTTTGATATATCTTGATCTATGCCCAACTACTCTTTCTATGTTGGGAATATCAACATTGAAAGTCAACGGGCTCCGAGTAACCTAGCCGCGTCACGAACTCACGGATACTATTGGGCAAAGTCATTTTTGAACCCTATTATTTCCTCATTTTTCATTTTTTTTTCTTTTTGGTATTATGATCTATCTTTTCAAGTCGATGTGGAGGGGAAAGGGAAGGGAAGCAAAGAACCATACAGAATGCTATTCGTTGACTTTGTCCATTGATCAACCACCATACCAGATACAAGATACCTACCAGACACCACAGGCCGGATATCTACTGATACTGATACTGATACTGATATTGATCTGAACATGAAAGTTTCATCCCATTCTTTGCATGTGTTTGCCTGCACAATCTCACATTGCAATTCCCCGATTCGATTGACTTGGCCCGCCAGGAACCGTTATTTGCTGCGGTTCTGGTTGCATTTTCGATATACCAGGGTATTGCGGAATTTTTGCAGGGATCTTTGGGCCAAGTTCGTATAGATGAATGTTAGAGTAAGTCGTTGGTACTGGTATTATTACCAGGTTGGAGGCCAAGATTTGAATATTCAAAGGTTATAGTCTAGTGGGCATAATCCATGGTATATTCGCACTGAAATAGACTTGATATTTCTACCTAGGTGTGTACTTTCAGGTATTTCTTTGCATTTGCCTAATATTTCCAAGGTTTTATTCTTTCTCCACCCACATTGTACTTTGTACAATTTTTTTTTTCTTTTTTTTCTTTTTGACTTCGAATTTCATCATGATGCTTTACTAGTACAAGGCCACCCACCCACCTAGAAAATCCGGGTTCGTCTACATATTCAAAGTTAGTGGAGCAAGGATTAGAGAGAAACAGCCCCATGTGCAGGGTTCAAGAAAATTAAGGAACCGATGGAATGGTGGCGCTGTCTCAAGTCTCTTTTTGAACCCCCCAGCACCAAACTAGATCATTTGATTGGCTACTAACAAGTTGACTAAAGCAGGGTCACCAATCAGGTAAAAGATGCTAACGGGGAGAGAAACGGCAGCAGAGGAATTAGGCTTTCCACTTGTATGTATCTGGAGGCATTCAGCAAGGGTTAATCAAAATGTGTGGAGACCTGGCCAGGTGCGCAGGTGGGCACCGGTCTACAATTTCCGTATAGGGTAGAAGAGCGCGGTCTACCTTGAGTAGACGATGCGTTAAGCATGTCCAAGGTGGTGCTATGATCTCTTCGAGTGTTAGCTCGTTCAATGTTAACATACATGTATATCATCAAAAAAGTAACTATAATCCCACATAGTCCACATAGTATACATATCATGTGTATCATTGTATTATTATTGGATACTAGTCCAGGTACTAGTTTATTAAAGACAAGAAAAGAAGAAAAAAGAAAAAAAAAATAGAATTTAATTCAATAAATTAAAAAAAAAAAAAAAAAAAAAAATTCAAATTCAAATTCAAACAGGAAGTATACATTAAAAATAATAATCAAAAATCAAAAATACAATGCAGATGCAGATGCAGATCCCATGCTCTCATCGCCATCGGATCGACGGTGCATGATTTATTACGTCTCAGCTCAGCCCGGTTTCTAAGGCCAAGAACCAAGGCCAGAACTCAGTGGCAAGGCATTTCTACATCTGGACATGCATCTCACTTTTATGTTTATTGTTTCTTTTTTTATTTTATTCTCAAGCACTTGAGGGTGTGGAGGACTAGTCTCTAAAGGGAAGAGGGGAAAGATCCCCTTATTAGGCAATGTTGACTCATTCAAATGTTATCCTTGACATCACTAAGCCAGAACTAGTTAACCACTTGAGGCCTGTAGCCTTGGATTTCCAAGGTTTGACTCGATGACGATGATCTTCATGCCTCTGTCAAGTATCACAAGGTTATGGCATCTCTCGTGATTCAGGCTTCCTGCGGTTCGGCAAGTTCCGGGGGTTTCAGTGTGCTTTGCGTCTGCACCTGTAAGTAACATTTGAACTGTCGAGGGATATGTCAGTTAGGTAAGGTACGGTACTTAGGAGTCCCGGCTATGGACCAGGGTGCGATGCAAGTTCAAATCTTAGTAGGAACCTCATTTAGTCTGGGGTTGTGGAGGAGAAACTTGGGACTTTGGGACTTTTGTGAGGCAAAAGTTCAAATCTTGAAGGTGAATGTCACTACTACCGTCGTATACTATAGGTTCAATGATTCCGTCTTGGCTGTGAATGTTGGCTTGGTCTGGGTCTGGGTCTGGTCTGATCTGATCTGATCTGTTGTGTATAGTATATTGGGATCGTGGCAATAAGACACTAGTTCGTACTTTTGCTTTCTTATCTTTTATGGCTTTGTAGGTAGTCAACATGTCTTTTGTTCGAATGCTTGCTTTTAACGTCTTCTTTACTGTGTTGATTCATTCCAATCATCTCTTCGAAATGATCATCTTCGACACCTACCCAGACTCAATAGCAAGATACTTGACCGGAAACTCGAAATACCAAAAATAAAATCCAACAAATAAAACGCCGTTTCAGCCTCGCCTCCTTTTCCCAGGGCCCTAGTAATGTCGTACAAAAGCCGGCGGCCGAAAGAGAGGACCTACACTTGAACTTTCCATGCAGATACAGTTCCAAATGCATATGCGTATACCGTATCATCCAGTCCCCCGTCATCCTAGTCACTCTAATTATTCTAGATGCCTAGTCTAGTCAGCCTTGTCACCTTTAGAAGAATAGGCTTAGTCTTGGACTCAAAGTATTATACCCAGACTTGCGGGTTTCTCAATCGTTGTTGGTTTCACGACAGAATCAAGGCGCCTACTGAATGATCCGATCACGATCGAATCAGGATTCATCGGATCATAACTGGATTTGTCTTTTTTTTATAAAAAAAAAAAGTCTGATAGGCCGGGCATTGTTTTGGTATTTGTGTTTCTTTTTGCATGGGTGTGAGCTGTCAAAAACTTGGATTTTCTTTTCTTTGCTATCTCTCTATATTTGCATACATTTAATCCTAGTCAACATAGCATATGCTTCTTGTTTAAGACATTTGGACCCTGGGTTGTTCGTGCAACGGAATCTTTCTCTGCGTAACCGCCCTTCAATGTAGTGCTCGGTATGGGATTGCTTAGGCCCTTGGACTATTCGAGTACTTCGAGATATACCGTTGATAGAGCCTAGTACATAATTCTACTAGATATTAACAGGGTTTGGATTTCCAGCGATGGAGCCTTGGAAAGTAATCTACTTATACTCTAGTACTGTGGGTACACTATCTATGGATGAGCCCAGTCTAACCCTAAAAACAATACATCCAACCCCTAGGTACATATCAAGTATGTATATGTATACTACATCTATACATGGTAGCTTGAGGTCCATACATATGTGTTCTACATTGATATCTCAACCTTGACTATTGAACCTACATATGCGCATACATACCTAGCAATGGATTTTTCCAACTGAAATGTACCTAGTCAGCCCCAGTCTCCCCGTTCCAAGGTCGGAAGTCTCGCAATTGATTCGAGATTGCACATGCATCTTAATTCAAATTCCAATCCCAACCTGGATTCGATAAAGTCTGGACCGGGTTTCGGGTGCTGGATCGGGATTCGAATCTGTCCGACCCTTTCACCCCTGATTGAAGCCAGCGGGGATGGTTGATTTCTCCGATGTTCCACCTCAACGGCTTCTGTCATCATCGTCGTACTTGTTTCTCTAGACAGGGCTTTGATCTTCCAAGGTTGTTCTACGGAGGATGGCTAGGTAATTGGGCTTGGACCCTTAAATGGCACGTGAGGCTTTGGATTCGGGGAGTCGGATTGGAGTTTGGACGAGGGTTCGGAGCAATGTGATTATCACGATTATGAGATATTCAATGTTGCGGACTCGGATCAATTAATAAAGACTGGCTACATATGTACAGTACATATGCGATGAATCACTAGAGAAATATGTTGGAATTTTGGCAATTGGCTGGTTGGCGCCTGGATAAGTATAGACATATGCAGACAGACACTTGGGCAAACAACAGTGGACATAGATGAATAGACAATATAGAACAGGAAGCCTATGCAGAACCTATATTCAACACGACAGACATACATATTGCATCGAGTCAAGGCAATCACTTTTCGGGATTTCCAAGGTTGTTGAAGTCGCAAATGCACCATCTGACCTGACAAGCCGAAACATCCACCTGCGGCTCGCAACGCATCCCTATTCCGACCCCATCAAGCCCGGAGAATAAAATACCCCGGAAATGATTGGTCTCTCAAAGCCCCGACTGGCAGAAATCGCGATCTGGACTGGAGACACCACTGCCCGCTCAGCCCCCAGGCCCTGGACAGATGATTTGGTTTAGTTTGATTTCCGGACTGGCGACAGCGCAGAAATTGCGATTGAGATTGTTCTCGGGGAGCGGCGCATATGAATGAATTGAGGAATATGATACCGCCTAGCTTTTTTTTTGTTCCGTTTCGTTTCGGTTGGTACTTGCATGTGCATGCGCATACACCATAAGGAATGATGCGGATATGAGCATGGATGTGGGCATAGGCAGAGACTCTCGTCAGTAAGGTCTGAGCACACACTACAAAGATGTATATGCGCGGGTGGGCGAGGTGCTGATTCGGTACTGCCGGACTTCATGATCATGTAGGGAGCATGGACCAGGGTGAGGGTGGTGATGATTGTCACTGGCACGGTGGCGAATTATGGTGAGCTGGCTTGTATGGAGCGCGAGATTTGGGGGTTTGACCCTTTCAAGTTCCTTCGAGTAGTTTGCACTGCCGGTTGCTCTGCACTGTGTCCAAGGCGATATGGTAAATGTCGACAAAGAGAGTGAGCCCATCGATTCCAACATGACTGGAAGATAAATCAAGCAAGCCAAATTTATCCAATCCACAGGCCCCAACAAGGCTCTTTAACAATTGATTTTGTTGTTCATTGTTGAATTCATTTCGCCCCGTTCCCCTTCTCATCCTCCACCCGCGACACCCGCACAGCAAGCTGGCGATCCAGCGCCTCCTGCTCCTCCTTTGTCGACTGCATGCCAAGCGCGTTCTCAACCTGGGGGGTGGTCCATAGTCCGATAGTCGCCCAGGCCATCACGCCGACGCCGAAGAGGGCTCGGGTTTTCGGGGTAAGTCCGCGGTAGGTACTGTATAGCGCGAGGGCATTAGCATAATTGGTACGAACAGGTTGCAGTAGCTTAGTGAGAGATCCCACATACCTCCAAAGAGACATTCTGGCTGCTATCAGGGCAATGGAAATTCGCTTCTTGCACGTGAGATGGGTTGAAGATCAAGCTGGAGATCACGTGGCTTCGCGTAATGATCTAACCTTATCTAGTAATCTGAGGCTCTAATTCGTTCCTGGTGTTCCTGGAGGTTCCTGGAGGTTGCTGTCAGGTACCTGTACCACGCTGTCAGGTTGTTTTGATCCTGCTGGTGGTGATGGTGTAACAGTGGCCGAGGTACTGTGAACTGAATAGGACTTGATTTCCAGAAACCCATAAATAAACTACTGATATTAAATAGCAGGGGTATTTAGGGTAACCCTTCGCAATTTCATGTCTGTATTCATCACTATCTCGTCTAAATCGTGGCTTGGCGAGAGGACAAATGCATGTCGCCACAGGGAATAGCATATCAACAAGGCTTGAAATAGCAAATCAAATCAAACGCGGTTCGGGGGTAACAGAACGAAAGGAGACAACAATAAAGAGAAGAAAAGAAGAAGAAGAAGAAGAAGAGTGAAGAGTGAAGATTAGACATGGTATACAGATAGGCGAGGATATTCAACAAGATCTCAGACCTTCCGTCACTTTTAAGAAATTATCTATTTCTTGCCGTAGGCCTTGTCGATCTCGGACTTGTACTTCTGAACGATCTTCTTGCGTTGCAGCTTCTGAGCAGCAGTCATGTAGCCCTGGATGTAAAAATTGATGTTAGTTTTTGGTCACACGGTCGCTGGGGTTTAGACTGGCACTTACGTTCTGGGGAGTCCACTCCTCATCGGACAGAACAACACCGTTGATGATCTCGATGCCCTTGAGACCACCAGAGCGGCCGTTGCTCTGCAATTGCTGCAGGACAAGACGCTGGAGCTTCTCATTGTGGACGAGGGTCTCCAGGCTGTCGCCCTCAATACCATTATCATTGGCAATCTTCTTCAATGCAATCTCTACAGGGACGATAATAGCGATGGGCTTGTCCTGGTCCTCGGCGGCGTAGACACAGATGTTGCCAACAACCGGGCACGAGCGGTAGACAGACTCCAGCTTCTCAAGGGCAATGTACTCGCCGTTCTGGGTCTTGACCAAGTTCTTCTTGCGGTCGATAATTTTCAAGTGACCGTGCGAGTCGAACTCACCAATGTCACCGGTCATGAACCAGCCATCCTCAGTCAGGGCAGCCTTGGTCTCCTCCTCGTTGTTATAGTATCCAGAGGTCACACTGCCACCGCGGATGAAGATCTCACCCTGAGGAGGCTTGTTCTTGGCGAAGTATCCAGCATCAGGGAAATCGACCAACTTGATCTCCACCGATGCGGGCACCTCACCCAGAGCCTCGGGGTTCCAGGCCAACGGGTCATTCAGCGCACCCATGGCGGCGGTCTCGGTCAAACCATAACCGCCGATCATGGGCGCGATGGCCATGGACAGGAACTTCTGGGTATCCTTGGAAATGGGGCCACCTCCGTTCATCATAATACGAAGGCGACCACCAGTAGCGTCCTTGAGCTTCTTGAAAACGATAGCATCAAGAACGCCAGCACCGAAGTTGGCGCCAGGGAAACCGTTGTTCAAAAGGAAGTTCTTGGCAGCAAAAGCACCCCAGAACATACTCTTGACAATGAAGCTGGTCTTGTTCAGGTTGTTCAATACACCCTTCTTCACGGTCTCCCAAACGGCCGGGACACCGACCAAGACGGTGGGCTTGAACTCGCGAATATCACCCTTGCAGTTCCGCACCGAAGTATCGGACAGTGTGCGGGGGTTACCGTATCCCATGGTGCCACCCCAGAACAGGCACAGGTTCTCAAACATGAACTCCAGAATGTGTGCTTGGGGGAGATATGTAAGCAGGGAGTCGGTGTGTCCAATACACTCTGCGACGACGGCGTTGACACCAGCGGTGGCAGCGATGACGTTGGCGTGAGTCAAAGAAACACCCTTAGGTGGACCTGTTGAGCCGGAGGTGTACATGATACAGCAGAGATCCTCAGCCTTGGGCGGCACGGGTTCCACGGGGTTCTCCTCGCCAGACTTGCGCAGCTCCTCAATGCTCTGCACGGAGATGTGGCCAAAGTCGCTCTGCAGCTTGTCCAGGTCCTCCTGCTTCACTTCGGTATCTGTGTTGTAAATGATGTGCTTGATAGATGGGATATCCTTCAAAACGTGCAGGAGGGACTTGATCAAGCCGGGGTCTAGGAAGATGGCATCCGAGGCGGTTTGCTTAAGGGAATGCGCCAGGCCTTCCTCGCCCAGGGTGTCATAGGCAGTGACAATGGTGACCGATTGGGAGGCAGCACCGTGCGACATGGCCAGCCAGTGTGCACTTGTGGCTCCATAAAGGTGAATGCGGTTGTCCTTCTCGAGGCCGAGCTTACGCATACCGGCTCCAAGCTGGAGACACAGCTGCTCGTACTCGAGGAAAGTCTTGTAGGTGTATCCGCTCAGCTCGAAGTAGGTCCATTGCTTATCCACCTCGGTCTCGACTCCATCGACGATCTTCTTGATCTTCTTGTTCTCGACATGTGTCTTGATCAACTTGCGGCTTCCGACGGCCTTGCTGTTACCGAACAGGCGGGCGGAACGGCGGAAGTTATCGTAGGTGGTCGCTACATCCTCTGAAGGACGCAGGATGAGGCCATCCTTGGCTGACGGGTGTCGGCGGGGAATGGTCTCTCCGGCGACGGGTTCGTAACCGGGGACCTCGACGGAGAAGGGGCCCTTTTTGACCATTCGCGGCTGGATGGTTGTCAAGTCGCGCTTCGACATGATGGGCGTCTTGACTCTCAAGGGTGAGAAAAGTTTTGATTAAAATGGGTGTTTCTAGGAGGAAAGAGGAAAAAGCTCAGGAAATAGCCTGGAGGATTCAGTGACGTTAGCGCTTTCTGTGGCGGCAGCGAACGGGGCCAAACAAGGGAAGCTTGGTCGGCAAATGCAAAGCTTTACCCGGAGAAGCCAGCCAGCAGTACCAGGACCCATTGAAAAGAGAGAGAAAAAGAGTTCATGTACCTACCAATCAATACTATGCACGTTCCGTTCCACGATAATGCAAGCAAAAAAAAAAAAGCAAAAAAAAAAAAAAAAAAAAGAGGAAGCTCAGGAGAGAGCTGCCACGATTTTAATGAGTGATGTGGCTGGGGGTTTTTTTCTCTCCCGTACCAATGACGCACTTGGTTAGTACATTAAAACAATGAAAAGAAATCAGTTAGATCAAATGGCTTTTTAAATGATAAGTTAGTTTCAAATGTTGTAAAAGATTTAATTTCAAAATGAGGCTATACATTAGATTGACTACAAATTCATATAGCTATGTAATATCAATCTTGGAAAGCATTTGACTTGGTCTAGCTTTGGTAGATCAATTACTGCTTTCTGTAACTGTTGGGGCCCAACATGTAAGGATTTGAAGTACACGAACTGCAAATCTACATATCTTATGCTTGGATTCATGATGCATTTGCTGCTGCTTGATGCTGCTTGCTGCTGCTTGATACTGCAAAGAACTACTAGAGTATTCGGAGACACGTGATCGCATGGCTTTCACCTCCAAGTGACAAGTCACACATTTCACTTTCTATAAATTTCAAGTTACATCAGAATGAATGCCATCTCTGCACTCCTCGCCATTGGTGAAGAGGTCACCGATGCCGAAGAAGGTAATTCACCCGGAAATGACTTGCGAATACGAAGGCCTCGTAACAGATCAACTTACTGCATTCTTCAAATCCCATAAATAGAGTCCTTTTTACTTTTCAGCCAAGAGATCACTGCGGGAAATCTCGGATTCCTAGACTCGCGTGCAGCTGCAGTCGAAGTCTCAATACATGATCGTGAATATACCATTCATCAATCTCCCACTTTGCTCTCCTCGTCACGAGCTGGAGGCACGACGGGCGCCGGTAAGCTTCCTGTGACCTGTCTGATCTGTCATTCATCCCCCGCCTCGGCATGACTATGCACGGACTCGAATCAAAATAAATCACCCCGCAGTTTTTTTGGTCTTAAAACGTCCCAAGGGTTCAGGAACAAGGTGAGCCGAGCCGAGGCTCCGCTTCCGGTCTGGCCTTTGCACGGTCATTTGAATATTGGAATTTTGATTACTCCAGCTTAACGTGACTGCCATCATATGATTGGCCCATCTGTTTCCTAGCTCTGTGAAACATTGGAAACTCATAATCTGCAGTATAGAGTCTAGACTATACACTGTTCTTGATTTCAACCGGCATTTCTTTTTTTTGACTGTCGTCCATACTCAGTGCTTCATGGAACTAACCATGTGTTTCTCTAGTCCTGTGGAAAATCACTCCCTACTTTGCAGAATGGATCTCCTCGCCAACAAACCCGCTCTGGACAAATTCAGTCCTAACTCCAGAGTCCATCGTCGCGGAACTAGGGTGCGGTATCTCCGCCCTCGTTCCCCTATCTCTAGCCCCATCAATACAGCACTACATCGCCACGGACCAAGAGTACGTGCGCCGATTCTTCCGCACAAATCTTGACGAGAATGCTTCTGTCAAATCTGGTCCATCAAAGCAAAAGATTGGAAAATCCAAAGGGAGCGGTGGTGGAAGTAAAAAGAAGCATACATCCTCCAAAGCGATATCTCCCGCTGCAACTGCGACAAATATCACGTTTACGACACTAGACTGGGAGCTCGATCAACCCGCTTTATTAAAGGATTGTATTGATTCTCCAAACACCATCGATGGCGATGAGGATAGGGGCTTCGACCTCCTCCTCTCTTGTGATTGCATCTATAATGAAGCGCTGGTTTCACCTTTCGTGCGGACTTGTGCGGAGATCTGTCGCTTACGACCAGTCTATGAGCCTTTGGCTACAAGCGATGACAAGTCGGCGAGGCGGCCGACGGTTTGTATTGTTGCGCAACAGCAGCGGGCGCCCGAGGTGTTTGAGATCTGGCTGAGGGAGACGTTGAGGGAGTTTCGGGTTTGGAGAGTTAGTGATGAGGTGCTTGTCAGTGGGTTGAGGGGTGGATCGGGGTATTTGGTACATTTGCTTTTGGCTAGGGAGCAGTAATTTGCTGTTCAAAGACTGTGTGTAGCCTGTAGTATGTACATATTTCATTGGAAGACGATCTTCACGTGTACCTCTCTACATGCATTATAGTATACATGCTATGTAACCCTGGAACCTTGGAAGTCAACTGGTACTGCCAATAAGGTGGGAAGTATGCGCATGGGTACCTGGGTATTTTGGAACGTTATCCATTGTGCTTCCAAGGTTGCAGGGTATCTGCATTTTGGGGCCATGTTCGGGACATTGTGCTCAAGTACCTACCTGGGTAAGTGCTTCACCCAGTACAATCCCCATATGTCTACATTGAGTCTGCAGATTCAACCTTACTTACTAGCTCTGGAGAATCTCAATGTCATTCAATGTTAAATATGTTCAGCTTTGAATATGCGAATTACCTATTGACAACCTTAGCTCTGCCAACCTAACAATGTGCGGCAAGAACATGATATCAGGGCATATAACATGGGCAAAAAGAAGAATAAAGTAACAATGCACTCAGATAGGACAAAATGTGAAAAGGGTATTCAGATAAGAGGTAGGAGAATGACCACAAAAGGTTAGGGAAAATAAAATCAAAATCAACTAAAACAAGGGCTGCTGCTGATGATGCTTTGATGCAAATGTGATGATTTTTTGTCATATCGATGCTATGTATGCGCTCATGGTAGTCATTGAAAATGTACCACGGGATTATGTAAAATTATGTATGAGGAATGGGAAGAGAACAAGCGAGTAAGAGAGATATTATGACCAGATGAGAAGTCAGAGATCAAAGATCAAAGATCACTCAGTCGCGGATCCCTCCTTTGGCTCTGTATTCTCTTTCTCGGGCGAGTATTCGAATTTGCGCTTCACAGGCACGGTCTGCTCCAGAATAGGAGTGGGCACCTGAGAAACGGGTTCCGAGGGACCCAGTGAAGCGAGAGCTTCTCTGTGCTCTGGTTCGGGTGTACGGTCGATTATGGATGAAATAGATTGTTTGACCGAGCCGTGGAGTGAGAGCTTCGGGATTGGGACGGGGGACATATCATGAGGACCGGGTATGATGTCGTGTGCATCCGAGAGTCCAAGGCGATCCGATCCTTCTGTCTTGACACGGTATGATTCAGGCGAATCTTCGCTTTCCTCTGGGTCCGAGTCTAGATCCTCGTCTCCATCTCCGTCCATATCCATGGGTGTGGCGCTCTCTGCTGATCCTCGGTGGTTCGTCACCGGGGGAAGAGGCGAGTTGGGGTCAAAGACAATGCCGCAGAGTTCGAGGGCACGCGATTGACTGCCTAAAGTGCGGTCTTTGTGTTTCTTGGTTAGGTGGCACATGAAGCCGTGAAGGGTGACGAAGTCTGATTTTCCGCAGCCTTGGATAGGGCAGGTGAGATAGACTAGGCTACCGTCTGAGGGCCTTTTCCACAGAGCTCGGCCAGATGGGTCGTGGGCTGCTGGACGGCCGTGACGCTCGCCCCATGCCTCGACGTTCTTGATGGTGTATTTTTGCTTGCGACGGATGGATCCAGGGCCGTTCAAAGAATCATGGTGGACAAGGTGGTGCTGGGATTGGGGAGGTGGAGGTGCATGATGAGGTTGGTGGGGTTGATGTGTTTGGTGAGGCGGATGCGAGGCGTGAGGTTGGTGTTGTTGGTGAGATGAATGAGGAGGTTGATGAGATTGATGAGGTTGATGAAGATGAGTTGGTGGAGGCATAGGAGGTGCTTGTTGTGGCTGTGGGACAGGAGGAAGAGGAGCCTGGCGAGGCTCTGGTGGACTCTGCTGTTTGAAGAATGCCAATGTAGTAGCTGCGCTGGTCTCTGACAGCCGGCGCGGTGGTGTAGGTCGCAAGGGTGGCGAGTCCGCTGCATGATTAGATCCCAAGCCCATAGATTCTCTCTTCATCCGCTTGCGCTGTCGTCGAAGATCCTGTTATGAGTCATGGTTAGTATATTGTCATTCCTTGACGCAGATGGAAAGATATAGAAAGCTAGAAAAGAATATGTTTACCTCTTCCTCTATCTCTGCACTTTCAGTCAATCTGCGAAACTCCTCATCTTCCCGCTTGCGCACCGCCAGAATATGACTCCTGGTAGCCATTCTGTTCATTTCCTCATGCTCCAATTGGCGCAGACGCTGCTCGATTTGTTCTAAGGATGTTGGGCTCGGTGTTGGTGGCACGGGCGGGGGACCCGAATGAGGGTCATGCATCAAAGGTGGTGCAAAGTGCCTGAAATGATGATTATGTACCATTTGATCAGGTGGAGGCATTGCTGGGTGTGGTGGAGGGTTTGGATTCATGGCGATAGGATGGTAGCGTGGTAGACCGCTGGGCAGATGTCCTCCTCCGTTAATCCCACTGTCAGAGACAGAATGAGGCACCAGCGGTGCAGTAGTCATAATGAGATCGATCTTTCGGGATTTTGATTCTCCAAGACAATTAAAGGATGCTGTACCGGGTTGTGTTTTCTTTTGCCCGTATGTATATTAGGAGCACAGTATAGGGTGCCCAAGTTGGTAGGGTAAGGATAGGGACTTCAGGAGGAATACAAAAGCAAAAAAGCAAAAGCAAAACAATCGGACAGAAACGGTTCCAAGGAACAGAAGTGTAGTGTGGGTATACGGAGAAAATGCAGAGAAGGAAAAAAAAAAGTAGCAAGACCCAGTTCGATCTATGGGTCGACGTTTAGGGAAAGATTGACCAAAGTCTCCGTTTACCTATGAAAATCCAATTAAAAATGGATTAAAAATATCTAAATATCCCGAAATAATAGCAAAGCTCCTCAGATGCCAATTGCAGTAAATTTCAACAAAATGGAAGGGAAATAAATCAGAAAAAGGCGAAAATCAAATTCCAGAAAAGAAGAAAATTGTAAATGACATCCACTAGCGTGACCCTTGGGCTGCACTCCCGTTAATGCAAAAATTGCCCGTAACGGTCAAGTAAGGGATTTTTTTAAGATGTGACGAGACATAAGAGTTTTTTTGGGGGGGGGGATCTAGTCTGGTTTGTAGTTTAGCGCAGTTTAGTGTTGATTTCCTTGGCCTAGTGGACTTCAGAGCTTGCAATGAAGCAAAACCAGTTTGGAACAGATGCGGTCAGTGAGCAAATGCTTCCCTGGATTGGCTCGGCGCTAAGCACTAGACCCGATGGAATCAAATCAGCATCTAAAGTACACCGATTGTACAAGCTATTTTTAATCAATTAAAGTACAGTATAATTGTGTTGATCTCTCAATATTATCCAATTCAAAGGGTCCGGGGAGAGATGAAAGTTTTCCGTATATACTGTAGAACTTGAAGGATCAATAAAACCCCCAAGTGCATACAATCATTGTACTTGACCAAAACAACTGAGAAATAGAAAACAGAAAAAAAAAACAGAAAAACAGAAACAGAAAAAAAAACAAAAAAAAAACAAAAGTCAGCTGACTCCACATGATCCCCACCGTGGACTCTTAAAGAGATTTTCCTGAGGAAACACAGAGTAGAAGCTTTGTATAGTTACACCTCAGAAGCCATTATTATGACTCCTGCATCAGGACAGCCCAATATGTATACAATATGTATAACAATAGAATCTGCATCGAAAAGGGGTCAGGGGGAAGATTGAATGTGTCAAGTCCCAACATTAAAAAAAAAAAAACCAAATCAACATTTAATGTTGAATTACTTACAACCAATTGAACTTGGTTTAAAAAAAAAAAAAAAAAAAAAAAAAAATTCAAGGTTATTGTTTCCCTCATTTCTTAGGGTTATCGGATCATGTCCGTGGAGAAATGCAATGGGAAAGTATTGTATTGCGTTGATCTATCACCTTTTTTTCACCCTTGTTTCCCCCCTAATCTAAAGTCAAGCTCCTGTTGCAATTTCAATTCCCAGTAATAATTTCAAGGTACAAATCATTCCGGTGACCAATGGTAAAGCAAAGATCTACCGTGAGGATTGCCAAGACAGAACGTCATTGGGGGAACCAATTAGGTAACACGAAGAACTTGACGCTGGTTCCATGGTCGAAGCTGCTGGAATTACGATAACATTCAATGTTAAGGGGAAATACTGCATTGCAAACATTTGAAAATGAATTGTCAAGAGTATACATATCTACAGTTTAGAGTACACTCCATATACAGAGTAACAAAAAAAGGGGTGTTTGGCTTAAATAGTAAATACTAGGTACACGGCTACTTACTGTAGAATTTACAAACAGAATTAACATTGGAACATTGAATACCCATCTTCTGCGTCTCCGGTATTCCGTTATGGGTGGATTTATTGTCTGTGTGGCATCGATCTAGTGAATTCCCGTACTTGTTCCAGTCTTTTTAAGATTTTTTTTCCCCCCTAAGCCCCTCTCTTAACCTTACTCTATACATAAGGGGGTTAAGAAAAGGCCAGGAATTACAAAGATTTACTATAAAGATTGAAAAGCCTAAAAAGGGGGGGAAATAGGGGATCGGGAGTGGACTGGGAACTGCGGTAAGGGCACAATCACAATTCACACTTGTACAGGCGAATAGGCGAATAGGCCATGACAGGTACTCCGTAAGCAAATCCACTCCAATGGGAAATTGCTTTGCTCCACCAAGTGCTAATGTCTCCGCTCAGCACTAACTACTGGCCCCTAATGTATCCTAATTATGGATCTATGAGATCCATGACTCCGTACGGATGGGGATTGGAGTCAAGTGACCAAGGTTGAATCATTTTTAATTTTACTAATTCCGATCTTGACCTTTTCTTATGGATGATTTTCACACTTGATATTTTTAAAAGTACAAGACGGGGCAGTTACAGAAAAAGCCACCAAAATCAAAAAAAAAAAATTACTAAAAAAAAATTTCAAAAAACTAAAAAATCAAAAATCAAAGATTCCTCTCAAGTAAACACGATCATGAAGAAAAGTAGAAATATCAACGTTGAAAATTCAAAAACCCCCCCAAAAAAAGGTCAGAAAGTGGAAATCAATCCCAAAGTGGAGACATGGGAAATAATCATACACAGAGGGGGCGCGCTAAAGGAGAATGGTCTCACAAGTGATCGACGAATGATTGATGACAAAAGTGATGTCGTTTTGGAGTTTGGGAGTTTTTCTGGATTTTCTGGATTTTCTGGATTTTCTAGCCATGACCTTGATCTGGGGGTTTTGTAACTAGTAGTACACTCCAGAGAGCAGAGAGCAAAAGAGCAGAGACCAGAGAGAGCAGAGAGCCTTTTCCGAACCCCCAAGTTGAAACTTTACGGCCTTTTCCTTCAGCAACTCCGTCTTCTCCAGATGTATAGCTTAAAATAAAAGTTAACTTGTAAATAGATTGAAAACAAGTTTCAAATGCGATCCAATAAAACCCCCCGACCGAATTGTCCCTCAGGCCTCGTAAGTGACAAACATCAGACCCACTTCATAGCCCAACTGGATGTGTACAACGATGATTTGCCCACCAGCTGCAGGGAAGCTCTAATGCACCTCGTTATCAAGCACCTTGGAGAGCCCAATATGGTCCCAACTCTGTCTTGATCCCTGCCCATGTGCTATACAAACATGGGAAATCCAAGTCAACATGCAATGTCAATAGATAATCCATATCTCCATCAGAATCGATTGCTCTAGACTTTTCCCAACATTGAAACTGTGCACTTAACCTTTTCTCCGCTCCTGTACTCCGTATACACATTATATGGATCAGCCGTCCAAAAAGAAACAGAGGCGCCACACACAAGACTGAGAGTACGGAGAACAGATTCATAAACATCCCAGGCATTCATCCCCACTCCGCGTTGGCAGCCCGTTTCATGCAAGGAATCGAGCTTTTAGAGGCGATTGGTCCATCTACCAGTGCACTAGCTTTTGGGATCATGCTTTTTGAGGTGTAACAAATTCAATCTAAAAATCCAATCCCAATTATGGGTAAATAATCATATGAATGGATATATTCAAGGGGGGTTTTTTTTCCTTTGCCTTGGATTTTTTTATTTGTTTGATTAGAAAAAAAAAAAAGGAAAAAAAAAAAAAAAAAAAAAAAAAACAATAAATCTGAACATTTGAAGGCGTGAGACTCAAATAGATTGGCCAGTCATTGAAAACGACCGTCAAATAGTTTCGAGCTAAGGAGCGGATGACCATCCCGGTTTTTGTGGAAATCACAAACGTCAAGCTGCATATTGGAAGAATATGGCAGGGGAGAATTTCCGACCTATCATTTTCTCCTTCCTTCAAATCCTGCTAACTTTAGCTTATACGCAGATTTCATACTTTAATATATGAAAGGGTGGGTAGTCCTGAGAGGGAGGCTTGCAGGATGCATTTCGGATGAAAAGAACGTACAGCCGCGATGCAATCTCATTGGCCTCAATATTGGGGTATACAATACAACGATCGTGGCGCGCTGAGAACCACAAGCAATTTCTCTCTACCGCCCGTCATCCCTCGAAAAGTCAGGCTACACAGCAACGACGGTAACGGGAACAACCATCTTACGGGTAGATGCAATTGCAAAAGTTTGAATCAAGGGCTAAGAGCACTACAGAGTATAGAAAAAAAAGAAAGGATTGTTTGGAAAAGCGAGAGGAGAATGGTCCGATTTCTATTGTCACATGCACCAGGAAAAAAAAGTCAAAGCCTGCAACCTTTTTTGGTAGCCCCCCCCCCCACCCTGTGCCGTAATGTCATTAAATACAATGGTAGACAATCCCGGCTTACTCTCTGGAAGGCTTCAATGCCGTATCACAAGAGGTAGATGGGAGAAGATAGGAGAATAGAGAGAAAATGAAAAAGAAAATTGATCATACAAGTTGGTAATCAAACACCGATACACCAGAACAAGAAAGGGGGATAAAAAGGGCCTTGAGAAGTATGTGTACAGTTGATGCGAAAAACAGATGCGAGAGATGGAGATCAGGGGAGTCGAGTCTCTAACACAAGGCAAAGGAAAAGGAGAAAAGAAACATAGTAAAAAAATACATGGGCCCAAAGGCCGAGAGTGGGAGCGCTAAAGTGAATGCAGTATTTACTGCTTGGTCTCACCCTGCTGCTCACCACCCTGCTGCTGCTGCTGCTGCTCGTTGTTGGCCTTGTGCATCTTGTCGAACAGAGTCAGGGAAGCGGTCTGGAGCTCATCGGTCTTCTCCTTGAGCTCCTCGGCAGTGGCGGTACCCTCACCGGACTGGTTCTTGACAACGAACTCACGGAGAGTGGCAATCTTCTCCTTGATGGTCTCAGCCTCGGTCTTGTCAAGACGGTCCTCGAAGTCCTTGAGGGCCTTCTCGGTATCGTTCAGGACGGAGTCGGCGCGGTTGGCGGCCTCGATGGCGGCCTTGCGCTCCTTGTCGGACTCGCCGTACTTCTCAGCATCCTCAACCATGGACTGGATCTCAGAGTCAGAGAGACCGGAGCCAGAGGCAATGGTGATGGACTGATCCTTGTTGGTAGACTTGTCCTTGGCGTGGACGTGAACAATGGAGTCAGCGTCGATGTCGAAAGCGACCTCGATCTGGGGGACACCACGGTGGGCAGGGGGGATGCCAACAAGCTGGAAGTTACCCAGCATCTTGTTATCCTTGACGAGCTCACGCTCACCCTGGAAGACCTTGATCTCGACAGCAGTCTGCATGTCAGCAGCGGTGGAGAAAGTTTGGGACTTCTTGGTGGGAATGGTGGTGTTGCGGTTGATCAGACGGGTGAAGACACCACCCAGGGTCTCGATACCCAGAGACAGAGGAGTAACATCGAGCAACAGAACGTCGGTAACCTCACCAGCGAGGACGGCACCCTGGACAGCAGCACCGATGGCGACAGCCTCATCGGGGTTGACGGACTTGGCGGGGTCACGACCGAACATGGACTTGACAGACTCAGTAACCTTGGGCATACGGGTCATACCACCGACCAGGATGACATCCTGAATGTCACTGGACTTGAGACCGGAGTCCTTAAGGGCCTTGCGGACGGGTTCAGTGGTGCGGCTGATCAAGGGGTCAACGAGGGCCTCGAGCTGAGCACGGGTCATCTTCTGGTTGATGTGGAGGGCACCACCGGCACCGGCACTGATGAAGGGAAGAGAGATCTCAGTCTGGAGGGAAGAAGACAGCTCAATCTTGGCCTTCTCGGCAGCCTCACGGATACGCTGGATGGCCATGCGGTCACCAGAAAGATCGACACCAGACTCCTTCTTGAAGTTCTCCACGATGTTACGGACAAGGTGGATATCGAAGTCCTCACCACCAAGGTGGGTGTCACCGTTGGTGGACTTCACCTCGAAAACACCCTTCTGGATCTCCAGGACGGAGATATCGAAGGTACCACCACCAAGATCGTAAACAGCAACAACACGGTCAGCCTCCTTCTCGAGACCGTAGGCAAGAGCAGCGGCGGTGGGCTCGTTAACAACACGGAGAACGTTCAGACCAGCGATCTGACCGGCATCCTTAGTAGCCTGACGCTGGGAGTCGTTGAAGTATGCGGGAACAGTGACAACGGCGTTCTTAACGGGCTTTCCGAGGTAAGCCTCGGCGGTGTCCTTCATCTTGTTAAGAACGAAACCACCAATCTGGGATGGGGAGTACTTCTGGCCCCGGGCCTCGAGCCAGGCATCACCGTTGGTGTGCTGGACAATCTTGTAGGGAACCTCCTGAATATCGCGCTGAACCTCAGCATCGGTGAACTTGCGACCAATAAGACGCTTGGTAGCGAAAAGAGTGTTCTCAGGGTTAACAACGGCCTGCCGCTTAGCGGCAACACCAACAAGGCGCTCACCATCCTGAGCGAAACCAACGACGGAAGGAGTGGTACGGGCACCTGGAGAAAGATAAAACACGTTAGTTTCCAAGCTCTCTTCATTTATCACAGGAATCGCAGGAATGATCAAGGGCGAATCTTGGATGGAATGCTGGCATGACTGCCAGGGGAAAAATTTTCACGTACCCTCGGCGTTCTCAATAATCTTAGGGGTCTTGCCCTCCATGATGGCAACAGCGGAGTTGGTGGTACCTATCATCAGAAATGTTAGGTCATTGCTCTCATACGATGATTTCGAAGACTTTTATCATGACTTACCCAGATCAATACCGATGACGGAGCCCTTAACCTTCTCCTCACCACCCTCGGTGGAGTTCCATCGACGGAAAGCAGCGCCGGGAACTCTGGAGGTAGGAGTGCGAGCGAAAGCGGCGCGCGGGAGCTATAAATTCAAAAAAAAGTTTAGTAAATTGTTATTGCGACGCGTGATGGATGCTTTTTTCCTGTCGCGGAAAAAAAAATTGTCAAGCCGTGACTTACCGCGCGAGACATGCGAGAAGGAAGCATTGTGAGTTAAATTAAGTAATACAAAAAAGGAGAAAAGGGAAAACACTCGAACGAATCAATCGCGGAGTGATGAAGGGGTATTAAAAGGGGAGGAGGATGGAGATGAAGATGGAGGAAAGGAAGGAGAAGGAGAGAGAAAGGTTTTGCAGGGTTTGGAAGCTTATGGAATCACGGGACATTGCCGGGGGACCGAACTCACCGCCCGAGTTGTGCCGAGTCCGTTTTTCGGTGACGTTGGTATAGAGTTCCTTGAGTTCCGCTAAAATCTTTTTTTTTTTTCACTTTCGCCTCTGCCTTTGCCTTTCATATCACTGAAGTATATAGTATGATCTTGGAGATATGGGCTTGGACCCCTGCAATATAAACCTCCCTTATTTTTCTTTTCCACCGATATCGGGTTTCAATCCACCTTGTTGTCCATGCAGTCGAGCTGCTATAGAAGAGATTGCTTAAATAATAAACCCAGATCTTTCTTCCTAATTCCTTGTCTCTCCCCCTTATAAGTAGATTCAGCTCTCCGTTAATGTCTGGTGTGTTGAGTATATTTGTGTTGCCTTCTTATTATGGGGTTGGAGTTCAACCGGGGAGGTCGTGTGACCCTCCCCGGTCCTCGATTGAGAAGTAGACGATGATCGGAATATCGATCATGGCGGCATCAGATGGCTCCGACTAGGGAGAGTAATCTTGAGTATGGAGGTATGTACGAGAAGCTTATGAGCTTATATGCTTTGATTTAAAATTATTTAAACTTCTCACAAATATTTGAAATACATGTTTCAATTCCTTATACGGAGTATGACACCCCATCTACATAGTATATACCTTCTGTAGTAAGTTTATCTTCCCATAAAGAAAAACATCCAACAAGTACCCTGGAGTTAATCTTCTAATTCAAGGCTCTCCCTTCTCTTTTTACATAATTTTCTTTTCTACATACGGATATCGCATCCGGTAATTTGATTTGAATTTTTTTCAATTCTTTGCCTTTAGTTCCTAGTCAGTGCAACCGCATTCGCTCCCCGGGTTTTAGCTCCACCCAAGTCTTACGTCATCAGTTTGAAATCGCATGCTACTTAGCCTCAGATAGATTCAGCTCTCCCAAGTGCTCCTCAAAGCTCTCGATCGGGTTTGGTGGCGCTCTCAGTCTCTGCAATTTTTCTATCAGACAATGTCGCCGCGGGCGTAGTCGCTCACCATGACCTCGGACTCGCTCATGTGAGTTCTTTGTCCCACTTCCCCTCCAGCGCTCTCTGCCCCGTATCATGTCGATCGGGCCTTCTCACATTTCAATCTTAGACATCGCCCGACTGAGTCCCTCATCCTTCCAAACAAGCGCCGCTTCTTCCCTTTAAAGATTCCCAACTTGTAAGTCCCTCGGGCTGTCTTCGCCCCCTGACCTACGTCCATGGATACATGTAATACGTGTGGCAGTTCATGATCTGACAACCCCGTTATAGCCACCTCCAGCTGCGCCACTACATCAGCACCGCTGATCCTGATCGCATTTATGTCGTCGTCGATCGAATTATTGTTGCGATCCACATTGCGGCGCAAAAGCGGGAGAGCATAGCCGTCATTCCGTTCGAGCCGCGATGCTTGGCGGCTGGACACGGGTGGATCGCAGTGGGTGGGCCAGAAAACGGTGAATGCGCTTACATCAGGATCGATGAGAGTGAACTACAGGTTCATGATGAGACGTATCCACCCCGCCCCTCCGATGTCGATAGTGCGCTTCCCCTCGACCTAGAACCACCGTCCCGGCCCCCGTCGCCGGGAGCGTCTGGGAGCGCCTCGGCACGTCGTCCGCCCAGACGATTATTGCCAGAACTCATTTTACACAAGTTTGGAGGCAGTATAGTCAACTCTGTGACTATCCATCGCTTCCCCGGTAATGGCGAAGGCACCTTGCACGAAGATGTGATGGTCCTCAGGTACTATACCAAAGCCTAGTTCCAAACGTCGGTTCTATGTTAACCTGCCATCCATAGTAACAACGATCATACCGTGACCGTATATTCCTTGACTCGATCCAAGGTTCTCAAGATCATACAACATTCAACTTGCATGAACTATACAACTATCTCCCCAGATCAGACAATCTTGGCTGCAGTGGGTGATGAGAATCGAGTATATTTTTATCGAATTCTGCGTGACTGGGGGCCAAATGCGTCTATAGAAACAGATGGCAGGCTCGCGGGCTGGGAATGGGAAGAGCTAAAATGCATCGAGATTGAAATTGGCACACGTGTCGATGATGCTTGCTGCTTTACTATTGCCTTTTCACCATCGAGCCACCTGTGTGCTATAGGCTCCCAATCGGGAGTCATCACTGTCATAGATGTAGAGGTCGTTCGCCAGGCCTCAGGAAGTGCCGAGTCCGATGAAAACCCGATTCTCTACCAGTTCTTAGCTTCCAGGCCCTGCCAGGAGGGTGGAGCTGTGCGCTGCATGACGTTTTCCCCCGAACCATGGGACTTGTTGGTATGGCTGGAAGGTCAGGGGCGAGCTGGCATCGCAGATGTTCGCCAGTTCTTCGTCCGTAGGCAAATTCTAGATTTAAGTCTTGATGATCCACAGCTTCAAGCGGCTCGTTTAGAGCCGATGGGAGAAGATTCGGATGAACAGTCTATGGACGATGACGACCTGGCCGTGCTACCCCCACCTCCACCGCGACTGAGGATTCATGGCGATGATACCGCAGCTGAGCGAGGCCTGGGAGAAGCCGATCGCTCTTCGGCGCGAGAAAATATAATGCAAGATCTCAGTGAGCGAGAGAGATTGATCATGGATTTTTTGAACACAGCACGGTGGACTTCAAGGCTTGAAGAAAGACTCACCGAGCGGCCAGAGCGGCCCGCCAGAACGAGCTTGCACCCTCATCATGCTCGCACGCGACACTACGACCCCACAGATGGGGTCACTCGAAGCTCTCATCCCAGTTCACCCCCTAACCAATATGATTCTTCCGAGATCGCTCGCGATGTAGATAGTGAATTATTCCTGCCACCCCCTCCACCTCCACCGCGCATGGGTCATTCCAGACGAGCAAATGCTCCTTCTGAGAGGTCGTACCATGCTAGGCGCCAAAGCTCGATTGTTGTCTCTCAAGGAAATCGACCTACGGAAGTCGAAAATTCTAACCTCGATCCCCAGCCGAGTCTGACCCTTAGTTGGACAACGTCACCATCTGAGCTCCTGTCTACCGGATCAGACATTACCTCCCGGGCCCTTGATTCAGATCTTGTCGATCACGAAAATGACTCAGGTCCAAGAACACCAGAGGCAATAGGACCCTCCCCAGTGCTCGACCTCGGCATTTCCTCCGAAGCTCTCGCTAGGCTTCGCCCTCAACGATCAAGCTCTACCCCGCGGCGAACTGAACGACCCCAGACCGCGACAGAACGGAGATATGATCCTTCGAGACTCTCTAACTATGAAATCAGAGCCAATGTTGCGGCGGAGCGTCTTCGACGTCAGCAGCGCCCAATACCAAATGAGGTACACAATCGCTCCTCAATTGAACGAGAGCAGAGACATCGCCAACACTTTCTTGGTTTTGAACAGACACACTCCCCTCGTTGGATCAGAAATATCATCAACGACTTACCTGACCGAAATTCAGTCAACGGCTCTGGTGCCAATGAGCCAGACGCCACAGCTGGGCTGGGTTGGGGCGCCGACGGAAGAACATTGTAAGTTCTTTCCAGACTACAGCCATCTTGGTTGGATCTAACCGATCATTCTATAGATATTTAGCCACAGTGGAGGGAATATTTGAGTATCAGCTAAACATACACGACCGCCGAACTTTTCCGTCAATCTCATACCGATAAATACTTGGTTGGCGACTCTAAAACCACCCACGGATTATTTCTATGCACAGGGGGCTCCTGAGTCAACTGGTGTAGACCGCACTATGAACGGCCACGAATTCCCTTTCTTCATTCTTTGGTGGCCTCCTTTCTTTATTGGAAGAACCGATTCCTTTCTACTGATCTCCTTTTACCGCTATTTTTTTCTTCTCTGTTGATTTTGGGCTCTGTCTGGTGTGTTCATCCATCTCTTTCACATATGCTTCAGGCGCTCGGAGTATAAATTCTTATAGCCATTCCCTCTCTCATGTTTTGCAAAGTGTCTTTTGTTTGAATGGCTGGTCCCGGTACAAAAGTTACACGGCGTATGATATTCTAATGACAATGATTGCCTAGGTATGAGAACTTCCAGTAATTCCGGGGGGCTTTGGAGGTTGGTTTCATATAATGTTTATTCGCTATCTAGTAAGTAGGTGCCTTACATATGTACTACTTTCTAGACATCAAATTTTGCCAGCTATTACATCAAGATTACGTGGTAGTACTTCGTATACTTCGTACTTGGGATAGGTAGGTATAGTATGTATACTCGGTACTTGAGATAGATATCGTACTCACCAGTTGACGACTAGTACTCTGCCTACTACTTTCCTCTTTTCAAATACCAACTAGAGGAATCATGTGATGGAATCTTTCACAACCACACAAAAAGTAAAGGGAGGGGGCAATAGTACATAGTACATACTACCACTACTATGTAGTACACACTGCGTACTAATGTACAGTTTTACTACCTTTGAAGTGGGGACTGTAGATCTCATTCGATGGCCGTATAGGGAGGCGGTCAGCTACGGCGATGCCCCACACTACGTCAATAGGCATATAATGCCGGTCACCACCGCCTAGAGCTCATACGGACAAAAAAGCAAGGTGGGGAGACATTGGAAGGAAGGCACTTTCGTGACTTAGATTGTCTCTTCAACCACAATTGTTTGCACCACCTTTCTTGGAAAACAGTGACTCCGGATTTGCTCCCAATTCCCAATTTTCGCCCGGTTCAATAGTCGCCGCATTGACCCCAGTTTCGACTTGTCCTCCACTCTCCGCGTTGACTCGAGCCTCAACAGACTTCAGAATCCCTGGCGAGGGCTGCACAAAAATGGCTGACTCGTTAGCCATGGCGTTGTCTCGGCTTGACCTGGATGCCAAGAAGAGCGTTCCAGCATCTGTTGAGGCGCAACTCGCTGAAGAGGTGGCCGGTACATCCGAAGGACGCGAGACGCGTAAACCAAGTACTAGCAGGCATGCGGATGAGCTTCTGAAAGATCTAGAGCATGAGTTCATCCATCCCTCCGCTACATTTAGCCCCATATGGCTAAACCGGCTGCAAAAGTATGTTAGCTGTGAATGCGTGCCCGCATTAACGTCTGGACTGATTAATGTCAAAAATGTTACTGATCATCTATCGATAGGCGATGGGATGTCCCGACAGACTTGACGGAGCTTTTCGAAGTCGCGCCCACACAAACACGTACCGTCATAAGATTCACACGCGAAGGCCTAGAAGGACGGGTTACTGGCTATCGAGAGGTAACGGTTCCGGCTTCAAGCATCAATGCTAAGAACTCAACCTCGCTCCTTCGCCGACCGGCTGGCCGTGCAGACTTTGTTCGAGGCGCAGCAGGATTCTTCCCTTTTGCACCGGGCGGCTTAGAAGGGGTAGAGGTCCTTGCCGAAATGGAGGAAAGCGAGGAGTTCGTGGAAAAGTCGCGCTATAACAAGCAGGGTGGCTTGGATCGCATAATCAACTTCGGATCAGAGGGCGGATTATTGACAACGCCACCTGGATTTGACCGTGGCATGAAATTCACGGAAGAAAAGTCTAAAGAGGCCACGCAGACAGAAGAGGAGGTCGAAGATGCACTCACCCAGGAGGAGAGCGGCATTCAGGCCGACAAACCCGATCAAAAACATAATAACGATGGAGATGTCAACGTCAACACCGCAGACTTGGAATCCCACGATGAAGGCGAGGAAGGCGAGGAAGGCGAAGAAGATATTGATGATCTATTGCCAGTCGAGTTCCCTGCGCTCGAGCCGCATGGCCCGCTGCTTGCGAGTATGAAGAGACAGAAGGGCCGGGAATGGGCACACGTCGTAGACATTAATAAGGAAATCCCTAACTTCCACGATTTGGTCCCAGATATGGCAAGAGAATGGCCATTTGAGCTGGATGTTTTCCAAAAGGAAGCAGTCTATCACCTGGAGAATGGCGATTCGGTCTTTGTTGCAGCACACACATCAGCAGGAAAAACAGTCGTCGCTGAGTATGGAATTGCGTTGGCTGCCAAGCACATGACCAAGGCAATCTATACATCACCCATCAAAGCTCTCAGCAACCAAAAGTACCGGGATTTCCGCACCGAGTTCGAGGATGTCGGTATTCTTACCGGTGATGTGCAAATTAACCCGGAGGCTAGCTGTCTGATCATGACAACCGAGATTTTGCGGAGTATGCTTTATCGCGGTGCGGACCTTATTCGAGACGTTGAATTTGTCATCTTTGACGAGGTCCATTACGTGAACGATCTCGAGAGAGGTGTTGTGTGGGAAGAGGTCATTATCATGCTTCCTGAACATGTCACCTTGATCCTATTGTCAGCTACCGTACCGAACACCTATGAGTTCGCATCCTGGGTCGGCCGTACGAAGAAGAAGGATATTTATGTGATCTCAACGCCCAAACGGCCTGTACCACTGGAGCACTATCTCTGGAGTGGAAAGGACAAGTTCAAGATTGTTGACTCGAACAAGAAGTTCCTTGAAGCAGGCTGGAAGAATGCAAACGATGCCTTGTCTGGTAAAGATAAAGAAAAGGCCAAGAAGGAGGCTGAGGCTCAGGCTCAGGTTCAGGCCCAGGCCCAGGCACAAGGTCAGGGTCAGCGAGGAGGTGGTCGAGGGGGAGGGGGAGGAGGACGCGGGCAACCTGGCATCGGAAGGGGTGGCCCACGGGGCGGTCCACAGCGGGGAGGCGGTCCACAGAGAGGAGGCGGTCCGCAGAGAGGAGGCCCACCGCAAAGAGGAGGGAGAGGACAAGGTGGTCGAGGAGGGCCTTCCAATCGTGGAACAGGGAACATTGCTCGCACTGGGCGCGGAGGCTTCCGCACAAGCGCTGCGCAGGATAAAACGACTTGGGTTAATCTTGTCTCGCATCTTCGCAAAGAAGATCTACTTCCCGCGTGTATTTTCGTGTTCTCGAAGAAACGATGTGAAGAAAACGCGGACTCGCTGTCAAATCAAGACTTTAGCACCGCCAATGACAAGAGTCAGATCCATATGATGATCGAAAAGTCACTCACTCGACTTAAGCCCGAGGACCGAACCCTTCCACAGATTCTTCGCCTTCGAGAGCTTCTGGGCAGAGGTGTCGCTGTGCATCATGGCGGCCTGCTTCCGATCATGAAAGAAGTTGTCGAGATCTTGTTTGCCAGGGGATTGGTCAAGGTTCTCTTCGCGACAGAAACCTTTGCAATGGGGTTGAATTTGCCAACGAGAACGGTTGTTTTCTCTGGATTCCGCAAACATGATGGCAAGTCTTTCCGCGACCTTCTACCTGGCGAATATACTCAAATGGCGGGACGCGCAGGACGTCGTGGTCTTGACACAGTGGGTTACGTGATTATTGTCACTTCCGGTAGTAATGAAGCCCCAGCTGCTGGTGGTTTGAAGAATATGATTCTTGGAGACCCCACAAAACTCAGGTCACAGTTCCGACTCACATACAACATGATTTTGAATCTTCTCCGAGTGGAAGCACTCAAGATTGAAGAGATGATCAAACGAAGTTTCAGTGAAAATGCCACTCAAGCTCTTCTACCGGAGCACGAGAAAGAAATCAAAATCTCCGAAGAGAGCCTGGCCAAAGTCAAGCGGGAACCTTGTGAAATATGTGATTTGGATATCGAATCTTGTCATACGGCTGCAACAGAGTACAACAGGCTCACTACGCAGCTACACAAAGAAGCAATGTCGTCACCTATTGGAAAAAGACTTTTCTCCATGAAGAGATTAGTCGTGTACAAGAAGGTAGGTCGCGAAGACAGATTTTGTCTAATTCACACGCTGACATTTTTTAGGATGGATTACGAACTGCTGGTCTCCTCGTAAAAGATGGTATCGGCGGTGGCCCGACTCCTTGTCTTCAGGTGCTTGAGATCGGCACAATCAGCAGCAAACGCCACCCCAGCTCTATCCTACCATTCTTGCCTAATTTCCGACCATATCTTGAGGCACTCCCATCGAGCGCTGCTTCTATGTACCTTAAGGTTGTCAAGATCCCACTGGACGACCTCGAATGTCTTACAAACACAGAAGTCAAGGTCGGGGGACCTATTTGGTACTTAAATATCAAGAAAGGTACGTAATATCCTTGAATCCTTTGAATAGTCACGAGTCTTGTGCTAACAATATTTCCCCAAAAGAGTGTATCAAGTTCGCTGACAAGGAGTTGGTCAAATTCACCAAATCCTGGGTTGATTCGGCTTGGGATGAGGTGGACTGGTCGCGGGTCAAGGAGTTGCAAGTGCGAGAAACTCTCGCCCAACGGGATGCCCAGATGGAAATCATAAAGTCATGCAAATCCTACTCGTGTCCGGATTTCCTGAAACATGTAAGTGAACTTTTCCGTCCGTTCTGCTAATGATTCGGTTGGTCGCTTATTCATTCTCTTCACAGTATGAAATGCAAAATGATATGTGGCAAATCAAAGACAACATTTCAGAGCTGAAGAAGTTGATGTCCGATCAAAATCTTCAGCTGCTTCCCGATTACGAACAGCGTATCCATGTCCTCCGAGAGCTTGGCTTTGTTGACGAGCATTCTAGAGTTCAGTTGAAAGGAAAGGTTGCCTGTGAAATCCACTCTGCTGACGAGTTGGTTTTGACCGAACTTATTCTCGAGAACGTTCTCGCTGAATTCGAGCCGGCAGAGATTGTCGCGCTCCTCTCTGCCTTTGTGTTCCAGGAAAAGACCGATACTACACCTACCTTAACCCCTCGCCTTGAGAATGGTCAAAAGACCATCATCCGCATTGCCGAGAAGGTGAACAACTTCCAGGTCCTTCACCAGGTGATTCAGTCGAGTGAAGATTCCAATGATTTTGCCAGCACACCAAGATTTGGGCTTGCTGAGGTAGTGTATGAATGGGCAAATGGAATGTCTTTCAACCGGATCACCGACCTCACCGATGTCATGGAAGGTACTATTGTCCGTTGCATTACTCGATTGGATGAGACCTGTCGAGAGGTTAAGAATGCAGCCAAGCTTGTTGGTGACCCAACCCTCTACACTAAGATGCAGGCCGCGCAAGAGTTGATCAAGCGAGATGTGATTTTCGCTGCATCTTTGTACATGTGAGGAGGGAATTTTCAAGGGAACATTTGAAACAGCTGTCTTCATGTTCTTAAGATTCTTCAAATTTTCCATTCAATGAAGTCGGGTCCAAGATTGTGTGCCCAATTGTCCCAAGGTCTCGACGTGTTAATGCAGCGTGTATATATGATCATCAATAATGCATATATTCTTACAGACCAAACGATTGATCATCCAGTGTGTGTGGAATTGAATTGATAGATGATAAACATTTGAATGTGACATCCATTACAAGCACTTGAGGGTACTGCTTTCCACGGTTTGCTCCATATTCACATTCCAACATTTGAGGGCAAACTAGTAGTATACTGGTATAGATGCATATGTGTATACTAGTAGTTTTCTGCTCATATTTCGAGAATATATAAATAGTATCATTAATGTACTCTGACGTCTCTTGTTGAAAGAAAATAGAGGGGTGTGGAGTCAAAGAAAATCCATGTTGTGCGGCCGCTGATTAGTTGCGGGGCGTCTACCGCCCGCCCTAGAAAATCCCAATACCATCCAAATGTTCTCCCCCTCGACAACTTTTTTTTTTGATCTTTGAAATCACCTTCATTTGATCCAGTAATAGGGTTATATTTTCCCTATCTCCGTACCCTTGTACTCGCCTCACGCCTCTTTCCCTACCCTCGTCGCGTGGCTCCCCAGGGTTTCCTACTCGGAGTTAATTTGTGATTTTTTTTCTGGCGCTGGGGTGGTGCGAATATGGATGTCACGGCCCTTCGAGACCGCATCCAGTCTACTTTAGACGCGAATGCGGACAATCGCCGACAAGCTGAGTTGGATCTGAAATATGTATGTTACCATCAATTTTTCTGGTTGGCGGGGTTGAAGCATGGAAACTGACCTCGCGGGGGGCTGCCCCCTCTATTTTCTAGGCCGAGACGCAGCCTGGTTTTATCAATGCGCTGCTAGATATCCTGCAGGGGGAGCAGAACAATGCAGTACAGCTGTCTGGTATGTAGTGCATGTCCATTTTGACCTGGTAGTCTTGGATATAGCTACCTGTGAGGATAACATCGCTAACCCCGCCCCCCAGCCGGTGTCTACTTGAAGAACCGTATCAGCCGAGGATGGGCTCCCATCGAAGAGAACCCCCAGCGGGTCCCTATTCCCGAATCCGAGAAGCCCAGTTTCAGAGAGCGACTGATTCCTGCCTTGGCCTCCACGCCGCCGAATGTCCGCGCCCAACTGGTTCCTCTTCTCCAGAAGATTCTGCAGAACGATTTCCCCGAGCAGTGGCCAGGGTTCCTTGATCTCAACCTTCAACTCCTCGCTACCAACGATGCGAACACCGTTTACGCCGGTCTGCAGTGCCTACTGGCCGTTTGCCGTGTCTACCGATTCAAGGCCGGAGAGAAGCGCGAGGAGTTCGACAAGATCGTGGAACACTCCTTCCCCCAGCTGCTCAGCATTGGACAAAGGCTGGTTGACGAGGAGAGCTTGGAAGCAGCAGAAATGCTTCGCATCATTGTGAAGGCATACAAGCATGCCATTTACGTAGGTGGAACAAGGCCTCTTGTTGCTGCAAAATGGGATGAATAAACTAACTGGCAATGTTTTTCTTTTCTTTCTAGTATGAGCTCTCGCCTGCTCTCCAGACTCACCAGGCCACTGTTGACTGGTGCACATTGTTCCTGCGAATCATTTCCAAGACCCCCCCTGCTAGCGCTATGAATGAGTCGAAGGAAGACAGAGAGATGAACCATTGGTGGAAGTGCAAGAAGTGGTCATATGCTAATTTGAACCGTCTCTTCATCCGGTATGCTTTCAGTGAGGCCCCGTATAGCTTGAGGGCTATTTTACTTATCTGCAATTTTTTAACAGCTACGGCAACCCCACCACCATGTCGAAGCCCTCCTCCACTCCCGACTATACCGCGTACGCGAAAACTTTCATCAGCACCTTTGCCCCTACAATCCTCAATGGATACCTGCAGGAGATTGACAAGTGGGTCTCAAAGTCTCAATGGATGAGCAACTCCGCCATCTCTTACACTTTGATCTTCATGGAGGAATGTGTCAAGCCAAAGGCCATGTGGGATCACCTCAAGCCGCATATGGAGAACTTAATCGCTCATTTTGTTTTCCCCATCTTGTGCCAGTCGGACGAGGATATTGAGTTGTTTGAAGAGGATCCCTCGGAATACCTACACCGCAAGTTGAACTTCTACGAAGAGGTCTCGGCTCCCGATGTTTCCGCCACAAATTTCTTGGTTTCCCTCACGAAGAACCGTAAGAAGCAAACTTTCTCGATCTTGACATTCGTCAACAGCGTTGTTAGCAAGTACGAAGCTGCCTCCGAGGACCAGAAGCTCCCTCGCGAGAAGGAAGGTGCTCTTCGCATGATTGGATCACTTGCTTCCGTCATCCTGGGCAAGAAGAGCCCCATTGCTGATCAAGTTGAATACTTCTTCGTTCGCCACGTCTTCCCCGAGTTCCGCAGCCCCCACGGCTTCCTTCGTGCTCGTGCTTGTGACACCCTCGAGAAGTTCGAGCAGCTTGATTTCAAGGACCCTAACAACCTGATGGTCATTTACCGCAACATTCTGGAGTCCATGGCCGATTCTGAGCTTCCTGTTCGAGTCGAGGCTGCCCTGGCCCTTCAGCCCCTGATCCGCCACGATATCATCCGGACTTCCATGCAGCAGAACATCCCCCAGATTATGCAGCAGCTCCTCAAGCTGGCTAACGAGGTCGATGTTGATGCCCTGGCTAATGTCATGGAAGATTTCGTTGAAGTATTCTCTGCAGAGCTTACTCCATTCGCCGTGGCATTGAGCGAACAGCTCCGCGATACCTATATGCGAATCATTGGTGAGCTCCTGGAGCGCAATGCTGCCAAGGGTGGAGATGATGATGGATTTGGCGACTTCCTTGACGACAAGAGTATCACCGCACTCGGTGTTCTACAGACCATTGGAACTCTTATCCTTACTCTGGAGAGCACTCCTGATGTTCTTTTGCATCTGGAGACCATTTTGATGCCTATTATCAGCATCACTTTGGAGAACAAGCTTTACGATCTCTACAATGAGATCTTTGAAATCATTGACAGCTGCACCTTCGCCTCGAAGAACATCTCGGGCACTATGTGGCAAGCCTTTGAGCTCATCCACAAGACCTTCAAGGCTGGTGCTGAGCTATACCTGGAAGATATGCTGCCTGCTCTTGACAACTACGTCGCTTACGGATCTGACATGCTGGTGCAGAACCCGGCCTACCTGGGTGCTATTGTCGGCATGGTCGAGGACATTTTCCGTGACGACAAGGTCGGCGGTGTTGACCGAATTTGCGGCTGCAAGCTTGCCGAGACTCTCATGCTTAACCTCCGTGGCCACATTGATCAGTACATTCCTCTCTTCATTGAGTTGGCTATGACTGTCATTGATGCCGGCGAAGCTCGGACCAAGTCCTACCGCATTCATCTCATGGAGATGGTCATCAACGCCATTTACTACAACCCTGTTCTCAGTCTCCAGGTTCTTGAGGCTAAGAACTGGACAAACAAGTTCTTTAGCAACTGGTTCTCAAACATCGACAATTTCCGTCGTGTTCACGACAAGAAGCTGTCTATTGCCGCTATCAGCTCGCTGCTCACCATGGCGGCGGGCGATGTTCCTGTTAGCGTTCAGCAGGGCTGGCCAAGATTGTTGCAGGGTGTGACAAGACTCTTCCAGACTCTGCCCGCTGCACTTAAGCGTATGTGTTTATTTCTGTGTGTTGCGATACAGCAAGTCTTTGTTTACTAACTATTATGGCAGTGCGCGAGGAGGCTACCAAGGAGTCTGACTTCACCCTCGATGACGATCTTGACGACGATGACGAAGACAACGACTGGGATGGTGAAATTGAATGGAACGAGGACGAAGTTGAAGAGGCTCTCGACGATGACGTTGCTGACGAGAGTGCTGCCTATCTGGAGTTCCTCAACCAGGAGGCCCAGAAGTTCGGCGCTTATGGCGATGACTATGATGAAGACATGGATGAGGAGAGTCTCCTTGAAACTCCCCTGGACAAGGTTGAGCCGTACGGCATGTTCAAGCAGGTCTTCTTGAGTAAGTTCAACTCGCTATTCACCCATTTTGAAACCAAGCTTATTCATCTTTCTTCTTCTACAGACTTGCAAGCCGAGCAGCCACAGCTCTACGACAACCTGACCAAGGTTCTTGGACCCGAAGAGCAGCAGATCATCCAGTCGGTCTTCCACGAAGCTGATCAGAAGGCTCTGCTTGCCCAGCAAAATGCGGAAGCTGCCGCAGCTGCAGGCATGCAAAACGGAAACCAATAAACCGGCCCGAGGCAATGACCCTAATCCATTGATTCGAAGTCACTATGCCAGGTCTCCCTGATTCCCTGCTCACGAGACATATGCCCCCTTCATGTCTTTCTTCCAATTGTTTAGAACATGCTCGTTTCCCGTTTATATCTGTTGTTTTCTTCCTTTGATGTTCTTTTTTTATCTTATCTCCACACTGATGTGCTTGCAAAAAAGTCCCTACCCCGTTCCCTCCCTTTCATAATCCGCCTTTATGCACAGATTCCCCTTACCACAAAGATCCTTGTGGTATAGCTAGCACATCAGTCGCATTACACATATTCAATGCATGCTCTGTTTCTGGTAATGTAGAATTAGTTTGAACTATCGGGAGGACGCTCGAGTATTATTTTTTGTTTTCCAAGGGGGTTGTTTTTGGAGCTATTCGTCATCAAGCTGGGACGGGTACTACATACATCTAGTCTTCTTTGAGAGTGCGATCAGCCTCGCGAGTTGCCCAGGACATTTAAAAGACATTGATCCATCCGTCATGTGGATTGCTCAACATTTGAATGATCCGAGTTTCAAGGTTGATATGGAATGGAGGCATTGATCCTTCAAGTATTTGCATGGAATTTTGAATGCTCTCGATCAGGGACATCTATTAAATTCTATTATATACTAGTAGTAACCCAAATGAACCCAAGGTCTACAATTACCCGTCAATTGTAGATCATGTAATCCATCAACCATCACGTGAACGTATACAAGTGAGAGTCATTAAGAGATGATATCATCGACATACGAGGAAACCACTTCCCATTCCAATAACAGGGAAAGTCTGGATGAGCTCAAAACAGCCAAAAAAACAGCCCAACACTCCCCATGGAATCTCGAATCCCCACCATCTGAAGCAGGAAGACCATAGGTGCAAATGAACGTCATCATGATGAACCACCCAACCTGTTCGAGAACGTCACTTTTAGAGGCAGAAACATGTCGATTATCGAATACTTATATACTTTCGAGCTAGTATCCCACTCCTTCCTCTCTTCAACTCACCTCGTTGAATACATCTACCTTCAACTTGAAACAACGCGTTCATCTTTAACTCGTGCATCATCAGCCGATAAGAAGCTTATCTACATATATCGAAAGGACCAAACACTGAAACATTCATCAGGTAAGCACAATGCCTGAAGACGAACACCATGAGATTCTGGAATACGTCAGATCCATCTAACATATATATATCAATTTACTTATTAGAATACCACACCCTCCAATATGTCTGCCCAACACTCAGGCCGTCAATCTCCCCCAGAGGATCGCCAATCCGGTATCCAGCAGCGTGATCCCCCATCCAGTGGCAAGATCGGATCTTCATCTTCCCGCCCCGCATCGGACTTTGCTCACCAGGAATCCGAGCGATCGAAGAGTGAAATATTGACGAGTAACCCTGAGCATCCGCTCGAGAAGATTGAGGCGGACAAGTATAAGAAGGGAACAGGAAACTTTTCAATCCATTGATACGATCAACTGGCAGCCTGGAGATATTACAAGGTTGATGAGTACTAGGTGCCAAATGTTGGTCTAAAAAATGTTGCACATGTGTATTTATGAATTACTTTGATCAGGATACTATCCATTCACATCCAGATGTCTTGATTATTTACAAATTGAGGGTGTGACATGAATTTATTTTTTCTTAATAAAGCTCAAACTCTTCCAGGGACAGTTAAAATCCATATTATTGAGTAACCACCGGTCTACTGTTTATTTGACTGTGATCAAAAGCAATCGTACATATGTTCATTCGCTTGCAATTAAAGTACTATGAAAAATAAAGCGATGATCAAGTAGCCGCAGAGTCGGAGTCGGAATCGCATCACAAATCGTTAAGCTCGTGCCAAAGGACAACGCGGGGAATGGGTCAAGAAGGCACGCTAGCGCAAATCTTCACTTTCAAATCACTGCCTCTCAAGCGTGAGAGTAAACTGTTTAGACAAAAACAGAACTTAAGCCAGAGGCGCAGCACCGGCAGCCTCGGAAGCAGGTACAGCGGCAGGAGCCGTAGAAGCACCCTCGGCAGAGGTAGCAGCAGAACCTGAGGCATCCTCGCCCTCAGAGCTGCGACCGAGCTTCAAGTCGGCCAGACGACGTGCCTCGTTGTGGATATCGCGCACCTGCTTATCAGTCTGCACGTAGAAGCCACGCAGCTTCTGGCCGTGGGGGTGCTCGAGAGCCTTCTCGAAGTAGTTGTTCAACGAGTGCCAGCCAGTGGCAGCCTTGTTAGAGATCTGATAGCTTTCATCCAAGCCCTTGGCGCGTTCAGTGGCGTTGAACTTCTTGTCAAAGTTGCTCAGGGCGGAGGTGAACTTGGTGGAGAATCCGTGCTTCTGGTCCAGAGCGATGGCCTTCTGGATAGCGCCATCGCTGACAACGTAGCCGTGGGCCAGGTATTCGGCGATGATGCGCGAGCGGGGCTTATCTTCCTGTGCGATCTCGTGCTCCTCTTCCTTATCGGTGGATGAGGTGGCCTGGGCGCCGGCGAGATCGTCAATGTTCTGGGCAGCTTCCACGTGCACGGAAGAGGAGCCCAATTGGGTCTGATCGAGGAGGAGAGCAGTCTTTGCAGCGCTGTATTGTGGGTTAGAAAATGGGTTTATGGCGTATTACCGGCGCTTGGTGACGCGCGGTGCGGGGTAGCTATCTTACGCTTCTTTCTCGAAGGTGACGCTGGCGGACTTGGGGGCTTCGGCCTCGGAGCTAGTAGGGGTAATGGAGAGAGAGGTAATCTTGCCACTATATTCATGAGTTAGGTCCAAATTTTGGATTGTTGTAAAGCTTGTCATGTAGCTATTTTTTGTTTTTGTTTTGGGGTATGCTTACCAGAAGCTGAAGAAGTCACGGACATCCTTCTCAGAGGTGGAGGGGGCGATGCCCGAAACGTGAACAGTGGTACCAGACATGATGAATAGCTGAGATTTGTGGAAAGGGAGGTTTTTTTTTTCTCGAGAAAGGAATATGTTTCTGAAGAGCGAGAAAAAGGAGAGGGTAAAGCCAAGTATTTATGGCCACTGCGCCACAGGTGACGTAGAGCGGGGCTGCACCGCCTCGTATTAGTATTTGCTGCTTGCACGCAGTAACCGAGCTAGTATTCCAATAGTGTGCTACGCTATGTGACTATGTCTAAATTTAATCTGAAACGTGGGCGCAGCCCACGCTTGTTTTCCTGGCTTGGAGGATAGTCCATTTCAGACAAATGAAATAGAGTTGCACAAGGCAATTTCAGAGTCTAAGCCTCTAAGGTAGAATGTCTGCCCGCAAACGAAGACCTAGTATTTTAAGGATAGTGAAGAAAAGAAAGAGAGAGGGGGGAAAAAACAACAACCAAAACTAGGCACTGCTCCAGGCAGGTAAATCAAAAGAGAGAAAAGAGAAAAAGACCAAGAAGCCCTTTCATCAGAAAAGAGGCCCGTATTCCTAGCAGTCGACAGACTCATTCTTCTGCTTCTTCAAAACTTGTTCCAGCTCCCTAACCCTCCGCCGCAGTTGCTCATTCTCCCGCTTGGCCGTTTCTAGCTCTGACCTGTGCAATGCGATCTCCTCGCATCTAGCGAGAGAGCTACTTGACAGGCCTAAGTGGGTCTGGGAGACCGAGTTCCGATGGGGGTATATAGAGGGACTTGCGTAATGAGAGACATGTTCTGGGTGAGGATGCTGTGTGTATGAGCTGAGTGACCCGATGGATGGGCGGCGATGAGAGAGGGATGGTTCACGGCTTCGTGTGGATCGTTGGTGTTCGGCTGTTCGGGATGGAGCGATTCCTGTAACACTTGCCTGGCTGCCTTGAACCGAGGGTGTATGGGAGCCCAGACTGGATGACGAGCGCTGTCGACGGGATGAATGAGAGTGTGTCGAGCTGCTCAAAGATGGGGAGGAGCCACGCATAGCTTCGGTTGACTCGTTTAGAGTGGAGGTAGAGGATGCTGTGGATGCCACGGATGCAGTCTGTTGGCGGAGGAGGGAGAGCTCGCGTGTCAGTCGATTTACCTGGTCTGGTTAGTAAATATGTCAGTTGATAGATGCCTGTGGCAGTATTCACCATCGCCTCTTGCTCTTTCTCTAATACAAGATGAAGATCTGAGGGAGTCAGCGGCTTAGGATGTCGGAGCGGTTCTGCATAACAATGTTTATCCTCCGGTTAGATGATATTTTATTTCACAAGGGGAACGGAGAAACTTACCCTGAGCCGACCTGGAGACTTCATGCTCGCTGGATGCTAGAGGTGGACTTCCCCCATAAATAGAGCTGGGGCCCTGTAAAGACTGTCGGATGGTGGGTGATTGGGACATGGCAGGCAGAGTTGTAGTTGCGGCTCTAGGCCGTTGAGGCATGGAGAGGGAAAGATCGGGGGTCATAGCGACGGAGGTATCAAAATGGGTATCCAGCTCCTCTGGGCCAGCAGAAGGCATGTTTGCTCTGTGACCGGGCTCTGCGGGGAACTATAAAGGTCCCACGGGTGTTTCAGCGTCGGGCAGCGATGAGATAAAAGACAAAACACCCCTTGATCGGAATGCCACGAAACATTCCCGGGATAGGCGACAAGGTATGGATGCAGATGAGCTCATTTGGGGCAGGAAGGTGCAGGTAAGGATGCAGAAAAGGCACAATTTGTAACCGCTTTGTTCGGGATTTTATTGGGCCGTGCATCTCACTATCTGAGTAGGTACTACTAGTACTTAGTATGACCGGGTTCTAGTAGATGTATCTTGTCTCATGCATATCAAGTACTACACACGACCATTATTGCAAACCAATTTTGTTTCTCTCTCTCCTTTTTTTTTTTTTTTTTTTTTGACATTCCATGACGGGCAAATGATAAGTCTTTTGATCATCCGATCGGCATGGCAATCAATGACCGAATTGTCAGGGCAGATACTGATACGATGACGAGTTACTTGGTGCTCGGGCCTCTATGAGATGTCTTAACTCCAATTTTTGTAACCAATACGATCGGCCAGAGACAAATACTGAATGATTGCTCCTGATAAACATTACTATTAAGATCTCCTCACAGCAGGCAAAAGGAAAAGGGGGAGAGAAAGATCAGAAAGATCATCTATACTAGATGACATTACTATACTACTAGTAAGTAGAGTAGAAGTTGAAGTAAACAAAACAAACAGAAAAAAAAAACATAATTAAGCTCGGAGATCGACATTACGTAAGCCTCCGCGAATCCCCAAAAAACATTAGAGCTTCATCCCAAAACAAACCCCCTCGGATGATTCAGGTTGTCATGGGCTTGAAGATATAGAGGCACATGACCATGAGACTTGATGAAACTCATCTTCCCCAATTGATGACCCCATGCCTGTGACGACCTGAGGAAACCCCCCATCCAATGAGACCATGTCCCAACCTTACGAATCCTACGAACCCCCTACCCACATTCCATCCTTTGTGAAACCGCTCACTCCTTACGTCAGGACCCAGCAGGAAGCTCTCCGCATTCGCCAGGCCTTGACGTCGTATCTAAGTTCTTTCATCGTTTTCAATGATGACATACCCCCAACCTCCCACCTCGCCCTGTGCGCGCCCGCCGATTCCGTTGTCAACGTGAGCCGAATCCCGGTAGAATTATCAGGACTGAGGAAGGAATACTTGAAGGCACTGCAAGCGAATGTAGCGGCCCGGAAGGATCTACGTGTTGCATCAGAGGATGTGGCCTCCTTGAGGCGCCAGAGGGCATCGCGCATTCGACCCGTTGACCCCGCCGATCCGCAGGAACCCGGCGCAGACCTGCGAGATTACCTTTCACTTTTACGAGATCGGCGCCGCTATACAAAGCTTCAAGTTTTCCAGCATTACCTAGAGGAGCTCAGGGCAAAGGAACCGACTGGCTTGGATTTGAGCGAAGATACGCCCCAGTTTATGTTGCCCGACGGACTGGACACGGAAATAGACCAAAAAGATACCGATACAGATCTAGAAGGACTGGTACACAAATTGGAACGGGCAGTGATCCGCGCTCGAACGCAATTGGATCGGGAGAAACGATTATTCGAGAAGATCAAAACACAGCATGATGCCAGAGAAAAGGACTCGGATATTCTACCACCGGCGGTCAAGGCCCAGGCATTGCAGCGCACACGGGATGAGCTGGTGCGATGGGTCGAAGAGCGATTGGTGAACGAGGTAGATCCAGATGAGAGTCTGGTACAAGACCTGCCATCGGAGGAGATTGAAGAGGCCCAGCGTCTGCTCGAACAGAATAAGGCACAAATCAAGGAGCAGTACGCGGCCTATCTTCAGGCACGACGAGAGCTACTTGATGCTGCCTCGACAGCTTGTCAACCAGTGACAGTGACTCCGAAGCCTCCATCTCGGTCGGTTTACCGAACCGAGATCCCTGTTGAAGAGATACCCGCCCCCAACTCAATTGACGTCCTGTCTTATGCCAGTGAAATTCTGGTGCCTCTTTCCAAAAGTCAAAAATCCCTGGCTCTCCAAAGATCCTATCTCTCTGGACTACTCGCGAAGGAAAAATCCACCACTCTACGTGCTTTGCACCGTCTACGAGATGAAAGTCACCTTTTGTCCGAGTATCCCATTCTGGCCCACCAACCACGATTCAAGCACGCGGTTGCAGCGCTCAATCCACGTGGTCAATCACAACCCCCCGATCAGAAACCGCTCGACGAAGTTGTGGGTCTAGCAGAAGCATGGGCTTTTGCCTCGGAGGCTGCGGCTGCTAACGAGCGCGATCGTGTACAACAAAAAGTGGTATTGGGAAGTGAAGTTACTCAAGATGCACGACAGACGTTGAATGATGTCTATGGCATTTTGAATCAAGATCTAAGTGGTGTTATGGAAGACGGTACGGATGCCGAACCCACTACGTCAGATATCTGGGCCTCGGAAGCTCACAAAACGCGAGGGGTCGGCAATCACAGTGGGTCCCGGCTGGAGAAACGAGCAAAGGGACCCTGGTCGGGACTGCACGGGCGTGTTGGACTAGAATAGCCTTTTTTTTTTTTTTTTTTTTTTTTTTTCTCTCTCTCTCTGTGGTGGATGTTAACTTTTTTTCTTGTGGGAGAAAAAAAAAGTCTGTTGATGATCTGGTGTATTTTTATAATTCAATCTAGGGTGTCACTTGATTTTCTGCTCCGGAACTCATAGGAGTTTTTTCTCTATCCAGATGTCCCATATTAATAAAAAAAAAACCTCCAATGTTAGGAGTGCTAAACAGAATAAAAAATGATATCAAAATCTCTCGTAAGTCAAACACATTTTCAGCTTGTTTAGCGTCGATCCTCACGGATAAGAAGAGATAGCGCTGGCTAAGTGACCGACACGGTTCCGGTATCGGACTTGGAACAAGTACTGGACAAAGTACTGAACTGCGCATTAGACCAGCATTAGCTGGAACAACTAATGCTGGTCTAGTCCTTTGGCTGTCTTTTTGAGTATTTGTTCATAAACTACATTTTCAATCACTGTCATATAAAACATTTTAAAAAAAAAAGCCAATCTATTTAGCTCTTTTAACGATGATCATTTCTGTTAGTTCAATTCGGGCGTTGAACTAACTGGATATTACGGGAAATGGTAGTCTCCACTACCCTAAAATCCGCCAAATTTCAACCAATTTTCCCTGACTCATACTCGGTATTAGAAAAGAAAAAAAAAGAAAAAATACGGCAGAATAACCAGTACTTTACTTAGGAATCCCTTCAGTTTTCCTATAAAAGCAATTCCTTTTTGCTGAATTTTTGGTTGTCTTTTTTATTTAAAAGAATCTATACTTAATTGAATCACCGTAATACAATTGATTCCTCTTCCACTTTCTCCATCTTCTCCAGGTATATACTGCTTGATATACCTGTCGAAAGGGAAAAAAGGAAAAAAGTGGACCCGGTACGGTGAAGGGAGCGGACCAATTAGCGAAGCCAGTGGGGGAAAAAAAAGACCTCCCCGTTCGGCGACTCATCTTCTACATCCCCATCATCCCATCTTCGGGCCATTGAACCTCTTCTAGTTGTCCTCTAGAACTGCGGCGCGATGGTTCTTGCAGCTCGTTGTGGGCAGGCAGCCTCCCTGCTGCGATCTCGATGTCTCGCTGAGACTCGACCGCTCTCTCTCCGTGCCTTTTCCTCCCAGTCCTCCGTCCGATCTACGGCCGCTGCTCTGCGCCTGCAGAAGCTCCCCTCCCCGGCCCGTTCCCAGCAGCTGCGTTCCTTCTCCAGCTCGCTGATCCGTCTGGCTGAGGCCCAGAAGGGCCCCTCCGCTGATGCCTACATGGCCAGCGGTGCTATCAAGCCTAGCACCCTCGTCGATGTGAAGAAGGTGTTGGTCATTGGTAGTGGTGGTTTGAGCATTGGACAGGCTGGAGAGTTCGATTATTCCGGTACGTTGGAGGATCAATTGCCTTGCTCTTTACCTCATATCTCCCAATGCCCTACCGTATTTAATCTAAACCCTCCGGGCTGGCCACAATGGAGCTTTCTCTCTCTCTTGGGGAGAGGAGTTGCCTCTCAGCGGGGAAATTGAGATTGACCCCGTTTGCCCTTCCCCCACAAGACACTCAGGATTTTTCTTTTTCTTTGTTCGGTCACTGACATCTAGTTCTTTTGTCAATCTAGGCTCCCAGGCTCTTAAGGCTTTGAAGGAGGCTGGTGTCAAGTCCGTCTTGATCAACCCCAACATTGCGACCATTCAGACCGATCACAAGCTGGCCGATGAGGTCTACTATCTCCCCGTCACTCCCGAGTATGTCACTCACGTCATTGAGCGCGAGCGTCCTGACGGTATCTTCCTGACCTTCGGTGGTCAGACCGCCCTCAACCTTGGTGTCCAGATGAACCGCATGGGTATCTTCGAGCGCTACGGTGTCCGGGTTCTCGGAACCAGTATCAAGACTCTGGAGACCAGTGAGGACCGTGATCTTTTCGCCCAGGCTTTGAAGGAGATCAACATCCCCATCGCTGAGTCGATTGCCGTTAACTCGGTTGACGACGCTCTCAAGGCCGCCGAGACTGTTGGTTACCCCATCATCGTCCGGTCCGCCTACGCTCTTGGTGGTCTGGGTTCTGGCTTTGCCAACAATGAAGATGAGCTTCGCGATTTGTCTTCCCGCTCTCTGTCTCTGTCTCCCCAGATTCTGGTTGAGAAGTCCCTGAAGGGCTGGAAGGAGGTCGAGTACGAGGTCGTCCGTGATGCCACCAACAACTGTATCACTGTCTGCAACATGGAGAACTTTGACCCTCTCGGTGTTCATACCGGTGACAGTATCGTTGTTGCCCCCAGTCAGACTCTGTCCGATGAGGAGTACCATATGCTGCGTACCGCTGCCATCAAGATTGTTCGTCACCTCGGCGTCGTGGGAGAGTGCAACGTTCAGTACGCTCTGCAGCCCGATGGTCTCGACTACCGTGTGATTGAGGTTAACGCCCGTCTGTCTCGTTCCTCTGCCCTGGCTTCCAAGGCTACCGGCTACCCCCTCGCCTACACTGCCGCCAAGATCGGTCTCGGTCACACCCTGCCCGAGCTCCCCAACGCTGTCACCAAGACTACCACTGCTAACTTCGAGCCCAGTCTGGATTACATCGTCACTAAGATCCCCCGTTGGGATTTGAGCAAGTTCCAGCATGTTAATCGCGACATTGGCAGTGCCATGAAGTCGGTTGGTGAAGTTATGGCTATTGGTCGTACCTTTGAGGAGTCTCTGCAAAAGGCTATTCGTCAGGTTGACCCCCGTTACCTTGGTCTTCAGGGTGATAAGTTTGAGAACTTGGATGATGTTCTTGCTAACCCTACCGACCGCCGTTGGTTGGCTGTCGGTCAGGCTATGATCCACGAAGGTTACTCTGTGGATAAGGTCCACCAGCTCTCTAAGATTGATAAGTGGTTCTTGTATAAGATCCAGAACATTGTGGACTGCCATAATGAGCTCAAGGAGATTGGTAGCCTTTTCGGTATTAAGCAGGAGATTATGATGAAGGCCAAGAAGCTCGGCTTCTCTGATAAGCAGATCTCCCTCTTGGTCGGTTCTTCCGAGGATGAGGTCCGTGCTCGCCGTAAGTCCTTCGGCATCACCCCCTGGGTCAAGAAGATTGATACCCTGGCTGCCGAGTTCCCTGCCGATACCAACTACTTGTACACCACCTACAACGCTAGCTCGCACGATGTCACCTTTGACGACCACGGCACTCTCATTCTGGGTAGCGGTGTTTACCGTATTGGTAGCTCCGTCGAGTTCGATTGGTGTGCTGTCAACGCCACTCTTTCCCTGCGCAACATGGGCAAGAAGACTGTCATGATCAACTACAACCCTGAGACCTACTCCACCGATTTCGATACCGCTGACAAGCTGTACTTCGAGGAGCTGAGCTACGAGCGTGTGATGGATATCTACGAGCTCGAGTCTGCTAGCGGTGTTGTTGTCTCTGTCGGTGGCCAGCTGCCGCAGAACATTGCTCTGCGTTTGCAGGAGACTGGTGGTGCTCACGTCCTGGGTACTAACCCCGAGGACATCGACAAGGCTGAGGACCGTCACAAGTTCTCCTCGATTCTGGACAGCATTGGTGTTGACCAGCCTGCCTGGAAGGAGCTGACTTCCGTCGCCGAGGCCGAGCGCTTCGCTGATTCCGTCGGTTACCCCGTCCTGGTTCGCCCCAGTTACGTCCTGTCTGGTGCCGCCATGAATGTCATTTACAGTGTTGATGAGCTCAAGGAGAAGCTCCTGAACGCCGCTGCCGTCTCCCCCGATCACCCTGTTGTTATCACCAAGTTCATCGAGGGTGCTGAGGAGATTGACGTTGACGCTGTCGCTTCCAACGGTAACCTCCTGCTCCACGCTGTCAGTGAGCATGTTGAGCCCGCTGGTGTTCACTCTGGCGATGCCACTCTTGTCCTCCCCCCTGTCAACCTGGACCAGTCCATCATGGACCGTGTCAAGGATATTGCCGAGAAGGTTGCCAAGGCTTGGAACATCACCGGTCCCTTCAACATGCAGATCATCAAGGCTGATGTGGAGGGTGGCGAGTCTCAGCTCAAGGTCATTGAGTGCAACCTGCGTGCCTCTCGTTCGTTCCCCTTCGTCAGCAAGGTTCTCGGCACCAACTTCATTGACGTTGCCACCAAGGCCCTTGTCGGCCGTGACGTCCCTGAGCCCGTTGACCTGATGAAGGAGAAGCGTGATTACCTCGCCACCAAGGTTCCCCAGTTCTCTTGGACCCGTCTGGCCGGTGCTGACCCCTTCCTGGGCGTCGAGATGTCCTCTACTGGTGAGATTGCTTGCTTCGGTAAGGATCTTGTTGAGGCCTACTGGACCTCTCTCCAGTCCACCATGAACTTCCGCCTTCCTGAGGCCGGTGAGGGTATCCTCCTTGGTGGTGATGTTACTCAGCCTTACCTGGCCACTATTGTCGATTACCTGCACCCTCTGGGCTTCAAGTTCTACGCTGCCAACCCCGAGGTTAAGGCTCACATCGAGGCCACCTGCAAGGACAACGCCTCCGTGCAGATCATCGAGTTCCCCAAGAAGGACAAGCGTGCTCTCCGTGAGGTCTTCCAGAAGTACGACATCCGTGGTGTCTTCAACTTGGCCAAGACCCGTGGCAAGACCCAGCTTGACGAGGACTATGTGATGCGCCGTAACGCTGTCGACTTCAGCGTTCCCCTGTTCATGGAGCCCAAGGTATGATTGATACGAACCCTCCTCCCCCCCCCCCCCCCTTTTCATTACTAACTTCGTTTTTTCTTTCCCCTGCAGACTGCCCAGCTTTTCGCTCAGTGCATGAACGAGAAGATGCCCGTTGGTGAGGGTATCCCCTCCGAGGTCCGCACCTGGTCCAACTTCGTTGGCGGCAAGGCCCTGTAAATCATGACTTCCTTGCACCGACGCCAGAGTCCCTCTTATCCCACTATTTAATGAGCCACGCTTGTTTCCATAAGGTATAAGTGAGTAGTAAGGGGAAGGGCATTGTTGATAGATGACGTGCATTTCTTTTGATATATTTTACGATCAGATTGTCTGGTTTCTTTTTACCTATGGCGAATATTAGGACAGTGAGCTGCGCTGATCCAGCCCTGGTGGTTTCCCGATTTGATGAATTGGGTCTGCTTGTTTACTATTTTTTTTTTATTTTGGGGTCTTTTCGTTGTAGTTGGTTTATTGTGTTTCAGCGACAAAAGAATTTTCTTCATCTTTCATATCTTAGTTTTGGATGTCATCAAACCCCACTCCATTTAACGACAAGTGGATGCACAAGTGCCTTCAAAGTACTGTATTGCCTAGTGGATGTAATCTGTTCTTCAAATATGACACCTCATTTGAAGACTACCCAGCTGGTACGTACCAAAATAATTATAATGTACATACTACTAGTAGGTATCTCCAGGGCTCAAGTATGCCTTTGGTTAAGCTGACTGCTCAACTTCCAGGATTCTTTTATCTCTTCTTCTGAATCTCTTGAATCATGACGTCTTGACACGTTTCTTGCCAAAGATGAGATTCCAAGCGAAGCTGACTAAGCCCATCAACAATCGCCAGGTTATCGTTACCTCACTTGTTAGGATGTACAATTCAATCAATTCAACCTCTCAAAATGTCGCCTCAAAATCCACTACCATCAGTCACCACCAAGACAGTACCTGGTCCTGCTCCCAATGGCATGGGCAACGGTCTGTTCGCGACCGAAGACATAAAGGTTGGCGGGGATGTCGTGCATGCCCAAACACCCTTTGTCGCGGTTCTGGATTCATCACGTTTGGACGATACCTGCTCCGGCTGCTTTGGTAAACGCCAAATGAAGGAAGGAAATGCGGATTTGAAGGCCTGTACTGGGTGTAGAGTGGTTAGATATTGTGATCGGGTGAGTTTGTAGAAGTTTCCGCCCTGTAGTTTTGCTAACTATGGCTCCGGGATGGTATATTGACCTTGTTCTTTTTGTCATTCTACCCATTGTTTGAAGATTTTTGATAATTGTCTAATCAGTACTGACTTTTCGGAAAAACAGACTTGCCAGTCTAAAGACTGGAAATTTGCGCATTCTATGGAATGTAAAGTCTTCCAGAAGGTCCAGCCCCAGATCTTGCCCAACAATGCTCGTGCTTTATTGCGCATAGTCCTGCGGACTGGCAAGGGGAAATACTCTCCTCAAGAAATGGGCGTTTTCTCCAACCTGGAAACTCACATTGCCGAGATTCAGCAGAATCAGGAGCACATGGATCGTGTTACCCTCACATCCAAAGCTGTCAAAAATTATTCAGAAACTGAGATGCCTGAGGACGATTTATCGGCCTATGCTACCAGGGTATGTATCTAACTTCAATCTTTGTACGTTAGATTTGTCTCCAAATACCGTGCTAATTCGATTGCCAGCTGGAACTGAATTCCTTCAATCTCACAACAGCGCTATACGACCGCATTGGTCTCTATTTCCACCCATACGCAGCCCTGATCAACCACAGCTGCGACTACAACGCAACGGTCGGGTTTGACGGCGAAGATCTATACATAAAAGCAATCAAGCCTATCAAAAAGGGTGATCAAATATTCATCTCCTACATCGACACCACGACCCCCTGCCACGTCCGTCGCGGCGAGCTCCTAGACCGTTACTTCTTCACCTGCCAGTGCACTAAATGCATCAACGCACCTGAAACAGAAACTCTCTCAACAGCTGGCGACAAGGACGACCCCACAGCCTTAGTCGATGTAGCAGAGCGCGAGGCCCTCCAACTCCTCCAAACTGCCTCCGCCGAATCCCCCACAGACGCAATCAAATCCCTAACATCAGCAATTCATCTCCTCGCCTCACACCCTCATTGGCCCCTCACCCGCCAACCATATCCCCAGCTCCGAGACCAGCTCATTCTCTCCTACCTCGCAACAAACGATTTCAGCGCCGCATTCATCCACGCCGCGATCCGCTACCTGCGCGTTGATCCGCTGCTCTACAGCCCCGCTCATCCGATCCGGCACCTCCACGCGTGGGTCCTGGCGAAGCTGGCCATCTTCCTCTCCCAAAGCTTTGTGACGAGTCCGTCAGATCCAGTGCGGCTAGAAAATTATGGGATTAATTTCCATTTCGTGCTTTGGTATGTGCTGGCTGATTTGGCTAGTCGGCAGTTAGAGAGTTGTACTGTGCCTGGGTTTAGGAGGCTTGTTGGGGAGAACTTTGGGCAGGTGAATGGGGAGTTTGTGGGACAGGGGATTGATTTGAGTAAGAATGCGCAGGCTAAGGGGCTACTTGCTGAAGCTTGGAGAAAACTTGAGAAGGTTGTTGAGGCTGCTTTGGAGAGGGAATAGAGTTCAAATGTTTTTTTTCTCTTTTTTTTTTTCGTTGTACAATATATACCAATGACTCCAGCTTTATCTTTGCTGGTTTAAGTTGAGATCATTGATGAACTCAAGTGCTCTTTATCGGTCTGCTTTTGGGATGAATGTTCAAAATGGCTGTTGGAAATTCCAAGCACACGTTAGATCAAGCATACAAAAACCTCGGTTGGAATTCAATGTCCCTTGAATGTTTATGCATTCAGAAGTTGAAAAAAAGGGTCATTGAGAGTATCACAATTTCATGAGACCAAACTATATACAAAATTCAAATAAAGATTCAAGGTGCAGGCTCATCACATAAAAAAAAACACACTACTCAAGATACTCATTAGGGATATAAAGGGGCATGGAATCCTCCCAAATAGTATCAGTAAGCAGGGTCTTGTTGGTACCATCATAATTCATCACCATAATCTGACCGTACGGCTGGAAGGTGTTGTCGAAGAGCGAGCTCTCATCCTTGAAGCCATACATACCAGTGCTCCACATGATACGGCCATCGTGAGACCAAACAGCGCTAAAGAGGGAGAAAAACAGTCAGTAATTGCAGACTTAATAGTCCCACAGGAGACAGGAGACTCATAAGTGGGATGGGAAAGGGAGAGACTTTAACATACTGTGCATCATTGGCCAGACTGTCAGTCACACGGTTCAAATCAGTACCATCAGGGCGGATGGTATAGATGTCAAAGCGATCCGCATACCAGCGAGATCCATACGACTCAGTCCAGTTATTGTTGCGAGTGAAGACAATTCTCTCACCATCTGGCGACCAGCCTGGTGTGTTATCCCAACCCTTGGTCAAACTGTGAGTCACACCAGTAGTAAAGTTGTGGATCTGCAGGCCCTCCGGCGCAGCAGTTTCCATATTCCATAAACGGTAGACATAAGCAGATCCATCAGGCGACCAGGAGGGGAAGCCAGAATTGACAGAGTTGTTTGTCAAGGTGGTGAACGAGCTGCCATTTGCATAGGCGTGGATAATCGTTCCGGGGATATCGACACGGTCAACAAACCAGCCACCGAAACCAACAAGAAGCTCGGTTCCATCGGGGTTCCAGGTTGGCTGGAAGGCACCGGCCTCACCCTCTGTGAGGAGCTCTACTTGGGTCGCATTGCTGGTGGAGTAAATAGAGTAGGAGTCTAGGGCTGTGATGATGTCGTCGTAGAGGGGGGTGGATGAAACGGCTGAGCCGTTGGCACTACCGAGGACCTTTTGGGTGCTTGCGATGCGGTTCACAACAGAGTTGTGGGTGGGGAAAACATCCATATAGCGGTAGGCCCAATCGCTGTCGTAGCTGAATAGCTCAAGATCAGCGGCTTGTTGGGTCCAGTTGGGGATGGCGTAGACGATCTTAGATCCGTCGGGTGACCACCAGGGGTCGCGGAGGTTGGTTAGATTGAAGGTCTTGTGGGTAGAGTCGGGCTTGGTGTAGTGAATTCCTTCGTAGCTTCCGGCCTTGATGAGGTAACCAATGTTGCTGGAGTTGGCAATGTAGTGCTGTCCGAACTTGGGATAGCTGCCTGAAGTTTGGGGGGCAATATTCTTGCCAGTAGCAAAGTCAACACTGTAGATCTGAGATTCAATGAACTCTTGTTCCTCTGAGACACCATGAGCATAGTAGGTGTTCTCACGAGTGATATTGTTGTAGATGACACGTTTTCCGTCACCAGAGAACTGGGGGGTGCCAAGTGCGTAGCCATCCTCAAAGGCTAGCCGGCGGAAACCCTGGCCGTTCTTATTGATCACATATAGACCTAGGTTCTGGGTGTGCTCCCAGCCTGTACCATCACTGTGACCGGTCCAGTCAGTGTCACGATCAGAGCTGAAAGCGATCCACTCTCCGTCCGGAGACCAAGAGGGGCGGAAGTGGCCAGAGGGCCAGATATCACTGCTACGAGTGGCAGCAGTATCGGTCAAGTTATGTGCCAGACCGGTGTTGAGGTCTTTGATCCAAATGTTGGTTGTGTAGTTACCCTGTGTGGAGACATAGGCAACCTGGGTGCCGTCTGGTGATAGGACGCCGGCGTCTTCGACCGAGTCTGTATCAGCGAGGCTCTCCAGGCCTGTTCCATCTGGCCGCACGCGGTACAAATCGGACTGGCCAGCACCACGACGTTCACTAGTGAAGACAATCCACTCGCCATCTTGTGACCAAGAGGGGTGGTAATCAAAAGCATTGGTCTGGTTGCTCATCAACTGGGTCTTGTTGGTACCATCAGCATTGGCAATCCACAGCTGTGATCCAGAAGGACCAATACGGTTCACTTTGTAATAGAAAGTTAGTATTTATTCTTTATTAATCAGATAAGACCGAGGAAATCGAAGGTGCTTACTGTAAAAGATACCCTTCTTGCCCTCGATGGCTCCTCGCTTGGAAATCTGAGGAGCGTGGGCCTCTTTAGGAGCGGCAGCGGCAGCTTCAGCAGCACGCTTGGCATATGGGCAACCCGGAGCAGCAGCGGCGCCAGCAGCACGCTCTGAGAAAGGGCAGCTCGCAGCACTAGAGCCAGCTGCTAGTGCCGCAACGGCAATGGCAGTGGAGAAACGCATCTTGCCCAGTCAGAACTCAGGTACGAGAAGACAACAATGAGTAATAAAGAGAAGAAGAAAAGCCAAAGGCCGCTATATTTCTCTAAAATTGGAGAGGATTGACATGGATATAAGTACTTGGTCGGTATAAACGCCTTCAGTCTGCCTTTTCCCCTATTGGGATATCTCGGGCTCCTCCCCCGACTCCTCCGTAGAAGGGGGGGGGGGAGGGGGGTGTTTCTGGAGTTCTGCACATCCAGGACCACTGTGAAAGCGCATATTGGGATCTGCACTCGGGACGACACGACATCGCTTCGGCTGTGCGGGCCCTTGTCCAGCCTCAATGACACGGGTGATCCTGGGTGTAGTATTTGATTGGACCACGGTATTGATCAATGGAGTTTGGAGTATAGTAATCATCGCTGCCTTCTAGAAAGCATCAAGTTATGACTTAACACTGCGCCCCACTTGATAAGTTGCAAAGAAGAAAGCTTCGAGGGTCTCGGAGTTAACAAAGGCCTTGACCAACGGGAGTTGTGATAGACAAGTGAAGACGATCTTTTCCCAAGAGATCAACGCCGAGGCATACGTAACAAGCTTAGCTAGTAAATCCTACCCTTATCAAGCAAAGAAGACCGCGCTAGGATGCAGGGAATGCAGAAAATGAGATGAAGGATTGGAAATAGAAATGATTTCTGCCGTTGAATTTAATTTAGAATTATCTTCTTTTTTTTGAAATTCCCCGATCTATAGAATTACCAATACATGTATGCCATCTCCAAGTATTGCATCGTCAACCTGTACCGTATAGTCAGTTTAAACTACAGAACTAAGCCTTGCTTTGTTCTCCACCTCTATAAACAGTCAAACTGTCCGATGAAATAGCCATATTTTATTTTATCTATGTATGATCATGAATCATTGGAAAACATAAGGCCAAAACTCCTCCACCCAAACTCCACTGTTTTCCCCGGTGGCTTTGCAATAAGCAGCCATTTACCCTTGGCATCTCCACAATATTTGAAGATGGGTCGGACTATCCGTCCGAGTCCGCGAGGGTCCTTGGCGTTATTCTCGAATCTCAACTTCTCACAGAATAGTTGGTGATATACCAACTTTTGAAACAACCATGATTTTGACTTTGGGCGTCGGTGCCTGCATCTGCAGCTAAGTACTGTCAAAGCCCCGTTCTTTCTGTGGGCTTGCGTAAGGGTTTATCTTCGCTGCCTGGCATGTTAGGAACTTAGGACCTATTCTTAGGATAAAAAATAACTAAAAAAAAAAACCCTGGTCCAAGTGATATCATTATCATGCAAACTAAGTATGATCCCCTTGTACCCTGTTATTCTATTCCAATGTCAATCGGGGTTGGAGTAGATTTACTACTTTAGAGGGTTTCTGTTTACAATGTAAGCGTTCTTGTGTCCGGGTGTTTCCGATCTTGTCCGCCGTCGGCTTATTTTAGCGTAGTAAGACTGTCAGTCTGTAAGGTGGCATCCAAAACCCGAAGATCCTGCCAAGACACGGCTTTCTTAGGTTTCTTTTGGCATAATCTCTAACCTTTGCTGACCATCTGCTGTATATTCCCCGTTCTTTCTACTGGCGGATATTTCAAGCATCCAAGGCCGAGTTCATTCAATCTTGTCAGATTCGGTCATTAGGTGGAGATTGGTAACTTGCCCCGACGGCCTTCCACCTTGATCGGTCTGACGTGCGAGATAAGTGGCTTCGAAATGATCAAATGTTGGAACTGGCCCACTATACCGAGTACACATGTAGCCTCTGGGTCTGCGCCAGGATCAGAATAGGAGTAGCGTCTGATGGTCAATTACGGGCCGCAATTTGTCACCGAACGATCCAGATGTCTCAAGTGCTATGAATGAACATTCATGGATGACGGCTACCGAATAAGCTAATATAAAAATTGATTGTGGATAATGAAACCCTCCTTGGAACATTGGAAGGAAAACTTGAAACTTTAGAAATGAAAACTTGCTTCCTTGGAAGGTTCTTGCCCAGACATGTGGTATAAATGTTCATGACGAGGATCAATAGGTACAAGAAGAAATAAGCAATGATAAGTCTGTCAGCACGCAAAAAATGCTATATATACAAATAATGTAGAGCAATCCCATCGAGGACCACATCTATAGTCAGTAGAGTCGGTGAGTGCCAAGATATAAATGAGATGATCACATCAAACTAGTGCGACCCCCAATCTCATTTCCCGCTTCGCCATTGGGCATTTCACCGTTACGCCCGACCACAAACTCTCGGTAAATACCCTGCAGCCGTCGGTGTTCGGTGGAGCTAAGCGAGGGACGGGTGGTGTTGAGAGCACGTTCGACATGCTCCCACCGGACAATAATCTCATCGCGGAGTTCATCCGAGCCAGAGTCGACCCCGTTAGTTGCGGTGGCCGGAGTCGCCGGACCTGAAGAAGAGGCGGTGCCATTCTCAAGTTGGCGCTGACGGCGTCGCGAGTTCTTGATTGCATCTAGCTTCGCTGCAACCACGGCTGGAGCGGGCATGGACACTTTGCCGGACGCCTCCTCGGAAGAGGAATAGAGGAATTGAATAAATGACCTGCTGGAGGTATTGCTGGAAACCTTGGACGCGTTAGGCTTGGAATTGGCTTTGGTATTATCAGCAGTGCGGTCACCCAAGGCGTCATGCACCGCTTCCAGGTGCGCATTGTAAACCACGGCTTGGATATCGGCACCGGAGAATCCCTGAGTCTGTGCTGCGATCTCGTCAAAACGAGCTGCAACGTCGGCGCTCATCTTCAGCTTTTCACTGACTGCCGCAATGATGTCAACCCGGTCTGATTGGGAGGGCATGTCGCAGAGCAAAGACTTATCCAGACGACCGGGACGAAGGAGAGCTGGATCTATCAGGTCAGGCCTAGAAGTTGCAGCCAGGACATACACGCCGGAGAGACCTTCCGCTCCATCCATTTGAGTAAGAAGCTGGTTGACCACGCGATCTGTGACACCGGTAGAGTCATGGCCACGCTTAGGGGCAATACTGTCAAACTCGTCGAAGAAGAGGACACAAGGACGTGCGGCCTGTGCTCTTTCAAAAAGATCGCGAACACTCTTTTCACTGGCACCGATGTACTTATTCAAAATTTCAGGACCCTTCACACTGATAAAATTCAAACCACATTCACCCGCGACCGCACTGGCCAACATTGTCTTACCACAACCGGGGAAACCATACAAAAGAAGGCCCGATCGCAATCGCAGTGGACATTGTGCGAAGATGGGCGCATACTTTGTAGGGTACTGAAGTGTTTCCAGTAGCATTTTGCGGGTCTCAAACAAACCACCGATGGCTGAAAAGGTAGTCGTGGAAGATGTGAGGGTAACGTTACGAAGAGATGCCGGAGTAAACCCTTTCAAGGCGCTTTCAAAATCTTTCAGCCCAAGAGTAATCATCTTGGAGTCATTCGAATAATCTTGAACGGAGCGAATGAGTGCTTCGTTGCGAGTACGAGCAACCAAGAGCACAAGATCTCCGGGCATATAACCATCCGTCTTTCCAGCAAGTTCAAGGAAGTCAACGTCCCTGCCGAGAACGAAGCCATCTCCACCGGAAGAGCTGGGTCGGCTTCCAGGGTTTGAAGGATCAAGCCATGAATCCTGCGTAGAGCCACTCGGCGTCCTTTCGTGACCATTGAGTGCCACGGTGCCTCTGTCTTGACTAGTAAGCTTCTCCAATACTTTGCGACGGCCGTCCTTGTCGGGAGCTCTCATGTTGACGATCTCCCGAACGACATGGCCACCAATAATCACATTATTCAAAGACTCTTTGGCCTGAGCCGTAGCTAACAGGACAACGGAAGAATTCATGGAACAGTATTCTCGGACCATAGAGCAAATGACCTCGCTGTTCTGACGACTGCGTCCGTTGTCTCCGCCAACTTGCAATTCTGTCTCCAGTGGACAGAGTTTGTCAAGATCATCTAAAATCACAACAGATTGTCCGCCAAGGCGAGCACACCAAGAAGCAGACATGAATAGGCGATTCAAAACCTCCTTGATGTTCGAGATGCGCGTCTCATCAGTCACCAGCTTGCGACAAGAGAAATATTTGACGTTGAAGAGGTGGTCCTTGCGTAGACGATGGGCCAGAAGATGCGCGAGCGCTGTCTTTCCGGCGCCAAGCCCACCGGTCAACAAGATCGATGAAGACTTTGTCAAATTACTCAAAGACTGGGAGATGATGGAATCAATTCCCACGAGTTGTGGAGCAATCTCCGGAATCGGATCATCAGTAGGCAAACCTGACGAGGCCGCGTCAGATGGTTTGTGTATCTCGGCCTGGACTTCAAGGTTGAGTATAGCCTCCGAGCCTAGGAGCCACCCGAACATCGACTTGTTCTCATCTGGGCTCCCCTTCAAAGGTGGATCAAATCTCAGGATGGCACCATCAAAGGAAGAGACAGCAGGATGGTTTTCAACTTGGGGTAAAATCATGCCATCGGTTAATGGGCCTGAGAACAACCCAACATCGGACCCAGTGCTACCATATATCACTTTGAGACGTTCAGCCAAGGCGTCCCGAGAAGCGGCAGTGTCAGAGCCAAATTTAAGTCCGTCTTTTTTCTTAGAGGGATCAAACATGAACGGATAAATCTTAAGTGTTTTCACCGCCGAACGATGCAGTTGTGGCGGAGCAGCCTCCACACGAATGATTCCTCCCACCATATTCTCTGCGCCAAGGGCCGTGGACAGCAATGTGGACATCGCGACGTGCCGATTGTCCGGGGCATCTTCCCAGGGGAAAAGTTTTGCCACCAGTTTAGTTGTAGGTGAACCAGCCTCTTGAGACTTCTGTTCTTGCTGGGCCAGTTGTTGCTGAGGATCGACAGGGGGTTTAAGCCCTGAAGGCTGCACAATAGATACGCATGCCCAGCTTGCGCCTCGCAGCTCATGAGATGCCAACATATCCGGATCTACCCAGACACGGAAGCCATCATTCTCATCCTCGTCTATTTCAGCATCAAACAACTCTTCGGCTGCTCGGCGGTCCACACCCCGAAGGTACAGAGCACCTCTGCTACTAGAGTCCGACCGACTGCCCTTCGGGCGGACTGTACTGGAAGCGCTCCGGCCGCCAGTACTCTTTCTGCTGCTCCCAGCGTTGCTTCGGGTATCCCCTCGAGACGATTTACCGGGCTTTGATCGTACTTTCGGGGCGACAATGACCTCGGCATCGGGCGCAATCTTTGCGAATGGAGAAGTAGCCGATGGTGTAGGATCAAGGGAGGTAACGATAATGTTTGCAGTTGATGTCGGTGAGAGATGTAGTGCAAGCGGATGCATGTGCTCCGATTGCGCCGCGGTATAGGAAGGATTTGGGAGCGCGCGGATCTGTGATAAAAGGTTAAGTTCAAGGAAGGTAGCATGAAGTTCGATAACTAGGGTACATTACGAAGTCAGCAAAAAGTCCTCGGATCCGGGGTTTTGTGTCAACTTACTTTCCCAGTCTTCTGGTGTCAATGGCTCGATATTGATAGTATGCGCGACAGGTGGGTCGAGATGCACGAGGAGTCCGACCTGCAAGAGGGTCAGCAACCCACGCAAGTCAAGTCAGGATACAAGAAAACTCACCTTCTGTCCCTCAACCAAACCGAGAAGTCTTCCAAAAGTCGTGTCTATTTCCACTGTCGAGACCTCCTGCTGCTCTCTGTTATAACCGGTGTTGATACCATCGCGGCTCACTACCGGCGCAAGCCTGCGCTTGCTCGGCATGCCTGTCCAACCTAAGAAACATGATCGCTGCGGCAGAGCACCATTGGCCTTGCCAGTTGTTGATTTCAATTGTAATTCGATTATGACATTCTGAGCAGTCTGTAATCACATGAATTAGCCGGGAAAGCGAACGGTTGCTGGCGTCGGGAACTGACCGTGTTTGCATTGACCAGCAAGGAGACAAGTGAAGGTGGAAGATTGACAAGACAGTTCTTCAAAGGAATAAGAGCGACTTCCGCTGTCGTCGAAGGCTTCTTGGGCGCCATAATCAGAGCTGTTCACAAGAAGACGGAGGTGGGGAACGGGGCATTCCCCGGGGGGGTCTTACTTACCATCAGGTCACCGCCCGGGAACCGGTCCGCGGTGAACCTCGGCTGATGCACTTTCAGGCACCCAGGCACTAATCCGGGGTACCGAAGGTCCGTAAATCGCGTATTGCGATCCTTCCTAAAAAGGCATGAGATGTGGAGAGAACCTTTGAAAAAAAAAAAAAATTCACCGGCAGAGTGGCGTTATTACGGTGGTTTTTGTCTTCCTCTACACTTTTAATGTTACAAGAACCTTGGAACAATCCAATAATTTGTGGAGTTGTGATATATGCAGAAGTTTTAATCTCGTGACTCGTGAGGCTCGTATGAATTGTTATTCACGATTCAATGGCCGCGGGCGTGGGGGTGGGAGGTGAAATGTTCCAGAGGTGGGTTGGGGAGGGAATGTAGTATATCGCTGCGACAATGACTCTGTAGCAGGCAGCTCAATTGGGTCTCGATCCGCTCGTAGTTCAACCAAAGGCGTTGAAGAACTAGGAGATGGTACAAGGTGCTGTTGAATCTGCCAGTGTCGTGTTTCTTCTAGAGATGGCAGTTCAACGGGTAAATGCTCAAGATGAGCTCCAAATGACTGTCGTTGTTCATGGCGGATTTGATCGGGTGAGGGTAGCTCGGCTGTGAATGTCTGCAGGTCTCTGAACTCGGCCATTGTCAGATCGCGGCCGAGGTGGCGTTTTAGTAGTTCGTGGAGAATGAAACGCTCAGAGACATTGCCTTGGGCTTCGACAAAAGATACTCTAGGGTTGGCCTCGCTTATTCTTTGTAGCTTGTTGGCATGTCGGTGGTGGCTGAGACTTCCTTCCGTGCCGATCAGGAATATGGTGGTATATGCCCAAGACAGACCCAAAAGCTCCAGTTCAAATTCATCCATGTCGCTTGCTTCACCGTCAAGTATCAGAAGTAGTCGTATATTGGGGGTTCTCGGACCAGGTTGCCATCCATATACTGGGTGATATTTCGCTGTTCCGCAATGTTTTTGAAAGTGCAGTGCCTTTATCTTATCCCACCCTGCCATGACTCGAGTGCGTCCGCCAAATTGAACTTTCTCCCAAATTTCACTCAAATTCCATCCACTCGCAACTCCCAAGTAGTCAGCTTGATCGGAGAAAGTTATCAGTGGATAACCTTGCCATCCATGATCATGATTTCCTAGTGCATCAACAAAACGACGAATCATCGCCTTTGCAAGGTCTACGTCGCAAGGTTAGAACTCGATGTACATCTGTACAGAAATGAATAAAATAATATATACCTTTGTTCTTTGGCTGGTTAGTTTTAACATAGCCGGTAATGAGAGATTTATTGTAGTTTGGTCGTGCGGGGTTGAAGTCCATAGAGCCCGAAACATCCAACAGAATCATTGTCTCATCAGTCGACGACATCGGGGTACTCCATCTGAAAATGGATTTGACCTGTTTTGAGTAGCCATGGGATGTATTTTGAACATGGCAAGTATCTTCGGGATCATGATATGCTGGGGGTATCTCCACTGCTGTATCTAGTCGAATGCGCGCCATCTCTAGCGCCGAAACGATGTCGGGCTTTAGAACAACACCTCCTCCGTCTCGATTGCTTAGAGTCCAATACAATCTTTCTTCGGCGGTGTTGTCGTAGCCTCTCCAGTCAGGTGTGATTCCTCTCCATCCTACAGCTGCATCAATGGAGAATCGCAGGGGGTTAGAGGTCTGTAATTCTCCGCTCCAGGATATAGGTATGGGCTCAAAATATCCTGCACGCAGGAGGTGGAGATATTGGAGAGGCTGGTGTGTTCGGAGCTCGTGAACTTTTGCTGTGATTCCAACCGTTTGCTGATATACAGCCACTATATGTCTGTCTTCATCGTCTTGCCACCGACCTTCCTCCTCCGTGATGATTTCTTGACGGCGTTCGAGTCCTCCAGAAAACTTCTTTTTGAAATTCCCGGCAGCTCTTTCGTCAGAAGTCCTGACCGATAGAGCCTTTTTAATGCTTGCACGTTTTGACGGCTTATCATTTGGGGTATGGCCATTGCTTGAGGTGCGTGGACTTGCCATAGTTGATACCAAAGACTCTAAATGTTCAAGATCCCAAATGTTGAAGGATGGCTCTTGGGCCTGAACGGCGATTTTAGCCTTTGCATTTAAACTCGAATCCAGTGTTATCATCTGTTGAAGGAAAGTCGCATGATTCTGTGGATCTGGTCGAACGGTCCCTGATAGAGTCGCCCCTGGCAGTCCATACGGGGAGATGATCTCAGTTGAGTAAGGGTTGTTGTTGAAGAGGCGCAAGTGAGTACAGTCATCGTATGGCTTTTCTCCAGGGTATATTACGGCTTTCGACCACATTTCCTGAGTTTGCAAACGATCAATCTTCCGCTTCAAGTATTTGTGCACCGCACATTCGCAAAGCTCGTTTGTTTCATGTTCGGGCTCGATCTCGGGATTCCAGATCTGGCAGGATAGTTGAATGCCGTGGAGCAAATTTTGCATTTCCTGCTCATCTTGAGCTCTGATCTTTGCGGCCTCGATCAGGGTATTGCTGTGGGGCCGACGTGAGCCGTTGACGGTCGTTTTGGTATCAGGGGATGCGAGGCCTGTATTGGTTGAACTTAATGATGTACGTTTCCCCGGTGGACTTAGTGGATACGATGGAAACGTAGGGGGGGAAGCGGGTGGTGTGACCGTGGCAACCACATTGTGGAAGTTGACCGAGTTGATTGAGCTGCGCATGGAGGAAGGAGGTCGGTGGTTGCTGTAACGATCCATTTTGTCCAGAGTTTGTATAAATCGCCTTTGACGTTTCAAGGTTCCCGGGGACTTTTAATGTTCTGTGGTCAATGCACGGGTCAATTAGCAGTTGCCTGGAGAATGCCCGAGCCCTTGCAGTAGGTAGTACTGGTACTACCTGGTGGGAATACTCAGAAGCTCAAGGCTCCCCGGCACCAGATAGAAGGTTAAAGGGAGATCGCTGGATGTATGCTTGCTTTTTGACACATAACCTCAACAATTGAATAGGAAAATCCCAGTGGATAAGAATCATCCGTGCTTACTCCGTTACCCCCTCACCCCCTGCATGACATGTGGCACAGTCACTTTCTTCATATACTTTTGGTTCTAATTTTACTGAATTGATACGAGCACGTGGTTCGAGTCTCTCTGGTGAGTGGGTCATTTTGAAGGTGGCGCCCATGGGTTTTCATGCTTGCATTTGTACTCTGATTCCTGATTGCGGCTCGGCCCAAGCACTGACCAAGGGCCAGGCGACAAAATTACGCGATTGGTAAAGAGAATCACCACGTCCTTGATTTAAGCCTCATTTGCGAAATGACATATTCCAGGCCTTTTTTCCAATCTTCTAACTGGGCCTTTGATTGGGCTTCCCGTAACCTTGGAAGGTGCCCGCTCATGGCTCAAGTTACAACCGCATGACGAACTATGGATGGTGGCTGAGTCGTGATATCAAGTGAGCATCTGAGCCCGTATAGATATATAAATGAATCCAACCGACGATTCAAACATTTGAATTCCACTGTCGTGTAAATATTAAAATATTAAACCTCCTTGGAAGAATTTATACATAATGTATTGGCGCTGCTCTTTTTTTTTTTTTTTTTTTTTTTTTCCCAGAGGCTATATGGCAGAACACATGTGCAGTCAATGTGATGGAACCCAATATGTGATTCTGTGAGCTTTTTAGCTTCCAGATTATTCCAATGTTCAAATGTTGGTCTGCTCGATATGAATTTCTGGATTTGATAAAGTAGTTTCTTTGTTAGGCAAGTTTGGCCTCCCTTACTTCAATGTTCCGACCCTATTTAAGCTTATTCATACTATTGCATGCTTTCAATGTTTTGGCATACATTGACTCTTCTCCTTGAGGAACTTCGAGCATCTGGGTTCTTAGTAAACACTTCTCCATGTTAGCTTCATTCCAGCTTGAACAAATTCCTGTTAATTTTTCTCTCTTTTTCTCCCTTTAACTGCATTTCTCGATCAACGCAGTTGCAGTTACAAGGTGGGTCAAGCTTGATTATCCAATCAGAATCGTCAACTGGTGACTTGGGAATTCCTTGGCGCGTCCCCCTTCTTGGACGCGTTTCGTGTTTTCGCGTGTCTCTCTAGGGGCTGGTCCCATTTCGCAGCAAAAACCACTCCCACTTTTGCCTTCCTCCTCAAACAGAGCGCATCTTACAACCCCCACAAAACAACCATGGCTTTGCTTCAATACCAGGCTCCGGTTGACTATGCCGCCCAATTAGATGGCTTCAAGGACTTTTTGCAGAACTTCAAGTCCATGCAGTCTACCGATGAGGCTTCTGCGACCGAGGCCCTAAGGGGTTTAAATATCGACGGCAACCGCACCAGCGACGAGTATGATTTTATGGACGATGCCGAGGAAGGCACCAATACCCGAAGCTCACGCACCCGCCAGCAAGTGAAGCAAAAGTACATGCAGATTCTGCAGGACGTTGCCAACAGAGACTCCTCGCACATTTTGATTGAATTGGATGATCTCGACACTGTGCGTCCACCAAGAATTCCCTTATTTCGCTTCTCCGAATAATCACTAACAAGTCTCAAAATCGCAGTATGAGAAACTTTTCCCCGAGGAGGAACGAACCCTGAAATTGGTCGAGTCCATTCAAAAGAACACCAAGCGCTACATCGATGTTTTTTCACAGGCAGTGGATGCGATGATGCCCGCGGGGACCAAGGATACCAGGTATGTCGCCGCGATGATTCATACCGGCAACCCTCTCAATAAATGAGTCTGTTGACTAATTCAATCCAGTTTCAAGGATGATGTGTTGGATATTATCATGAGCCAGCGCAGCAAAGTCAACGAGACCCTGGAGATGAACGCCGAGGCTGATATGGACACTTCCGTGGATGCGAGCATGTTCCCTCCGGAACTCACCCGCCGATACACCCTTAACTTCAAGCCCATCACACCCTCCGGCTCCAGTAGCGATATGAGTGGAAAGGCGCTCGCGGTTCGGAATGTGCGCGGCGAGCACCTGGGTAGCTTGATCACCGTGCGCGGTATTACAACTCGTGTTTCGGATGTCAAGCCAGCAGTTCTGATCAATGCTTACACTTGCGACCGCTGTGGAAGCGAAGTTTTCCAGCCCGTCGTTACCAAGCAGTTCACCCCCCTTTCAGAGTGCTTGTCCGAAGACTGCAAGAAGAACAACTCGAAGGGCCAGCTGTTCCTTTCCACCCGTGCCTCTAAGTTTGTTCCTTTCCAGGAAGTCAAGATCCAGGAAATGGCAGACCAAGTGCCAGTCGGTCACATCCCACGAACCCTAACTGTTCACTGCCACGGAGCTCTGACTCGCACGGTCAACCCTGGTGACATCGTTGATATCGGTGGCATCTTCTTGCCCACTCCCTACACTGGCTTTAAGGCCATTCGCGCTGGTCTTTTGACCGATACCTACCTTGAGGCTCAGCACATCACTCAACATAAGAAGTCCTACCAGGACATGGGTATGGATGCTCGCACTCTGCGCAAGATTGAGCAGTACCAGAGTTCGGGCAACATGTACGAGTACCTCTCTCGCTCTATCGCCCCTGAGATTTATGGTCACCTCGATGTGAAGAAGGCACTGCTCTTGCTCTTGATTGGTGGTGTTACTAAGGAGATGGGAGACGGCATGCACATTCGTGGTGATATAAACATTTGCTTGATGGGTGACCCCGGTGTGGCTAAATCTCAATTGCTTCGCTACATCACCAAGGTTGCTCCTCGCGGTGTGTACACCACTGGTCGTGGTAGCAGTGGTGTTGGTTTGACTGCTGCCGTTATGAGAGATCCGGTGACCGATGAGATGGTGCTGGAGGGAGGTGCTCTGGTTCTTGCCGACAACGGTATCTGCTGTATTGATGAGTTTGACAAGATGGAAGACTCCGACCGAACTGCCATCCACGAAGTTATGGAACAGCAGACCATTTCTATTTCCAAGGCTGGTATCAACACCACCCTAAACGCCCGTACCTCGATCCTGGCAGCTGCCAACCCGCTGTATGGCCGATACAACCCTCGCATCTCCCCCGTTGAGAACATCAACCTTCCCGCTGCCCTGCTGTCCCGTTTCGATGTCATGTTCCTGCTCCTGGATACTCCTTCTCGTGACACCGATGAGGAACTGGCCAACCACGTTACCTATGTCCACATGCACAACAAGCACCCTGAGACAGAGGATTCCGGAATCATGTTCACCCCTCACGAGGTCCGCCAATACATTGCCAAGGCACGCACCTTCCGTCCCATCGTTCCTTCCAACGTCTCCGATTACATGGTTGGCGCATACGTTGCCATGCGTAAGAGACAGAAGAAGGACGAGGCCAAGAGGCAGCAGTTCTCGCACGTGACACCCCGTACTTTGCTCGGTATTGTTCGTCTCTCACAAGCGCTGGCCCGTCTTCGGTTCAGCGAAGAGGTTGTCCGCGAGGATGTCGATGAGGCGCTGCGCATCATCGAAGTCAGCAAGTCGTCGCTTTACAACGACCGGGAAGCTGGTGCCGACCACACCCCCACTAGCAAGATCTACACACTGATCCGCAACCTGTGGGAGAGTGGTGCTGCCGCTGTGGGAGATGACGATGATGATAACGCTATGAGCATCCGACGTATTCGGGAGCGAGTGCTGGCTAAGGGTTTCACCGACGATCAGCTTACCACTGCTATCCACGAGTACACAAACATGAACGTGAGTTTCTTATCCATTTCTACATATTATGTTATACTTGATACTAATTTTATACCAGGTTTGGCAAACTTCTGACAACGGTGCGCGTCTCATGTTCGTCAATGCGGACGACGAAATGATGGGTTAAATTTCTTGGGTTTGAGCTTCCTTCTTTTGATGGCTTTTTAAGTTTCGAGCTGCATTTGTAAAACCGGTAGATTAAGGCGATGGGTGTTCAAGGTGTCTTATGTGTGTGTGTGTGTGTGGACCGGAGGCCGGTTCTTGTGATTGTTCTATCAAAACCGTATTCCCAATCTACTAGTGACTGTTTATGGGTTGACCGAAACATTTGAATGTTATACGATTTCAATATTCTTGGGGAAAAAAAGGATAATTCCATACATAAAGAGCGAATATAAATCAAGTTTGGTACTTCCCAGTCAAAACGTGTTCAAACAGGTCCCCCAACTGTCGATTTGAAATCGAGCCCTTGGCCCTCTCCTCCTTCCAAATCTAAACCTTGCACTGGTTGTAGATGGGTACCTCGTTACAAATAGTAGAAGGGGCTCCGTATGGATCATCGCAAAGCGTATTGCAGACTGTGTTTTCCGGCACGAAGACCAAGAACTGGTAATTTGGCATATTCAGACGGAACTGCTCCTTGATATTCTTGTCCTGCTCCGACGCCTTGTATCCCGCGCGACAGGCGCAGTGGAAGGTCGTGCCAGTGTTGATGCACGAAGTCGTGATATCACAGCTATTCTGGCCAGAGAGCGGGTTGCAAGTGCCGCAGGTAGGAGGAGTGGGGTTTGCGAGGGCAATAGTTGCCGTAAAGAGGATGGCAATGGCTGCGAGATGCATGGTAGGAGTATTGAAGTAGTAGAGGTCACAGAGACGAATTAAGATGTGAATTTGGAAGATTTGAAGATCTGGTTCCAAGGTTTGGCTTGATGGGCGTGATTCTCAAGTTTGGTAGAGGGATCCATCGTGTTTTTATACTATTGTCCTTCTCCCAAGGGTCTCAGCTTTTCTCAATGTGAACCCAAACCCCAACATCCACCCCAGTTCTCGTTCTTGGAAATCTTGGGGCGAAGCAACCGGAATCGACCCATTACGAGGCCTCCTGCCAAGGGGGTCTCACCGTCATTCAGCAGAGGCAAAGCAAGTCAGACATTCACTCTCAATACGGACAAAAGAACCTTGTCTGCAGATTCCCTTTGGCCTGAAAGACTTCAAGTCCCATGCCACCGTGACTAATTCCATAATCTCCACGCATCGGATAGGCCGGGATGTAGAAGCCCAAATCCGGGGTTGGATGCAGAATACGAGATTTGGAACAGGGTCTTCGAGACATCACCAATACTGTTGAAATCGCTGGTTATGTTGTAAATTTAGACTCACTCTAGAACTCAAAAGATGGATCGTGATCGTATTTGGAGTTCAAGAGATGGCGGGGTTCGTTGTCTGACTTCACAGCCTTATTTTGGACCCCTTGTCATTTTTTTTTAAGGTAGAATGCGGGGATGGTGGAACAAAGTTGAATCTCACCGCTTGATGTGCCACGTACTTGGACTGTTTGGTTTTGGAAATGAAAAGTTTGGTGACGGTATTGTTCCTGGTGTATGATGTGTCTTTTGAGACAATTCTTCCAAGGTTGGCCGTGATATTCTTGTGTTGAGCTCCGGTAGTAACCGGGTCAGCATTTGAGAGATCGTGCAGATACAAGTTATCCTGCAGTAGTTGAAGTCAAGAGTACTATCTTTCACCTGGGATATAAGGATAAATGGAATCGAAAGGAATTTTGGAAGTTCTGATCAAGTATAAATCATATTATCCACTCTATCTGCCCAAGAAAGCGAGGAAAAAGAGAGAGAGAGAAAGCAAGAAAGACAAAAGCACAATTTCAAGCGAGCATCAAAAAATCATCAGTGATTCAAATCCTTATCAAGGAATCACATCTCCAATCCATGTTTATAGCTTATCAAAGACCTCAACAGCCGCCCTCGCGGTAGAAGCAGCGCTGGCGGGGTTCTGGCCAGTGACTAGCCGACCATCAACAATATGGTAGTCATCCCAGATACCAGGAGCACGTTCATCTACACCAAGAATGTCAGCAAAAGAGAACCTTGGAAATCCAGCACCTCAAGTCAAATAAGGAAAGACTCACAAGTGGCACCCAATCTCGCCGCAAGTTCCTCCACCATCTCAGACCCAAATCCCCTCAGCTCAGTCATAATCCCCATGGTGATCTCCGCCTCGGTTGTGAATCCGGTAATCTTCTTCCCCTTGATGATGGGTTGCCCGGTCGTATCGACGATATTGGCGAAAATGGCAGGCCCATGGCAAACAGACGCCACAACACCGCCACTGGCCCAGACCTGTTCGGCGATCTTCTGCAGTCCTCGAGCGGTGGGGTAATCGATCAGCGCGGCATGGCCCGCAGAAGCATAAAAGAGACCGTAAACCGATCCGTCGAGATCAGCGGCTTTGGGCATGTTGTCGAGTTTCTGGCGGAATTCGCTGTTCGTGTCCTTCCAGGTCTCTAGGTCTGAGCCATTGAGGAAGTCGGGTTGCTGAGACAGCCAGTCAGGAGTGTAGCTACCTGTCTCGGAGGACAGGTCGACTTCGAAACCGGCGGCTGTGAGGACATTGTAGGGGTGGAGGGCTTCGCTGATGAAGAGACCCGTTGTTTCTTTGCCGTTGAACAGTGCCCCGCTAGCGGAGGTGATGGCAATGAGAGCTTTGCGGGCAGGCATCTTGATTGTTTTGATGGAAAGTGAGAGAAGACTTTGAAAAGTGGATTGTGAAGTTTCCTATAAGATTGTACTTTGCTGATGTTCTTGTTCTGGATTCCAACATTCTGACCGAGGGATAAGCCCCCATTTATACATGCTGAGCGACAAGTGCAGGAGCTGATTCCGTCTAGAGTGCAGAGTCTAGACTCTAGACCAAGTTCGGGATTGCTTGATGACGGATTCTCATTGATTGATAATTGGATGGTACCGGAACTCCTTGACTCCGTGTGCCTGTCATCACGGAGCGGGGTTCAATTCTCCCAAGGAAAAAGATGTCAGCTTGACCGTGGAAAGGGACGTGCTGCGTGCATGCATGAATCGAGGTTTGTCGCATTTGTTCAAGTCTCCCGGAGTCGCGGAGTTCCGGAGATGAGGGGCTAATGCTGCCCAGCATGTACTTCTCAGCCAATCCCACATTGTTAAATGGAATCTGACTCCGAAACTCCGGGGGAATTGGTATACATTTTCAACTATCTCCAAATGGATTTCTCTGATCGGAGACATTCAACATGATTGGGTATATATAAGAATGTTTCCCCCAATGCCTCAATATGGAGCACTCAAAGAATCCCATCCAGTTTCATCTCAGTCATACCCAAACCAGCCAAAATGGGATCAATCGCAACTCAATATACTCCCTCGGAGTCTAAACTCTTCAAACCCTTACAAATAGGCAATTGTCTTCTTCAAAACCGCATTGTTTTCCCTCCTTTGACTCGCCTCCGCAACGATGATGATCACGTTCCATTGCCGCTCATGGAAAAGTACTACGCCGACCGTGGGTCTACCCCCGGCACTTTGGTCATCGCAGAGGCCACGGCCATTTCACACGCCGAAGAGGGCAACTGGAACAACCCTGGCTTGGTCAGCGACCAACAAGTTGAAGGATGGCGCAAGATTATTGATGCGGTCCACGCCAACAAGTCGGTCTTTTTCCAGCAGATCTGGGCTATGGGGAGAGCAGCTCATCCCGATGTGCTGGCAACTCGAGGATTCCCCTATAGATCCAGCAGTGCCGTAGCCATGAAGAACTCCGAAATCACCCCACGCGCTATGACGGAAGCTGAGATTCTGGAGACTATTCAGGGCTTTGTTGACACTTCCAAGCGTGCCGTATTGGCTGGTGCAGACGGAGTTGAGATCCATTCCGCGCATGGCTACTTGCTCGACCAATTTCTCACATCAAGTGTCAACCTACGTACCGATAAATGGGGTGGGTCCATCGAGAATAGATCTCGACTCACGCTTGAGGTTGTCCGAGCTGTTGTCCAGGCTATCGGTGCTGAAAAGGTGGCTATTCGGTTCTCTCCTTACGCTGGGTTTCAAGGGTCCGAAAAGACCGATTATCTGGAGCTTTACACCTATCTCCTCACGGAACTCAAGAAAATGAATGTCAAATTTGCTTACTTGTCTCTCGTTGAGGCGACTGGTGATCCTGGGGCTTTGATTTGGAACGATAAGGCGATTCACCAGGAAAAGTCACTGGACTTTATCCTCGATGAGTGGAACAATCTCTCGCCGGTCATCGTTGCAGGTGGCTATCAACCAGATACAGCTGCTTGGGCAGTGGAGGAGAAGTACAAAAAGTGGGATGTTATGGTCGCTTTTGGTCGCCATTTCATTGCCAATCCTGACTTGGTTTTCAGAGTCAAGGAGGGTCTTCCTTTGACAAAGTACAACCGGGCGACGTTCTATAGTCGCAAAGCATGGGAGGGCTACAATGACTATCCATTTAGCCCGGAGTTTTTAAAGGCGCATCCAAATGCTGTGCATCCAATGATTGAGAAATAGACACATGGTATTTTGGCAAGTTTGCAGAATTGTACATATTGGATTAAATATTTTGACTTGATATAGATACATAGAGCCGTGGCTTCCATTAAACCTAGCGATAATCAGATAATCAGATGATTAGAAATGATTTTCATCCTTCAATTTTATTACCATCCATACCTATGTTTAATATTGAAATACTTGCAGTCTAATTGAAATAAATTCATTATAAACAAGAAAAAAAAAAATGCTGGACAGTCTAGCGGCTAGCCCTACGGCCTTGAAAAGGCTACAGTACTTTGTAATTGGCCGATCGGCCCGCAATCTTACAAATCTCACTTCCGCCATCTGTCTCAACTCTCGAATCTCTCTCACACAAGGGGCAATTGAGCTTATCATCCACAAATTATCAGCAAATTTATTGCGAATGTTGATGCCTTCTCCATGCATGCCTCGATAGCCCGAAAAAGGGACATGGTAGACCCATCCATAAAACCTCTGCGGAGGCAAGTCGGACGCGCTTGCGATGGATGCCGCGCAAGAAGGGCCAAATGTGACAATGAACGCCCGTGTCGAGTCTGTTGTCGGAGAAATGAGCCATGCTTACAGACCGGATCCGATGACCCTCGCACATTACCACAGGCGATGAGGTGAGAGCTCACGTGGTCTTAGATTAGTGGTTGGTATCTAATGATATCCATAGAGAAATAGACAGGTTGAAGAAACATGTCAAGGAAATTGAAAATGAATTGCTCTGGTACAGATCTCAGTACCCATCTGGCTCTATGGCTAGCTCGCTGCAGTCTCACAGTTCACCTGGTCAGAGCTCTTTACCTAGCTCAGAATGGTCGCCCAGTCGCACTACCAATTCACCACCTGACTTAACACCCCAAAAGTCCGATAGAAGTAGCCCATGGGAGGGAATTCAGATCGGCACTGCTCGCTCTCCAAATTCATCATGGTATGGGCCATCATCGCTGTTTTATTTTATCGGGCGCATGAACAGCTACTTGGGCGTGATCCTTCAACAGACCCAAATGAGCAATCAGATGGTTCTTCATGGGTCTGCAAGCACACTATTAAATGGCACGACTGAGAACAACTTGGAAGATGAATTGCATCAAGCTGCTCTTTCTGCAGAGGACCCTTTCACAGCTGGTCAGTTCCTGAGTCCAATCCAAGAAGAATACTTCCTCGACTTTTTTTGGAAATCTTACCACACTTGTCTTTTTCCAATCATCAATGAAGCCGAGTTCATGGACCACTATCGCTCTCTATGGGCAGAGTCTGGGGACAAAAGAAGGCCTGCTGCACTTGTGGATATTGTAATTGCCCTGTGCATGCAGCATGGTGTTTCCCAGCTATCCCCTCAGCAACAAAAGTCCCTCATTGGTGGTGACCCCAGCGTCGCCGGCCGTTGGTACTTCCGACGTTGTCAGCAGCTAGTCACGTACCAGCTTGAGAGTCCTACGATAGCGACCGTCCAGTCTCTCATGCTATGTTCCATATACCTCTGTAACGGATCTTTCCAGAACATGTCAGCGACATGGGCTAGTATGGCTGCGAGGGCGGCTTATGTCGCAGGTCTTCATATAGCCCCTTCCCAAGACCTTCCAGCACCGGAGCGCGAGCTGAGAAAACGTCTGTGGTGGGCTCTCTATGAGCTAGATGCCAAAATTGGCATGAAGTTAGGCCGTCCATTTCTTCTCCACCGCTCACCCACCGAGCCCGGGCTTCCAGATGATCAACCAGAAACGGCGAAGCACTCTGGGTCTCACCTGGCCAATTCGGGCGAAAGCAAAACATGGCTTAGCTTTCATCTCGAAAACTCAAAACTTTTTATTATCGCAAGGGAGATCCACGAGTCATTTTACGCAAGAGATGTGAACCTTCAACAAGGCCAGTCTATCTGGGATGATTTTCAAGCTCTGGAGTCTCATGCCGAGTTCTTGCAGCTTCGTGCAAAGCCTTTAGATAAATGGGTCGACGAGCTACCCAACACACTCAAAACCAGCAGACAAGAAAATGGGATCCCCTTCTCCACCGATGGGACAAGGCTAGATATTGAGCCATTCGCGCCACTATGGCTTCAACGTCAACGTCTAAACCTGGAGCTCATATACCACAATCTCTATATCAACCTTCACCGACCGTTTATTTCCTTCATTTTGGGGCCACCTTCAAGTTTAAAAGAGGATTTGGCCACAAAATGCGCTTTCCATGCCATGGAAATCACCAAAATTTTGCACCAAACGCTATCCTCAACAACAATACTTACCGGGTGGCATGAGGCCTTTCAATGGCAATGGAATGCATCTATGACCCTCGTCGGCTTCATTCTAGCCCACCCACGAAGCACCCAAACGCCCGAAGCCATCAAAGCCGTTGACCTGGCAATAACAGTCTGTGAAATATTTGGAGAACACTTCTCTGTTGCGAACAGTGCGGCTACCATCTTGCGAAACCTTGGCCCCAAAATCAACTTTCTATTGCAGTATCACTCGGAGATGCAAGAGATGCCCAATGATGGACTTGATCGAGGGCTCAAGCCATTGAACAGTAGTACACAGTGGCTTGATAGTCTTATGGCTGAGACTTCGGGATATGACCCTTCGCTGATGGTCCCTATGCAGGACGTGTTTCAGATGGCCTTTTCAATTGAACAATGGAGTGCCTTGGATGATCTTCTACCGGATATGGAAGGGAACCAATGGAATTCTCAGGTTTGGGGGACTTTCTGAGTTACTTTCTACTGTTACTCCTTTGATGATAATGAGATCTAAAATTATAATTGATGTCTAACATTGAATAAATCATATGTAGCACTTGAGAGACTGGCATGCCTACTCGCGGTAATAGATTGTTGAGCACGGCTATGCACGGAGCCCTCAGTTCTGCATGCTGTAATAAACCGTTCTCGTATATACATGAAAATTACTAGGCTTATGAGTAGTATGTACTATACGAGGCTTTCAACCATCGAACTTTAGAAAGATTAGTCTGCACGCTATTCCCACATGCATGCTCCTAGCCCGGGGGAAATCGTCTTTGCCGCATGGTTGTTCTACTTGTAAAATTGTGTGAGCTGTCAAGTGCTACCTAGAGTTCTGATGTTGGCTCGTAGTTTTTGTTGAATGCAGACTTCGAGTGACATGTCATGCTTACTTCCAAGGTTGAATAGCTCGGCTTTCGGCAATATGGTTAGCCTTAATGGATTCTCGGCCGTGACTAGTATGCAGGTCGTTTTCTGCGAGGCGTAAATAACTTTTACCTATACCTACTAGTACGTAGTAGATAGAATCTCGGGATACGAAATAAAAAAAAACTGAGCGATTGCCAGGTGTGTCTTGGCACCTGGCTCGGGTGAAATCTCACTACATATGACCTTTCAAGGGTGGATACGGTGCAGAGTTTCTAGGATTCTTGGCAGGCTATTCTTGCATCTACTCCAAGGTTTCAAATGTTATGATATTTTCCAATCAATCATTCCATTATTCCATCAAAGAGATATGAGTGCCACAGTAAGACAAGTCTTCTATTTGGAATGGTAATTCCACGTCCATGAAACCTCATATATCCAAATGCAGCTCGCACATGACAGTCTAAAGGTTGGCCTGAGCTCCCTCAGGCTCACCAATCAATCGCAAGAAGCTCCCATGCACCTCATCCGTAAGATCACTAGCCTGCATACTGCGGCCTTTTGCCTCGAAGGCCCGCCGCGACGATTCCCTGGTAATACTGCTGCCACCCCACGCAGCTAGAAGCAAAGTTGTGCCGGGAGACATTCGTCTATCGGACTCGAGCTCAGCCTGCACTTCCTCCCTGCTCTGCGCCTCCTTCTCATTATCCTTTTCGCCCGAGTCCCACAACCGATCGTGGTAGGCTGCCCGCCATGCAAGCATAGTACCCAAAGACCCAGTGAGGGTATCTCCTTGTCCACCGCTGCGCTTCAGTCCACCCTTGGTATCATTAATGATACTGGTGACTCCATTGGAGATCACATCGTGAGGACCCTTCTGCAGAATCGTCACTCCTCCCAGTGCATTAGATAGCTGCTCACATGCATCAGATGCTTTGCTCGTTTTATCACCGTCTCCTTCCTTCGCGATGTCAGCCTGACTGGTTGCCTTGATTCCTAGTGCTTTCGCCAGTCGCCCAAACTCGACAACGTTGGGAGTGAGGATGCATTCCTTGTATCCGTTGACAAGGCTGGGGTCCTCAGTCACAATGAGTAGACCATCTGCGTCAAGCACAAATGGGATTGACCGTGAGCGTGCTTCCTTGATAACCTCCGCAACCACTTTTAGCGTAACACCGTCACGGCCAAGGCCGGGTCCGATAACTAGGGCATGAAGGCGGGAGAGCATGCTGATTATTGGACCTGCGAGTGCTGGTGCATCGATGGACTTGGGATCTTTGACCGTATCTGTGCTGGGTAGTAATGGATGTACCATCAGATTTGGCGAGTAGCTCTTGATTACCTGAATGAAGTATCTCAGTAACTGAACAAGTCTATTTGGGTGTAGTTGTCAGGGGCTATACCGGAGCTGCGGAGCGTTCACAGAGAACATGGCTCTACGACGCGTTAGCTATGGCTCATTGGCCTTGTTGAAGCATCCATACCATATCACATCCTGGACCGAGTTAGCTTATCGGACTTCTTTTATTGGCGTCTCCCGGGCATACCTAGTTTTGCTGATGCTATGGCCGAAAAATACGGAGCACCGGTGTAACTTTTTCACGGGTTAATTCAAAGCAGAGACATCACTAAACTGATTGACTGACTCTGCGCAGCCTCCAATGACGGCCACACGACCCAGTTGTCCTAATTGATCATGAGCATCATTACGGAAGGTCGAATAGATGCGGATAACGGCTAGAAATCGATCTGGTGGGGATGGCATACCCTTGTGAAATTTCTCCAGCATCGGCGGTACGATCTTACGCACCTTACTGAAGAGAACCTTTGATGAGGTCGTGACATGATGAACCGGCTCCATGGTAGATATAGTAAAGTCTTGAGATAAAGGAGTCAGACTGTAGCGTAGAGATGAAATGGTCAAAAAAAGGATAAGCTTGCAGGTGATGTCACCGCCAAGTGGGGCTTTGCTCAACATTGACGACAGACTTGGTGTACAACCGAGATTTAGTATTACATTAATACATTAATTCATGGTACGATTACTACTATGAAGACACTTCAAATGTTGGCAGCTACAATCTTAAAAAACCGGGAAAGGGGTTTAATGTTGAGCAAATGAAATGAAATCAGATTGGTATTACTGGTACGCCCGCTATGGATTGTGCTCACAAGACTAGGAAACATTCATCTAGTAACAACACCTCGAAACGCTCAGAATGCACCGCAAAATAATGAAACCCTCCCAGACATAGAAAATATAGATAGTAGCTATAGGTAGTTGTGATCGAAGGGTATAGAAGCCCATGAGAAAGCGTAACGTAGTAAGCTTAGCGCTTGCGGGAAGCAAGTGCAGCAAGTCTCTGCTGACGCTCAAGCTTTTCTTTCTTGGCGGCCATCTCCAGGCGCAGCTCCTTTTCGTCCTCCCTGCGAGCATTCTTCAAGGCACTGCCTTCTTCTTCCTCCACGTCATCAAAGCCAGCCTCCATGTCGGAAGATACGTCAGAATAGTAATCGTTGTAGCCACCATAGTCTCCTTCGTCCTCTTCATCGGTTCCCATGTACTCATTCATGCGGCGTTTGCCATGCTGGCGACGATCATTGTTGCCAGCCTTTCCAGGCAAGCCTGCAGTTCCATGGTAGGCAGGTGGCTCGGGGGTCTGCGTTGGCTTCGCAGTGCCCTTGTAGGACGGACCTTCCGGGGGAGATCGCTTGCGGGCAGGATGTTCGGGAGATCGCTTTCGGCCGTAGTTTCGCACGGGTTCTGGCGTAAACTTCTTACCCTTCGCCTCCATCTTCGCTCGCATCTTGGCTTCCTGCATGCGTTGCTTGAGTTTGTATTGGCCAATGTGCTCGCGGGTATCGGTCTGGTTTCGGATCAAACCAACGTGGGAAGGAGCCTGTTCCTGTCGAGCCTTGGCCTGCGCCATGAGGTCGGCATAAGAACCTTTCGGTGGGGCCTTGGAAGGACCTGAATCAGGTGGAGCAGACTTGGTTGACGCAGACTTGGTGGGAGCCGCAGCTGTCCTCTTGACTCCGACGGTACCATTCTTAGGGGCAACCTTGGATGCAACCGTCTTAACAGGGGTCGATTTGAGCGCAGGTTTTGGAGCCCTGGGTGTTGCCACAGGTCTAGAAACAGGCTTCGTAGATCGAGGCAACTGCTCCTCGGCCTTGCGCTTGGTCCCAGCATTCATTGTCGAAACATGCCCACGGGGGGCCGAAGCTGGCTTGCGATCATCTGGCTTGGGAGATGGAATTTTTGGAGGAGATGGGGGTTGAGAAGTCGGAAGCTCAGTGAGCTTGCCAGTTTGAAGCGAGGTAAGAACCGAGTCAAGGAACTATGTCATATGTTAGATGACGACAGGCAAACAAGAAAAGTAAAAAAGAGAACATTCACGTACACTCATTATGAAAGATTAAATAGCCAAAAGAACGTGTTTTAGTTGGGGGATATTGGCAAGTAGGACGCAAAACAAGAAAAGTTTGTCACCGATATATATTTAGTTCGATCAGGTAAGAAGCTTCATGACTCCGAACGCGAGGCCATAGACATGGGACTCCGCTCGGAGATGGTGAGAAGATGCGCAACGTTTCTGAAAAACGCAGAGTTGAGGGGGGATGAAAGGAGTGTGATAGAAGAGTAGGTAGTCAAGCCACTCGCAGGAACTTGGAGGGCTTTATGGACGGAGAATCGCAGTGATATAGCGGGGGGAAGTTGGCCACGCTTGATTCATCAACTTCAACCTCGCCCGAACGGGATACTCCACGTGATGTTTGCGCCACACTCGCTTAGTCTTTTTTCTGCCGGGCGGTAGCACCGCCACAGAGAGCCGCAACGCACTTTTTCCCACGATTTCCGTGCGCTCGATCTTGATCCTCAACCACCTCCTCTCGAACTCGACGTTGCAGTCTCCGCCCAAATTCGCGGTTAAATCGATTGTTTCTCTTGTTCTAAAACAAGTCAGTCACTTCCTGAAAATACGTTGCAAATTCACATGCAACAGTGCTTTCTCCTCCCTGCATTCGATTTTCAGAGCGAACCAATTTACTGACATACAATTTGGAAATAGTACCATCAAAATGAAGCACATCGCCGCCTACATGCTCCTTGCCCTTGCCGGCAACGAGTCTCCCTCCGTTGCTGACATCAAGGCTGTCCTCTCCTCCGTCGGCATTGACGCTGAGACCGACCGTGTCGAGAAGCTCATTGCTGAGCTCCAGGGCAAGAACCTCCAGGAGGTTAGTGAACACCCTTCCGCTTGAAAACCACTCGACACTTTACTAACAGTAATGCACAGTTGATCGCTGAGGGTTCCGCCAAGCTCGCCTCCGTTCCCTCCGCCGGTGCTGGTGCCGCTGCCCCTGCCGCCGGTGCCTCCGGTGCTGGTGCCGCTGAGGCCGCCCCCGAGGCTGCTGAGGAGGAGAAGGAGGAGTCCGATGATGACATGGGATTCGGACTTTTCGACTAAGTGCATCACACATCACGATGTCAAAAAGAACAACTTGGGGGAACAGATATCTGAGTGGTCTAGTCAGTCCGGGAAGAAATTCCACCGACTGGTTTCTCAAGTGTGCATGGTTCCAGCTGTTCTAACGCAGTAACGAGTTTTCATACATGGGCTGGAAACAGTTCATAGCCAATACAGATTATCTTTCCTCCACACCATTGTTTCATGTGTTGCACGTAAGAAGTAAATCGTAAGAATCAATATAAAGCCATCTATGTACCTCAACGGCTTATTGTCTTTTATGATCACATTCTAACGCGCCCCATATCAAATGCGACTCGTACTATGTAGTAGAATACAGTTTCATTGCGGGGGGCTATCAAAATCTCTAAAAAAGACAAATTAAAAATTAAAAAAAAATGTATTGATATCTGATATTGAAGAACAAGTAAAGATGTAAGGCGTTGCGGGCAAAAAGTAATCAAAATACAGGATCGAGTATTTTGAAGGTACATTCATCCACACGGAACATATGAGCCAAAATGATGTAACTCCTAGTCTCTCATTGGATTAGAAACGGTAAATTACCATTGTAATACAGATTACCCGAAACGGTCTAGTCGCTTAGGGCTTAACCTACCCGTCGCTTAGGCGAGTCCCTGCCCACCTCACCAGTCTCAGGTGTACTAGCGAGATCGTTCCCGCGACACGACGACCCGACAACCCATCTTCCTTCGCTTTTCGAGATACCGTTCGAAAGGCGAGCTCCAAGGAAACAACCGCTAAAATGGCTGACATCGAATACGTAAGTCCTCTTCCATGAACTATGCCCTCTTCATCAAGAATAACGCTAACAAATTGTTTTTAGAACGCCGAGGAGGCTGCCGGTACGTCTGAAATCAACATCATCCCACCCATACCCTTACCCGAAGAAACCGTCAAGCGATGAAGGAATTAAAGCCGAGTGTTTTGGAACGATACGAATGAACGATGAAAACGAGGGGCCGGATTTTCGATATCGCTTGGACGAAGGGATCAAACGACACGCACACAACATATCACACACCATCATCGAGAGCCCAAATCGCTGACAGATATTTCGCCCAACAGAGATCAAGAAGAGAAGACAGTTCCGCAAGTTCTCTTACCGCGGCATTGACCTCGACCAGTACGTTTACCCGTCAAGTTTATCCAACCGCCCACACCACTTGCAGCATGCACCCAATATCATTGAAGGAGGATAATATGGACATTCCCACTCCTTCGCATCGTTGAATCGCTGGGTGCTCGCTGCGAGCAAGGGGGATAGGTTCCGGCGATGAAAATTTTCATTTCACGATTGTCTAACTTGATTCTTTCAGGCTCCTCGACCTCTCTTCCGAGCAGCTCCGCGATGTTGTCCACGCCCGTGCCCGCAGACGTTTCAACCGCGGTCTCAAGCGCAAGCCCATGGGCCTGATCAAGAAGCTCCGCAAGGCTAAGCAGGAGGCTAAGCCCAACGAGAAGCCCGATCTCGTCAAGACCCACCTCCGTGACATGATCGTCGTCCCCGAGATGATTGGCAGCGTCATCGGTATCTACTCCGGCAAGGAGTTCAACCAGGTCGAGATCAAGCCTGAGATGGTTGGCCACTACCTGGCTGAGTTCTCTATCTCTTAGTACGTTTCTCTCTTGTTCCTCGAATTTTCCGGCGACAGTACTAACAACCCTCTAGCAAGCCCGTCAAGCACGGTCGCCCCGGTATCGGTGCCACCCACTCTTCCCGTTTCATTCCCCTGAAGTAAACGATTTCGAACGATTCCCCTTGGAGTGGCGTGTGGTGGAGACGGTGCTGGGATAGCAAAAATGGAAGTCAGCACCCTAATCTGGGTTGCTTTATTCAGCTTGTATTTCCAGTGCGGGCCAGCTGTTTCCAGCTCAATTTAAGATCTTGTCGGCATAAAAAAGTGGAGTGGAACCTCCTTCCGGCTTCCGTCGAGTCTGACGAAGCAAAACAATACTCTCCTTGGCTACAGTCATGTTGCTAAGGAGGGCGAAATTTACGATATGATAACTTTCACTTCTTGTCGCATCGTACCGTAGCCAAAAATCCAGTATACAGTACCTTTCCCAAGGTTCCAACATTCAAATTGAATGTTAGGCTTGGCAATACTGTGCCTTCATTGGAACTCTCCAACTACCTGATCCATCGAATCTAGCCAAGCACTTCCATGTTAAGGTTAATGTGAGCACTTCATGTGAGCCCTGGAGGTCGATCTATTTTCCCGCGACCACGGGTCTGATGTGAATAAACACATGCACATACTGGAAATTGATCCATCTTTGCACATGTGTTCAAAAGATCCAGATGTATTCACATACTGGATACTACTACATAAATTTAATGCTGGTACCAGGTATTATATTTTCAATTGTTGATGTAGGCAGCAAGCAACATTTGAACCTCAAGTGCTTGGAAACAACATACAAAGCAATGTATTTTTTGAAAAGTCAGAGTCTCGAACCTTAACCTCGCAACAATTCAAGGCCAACGTCAGACGTATTAATTGATTGATCATTTTATATGCAAGAACCGTCACAGATGTTTTGTTGATTACTCTATCGAGCTTACAACATTTGAATATTTGAAGCGGCATGACACTGCACATGTGGGTTTAGGTCTCAATGCATTTTAACATATCCACAGATGTACTAACTCGGAGCTTGAGGTACACATCATAAATATTTCAAGATCATTAACATCAATCAAAGGGTGGTACAATATGAATCCACGTACATCATAGTTGTGTACTACATATACCTAGTAGGAATATATTTAATGGATGCGCACAGTATGTATACATGTGCATACAGTAATGATCTGCACACAACGCACCCCATTACCAAAAGTGGTGTCAAATTGAACCCAAAAGAACACATGTGCATATTGCAGCAGACAAGACAACATTGAAAGGTGGCTATTCTGCAGCCAATAATTCCCTTAGAGAGTCCTCTCGAGCTATCAATTACATAGTACTGTGCAATAAAGCTAGTAAATCAATTTTTGGAGTTCCTTAAGTAATAAACCCACAGACCCCACACTAACGGTACCGAGTGGAGGTCCCTTCGGGTATAGACATACTCGAACCTACAAATGGGCCGAGGCAACCCGCCTTGAAATGTACCGAGAGATGCGGAGTGAAAGGCAACTAACTCTTCTCATACACTTTCCAACTTGTTCCTTTTTGAAATTCTTCTTGTGACATATCCCGACATACCTTGGATCACATATCCCTATCCCTCCTTTCACCCCGGATCGCCGCTTGGCTTATATTTCCCCGCAAAATGCCTGTTTCCTCCAATTATCCCCCGATTGACATTCCCGAACTGGACCTCTGGTCGTTTCTCTTTGAGCGGAAGGACCGGCCTTATTCCGATGACAAGAGTAAGATCTCACCCTGCCTTACAACCCCCGTCATGGAAACCCGGGAGCCTTTACGCTGACATCGCGTGATGGAACTTCAGTCATCTACCAGGACGCTGACACCAAACGTCATTACACCTACAAGACCCTCCAAGATGCGGCGTTGGAATTCGGCAAAGGCCTCAAAGCCAATTACAACTGGAAAAAGGGAGACGTTCTTGCCCTTTTTACGCCCAACTCAATCGATACCCCAGTTTTGATGTGGGGAACCCTCTGGGCCGGCGGAGTCGTCTCCCCCGCAAACCCAGCCTACACCGCCGATGAACTAGCCTTCCAACTCAAAAACTCCGGCGCAAAGGTCCTCGCGACTCAGCCTGCTGTTCTGTCAGTTGCCAAGGAAGCCGCGAAAAAGGTCGGCATTAGTGAAGACCATATTATTTTGGTCGGTGACCAGCGCGATCCCGAGGCTCGGACTAAGCACTTTACCTCTGTCCTGAACATTTCTCGTGCGACTCGGTATCGCAGGCAGAAGATTGCACCCAACGATGTCGCTTTTTTGGTTTACTCTTCTGGTACCACAGGTGTACCTAAGGGTGTGATGCTATCGCATAGGAACATTATCGCCAATGTTTTACAACAGGCTAAGGCTGAAGGTAACAATTTGAGCTGGAGCGGTGGCCCGGATGGGAAGGGAGACCGGATTTTGGCCTTTTTGCCATTTTATCACATTTACGGTATGGGCCAACTATGAGATGAAATCTTCTTTGGACCTAATTGAGCTAACATGTATTTTTTTTTTCTTTTAGGATTGACCTGCCTTATCACACAAGCTTTGTACAAGGGGTATCACCTTCTTGTCATGGCGAAATTTGATATTGAGAGCTGGTGCGCCCATGTTCAGAACTACCGGGTCACGTTCAGCTACATCGTACCTCCAGTAGTGTTGCTTCTCGGTAAGCACCCGGTGGTTGACAAGTACGACCTTTCCAGTCTGCGCATGATGAACTCCGGCGCAGCACCACTTACGCAAGAGCTGGTGGAGAATGTGTATGCGCGCATCAAGGTTGGCATCAAACAAGGATATGGACTAAGTGAGACCAGTCCTACCACGCACACGCAGCGATGGGAGGATTGGCGGGATCAAATCGGCTCTGTGGGCCACTTGATGCCTGGCATGGAGGCTAAGTACATGACCATGCCCGAGGATGACTCTGTTTCCACCGAGGTAACCGTCGGCGAAGTCGGTGAACTGTACTTGCGTGGTCCAAATGTCTTTCTAGGCTACCATAACAACCCGGCTGCGACTCAGGAGTGTCTGTCTGCCGATGGTTGGTTCCGAACCGGTGATGTGGGCTATCAGGATGCCAATGGTAATTTCTTCATCACGGATCGGGTAAAGGAGCTTATCAAGTACAAGGGTTTCCAAGTTCCTCCCGCCGAGTTGGAAGGAATTCTGGTGGATTCTGACGCAATTGATGATGTTGCGGTGATAGGGCTTGAGAGCGAGGCGCATGGTTCGGAGGTGCCAATGGCTTGTGTGGTTCGCAGTGCGAAGAGCAAGTCCTCTGGAATGAGCGAGAAGGATGAAGCAGCGAAGATTGTTAAGTGGTTGGATGGCAAGGTTGCCCCTCACAAACGACTTCGTGGTGGTGTGCGGTTCGTGGATCAGATCCCCAAGAATCCTAGCGGGAAGATTCTACGCCGAATGCTCAAGCAGCAATTCAAGGATGATTTGAAGGGCCCCAAAGCCAAGCTATAAGCTTTATAAGCACTTCCAAGGTTATAAAGATCAATATACAAGACAATATACAGGCAACATGCGAGTCAAATTATTGTGGATTTCATCTCTCCATTTTCATATATCTCCAAAGATTGAACCCTGGGTTCATAGAAAGACGTAGTAAGTATCATAAATAGTGGATAGTATGTGTAGTATGAATACTAAGAATCAATAACTAACTGCTTGGGAACACGCGAGTCTATGTACAGTGACGCCAAGTCAGCTGCACCTAACTTGCCATTAACCACCAGTACTACTGCCTACTAGTAGTAACTCAAGGGAAAAATCTCTTAACCATCCCATCAACATCCTCCCCAACAACAGCATCAACCTTTTCATTCGCAACCCTCTCAACAGCCTCCTCAACGTCAACACTCCCGTTCACAAGATCAAACCAACCCTCAACATCAGCCCGCGCAAGCAACTGATCCGCCACAATAGCCACGTCTTCTCTCGTCACGCTACCCCTCGCCTCGCCCGTGATTCCAAGCTCCACCTTCCTAGTCGCAGCATCATCCTTTAGCACACCAGGTCGCAGGTTAATCGCCTGGAAGGGTCCACGCGAAGAATCCTGCTTCCGCTTCGCGGCTAGCGCCGTCATGTACTCGTCGGCTTCGAGCTTGGCTGCGGCATAGGTGGGTAACCGCTCGGTTTTACCGACCATAATGCTTGCCCAGGCGTCATCGGACATCCAGGTTGGTTGTAGGCGTCGACTGCCAATCCAGGAGACCATTAGAAATTTGGAGACACTGGGATAGGCAAATGAAGCGCCTATGAAGTGCTTGGCTGCTTCTTGGTCAATGGCTATTGTGCTGGCTGGGCCGCCTTTGCCGCCGGCACCTTTTAAAGTAGATTGTTAGTAGAGTTTTTTTTTCTTCTTCAACTGTCATTGTTTTGTGTTTCTGCATTTGAGGTGATCAAGGTCGGGCTTTACAATCATGCATTATATTATTTGTTGCATTTATACAGGAGATTGTTTCCGACCCACGGAATTCGTGAATAGTGGGGGTGTGGTGAGGGGCAACTTTTGAACGTACCGGCCGACCAGACTACATAGTCTGGTTTGGTAACGTCTAAGATTTTCTGGGCATCGGTGGCGCTTTTCACATCTTCCAGGCTGGAGATCAAGACATTAAGCTTGCCTTTGCGGCCCTTTCCGAGCTCCAGGATCTCGCTTTCGTGGTCGGGATTGCGCACCACGCTAGTAACATTCCAGGCGCGGTTGAGGAGGAGTGGGGTTAGGTACAGGGCGACTTTGCCGTGGCCACCGAGGAGAAGAACTTGCATTTTTTTTAGATCGATTGGGGTTCAATGTGAATAATTTTGGAATGGAGGTTGTTGTAAGAGAAGGGTAGAGCAGGCCAATGGCTTTTGTCTTGCAGAAGCTCCTGCGGGGGGAGCTTTAGGTATTCAGCTATGACGTTATGGAGTAACAAAGATCTGGCGTGGATTTATAATCGACAGTTGAATATTAGTTAATAGTTGACTAGTAGTATATGGACCCTTTGACCGACCAGTTGACCAAGAACAACCACTGTTTACGATGTACTTCTAAACCCAACATTGATCGATCTATACTTAGCAGGATGCACCGGATGGCACATTCTCGCACTCTTCACTGGCCGATCCACCAGTGATACTAACGCCAGACCAAGTCCAGTCTGAACAGGCCCCATCAGCACACAAAATATAGACTTCAGTCGCATCACTCTCAACAGTACCAGTGATCTTCTCCACTGTCAAGTCGGTAATGGGAACGCCATCGGTAGGGGTACCAGTCGGGTCACCGTTCTCGTAGTCCTGCTCGAATACAATTCCGTAATCAGTGATGCCGGAGAGCTGAATGTTCGAGAAAGTAACACCAGAGACAGAGCCGGTAGTTCCAGAGTTGGTCTTGATACGGATTCCGTTCTCCGAGTCCTTCACAGTTGAGTCTGAGATGGTCACATTCTTAACGGTGTTATCGTCTCGTCCGCCAACGGAGCCAATGGACAGTCCGTGGCCGCCGGAGCAGGTGCCTCCGGTGAAGACGATGTTCTATATTAGAAAGTGTGTTAGTTTGGTCAAATATGACGGATTTTTTTTTTGCCGCATTGAATTGGTCGTTCTTACCGTGCCGGAGTTGACTGCCAGACAATCATCCTGGTTCATCACAACAGCATTACGAATGGTCACCCCATTGCTCTCGCCAACATCGAAAGTATCGGTGTTGTGACCACCGTTTGCGTCACCATCTGAGTCGTCAATCGTTATCTGGTTAAGAACCAGATTATTGGACTCGATGCTGAAGGCCTGGACGGGTGTGTTCTTCACATTCAGACCGGTGATGGTTGAGTCATCCAGGTCATGAGCATAGAAGAACTTGGGCTTCGTCTTGCCACCATTGGTGCCCTCGCCATCCCACCAGCGCTCTCCACCGCCATTGATGGTGTGGTTGGAGGTACCGGCAACAATGATGTTGGATCCCGAGATCTCGATCAGAGGCCCGTCCCATTCCTCGTATCCGAAGGTAGTCTCGCCGTTGAAGATGACCTATCAGTAGTGGAAATGGAGTTAGAAGATGAATAATAGCTGGAATGTTGCTTTTTCTAAGTGACCGGTACTACTTACCTTGGTACCAGACGCCAGGTCTGTTAGGTCAAGTGTCTCACCGGCAGGCACTTCAATGTTATCCAGTACAATAGTGGTGCAAGACTTCTTGCTCGCACTCGCACTGGCAGCTGAGGTAAAAGTGCAAGAAGTGGCTCTCTTCATTTGGGATACGCGAGAGGGGGCCGGGGCAGCAAGTGTCACGGTGGCGCCCAGGGCCAGGATGGATATCAATGAGGAACGCATGTTGTACAGAATATTCCGTCCACTCGACAGACGATATAAAGAATGTGGGGATCGAGAGTCCAGCTCTATTGAAATGAAGAGAAAAATGGAAAGTTAAAGGAAAGGCACAGTTAAAAGAGAATGATAGTGTGGGAAAAAGAAAAAGAAAAAGAAATCAATAAAGGCGCCATCTCAGTATATATGGACATTCCGAGATTACATACTACTATTTAAAGTCTCTACAAATATGAAACGATGGACAAAAGAAGATCGTCATATCCATTTGAAACTCTGGAATTCGTATCTTACTCCATCCTCGGGCAACAAAATCTACATGTATACTCCGTCAACTCATCTAACCGAAGTGACAGAAACCCCACATTGCATGTGTCTATCATAACCGTGTGAAGACTGGGTTGCTCCGTATACGGCAATGACCTGGGCCGATCTTCAGAGATGGTTTCAGGGGATAAATCCTTAGCACAAAAGAGGCCACGTCCGACCCGTCTTTTTTCTTTCTCCCTCAAGATTTCGGGGGATGTTCGGTAAAATTTAGGGTCTCGGGATGAGCGGTTTCACCATCAGACCATTCAAATGTTTTGATCCAATGGAGTTTATACACTTGAACCTGGAAACAAAGCCTGGGCTTGGGTGGGGCGAATGGATCCCATGCTTGGCTCATCACTTAATCAACATAAAGCATGTCTTAGGCTCGGACTAGGATAATGTGGCTTGGTGTTTATTTTCTTTCTTGCAATATTTTAAGGTGGATCATTTGAATGTTCCAGGCAATCTATATGTAGAGATTGACTTTATTGACTGTTATCTGGTTCTTCAATGTTAATCTTTTATGCTAATGATTTCAGTTAGGCAACGGAGTCCACAGGTGTTTGGCCTTGACGAGTTGAGCACAATTGGACTTTTAGCTTACCAGCCTAGTACTGATAACCAACATTTGAACCTCTCAGTCCCGTTAGTGTTCGCAGAGACAAAAGCTCCCCTCCTCAAAATTCCTATTTTCTTCCTCTTTCCGAAGACCTCGCTCCTCCATAAGCAAAAGCCTGTGTTTCTTCGCCTCAACCATCGACATTGAAAACCCCTTCATCTCCAAACATGCTTTATTCTCCCTCCAATCTTCTCTTTGCGGGGGTACATTCGCAGACGAAATAACGCGCCGATGGGGATCCACAAGAAACAGTGCAAGAATCTTCCTGTGTCCCGGCTTCGTCCGATCAGCCAGGGAAAATGGAGAGACGCGATGTTGCATAATATTCGGAAATGTGATCAGCCGGCCTTCTTTGCAGACCACACTTCCATCGAGTTGGGTAATGTTGGATGTATTCCTTCCGTCGACTTCGGGTGAGAACCCATAGATTACCTGCAAGAATTGGTGGAGGTCTTGCTCGTACTTGAGGGAGATGAAATCGTCTAAAGCTCGGTGACGGAAGGCCAGTGTGCTTTCTGTGATATTGGCGCTATCATAGTAGTATATTGCTGATGCGCAGATTCGTTCGTTCTGATTGAACTCAATAATCAGGAATAGAAAAAAAAAATAGTGACAGGGGGACACTGACCAATTGACCCTCTACATGCCAGGTGCCACCCTCATATTCGGGCTTATCGGGTGTGAGTTCGATGTTCGCTAGCTTCACAATCACCTGAAGTTTCCGGTTCTTGAAGTCCTCTTGCAGATTGATAGGATCGCGGTTCTTTAGCATATGTCGTTCATTGAACTCGCCTGGCTCAGGCTGTTTGATCGGTCTGGCAGACATCCAAAGCCAATACTCATCGTTGAACTCATCCTCGTCATCTGCTCCCTCCTTTGACTGCCTTGCTGGAGGTTCAGACGGTCCGTCGTACTCGACTTCTGTGAACTCAATTCTCTGCGTGTAGTAGTCATTGGCTGTCAGACTCATGTTCCAGAGGGGAATTGTTTGCGTAATAACTTCCTCAATCACTTGGTACAGCTTTCGATGCGTGATAGGATGGAGATTGTTGATGTAGGATAGAACCCGAGCACCGTTATTCTCTGTGAGCTCGACATCGCAAGGAAGCCACTGGAATCTCTGGCTTAATGCAACTGGGCTCCCGGAATATTCGCGTGGCAGAGATATTTTTAAATCTTCCTCCGACGGAACTGGTATGGCCTCGCCTTTGCCTATGCTATCCAGGCAGGTATCTAGATCAATAACTCGGTCGGGTAGGACACGAGTCCGACCATATACAACGGGGAATAACGAAGGATGCACTAAGTCAACAACTTTCTGATCAGAGCCCGGGTGATAGTCTTTGCTATCTTTGGGAATGTCTTGCAGAGAATGAACTGCGCTCTTCAAAGCCTGTTGGACTTGTTGTGAAATCGCAGTATCAGATTTTACCACGCCGATATCGAAGACTTGGACTATTCCTGTCTCTTGGTATATTCCCGACTTCCATTGTAATTCTTTTATGATCCAATCCATCATGTTTGGGGACATATCCAGGCCGCTTTGAGAGATTTCCTTGCGCCATTTGGAAACAATCTGCTCGTCAAAAACCTGGAGAGCGTTAGACAGGAATCAACAGAAACACGTCATTATAACACACTTTTCGGTCCCATGCAGGTTTATCGGTGATGGTATTCATCACTCGCATCATCAAGATTTCTCTTTGGGTAAGAATTTGCCTATAAATCAGTGAGTCCCGGAGTCTGGCACGATCGCGTGGACCCGTCGATACTTACTCCTGACAGCAGGCTGGGTCCAAAGCATTCCCAAATCCGTTCCTCCATGCTATTACCGACCCAACCCGAGGCTTGGAATTCATTAGCTTTCTTTCTTTCTTTCTTTCTTTCTTTTTTTAATATGTGATTGAAGGACGAAAGGCGTACTGCAGGAGGGAGATTCAAGGGGACATTGAAACCCGGCATCTCGAGTTGCGAGTTCGCGACCGAGGTAAGTTTAGAGCCATAAGACCGTTGACATAGCTTGGCCAGGGGATGCAGGCGCTGCATCGTGGGCGTGCGTGTTATTTATCTACTAGGTACTAGTATGTTCATAATCAGGGGAGATTTTTTGCTTAATGGGCAGTAGCCTAGCCGATAACAGCGGCTGTGATTAGAAAGGAAGACTAAAGCCACGCTAATCTGAATCAATATATCGATTATCGGAAAAAGGTATCCAGAAGATACTGATATTTTGATGTGAAAAGTAAAGCCGTAATGCAGGACTGGAGCAACATTGAATGGATTGATAGAGAAGAGGGGGGTAACTTGGATACATAATCTCTTGACTCTTGAGTCAAGTACTTGGAAGCTTTTGATTTACGCCGCGGCCCGCATGAATGTCGAGGGGAATGGCAGTAAAGGGCGGTAAACCAAGAGAGTCTGACTCCGATTGTGTCATGTGATAACCACCTGAGCACGTGAGGCACGTGAACTCCAGACTGAAGACTGGTCAACAGGCGCAAAATTGGCCCCGTTTCAAGTTGATTCTGAATATTGAAATATTATAACTTCCAAGGATTGCATTCTCAAAACTGTATCTTTGGACTGTTTGAACCAACAACGAAAGGCCAGATATCGTAGATTATCCGTTAGATTGCAACAACCATAAAAACTATATTAGTCTACAATGTTTCTACATATAATGGCAAGATGGAGCCTCTCCCAAAAACTGCCAGATAAAACTGTAGATGATTGTATGTATTGATATCATGTGAGGAGGATGGATTTATTAGAGTGTCGATACATATCTGAGCACTTGAGCTTCAATGTTAGTGGAATACATATATTAGCCTAGGAGACTTGAATTAATTATAGATATCTCTTCAAACTGCCTGCACATGAAGTTCAGTCATTGATATTCAAATGTTGTACCTTTTGCTAGCGCGTGCAGTAAACCCAGGTACTGCCGTACTTAGCAATGCCTCTGGGACTTGTCGACAGGTCAACCTATACAGACTCTGGAAGGCCATTCAGGTGAAGTTTATACGGTGGATCTTTAGCCCAATAGCCAATTACTAGCGTCTTGGTCTTCCGGTCAGACATCAAGCGTGGGGAATGGGTAGAACTGGATGGAGAAAGAGGTCCTTTGGCTTTCCGGTGGAGTCTCGGCCAGGATCTTTTCAGATAACTGGTAGCATGGTTACCATTGGCTAGGGCCCGATAGGCTCCACATTTGCACCGTCGGGTCACAGGACCATTCAAACTTCACAATGATTGAAATTAATTGACAGTAGTCGTACGGAGTATCCGTAGATGGAAGCTCCTGCCCCCTCTCAAAACCGACCAACATTTGAACGCGTGGTATTTAGCCTGATAGCCGAAAGAGCCATTGAAACCCCACTCACCAAGAAAAATGCTAGTGGGAGATTGATCGCACACCTGAAACAACGGCGCGCGGGGCCTTCAATTACAATCGTCCCATAAGTGCGGAAACCAGAAATTGGGATTGGTGGTCTGGTTCCCACCAACATGGATCATAGTTCCGGCCCCAACGTTCTTCCAAAATTCTCCTTTGGCTCCTTCACAGAAGTACAAAATCGCTGGATCTGGGCCCGGAGCTTGAGAGCCGATCGATATGCACGCTCTCCCGTGAGGCGATCAACACTTGGGAATGTGAAAAGTTGAGAATATTTGAATTTGGGAATTTGGGAATCTGGAATTCTTTTGGTAAAAAAAAATCCCGAATCAGAAATCATGAATCAAGGATGACCTCAAGTCTGGTGATCGGACTTTTGTGATTATGAATCCGTCCATTACAGGTTTTTATCCATTGAATTTTTAATCAATAATCGAGGAGTGTGATAGATCGGAAATTAATATGAAAGCCTCGACTTTTGGCGAGGAAAAGGTACTTTTGCGTACGGAGGTATATGTACTGAATATGTACTGAATACGGGTACATACCCAAGTGTTACCCGTGGACCCGTGGAATCAATACCGGTTGCTCCACCAGGAACATTGAAGTTGTATTATACTATTATACGATGGACAAGTTGTGTTGAGAAACCGTTACAGTGTTTTGTTTTATTTTATCTGAAATTATTTTACTCTTACAAATCATATGCAATTATTTGACAAAGTGTAGTATTTATTATGATATTATCAGCCCAAGACTGGACTAGAGATGCAAGAGGTGTGCCTCATGTGCATATCAAAATAGCAAAATACATAGCAAAATAGCAAAATTACCAAGTTACAGTAATCCTTCTTGGGTCTAGTCAGGGGCACCACTTGGTCTTCAGCCAATCCGCGCCACCGGGGAAGTGAAGTGCCGTTTTTAGGCCCAAACCCAGTGCGTGGAGATAAACAAAATCAGACAAAATTAAAGCGATACCGAGGAGTTGACCTGTGTGTGGATCCAATAACGACGCACTAGTATTAACTCTTTACTCTTACCCAAGCGAGTGTCCTCCCGTTTCCTCCCCACTGTTGCCCTTATTTCCCCCTCTTCGGTCTTTTAGTACGAGAGGAGAAGGTTCTCCGCGGGATCCAGAATGCCCAAAGAAGAAGAAAAGCTTGCTGCCCCCAACAACGGCTGTCAATCTTGGCCCGAAAAAAAGAATGCGAGCCAAAACCGCGCTAGACGAAGTTTGCTCCTTCTCGGCCCTTGGCCTCCGTTTGGATAGACCATCACTTCACCCTTGTCCGTGCTTCTGATATGATCTCATAGGTCCACCATCAGGGCTGGGATGAGATCCGGATTCTGGGTTCATGAGCATTGATCGATGATGCAACACTGGGTCGTTTCGGAAGAAAGAGAGAAAAATCAACACGAAAGTCCCCCCCCTCCCTCAAAAAATAGTGATAATAATCAAAAGAAGCAATGACTATGTGTCTCTCATACGGAGGATATGGGGAAAGAGGTTTCTTCACCGAAGGAAACTTCTCCATCCAGCTGACTTTTTTATTCCACTTTTCAGGCTTGTTCTCCCTTCAATTATGAGACCCGCCAGCTTACATAAAGTAGGATCCACGGCATGGGCGTCTGGCCAGCGTGGCACAGCATGTTAAATAGCTTGCTGACGTGCTGCACGACGCAGGAGACTCGGAGAAATAAGCTGCAGATTACATGGACTGGCTTGCAGGATGTGGCTGGGGGATCACGGCCCTGTAAGCCATTCATCTGATAGACGAATGACCGGGATGAGATGGCATTGTTCAAGTTTGCCGCCATGCAAGGGGAATGATATTTCAACCTATACTTCATGTATCATGTGCGTCGATGGAATATACATAGCGCGGCAGTTTTGTTAGGTTGAAAAAAAAAGATAAAAAAGATAAAAAAAAAGATCTATGTAAGAAAGAGGTGTCCACCGGTTGTACCGAATTTATTGGATTTGCGATCGTCTCTTCAAGTTACTTTTCTTTCTTGCACTCCGTACTCCATAGGAGATCTGGTCCAATCCAAGTTCCAGTGTTTGTGGAAAAGAAAGGGTTTCCCGTGTCCAGAGTGCCGGAGCACTAGTGGGTTTTTACATAGACCTTCCTCTTTCAAATGCAATACCCGAGTACCAAAGATCTTTGTATGAACCCGAGATTTGATCCAGTGATATATGATATCTTGGAAGGCGTTTAATCTGTGGGAAATATCAAATTAACTTTGTCAAAACAAGCCCGCCGGTATGGATCTCACTCTCCTTAATTCTGAAGATAAAACAATCGCAATCATTGGGCGTGACTGGGACACAGTGGCGTTCAGCCCCAGACTCCACATGCCGAAGAAACTTACACGGTACCGTATTTTATTATTTTAACCTGGAAAATCCCTGCAAGGGACCAAACGCAATCTGCCCTAGGTCAATTATTGTACGAGTAATTTTCCCACGAAATTTCCCCATTTTACCGTAATAAATCCACCCTTTCTCTTTCTCCATGTCTCGTCTCCAATGCATCCATGGATGCAGCTTCGGGTACCCCCCAATGTCAATTATGACAAGAAAACAAAAACAACCAAAGAAAATCGTCAACAAAAATCTATAAAAAAAAAAAATCTATAAACTGTGCACATCAAAATAGATCGACTATGTAAGAACAGTGGGACACTTGATCGTTGACGATCCCGGATCCAGAATTCAGATCCCTTTTCTTTTCTTTTCTTTTCCTTTTTTTTTTTTTTTTTAATAAATTTTTTTTTTTCGGGTTTCTTAGTGTCATACAGTCCAAATACAGAGCTTGGTACGGAGTATACACACTCTTTTTTCTCTCTCCCATTCTCAATCTCCAATCGCATTCCTCGACCTCATCCTGTCATATTATTTGACTTTTCTCCCCTTCTTTTTGATTTTTCTCCCTTTTACTTTTATCGTTCTTTATTCCACACGCTCGCTAACTATATCGTTAATTGTCTTCACAACTGGCACGCCCCCGATCATTTCCTGCACGTCGACTCCTATCCCATTCGTTTTCCTTGTGTGATCAATCAAACCAATTCGCCGACCACTTCGCCCCCTCAGCTATATTTGATTGGTGCTCCAAGCCCCTTGGCCCTGCCATTGATCCACCGAACGCGAATAAATCAACCGCGGGTGCCATCCTTTATACTCACTCATTTCCCCCTTGGGAATAAGCAGCTCTTTACTTTTACCAACTTGACCTGGCGCTTAATGGTCATGCCGCTCTTTTTAATACGTGGATAAGCCTTGCCTTGTGAGTATCGAGAGACAAGAAGAGCGCACTTCTCCATAAAACCATAGAGACTAATAAGCTCTGCCAGTCGCTAGTCACTCGTTACCTCCAATCCGTTAAACCAACATTGTGTAAACTATACTCGCTCCTTTCCCACCCGCTATAAATACCCCTACGAATCGATCCGATGATGAACCGATTCCGCAAGAATAAGAAGGCCAAGGAGGTCAAGGACACCTTGGACGAATTGGAGAATGGTCCCTCTCAATCCCCATTCAGCCTGAAGCTGTCCAAGAAGAAGGAGTTTGCCGAAGAACAAGCTAAGCTAGACCTCCTAGCAGACGCCCTGCCGCCATCAGATGACTTCCGCACCAGTTTGCTCATGCCAAAGCTTTCGGCTCGATTCAGCATGCTCAGAGAACAAGATGATCCAGCCTCCAAGATCGGCAAAGCTAGTGACGACAGCGTCTTATTCCCCAAGCGAGCTTCACGATTGAACCTTTTTGGACACAGCCCGGCAATGCTTACAGATATTGACGAAGTTTCCTCAAATGACGGCAGTCGACCTTCACTCGCCTTGGGCAGAACCGACTCCTATGCATCTGGTGGTGACGGAGGCTATGGTACCGACGACGATCGATCACATAATGGGAGCATGATGAGCCGAGCTCGTCGAGCTGAAGGAAACAATTTGTTTGGTGGTCGTCAGAAAGTGTTTCGCATCCCGGTCCGATCTCCAGGAGGATCATCGCCTGTCGTTGAGAGCCCCTTAGGAATGGGAATGGGAAAGGCAGTCTATGACCATGATTTGAACATGTCTGCTTTCCAACGGATGAGATTGCAAGAGAAACAAGAAAGAGAGGCGGCGGCAGCAGCAGCAGCAGCAGCAGCAGAAGAAGAAGAAGCAACTGCTGCTCAAGAACTTGTTCCACCGGACTCTGACGATACTCCTTCTATTTCATCCGCAAACCGAACCACATTTTCATCAACAGCATCTGGCCCCACAGCGAACGCACGATCCTCAACTGCAGCAACTTCGATTGACGAGTCCCAACTAATTGCATCTCACCTGCAGCCGCAAGGCGCATCGCACACCGCTCCAGTCCCGGAATTCCAAATGGACGCCCGGCCACAGTCCGGTATGTCAAACCCTAGAACTGGCTCGGTTCGATCCCGCCGCCTGTATGGCCAGGGCTTGACACAGAACGTGCAAAATCAACAAAACTCGACCTTGCATCGATTGGAAAGCCTCAGCCGACACCGATCTGGCACCCCGGATATTCTCCCTTTGAACCGCAACTACTCTAGGAGTGCATCCAACCTTCGCGATCGGCTGCAGAAACTTGCTATCGCTGAACCAGGTGCCCCTCCGCCGACCAGCCCTCCTTCATCGGCAACTTCCCCCAAGCAGCAAGCCTACATGGAGATGTCTTCTCGGGAGCGACTTTCTCCTACCGCACCATCTTTCGGCGCCCCTCCGTTGAGCCCACCTACAAGCGAAACCGAGGATACCCACTCCTTGCTGGCTGCAGCGCTCAACCCAGAAGATCACGGCAAGGCAACTGCAATGGGTCTGTTCAACAGACCAGCTACTGGCTTTGATGAGCAGCAGTTTGTGCGCCGCCAACTCCAGCTGCACCAGGGCCGAGACACCCCTCCCCCCGACGCCCTTCGTCGCCTCGTGCACTGCCGCACGATCAGCCAGGCCGGCTCCGCGGACTTTCCAAGTCTAGCTACCGCTCCAGAGCCGAGTCAGCCTCCTCCCACTACAGCAGTGACGCGCATCACGGGATGGAGAGTGTAGAAGCCTCTCCCCGCATACCTGGTGGCAGAACCTTTTATGCTGCCTCCACTACAAGTGACTCCGGCGACGAAGGAGAAGATCGTCACTCATACGAAGTGTCTTCAGTGACAACTGCAGCCACGGATTACGGTGGCTCTCTGTACCACCCCAGTGTCTTGTCCAAGCCCCCTCCTACAGAGGAGCATCTTGAAACTTTGCCCGAAGTACGATACTCAGATCTTGGTGATCTGAAACCAATTGAAGAGAACGAATTTCCAGAGGAGAGCTTGCCCTCTGACATGGCTACTTCTATGATCATTGAACGCCCAGATTCCCCAACAATCCAGTCATCTGGATTCCCAATGGATGGCATCCGGTCACACCTGCGCTGTGCGAGTGACAAGTCTTCGATTTTCCGTCCCCCATCTCCAACACTGCCCATAGGTGATGTATTCTCAAAAAAGCTCGAGCCCCAGGTGTCCGTTGTTGAGGTGCAGCCAAGCCCTACGGTTGAAGATCAACTTAATGTGGATACCGTGGCCGAGTTGACTGAACCGGAATCTTCGAGCACCCGGGATTCATTCAGACAATCTGCAGAGATGGCAACTAGCCGTGGTAGCGAGGACTCCTCCTCATCGGGAGCTATCCCTGACAACATTCCGTCTTGGAAGGAAGAGCTGGCATATCACCACCATCGAGAGGGAAGTACCGAGACTCAAAGAGAACGAGATGAATTTGCTAGAGAAATTGCCGAGCGACGTCGGAAAATCCAAGAAAAACTCCGAAGTGTTGCAGACAGCGAAAGTCGCTCGAGCAGTCCCACTCCTGGTCGCCAGACTCCCGACCTTCATATCAAGGCCGGCAATGCTTTCTCCCTTTTGAAGCACAAGTCAAGCAAGCAGGCGGTTTCGAAGAACGATTTATATGGTTACAGTTCTTCCACCCCTTCCCTTGTTCCGGAAGACATGGCGCGTGAGGAGCGGCCGTCTCTCTTCAGCCGCCACTCCAACAACAGTGCTCCGCAGGTCTCAGAGCGGTCCCTCAGATCTCGCATGCCGACTCTCAGCCGCAGCGCATCTCGAGAGTCAAGCCGTAGCCGTGGCACTTCCCCGCAGCCTGGTTACCGGGCTCCAAGAGATCGCTCGAACTCTGATGCCTCTGGCCGGTCTAAGAGCCGGACCCGATACCGCGAACGAGATGATCTTGAAACTGTGGATGAAGGCACTGTAATCGCCCACGAGAACTTTGTTGTCCCTGATAACTTTGAGCCACCAGTCCTTGCATCTGGTACTAGCTCGACCCGTCCATCAATGGAGGCTCCTGAACCTGCTGCTTTTGACCGATCTGCTTCTGCTGCATCAGGAAGATACCGCAGTGCTAGCCGGTCGGGTACCCCGAGCTTCCAGTACGAGCGACCGTTTCAGTTCAACCAGGCATCTAACTCACCTTCGATCATTGGTGCTCCACCCCGAGCATGCCCTGCGACTCCTGCCTACTCGGCTAATGCCACCCCTCCACTGAATGAGATCGCCTTGGAACAATCTCAAACATCGAGTCTGGCTTCTGCCAGCTCTCAAAGCCTACCCCAACGAGGCTTGGGTAGTAATATGCTACAGAAGCGCCCGGTGAACAAGAAGTTCATTTCCGAGCCGACCTTTGTCTCCTGCACCTCTAACGTTCCTACAGTTGGTCTTCCAAGTGGACCAGCTCCGACTACTACTACTCCACCACTACCACCAATGAATCCTCGACGTCGCCGAGGCACACAAACCATTCTGTCTGCCTTCAAGGTTGAATCTCGTGTTTCATCTCCTGCACCCAGCATTCATGATGAGCACAGTGTCTTTCCAGATGACGAGAAGCGTCCTCGATCACGCAGTCGGCTTCGCCAAAAGTCGATTGAGGAAGGTGACTGCTTCCGTTATGAGACCATGGCCAGCCCTGTCCCGGATATTCCACAATACCCTCCTCCTGCTGTTCCCGCTGTCCCTGTTGATGGTGGCATGTTCTAATTTACTCAGAGCCGTTCTTTGTATTGATCTTTCTTTTTGTCCGTCTGTCTTGGCATCAAAGCACATATCCTATCACTCTCCTTCCCTCATCTGCAGACCCATTGGTCCAATTTCCTTGACTCTTTTTTTTTCACGACCTTTATACCACCTGGTGCATTTCTCAGCGTCTATTTTTTCATATACAGTCTTTTTGTGTCCTTTTTTGTTTAACATATCCAGAGCAGAGGTGTAACCAGGTTTGATGGACTACTGAATGCTACATGTTTGTGGGAAATGAATTGAGCTGTTAATTATCAATAAAAACTTCAATTATTTCATTGTACCAAAACGTGTACACGTTACTAGCCAAATAAGGCCCACAGGCCCTAGTACTCTGTTCAATCTCATGTCACGTGAAAGAAACTTACCTTAGAACCAACTTACCGATTTTGTTCCAAGAATCTGGATGACATGGACCAGCAATTTATGGATAAAACATATCTTAATCAATGCAAGATACCAGCTAGACCTCAGTATAATCAATTTTCAAGACTAACGCTCAATTCAGTAACAGTAAAGACCGGAACATTGAATCGAGACTTCAGTGCGTCGGTGGGAAAATTGCAGCGCGTCGCCTCAAGCATTATGGGTAGAGCAGTATGCCAATCGGGTTAGACCAAGAGATTATTATATAAGATAACCACTTTTTATCTGACCGCCTGCCTCTTTCTCTTTCTTCTCTTCTTTCCCCCACGCACCCGATAAATCCACGCACTGTATCTTATATATATCCACCTCGATTCCGATCACGGCTCCAGCTGCCTCACGCATACAAGCAGAACCCAGGAGAATAGACAACTTATTACACGCTGGATATACAGCAGATTTGACCATTTCCAACCGTTACTTCGTCAAGACTGGACATCACCTTCTCATGAGAATTCAAATGCGGAACCTGAATTTGGTATGTTCAGATTGGTGCCCGTGATATCAGGAAGACCAATACTAACAAATTACAATATATATAAATCTATAGATGAGGAGTCTAACTGCTACACATTTGGTAGAGATGGCAATGAGTATGGCATGATACCTGTTTTGGGGGGGGGGGGGGAGTCGAGAACAATATCTGGATTTAGCGAGAGTGAGAAAAAGAAGCACTCGAGGCAAATATCAAGCTTGAGAAGAACGAGGAGAAGCAGAATGGAGAAGGTGGTGATGAAGAAGATCAGGCTTGTGACCGCGCCATTGACGCTCTTACATTCACTTTTCTTCCTTTCCGTCTACTCTCCTCCCACCACTCCATTTCTTCCCTCCCCAAAGTGCCTCACCCCTTTAACAACGAAATGATTGAGAAGGCTCCTGTGTTTTCTCCTGCGCCATATTCATCACCATATTCTCCATTCTCTTTTGCAGCCCCAACTTTCATCACAGCTCACTCTCCCCCAAAACCACCCTCACCTTGTACATCCCACCAACCCTCCTCATCTTTAAAATGCAGTCGACCTCCCGGGGACCAAGATGACGAAGAGCAAGAAGGGCAAGAAGGGAATGAAGATACAGAAGGCGATGAGAGAACAGCGTAGGATGAACGCTGCTGCCGCTACCAACCCCGTCCCGTCCTCTACAGAAGAGGACAGAAACCAACCGCCAGGCCCCACCTTCGAGGCATGTTGCTATGATGATTTGTTTGCTCCTTTTATCATTATCTTATTAACATAGTCATACCTTACAGACTACTTCAACAGCCTGTACTACCCCTGTTGAAGTTGCAGTCACTGGCGAGGTGGCGAAGAACATCGAAGAAGAGACCCTCTCGGCTCTTCTAGTTCCGGAATCCACCTTTGAGGTATGTCTGGCTGAGATTGCTGTCAGTATTTTATCGTTCGTTCAATTCACTGACTTGCTTCTGTTTAAGGCCACCGAGGCAGCTTCTAGTGTCGAGGTCGCGGTCACTGGTGAAGATACGGACGCCGTTAAGCTGGAGATGCCGCATTCACTTCAAGCACGATCACCTCTCATCTTCGAGGTTTGTTAACCTTCACTTATTTAATAACTCCATCCTTTGCTCGTTTGTTGACTTTCTGTTCACAGACCACCACAGCTCATCTCGCTGAGGTCGCGGTCACTGGTGATGTGCTCACTGTGCGGGAGAATGCGGCATCTTCCCTCTCCCCTCAACCCACTCCCACCACCAGCAAGGTGTGTTTTGCTTCTCTTCTTACTTTATGCGTGAATTGAGACTAACATATTCTTTTCGCAGCCTGTTGAAGCAGTGGTTACCTATGCCGACTTCGACCTCGGGATGTGTCCAGAGTATCCCCCATACTGGAACATCCGCCGCCATGGTAGTTCACAATACCAGAACGCATGGCTCCATGAGGACGGTCGTTTGGAACCTGTCGACGTGGCAACTTTGGAGCGAGACCACACTATTGCGTATTGTCTCTTCTACCCGTATTGCACACAACACCACGGCAGCAAAAACTGTTGGTGTCCGGAGTGTGCGGGCAGTCTCCGATTCTGTTGTTGCTATCACTATTCCCGATACTGCAGCTACCCTTACCCGCCTGTGCCAGTTCCCATGGAACCAGGGTGGCTAGAGTTGTGGCGTCGCCAGCAATGGAATCTGGGGGCTGAGGACCGTGAACCTGGGGCCGAAGCACAGGTTTCCGTTTCTGAGAGGATGGCAGCCGTGCCAAGCGCCCTGAAGGCTGAGAATATGGTGGGAGACACGGAGCCCACCCCGGTGCTGGAGAGCGTGGAAGCTGATGTGCAGCCCACCCCGAAGCCCGAGATAGTGGCGGATATGGAGAGTACCGCCCCGGAGCTGACAACGCCGGCGGAAGACTCACGGAAGAAGAAGGGAAAGAAGAAAAATACCAAGAACAAGCCGGATAAGGAGTCTTCGTCTACACCGGCACCCGTCCAAAATCCTGTTCCGCACGGGGAATTCCCCCGCGTTACGAAGACTCCGGCCTTAGAAGTGCCCATTCCCATAGAAGTGGCCACTCCCATGCTCCTGGAGCGTGTCGAGTTGCGTCGACCCACAAGTGGTGCCTCTGGGTGCCTCTCTGAGCCACCCGGTGATTTTGACTTGGACTCGAAATTTCTCTCGCCGTTTGTCTCGACCCGACGGGCCCCGAGCCATGTCCGCCGTCTATCATGGCCTCTGACACGGCTCAAAATCAATGAAAACTACTCATATGTACGAGATGTTGAGACGTGGAGGATGAGGTTACGGATGAGAGAGGATCATGGAGGGTTGAACCCCCTTCCTGGAAATAGGGGTGCAAAAAAAAAAAGCGCCGCGTGCTTGATCACCGTGTGCTGACTCCTGAGCGAGTAGCAGGTTGAAACCCTGCAGAAAAATGAATCGCGTTTGTGCCCGCCCAAGATTTGTTCAACTCCTTGCTTTTTTAATTGCATAGCTGAGTCTGTAGAACTAAATGATAGGCCTTTTTAGACCACAGAAAACTGTATCTTGTAGCCTTTGTAGCCTTTAATCATCAATGCCTGCATAGTGGTAAATTGGTATTCGGTGACCTGTTGTTGATAGTTCCAACTTCTGGGTATGAACTTCTCTTTTGAAATCTCTTGCGCTTGCGGGCAACAAGGGACCTCGCAGTTTTCAAAGTGCCATCATGTAAACCCATCTCACTTTCATCATTTCTTTCTGATTCGCCATCCTCTGCTGGGTTGACTGATGTCTTTGCAGGAATCTTGCAATCTAAGAAATTATTATGGTTTGGTGCGTTTGGATTCTCATGATTGATGAATGAGAATGTTTCCGGCTTAGCAATACATTCTGCCTACAGACCCCTGCATTTGAATTTTGGGTAATGCATTTTCATCATTATTCATCACCTACTTCACCCAACAAAATCAATTCAACCTGCTCATTAAACAGATCTCACCTATGGATTTCAACAGTCTTTATTCAAGCCTTCTACCGTCCACACGTGACAAGATCGTGTAAGCGGCGACAGACGCTGGAAAGGTTGCGCTCGAATACAGCAAGCTACTGATTGAAGACCCCGCAAAGATCGTACAGGCAGCGACAGACGCTGGAAAGGTTACGCTCGAGTACAGCAAGCCACTGATTGAAGACCCCGCAAAGGTCGTGCAGGCAGCGACAGAGGCTGGAAAGGTTGCGTTCGAGTACAGCATGCCAGCATTTGAAAAATCAGCAAATATAACGGCTCAGGCAAGTTAATTCCTGTCAACAACCATCAAATTTGGAAAGCTTCAGTGCATATAGCTGATGGATTTGACACAGGCCATCGCATGGGCGGTCGGAAACAAACTTCAAGCTGCCTGTATAGTTGCAGGTGTTGCGGTCGTTGGTGCCCCCGGTCTCGCGAGTGCACCTCTTCTGGCAATGGCTGGAGTTACACCTGCTGGTATTCAAGCTGGTATGTCAAGAACACCCGGTTTTCCTCAATTTCTACAGAGGAGTTACTCGCTTGCTCACGATATACAGGTTCTGTTGTCGCTATAGCTCAGAGTGCAGGTGCTGGAGGTGCCGGTCTCGCTATTGTTAATGCAGTTGTGCAGGTGGCGGGTGGTATGACGGTGGGAAGAACAATGATTTGGGCTTTCATGCCTGACGAGACTGACGAGACTGCTGAGACTGCTGAGACTGCTGAGACTGCTGAGACTGCTGAGACTGCTGAGACTGCTGAGACTGCTGAGACTGCTGAGACTGCTGAGACTGCTGAGACTGCTGAGACTGATAGGATGACTTATGTGACTAGCATGACTTGGGGTTTATGAATTCATACTCTAATTCATACTCTAATTGGATTGACTGAGAATGTTACCTTTTACTTATGGACTGCGTCCTATTTTCAAATACTACTGTAGTCCATGCTATGGATGACGTGCAAAGTTTGTATGCCCTCGCCTAGTAGTACGTCTGTATGACCGCCTCAAAGGCTCAAACTTACTACTTCCTGGTAAACACCATAGCAAAATATCATTCACCAAAACAGCTTCATCAAAAAACTTCATTATGGGCTCGCAAATTTCCTCTATAAGTGATTGTATTTCGGGAATAAACAGAGCTGTGAAATCGGGTATCGCGCGTTTAAGGCTTGCACTTGAAAAAATTCCAAGTCTGATAGACCAGGCAAGTAATTTCATTTTCCTTTACATCAAAAAGCTCCGAGTCCACTTTCACTCATTTAATTTCTTACAGATCATCGAATGGGCCACCAAAAACCCGCGTCAAGCTACCCGCGTGGTTGTAGTCACTACTATAGGAGTGATAATCTGTGTTTCCCCCGGTCTTGTGACGGGCCCCATTCTCGCAACTTTAGGCTTTGCACCTGGCGGGATTAAAGCGGGTAAGCAAAAGCCCACACATTATGCCTCAAGTCAAACTACAGTTCATTTATTGACAAGATAGTACAGTTTCCACTGCCGCATTGATTCATAGCGGGATAGGAAATATCGCTGCTGGAAGTCTGATGGCTATATCTCAAAGTGCTGGCGCTGGAGGTGCCGGTCTCGCTGTTTTAAATACAGCTGTACAGGTAGTGGGTGGTATGACGGCCGTGGGCGTAATTGTTGGAGTTTGCCATGTCTGATACGACCTTTGGGGGTAATGGGTTCATACTCAAGTTGGATTGACAAGGTTTCCTTTTTAGCTTATGGACTAAGTCATTTTTATGAGTCAATGAAGTTTGGTACATGATTTTGATGCTATGTTCAAATCTAGAGAACTTTCTTCGTCCCCCCAAGGTATCATCGGTCGTTTCTATATACAGTCGTATCCTTATCTATAGAGAAGCTGTTTACTGCTTATCGGGGAAGCCGAAGTTGACACCGAACGGAGGGTATACGAAACGCTGGAAGGAGTTGCTAGCGGCCAGGGAATCGGTGTACTTCTGGATAGTGGCGACATCCTCGGCGTCTAGTGTAATCAAGTCGGTGCGGTTGGCCTCGATGCGGGAAGGAGTGACGGACTTGGCAAGGACCGAAGAGCCACGAGAGCCTAGGAATAAACTGATTAGAACACTGCAGTCCGAGCTAGGAGTGGTGGGAATGGGAATGGCTTACTGTGCCAGCTCAGCAGGACAGTAGCAGGAGTAACACCCCGCTTCTCGGCTACGGCCACAATCGGCTCAGCAGTGAAGAGTGGGCTACCGGTGCTACCCAGAGGGCTGTAAGCGGTGATGTGGATGCCCTTTTGCTTGCAGAAGTCGACAATCTCCTGTTGGGGCAGAGAGGGGTGGTTCTCGATCTGGTTGACGGCGGGGACGATAGTGGCCTGAGGGAGGAGCTCCTCGAGGTACTGAAGGCTGTAGTTGGAAACACCGATGGCTCTAACCTTACCAGTGCCGACAAGCTTCTCCATGCTCTTCCAGGTGGTCACATGAGAATGACTGTGATCAATATCACGCGATCCATCTGGAAGCTTGGGGAAGATGGGGTGGGTTCCTTTGCGATTTGTTAGAGTGTCTGAAGCTCAAATTTGAAATTGCATTTGTCAAATACTACTCACCCTTGGGGTTCATTGCCAATGGCCAGTGCACCAGGTACAAGTCCAGGTAGTTCAGACCCAAGTTCTTCAGACTCTCTTCCAGACCCTCCTCGACGCGAGCGTGGAAAGAGCACCAGAGCTTGGTAGTGACAAACAGCTCCTCGCGCTTCACAATGCCTGCGTCAATAGCCTCCTTAATACCCTGGCCAACCTCATGTTCATTGCCATAGCAAAGAGCAGTATCAATGTGGCGGTAGCCGACCTTGATAGCGTGACTCACGGCACGGGCGACTTCACCAGGGGCAGATTGCCATGTTCCCAGACCCAGAGCGGGGATCTCAGCACCGGTGTTGAGCTTAAAGCGGAGGTCTGCAGCAGCCATTGTGTAGTCTTGGTTTATTTTGATTCCTTGATAGTTTGCAGGAGAAAAGAAGAGAAGGAGTAGAAAGAAAAAATGGACAGAAAGGCAGAGAGAAGTAGTTTTCTCGTTGTAAAGATAGACCGAGTGGTGCCCCCCACGTAGAATCCCACGCGGGGTTAACAAACCATGCAAACACGACCACTTTGCCCCCGCTATTCCTCCGTCCCAAGCCCATCAGTGGACTGTGGCATTCACCATTGCCGACACCCCCGCGTTTTTCCCATCAATCAAGAGTCGACCTGATTTCTTGGGATTTTTGGTACGTTTTAAAGGACTTCGATCGAGTGGTCAATCTGCAGACTGCTAAGATCAGACCGAGAATCAAGTTCAATCAACTGCTTGGATCGGGACTCGGTGGCTAGAATGATACAGTGCTTACAGTATTTACTGTAACTATTTACTGTATTTACTTACTAAGCACTGTAGCACAAAGTCCGGAAACCAGAATCCAGGATGCTGACTAAGTGGCCCCAGTACTTGGCAATCCAACGGTCGTTGAACGCACTGAACGCACTGAACGCACGTTCGTCCCAGTTCTTCTTCCACCTGACATCATTTCCCCACGATGCTGACCCAACGCCAATTATGATTCGCCCTTGGCATTCATCATGTCCCCTGGACAAGTGGAGTCTCCCCAAGCTCTTACATAGGGCTTTGTCGGCACGGATTCTGGAATCCGTGCTTTTGGCTCCCACAAGGCCTACATGCACAAACCATGTCTGCAAATCTGCAAATCATGGGGCAATCTCTGGGGAAGTGTTTCTGTAAAGAGCAGTTTTCTCCGTACGCTCGGAAATCTAGACGCGATTTATTGGGTTAGCCGTGGCGATAATTCTATATATGGATCTCAACTGCCCCAGCTTCTAGTATGCCCTACACTTTACAGATAAAATCAAAAATAACACCACTTGCATTTTTTCAATATTCAACCAACTGAGTAACTGAAGGGAGAAAATTTGTGTATCTTTATCATTACACCACGAGACCTACGCCCTTGCAAAAAAAAAAATCCTCCCCATCCTAGTAGTCCTCAGCGTTGGGACTACTTCACATATCCATAAAAATGGCACCAGTCGCTATTGAGAATAGCCCACCTCCTGTGGTCAACAAGCGGGATGGCCAGGCCCTGGAGGACATGTCCGATGCTATCGATGAGGTCAACGTCCTCAAAGCCAACATGAAGAAGGAGCAGGAGGCCAAGGAGGCTCAAGAGAAGGGTCTCTACGAGGAGTCCGAGTTCGACAAGGAAAAAGACAAGGCCGGGTTCCGCCAGTACGAAGACGCTTGCGACCGCGTCAAGAACTTCTACAAGGAGCAACACACCAAGCAGACCGTCGCCTACAACCTCAAGGCCCGCCACGAATTCGAGACCCAGACCCGTGCCGAAATGACTATCTGGGAGGCCATGGAGAAACTCAACACCCTCATCGACGAGTCAGACCCTGACACTAGCCTGTCACAGATTGAGCACCTCCTTCAGTCCGCTGAGGCTATCCGTCGCGATGGCAAGCCTCGTTGGATGCAACTGACTGGTCTGATCCACGACCTGGGCAAGCTGCTCTTCTTTTACAATGCCCAGGGCCAGTGGGATGTGGTTGGTGATACCTTCCCCGTCGGCTGTGCCTTTGATGACCGCATCGTCTACGGTCGTGACTCCTTCAAGGATAACGAAGACTTTGAACACAAGGTCTACGATACAAAGTTCGGTATCTACAGCCCGGGCTGTGGTCTCGATAAGGTCATGCTCTCATGGGGTCACGATGAGTACCTCTACCACATCGCCAAAGAGCAGTCTACTTTGCCCGATGAGGCTCTTGCCATGATTCGTTATCACTCTTTCTACCCCTGGCACAGCGCTGGGGCCTATCACGAGTTGATGGATGATCATGATAAGGAGATGTTGCGTGCTGTCAAGGCTTTCAACCCTTATGACTTGTACAGCAAGAGCGATGGCATCCCCAGTGCCGAGGAGTTGAAGCCTTACTATATGGAGCTCATTAATGAGTACTTCCCCAACAAGGTGGTTCGTTGGTAAAAATCTATATTTTGGATGGACAGTGGCAATTTAGTCATTTCCATTTTCTTTGCTGTTATTTTTCTATTTTTTTTTGTCAAGCTTTCATGAGATTCCCATTCATTTCCTTTGCTATTTCCACGATGAAGCGTTTCCTACATACTTTACATGCACGAACATGAATGAATAAATAAGTATAGAATCTGGCAAATGCTGGATGTCTCTTATTCCAATGATAAGTTTCAATCTTCGATCATTTAATGCACATGGATATGGGCAGACGGAAAATGCAGGTACTAGGTACTAGTAGGTAAGTCCTTTCGATGTCAGAAGCTCAAATATCCAGATGTCCAGTAAGTACCTACATGTGTACCTTATGTAGTACATACTACTACACTGTACATAGGTACATGTAGCTAGTAGGTAGATTGATATCAATTGATTAGTGCACTCAAGTGCTGTGATATACACATGCATGTGTGCTACTACCTACTGAGTGTGGCCCTTAAAATGTTTACTTAAAGAACCCAATTCCCGGTGGCCATATAATCATATGTAGACTTGGAATTGAAACTTGACTCTCAAGGAAATCTAATAAATTTATAAAACGCAGCGATGTCGCCGAGCTTTCTAGCCTAATGCCTTCTATGCAACTCATAATAACCAATATAGTATAGGCACGCTCACGTATCAAACCTACAGGCGAGAATTTTCCACCTGATTGCCATTCTCGTCAAAAAAGATCTTTTGTCCAGAAATCATAGCCTTTTGCAACGCGGCGCCAATCCGAACAGCCTGCACAGCATCGCTTAGCTTCAAAGGCAACACCTGATCCTCCAACACAGCAACAGTAAACTCATTAGCCTCTTTAACAAATGCAAGCTCAAATCGATCCCAGTACGTCTGGGGAATCTCCCTTCGAACACCTTGATCATCAGAGAGCTGCACAAGGTTCATCTGTGGAACAGCATTGACTGCAACCTTGCCCTTGGTTCCAATGATTTCAGTCGTATCCTCTTGTCCAGCAGCCATCATGCGACTAGCATAGAAGTAGGCAATCTTGCCATCGTGAAACTCGACCAAACCCACGGCGTTATCGCGGTCGTTGTGTTTGCGGAGATCGGGCTCGACGGCTGTGATACCAATCGCTGAGACGGACTTGACTTTACTATCGGAGCCAAAGAACCATAGTGCGAGATCGATATCGTGGATTGAGCAGTCGACGAAGATACCACCACTGTATTGGGCGTAGGCGACGAAGAAGCCGGATGGGTCGAGCTTGTCACAGGTTTGGCTGCGGAGGACAGAAGGGGTACCGATTTGGCCGGTTGTCATCTTATGGTGAGCATCTCGGTAGGAGAGATCGAAACGACGAGAAAATCCGCACATGACTTTGAGATGAGGCTTCTTATTGGCGGCGTCAACGACTGATTGGGACTAAAGATGGATATTTGTTAGCTATGAAGGGCTCCGGCTGTTTTGATAGTGCTAGTAGTAGTTGTTGTGGTTGGTACACTACTACTTACCACTTCGGCACTGGTAGATAGTGGCTTCTCGCAGAGAACATGTTTCTCGGCATCAATTGCTTTAATTGCTTGTTCGGCGTGGACAGCTGTTGCCGATGCCACTACCACTGCTTGGAGACCTTCTTGCTTGAGCATCTCATCATAGTCCAAGTAAAGGCGTACACCAAATGGCTCGAGGTGCTTCTTGGCCCATTCTATCTCCACGGGGTCGGGCGAACTGGCAGCGACTAGTTCGGCGCGGGGAGTTCGTTCAAGGAAGTTCAAGGCATGACGCTTTCCCATGCGACCGAGACCGGCGCAACCGACTTTGAGTCTTTGGCTCATTATGGAAATCAGGAGTATGTGAGTGAAGTAATTATTATGTACGAGAAAGTGGAAAGGGAACTCGATTTAAAATGGTAAATGCGGAGGCCAAAACCCGAAAAAAGCGGAGAAAACGGAAGGGAAAAGTGGGAACTTTCAGCCATCCCCGGAATTCCTGTTTCGCGGGGTCCGGAAAGTGACTTCCTTCTATTGACAATCCCCGAGATTGAAGAAAAGATGTACAGATGGGAATGTGATAGATAATAATAAAAAAATATTAAAAAATATTAAAAAAAACACACGCTAAATTCACCATCATGCAGTATCGGTCTTCTTTGCTCGAAGAGTCTTGCGTTTCTCAATCTCAACGGGATCGACGAAACCGTCTCCACGCAGCCAAGCCAATCCCTTTCGCAGACCACCACCTTCAATTGCGTTGGGATTCGCCTCCAGGACTGAACCCATTAGTGCCCATGACATGACAAAGAGCGCCAGCTCACTGCCACGCCCGCCTTTCCACAATTTACGCTTAATGCCAGTCTTCCATGCCGAGTCCAGAGATCCACGGAGGAAATGAGTGAACAAAGCACGGCTGTTACCCAGGGGGAAAAAGGGGAGACCGCTCAATGCACCACTGAGGAAGAAGCGTTTGGTAGGGAGCGTGCTTCGGGGAAGTGTGTTGTTGAACAGACACACACTACCCCAGGCGGTTCCAATGGCGACGGAAAGAACGGCTGTTAACGTGATGATCTTCTTAGACAGGGTATTGATAGATGTAATAGGCTGTTGGATGATATTCTTCATTTCGGGAATACTCATCGCCAAGGTGAGGGCAGCGAGGAACCGAGCGAGCCGGGGTACCGAAAGCAAAATATGATGCAAAAATGCAGTACTGCAATTAGGCAGGCTTGGGTGAAGAAGTGCACATGATAAATGTGTGATCGAAGGATGCGCAGGTCCAGTGATTGGAGACAAAGACTTGACCGCTGCAGGTAATGTATTAGGGTCTGTCGGATGAAGGATTGGCGATACAAAAGCCCTAAATAGACGAAGAAATCAGTACACGTCTTATTTGAACGCTGCATGGTGTAGACCTAATTGCAACTCACGGCCAACGCAGATCTGCAATAGATGCGAGCGAATCCACAATCTCTTCCTTCTCGGGCCAAGAAACATTGGCAGGGAGGGACTCCGGTCGGCTTTGAATGTAACTTGGAGAAAACCTCAGAACAACCTGGCCGAACCACTAGGGAGGGGAAAGAGTTAGCAGTAACTCATAGCATACTAGGCTACTGAGGGAAGGGAAATGACAAACCCCCGGCACGGTCTCACGATCAAACACAAATGCATGGAGAAGCTGTCCACACGAGACTGGCATCAGCAGCCAGCTACCGAACCACCACGGGCGCCCATCCATCCACCCCTTTGATGCTAACGCATCAAACAGGAATTCCAAGCTGCGCGTAGAGGTCCAAATGGCAGCTGTCAAGCGAAGCTGGTCCTGCGGAGCCACCCCTAACGCGAACCCCGCTAGACTGGCTCCGATGGCAGGCGCATATTTTGACGTCAATGCGCGCGAGATGCGCGGGTTCCGCTCTCGGAAAGAAAGAGCATCGTCGGTGCCTAGATTTGCCCGTAGTCTCACGAGAAAGCGGTAGAGGAGACGGTGGAGGAGAAGTAGGAGAGATATAGAGAAGGAGAGGCGGAAGTTTGGGGAGCGGAGAATGGGGGTGCGAGACTTTTGTCTAGGAAAAATTAGTACGTTAGATATTTATAATGAGTGTCAAGTGCAAATAGAATACCATACTTTGATCCATCACCTTTGACGCGGCTTATAATCTCATCCACCAGCTTCAACGCGACGTTCGAGCCAACAAATACACGTAGCGTGGCACGGACAGCTGCCAAGGTATGTCGATTCCGTGAAAATGTAGCTGGATCATCGCGGAGAGATGAAGGTAGTTTGTTCTTCAGGGCTGGCGCGCGTTTGGCAGCAATATCGTAGAGGACTCGATACTCTTTCGCGCTGAGACAAAGGCGGACGGCCTTGCGTACGGTCGGGTTGACGTCTTTCCCATCTGAATGCTCATTGTCAGGCACGGGGACCGTTGGAGAAGGACCCGGGGCTGACATTACGGGGTTAGTCATAGATCCCAAGTCAGTCCAGGAAAGACTTTAAAGGTGAGATCTGGGGGGGGGGGAGAAGTGGAGAGGTTCTCCGCTTGAACACACGGGCCATGTGGACTGACCTCGGCATGAGGGCCCGAACTCGGCATGGGGGATTCGGGCATAGGCTATGGTAAGCTATGAACAGTTAATTAATACTCACTCCTAAATCAAAATAGGTAGACCTTGGTAAATTACACAAAATTGGATTATCAATCATCAAGAATCTTAACACAATGGATATCTCGGTTTAATGTATACGACAAGACGTAGACACGACCAGTCCAGAGAACATTATGGACTCAGTCCCCAACAAATTCAGCAGTCAACAGCCTGCGGGAAATAGAAAAAAATAAAGTTATGGAAACAACAAGAAAACGGCAGGGTCACTGTAGGTACAATCGAAGGAAATGGAAAGAAAGAGAGAGAGAGAGAAAAAACAAAACAAAAACAAAGCAAAAAGGGACAAGAAAGAGAAGAAAGATCATTTCGCATCAAGCACTCCAAACTCCAGCCTAATAACTCGAGATCACCAGAAGCTGCACCATCCGATCCAGTGCTGACAGATGTTCTCTACATTAGTAGCTTGCGCTAAGAGCTTATCAACCTGGTCACTAATGTTGAGCTCCTCGTAGTGCTTGAAGTCACGCCCAGTCAACTTTTCCTTGACACGGGCAAGTACCTGGACAGCTCGGGCATTCTGGGCCTCCCGAGCCTCGGCGGGGACACCTTCTTGGGTGTCGAGGATACCGCCCTCCAGGATAGAGGGTCGGCGGTGGCGAGAGAAGTTGCTCGGCTGCACGCCATCTGTGAAGTTGATACCTTCGATAATCGACTGGCGTCGTTCAGCCGTAAGGGACACTCGGTCGGGGGATTCCTGAGCTCCAAGACGCCAATTGATGAGGGGATCGTGAATGAACTGGGATTTATAAGTTAGAAAGGGAAGCCTTGGAGGATTGGGCGGAGGAATTTATAAGAAACTTACTGCTTCCAAAACCGCCATTAATGAGTCTTTGTTCTCTCGGAGGACACGCATGACAGCCTCGCAGGTGATACGATAACTTCCCTCAATGTTGCTAACCTCCATAGCAAAGGTCAACATGCGAGTGAGTCGGAACGGAACTCGTTCAGGGTATTTCTCGCGGTGCATGGCGATCTCGAAGCAATCGCCGAAATCAATGTGAACAACGCGGCCAGTGACGCGATCCAGCAACAAGTTCGAAGGATGTCGGTCACCAAGGCCAAGAATGTAACCGACCATCGACATGACACCAAGAGATCTGGTGTAGTTTGTGCGTCGCTCAAGCCAGGCTTCTGAGCTCTTACTCTTGAGCCACAGAACCCGATACAGATCCTTGCCAGTAGTGTTGTCCATGGCATATCCAAATACTTCAACCTTTTGCATCAGAGTGAGACTATCATAGTCAGGCGCCATCTGAAGCATAATTCGGTGTTCAATGTTGAGCAGAATACGACGGCTTTCCCGGTACTCTTTGATGAGAGCGTGCAATGTATCACTGTTGCACACCCAGCCTAGTAGACCGGAACTTTGTGATAGAGGAATAGCAGGGAAACGTTGGACAGAAAGGTGTCGCTTGAAGCTCTCGCCATCGTTGTCAAGAAGAGTATTACACAGGCCAAAGAGTTGCATAACTCTCTCATCCTGTCGAATATCTTCATGGCCCTTGAGTGCGTACATGTAAGAGCAACCATTGTTGCCCTTGAGTGTCATCCGTCGTGGTCTCTTCTTAGTCTGAAGAACATGCAGAATTGGATCGAAGCTGAAAATGCAAATAATCGGACGGCCACTCTGATATGTTCCTGGCACAGCCAAGTCCAGACCTGAGCAATCCTTGAGGCGGGGAGAGACGTATTTGAGGTCAAGGATAGATAGTTGTGGAAGCTGTCTGCTGATCTTACGGAACACAGTGTAGTAGAGGTCCCAGGCTTGGTTCAAATCTCCGATCTCATCTGTCTGGCGGTATAGAACACAGTAATGTTTGGCTTCTGCGAGGTCACGGCCAAAGGCCTGTGCGAAAGAAACCTCACGTAGCGTCTCGGCTCCCTTGTCCAGCATATCATGGAGAGGCGCGAGAGTTGAGAACATGCCTTCCACATTGTGATCACCGAAGTAAAGACGCGACGCTTCCTCTAGACCTTCATGCCAGAGCTCGTGCCACAGGACAGCAACTCTGATCAATTCAGAGCTAACGAGGTCTGCCTGTTCAACTAGCTTGGCGCTATGCTGCCGCATGCTTTCCATGATGCTGCTAGCAGACTGGGAGCGGCGGGCCACATTCGACTTCATGGCCACCGTCAACGGGTACACTAGGGCCTGCGGATGTGTCTTTCCAACCTCGGCAAGCAATCGGTGAACGGAACCTCGAACTCTGATGTTGGGTTGATTAATGCGTGCAATAAGTTGAGGTGTCACGGAGAGCCAGGTATCGATGTTCACGGTGGTAAATCCTTCAGTGACAACGGTGTTGACTTCATGGTCACCTCCATGAGTAAACCACAATGTAAGCAATCTCAGAGTGTCCTGCAGCGAGGAAGTGGTAGACAAGGCGATAGATCGCAAAAATCCACGGAGAGCAGGAATCACATGCTCCGTGACAATATGAGCTGGAACAGGGGCTGGTTTGCCATCACGGTTTGCTTGGTTGGAAATTGCTGTGACCACTTCAAAGTTGGCAAGCGCCCAAGAGTGCCAAGCCTTGTATGAATCACGATTGTATTGTGTGGCTGCTGAGTAGGCGCCGAGGACCTCACGGACATACTCTGGTCTCCAGTCACCCTTTTGAAGAGCAGTCTGCCACTCACCCTGTCGAAGGTAACTCTTAGACAGGAGTTTTCGGAATTTGGCAACATCTCCAACACGTTCACGTAGGCTAATTGCATCAGGATGGTTTGGATCTGAGATGCCATTGACGCCGTTGATTGCGTGGTGTTCGGTGTGAGAAACCATGAGTGTGTTGTACTTTGACAGGTCATCACTCAAGCCAGAAGTGAATTCCTTTAGCATCTCAAGGGACTCTACTTGTTGGCCATTCGCCCAACTGAATTTTAGTCGGGCGTACGTGACCTCAGGGGGTGCAATAGAGTGTGTTCCGGTAGCATCATTTACCACTGTTTCTAAAGCGCCAAGGGACCTTTCGGCGAGACCCATACGGTTCGACTTGCGGCAAAGGTTGGCAAACTTGATGGACATATCAAGATTCTCGCGAGGCGCGGTCACGAGTGCGCGAACCTTAAGCATGCGCTGCCACACCTCCACATTCTGCTGACAGCCGAGCAACCGCTGATTCCAAGTTTGACGCATGGCCTCCTGCTTCTCAGGGTCGCCGATGTTCTGCTTGTATGTGATGATCTCTTCGAGTTCAGCAAGCATTTGGACGCGGACAACAACATTGTAAGCCCGGTTGTAAGACTCTCCGAGGAGGGCAGAAAGCTCAGTGTCCAGGCCGTTGCGTGCCTTTTCGATGTACATATTGGCCTCCTCAAACTGGTTGCGGTGAATAGCGAGAATCGCACCAAAGAACGATCTATCAGGGGACTGCTCTTTCATAACCCCGAGGTAGGAGTCCATCAGTTCCCATTGCCGGCGACCCCATGCAGCAGCTGCAGCAAGTGGAGCGATGGCCCTGCGATGCTCCAGTGACGCTTGATTCCATTTTTCCTGTGCAAGATCTGAGAGGACCTTCCACTCTCCCAAAGCATGAAGACAGCGCATCTTACCCATGGTAATACCAAAAGAGTCTGGATCTGTCTTCTCACGTCTCTTGTAAGCCGCGAGAGCTTCATCCCATCGTTGGAGTTTCTCGAACCACGTTTCTTTCAGCTCCACATCACGGTAGGCTTGCGCCTTGCGGAGGATACCAATTGCAGCATCAGATTGCTGAAGTTGGTTGTTAATGGTGATAAGAGCCTCGACAGCACCTGAGTTCTGATCTTGCTCAAATTCTAATTCCTTGTAATGGAGGGCTTTGGCGAAGGCGTGGCACTTGGCTGCATACTTGCCAAGGGTGCGAATGTCGATGGGAAGAGCTTTGTCATCGTGCTCCATGAACTCCGCCAGATTGAGCAGAATCTGCAAAATCTCGGGGGAGATGTTCGGCGAAGTCAACGCCTTTTCAATGGACCGAACAAGCTCCTCTTGGTACTGGTCGTATAATTCAGTCCAGCATGACACGAAGGCAGCATTAAACAAGTCTCGGGCTAGCGGCTGATAGATTCCAGCTAAGCTGGCACATGCCCTTAGTGCAGGAGACGGCGACTCTTTCAGAAGCTCGACACTGAAACGGCGGATCCACTCCTGCCAATCCTCACGAGTAGACTTTTGTGAAGCATCCCATGCGTTCTTCAAGTGCTGCTGGTTCACCACCATCTTCTTTTGTCCGATTTCTGCATAGTTTGTATCGTCAACCGGAAACGCGTAGTTCTCCTCCGGGTTGAGATCTTGCGGAAGTGGATCTCCTTTCTGGAGCTTTGTCACCAGGATCTGGTAATTGACATGGTTTATTTGGTGTTGCTTGAGCACTTTGTTCAAAAGGTGAATGTAGTGAGTGAAGTCTTGGCCAAGTTGGAATATCAAAGCACAGATACAATCCAGGGCAGCTTGCCGCAAAACGCGGTCAGTGCCGGCCACAACCCGGGACAAAGAATGCACCATGAGGGAGGCAAAATCTGACACGTTGACTTGGCGGGACAGCTTCGTAAGACTGTCGATGGCGGACTTGCGAATGCTCTGGGGATGTTGCGATCCGTCGAAAAGACGCACAATGGCAGGAATGATGAGATGCATGTACTCCTCACCACTAGAGCCAAAAATCAGGAAAGCATGAAGAATCTTTTCCGACGGCTGACGACGGGGCGATGTGTCCTTCTCGAGAGTATCCAGCATTGGTGGAACCAAACCAGCCAAATACTTTCGGAATTCTCCCTCTAAAGATCTGGCAATGGCCTCAACTAGAGACAAGATGGTGCCTTGCACCTGGTATGATGTGTCCCAGAATTCACGAACAACGTCGATGATTTCCGGCAGGAAGGCACGGATGTGCTGTCGCACAATATTGACCAGGATGGCCATCTGGTTGAAGTAAGACTCGAGACGGCTCGCAGGGGAGCTCCGGATGACTCCAATGAAGCCGGGGATGATCTGCCCAAGGAACGGCACGCATTTCAAGCCCAGTGTTTTGAAAATAGTGACAAGGGCATCAATAACGGCTGAGTGATATTGGACCAAGGAGTTCTCGCGCAGTATATTTTGCAGCAAAGTATGGATAACCACAGTCGGGTAATACTCCTCGTTTGACGGTGTCAGACCTTGCATGATCAAGGCAACGTCCGAGACACTCTGAATTTCGTTGATATGGTGAACATCGGGTTCCACATCGCTGATCTGTTGGTACTTGTAGGGGTCTAATGCACCAAGAACACCGATAAGCTTGATTGTCTCCTTTCTGAGGGACCCAGTTTGCTCAGTCTTGGTGATGTTGATCAGTACATCAAGTAAATGGGGATACTCCATGTAAGGCTCAATCACATAACCGGAGTTACTGGCTAGCTGTCCCAACGTCCGCAGCGCAGCTTCACGTTTGGTGTGTGAGGAAAGATCCTGGAGAGAATCTAAGATGATTGGCATAATTTGAGGTAGATAGCGTCTCATCTCACTTCCCCCCACATTAGCAAGCTCACCAACGGCCTTCAATGTGACTGCAGCAACACCAGGGTTGCTATCAGTGGCTTTTGGCAGCAGCGCTGTCACCATCGGATCCACATACGATCTGATCAGTTTAGTCGCGTTTGAGACAAATAGACTAATCAGCTGAGCGGTCTCTTCCTTCTGGCGGGCGGTGTTTGCAAAGCCCAGCCCTGTCAGGAGGTTGACTAGCAACTTTCGCAACGGCGGAAAGACATAGGCGGGATTCACACTAGAAAGACGCCCAATGATGCAAATCGCTGCTTCTTTGACTTCAAATACTTCGTCATTGACAGCGAGGAACAAGCACCGAATGTTTTCTGGTCGTGCTAAGTGTCGATCGAATTTCGCATCTAACGACCACAAAACAGTACGGCGAATCTCAGCATCCGAATCTCCAACACCAACCGTCAGTAGCTTGTCGATGACTTCACTGACAACTTGGATAGAGTGGCCACTGGTCTGATTGATAATCGGATCATGGACAAACAGTTGACAGCAGGTGAGGGCGGAGGCCTTTCGAATCTCAGCGTTGTCATTTTCCACGTAGTTGATGGCAACATCACGAACGAATTCGTTCAAGATATGGCCCGAGAAGTCAAAGCTACCAAGGGTGTGAAGAGCCAAAGCAATGTCAGCATCAGTCTGCAGGTCTTGGGGGGCAAAATCCTTTGCGAATGATGGCATGGGAGGAAGGCGGTTCTCTGGGCAGCCCAGTGGGCGGAATGGTGTGCCGCAAAGGATGATGCTAAGCATGTCTAGCAGTTTCTCTTGGATGATGGGTTTGATCGGGGGAATGTAATGAGCCATATCAACCAAAGCCTGGGTCAAGGACTTGCTTAGGCCGCAAGCGAAAATGGGATCTAATAGAGCCTCCATATATTTGCTGAGTGCTTGTCCCACTGCCAAAGAAAGCATACTGATGCACTCAAACATGGGGGCCTCTTTGATGCCCGCTCGGTTTCGCGCTTTCATTGCGAGTCCCTCTCGAATGTAGATGATAATTCCATCTAAATACTGGGCGATGGCTGGTCCCACCGCATTGGCAATCTTTCCGATGGCGATGAAAGCAGAATTCCGTTCCTTTTCTCGCTTGAGTTGTGCTTGGAGGTAGATCATAAATCGATGTAAGTAAACCTCGATGAAGTCGGTGGGGGCGTAGGATGCGAGGATGGGGATGGTAAGGACGACTTGGGCGCGGATCTTAGGGTCTCGGTGGTCTTTGAGCCGTAGGACGATCTCACAGGCATTTCGGTAGTGCTCATTCATGAACATGGTGCCCTTGAGAATTAAGGCTTTCATGACCAAGAGAGACCCATGAATCCAGTCCACGTTGTGCGATTTCAAGCCTAGCAAGGCTTCTTCGTAAATGCGAGCGAACCATGACTGACGAACCTGAGCATCTCGAGCTACGATGATTTCAAAGCATTCGCCCACAGCTTCAGCTGCAGTTTCTCGGATGAGGACTTTGGGGTCACGTAGCGCAACCCAAACGAGTTCGAAGATCTGCGGCACAAAGCCATACAGGAGTGTGGGGGAGCCCTTGGCCAGCTCCCCAATGACAAGCACCGCGGCAAACCTTCGACTTTCCTGACGTTCTGATTGCAACCACTCCAGCGCGGACTGAATCTCACTTTCCACCAGCTCTGCGGTCAGTGCCCCGCCCGGTTTCGCCAGTCGGCCCAGCGATCGGGCCGCGTACACCAAGACCATATTATCATTGCTTCGAAGGGCACTCCGCAGGTAACTTGCAAACCGTGTAGTCTTTTGTGCGGCATCTACCCCGTCGAAATCGATGAGTCGGTCAAGGGCAAGGAGTCCACCGATTCTCTCATTTGCATCGCTACCCGTTACCACCAGCTGGGCGATCCTTTGGCTCACAGCATTGTAAAATTCCACAAATTTCTCGGAAGGCCAGTCTAAGGTTCAGGTGAAAGGAGTCAGCTACATCCAAAGGGTCGATTTCAAAGGCTCGGTAAGGATCGTACCTCGTGAGACTGATAAGACGTTGTCATAGAGCTCGAAGGCAGCTCGGGCTCGGGTCTCCTCGTTCTTCGACTTCAGCTCCACAAAGAGCCGCTGGGTCACGTCGGTGATTGGGCCTGCTTGCGCCATATTTGCGAGCTGCACCCCAAGGTGGACATTGGAAGCCAACCTAATGGGAAAAAGCAGAGGCGCAAGATGTATAGGTGGTGAGGGATGGTCATGTGGTGAGGCTCAGGTTGAACACCGCGGGTGCACGGACCACCTCGGGTGAACCACCTGACGTTCAACTGCCACTACTTGTACTTGGTAGTAGTGTAGGCCACTATAAAGCTTTTAGTAGTTCAAAATCATATCTTATTGAATAATTCAATGATGGACCTCGATAGAGGAGAGCTACGTAACTTTAATGTTGTTGTTCAAACATCTATGCGAGTGCTAAAGGTATATGTATTGATCATTATGAAAATAACACTAGAATTTACATCAATATCTCCCACCAGTGTAAATGATATTTTACTGTAGGTACTAGGCGGATCAAGTTGCTGGCCCAGGGTGGTACATACATAGCCTACAGTTCAATAATCATGTATTATTGACATTTGAATCGTTCAATTACATGCTAGGCAGTACTTGGTAGTGAGTACTATGAGTAATATCAAAGTGTACAGGGTAGTATTTAGTACTAGTCAACTGGTAGGTATTTTAAATTCCCGAGGTCCCAAATGCTTTATTGTACTCAAGGTTTCATCAATTGATAAAGGCCCATATTTTGCAATTTTTCTCGACACTCCAACCCAACCTTGGTTGAATATTTCCATAATACTAATACATAACTGTACAAGGTCAAAATACACATTTTGAAGTAGGTAAATTAGACTAACGTTTCCACGGCTGAAGTGAAGAGATGAAACCTTGTACCTAGTAGGATAGTAGTAGTAGGTAGGTGAGTAGGTACAATACCTAGTAGTATTTCAAGTACCTGGATGTTTATGCTCTTCTCCAACATTGAAGTACAGAGATAACCTTGGAATACACACCGCTAAACTGCATTCCAAGGGTGTCGATCCACTCCAACTTTATATAGTTAGTAGGTACTGGTGGAAAAGTGATAGATCCAACCATAGAACGTTCAATGTTGAATCGGATTAAGTCGGGCTTTATCTACTAAATCCGCTTCTGGAAGCCGACAGAAAGTGGAAGCCATGGCTTTTCTTATTTGTAATCGACAGCCCCGATTAACTAACTAGTTAACTAACTAACTAACTACTAGTGGACCAACCTTGGTGGGGAATCGGGGATCGATGACGGGATTGAGGGGTTACCATGGAGAACCATAAAGCAAGGGCGATTACCCCAGTCCTGCAATATTTTAAAAAGCTCTCACAATTCTTTAATTGATACAATTTGACTCAACGCTGCCTAATTCAATCGTCACAATGGTCAAGGTTCTCCTCACCGGTATGCTTTCCTCATCAATCATACCCCTTCCAAGTTTTATGGATCTATCTGATCACCTTCCCCATTGAACAGGTGGCAGTGGCTTCATTGCGGCTCACATCGTGGATATTCTCTTGCAACATGGGTATGAAGAGGAATGCTAAAAGAGTATCACATCTTGTTATCACTAACGTAATATTTTTATTAGATTCGATACCGTGGTGACCGTTCGGTCGGAAGAAAAGGGCCAGCGCATTCTTGACGCTCACCCCAACACGCCCAAAGAAAACCTCTCATTTGTTATTGTCAAGGATGTTGCTGAGGATGGCGCCTTCGATGAGGTGATCAGCTCCCAAACTTCACACCTCGTCTCTGTGTACTTCTTCAATGCTAATGCTTTCAATACAGGCCGTCAAGTCAAACCCGCCATTTGACTATGTTCTCCACACAGCATCGCCTTTCCACTTTAACATCAGTGATCCCGTGAAGGACTTTTTGGACCCCGCTATCAAGGGAACTACTGGTATCCTCAAAGCCATCAAAGCCCACGCTCCCTCTGTGAAGCGGGTCGTGGTCACATCATCATTTGCGGCAATTGTGAATGCGAAGCAACACCCGAAGATCTATAGTGAGAAGGATTGGAACCCCGTAACATGGGAAGAAGCTCAGGACCATTCACAAGTTTATCGGGCCAGCAAGGTGGGAAGATAATCTCTACGCGGGAATGATGGCAACGCCGGCTAACACGTTTTCTTGCCAGACCTTCGCCGAGAAAGCAGCATGGAAGTTTGTTGAAGAGGAAAAGCCCAACTTCGATATTGTAACCATCAATCCACCCTTGGTTTTCGGTCCCATCGTCAATTATCTGAACTCTTTGGAGGCCATTAACACTTCAAATCAGCGGGTGCGGGATCTAGTCCAAGGTAAATACAAGGAAAAAATTCCCCCGACGGGAACCTTCCTCTGGGTGGATGTTCGTGATGTTGCACTGGCACACGTCAAGGCCATCGAAATTGCTGAGGCGGGCGGCCAGAGATTTTTTGTCGTGGCTGGTTACTTCTCTAATAAGCAAGCTGTCGATGCTATCCGGGAGACACATCCTAAATTGGAATCAAAGCTTCCTTCTCCTACCACGGTGGATGACTTCCCCAGCAATATTTTCGAGTTTGATAACAGCAAATCCCGGGAAGTGTTGGGGTTGAAATATCGGCCTTTTAAGCAGACTATCTCGGACACGGCCGACTCTCTGCTAGAAGCCGGTGCTTGATTTTATCTTAGAATCTGTGCCTTGAATGTCTTCATTGATTTGAAAGGGAAAACATATCAAGCAATTTTATTTTTAAGAATATCTGTCAAAATGGGCGGAAATTGGAATGATCGTACTACTAGTAGTTAGTTTTCGTCGGATTGATATGCTGTTGTCACAGGTGCACCAGAATAGTAAGTTACCGACCCAGGGATGAGTACCACAATCAAGACTTTGAGGAAATTCGTAAGCCAGCATATGGTTACTAAGTACTATTGAATTTCTGTTAAACTTGTATTGCTGCAGAGAATCTGGAGAAGCTAGTACTTAGTGCTGGTAGTAAAAGTACAGTTGCGTATTAGGTCGCTATGCTCGACCGTGCCGCGAGGCCCGTGTGCCGGTCAACTTTTCTCGCGCGGTGTCCGTCCAGCTCTATTACATCGTGGCATTGAGTAAAGATGGCGACCGCTCGGATTTCGCCAACGGCGCATCTTCTACGGAAGTCTCGTTTGTTTGCACTTCCCCAGGCATTGCAAAACCCACAAGAGCCACCATCCTCGAGGACCGTATTCGAGTCGAACACCGCAACACTTCCTCACCCCATCCGAGCCGCCATTGTTACGCCGCCGAAATCACTTGCTCGAGGCGATTGGGGTTTGAAACGTCCACTTCCGGCTAAGGCTACATCTGAAAAGTCTCAGAGACCGGTTGTTAGAATTCAAGCCCTGGATACCTACGAACATGTCACCGACTTCGAATCCGCAGCCGATCACACCATGACTCTGGAGAAGTTCCAGGAGTTGCATATCCCGATCTCACTTCCCTCCAAGATCAATTATGCGACTTCCGTCCTCCCTCGTCACCAGAGTCCATTCGAGAGCCATGTCGACAACACAGAGACTAGTAAGGGGCGTGAAGTACCAGGCTCCAAACAATTCAGACACGCTGGACCTTGGCTGGTTGGCCAAACCGAGGCTGAGTTCCAGGACTACCTGAAGAAAGTGCGGAGCCAGAAGCCCGAGTTGCTGCAGAAATTGCGCGAGCGGTTGGAGGCTCAGCTCTTTGCGGAGGCTCGGAAACAAGCACAGGACAACGGAGGGGATTTGCAAGAACTTGAGCCCATCAAGGTCACCGATGAGCAGTTCCAAGCACACGTCAGGTCTCTGCGTGAGGATAAGTTCGCCCTCGGCCCGGCCGTCTTTGAATTGCTTGATCTTCCGTCACCCCCCGCTGTGCCCAGCGAGCGGATTGGAGACAAATACTACCAGTCTCCCGGAACCCAGCTGTCTGCCGCCGAATATGCCGTGAGCGGTCCCCCCATGACACACCCCTCCGCAGGTCTCGCATACGCTCGCACCCATGCATTTACATACAACCACCCGCAATATGGTCCCCAGGCCTTCCAGCGCCCCGTAGAGGCGCGTATTCTGCGACCCAAGGGCCGATTTAAGGGACAATCTTCCAAGGCCATTGCAGGTATTGGTGGTATTGCCGTGGAGGATCTGAACGCCATGAGCTTCATCGATCAAGGGACACCCGCTGGCTTGACTTCCTTTGACGCAACCATCCCCGGAGGAGCCAAATACTGGGTCTCTCCGGTCCGAGCCTCTGTCGACTCTAAGGGTCGCATTAGCCTGGCTTCCTACCGGGCGAACGCCCTTGCAAAGGCGCCGTACGGAATCGAAGATTTCCGGAAAGAGAGTGTCACCAGCATTACATCGGCTGCCCGCCGTGATGCTCGTTTGGTCCCACGATTGGACAAGGGTTCCAATTACAACCAGGCGCGTTTCAATCCGTCGCGTGGCTTCCAACCACGGAAGCCTCAGCAAGGTACTGAGGAGGTTGCCCGCAGTCTCGTGGAAAACTTGAACTTGAACCAATGAGTGAAAGAGCGGAGCCTTTGGAAGAAGATGAGCGAAATTTGTTAATTGTACGATTAGATCTGGTGCTTTTGTAAAGCTACTCTCATTATCCTGTTTAAACATGTGATATAAATTTGGTGCATCAATCTTATTTTATCTCTCGGGTCGTAAACATCGCCAAGGGCGGGTACATGAATAGATAGCACGTATTACAACAGAGATCTCTCGAGGTCCAGAAACACCCACATGTGCAACCTTGGAAGTAGATGCTATAAGTACTACGAACGGCACATATTTCCAATGTTAGCAGTACTTATTAGCGTTTCAAGTGATGCTTTTTACCCAATTGATTATGATTGAGCGAAATAACGCAAACTCGAAAGGCAGGACGGTGCTTTTTTGCATAAGTACAAGCAATCCCCTCAAGTTTCTCCCTACTCATCATCTTCTGTTTCTGATATATTGCCATAGCCGAAGCGAAATGCCTTTTCTTCAATCTTTCAATGCTCAGACACATGTGCAAGTAGCCAATCGTCATCAACATTGAACAATCTCCGAGTTTGGGTGAACCTCCGCTGGAAGATCCAAGATTACTGGAGTATCTTTATCTGCGATGCCTACTGGGATTGGCCATGACCATATTCATCATGTCATAAAACTTATCCTTGTCGACGCTATCAAGGTACGGTGTGCCGTCAGATGGCACTATGGTGTACTCCTTGAAATCTAGATTATGGGTGAACTGAATATGGAGCTGCACGTCAAAATATCCAGTCAAGACCCGGCACTGCCCTTGAATATAGAGCGCGATAAGCATCGTCTGCACCTATTATAAGTACTATAAGGTACCAAAAGGAATCACATCCGAATATTTGGCCTACCGGGAAAATATTGTCTTCCTTTCGTGGTCGGTCTTTATCGATTGGCAGTATAGAATCCAACATGGCACATATTAGCGCTACGACCGCATCCCTTGAAGGGCGTGAATTATTACTATAAGTAGTATTAACTCAAGTAATATCCCACATGCATCAGTAACTCTAGCCATCCTAGGTACTAAGTCTTCTTATAAGGACTAGCACTTGAGCCTTAGGGGTATAAATAATATCCTTAAAGCTCTAAGGTTTTACTTATACACATTTCCAGTACATATGTACATTATTCCATCTATCCTAACTCTCACTAACCAGAAACCAAGTCAGAAGTACATTGCAGACACATACACCGAATTTTAGAACTTATAAATCGTAGACCTAGCCATACCTACTAGTATTATGTTGTCTTTTCCTTTGATAGTACTAGTAGTCAATCGGTAAAGACTTTCTCAAAATCTTCGCTTCCGTGAAACGAAAAGTCATCAATTAAAACCAAGCAAAAGGGTTTGCGGGGAAATTCTAAGTATCTGAGTCCCCTTAAGGATTTCTCGATATCCTTCTGGCTTCACTGCCTATTTATGTGCAGCTTGAAAAAATGTGATTGTACAGATCGCCATGTTAAGTGGATTCCGAGAGAATGGGAAACTCGGTTCTTGGAAGGAAAGAAGGAGTAGCGGGAGGTGAAATGTCACCGGTTTTGATATCTAGATGATGGAACAGGATCCCTACTAGGTTTGGCAATTCTGCTGCCTGCATCAGAGATAACTTGATCATAGTAAGGCGCGTAAATTGGCAAAGAATTGTCATCCAAGGAAATTGGAGAAAGTAATTTGAGAGTAGCAGTTGACTCATTGTAGGACAGCTGAAGAGTCGTCCGTTTGATGTCCATATGGACGACAAGGTTGAGGTTATACGAGAGTACAGTGGAACTTGAAATCTCATGACCCATGGTCACAGATTCAAGAGTCAAGACCATAACACTTCCATAAACCCTCAGAATCGATCCCCATGCTTGCTAGTAGGTATACTATTGAGGTAGTAGCTATTAGTGTGCTAGGAAGCTCTAGTAAACATTTGAATATCACCAAACGAGATCACATAACGGGTTGCTGGTCCGAATTGTGAAGTCGTGATTTAGGACGCGCCCGAATCAAGTGCGTGCACATAGCGCAGGCCGTGCTCATATTATCTGGTGACTTTGGGCCTGTATAAAGCGTGGATTTGTGTAAAGCCACATCGCCGAAGTATCGGTTTTGGCCATTGATGTTGACAAACATGCTACCATTACTACTTAAAAACACTTTGCAACCATAATCCTGATTCCCCTACAATTTTATATTAGGCTTTTATTTAATAGTCATTTGGGCGAGCGGGGGGGGCTTTCTCCATCTAGCTTTTAATACCATCTTTCCTATTTAAGATAATTCTTTATACTACACTTTACTAAATTGAACTATTCATAATAACTAACTAGGCCAAAAGCGGAGTACGAACCTTGAGCCTGAGGTTTTCCACGAGCTCAACGTTATGATAATTTCTCTAAGACCCACAGTGGGGTAGGCGGTGAAACTTCACAGCTGAATGCCCCCGCCCGGCTTACCGAATAACGTTAGTAATGTTACTAGTCTTTATGCCTGAGGTATACAATGACATAATCAGCACGTTTATCAAACACGTGATCTAGGGCTGAACTAGGGCTGCGATCCACAAACGACTAAGCGAGAGCAACCGCCGACCCTTATCCAAACCGGTGATACTTCGATTTTCCTCTCCGAATCTTTGAACATCCTTCCAGCCAACAATTCGCCAAAATGGGTCGCGTCCGTACTAAGACCGTTAAGCGGTCCGCCAAGGTCATCATCGAGCGTTACTACCCCAAGTTGACCCTCGACTTCGAGACCAACAAGCGCATTTGCGATGAGATTGGTTAGTTTTCTTTTGTCGAATCGCGATTTTTTGTATTGGGTCAGTATATTAATAATTCCGCAGCCATCATTGCCTCCAAGCGTCTCCGCAACAAGATCGCCGGTTACACCACTCACTTGATGAAGCGTATCCAGCGTGGCCCCGTCCGCGGTATCTCCTTCAAGCTCCAGGAGGAGGAGCGTGAGCGCAAGGACCAGTACGTCCCTGAGGTCTCCGCCCTTGACGTCTCCCAGACCGAGTCTGGCCAGCTCGATGTCGATGCTGAGACCAAGGACCTGCTCAAGAACCTCGGCGTGAGTTGGCACCAATACTTTCCATTTTCACTTGGTTATTCAATCTAACATTCTTTGCGTCACACAGTTCGACAGCCTCAAGGTCAACGTCGTCACCGTCTCCCAGCAGCAGCAGGCCGAGCGCCCCCGCCGCTTCGGTCCCCGCTAAATCCAGCACCCTCGATAATATCCAAAAGTGCTTGTCTTCGGTCGACACCCCGGCGTTTCCCGATACCTGTTCTGGCTGGCTTTTTTCCCGACTATCATGGTTTTAGCATGATGATCGAGGCTATCTATGGATGAGGAATGAAAAAATGATTCCCTATGACAAAGGTGTCGCCGATTCCCTCTGGGGATGACGCTTGATTGCCAAAAACTTTTCCTCGTGTTTATACCTGCGTGGGCATCTGCCTCCAGGTTAGAACTACGTAGGGGTTCCTGGATTCATGATCCGGAAGGCCCAGACCATTGGTCGAGGCTATGCTTAGACTAGTTTTCATGCTAGTTGTCGTGCAGCCGAAGATCGAGTTAAGTATGGTCATTCCGTAGACTTGAGACTCCCGTATGCTATGTTCTGTCTCCAGGGTATTTATCTGTAAACCTCTCGAAAACGCCAAATGATGCCATGGCCAAGGCCCATCTTTAAATCTGATCCAGCAGATCTCCCTCATCTTCTCGGGTGGGTCGCTTGTTTCCTTGATCGTGGGGAATGTACCCTTCAATGGATCCCCCCAAAGCGTCCTCCGGTCGCCGTTGTGGTGCACTGACGGCCAACCCAGACCCGGGCTCCTTTTCCTTGATGTTGATGTCCACCCTCCCATCACGATGAATGGGGGTATTGTCGCCACGCTCTAAAGCCAGCTCACGCGAGCGGTTGGGATCATGAATATTCAAGTTCTCCATCTCAGCAGTAACCTCAGCGGCGGATGAGCTTTCGGCATTGGGCTGCCTCTGTCGCTTTGCACGAGCCTCTTCCAGTAAGAGAATGCTGATGGCTCGAGTATCAGCGGCACGTCTCTCCCAAACAGGCTCCTCGGCCAGTTGCACACGAATAAAGAGCGCGCGCTCCGCACATTCGTCCGAACACCACTTTTCCAATTTCTCTCGAGACACAATATCCACGCTGCGGCCACGGCCACCAGGTCCACTTCCTTTGGTACCGTATTTAAAATGAAAGGTTTGGCCTCGCGCCTTGATTGTCTCCTTGCGATTCTTCTGAGGGCAAAGCCCATAACCACATAACTCTTCGTAATTTCGCTCCATAATGTAGTTATCGTAGTCGGTCGGTCGAAACGGGACCAAGGCGGACTTGAAAGCTTGGGCATCCTCTGCTGAGGGGGAAGCCGGGTCTGCGGAGGATGAAGCGGGGATGGCGAGGAGCTCGACCGTACGGTCTAGGATCATTTCTTCGACATCTTTCTGGCTTTGGATATGCTGCGCATGCTGCAGTGCGATGTCCAAGTGGCGTGCAGTTGCGCCAGGTCGGGCCTGGAGGTATTTGTCTTGTTCTTCCTGTGACAAAGTTGAGTGGTATGTCGTTGGTTGCTCGGCGTTAACGGCGGCGAATGCAGAGGGGAGGGAGGTTTTCAGAATGGACTTGGAGGGGCTTTGTTGTGGTGCCATTGTTTTTGAGAAAAGCGATTCGAGTGTATTGGAGTTATGGTCGTGTTATTTGGAGTATACGATAAATCTGGGAGAAAGAAGAACTTGAAGTTCTGCGGTAAAGGAAATTGTGGTTTTCACGGCCGAAGAAAATTACGGAACGTGGAACCAACAATCAAAAAAAACCCGGGGATTTGCAAGGCAATGATGTCGCCAATGAGAGTAACGACACTTCACCCCGTTAACGCATTGGGTTGCAGCGGAGGTTTGGCTTGGGTATAAATCTATATCTATACCAGTACCTAGTAGGTATCTTGATATGTGACAAAGAAGAGTGTAATGATCCTGGTTTTTTTTCTCTTTTTTTTCTTTTTTACTCCTTTTTTTTCTAGATATAAAATCAAACCATATGTTACGTATCCATGGATGCTATGTAACTCCAATACTAGTACACTTAGGGGCCGTTGCATTACTTCATACCTCTGGACTTAGTCTATCAGATATTTACATATACCAACGTCTTCCTTGCCATTTCGAAAATGAAAACCAGATGATATTCGAAGGTATACGAGGACAAATCAGCATCTATCATATTTCTTAATCATACCCTACTCCTTTCGTATGAGTGTATGTACCCTGGTTCAGTTGCTTGCTTGTTAGCCGCTGATCGTCAGTGGAGCCTCTGTTCCTTCATCCCGCCAAGTGACGACCACCTCGCCTTCCTTCTTTCCACTCTTCCCTCCTCTCCCCAACTGTGTCCCTTTTTTTTTTTTAAGCACCCGGTTATCCCCGTGTATCCATTTGCAATCCTCATCCTCTCCCTAGTGAAACAATATTTCTTTGACTTTGTGAGTCCCTTTCCAACCGGCCCCTCTTTCTATCCTCCAACCCCCTCATCTCCGACTACTAGGCACCAGTTGTGTCCCACGCTGACCGACTCTTCGAACTTCAGGCAGAAAAAAAAACCCTTGTTGACCCCACGACGTCAAAACAACCGCTGCATGCTGCAAGTACTTGAGCTGGTGCTCGGCCTGTATATTCTCGCACGGTTGCCATTACACACCTGTTGTGTTTAGCGTGCTCGTTACATCCTCTCCCGTTTCCCCCCTCCGTGAACGTGGTCGATTTGCCAGATGTCCAACCCACCTTTCACGGTTCGAGCGGTCTTCGAGTATGCTTCGGGCCACGATGACGACCTCAGCTTCCCAATCGGCCAGATCGTAACCGTTACCTCCGAGGAGGATTCCGACTGGTACAATGGCGAATACACAGATAGCTCGGGAATCAAGCAAGAGGGAATCTTTCCAAAGAATTTCGTGGAACGATATGAACCTCCGGCACCCCCGCGACCGGCACGTCCAAGCAGACCGAAGAAAGAGGCTGAGCCTGCGCCGGTGCAATCTCCCGTGGTTGTGCCCGAAAGCCCCGTCCAACTAAAACCCGAGGTAACGGCGCAACCCGAGGAGAAACAGGAGGAATCCGAAACTGTCCCCCAGCAATCCCCTGCTCCTCAATCGGCGCCAAACCCTCCTGCCCCAGTTGTGGAGGCTTCATACTCGCCCCCTCAGCCTGCTCCAGTCCCCGCTCCCGTTGTTACTGCAGCACCCGCCCCGCCTCCCGCGAAGGCATCTACAAAGCCTCCACCGCCGGCTGTGGGAGAAAAGCCCGCAGGAAACTCCTTTAAAGACCGTATTGCTGCATTCAACCGGTCAACTGCCGCGCCAATTGCACCTATCAAACCTGGTGGTCAACAGCCGTCCTCATTTGTCAAAAAGCAGTTCGTTGCTCCGCCCCCAAGTAAAGATTCTTTCGTGCCTCCTCCGCGGGAGCCCGCTGCCAAGATTTACAAGAGAGAGGAGGACCCCGAGGTGAAGGAACAACTTGCTCGGGAACCCCCTGTTTCTGAAAGCCGCCCCCCGCCTCCACCACCGGCACAGGAGGCCGAGGAAGGTTCAGAGGATCAGCCAAAGCCTACAAGCCTGAAGGATCGGATAGCTCTTCTTCAAAAACAGCAGATTGAACAAGCTCAGCGCCATGCCGAGGCTGCTCAGAAGAAAGAGAAGCCGAAGCCTCCAAAGAAGCCTGTCGAGCAGCCCGTGGAGACGATTGCTGCAGCTGAAGAAGACGAGGAGGAAGAACAAGTGCCTTCTCCTGTCGAAGCTCCGACATCTCTTAGAGACCCCAGTGTGGATACCTTGAGAGGCAGAGCTCCACCCACCCTGCCTCCTCCATTCTCACCCCAGGAGGAAATTGCCAGCGAATCGAATGACGCGGACTACTCTGCCGCGGCAGACTCCGAGGATGCTGGTGAGACTTCCACCAGCAGAGATGATGAGGATGATCGCACACGGCAAGCTCCAGCACCGCCCGCTCACAGCGCCGAGCATAAGCAAGAATTGGTTGATGCTAAGGAAGAGGAAGAGGAAGTGAAAGAGGAAGAAGAGGAGGAGGACGCGGAGGAAGAAATAGATCCTGAAACCAAACGCAGAATGGAGCTTCGTAATCGAATGGCCAAGATGAGTGGTGGTATGGGTATGATGGGCCTATTCGGTCCCCCAGGCGGCTTGCCTGGCATGGGTAGCGCCCCTGCACCTCGAAAGCCCAAGACTCCCGGCGAGTCTGAGAAGAGGCTTGGTGAGCCTGAACCGACACCTCCAGGTCATGCCCCTCCAGTCCCAATGATTCCCCTTCCTGGAATGCATGTCAACACCAAGCCCACTGCTGCACCTGTCGATGTTGAAAAAGAAGAAGAGGAGCATTTGGCGACTCCTATCACGGAGCAGCATGCCCCACAGGTCGTGGCAGACGTCGAAGACGTTGTTCATGAAGGCGCCCCTCCGCGTTCTTCTATCGATCGTGCTCCCCCTGCGCCTCCTACCCGTGGTTCGTGGATTACCCCTACCTGATCTAAAAACCTACTGAGGCATTGCTAATACTTTACTAGAACGAACTGCTCCCCCCCTGCCGTCTGTGGATTCTCGCCCCATTCCACCCCCCGTGCCCTCAGAGCAGCTAGCTTCCCCTCCCCCCGTTCCAGCAGGTAGGTTTTCATCCTAGAAAATTTGACGATTTGGTCCCGAATAAAAAAAAAAAAAAAACTAACAAGATATCTCTAGGCCGGGCCATTCCTCCGCTGCCAAGACCATCCGGTATAGACCCAGGTAATGAATCGGACGATGAGCTATCAGTGCATGCAAGCAACCTGTCTTTGGACTCTGTTCCCCCGCCTGTGTCTGCTCCTGCAATTCCCGACAGCATTGATTCTCGCCGCTCTTCAACATATGACACACCACCTCCCGTGCCTTCGACGTCAAATGCCGAAAAGAGAGCTAGTCGTGCACCTCCCCCGGTTCCAACAAACCCACCCATGCCACCGGCACAGGGCCGTGCCCCACCACCTCCTCCTCCGAATCAGCCTCGTCGTCGCTCCACCACGGATAGTCGCACTAGTGCCATTTCCGCTCCCCGTCAGGCCGGAGAGGATGTTGATGGAGAAGTAACAGAATACGATGGCGACTACGACACCGATATTGCGTCCGGTGTGAAACACAAGGATGCATTGAGATCTCATGAGCGTGATTCTAGCTTTGACGAGGGCATAATGACCGATGATTATTCTCTTCAATCTCCTCGCAGCCCTACAGAGTCCCGTCTTCCCCCACCTCTTCCTCCGACTGCTGCTCCCAGAGGGGTCCCGCCCCTACCTCCCAGTCAGCCTCCCCGAAATCCTCGAGCTTCTATTGATACACCTCGAGGACCACCTCCGCCCCCGCCAGGCCGAGAACCATCGTACGGTGGAGAGGAGGAATATGACCCCTTCAATTATGTTGAACCTCGACTCGGTTTGCCTACTCCCCCGGCCCCTCCCAGTGGTCGTCCAGAAGCGCCACCTCCTCTTCCCCCGCAACCGCCCGTCAGACAGAGCTTCGACGACCTGTACGATGAATCTCCCATACAAAGTCCTACGAATGAGGCCCCATCTTTACCGATGTCTCAAAGGCGTTCATCTCTGGCCCCACTGCCTCCTCCAACCCAGGTTCCAGTTATGGCTTCACCTTCGGCATCTCGTGGCTCGCGCCCTTCAATGGATATGGCGAGGGGCCCGTCCAATATCCGGCGCTCCATGGATGTTTCTCGCCCCTCCATTGATCAAGGCTACATTGCCACCGATATAGATTATGCGGAGAGTACCCTCTGGTGGACGCAGCCAAATACCCCGCCGCCATCTGTCCAAAATCGAAAAGATGTACTCTTTGAAGTTGAGGAGTCCTCTTCCTCAAAGCGCGGTGGCAAGACGACTGTGTCCAAAGACATTTATATTCTTTTCATGGACTACTCTCAAACTGTTATTGCAGCTCAGTTCGAACCTAGAAATCCTGCAGATGTCTCCTTGGAGCAACGCCACGAGCCACCTCCCCTTCAACCTCGTCAGGACCAGTTGGAACAGGCACACAACCAAATTGGTATCCGAATCTCCGAGGCTATTAATTCCTATCAAAACTCCACTGTGGGAGATGGTTCTCCCTTTGGTCTGGTTCAGCATCTTCTAAGCCCCCTTTCTGATGCATTGCTTCCCGTTGGTACTCGGGCATACGGTGCTTTGGTTTACTCTAACTTGGCCAATGCGTCCGTGTCTCAAAATGACGAGATCCGCGCCGGTGACATTGTCAGCTTCCGCAATGCTCGATTCCAAGGCCACCGTGGCACTATGCACCAAAAGTACAGTGCTGAAGTTGGCAAACCTGACCACGTCGGCATTGTTGTGGATTGGGACGGTACCAAGAAGAAGATTAGAGCTTGGGAGCAAGGGCGCGAAAGCAAGAAGGTGAAGATGGAGAGCTTCAAGCTCAATGACATGCGCAGTGGCGAGTGCAAGGTCTGGCGAGTGATGCCACGCAGCTGGGTTGGCTGGGAAAACAACAAATAAGCAGAGATACTGCAATGTGGTCGTTTCCTCGCCCATCGCATGCAGCGAAACGATTCTTTCTCACTTTTCCTTTAGATTAGGTGGGTTCCTGTATGAGTTAAGGTTGTCACTTTCTCTTCCCCTCTTATTTTGGTTTTTCCATCTTGTTCTTTGAATTTTTTTCTCCACCATCCTGCTCATTTGTTAATGTCAACGAGGCGGGATGGTTGCTGGGTTTTCTTTTTCTTTTTCTTTTGTTTGGAGAATTGAGCGAGCGTGCACCCTCTTTTCCCTAGTCCAGGCAGATGAATGTTGTTTCTGCTCTGTGCCCCTTATTTTCCTTTGCCTGTACCTATTTGCAATGTATCCATTCTTTGATTCTAAGTATGTCATCTATAAGGACCAAAATGACGGGTATATGGACTTTTCAAGGTCGTACCTTCTACTAATCAGGATGGCCTCTGTAATTTTATTTCCAAGGCTACCATTAATCGGGAAAATCAGGAAAGCAGCTGCCAGACTGACTTGACTTGAGTAAACACCAGTAGTAAGTACTAGTACCTATAGTAGTACTAGTACTACTACTAAGTGACAGTACTAACATTACTAGTAACAACTTCAACGTTACAACCACTGATCACATGACACCACATTGGTGCCCTAGGCCGCGAACGCGCCTTGAGCAAGTATCGACCAGCTCGAGACGTTCAGTCCCCCTTCTCCTTCCCTCCATCGCTTTCCCCCCCTCTCGCAAATATGGGTGGTGATCTCAACCTGAAGAAGTAAGTCACTTAATCTCAGAAGAAATACAGAATTCCCCGAAATCAAGAAATGCCACTAATACGCCACCAGGTCATGGCACCCGTCGCTGCTGCGCAACCAAGAGCGCGTATGGTCGGAAGAACAGAAGGCTCTGGAGGAGCGCAAAAGAATTGAACAACTCCGCCGTGAGCGTGAAGAAGAGCGACAAATCCAAGAATTGCAGCGCCTCCAAGAGGCATCCGGCAAACAGAAGACGCAGAACCGCGTCGACTGGATGTACCAGGCGCCTTCGGGCGCGACAGGTCAATACTCCGAGGAAATGGAAGGGTACCTGCTTGGAAAGCGCCGTATCGATGGAATTTTGTTGAAGAAGGATACCGACAACCAAAAGTTGGAGAAGGGCGCAGATCTAGTTGGTGCGAATGCGGCTGCTGCTGCGGCAGCGGGGCCATCCATCGGCTCGGCGCGTGACACTATGGCGAAAGTTATGGCCGATCCGCTTTTCGAGGTCAGGAAAAGGGAGCAGGCGGCCCATGAGGCCATGGTCAAAGAGGCTATGAAGCGGAAGGAGAGGGAGGAGAGGCGGGGTGGGGATCGGAAACGTGACCACGAGAGAGAGCGGAGACATCGAAATCATGATTCGAAGCGCAGAGAGTACAGTGGCGAGGCGGAAGATGGGTCGAGACACCAATCCCATCGCTCGTCGCATCGGCGTCGGTCCAGATCTCCTGCTGGTGAGGAGAGATCCTCGCGCAGACATCGCAGCGAGAGGGACCGTGATGACCGGGATCGGAGGGATGATAGAGATCGTGACCGAAATCAAAGAGATGATAAGGATCGTCGAGGTGAAGAGGGTCGATCTCGCCGTGATGACCGCGACCGCCGTGACAACCGAGAAAGAAAAGATTCATACTCCAGCCGTCGATATGACCGAGATGACAGGCGGGATCGTGATCGAAAGCCGGATAACGATAGTGACCGCACCAGGTCTCCACGACGCTCCTCTCCCCGTCGACGCAGTCCCTCCCCTCACCGACGCAGTCCCTCCCCTCACCGACGCAGTCCCTCCCCTCACCGACGCAGTCCTTCACCACGGCCGGCCCAAAACCGCAATGGTCGCTCCAATGATCAAGATAACCGTCGGGACTACGCTCGACGCGTTGACAACAACTTGAGCAACCGACGCGAGAACTTCGGTCGACCGCCTCGTCCTGCACAGCCTAAGTCTGACCCCAAAGCACTGGAGGAAGAACGTGCTCGCAAGCTAGCAGAGATGCAGTCCAATGCATCTGAATTGGAATCGAATCGGCACCAACGCATCGCCGATATCACCCAGAAGGAGGAGACTCTTAAGGAAGCCGATGACCGTCAGCGATCAGACCGTGGTGCATTCATGTCCCAGGTACACAAGCGTGTGCAAGAGGATAGTCTTGACGAGCGGATTCGGCGTAGTCGTGGCGGCCTATCGAAAATGGATGAGGTGTAAAGCATTGGTATTCGGGAGATATGCGTGTACTTTTTATGTCGTGGAATCATTGCAGAGCCTTGTGTGAAGCTTAGGGCTACTCATGAATGACTCTATTTGTTTTCTTTTTTTTATGTATATCTTAGCGGTGATATCCAAATTCAAAAATTAGCAATCCTAGCACGCTGGAGGTTCCAAGGTTATCCTTGCATTTTACATCCATTGAATCAAGTATCAAAATCAATTACATATGTAGTAAGTAACGGTTCGCACTCCCTATGTATGCTTATCAGAGTGGCAGGCATGACATGAAGCGTACATATCTACAATTACAACCTAGTTCCAGCGTACACAAATCAAACCCCTCAGAGGCCCAACTAAAGCAAAAGCAATTCACCCGTGGCCGCACCACCGGCGAACTGCGGCTGATACACCTGCTGCGAGTTCTGAGTAACGACGTATTGAGACTGGGCGCCCCCACCACCTACATCACCGTCGTCACGGCCTCCTAGATTCATAGAAGCCATTTGTTGAGAACCGATATTGCTGAAGTAGGAGTCTGCCGCGCTAATAGCAGCGGAATTGGGGCTGAGACCACCCGGAACGACATTTCCACTAATAGGGAATGTAGGAGGGGGAGGAGCATTTATAGGGCTGATGGGATTGCCCGTTGTAATGATTGTGGCGAGACCACTGTTGCTCGTTGAGGCGGGGGCGAGGTTAGCGGTCGGAGGATTGTATTCGAGCATGCTGGCTGTGCCATCTTCGACGCGGGGCCGTTGGAGGGCTGGGCTGGGCTGCAGGCGACGGGGACGGGCGGCGCGGAAGACTTGGTGAATGGGCTTGAGGTAGACCGTGGCTAGGGTTCCGACGTTCAGACAGAGTTCTTCCAGGGTGCGCGAGTCAAGCTTCTCGCTCTCGGCGGTGATGGGTGGTTTTTGGCCCATGACTACTTGCTTGGCGGTTGCTGGGTCGGTGGACAGGAGTCGCCAGTACATGTAGCCGCGGTCTCGAAGGTCCGGGTCATCGGTCTCCTCCGTGCACCACTTTAGAACTTGGGGAACGAGCTCTTGGCCCTTGGTTGGCCGTTGGATGAAGAGCTTCACTGTGGCCGTGAGCAGAGCCAGCTGCACTTCGACCGTTTCATCGTGGAAAGTAGCAAGGTAGTCCTGGAGAAGACCGTCGGAGTTTTCAATTCGATCGGCATATTGGCCAATAATCCAGATGACGGCTGCCTTGGCCTCGGGTTCGTCCAGGTCATCGATGTTGCTAATGACGTGGCCAATGATACCCTCATATTGATTTGGGTACTTCCGGAAGATGTTGCGAATCACAACGGTGGCTTCTTGGACAATGTATGGGATCTTGGCGTCAACCAGTTCCAGTAGTGTGTCAATACATTGCCGAGCAGCAGACTCAATCTTGATTGCAAGCTTTCCAATAGCACGGACTGCCTTACGCACGAAGTGAACATCAATTTCGGTAGCATATCTGGGGGTTCATTAGTACAGATGATAAAACAGAACCACAGAAAGCGTGACTTACTCTCGGAGTTCCGCCAAAACAACGGAAATGTTATCTTTTGTCGTCAACATGAACATCAACTCCAGCTTGGTCACTTTGACGTAAATCGGGTCGTTATAGTTGCAGAAGAAAACGCGAATATCATTGCGGAGGACTTCTGGCCTCTTTTGAAGAATGAGAATGGCATTGCGCAGGGCCAGATATTGAACCTCCGGAGGCTTAGCGAGGAGAGTCACAAGAGGCGGTGACATTTTCTTGCTTAATGAGGTGATGTGCTTTTCATCGGAGATATAGTTCATTAGGTAAAGAAGAACTCGGCAGGATGTTAAAACGACTGCGGAGTTAGAATGAGATAGCCGTGGAGCAACTCGCTCTGCCAGCAGGAGTGCCTCGGCGGTGTCCTGGGGCACATAGGACATCAATGCTTCAAGAATGTAGGTTTGACCCCATCTATAGACAACTGTCAGCGTGCGTATGGAAATTGGGAGAAAGAATGCAAGTCATACTCGGAGCAGTCCGCCAGAATCGAGACCAACTTTGAAGCACTGGTGTAGTCGATGGTCAGAGAGATCGATTCACTGCGACCCCAGATATCCACCAATGAAGCCAACACACTGGAGACAACAGTTGGGTTCTCATCCTTGAGCATGCGATTCAAGCGATCAATCAAATCCGAGTTCTCGACCATTTTCTTGTCATGCTCGTACAGCTTGGCGACGCAGAAAGCAGCTGTCTTGCGCACATATGGATCGTTATCTTGCATGAGGCGCTTGAGGGGTTGGAATGTCGCTTCGACGAATTCGCGCACATGGATATATGAAATGGTTCGTAGGGCAAGCGCTCGCACGAGAGGGTTATTGTCACCCATGTCCTATGAATCTGATCAGCCACCTTTCGCGATCCGTTTATTAACCTGTCAAGTCATACATCAACTAAAGTGGGCAGCGCCTTCAACGCGGCGTCTGGTTTCATCCTTGAATAGTTCACCAAGAATAAAAAACACCTGGAGCAGTTCAGCATAGAGCCTCCAAGTGAGTCATTCAATTCCAACATACATCTTCTTGATCTCCAAACTCGGTAGGTTCATGCACTCAATAACGTCGGGGAACAGCGCGACCATGTCGTTATTGCTCATAGTCATATTGGCGACGATCTTCTTGAGGGCAATCTTTTTGGCGGAATAGTTCTTGTCCTTCTTGCCGCCGCTTTGAAGCTCAGTTCGTAGCTCGGCGACCTTGCCCTGTGCAGTGCGCGAAAAGCGTGAGCCATATCCTGCAGGATAGGGTGCAAACCCAATAAACATGGGGGGCTCGCGTGTTGGGGAGTATCAGGGTAGAAAGGCAGGTAGCAGAGGCCAAGGAGCGTAATCCGCAAGGGTCATCGCCTTTTAAGGCGCAAGGTGTGTGTATGTATGGTGTGCGGGGAAGAGGGGGAGGGGAAAGTCACTTTTGGACTTTTGGGTGTATGATCAGACGACAAGACATGGTACGTACCCTAGCAAATAGTTTCGCATCTCCCCCAGAACTCATGGCTGCGGTGTGTGGACGAATCGCAGGGGATTTTGTGGCGGTTCCTCCTTTGTAGGTTTGGTTCTAGCGGCCGTCCAATCAATCACATGCGGGTTAATTTGATGATGATCGAGAATCTGATAAGGTCAAATATGGAAGATAGAGAGTAGTTCGGGTATCGATCTAGGGCGAATCTGGGAGGAATATGGCGAGATGATGGTGTAGTTGGTAGGCGTAGGCTACGAGCGTCGAGGAAAGGGCGCGGCTTTCTTAGTGCGCCACGATGGGTTCAGGGGATTCGGAGACACCGGAATTCATGAATTGAGCATGACCAAGTATAAAAAAATCCAGACAAAAGACAGCTACAAATTGGCAGGATTGAAGTTTGGAGGGGGAAGGTGATACGTTCAGGAGAGAAAGGAGAATCTGGAATTCAAGGCGGAGTGGAGTGGGAGCTGCGGAGGGAACCCTTCGTACCCGCCATCCTTTCAAGTTCCCACCTTCGACCTCCACCACATCCATCTGCGACACCCATCACAGCACACATTGCACTTCACATCATGTCGTCGCCTCTTCCTCCTCCACCCCCGCCCCAATGGGTGGTTGCCTTGAACTCCCCTATGCCACGTCCTACCAAGGCTGCCAGCAGTATCCCGGATCCACCAGGCTTCTCCAGCTCTCGGGCAGGGAAACAGGTGAGAGCCCCCCAAAACCGGACCCCGACCTCCATAAGCGCCTATCACGTAAGGTTCTAATAAATTAGCAGCAGAAGCAGCAGCAGAAGCAGCCGACCGACAAGAAACCCGAAGAAACCGACGCCCTCAAGCTTAAGAAGGCATGGGAGATCGCCATCGCCCCATCCAAGCAGATCCCCATGAACGCGATCATGATGTATATGTCCGGAAACAGCCTTCAGATTTTCAGTATCATGATGGTTTTCATGTTATTCAAGGGTCCTATCCAGGGTTTATTCAACACCAATGTCATGTTTGCCAAGTTCGAGACCCCAACAACTCGTGGACGCCTGTTCGGAGTGAAAGCCGTTTATATTCTTGTCCAGCTGGGCTTACTGGCCTTGGGAATTTGGAAAGTCAATGCTATGGGACTGCTACCGTATGTTTTTAATGTGGGACTTTATACTACGGTTGATGCTGATAATCTTTTAGGACAACGAGATCGGATTGGCTTGCATGGGAATCGGAGCGGCAACCTTTGGAGCAGGCTCATTTTGCTTTTAGGTGATACTCGCATTATTATAGAGCGCTTGCAGGATATGGAAAATGGGCATCAGATGTTTGATTTCATTACTATCCAGGCCCTCAATCTGTGTGTAAATATTGGATTCACAACTTCAAAGGGGTATTGATGTGATTTCATGCAAATGATTCAATCGTAGCAGCGTGGAAATCGTGTGGTAATATTATAAACGGGGGTTGGAGCTGCGCCGACGCTCAGCCGATCTTGACGCTCTGCGGAGATGTCTCATGCGGCGGATCGTCCAGCTTCTTAGATTCTTCTCTCAGGCGACGCTCCTCTCGCCATTGCGGCCCCTTCCAAATTACGATCAGAAGTAAAGGCGACGTACATAGCATCACAAGGGCAACAAAGGTGAAGCACCAACCGCGACCCATGGCTGACAACATGAGATCCACAACGGCCGTGGCACCAGCTCCAAGTAGGCACCGGACAAAGTTGTTAGCTGCCGTTGCTTTGGCAGCCTGTGTCGGATACAGATCTACCAAGAGTGTGCTAACGGTATTGAAGGATCCCGTTAAAGAAAGTCCCATGACAAATAGAATGGTAGTAGGTGCAGCGAGGTGGACACCATAGTTTAAGCACCATCCAAAGGCCACGATGCTCAGGCTTCCAATGGTCAAGAGAGGAAACGCAATCTGAAGGCGTGCGCTTTCGATTGGAAAATGTCGCAGGTCTACAGAGCGGTTCTTGACCAGTGGGAAGTTCAGCTGCTTTGCCAGCCGGCGATAATTGAAGTCCAGGAATTTGCCATTTAGGACGGATGCGATGGTGGCCCCGAGACCAAAGGGGATGTAGCACAGGCCAATCTGCAGATCATCCAGCCCGTACAATTGACTGTAGATCGAGGGGATAGTGGCACTGACATCGTAGAACCCTGCAAACAGGATCGCATTGCATAATAGAATGATGCTGGTGTCTTTTTGGAACACGATGCTGAGCGTGTTGAAGGGGTTTGGGAAGCTCAGTTTCTGCTTTTTCGAACTCGCTGGTGACTGGATTCCTTCTTCCCTCGCCTTGCGGGACTTGAGGTAGCTAATCAGGGACATATTCCATTTCTGCGGCGGCAGAGAGCCATCGCCGACGACGCCACGAGCGGTTTCGGGAAAGAAGATCAGAAATGGGACCAGAAAGGCTCCTGCAAAAATGGTGAGGAACCAGAAAATCGCTCTCCATCCGAGATACTGCGCCAGTAGACCTCCGATGACGGGGCCAACTGAAGGACCTAATAGTGAACCTGCTGCAACGAAACCCATATAGGAGCCTCGCTCAGCCACGGTAGCAACATCGGAGACAACACCGGAGGATAGAGCGATAGTGGTGCTACTCCCTGCACTCTGGAGACACCGCAGGACGAAAAGTGCAGCATAGTTATTTTGTAAAGCCAATCCAATGTTGGCGGCAATGTAAAGCGTGAAGCATAACATGTAAGCTGGTCGTCTGCCGGCCTTATCGGCAAAGTCTCCGATAAACATCGGCGATAGACCTTGAAAAATCTGAGGGCATATTAGCTTCGTCGCCGAGAGGATGGAAGTTGTCTTTTTCTTTTTCTTTTTTTTTCAGTGAGAACAAACCATATAACTTGTCAAGGTGAGGTTGATCAGTGAATTAGACACATGAAGATCCTGCGCAAGAGTATTCAACGCTGGGAAATAGATTTGTGAAGAAACTGGGGAGAAAAACCCGGCCCAAGAGGCTATAAACACGATAAAACGTCTCTGGTTAGGTGTAAAGACAGAGTAGTCGACATTTCCAACCTGGATATTCTGGCTTTCGTCTCTCGCATGGTCTTGGGTATTTTCCAAATCGACCGAGGTAGATCTCTCCATGTCTGAGAGACGTTAAGAGGAAGCAGCTCAGCAAGGTTGTTGACTGCCAGTGTATACTAGAAAGCAAGTTGACACAAGAACGGATTGCTATTTAGATTAGCCTGGAATGACTAACCAGTAGGAAAACAATACACCAAGGGTTTTACGCCAAATGCTTTTCACTGATAACCTTGGAATCACATCACTTGTAACATTTCTGGACTAATTGTGGAGCTTCAAGTGCCGAGTAGCCGAAATCTTTGAAAGAGCGCTTATCACAGCTTAACTCCGGACCCTTTCTCCGTTCCTGACTACATAGTAGTATATAGTACTAGTGTGTACCTACTAGGTATTCAATTTTCCCCTCAATTCCCATCGATGTGCATTTAAATTACATAGACCCTCAAATCAATTTTATACAATCATTGCCGAGCCTTGACAGCCTCTCGGCATGCCTGCAAAAATATTTGACAAAACTTCCACACTTCTGAATATGTATTGTATAATGGCGCAGGTGCCACCCGAACCACGTCAGGCTTTCTCTCATCGATAACCACCCCGTTTTCTTCCAAATATTGGAGAACATGATCCAGAAGCCCGGGCTGAAGCCGCAAGCTGAGCTGAGCACCTCTTTCGGCTGGGTTTGAAGGTGTAATAAGCGTGAAAGGCTTGTCTTCGGGCGGGCAATCGAGAGGATACTTGACTAGCAAATGTTCAAGATACCCCGTAAGGTTCAACGATTTTTGTCGAATTTCCTTCATCGTTGCCCGGTTGAATATCTCCAGAGATGCAATTACGGCATTGATATCCAGCACGGAGGGATTCGAAAGTTGAAAGCCCGCGGCACCAGGCTGTGGAAGGAATTCTTGATGTTCGTCAGCATTTTTTTCATCTCTCATGTTACACACCCTTTACTTGGCACCTTGGAAGCATGAACATACTGTTCACCATTTTGAAGCGTGTCTTGCTATCGTGGCCCCACCAGCCTGAAAACCGGGGACGGAAGGACTCCTCGCCATCCTGCTGAGACTCATCCACGTCGCCATGTCGTTGGTGAACAAAAAGCCCCGCCATTCCGCCGGGTCCACTGTTGATGTACTTGTAGGTGCACCAAGCTGCAAAATCCACATTCCAGTCATGCAAGTGGAGATCCACATTTCCAGCTGCATGGGCACAATCCCACCCGATTAAGATGCCCTTTGAGTGAGCATGTTCTGTGATGCGTTTGATATCAAAGTATTGACCAGTGTAAAATTGGACTGCAGAAAGCATGACCAGTGCCGTATTGGAAGCATTGTCATCGATTACCTGGAGAATATGCTCTGTTGTTAATATGGGGTGATCAAGGTCCTTGGGTTCAATCAAGACCATCGCTTCCTTGGGATCTAAGTTGTGGTGCCGTATTTGCGACTCGACTGCGTACTGTTATTTGAATTAGAATTTATGGCAATCACAATGAACCATTGAGATTCGTGGTAGATATAGCCAACATACATGATCACTGGGAAATGCTTTGCCCTCTAAAATGACTTTATACTTTTCCTGAGTAGGACGGTAGAAGCTGGCCATGAGAAGGTGAAGATTGGCAGTTAAGGTACCCATGACCGCCACCTCACTCTGCAAAGCTCCCACTACTGGGGCCATCATTTTTGAACCCGCGGTATCGACATCGACAAATGGAGGCACTAGTTCGTCCTCGTGCGGGACAAAATGTCCGGTTACGCCCTTTGTGGCCCAGGTGCGCAGATACTGTTCAATGTATTTCCGGGTGCTGCGAGGTTGAACACCAAGGGAGTTACCACAGAAATAGATAGATCTGGGGTCTGCAGCTTCATCGACGTCTATATTGCCTTGTCAATATAAAACCCATTATAGATACCAACATGTTGGTTTATTGCCGCGGATCTCAATGCATACCTCCATCAACAGCTAATGTAGTTCGCTTCAGGTCCTTCTTTGATGGAATGATAAATTCATCCCGGAATTTGCGGAGAGGATCTCGAGCATCAAGAGCCTCGGCATATTCTTTGTTGTTGGCTCTGATATCATCTTGATACGGAAGAGGAGGACCCGATTTCATTTCACGAAGGTGTTGCCGCGAGCCCATGTTCAGGGATATGATGGTAGGGGCGCAGTGGCAGTCCTACTTGGTTTCAATTTCGGGGTTTCGGATCGATAAGAGAAACACCGAATCGCAAGCAAGAATGCAAGAAAGACGCCGAAAGAGCGCCACCCCGCGATTAATATTCTGCCAGCAACTCCCGCTCTCCCGCCACCTTCCCGATGCGGAAGGCTCATAGAAATGCCAAAGGGAAGAGACTCAGAAAGAATATCCAAATAATGAGAGAAAGAACCTTGAAATAAGCTCGAAAGCTTTCAAGGAGACTAGACTGCGATGATGTACTGACATGATGACATCCCCCCGTTACTGCCTACTAGCCTCGGCCCTCAAGTGCTCTAATAGCCTCTAAGTACTGGGGCTGCGCGCAAAATTTTATCACATGAGTCCCCCCAGTTGGTACATATTACTAGGTTGAAAAATAAGATGAAAGTGCCTACTAGTACATGTGTCTCAAGCAATCAATGGGGGACCCGTATTAAGTACTCATCCCGAGTACTGAGTATGTAGTCAACATATACATAGTACCCATTGCAACCTTGGAAGAGATTCAGCACCTGAGTCATTCAAATGCAACATTATAGACCAGTTGACATCTTAATAACACTTCAATCTTGCTCTCAAACCTAGGTCTAATCTAATTCAGTATTGAAGATCGAATCTGTCTTTTTACGGAGAGCTTCTACACATGCATATCAATATAATCAGAAGATTTGATGGACAATTGTAATTCAATGTTTGTATTTACTAGTATCTGCAGTATAGAAGTCCGAGAAGAGCCTCTGTATTCACAAAGGGGTTCGGGGAAAATCAGACGAGGTCCGTAAAAACCTGAACCGAGGCTACATATGTCATAACTCGATCAATGCCATCTTGAATGACCGGCTTTCCAGGACCCAGTGAGCCACTCCATACAAAGGGGAAATTCTGCTCTCATAATTGGATCCCTGATTCAACGGCATAGAGACACAAAGTAAGCCTCTCAAAAGAAGTTCTAACTATTATCAGCGGTATTCATTGCAAGTCACAAGCACCGGAGAAAATCTTACAGGGATGAGACCTGAACCTTTGCAGACCAGGTTAACAGCGCTGCCGACAGAAGCCAGAGCACCGCCACGGTTGTACTTTCCGGCGTTGTTTTCCAGGCAGGTCCAGAGCGAGCAGGCCACATTTGTGCCGGTGTGACCATTGTTGAATTGGTCGAGCAGGCCGTCAATACACCCGTGCCAGGCGGCGGCCTCAGCAGGAGAGTACTTATTTTGCTGAGCAGAAGGCTGGTACTGAGGGGGTTGCTGGTATTGCCCGTACTGAGGCTGCTGCCCGTACTGGGGCTGCTGTCCGTACTGAGGCTGCTGGTTTTGAGGCTGCTGGTACTGAGAGTCTTGCTGGGGCGCCCATTGGGCAGAGACAGCGGTGGCTAGAGCAGCAATGGCGACGATGGAGAACTTCATTTTGATGAATCTAAACTCAGTGTGAGTGCTTGGATCTGCCAAAGAGATTGACTGTCTGATATTCCTGACATACGGATAGCTTGGTTTGAAAGAGCTTTGGAAGTTGAGAAGATTGAATGAGGATTGTTTTTGTTGGAAGTGTTGATGTTGGAGTGAGAATCCTAGCCTGGGAATCATCGAGCTACTTATAGCTTTTCTGACTGCTTTTCGTACTGGTTTTTTTTTTTTTTCAAAATCAGAGTAAACGTCATAGAGAGAGAAAGAGAGATCAAAAAAAAAAGCCAGATGAGGCATTTACTGTCGATCGTCAATATTTCTGTAATCCTGCATAATTCAAGTTACCCAGAGTCCAATGACCCTTGCCTTTGAGAAGAAGACAGGCTACACTTCGTACAGAATTCAAGAAGATCACATACTAGCTGTATGCAGAGTGCAGAACAGCTGAGCTTCTGAAGTACCACCTGCGTCAAAGCCAGGGTTACTGTGCCTGCAGACTATTCAATGATGTGTCTTAACATGTGTCTTGGCCATCAATAGGAGACTAAAATACCTCAATCTTCACGAAGTGCTTGGCCTATTTGCCACTTGTTTCAACAAGGACTTTACAGGACGGCCCACATTTTGACATTTTGCATAAGCACATACTTGGTGTGATCTCCAAGGATCCAAGATGATTCAGGATCGTATCTTCAGGGAGTTGTCAGCGGTCAAGAGAATCCGGAAGGTTTACTACCCTTCGGGGCTACTAGGTAGCAGGTAAGGATCACAAGTCAATGACTGTATTTCCAGAGATTGATGGAGACTGGTTTTCTTCTTTCGTGCAGTCAATATTTCCAAGGTTTGCGGTCGGATGATTCGATGATTCGGAGGATCTACAATGTTTGTTTACAGTGCTCGACAAATGAAGATTCGGTGAGATCGAAGCTATCTGATTTGCCATTGACGTTGCATTGGACGAGGTGGAAAATGCACAGCCTTAAAGCTCATCACGCATACTGACAATAATACTGGCTTAGATCAATCTTTCTAATTTGTAGACTTTATTGAATCTTTTGCATAAATAAAGGCACATTTCACCAGATAGTAAAGGTACATGGCTCTCTATTTAATAATTGCCAACGGTTTCATATTAAAAAGTCATGAAGATGTGAAGCTCAGAAAAAATTCCTGGTAATGATAAACAAATCCGAAAACTCAAGGCGAAAGAAAAGTTAAGCTTTGTTTTTCTAAGGTTACGCGCCGGCCCGTCATCCTGGGGTGAGTTTAACCCCTTGCCTGATACGATTCCACTTTACGGCATCGAGTTTACATGATCTACAGTGCTACACTGGAAAACGTGACAGGAGTTGAGGAGAACACTGGATAGTACGTACAAAGAGGTGGGGAGTTTAAGGCAAGGGGAAGAAAATTTTAATAATGCAGTGGCAGTTCTGGATCACCTTATCCCCAAGTGGACGTTACACAAGCTAGGGAATGCATATGTACCTACTAATAATAAGTACCATTTTAGGATCCCCAGCTTGTGGATATTCAACTACCGAGACTGGCCGAGATTCTGCAGTATGCAGGGTGCTCATATGGACATCTGGAACAGTTTCAGCTCCACATACCAGGCAACAGTACCTAAATTTATGCCGCTCTTTTCTTTTGTTTTCTCTTTCTCTTTCTTTTTATTTTTCTTTTCATTTTCATTTTTTCTCTTTTCTTCTTCTGGGCGGAATAGTGGACCTTGATGTCATTCGTCAATATGAGCACACTCCGAAGAATTTACATCCTTGACGAAAGAAAATCGCCTTAAAATCTGTTGGGCTCACATGCAAGGCTTTCTGAGATTTACATCGAAAGATCCAATGGCATTGGTCCAAGAAAAGCTATTGATTTTGGTTCCACAGCCTTGGGACTGGACATGCGTCCAAATCCATCGTTTTGGAAGTTCTCCATTTGGTTGGATATGATGTCAAGCCTTTGTAGACACTGGTCCGTGTTCGGATTCTCAAGTTCCAACTTGGAATTTACACACCTACCTTTTAGGTAGTACCCAGGTGCCAACTAGATAGGTACATATATGAATATCTTTAACTCCCACGTCTAGGCTTTTCTTTCTCAAACCTGACTACCTATACTCCAAGTAGCTCATTCCCTTTATTGAATAACAACTTCATCGGTCCTGGAGACTCCCCCAGGTCGCTAGCATGCCAAAGCTTCATACGGCCTTGGCCTTCTTACCTTTGTTTTCATTCTCTCTGGCCCAGCAGAATGTCTTTGGTCAACCTTCTCACCGGCAATATACGCTTAACGACATAGTGCCCACTACCGATCAGTCCTCCGGAAACGTCAAGTGCTGTCCAACGGGCACAGAGTTTGATGGTCAAGCCTGCGTTTTGGGCGTTCCAATCTGCCCTTCTGGCAGTACCCGTGATGGCGAAAAGTGTGTCTTTCACACAAAACCTCTCTGTGATAAGGGCTATGTGTTCAAGGACGGCCTATGCGTCACCGACAAGATTCCTGTATGCAACATTGGTACCATTTTGAAAGGCAATAACTGCGTTCTTGAGCATGGCGCTTCGTGTGGAGATGGGTACAATCTGGAAGGCAATGTTTGCATTTCACAAAAGCCTCCTGCCTGTCAAGCCGGAGAGCAATTCGTTGGTGGATCTTGTGCTTCTCTGGTAGGACCTAAGTGCAAAGATGGCTCAAACATTGAGGGTGGCAATTGCATCGATGAGAAGCCACCTGGTTGTCCTAAGAGTGCCCGGTATGACGCAACAAGCTTCCGCTGTGTCTCCGAGTTTGAACCCGGTTGCTTAGAGAACACTGTCCTTCAAGACAAGCAGTGTGTTTCAAAAACCCCACCAGCCTGCCCAGACGGAAGCTCCTTCAATCTCAAATCCCATTCATGTATCTTGCCAGCGAAGCCCCAATGTCCCTCAGGTACAGAATTGGATGGGACCCTGTGCATTCTTTTCGGTGGTCTACTTTGTGAAGCTGGGACAGTCATATCCATTGACAAGGCACATGGGTCTGCTCGTTGCTGCCCAGCGTCAATGAGCTGGGATGGACAGGTTTGCTTCACAAAGCCCAACAACGGCAAGTGCCCTGATGGCAAGCCTCCAACCAATGATCGCTGCGAGAAGCACTCCAACCCCCAGCCGACATGTCCATCTGGTACCAAGATCGACAAAGCTCGCTGTGTCTTACAGGAGCCACCTAAGTGTGCCCAAGGTGCCTACCTTGAGAATGGCGATTGCGTCCTCGTCCGCAAGGCTGAATGTGCCAAGCCTCTAGTCATGGTGGGCAAGGACTGCATCCACAAAGAGCCCCCTGTTTGTCCATCAAACACAAAACTTGTGGGCAACAAGTGTGTCAGCTATATCCAGCCATCTTGTGAAGAGCCTGCAGCGTGGGATGGCAAGCGTTGTGTCGTCAGCAGCCATGGATACTGTGAGACGGGCGTTCAGCATGGTGATGATTGTGTTACTGGCAGTCAGCCAGGATGCACAGACGATGCCTTGTTCTCTGGCGACAAGTGTATCGCCAAGATCAAGCCAAAATGCCCCGACGGGTCTTTCCTCAATGGAAAAGGAGATTGTCTTGCCGGCACCCCTCCTCAGTGTCCTGCCAATACCAGGCTTCAAGATGGCAACTGCGTCTATAGTCTTCCTACCTGTGCCCCCGGACAGCTTTTTGTCAATAAACGCTGTGAAAGCGCTAGCCCGCCTTCTTGTCCTGAAAACTTTATCTACAAGGAAGGAAAATGTACCCGACTTTCGGAAGGACATTGTGAAGATGGCTACGTACTAAAGGACGGTCAGTGCATTTCTAGCGCGAGGCCTGACTGTGGAAAACTTTCATTTAACGGAAAGGTTTGCGTTGGTGAGAAGCCGTTCTGTCCTCAAGGAACCTACCTTGAAGGCGATAGCTGCTTTTCGGTCAGTGAGCCTCAGTGTCAACAAGGCTTCAAGTTCGACGGTAAGAGGTGCAGTGCATTTAAGGCACCTTCTTGCCCGCCAGGTACGGTGTATGACAAGTCCAGTGAAGATTGTGTCTCTGTGATGCAACCTAAATGCCCAGGTAACCAGTCCTTTAACGGCAAGTACTGCGCTGCGATCAGTGGTGATTGCATGGATTTCCAATACTGCCCAACTGAATCTTATGGAAAGGGATGTCACCGTACGCAAACTGGAGTTTACTGTGTTGGAGAGCCAGTGTCAACTACGCCAGATCAAGGCAAAATCCAGACTAAACAGCCCGGTCCTGTAGATACCAATATCAGCTTTGGAGATACAGGCCCCCAGCCCCAGAGATCCACAGAACCCACGAAGCCTCCGATTGGATATCCCAGTCAAGGGCAGGGCAACTGGAACGAGCAACCTCAAGCTGGATACCCAAGCCAAGGTCAGGGCAACTGGAACGAGCAGCCTCAAGTTGGATACCCAAGCCAAGGTCAGGGCAACTGGAACGAGCAGCCTCAAGCTGGATACCCTAGTCAAGGCCAGGGCAACTGGAACGAGCGACCTCAAGCTGGATATCCTAGTCAAGGTCAGGGCAACTGGAATGAACAGCCAGGCTCAGACTAGAAGAATTTGATATTCAATTCTTGGTTTGATACTATGCGCTTCTATTGGTGGTTCAAATACGCCAGCCCATGCAGTGACTTGCAAGACGATCAAGCATGGCTCGGTATCTTTCAATGTTGTGATCATTTCATTCCTTTATATGCATGCGGCTTCACGCTTTTGTTGATTTTGAATTTCTTTTCTTTTCAGTCCCTCCACTGGTGTGCTCTATTCAACCCAGTCTGTCGTTAACCTGTGTTTCTTTGGTATTCTCTTTTGTCAACAGATCAGTTGATGTCAAAAAATCTATAAAAGGTAAGATCCTCAAGAAGAACTTGAGCTGTATGTAGCTTTCCAAACCCACACCATGTACCTCAAGTGAAATTGCCTAGTTAGTAGGTACGTAGCTACTAGCTAGGTAGGTATCTCAAGCCCTGGAGGGCGTCGCCTGGGCAGTGAATACACATATACCAATTTTTCGGAGGCGAGACCAGTGTTTCCAACATTAGAAGGTGCTACATTTAAGCATTCTACATAGTATGTGCATACATGCTAGACACTAGTATGGATATTTCCAATTTATGTATACATCCATTCCCGCAAGGTTCATAAGAAATTGATAGCTCCAACGACAATTTTCATTCATGGATACAGTGCGATAGCTATACGAATACATGGTTAAAGGGGTTTTTAAGAGCTGAAGATTTTTGTTTTCACCTTGAACCTTGGAAATGCTGTCCGAGTGGGACTTTCAGTGACTTTCAGTGACTATCAAATGAAGTTGTTTATGTGCACCCCGCGATTCTCTCACAATAAAACAGTTCTGCCATCTCCCCCCGCCCAGGCTGACCAATCGCGCCACCGCCGATCTGACAAACCCGAGATAATAATTAGATGGAATGATTCGATCAAATCAGAATACTGAACACCTCTTTAACACTCTAACTTGAACCCAGTTCAAACAGAATCCAAATTAAAACCCTCCAGTATGACTCGATCGCTGTGGTCAGCCACACCTGCCCGCCAGATATCTCAACAACCGTGTCGTCGATTCATTTCAACCTCTCGGCCCGCTGCACACCTCTCCGCATTCTCCGTCGGCCAAATCACTCCTTGTCGGAAAAGAGTTGTCGCCTCTGCCCCCCTAACCAGACCCTCCATCCCGCGATTCTTGATATCCTGCTCTCGTCTCCACGCACCTGTTGCCTCATTCTCATCCTCGTCCGTTCGCCCGGCCACCAAAGTCACTCACAACCCGAGGGCCGGAGAAGATGGGGAGACACTTATGATTAATATTTCGCCTCGTGCTATAGAGGTAGGTCAATAAGCACTCATTCCATTTCTCATTTCATCGGTGCTTCTGAGGGAATGGGAAGCTGCTTGGTTCCTGTTGGTCGTGAGGGTTAGGGAAATTGAAGCTCGGCTTAGTCCAGTTTGACGATCTCCCTCCTACATACGACCATAGGGTGTGGAGAACAGGGCTTCCCGTCCGCTCAGCCGTACTTAAGCCACACGCCGGTCAGTTAGTAGTATGGTGGGTGACCACATGCGAATCCTGACTGTTGTATGTTTTTGTTTTTGTTTTGTTTTTATTCTCCACATCTTGTTGCGTGCCTTCCTTTTGACAAACTAACTCTATGCTAGCGCCTTCGCGATATTACCGATCCATCAACCTCTCCGTCTGCCACGAAAGAAGAAAACCCTTACCACCATCTTCGTATCACGGTCACCAGTGGTGGCTGCCATGGCTTCCAGTACATGATGTCGCTTGAGTCAGCATCTAAGATCGATGCTGAGGAGGACACCATCTTTGAAGGAGAGGCAGAGAGCGCCACAACTGATGTTGCCGGAGAAGCCAAGGTCGTTATGGATGAACCGTCGTTGGAGCTTTTGTCCGGCAGTACAGTCGATTACACGACAGAGCTGATTGGAAGCCAATTTACGATTGTGGATAACCCGCGAGCAACTAGTAACTGTGGTTGTGGCACGAGCTTCGATGTGATGGATTGATATCATTGATGGATCAAAACACGAACATCAAAAACCTACCATCTTTGTATCACATTTACACTACTTTCATTGCTTTTGCGTGTACAGATATGGCATTTGGGTGGCCGTTAAATAGACTACTTTGCATTTTATACCCCTCTTCTCCTCTTTGACTCTCAAGCTCTGTCTTCCAGCTGTATGCTGCCTTATCTGATCATGCAAATAACCTACAAAGCGTCAAAACTATCAATGAGAGTGAACAGTAAATAAAATCATTGCATCTATGCATTTCATGAAGTTTTTTTTCTTCTACCTCACACCTGAGACTCGCCCCGGGGACAATCGCCCGGAGTATAAAAAAAAACAGAAGACCGGGGCCAATGTGAGAAATCGTACGCCCTCCCAAGCCATCGCAGAAGCCTGGCTTGATTTTGAATCCGCAGGGACTCCTTGAAATCAAAGAACCAGGGAAACACAAAAAGATCCACAAAAAGTTGAAAAGGAAAAAAAAAGTAAAAAGCGTATGGGAAGCAGGGCGATGGGGGGACAATATGGAAAATGGTGTGATAAACAAGGGGAGCGGGATAATAATATGAAAGAAAAAATCATCTCGAGTCATGTCCGTTCTTTCTTGCAAGTAAAAGTCCATTCTTCCACTTATTTTTGAGACAAGCTTGTCAATAAACCAGCATGACACATCAGGAATGGAACATGGTGTGTATGGGGGTCGGGCACTTAGTAGACTCGGGCAAGGTTGCGCAGGTACCAGTCCACCAGGCGACGACCGGTCTTGGTCTCGCTGACGTGGATCAGGTCGTCCTCAAGAGCGTAGTCGAGGTCGTTGGAGATGGCGGAGTCGCCCTCCAGCAGACTGCCCTCGATCCAGCGGATCTGGCGGCTGCGCTGCTTGTTCACCAGCAACCAGGAGCGGAGCTGCTCTGGCTGGACCTCGAGGAAGCCAGCCAGCTTCTTCAAATCCATGGTAGTGTAGAGCTTCAGGTATGAGCGGATAGTGGGGTTGAACAGAGTGTTCTTAACCTCATCCATGAAGATGGCAGCGTGGTGGTCGACGGGGTCGACGTTGTAGGCAGGGTTCTCGAAGTCAGGAGGGGTGGGGCTGATGAACTTGGGGCAGGAGGAGCGGAACAGCTCCTCGAAGACGGGCAGGGCCTCGGGGCCGCCGCGCTGCATGCGGTGGAACTGCTCACCGTACTTCTCACGGACGGCGGTGTGGATGGTGTCATCCAGACGGGTGGGGTGAAGAGCCACGCAGATGGCGATCAGGGCGAGCATCTGATCGTTCTTCTTGGCGATGGCATCGTAGTTGTTACCGCCCTTCTGGAAGTTCTTGGTCCGGGAGACGTAGACCAGGATGTGGCTGAACATGCGGATGGCGTCGGCATAACGGCGCATCATCATGTAGGAGAAACCGACGTAGTAGTACGTGGTGAAGTGGGCGGCCATAACCCGGGCGAACATAGCCTTCTTGTTCATCTCGATATCGTCGAGGGTCTTCAGGGCGAGACTGAAGTCACCGAGCAGGCAGTGCACACGCAACAGGCCAACGATGGAGAAGTAACCCAACATCTTGTAAAGAGGGCGGGAGCCGTACTCGCCAGCGAAAGCGACGGGATCCTCACCTCGCTTGATGGCGGCCAGCTGCTCGTTGATCTGAGAGCGCTGGATGAGCGAGTAGAGGACGTTAAGAACTGAGTAGCAGCCCCATGTGTTGGGGTTCTCGCGGAGCACTTGGGCCTCCTCCTCGTTGGAACCAGTGCGAGCGATCCGGTTGCGGTAGCGGCAGAACGACTCGAATTGGTAAATGAACTCGTCAATCACATCCCATGCCCAGTAGTACTATAGGATTCGGGAAATTGTTAGCTTGCTCTCCTGATTTCTCTCTCGCAATATAACTTTGCCAAGCTTTCATTTTCTTTGTTTGAAGGTCGGGTTGAAGAATCATCCAAAATACCTACCGAGGGAACCTCCAGATCGACGGGACCTTCCGAGTTCAAGATGTAGTGAAAGAGACTGCAGTAGTTATCGTAGCTAGCGAACTTGGTCTCCAGAGTGGCCTGGTATTCCAGCGGGGTAGCGGCAGCGGCCAGCTGTGCCTGAATGTCCTGGGTTTGTGAACCACCAAGGGAAGTCGTCCGGTCCAACTCGCTCATGCTGTCATCAAAGTTGACCTGCTCACGGTAGTCGTTGGCCATAGTCTCCTCCTCGACATCAGACTCATCGTTCAGGTTGGGGCGCGCATTGGCGCGGTCTTCGTACGACATTGTGGGAGTGGTAGGAGGCAATGTATTGCGATATGTAGGAGGGCAGAAGAGAAGCAAGAGCGATTTATCTGTTCGAATTGCCGAGATGACGGCAAAGGGCGGAAGGAAGGGTTGAGTGGTGGGGGGTGCACGTCCGTCGTCGGCGTGTGGGATTTACCGCTAGAAGTTGAATTTTGAGGGTTTTCGCTTCGGTGTTTGTGCTTATCTTATCTGCACATAAAAATGGTTGCTGACTCAGCTTTATGTGCCTGTGCATTGATGTAGCCATGACCACATTTGGGATGTACTACGACCTGGCCATAGCCCTATGTCTTTTAAATAAATACAGTGAAATTTGTAGAGAATCTAAGGTACTAACAGTCTGAGTGGTCTGTTTTTCCAATGCTGACTATCCGTGTATCCATGTATTCTTGAAACTACTATACTCCCGTCCGCAGTTGCCAGTTAGCTAGTGCTTGAAGAGCTATAGAAGCCATACTAATTTTATCAGTGACATCAATAGTGCTTGGAAGCATTGTGTCATTATTACCAGGACCTAGTATTTAGATGGCAATATGTGAGTCTTGCAAATTTATCGTGAATCTGATATAGAACTTCCAAGGATGATTGATCAAATTACTTCTGTCGAGGCATTAAACATTGAATGGTCCTCCTTAGATACTAGTTAGGATGGCCTCTAGCGGTATTGATTAAAACCATCTAGATGGAACTACTGTATAGCAAAATCACATAAATCAAATAGCTCCCGCGACTTTGGAACACTCCCCGTGGCGAAATTGCGAGTTGCCAAAGGAGTTGACTGCTTAGCAGCCCTAGCTCAGGTTCCGGTATAGAAGGTTGCCCAAGGGGATAGTAATACAATAACACCCGCAACCAAGGCCAACCAAGCATGCTTGTTCCAGGGGAAGTTGAGATTGGTGTCGGTGTTACATCAAACTCGGTGTTGTGTTCCCAATGGTACCTTGTTGCACCGGAAAAGTCTTCCGGGTGTGGGGGTGCGACGAGGTTCATTATTTTTTTCTTTTCAAAGGGCGCCTGCCTCACAGATCACTCTTCCTCCCCCCGAACTTCCCTCCCTTCCCCCTTGCCTTTCGGCGGTTTGGGATGAAAGGATAGTGACAAGGAGTTTCTTGTATGAGGGCATATATTTGAACACACTCTACCCAGATCTCTCATCCGGAATAAAATAACGCGTCGATGCCCCCGAGACACAATGACCGATGAGCCCTCCAAATTCTATTGAAACTCCCGCATTAATGGCTGACTGGGGGTTGATCCATCTTCTCTCAAGTCGAGGGCCTCCAAGGCTCGGGGTTGATGCCTCGCTTTGCCATTGCTATGGGAGTGTGCACCAACACCACAAATACCACGAGCTGGGTTACCAATTTCACTCGACCTGACTCCCCCAGACACGAAGGACACGCTATCTCCTTGATTTACATGATTTGTTTGGTTTGCAGTCGCCTTGCCTCAAGCTTCGGAACCATCGAGGACCGCGATGGCCTCAGGGGGAAGGCTCGCAGTTCCGCGTTGAGACAGTGAAATAATTGTGTTTATGGACTCGGCGATTGGTTTAAACCGCTGGCTCAGGCAAACTCCGAAACGAGAAAGCTCAACGAACGCATCCTTCGCTTCAAAGGCATCTTCTAACTGATAAAGAAGGGCATGAAGGCCTGATTGAACCACAGTGACCAACTGGCTGGGGATATACCGGAGCCCATAGGAAGTGCGGTAGAGGCGAAGACAACAACTTATCTCCTTCATATAATCGCACCACTGTTTCCGCAATTGAGAGGTTACGGATCCCTGCGAATCACATTCAATCAGCACTTCAAGTAGGTTCGTGACTGCTTGAAGACATTGGAGCCTGCAAAGACGTCAGTACGAGAGATTGGCCATGTTAGTATGATTTAAGGGTCACCCACCGGAGAATGAGGAGTTGTGGGATCGGCTCTTTTTCAATCTCTGAGGCATCGGGCCAGGTTGCCAACCATTGCTGTAAACGATTATACGGGTCCTCTGCTCTGCCCAGGAGAGTAGAGAACTCTTCACGCAGGCCCTCGTCGTCCAAAATGCGATGGATATGAGCTAGAATCTCTGTTAATTTGCAGAGCCCCCTCCGGATTTGAGGAAGACGTGCTGGTTGGGTCGCAAAAGTTATTTGGTTTGACCGCGGATAGGGCGTCCAGTCACAGTCATTATCCCCTCCGACTTCAAGGTCATATAAAGGCTGTGCCATATTTTCCCTTTGGAGCTTGGTCGATATTTGCCTGAACACTTTGTTAGTGGGAGGGGTTCATCTTTCGACCACTATGGAAATCACAAACAAGCTCAAGCTGAATATACTCCATGTGGTGATGGTGCGAACTTCTTCCATTTCCTGTGACTGGACTCTTGCACGCTGCTTGGAATTTCGATGCCCAAACAGGCCTAAATCCCGTGCCATCTGATTCGCCAATCCCAACATCTGCCAGCTCAAATTGGCCTTACCATGACATGACAACCTGTTGAAACCTCTCAGCCCCTATTTTACGATATACGGCCAAATTGAAAAAGCTCCAGTGGATCACATACACATAACACATCAAGAGAAGAGCCTGGACAGTTGCCAAACGCGGTGCTCCTTCTTCGGCTCGGAGCGCCCTCTCAGCCTCCGAGAGAAAATTCTGACCTCGGGAGAACGTATCCTCGGGATCAGAGAACACCTTGGCACGATCGGAATAGGTCTGTCGAGTCAGATATACAGAAAATTAATGTTTAAAACACCAAACGCAAGGAAAAGGGGGCGTCATACACTGGCCATGGATAAAATGCTATTGACTAGCACGGGAGAGCAAAATTCGGAGTCGAGGGTTCCGCGCCTCATATGTTCAAGAAAGATTTTTTGGTCCAAAAACTGGACACACGGATGATCCCAGGTGAAGTATAGCGACACAAGATGTGAAACAAGATCATTGTCATCAGTGACCTCTGTCCATGGCTTGGCGGGGACTTCTAGCAAGGGGACATCACAGAGGTTTTCCAAGGTTACGCGTGCATACGGATCAAATGCAGCCTGTGGTGAGACCTTCTGCTTGTCTTGCTCTGAGCAACCCGGTAGTGAATCGGAGTCCGAGCCCCTCCTTAGCTGGAGCTGTGCTATGAGTGCCGCATCCAACTCTTGATCCATATCTTCTGATATTGATAAACTCGCAGCTGATAACGCTTTCGAATCTGCGAATCGTGCGATGGGGATTTCGACAGCACGAGCGATGTCAGTCAAAGATCCGCCTCTCCTTATTAGATCCACCAGATTTTGAGCCTTGTCCAAATCTGTCGATCGCAGTGCCTTCAACACTCCTTCCAGTAAAGTCTTGTGATCTGTCAACTCCTGGATCGTTCGTTTGACGGCGACTCTGCGTCTGAGGTCTTTGGTTGGGTCGAAATGGCAATCGGACTCGCTACTGGCGCCGAGACAAGCTTTGCATGGGGCAGGAGGTCCAGAGCACTAAATGCGGAAGGAGATGCTTGTTAGCTAAAGCCTTGCTGGGCAATTCACTTTCTGCTTCTTAGTGCCTTTGGAGTTTGGTAACTTACTTTCCTCTTTGCTGACTTGCATGGTAGGCACGCGGTGGAATTCTTTTTTGGCCTACTTACAGCCATCGATGATTGTGGTGTGACCATGCGTGGCGGCCCTGGTGCCAGCGGAGCGAAAGGCTTCGGAGCGTTGTGGTGGCTCATTTTCTGTGCTAGAAAATGACCCAATTTTTGTGCCATTTGGTTCTGACGAGCTGACTGGGAATCTACTGCCATTCAGTCTGCCTCAGCGGTACAATCTATAACCGAGGGGTTAGCTGCTCACCTCACCTCATCCAGCGTGGGAGGTCGGGTAGGTATATAGCACTGACCTGTTATGGCCTCATTACATCACTAGGTTGTCGGTATATGGCGCAACATGGATTTGAAAGAGTTCGCAGGACCATTTATATGCTGTCAAGATCCAAGCGAACACGTCTGTCTGCTAGGGTGTCGGGATTTGTTTGCCTCGTTAAGTCCCAAAGAAAAAGAACATTGGAGAGCAGTGGTGTCCTCGGAGATGATAGAACCAACGTCCAGATGACAAAGCACGAATCAAACTGAGGGGGAGAACATCAATGGGGCAAACATGCCGGGTCGGCGGCTGTCACACAAGCAGGTGGCCGGTGGCTCAAGTGGCCCGAGATTGAACAGAGAACAGTGATTGGCGAGAAGTCCCCAGCAGCCGTCAACAATTGCGTCGACATGCTCCCAGACAAGGGGGTTGCAAGGATCTCCATAAAATGAAGCTTAGACCGGAATCTTGTTCACCGGGAGATTTGCGAAGGAGCCGATGCGCGCGATCGTGACCGCTACCGCCCAACTAGGAAACAGCTGAATTACCGCTTTGAAACAAGGGCTTGCCATCAGAAACAAGCAACAGAGAGAAAAAAAATACCAGAGAACAAAAAAAAAAAAAAGCAATAGCCAACCGATGTGGTGGGGCTTCGGAAAACAAAGACACATTCATGAGAATATTGTTATTACCATGAAGCCGAACAAAAAACCGCTTCGGCAGGGACCCTGTTCCGTCCAATCGCGGGTCTCTCGAATTCTCTTCTTGGTACAAAAATGGGTCCAATATGCACCAAGCTCTGTATGTGATGTTTTCACATCCCAGAATTTGATACATATATTCGCAAGTCCGGTAGGTTTCCCCGGACTTTCTCGCCCCCCATACCTTGTCTCGCAAAGGATGTTGATTGCAAGAGTCCTGTTACATTGCAGAAGTATCTTAAGGGCACGTGGCCTTGAATGCTGATTCGAAGGAACAATTCTCCAAGCCGTCGAATATATGGATGCTTTAACGCCATTGCTCCACAGTGTGCCACCGGTATGGCCCGACTGCGACCTCGGAAACGACATGGGAAAGGCAAGCCGTTGATACAATGCGCAACAGGTTTCCCACTTTCAAGTTTACATCAAGAGGACCCACTCAGCTGAGATTCTACATATGTACTGTACTTGACTATGGAGAACATGATGTACAGCGGTAATGTACTGTACCTGGATTGCCATTCAGGCTGACCTTGGAGAGTCTGTACGATGTCACAAGCAGGAACATTACCATATTCCTACCATCTCAGATGATCGGGATATCGCCACCAGGTACGTAAAAAAGCCTTCCCGCTTCCCCCCGGTGGATTGATCGGCGATGACTTGGTACACATCCAGATAATCAAGTCTACGGTTTCAAGTGTTTAATAAGTAAGCATGGCCAGCTTAACTATCGAGCGGGGAAAGAGGAGAAGGTGGGTGATTTCGGATCTGGGATGTTGGCTTGTACAGTAGTGACTTTCAAGCTAAGCGACCGTGGTGGCGACGCCCTTGTAGATCATTGAGCCCATTCATTGACAAATACAACCGGTTCAAATGTTAGGATCTCGGTGCCCAGGCCAGTTCAATCAGAATTTGACTTTTCCCTCCCCATTTACTTGGATTTTTTTTCCGATTCTTATTTTTGATTTGACTTGGCTTTTCTCGCCAGATCCTCCCCAGATGCCAGTCAACTCTTTTCCGGGGCAATTGATTGGCCGGATGGTAGCCGTCCAATCGGGTTCGGAGCAGCGGCATTTCCTTCCTTGGCACTGTTGCACGGTAAGTTTAGCATACCTGATTTTCCCAAGTCTACTAACATGTAGTATGATGTACTCAAAAGATTGTTGGGCTCCTTTGCGTAAAAACTAACCCCCTAACAGAACTTACCTGGATTGCCTGTCCGACCAAAAAAAAAAGGAAAGAAAAAACAGGAAAAAAAAAAAGGAAGCCTCCTTTGATTGATAACCCAGAAACGGAGCCCTGAATTCTTTATGCTGGTCATTTCAATACGGACTCAAACCGCCTATTCCCTATCCGCTTCTTACTCTTAAAAATCTAATGAACCTCCTTCCAAATTCCAGATCCTGATCTATGATTTCCATTATGTATTTCGAGGTTGTGAAAAATTACCTAGAATATACAATCTATCTTCTATCAACCCTTTCAATGTTATGATGGCTTTGTGTTCCACCGGACAATTTTTCCCGTGGGCATCTACAATCTAAATGGTTTAGCTACGTTTAGCCGCTCATCTCATTGCTTCGTCCCCTCGACCACCGACCGGCCCGTGTAAGGAGCTTGAGTCATTGCCGTATCAGAGGGAACTCCCCTCAGCGCTTACATCCGACAGGGGATTGCGGAAAAGGGAGATGTTGGATATCGGCATTTGCAGTTTATAAACATTGAATACTGTACTGTACATACTCCTACTCGGTACTGTGTGGGATCATGATTCAGGAGTGCATGAACGGCCCCGTTTTTGAAAGGCTGGGTAGAACCAAAATCATGAATCAAACCCTGGCCCTCTCTGTCACCTCGCAGAACCAAATACGCATGCGAGCGTAGGCCAACATGAGTCAATCACATTAACTGCCTTCGGGAGAGATCGCCATGCCAAGGTCGATGATGTACCCCGGGGGCCATGCCTATGTACGGAGTAGGTACTACTTAAAGACTACTAAGTGGACGGTAAAACAAGTCGGCCTTATCCCCCACATGTGCATGTACACCTTCTACCACTATGGACCTCGTACTCTGTATAGAGTACAAATGTTTTAGATAGTGTCCAGGTGGTTATCACATCCAAAAATTCTTCCCCACCCTTCATGGCCCCCGAATTTGGTTCACTTCTGGATTCTTTATGTACTTGTTAGCATCCTGATGTCAACATCTCAAGGATACATGTTTCCCAAATCCAATTACATACTGGGTACATTGGAATATCTATATGTCGCAGCATTTGAAGGAGAGAGATATTTGTGAATTTTTAGATATTTGTGAATTTTTAACCCAAGGCTTCCAATTCCACCCAACATATTATTTAGAGATTAGTTAACTTATTCTACTTACATATGTAAGTAAGATGTCATACATATAGCATCCATTGACGGTGAAAAGGTATGTAGGATGGCGGACTACCAGTTAATCCCAACGACAGGGAACCTTGGAATCGGCGGCCCTGGAGTACATGTACTTCCAGATGTCCAGATGTTCCTCCAGGGCTCTACACAGGGGTCCGAAGTCGCCAGTTGACATCCAAGCAGAGCCATTCAACATGTGGACATCTGGATAAATATTACTAGTACTAGGTAGTCATTTGTGCAGGTAAACCGCTAACGACCACCTTCAATGTTGATTGCGCACCATATACATAATGGACCTCTTTAGATACCTAGATATATCTTTGAATTGATACTCAAGAGGTATCACATGTGCATATGTAGCAACATTGAACGCACCGGGGTGCCCTATGTATACCTCAGGCTACATAGTATGTACTGGGTAGTTCAGGTGGTACCGGCCATTTGGGAAAAATAATACACATGTATATTTATGTATCTTCTCAAGATTAGTTTAGCTGCACATCCATCAATTTGGTGTTTGAAGCCACTGTGATCTCAAGCGCGGTGCTCTGCTTACTTCTCCGATACGAACAGCCCCCCCTTGTTCCGCTAGTGTGATGGGTCTAGACTGAGCGGCCGAGGTTGTTGCTCTGATTGGTGGAAATAAGGGGCAACGCCTGGCCTAGTTATGCATTATTGCACACTTGTTTGACAGTCTTGGTCGACGATGTCGGATTGTGGTTGACTGTTCTCTAATTTTAAGAGTGGCACTTTTGTCAAAATCATGCTTTGCAGTACTTCCAGCATCTCCGAGGAACATTTGAACAGTTTTTTTACCGTATTAATACTAGTAGGTACGCGGCTCGTCGTCTTTGATTTCCAACTTTGGGGGAAAGATAAGCTGTTATTTTTTCTTAATTTCTTTTCTTTTTTTTTTTTTTGCAAGAAATTCAATTTGGGATATTTTTTGCGAGGACCCCATGTGTTGGCACTTGACAGACAGTGCTTGATGTATCACTAATGAGTGTGCAGATGTCATACATATACATATATATCGATTGATTCCATTCCACAGACTGCCCAGGTGGGCTATACCTACTACATAGGTAAATCTGGCATTTGACGCGTGGCAGCGGGTCAATTATGTAGGAGCTACCTACATAATTCAAGAGAGCTTCCAAGGTTGTTCCCGAGCACTGAGTGGTAATTTAGTACTACCTAGTATCTTTGTAGGTAATTTCAATTGTATTCACTTGAGTTGTCAACATTACATAAATGCTTTAATGAAAAAGCATCAATTGATCAATCGAGCACGAATGGCTCCAACCTCAAGTGCTTGGAGCACTTGAGTATATGTAGCTTGTACTAGGTACTACCCAAGTAGCTTAGCAGAGCGGGATACAATCATTTTGGGCCTGATCTGGAATTGGTGCTTCCAGGTCTTTTTCCCAATTTAAATTATTTTTCAGATATGAACAATAATCCAAGTATACCTTAGATATGCAGATTTGAAACTTTGAAAGTTCCCTTTCACTTGAGGTTAAAGTCCAGGTAGTACTGGAGTCCTGCAGTCAGCACTCTAATACACAAAATCAGCTCCGAACCTTGAAAAGGTCACCTCCATAGCTACCTGGATTACGGAGATTTCAGGGAGAGGATTCTAGGTATACCTGTAATCATTTGGCAAAAGTGTATATGAATTTGCAACTTTCCAAGGTTCGGGATTCACAACGTCAGTCTCGACATTAATGTATTGGCTTCCAACGACGAGGGAAAAAGAAAAACAACTGGGAGCTCTAATTGGAACTGGAGGGCGATGAGCTATCACCTGGCAGATATAATATTGTGACATGTAGCGCTACAGGGGTCGACGGCAAAGACACAATACACATGTGCACATGTGCATATATCTCCAATGGAAGTTAGTATCCCAAGGTTACACCTGATTCCTGAATTCACAGGCTATCTATTCAATGTTCAATGTTCAATGCCCAATGTTTGCATCTTGTTTGCTCCTTCTTCTTTGCAGCCTTCAACCTTGTAATGGCGCGACTTCCTTCAGACTTCAAATATCTCTTAATAAATTCTTACCTCCATTTCTCTTTAGCTCAGCCGCCATCTTCTTCCCCCCGGGACAATCCTACCCGGTTCAGCATCATCGGTTCTTTCATCATGGCTTCATCACCACTACCAGACCACCCTTTGAGACCTGCTTCCCCTTCACATCAACAAAATATGAAGACGATGGACCGCCTCGTCGATGAGTAAGATCCCATCCCCTCGTAGTGCTAGCCTGCTCCCTCAACTAACTATCAAGATGATAAGTCTTTTTCTCAACTCCGAGTATAGTGATATGAAAATCATCTGCGATGGCAGAACATTTTTGGCTCATAAGGTCGTTGTGTGTTCGCGATCGGACTGGTTCAAGGATGCCTGTAAAGGGGATGTGAAGGTACATCTTCCTCCGATATCTACCAGAAAGGGCATGGCTAACAACCTGGCTCCGATCAGGAGTCCAGTGGAGAAATTAATCTAGAAGACAAGGATGCCATACTGATTCAAGTGGTGCTGGAATTCATCTACAAAAATAAATACAGCTTGGACGGCGTGGCCCAAGATGTATGCACACCAGCCGACGAGACTTCCCCAAGCTTCAATCAGTTTGGTACGAAGAGGAGAAAATCAATTATGCCTGCAAATGAACCCCCAGTCAAGCGCCTGAGGCCGACATCGGCGGACTTTGACTTCCCGCAAAGAGCAAAGAGTCCAGAAAAAACCAAAGATATGAACCTGAATGCTCAACCGGGGTCTAGAAACTGGCCGCCTTTGTCCACCTGTCCAGCTAGTTATTTTCATGCCAGAGTGTTTGCAGAAGCCGACTACTTCATGATCCATGAGTTGAAGCAGAGCGCCAAAGAGAAGTTTTCCCTCGCTCTGGACACATGCGATATCAAATGGCGTTTGGAACTTCTCATAGTGGAATTGTGGTCCCAAAGAGCTGATTATCAAGACCTGCAAAAGATTCTCATGAATGCCATTCGGCTTCGTGGAGGAAGTCTACACGATCTTTTCGTTTACCTCGATCGGCAATTTCTTCAGTCCGTCCCTCAATTCACAGCAGATGTTTGTTGGGAATATATGAAAGCAGAACGTCATTTCGGCAGTCTATCCAGAGCACCCCCTTCGTAGGAATGGGAATGATCCACTACAAATGTGTGGGTTCATAAATCCAGACAAAGATAACAGGAGGTTTCAAGAGAAGTCGTACACATGAAGATGCAAAGAGTGCAGAGTTTCTCGCTTCCATGCGAACAAGGCCAAGAAAGGTTAGCCATCAAAAGCGATGTTCATATGATCAAATCCGAGATCTCCCGATATGGTACTCTGCAGTCTCTATCAGTCTTTCTTGTGGCGATCGAAGTTCCTTTTTGGGCATTGGTTATGATGAAGGATGATACTATTGATTTCCAAGGTTACCGGTTTGAGCGACAAGCATACTGTTGAGGTTTTCATTGTGATACTTTCCGTCAAGATCAGCAATTGAACTTTGGAGTATTCTGATTGCACTGGTAGCTTTCAGTCCAAGGTTCCTAGCATGCATGCTGATTTGCTTCTTCTTCTTCCCCCCTTCTTTTTTTTTAAAAAAAAATATAGTTTGTAGAACTCTCTACAGTAAGGACGATCTATGATGTTTCACGGAATCGCTTTGGGTTTTCTCTGCAGTACATGACGTATGCATTTGCCTAAATCCAACACCAACGCTAATATGAAATGTATTAGTAGTATAGAATCAATCTTATTGGTTATTTTGAGCTACACTGAACAGTAAATTTTGATTCTATCTTTCAAATATTTGTAACATTTGAACGGTTATCATCGGCATTGCCCTAACCAAGTGGGCCCTAGATAAGAGGCGAACTATCAAAAACAAGTCATTGAAAGGGCGTGAGATATTTACCAATTGACTGCATTTGGGACCTGGCGTGTAGTGTGATATGCAGAAAGCTCTATTCGTCAATCGATCTAGATCCTCCATTTAGTAGTTCATGTTTATTGGCTCGATCTGATGGTAAATTTCTCGATTTTCCCATCGGCGAAAGAAAAATTTCTTCGGCCCGACAAAGACAAAGTCCGGGGCAAACCGCAGATGCTCTCTAAGGGATATAAAGGACAAATCACTCTGGTTCTTGTCAATTCTTCTTTTCAAGGTTATCCATTGTCTTATAAACAAATTGAAAAAAATTATTGATCAGTGGTGTACAATCCAGTTCACCCTTGCTTCACACGCCCTGTTAAGAATCAACTTAAACCCACGCCTATAAGTGACTCATACCGGCTCAACCAAATTTGGAGGATTTGTTCCTTCAATCTTTCTTTCTTTTTCTTTACCAAAGACATCAGCCTTGTTTCCAAGAATATAATTGATCCCAGATCAGTCATCTCATCCATAAATTCAGTATGGGTTCCATTGGTCAACACCTTGCCGAGCTTGACGGCTCCAACTTCAACATTACCCGGTCCACCAACCTGCGGGATGTGCCTCTTCCTGGCTCACCAGAAGAGCTGAGCCACTCGTATTGCACTGACCATATGGTCACTGTGCGGTGGACAGCAACAAATGGCTGGGATACACCAGAGGTGAAGCCTTACCAGAATCTGAGCATCCCACCGACAGCTTCGTGCCTTCACTATGCCACAGAGTGTTTCGAGGGTATGAAGGTGTACCGCGGTTATGACGGCAAGCTGCGTCTATTCCGCCCCGACTGCAACGGTGATCGTCTCAACACCAGCTCACAACGGTCGTCCCTACCCGGCTTCAAGTACGACGAGTTGAAGAAGCTGGTAGGCAAATTGATGCAGATTGACGGCTCGCGTATGTCTCACCCTCCCGATCATTTGTTCCCCCCAAGATAAACGAGTGAACGAATGAAATCTGACAATCCATACAGGCTGGCTACCCAAGGAACGTCCGGGCACATTCCTTTATATTCGGCCTACCATCATCGGCAATGGTCCTCACCTTGGCGTCCAAATTCCCAAGGAAGCTCTTCTATTTATCATCGCCGTCCCCTGGCCCGATTTCACCACCATGAAGAAGGAAGGCCAGACCGAGCCCTCAAAGGGACTGAGACTTTACGGCTCCAACCCGGAAACCATCCGCGCCTGGCCAGGCGGCTTTGGATATGCCAAGCTCGGTGCCAATTATGGTCCCTCGCTGCAGGCGCACGGGCAGGCACAGGCATTGGGCTTTGATCAGATTCTCTGGCTATTCGGCGAGGACCGACAAGTGACGGAGGCCGGCGCTAGTAACTTCTTCATTATCTGGCACAATGCCGATACGGGAAAACTGGAGCTTGTGACTGCTCCGCTGGAGAATCAGCTGATTTTGCCTGGCATTACTCGACGTAGTGTCTTGGAGCTGGTCTCTGAAAAGCTTTCTAAGAAGGCAGTGGGCTCTTTGGAGCCGCTGCAGGTTGTTGAACGAACCTTGACTATTGGAGAGATTCAGAAGGCTGCGAATGAGGGTCGAATCGTGGAGTCATTCGTCTCAGGCACTGCTGTAGGTTTTTTTCCACGGAGAGTTTGACTGTCGTTGTGAATTATGGTGGTACTGACGAGAATTTCTAGTATTTCATCACTCCTGTTGCCATGATTCGCAACAACGATACTGATATCAGTACGCTGCGCCCTGATGGCCAGTCTGCAGGCTATGCTGCGCAGATTAAGTTGTGGTTGGAGGCCATCATGTATGGCAAGGAAGAGCACGAATGGGCCTATGTCATTGAACAAGAAGAGAAATAGACAAGTGCTACTACCTGCATGGTTATGAACTAACGTCAAATAGAGGAACACTTTTTGTTTTTTGGAGCTGTGTTTTGAGTTACTTTGGATAGGCTTAACGGGTCCGGTTGAAGGTGCTTGGACTTCGGGGCATCCATCTTTTATCGATGGAATTGTAATATACAAAATTCAAGTTTTAGGTAAATGAATCACAAGAGTTCAAAATGAATTCATAGAATACAGTTCATTCCAGGCAATAAACATGTTTAACATAGTAGATTGGTCAAGTTCGGTGATGCTTCAAATGGTTGGAATATGATGTATCTGGTTGTTTAGCATTGCCGCATAGGTAATATTCATTAGATGATGATAAAATGGGCCTAAAGAGTGGCTTCCTCTGAATCAACAATCATGGGCGCGTACTCGCCAGTCTCTTCGTCCTCGTCATTGTCATCCATGTCTATTTCGACTTCTTCACCGTCTTCCAGTTGAATCATACCACGCTTGACAATACTCTCGTGGGTCAGTTCCCAATCGTACTCCTCTTTCACCCAAACCTCCAATTTCGTAAGCTCCTGCTTCACTAAAAAACCCTTGTCCTCTTCCACGGCTTGGTATACCATTCGACGGAACCTTTTCAGTAAATTCCGGAGGAAAGCACCGCCATCATCCCCGTCCATCTCAAATAATCCACCTTCGACATCGTCGCATCGTTTCAATTGCCGCAATAGCAAAGCCAAAAACTCACTCATGAACCCTTCTTTCTCGACAATAGCCGCACGAGACGTTAACACAAGCCCAAGCAGCCGCTTCCACTGCTGCAAACAAGAATAATTCATCATGGTCAACACCATTAAGAATGTGAATTGTAATTCTCCGAGCAAATGCGTCTCTCCTAAGTCCTCATCTGATACCGATTCCTTTGTAACCGGATCCTGGTACTTGGAGAATCGCTCCATCAACTCCCCTAATGCCCATGACCGATCCTGGGCTGCTTCCGTCCGTTCACGCCCGATAGCGCCCTCTCGCCAGGTTTGTTTCAGGTCGATGGGAAGGAATCCAAACTCCCGTTCCTGTTCACCAATCGTCTCTGGCACGCCGTCCTCTCCCACTTTGCGCGGATCGAGTCCAGGTATATGATCGGCATCGCGATTGGCCGTGCTAGCAGATGTGACCATCCATCGCGGATGCGCATCAACGTCATAATTCGGATTTCCAATCATCCGCGTCAGGACATCAGGAGAGATTCGATCAGTCAGACGCCGCCAATCTCTGCGACCGTTCGCCTCGCTTTCTTCGTCCTCTTCAAGCTGCGCTGCTTCTCCGTCCTTTGTTGCTTCTGCATTGGCCATCATGGACTTGGACACCCGGCTTCGATACCGGAATAAACCTCCACTTTGCCAGATTGTACCTAGATTTGCTTTGTGGCGCATGGCTTCTTGGCAGTCCGTGTCATTGTCGCCCTTTAGTGAGGCGAGGGACTCTGTATCTGTGCTCCATTTCCAGATGTAGATCTCTGGGCCGTTGTTCTGAGCTTTTTTTAACTTGTGTAGTACGACTGCAGAGTCATGGTGCCCATAGCCGATCGCGGTGATATCTCCAATGTAAAACCATGCCCCTGAGCGTAAGGATAGGCTTTCCGTTGTGCTAGTGTAAAGAAAATGCCATCCACTTGGAAGGTCTCTGATTCCGTGGAAATTCGCAGTTGAGTTGAAGGTTATAAGGTCGATGCCGACGAATGTCTTTGGGGGAAAATGAGGAAGGAGGATAGTCGGAGTTGGCTGAACTGGTAAAGACATCTTGAATATGGTATGTTGATGAGGGTTTGGATTCGTTGCGAACAAGGTTTATGTGGTGGTGTCGGCAAAGCCACAGAGTTCGGGCGAATAGGGTGCGATTTCTGAAAGGGCGAGGACTTTCTTTCTCAGACACGAATCATTTTAGATAATAGAAGGAACGTACTAGGAGGCCTCCGTTTTGGTGCTGGGAAAAAAGTTGGGTTGAAAGCTTTGCGAACCAGGCAAGTCGGATACTTTGTTATCAGTTCCACGATAAGGTCCCCGCACGATATCAGCGGGCTTGTCTAGTAACATTATTTTTCTCTTAAGGTCTACAGAGAAGAATGTAAAAAATGTACTATGTTAAACAACCTTTGTCAATGTCAAAGAAAATGCTACGGTGGGCGGGAAAAAAGGACCAGATTACTCAGAAATAGTCAATTGATGTATAGATATCCAAACACAATAGCTAAAACTGAGGACATAATTTTCTTTTCAGGGTATGAAAAAAATTGAAGACCAGGCAATAAGGGCCGTTCTTCCCGTTTATTCCATCCACAGTTGCGAGTAGACCCCGCCGATAGCCACCAATCCAACCACGCAATAGAGACGTAGTAGGAAGGAGAAAGCGTACCTGCACACGTCTACAGACGACGACCACGACGACCACCCTTGCGACGAGTAGAGTCGGAGGGAGTGGGGGTGACGTCCTCAATGCGACCAATGCGCATACCGGCACGGGCAAGGGCACGGAGAGCGGACTGGGCACCGGGACCGGGGGTCTTGGTGCCGTTACCACCAGTGGCACGGATCTTGATGTGGAGGGCGTTGATGCCGAGCTCCTTGCAGCGGACAGCGACGTCCTGAGCAGCCAACATGGCAGCGTAGGGGGAGGACTCGTCACGATCAGCCTTGACCTTCATACCACCGGTAACACGGGTGATAGTTTCACGGCCGCTATAGAGAAGTTGTTAGCCAATCGAACTTTTGAGTGTGAATAATTTCGGATTCCCCGCTATGCGCCTGTTTTCACCAAATTGGCAAAACCAAGAGAGTACTGTGGCTGGGTATTCCTGGAATCTCGCGTGGGTAGCAGACGTACGAAAGATCGGTAACGTGGACGAAGGTATCGTTGAAAGAGGCGAAGATACGGGCAACACCGAAAACGAGCTTGCCTGTATGCGCTGGTTAGAAGCCATGATCCAAAATAGATAACTTGTAATTCTGAATTTTTCAAAGGATTCAACGTACCATCACCGGCGAGGGGGCCGAGGGAGACGTTCTCCTTGGCGGCGGCGGGAGCCTTCTTTTGGGGGGCCATTGCGACTGTGTTGGATGGAGTTGGCGTGGATGGAATACGGAACTGAAAAGAGGAAGAAGAGGAAATCGATGAAAAAAAGTGGATGTGTGCCCTCGGCTTCAAGTTGATGCTGATTGGCTGTTTCCACAGAAGCGGGCAAGCGAGATGCTGACTCAGGTAGCCCCGGTGTCCACGGCTTGCAGTCGGCCCGAAAGGCGGTGAAGACTTAGCTCCATGAGTCTATTTAAATTTTCTTTCGTCGTTTCCGTCCTACTTTTTTCTTATTACTGCAATTCATCCTTCAAACCCCTGCAGATACTGTGAACAATCAGTATCTTGTATTGCGAAGACACTTTCAACCAGTGAACTAACATTTCTCAACTTTATCGACTCTCAAGAGACGCGGTATACTCAATTGAGGTTGCTGTCGTGATCCATTACCAAGATGGGCCGTACCAAGGAAGATGCCTCGATTGGCATCATTGGAATGGGCGACATGGGCAAAATGTACGCCCAGCGCCTCAGTGATGCGGGATGGAGGTAATTACGACCTTGTTTTGTGTTCTCTTGACTGCCGGAGAAACTTCTCATCAGGTAAGCTTCTCCTTTTGCTATCCATTTCTCCCCCTCTTCCCCTACATTCGAATGATGACTTGAGTGCATTTGGCTCGAGTATGGTTCGGTGGTTGCTGCCTAGCCTTTTTGGTCGGCAGTGTACGCTGGACTGTCGATGATGTAAATATCTCGCTACCTTAATTTTTCTTGTCTGAAAGTTCTTTGAACTTATCGAAACTGTTCTACGTTTCTACCTTCACTCAATCGTTTTGAAAACATCTGCTAATCAGTGTATCTGATACAGGGCATCTATTTTGCTACACGACCCTATGACCCTCTCATATGAAACACGATAATACCGGAGTTGCTCAGTTACTAACATCTTATTTTCGTTCTTTATAAAGGATAAACGCCTGTGATAGACCTGAGAATTATGAATCTTTACAAAAAGAATTTGCCTCTCAAGTACGTCTCCCGCTGGGGTCATCTTGCCCAGTCACTCATCGTATATAGCAAAGAGTCACCATTTTCCCCAATGGTCATCTGGTTTCCAGAATTAGCGATTTCATTCTTTACAGTGTAGAAGCCGGTGTGATCGACCGTGTTGTCGCACAGTACGGGCCATGTATGTTTCGGACCCATTTGACCCAAGCCAGCCCAAGGACGACCAGCATGTATCTGACTTGTTGAAATAATAAAGCTACCAAGCAAGGCGCCATCGTTGGTGGCCAAACGTCATGCAAGGCCCCGGAGCTCGCCGCATTTGAAAAGCACCTACCGGCCGATGTAGAGATCGTATCCTGCCACTCGCTGCACGGCCCCAAAGTCAACCCAAAAGGCCAGCCCTTGGTAAGGGTTTCATGCATGCAATCTCAATTTGGGCTAGGCTGGCGCTGACAGCATGTAATCTAGGTTATCATTCAACACCGTGCATCTGACCAAAGCGTCCAATTCGTTGAAGAAATCCTCTCATCGTTCGGATCCAAACATGTGCATCTCACCGGTGAGATGCATGATCGAATTACGGCCGACACTCAAGCCGTTACGCACGCGGCCTTCCTGAGCATGGGCACTGCATGGCAGGCCAACGAACAATTTCCTTGGGAGATGTCGCGGTGGGTTGGTGGTATCGAGAATGTCAAGATCAACATCACCCTGCGCATCTATTCAAACAAATGGCACGTTTATGCCGGTCTCGCCATCCTCAACCCGGCGGCCAAACAGCAGATCCGACAGTATGCCGAGTCTGTAACAGATCTATACAAGTTGATGATTGGGGGGCACCGAGAGGAGCTCAAGCGTCGGGTCAAGGCTGCTGGTGCATACGTGTTCCGGGATGGCACAGAAGGGCAGGATCTCCTGTTGAAGGACGAAGTCCTGGATCGATTTTCTCTGTCCAACCGATCCAGGGAGAAGTCGCCACCAAATAGCCACTTGAGTTTGCTTGCCATTGTGGACTGTTGGTCAAAACTTGGCATTGTACCTTATGATCATATGATCTGCTCCACGCCAGTATGTGTCAAACAACCCCAGGGATTCGTCAACTTTGAAAGAAATTAGTGTTAACAAGCTTGCAGCTCTTCCGTCTCTGGTTGGGTGTGACTGAATATTTGTTCCGCAACTCCGAACTTCTAGAGGAGGCTCTGGACACCGCTATTGATGAGACAACTTTTCGCTCCGATGATTTGGAGTTTACATTTGCTGCACGGGTAAGTCATGGTTATGTTTTAGTGATTTTCAGAAACTTATTTACTAAACGAGGTGGATGTTTAACAGGCCTGGTCTGACTGTGTCTCCTTTGGAGACTTCGAGGTCTACCGCGATCGCTTTGAGCGTATTGCTGATTACTTTGCTCCCCGTTTCCCCGAGGCAGCCACGCTTGGGAATGAGATGATGAAGACTATCCTGGAGAAAACTACAAACAATCCTTGAAATGTTCAAATTTCATATCTATCAAGGGCTACCTCTATGTTTGGAATCCCGGATGGGTCCACGGTTGCAGTTGAATCTCGGGATCCATAATTGTCAAGTTGACTGGTATCAATTGATCAATTGATCGGTGTATGATAGTATGTAGGTAGCTCCACATGTGCACAACATTGAAGCTATGTGGAGGTAATCATTGATTTCTCCACTTGATCAATCTATATAATTAGAGGGTTTCGGGACACTCAAATTTGCGTGCTTGCACAGGCATTTGAACTGCATCCATGGAAGGTTCCAACATTTAAAACCTCTATGTATGAATCTCTTCCATCCTATCTATGGAAGTGCACGTCAACTGGTTGTTTGTTGCAACATTGAAGCACTTAAGTGCTTGAGCGCACAGGTGGTATGTGATTGATAGATTGATGTGGCACATACATACTATTCAAGATGTACATATGTAGTAGGTAGGAAATATTATACATTACTAGTATCAATCTATCAATCTACCAATCCATTTCAAATTTGCTGAGTGTCCTTACCTGGACAAACCTCCTTGGACACCTTCATACATCAACACAATGTACATATATGTAAACATTTGAATAGTTAGCAGGTAATGTATGTTGACACATGGAAACAATCAAACACAGAGAGACATCAATTGATAACGACTGAAATACCAAGGCACTCTAGTTCTGAAGTCTAAGAGTACTACTCTGATCATTTTGACAATTTCATCAATTTCATCAATGTGGATCATTTTTTCAATTTCGTGTCTTGAATGTAGCGTTTAATTGATGCACAGGCCAGAGCCGATAACGCCTTAGTCATCCGTGTATTTTGTCGCTGAACCGACCCGAGTGGGACAATCAAGAGTCCTAGAAGCGATCGTCTATTTAAGACGTGACCTTTTGTTTCTTATATTACAGTTTGTGGTTATGGCAAATGCAGGTGCTCTGTGATCATCAGAATTACGACCCGTGACTGTGCGGAGACTCTCCCCCTCCCTTACGATTTCGCTTCCCCGTATCCCCAAACCCTTGCGCCGCGACTCGACCTCTCCAAACCGAACCTCAATGCAGCCCCTCGACATTCGGGATATTTGTCACAGGTGATAGATTGCCCCCGTGGCTAGATGGAGCTCTATGGCTTCCGGACACACTTCAGCGTTCTCCGCGTCAACCCAGCACCGCACCTTAGGTGATGGTCGCTCGTCATTTAGCCAAGATGGCGGTTCTGCAGATGGGAGTTACGTTGATGGAGCTGCCCGATCGGTCCGCAATGGACGATCAGGATCTGGTGGCAGTATTTCGACAGCTCCTCGCGGAGCATCCCTGGCTCCCTCCTTTGGCGGACCAGGCAGTTTCAGTGCAGAGCTCAAGAGCATGAACTCCCGAAGCGTGACCCCCCGTCCCGATGGCACATATACAAGACGAGCCAGTAGATCGATCGGTGAAGATGATTTACCCACAACCGAGGAACGCCAAGCTATCATTCGAGATAAAATTGCGAAAGAAATGAAGATTAAAACTGGGACGGAAAACATGCTGGAGGCGTTGTACGCAAAGCCTCCTAAACAGACCAAAGAACAACGTCTACGGGTGGAGTCGGAGCTGAGCTCATCCAACCGAAAATTGGCCGAATTACAACATGAGCTGGAAGAGGAGCTGTTACGTGCGCAGGCGCCGTCCAGCACTCCCCCGCGCAGTCGTCTTTCGAGCCTTTTTAGAGGAAGCCCTATGCGCTCCCCAACCCGCAACCATATTCTCAACTCTGCTGGGCCTCTCGATGAAGACCGACAACAGGACGACGAAGGCGAGATCGAATCTCCCACATACGTTCTCACGGAGACGCTGCAGGCCCTCGAAATTGAGGGAATGTCGCCTGATTTCTATGTAGAGCGCGCAAACAGCCTGGTCGAGCTATTCAAACGATATCCAACACTGAAGTATGATCTCGCGTGGTCTGTATTTGGGCTACGTGTTCAAGTCATGCTTCTTGGTGATAGCAAAGAAGTGGTTGCTGCAGGCTATCGGTTGACTCGCTACGCCATTGCGGATCGGAAATCACTTCAAACCATTCGAGCACTGCATACAGACGAACTTGTTATATTGTCATTAGTCAAGGAGAGCAAAGCAAGCATCGAAAGGGAACAAGCTTTGAAGTTTGTGAGAGCTTTCCTCGATGTGAAGGACGGCGTCAAGGAAATATCCCGTGCCATTGTGAGGACAATCGTTTCCATTGCAGAGCATCATGATGACCGTTTGCGAAACATATCTATTATGACTCTGGCAGAGATGCTGGTCAAAGATCCTGAACTTGTAGCCTCCGCAGGCGGATTTGCTGCTCTGCATGATGCTTTGTCCGAAGGCACATTTGGTGCTTCCGAGAGCTTGATCTCAAGTTTCTTGCATGTCCTTGATACTCCACGCAGTCGAAAGTACCTGCAAGGCTGCGAATTAGAAGCCGTCCTAGCACCTTTCACTGATTCAGTCGCTGATTCCTTGCGCAATGGCCGGTTAAAATCTGCCGCCCGAGCAATCGCCGCAATGCTCAAAACCTGGCCCGGTTTAGTGATTCTGGCAAGACACCAGGCGAAGCCATTGCGGTCTCTCCTTGAATCGCTTCAGTATCCTGACCCCCAAGCTCGCGACCTCATCATGGAATTGCTATTCGATGCCCTGCGAATAAAGCCCCCATCCTGGTCATCTTCCTTTCTTGCGGGGAGAAGACTCACCACTTATGGACGTGTATCAAATCTCCGCTCTGATAACGAATCCAAGCATCCGCGCGGCTTTGCCGATAGCACTTCCAACAGGTTCGACCTGACGGCACATTTTTCTACCCTTATCTTAGCAGCATTGGTTGCAGCAGGCTTACCGAAGGTAAGAAAATGAAGACTTGTGAAATGGACAATGTCAATGAAGCTGACTGGTTACAGGCACTCTCGGATCTGATTGAGGATGAAACCGATCCTTCACTCAGGCGTAAAGCGACCCTCCTATTAACTGAAGTTCTTAAACTGGCCCATCACTCCCTACCAGTCACTGTCAGCGCCAACTTGCAAGTTCTTCCACACTTGCTTCCAGCTGCCATACAATTCGAGACAGAAAACCACGATGTTTCGACCTCAACCATCTTCCAAATCGAAAGCATCAATAGAACACTGGCACGTTCTGGAGCCGCTCCCAATGGGGTGGGACGTTACAATGTGGATACCGACATATCGACTTCTTTGCTACCCAGTGAGCAGGGTAAAGATAAACTAACCTACTCCATGGATGAGACTCAATTCCGCAATGCAATTTTGGAAACTCATGTCTTGAATACGGTCAATTATATCAAGTGGAAATGGGATCTCATTCATCGGCTTGTTGAAGGCCCTCTCACAAATCCAAAGCGAATGGATGAGGCGATCAAGGGCTCCAAGTTCATGAAACGACTTGTTGGATTTTACCGACCCTTCAAGTATCGGTATTCCATGGTCCCGAACACCAAGCCCAATCAGCGCTACGTTCGAACCGGCTGTGCCTTGATGCGCACCCTTGTTCAAACTCCAGAGGGGACCAAGTACTTAGCTGAGAACAAGTTCCTCCGGCAAGTTGCGGAGTGTCTGGCACAGTTGGATCGCATGAGTGGATTGACTTCCGCCTCCCCGTTATTTTCACGGGAGCAAATGGGTAACACCCTGAGCGGGGGATATTTCGCAATGCTAGGAACTTTGAGTGCTGATGCAAATGGCCTCCTGATGATGGAACGATGGCACATGTTGAACATGTTCTACCACATCATTGAATTGCGAGATCGCAATGACCTCATTCAGACCCTCTTGGGAAACATGGACTATTGCCGTGAAAGCCATCTCAGAGTTATGCTTTCCAAAGCGCTCACAATTGGTTCAAAGGAGATCCGCATCTTTGCCACAAGGCTCCTTCGAAAATATGCGGTCGGCGATGTCACTGTATCTCCCCACGTGGCAATTGGCAATGCCGAATGGGTAGTCAAGCTTCTTGTGACTCAATTATATGACCCCGATGTCACTGTGTGCCAGGTTGCGGTAAAAATCCTTGAGGAGGCATGCAATCAACGAGACTATCTTGAGTTTGTTGTGAAGTGTCGACCGTCTCTGGATCATCTGGGTGAAATTGGCGCCCCACTCCTCTTGCGATTTTTGTCAACCTCTGTTGGCTACCATTATCTCGATGGCCTAGATTATATAACACAGGAGATGGATGACTGGTTCCTCGGCCGAAATGATTCTTATGTTGGCCTGGTGGAGGCGGCCTTGTCCCGGGCCTATGTTGATCAACCACGTCGCAATAGCTTTGCACCAGAGGATTTGGTTGACATGCAAGACATCGGAGTAGTGCCGCCTCATTTCTACCGAGAACTTGCACGAACAGCAGAAGGTTGTCGACTTCTGGAGCAATCCGGTCATTTCAATGAATTTGCTTGGACAATTCGTGATTTCCGCCTCGACGAGGAAGACCACGAGGCACTTCTCAAAGTGAAGGGATGTCTATGGGCAGTTGGAAATGTCGGTTCCATGGAGCTGGGTGCCCAGTTCCTTGAAGCAGAGATTGTACAACGTATTGTGACTATTGCGGAAACTGCCGGAGTTTTGACTATGCGAGGCACTGCCTTTTTCGTCCTTGGCCTGATTTCTCGCAGCCGACAAGGGCTTAAGGTGCTTCGGGGCATGGGATGGGATTCAGCCATCGACCAAGAAGGCGATTCGCTTGGTCTCTGTCTTCCTGCTGACTTCCGCAAACTTTTTTTGGTAAGTATGCGACGCTCTTATTATGTTGACTCACTGCTTACCAGCGTAGATTTCTTTCCCTGGCTACAATTCCGAGGCGAAACGTACTCCACAAGAAAAGTTGAAGGAGGCCACCACCGATTCAGACGTTACAAACCAAAAAATCTTGAAGCTTATCGTCGACATGGGCAATACTGTTTTATCCAAACGATCTGCATCGGACCTACACGGGTAATTCATCATTTGTATTTTTGCCAGAGAGTAACTGCTAACCAGGATTCAATTAGTATGAAATCTAAGCAACCCGAACGATTCCACCAAGTGCACCTTTTCCGAAAGGCGCTTTGCATTCTTGAAAGCCATCACTTCCGTTTACCAGCGCGACGGTTTGCTCTCGATCTTTTCGATAAGAGTATCATGAGGCGTATAGTTCTCGAAGAAGATTCTGGGTCGGATTCGGACTCCTCCACATAGTGCTCAGCATATTCAAATAATACAACGAGGGAGGTTTGAAAATTCGTTAGCAGCGTTTGCGGCCCCTCTGCTGGTTTCTTCCCAAGTTCTTTCAAATGTTCCCATGGGTCCTACTTTTGATACAATGCGTGGCGCTTGCGTCAGTGATCTAGTATACACATCTCCAATCTATCATAAGCGCCGAAGGCCTTGGAAGGATTGAGCCATGACTTGCTTGTTTTTTTTTTTTTTCCCTTTCTTCTTCTTTTTCTCTTCTTTTCGTTTCTGCTCTCTGCATTTTTGCTGTTTGGCGGCGGACTGACTTTGGAAATGAGACACGAAACGATATCAATTGCATGGTCTGCGTTACACGAGCATTTGTCTGGTTTTTTATCCCCTCTCTCCCTATTTACCAGTCTACTAGTAGTCTATGTAGTTAGACAATTCTCAGGACAAACTGCCTAGGTATGACACTGGTCTTTTGGAGTAGATCAAACCGCATTATAAAAACACGTGAAATATAGAAAATAGAATGAACATGGATTCTCAGGTTCAACTTCTACCTCGCAAAAGCAAGATTCCAATTTCCTGAAGTTTTGCAATATGATGAGCTTCACCGCTGCAAGTTTCGTCAAAACTTGATCTAAGATGGTGTTCAAGGTGAGTGACCCACTTTTGATTGCAGATCCCCACTCAACCCCAGAGCTTCAAGCCTTCAACACAGTGCTTCCTATAATTTCTCCTCTCAAATGCCTTGAACACCCTGGAAAAACAAGCCCTCTTGAAGTGCCATTCCCGCCGGCCTGAAAAGTCATGGAGAATGCTGCAGAACCTCCTTCACCCCCGCCACCAACCGAGGCCGAATCACTTCCGACCGTGGAGAGCTCGGATGTGTCCAGCTCCGAAGAACATGGCCCCTCCACGAGAGACGTTGCCCCTCATACCATCGTTCGCTTGATTCAGTGCCACCACTGCTCGAAACCTTTGCGCAACCCATGCCGACTTCCATGCGGTAATACTGTATGTCGGGAATGTCTGCCGCCTGTCCGGCCGCGGACGGGGATCACCTATCCAGTGGCTGAGGGTAGGGAAGAGGGATTTACATGCTACTGGGAGGGTCAAAATTTCTGCGTGGGTGATCATTGTGTGGGAGACTGCGGAACAGATGTCGTACTTTGCTTTGTGACTGGAATGTTTCAAGAAGAATTGATGGGGTCAATGCAGGATGCCGAGCTGCCGAGCGCGCCTGATGCGGATAGTCGGGTTGTCTGTTGGAAGAAAGGTCCCAAAGACCCAGAGACTGATTCAGAACGACAAAGCCTTCAGCTAGGCCAGTATTCCTGGCTTCATGGTGTGTACCATGCTGCTTGTGAAGGCAGCTTTCCATGGGATGCCTCCGATGTCTTCTATAAAGAAGCCGATGCCCCTGGTGGAGCTCCGCTTCCCCAACATTTCACGCAAGAAGACCGTAGCAGCTTCCAAAAACTCAGGGACCGAGTTCGCTGCGAGCTGGATTGTCAAGTTTGCTACGCTCTCATATTGGATCCTTTGACCCTGCCATGTGGCCACACCTTTTGTCGGACATGTATTGCTCGAGTGCTGGATCACTCAGATCTTTGTCCGATCTGTCGCCGCAAACTCGGAATGCCAACATCCATGCAGGCGGAGCCTACGAACTGGACACTATCGAGGCTTATCGATCTGCTTTTTGCAGATCAGGTCGCAATTCGGAGAGAAGCCGTGGCGCAGGATGAATTAGGTGTGGACCTTGAAAAAAAACTACCACTGTTTGTTTGCACACTATCATTTCCCACGATGCCCACGTTTTTGCACATATTTGAGCCCCGGTATAGACTCATGATTCGGCGAGTCGTCGACAGTGGGGATGGGAAGTTTGGTATGGTCATGTATAACCGTCGAGGCCGGCCACAGGCAGATGAAATTGGCAGCGTCCCGTTCATGCACTATGGAACGTTGCTGATGGTTGAGCGATATGAGCTGCTACCGGATGGGCGCAGTCTTGTCATCGCCACCGGAGTATCACGATTCAAAGTTCTCGAAGCAGGCATGCTCGATGGATACCATGTTGCCAGGACAGAACGCGTGGATGATATTTCATTGGCGGAGGAAGAAAGACTTGAGGCAATGGAGACAGCAGCCCATGCGATTCCAGATCCATCACCAGAGGAAAGCACGGTTGAATCCTCATTGGACTCAATGTCAACACAGGACTTGATGCTATTGGCGCGGGAATTTATTCGCAAACAGCGCCAAACAGGTGCCCCATGGCTTCACCCGCGCGTAATGCTAGCCTATGGACCTGTTCCCACAGATGCAGCTCGGTTCCCGTGGTGGTTCTCTAGTATTCTTCCCATCGCCGAAGAAGAAAAATACCCCATCTTGTCCGCGACAAGTGTTCGAGAGCGATTAAAAATCTGTGCGCGATGGGCAAGGGAGCTGGAGGCCCGTGACTGGCAAGTATCGATGATCCCATACCAATATTGCACATCTCTAATCTTTTCCTTCCAGGTCATCTCGCTCATCTCTCAATTCTGTCTTGTGACTAGCTGCCCCTCTCCTCTTCCTTTGTCTCATTCCACTGGCATTAAACCCTCTTTCGGCATTTATCAAATCCTTGACCCCCAATGTGTTCACGTCTTTGACCCCTTTCACATTCTCGATCTCAGTATCATTCGGGGGCTCGGCGCCTTTCCAAGAAACTATGCGACAGTTGAACGACCGCGAAGACTCACCAATTACCAGTACGGAGGCCTCCTCTGAGACATACTATATTCCACAGACCCTCGTTGTGGGTGCTTTCCTGGCCATCTTCTTTGCTCAGGTGGGTGCCAATTTTCTACAGGTCCTACGAACGGGAAGACGTCATAGAAGACAAGCAATGGAATTGCAGTTTCCACAACCGATTCCTCCACAACCACGACCTCCAGATTTGGAAGACGAAAGGAACAATTGAAGAAAGTGGGGACTATCAGGGATCATGGAGAGGGACTACCTCCGGCGGCAGGTCTAGAAGGCCATGCTGGATAGTGTGTCCAGCACTGCGATACCGGAAGACACATTCGTTTCAATTTTGACCAACATATTGAAGAGTATTGATTCCCCACCTGCACTTTTCGTTTTGTATTTATTTACTTAATATTTCATCTGTACCCGCGTGCTGGCAAGATGGGTTATATACCCAGGGTATGAACAGAACAGTTTGCACATACGAAATAGCATATAATGCTTTCAATCCCCCAAGTATTAAATTCGTAGTGTGCAAGATGCAAGGTTGGATACTCCCAGAGCTACTAGGTACCTACTACCTCCTGCCTAGTAGGTAAGCTACATACATAGCAACATGCTTGGAACTTGAAGCTCTTTTAATAATTTATACCCAGGTGCCTGTCCAAAGGTTAGATTTTCTGCTAATACCATCTATACCAGTAGATATGCTATTTAACCCAGATAAGCATTCTTTATACACAGAGAGAGGGGGGGGGGTCTCAAGCCTTTTCAATCTAAATACACCGGAGATAAACTTGGAATAGATATTGCTCTAAGCGTTCTTTGTGTTCTCAAGTGAGAGAAGGATCCTCTTTTAGAAGCTTTGTTTCAAATTTTCATTGCTCGAAAATATCCATCAAAGTGGACTTATCAATGAGCAAAAAGGGGCTCAGCTCCAATTGGGTACTCGTCTATAAAGAGCGATCAATAGCACCTGTCAATCTTCCAACATTTGAAATTTGGATTCCACATCCCCCATTGCTCATCGGAACAAACTTAATTGCAGACTGATAAAATATAATAGTATATGCCAATGATTGTCAAAAATGGTTTATTGTCCCATCCACCCACCAACTCATCTCCTGATTGGTAGGTGTCTCAAGCAAGGTCATGCTATTGAATGCCCAGTGCACTTTGGCAGCTTTCACGAACCTCGTGCTCTATGTGTAAAATGCGAAGCTGCATCTATTCTACCTGAGATACCCAGGATTCGGAGCGAAGATTATGAGTCGGAGCAAGCAGAGGATGAAAGGGAACTGTTGATAGGACCAATATTTGTGATATTGGTTCAAACAGGGGTCATGGTTCTTTTTGGAAGGATTGTCGCACTTTGGATCCTTGAGTTTCGTACAAGACATGGAAGATGCTGTTATTGAAATCCATAGGTTCCAAATTTCCAATAGGTCTTGCTTCTTGCTTCTTGGTCTTTGATTCTTTGTTTCGGGGGGGGGGGGAAAGTGATTTTCAAAAATAGTAACATGATCTACCCAGTTCTTCCCCAATCTTTCAACATTAGTATTCCTTGGAACGAAACCAACATTGAAGGCTTTAATTCGAGAAATTCGAGACATTCAGAATGTCCGAAAGTGGAAACTGGTCTATTGAACTTTGGACATTTTTGATTTTTTTGATGACGCTAAGATGGCGGGGAGAGCTGTGATTGGACGATCCACGCTGAGTCAGATCGAAACACCTTCCCAATCGGGACTCGGGACATCATCTCTCGGGAGACTCCGCTGAGCTAAGCCACGTAAAGGCACATGCATGTGTGTAATAGAGAATAGTTGGTTATATATACACGGAAAAAAAAAAAAAAGCTCAATCCGTTGCCCAATTGCCACCATGAGTCCCTCGCTAGCTTCGCCCCGCTTCAAGTCGAAGTACTTACCCAAACCGAATCCCCCCCCCCTTGCTTCATATGTTCTCGCCTTTTTTTTCCTCTCGGTGTTCCATTTTCACGCTCCGTTTTGTCGTGTCATCAATTGACATTCTTAGTCTTTTCTGATTGGTCACATACCTAACTGGGTGACCTTCTCGTTACCTTCATTACCTTGTACAGTGGAACGACTGACTGGTGACCTCTTCTGGGAAAGGGCTTCAGCCATTCCCCCCACCTTATATCTGGCTTAATGGTATATCGAGGCAAACCAAGCGCTGCCTGCGAGCGTTGCCGTTCAAGACGGTTGAAGGTAGGTTGGATCCACTTGACGCCTCATCTTCAGACTATACAGCCGCAACCAAACCAAACAAAACAAGAATAGAAGAGAGCCAAGAAGAAAAAGCAAACATTTGAAAGGACATCTGGAAAGCGCAATAAACTGACCTAGCTCACTAGTGCGATCAAAGTATCCCATCCTGCTGCGCATGTATCAGAGCAAAAGTGGATTGTCCTGGATATCGAAATCGCCTTGATTTGGGCTTCCGGGACCAGAATGAAGAGGTGATTAGCCGGGCGCAACGCGCTGCCAGGAAGAAGCGGTCTGTCGTGATAACACCTCCAAGTACAGAGGTATCTGTTTCATCTGTCGCCCTAGGATTTTCTCCGAGAAATGTTATAGAGTATCCGGCTCAAGATTTGGCTAAAGGCTATTTCTTTACCCACTACATTACTGGGGGTATCGCAGGGGGGCATATGACTTACCTTTTACCTCTGATTACGGACCCTGGAAATATAGCGGTGAATTCCGCTCTCAATGCAGTCGGATTGGCGGCCTTGTCTAATATTCGATTATCACCCCAAATGATGTTGAAAGCGCGACACGAATATTCAAAGGCTCTATCAGAGACCAACCAGGCATTGGCGGATGTTGCTATGTCGAAAAGGGATGACACCCTGGCTGCAGTTGTCTTATTGGGCATGTTTGAGGTGAGTCTGTCTTTTGAAAATCTGGTGACTTTGATCAAGTTTTTGAACAGAATCCAGGTTCTAACGTGCTCCGATGGGTCCTTTATCGACCGTTGGATGAAACATATGGAGGGCGCCACCCAATTGATAGAATTTCGAGGTGTTGATCAGTTGGGTCGCCGAGAAGGGTTGGATTTGTTCACCCAGTTACGAGCTCAGATCGTCAGTTCTCAGTCTCCAGAGAACGTGGTTGAATGAAGTCATACTGATTAGTGAACGCAGCACATCGGAAAGATATACCAGGAAAAATACAGCTCACCGCTTCTTTTTCAGCTGTCTGAAGATGCGATGAAATACCGAGACTTGAATGACCACATTATTGATGAGCTTGGCCTCGAAGTCATCCGTCTTAGTAATTTTTGTGCATCAATGAAAGATGGAAGTGTTACAGACCCTGGCGAGATTATTCGCAATGCTTTGATCATCGACGCGAATCTCACATCACTCTTCCTCAGTGTTCCCGCCTCTTGGAACTACAGGACAGTCAAAGTTCCACTCTTTGATGGGGAACCTATCACTCGAGCAGTCTGGGGAGACAGCTACCATATTTATGGAAGCCTCGCAGCAAGCAGCATGTGGAACAATTACCGCTCCGCCCGAATTCTCGTCCACGAACTTATCATTGATACTGTCAAGGCACTTGACGCCTCTGCCGAACCTACTGATCGTCGGCAACAACATGCCTTGGCAAGTCAAAGTCGGCTAATTGCACATCAATTGGTGGAAGATATATGCTCCAGTGTACCCTTCAATCTTGGCGCAGGAACCGAAGCTGATGATGGCAACGACATTGAAGCTTCCGCCCCATTCCAGGTGACAGCGGCAGGCGGATTCAGCCTTATGTGGCCGCTGTTGATTGCCGGTAACTCCGGCCTTGCCTGTAAAGAACTCCGCCAATGGATTACCAACTGCTTGGACAAGATCGGCCATTCCATGGGCATCAACCAAGCATTAGCAATGGCACATCTTCTGCGGCGAGGAATGGGTTCCCGGGCATGGCTTTCGGAGGACATTACCACACCGAGCAGTGATTATTACATCGGGGCCACTCAAAATTAAATAGATTGCGACATATTAGAGCTAAAGTATTCTTAGAGCCTTGGACCTGGCATGCACATGATATGCGAAACAGAAACAAAACCCTTGGAGAGATCCATATATATTTTTTTGTAACCTATGTAGACTTGAAAGAAATTTCCAAAGTTCCAAGATTGGAACATAATAGGGCTTCCACCTGGGCAATTACGTACATATATGTACATATGTAGCTTGAAAGGGTTTGATCCCCATGTAGGAACTTTTGGGTGCACATGTGTGGAACATCCAAATGTTTGAAAGTCTAGAGATTGGTGGAAATTCGAACAATAATATTGAATACGCTCAAGTTCGTTCTATAAACAAATGATGACAATAAAAAGTTTCACCAATACCCCCTGTGAATATAAACCAAAAGAAAAGAAAAAAAACCTCCCAAATTAAGCCTAATAGGCGAGATGGAGTACTCCAGCCCTGAGCATTCAAACACCAACGTATTGAACCATGACTCCTAATCCTTGCAATATTTTCACTCTGCACTGATCGCAGAATTGGTTATCTGCCAAGTCCCAATACCAGAAACAGCCATTTATCTGGGCTGCTGGTTGTGTCGTGCATAATCTTGGTAGTATGCATTTTGAGCTCCAGCCTCGGCATAGGATACAGGCTGGCCAGAGTTGCCACCTTCCAGAGAATGACTCTCCGGCCGAACAATACCCCCTCCGACAGCGCGATCAATGGTAGATTTAGGAGTAATCACACCCAAGACGGTGTACATCAGAACAACCAAAAATTCCTCGATGGTGGCCATACCCAGTTGAACGGCTGGATCACCATCAACCAAGGAAAACTTTGCATCATGACCAAAGTCACTAATCAAGCTGTACAATAACCGGACAGCAATCAGAGGCAATGCAAAGAAGATGCACATATAGATCCGTTGTTGACTTGGTAGCATTTCACGGAGATCTCGTAAGGTGATGATAAAAAGAGTGCAAGTGGCAACGTAGATCAGGAGGAACATGATGATTGCAGCCTCAGTCTCCTTTTTACCGCTTGAGCGGTCTGATGCGCTCGATGAAGATTGATCGGATCCACCGCTGATTGCTAAAATCAAGGCGATGAATGAGGGGATATGGAGGAGTTGAACGATTTTGCTGCGACGAGATATGGCGGTTGCTTTCTTGTTGAAGATGGATACACTGAGACAGGGGGATTCATTAGAATTGAAGAGCCGGAAGATGAAGTTATAAATTGGGAATGCGAGAACTTACATTTTACCGATAACAGGTAGGTAGCCTAAGACTTCGAGCACGGTATTGCCCTTGGAATCTGGATCCGATGGGATATGGGTAGTTGTCTCATCAAAGCTGATTCGAAGTTAGTAATGTTAGAAGAAGAAGAGAAGAGAAACATTCGACAAAGGTGAGATCGAAGATCTCACTTGAGCCTTGGTACACTCACATTCTTTTCAAAAGTCCTAATGTTGAAAGAAGAAGAGGAGAAAGGCCAACGGATTGTAGGATGACAGCCCATTCTTTGTCGCTTGTGTTATCAGGGTGGTTGGTGCTCAGAATCTCCATGACAGCTCCGGCAACACGAATGACTCCAAAGATACAGAGATAGATCCATCCCAACTGCTTGTGGAATCCATGACGAACAACCACAAAGATGGCCAGTAAGGTGACGGGGATGTATATGACCAACTCTGCAATGGCAATGTGCTCAGTGGTGACGGCCATTCTTCAATGTATTAATAGCTTGAAAGCTGTGCACTGAAAGGCAAGAGACTGCAAAGTTTCCAAAAAAAAAAAAAAGAAAAAAAAAAAAAAACAAGCAACTTTATAAGTCACTTCTTTGACTTGGCACTTGGCTTGAGAGTGTGAAGAAAAGAAAATTACAATGGTGCTGACAGGGGATTTATATTCGACACCTGAGTAGGTAATAGTATCTACATGGCTGCCTGACTCCAGCTGACTCCAACCAAACTTTGAAAGTAAGCCTTCAAATGTTTGAAATTAAGATATTCAAATGTTCCATATTTGATGGCTACGATGCGAAGCATTCCTAAACCAGACTGTGGATACAGAAGGGAAAAGTCAATCCTTTTACTCCCGATCATACCAATAAGAGAGCTCTGAAGAGGAAGAGGCTTCGAAACCCCACTATTTAGACCCCAAAAATTATAAATAAAATAAAAATAAAAAATAAAAATGAAATAAAATAAAATAAAATAAAACAAGCAACTTGAGTTCCAAGGCTGAATGGCTCCACTTTTCTTAATTGGGAAGCAGTTTCGATATGCATAACCACTGCATATACGATCGCCACAGAAGCTTGGACCTTATGATGTGGATATACACGTGTTTCCCGTTACGGTGCTTAGTACCAGTTTCCCTTTATGGACCCTTGATCGTCATCATACTTCAAACATCCTGGTTCAAATTGATCGTCAACTTGACTTGCCCAGAATGAGGGAACCACGAAACGGAGTTGATAGTATTTAAGGAAAGCATTAACCATGGGAGAGAAGAAGAAGAAGAAGAAGAAGAAGAAGAAGAAGAAGAATAAGAAGAATAAGAAAAATAAGAAGAATAAGGAGCAAAAGCAATTGGATCACGCTCAGCAGATTCAACTCTCTCTCTCTCTCGCCTACGAATCAGCCCTGAACCTTGAAATCCGAACGTTGCCAAAGTGAGACCCTGGTTGGCAACAAAAAATGACTAGCGCCGTGTCTTCCGTCCTTCTCCTCTCTCTTGGTCTTGTTGCTTCTACTCATGCTGCCGATTATGATTGCCGACCAGGCCAAAAATGTTGGCCATCCTTGAGTGAATGGAGGCAATTAAATACCAGTGTCGCTGGTAACCTTTTCGAAACCATCCCAATCGCCGCTTCTTGTTACAAGAACTCTGGACACTATGATGCAAAGGCCTGTGAGGCTGTTGAAGATTACTATGGTGATAGTATTCTTCGTGGAGAGCATTTTGGGCAGACATACTGGTTGAACTGGGAGACTTGTCATGCCTCTGGTTGCACACTTCTGGAGTCTGACCCAAGTGAGCTCATGTACGCCAATTGTTCTATCGGTGGCTTGGCTTCGTACTATGTTGACGTTCATGAGCCATCGCACATTGCCGCCACTCTCAAATTTGCAACCGCCCACAACATTCGCATCAGTGTGAAGAATACCGGTCACGACTTCTATGGACGGTCTTCTGTGCCGAATACTCTCGCCATCTGGACCAAGAACCTCGACAACCTCACTTTCTACTCCAACTTTACCGCTCATGATTGCCCCGCATCTAACAGCCAAAATGTTGGAGAGCTTGGTGCTGGAGTTGTTGCACAGGATGCATACCGTTTCTTTAATGGCCATGGCATGGATGTCATGGGAGGATATGAGGAGTCTGTTGGTCTTGCTGGTGGATTTGCACAGGGAGGAGGCGTCGGTTCATTCACCACGACATATGGTCTCATGGCCGACAACGCCGTGGAGTTCGAAGTCATCACTGCCGATGGAGAGTTGCGCATTATAAACCAGTGCAATGATCCCGACCTGTTCTGGGCCATGCGTGGTGGTGGAGGTGGTACATACGCAATCCTTACCAAGTATCGCGTTCAGCTTTTCCCATCGCTGCCGATCCACACCTACACGTTCACGGCAAACATCACCAATGCTACAGCTCACACGAATGCGACAACGAACCTTGCTCTCCGTGAAATCCTCACAGAGCACGCCAAGAGTCAGATCGGTTGGTCTGCTCAGCTCATTACTGGTCAGATTGAATACTTTCCTGAGAAAGTTGCCATCAGCTTGGTCCTGGTCTATGGTGACAATGGATCGAAGTTGAAGTCAGCTACGACGAAGTTTGCCCAGTTTCTCGGCAATCGCACAGACCTTTCCGTATCAAAGAACGGATACAATTCATACACAAACTACGCCGAGTACCTGTCTGTAACTGCTGCCGATGCCAAAGTTACCGAGCCATCCGGGATATACTCTCTTTTGTCTTCGCGATTGATCCCTACCACTGTATTTGCGGAGCCAAAGACTCTCGACGCCTTGGTAGAAGGTGTCTTGCAAGGAATCACTGAAGCCAGAAGTCTTCTGAATCTCACGGGTACACAGATCGTCTGCGAGACTCCTGTTAGCAATTCAAATGCCGACGAATCATCGGCCGTTAATCCAGCTTGGCGTGATGCCCTGTGGCATGTTATTCACGTTGGTGAATGGCTAGAGCCCCTGGAGGATAGTGTACTGAGATCAACTGCCGATGGGATCTTGCACACGGTGGATCCTTTGAAGGAGTTGAGCCCAGGTGGTGGAGCTTATTTCAATGAAGCCAGCTACCTGGAGCCTGACTGGGAGCAGACATATTTCGGTTCATTCTATGACAGACTTTTGGATGTGAAGAACCGATATGATCCTACTCACATATTTGATTGTTGGAAGTGTGTTGGATGGAGAGGAGAGGCTGAGTGAGTGTCTTCTATTGTCCTATCGTCACCGTGTATTTGGGAATGTGCTAACTTTTACCCATCAGTCCATTCTACTCCTGCTATGCTTGAGTTTAGTAGCCAGTCGATCTCTCGTGCAGGCTATGAAACATTTTGCGCCAATTGAGCATATAATCGGATGCATACCGGGAGATTTGAATTTTGGCTTCTGAGGCTTGAAAATCCAGCATTGACTTGGTGTTACTGAGAATTGTCGAGTTCAAATGTTTACGGTTGCGCAAGGATTTATAGCAATAGAGATCTATGTACCTGGAAAAGAAATTCTGGATACACGTGGACATCTGGATGCATGTGTACATATTCACATGCAATATTAGACTGGTACCATTCGAAGATCTGGGCATCCATGGATGATCAATTATATTTGTCAACTGGTACCTCCTATCCATGTAGGATATTGATAATCAATATACATAATGTATATGCATGCATGAATTTCCGTCTTAGCAAAATCGTGTATACTTGCTAGAATAATTCTAAATAACTTCAAACGCCGGAAAATATTGTTTCACAACACGGTCCAGCTCCTTAATAACAACAGGCTTCACCAGGTATTCGTTGGTGCCAGCATCTTCCGCAGCAATCCTATCGGATGGACTATCTTGGCCAGTCATCATGAATAGAGTGCTCTTCCTCCATTGGTTTCCTTCCTCCAAAATTCGTATTTGCTTAGTCGCTTCAATTCCATCGCAGACTGGCATTTGCAAGTCCATAAATATCAGTTGAAACGCAGACTCATCGCCACCAGCACACAGTGTTTGACGCTGGGAAAACATCTCAACGGCTTGCTGGCCATTCATGGCGGAATAAAAGGGTAATCCTCGTTTCTTGCAGTACATTTCTATAATGCGGAGGTTGATGGCATTATCGTCCACAATTAGAGTAATGGGCCTAGGCGAAGTTATGGAAGTAGGGAATGTCGGTGTTGATATTCTCAAGTCCCCAAAAGCTGCTAGATCTGGCAAAAGTGTTGCTGGTATATTGGCGTCTGAGCTGGAATGTATTGAGTTGGATGTTGATGAACGAGATGTAGCATCTTCGTCTGTACTTGGGTCGCGGTATAGCTCCGAAGGAGAAATATAAGAGTTACTGGGTTGCAGGCACGGCTGGGATAGTTCTGCTCCGGCAAGGATATCTTGTGCTTTTTCAAGCGAAGAGCACATGATTGAGGTCGAAAAGGGTCCATAAGCATAAACGACATTATTCGCAGTGCGTTCAAGATGAATCCCTGCTTCCGAGTCAGGGACAAGACAGATGGCAACTTGTCCGAATGGGATTTGAGACAAATGCAGGCGGTGCAGTTCTAGATCGGGCACAGCATCAAGAATGACTATGCAATCTTCAATACTGTCTGAGCGAATAAAGCCATTGCATGTAAGAGAATTGGTAAAATCATCACGCAAAAATGCGCAGTCGGAGGTGGTCTCCAGGTTGAAGAATTTGGAAGGTAGATTAATGAATTTTGAAGCCAGTGACTGCGGTGGGTTTGAGGAGATGAACTCAAGTTCCCGGAATGTGGCTCTGAAATGGGAGCCACGGCCAACATGAGATGAAACTAGATCGATGGACCCATGGAGTAGTGTTGCAAACTTAGATGATAACGTGAGGCCCAATCCAGCACCTGCTGAGTGCAAGCTGACCTTTTCGTAGGAATCAAATATGCGCTGTTGTTGATCGACAGGGATACCTCGACCAGTGTCTTTGACATCGACAGTAAGTTGCTTGCAGTCTAAGTCTATCGAGATGGCTATCGATACAATGCCTTCTGATGTATTTTGGATTGAGTTGATGATCAACGGAACAAGACTGTCTCGGAGCACACCAAGATCACTTCGGAAACTCTCAAACCTTGGGGGCAAGTGGCGAGTAAAAGATATAGAGGTCTTATAGCGGGCGTCTCCGGATGTTAGCTTAAGTATCTCACTTTCAATTTCTGCCTCGAGTTCCTCGACAGTATGCAGGGCATACTGCCGGTCTGTCATGGCAATGTCAGTCCATCGGTTCAGAGTTATCATGTTGTTGACGATTGAAGTCAAATCTCGACCCGCCATCTTGATTATATTGAGATACATGGAAGGATCACGTGGAGCGATCTCCGATGTTCCCTTCATCGGTGCTGATACTTGGGTTGCGGAGTCGCTCAAATTCCGCGACTGTAGTTCCTCGGCTAGGAGTTCAACGGAACCAAGGATGCCATGAATCGGCGTGCGGAGCTGATGAGAAACTCCTTGGAGAAACTTCTCTTTCGCTTTCATTGCTTCTATCAGAAGGCTTTTCCGCCACATCTGCGAGAGCGTATCGGCGCAGCTTTGAACAAACCACGAATCGATATCGTCAAATACCAGTTTTATGTCTTTGGATGCCACGATGAGTAACGATGACCCTGTTGTACATTCACATTGAGCGGTGATGATGCGTACTACCTTATCGGACGGAAGTGCAAGATGGTTTGAATTTGCAATCAAATCGTCAAAGTAGTTGTTGTCTTCCCATATTCCATCTTCAAATTCAGACATTAGTATCGGATCGCGTCCTTCAATCTTGACATGGGTTGCATTGGATGGCTGTTTGCTGATTATTGCATCAGGGTATATAGTACGCAAGATGCCAAGGACAGGCTCCTCGGATACCGTATCATCTGTTTCTCTCTGAACCATAGAGAGGAGTTCGGACATTCGCCGTCGATCCCGCTGGCGTCTTGCTCTTGCACATTGAACGAGATCAGAGACGACCCAGTCGGCTAGACGAACCAGAGCCTGGTGTTGTGATTTATTCAATGGCTCTTCGATCTTACTCGAGGCCACGCAGAGTGATCCAAGACCCACGGAATCTCCATTCTCGGTCTGCAACCGAAGTGGCGCGCCAGCGTATGCGTGAAGGCCCCCAAGTTCTACATATGGTGATTCTTGGAACCTCCAGTCCTCCATCATGTTCGGCAAGTGGAAGACACTCTGTAAAAGATATTCAGCGCGTGGTGAGTAAATGGCACAGGAATGCGCAACGTACACCAGGAGGTTGGGTAACTGTGTGGGCACAGATAGTTTCCCCACGCGGGAGAATGCCTAGCTCAAGCCCCACTGTGGCCAATCGGATATAGAAATCGACATCCTGAATGCCGATCACTGAAAACTCCCATCCAGTGGATTCCTGGGCAAGATACGCTTTCTCCTGGAGGCCCGAGAGAAACTCATTCTCTTTGAGAACATCGCGTGTATAGTACCATAGCATGGACAATCGGAGTCTTTCATTCTCGGCAAGGGAGGCACGTAGGTATCGATCGGAAAAGCAAGGCGGCCTTTCGGGGACTGTCGCGGGCGCATAATTCTCTGTCTGGGGATAACATTCTGCATCGACGTCTGATGACCATGGGTCGATCGGCCGGTTTACATTTTCCCGATCGAAGACGGGTCCCACGGTCTGTGGACGAGTTGGCGGGGGTGCATGCTTCGATGTCAGAATAGCTGCATCCGCCTTTGGAAAGAACGGGATCCGCCGCCCACTGTTGGGGGCCATACTTTTTTGGGCAGCATTAGAGACTTGTAACCTTCATGGGATTCAAGGGCCGTTGGTAAACACTCGCGATGGCACGTGACTTTTGCCCCGCGGAGTCAGCGTGTCACGGTCGGCTCTGATCACCCACAAACTTGGATTTGCTTTGCCCTAAGGCGATTCTAGATTCTAGACGAATCCGAAAAAGAAGGAGAAAAAAACGGGAAAAAAACGGGGGAAAAAAAAGGAAATCGCAGACTTGGGGGCAGACATTACGGTAATATTACGATACACTCTCTATTAATTTTTACCTTAAGTGCTATGTGGTTATGGCCGGGGTAGTAGACAAGATTGGTTTAGCGCCCTGTATACGTGGTGTAATTATTACATGTATCTAATACGGAGTACAGTAGTCTGTATTCAAATGTTAGAATTGAATGTAAATAGTATGTTTTGGTCTAGACTTTATTAAAAGGCCTAGGCTAATACAATGTTAACCCTTTTAAGAAGAAAACTGTTCATATGGGATTGCAACTTGCAAGGAACTTCATATTTTGATACTTTCTACCTACTACTAGTAGTATTCCCTTCATTTAGTGGGCTCGAGGTCATTGTGATGATCCTTTGTATAGCTTGATGTCTTGAGTGATGGACCATCCACATTGGATTGTGAATCAAACTGGGCATTCTCTTCGTCGGTGGTATCTGTCAGGGTAACCGCGACTTGTTCTCCAAAGTTCTTAGCGATTTCTTCCAGGGTCAACCGAGCAGTCTCTGGGAAGAAAAAGTAGATCACTATGGAATGATTAGAGAAAAAAAAAACTCCAATGAAAAGAGAAAGTATTTTCAAGAAATAAACGTACCTGGAATGAAGAATGCAGACCAGAAAATAATGACAAGGTAATATTTCCAACCGCTATTGTTGAAACCTATTGGTGCAGTCTCAAGAAGAATGAGAGTAGCTGAGATTATTAGTTCCAAATTACATCTATTCAAAATAAAAATATTCATGTGTATGCCAAATATCAGACTCACCAGCAAATTGACCAAATAAAGAGAAACCCATACCGATAGGCCGGATTTCTGTTGGGAAAATTTCCGACACATAGAGGTACATTGTCGTATCGCAAAAGGTTCTAGATAATTATTAGCACCTAGAAACATTATCGCAGGTTCAAAGACAAAACCTACCCTTGAAATGCCAAATACAGGTATATGAACAGAATTCCGAATCCGTTGCCGACCCGATTGGTTGTGCCGGCGAATTGAGCTGTCATAGCTGCAAGGCAAGAAGTAGTAAGAATGATGCCAACAAAGCCAGTGATGTACATCTTGCGTCGCGAATTGACTCGGTCGTGGAGCCAAGCTCCCAAAGGGTTATAGATGAGACCTGCAACGTATTAATGCTTGGGGGCTAAAGCCACAAAAAATATGCAAGACAATGGATCATACCTGCTGTTGTCAACCAAACAGCACTCAGGAGTAGAGGCATACTGCCCTTCATTCCAAGATTTGTATACAGAAGTACGGCGTAGTTGTTCTGTTATGCGTTCAGCTAAAATTAAGACATCTGCTCCTGGTTTTAACTCACGATGATTAGTGGACCGCCAAATTCAGCACCCCATTGGGTCACAAACCCAATGATCATTCGCTTCCTGTACGACTTTTTCTTCCAAACAGCCATCCAAATATTACCATATGTAGCTAGTCGCTCCGCCTCGAGCTTGATTTGCTCTTTTACCTGGAGGAACTCTTCCTTGGCTGATACAGGTGAGGTGCGAAGGCGTTCAAGCACAACACTAGCCTCTTCAAATTTTCCCTTTGAAATCAGCCACCGAGGCGACCGAGGAAGCCAGTAAGATCCGAGTAGAAGGATCAATGGTGGAAGACACTGAAGTGCCAAGGGGAATCTCCAGCCGAATGCCGGCATGGTATCTTGTGCATAGTAACACGCAAAGCCCACCCATCCAGCGAGCATGTACCCAAATACAAGAAATATGGCATGGTGGCCAACCAACCAGCCACGACGACTGGCACTTGACATTTCGGACAGATACATCGGGCAGACGGTGACCAGAATACCAATCCCAAGACCACAGATAAATCGACCGGCTTGGAACATGGCCAGTGAATTCGAGCCAGCCTGCAAGGCTCCTCCGAATATGGAGAAGAAAGCGCCCAGTTGAATATTTGCCTTGCGACCGTAAAATTCACATGACCACATCATGAAGAGTGTACCAACAGCTCCGCCAGCACTGAAGACGCCATTGGCGGTTGATATTGCGGGGGTTGTAATCGTGGCATATCCAGGTTCACCGTCCTGTGGAAGATTGAAGTACGCATACCACCCTGGCTGGCCGATCGTACTGGAGATGATAGAAGCGCAATATCCGTATGTCTAGAAAGGTTAGCCAGAATTAGACGAGAGAAGCTAATAGATGGCTGCAATAGAGATGGAATCGAATAAACGGAGTAAAATTGCAGATGAGGGGGGATACAGGGACGTGCTGGTACCATCCAATCCTCTTCCAAGGGCACATACCATAGACCCAATGGCCACGAAAATGGTGACCAGTCTGTTATAGAGACTGGTCTGGGAGCTGAGACTGCCCATCATGGTATTTTATTGCAACGGAGACGACCCTTATTAGTCGGACATGACAAGAAGAGAAGATGTTTCTGAGAAAAAAGAAAAGAAGAGAATTTAACAACGAGGCTCTGGGCCAGGGAGCTTGTGGACTGCTTCTGTTGCAGGAACAACTGAAATCCGATATCATTATTGGTTGAAACAAATCCACCATGTCATGTGCATATGTACATTGTCGTTGGCGGAATGCAGAAACAGCTCACTCGAGCTGCAGCCATGCTGTCTAGCTCCTGAGGGAGGTGGACCCTAAGGTTGAAGGTAACAACCCACAATATATGCCTGATCCCTGCAGATCAGCACGCTAGAGTACCTAAAAGCGTATTGGATTGTCATTGTCAAACCTACCAGTTGACATAGACCTCGGATTGTCTCCTCTTGAGTCCCCCGCACCTTTCCTGTCTTTATCACCAGAGTTGAGAGCAAAGGCTTCAATGTTTCCAGATGTCTTGACACCTTTGAATTGATGACTCTATGAGTGAATTTTTTGAAGAAAAAAAGCGCTAAACGCGTCATGTATATATAAATCAAATTTGTGGGCTAAAATAATACAATCCATAAGCGATACAAGCGCACATGCAGACTACTAACTTCGGGTTCGGTGGGATACCGAGCTAATTTCTGGACTAATGCACGTCGGTTCTGGGGCCAAAAGAAGAGGACAAAAAAAAAAAAAAAAAAAAAAAGAGAGAAGGAGAGATTGAGCGCCGATATTAACCTTCTGCAGATAATCTACTAGTACTTAGTACATAAATTATTAAAATATACACGAAGAAGAAAGATAATTAGTATAGTATATGCCAACTTTATTACCAGTCATTCAAATCTTTAGCAGAGTGTCAGTAGATTAGGCAAAGAGTAAGTCGACAAGCCCAACAGAAGGATTGGTTATCACAAATACGTACTAGTCACTCTACATTCAATTCAAAGTTCCCAACAGATTGCTCCATTGGCCGATTGACGCCTCTTTGCTCGAACTCGTTTCCTCTTCCAACATTCACCATCACCACTACCCTAGAAATTAGAATAATGATCGAGAATTTAGTCAAAGACGGAGCAGAGGCAGCTAGACTGGCATTTTCATCTTCGGTGGAAACTCCCATTCTTCCCCTCCCAAAAGAGCGACTATCCCTCTCGCACCGCCTCAATTGTTTCTTCCGACTCTGGTTGCTCAAATTCCTCGCGACCCTCTACTTCCTCTACCTCCGCCTCTTCCATCCTCCTCAACCGGGCACTCAACCCACACTCACCAAGCGCTACGCCTGCCGCCCAACTCTGGAAACTCGCATCTTCTATCCACGATCTTACAACCCCGCCGAGCGCCAACTCCTCCCCCTCTACCTAAACATCCACGGCGGTGGCTTTGTAATGTGCGATGCCACCGTCGACGATTCCTTCTGTAGTAGTTGGGCCAATCGTACTGGAATGCTAGTCGTCAGCCTTAACTATCGCAAAGCGCCGCTCCACCCCTTCCCGACTGCCACATTTGATGTTGCCGAGGTAGCCAAGTATGTGTTAGCCGATGAATCTCTCCCAATCGATCACTCTCGGATCGCCATCGGTGGCTTCAGCGCGGGCGGAAAACTTGCACTGTCTGCCTCACAATGTCCCGGTCTGAAAGGCCTGGTCAAAGCAGCGGTAATATACTATCCAATCGTGGATTTTGGTCACCCGCCCAACGAAAAGCTGGATTCAAGACCATATAAAAATGGTCCAAATGATTCGCTGGAAAAGACATCCTGGTGGCTGGACTGGGGGTATGTGCGTGTAGGGCAGAACCGGAGGGATCCATTACTCAGTCCATTGTACGCGGGGAAGCATGAGCTACCGCCATGGATTTATATGATTGGGGCACAGTGGGATATGCTCCGATTGGAGTCTCAGGAGATGATTCACCGGTTGGCCGGGTTGGACGATAGAGTTGGGGTTGAGCAAGAGGAGGACTTCGAGGTGGGCAAGTATAAGTGGACCTTGGCAAGGGGTTGTCCGCATGGGTTTACCCACGCATCGCCGGGACGGAAGAAGGGGGGTAACAGTAAGATGAGGAGAGAGGAGGTTACGCAGGGGATTTATGCGGAGGCCCATAAGTGGTTGAAAAAGTCTCAGGTGCTTTCTTAGATTCTAATTGTTCTTATAAATTCGTTGGTTTACTACATCAACGAAAAACAAAAACATACAACAGTCAGGATTCGCATGTGATCACCCACCACACTACTAATTGACGGCTGCTTTAGGGTCGCGCGACCGGGGGTGATAAGGACCCTCGAGGCTCACCACGCTTTCATGCTTGACCAGATGAGAAACGTCACGCCTGGGAGACAGATAACGATTCCAACTATTGGGACGGACTGCGACCTGACCTCACGAACTCTTCTGTCTTCGCTCGCTACCAAACACTTCAATCAATGTCTTTGATGCCCCTCTCTGGAAAGACTGCAGCTGAAGATATTCTAGCTCCTAGGATCAACTGGCCTCGACTGATCGTATTCTTCCAAAAAAAGCTCTCCGAGCAAGTCGCCATTTTGAACCCAGCTGTTAGTGATGAGATAGTCACATCTTTCTCAGTCATTGAGACTATTCAGACCGAGGGCCGTCGCTGTGACACTGACCATGGCTATTACCCTGATCTCGGAATCTATCATGAACTCACTGTCAAGTCCCCCGACTGGGTTCAGATCTTGATACTCCTGTACTGGCGAACGGCTCAGCAAGCATTCGCTTGGGCAATGTTCTGTTCTCTTCTTCGCCGCGGTACTGTGGAGTTTGACTGTCTTGAATACCCTATGGACCTTTTCCAGATCTCATCCAACGCCCATGCCATTTCTAGCCTATTATTCTGTTTCCCAGCAGTTCAAGAAATCTTTGAGCCAAAATCAGAAATATCTGAGCTGCAGGCAGGTCCGTGGTACTCAGCTTTGGACTGGTAAGTCATCTTATCCCCACCTCTTTGTCTCCGATTTTTCAGATCGGCATATCGTCTACTCACCCAAGAACACACGAAGACTATTTACTAACGCATCGATCACAGGCTTTCAGCCGCTATCGCCAGAAGTGGGGTGGCCATCTCACAATTAGTGAAAGACATTGAGGACAGTGGCATCTTCGGCGGCATCGACCAGCAGGCATACACCACTTTCAAAAAAAAAGAACGCGCAGCTTCAGAATCCTCAAAATCCCCGTGATTGCGAAATATGGAGTTCATTTTGCTTTTCGTCCGGGTCAGACAGAATTCTTCAGGCGCTTAGAAGATACCCATGTAACATATTCATTAGAATGCTGAGTATTTTGACCTACTGCCCAGTTGACCGAACCTTGATAAGCACGATAAGCACGACGCACTTTCCAAAGTTCCCCCTCTCTCCAGTTCAACTTCTCATCCTTTGTCAACCCTCTTTTGGCTTGCGTATCCCCATTTCCAAAGATGTCGACTCTTCTGAGCCTTCCAGATGGTATTCTTATAAATATTCTGACTTTTTTTCTCCCTCATGAAGCGACTGAGTGGCAGGGCCTGAGGGAAGGCCGAATTGAGAACCAAACAAAAATATATGACAAGGATGACTACCAGGTTAGCGATGGATATGGAGATTTATACACAACCTGCCTCGTCGCAAAGAAACTTCGTGGCGTCGCCCAGCCTCTACTCTTCCAGAATTTCGCCGATCATGCTCTAGATAGGCACAATGGGATGACTGTCTCCTTCGCGAAAGCTCTGAATCGTCGCCCAGAGCTCGGGAAATTCCTTCAGGATCTCACAATATCAGCACCTTTTGACCCTGAGCCTTACGAAATTTCCAAAGAAGATATCCAATTCTTCACAAACGCAATCAAAGACCTCGATCTCGGCAAGGCAGAAAAGACTTGGATTATTGCCATGGAGTTGGGAGATGTCAGTATCTTTGCTGCCTTGATTCTCAAGAAGACTCCCAACATTCGTCGCATGATTCTCCCTGGAGGTCTGCTTTCCATGAGTCCCTTCTCGACGCTGTTGCGCCAGGGCCCTTCTTTTTTGCCAAACCTTGAGAATGTCTGTTTCATCGGCAATGATGACTATTGCGGTTACAATATTGCAACTTATCTTGAATTTCTCACTCTTTCCAAGCTCAAGACCGCAGTCTTCTCGTACGGAGATCTTCAAGCCGAGAATTTCTCGTTCAAATTGGAGCCTAAATCATCGGTGGTCGAGGAGCTAGTTTTCGACAATTGTGAAATCGACAATTTGTGCCTTCAAAAACTCACCGGAGTATTCAAAAATCTGAAGTCGTTCTCGTATGACAGCTTTGCCTTTGATTTTGGCATTGCCTTGAGCCGCCCTCCTGATACCTACAGAGGGTCTCAATTCAACGCAGCACATGCCCATGAAGCCCTCTTTGAGCATCGAGAGACTCTTGAGTATCTGCGACTAGATTTTGCCAGGAAAGCTACCGATCTTGATGATCTGCCACGGTTCATATCAAACCAGACGAAAATGCCATCTTTGCGCGAGTTTACGGTACTTGAGAATGTTCGCCTTCAACAAGCCATAGTTCCGGACCACCCTCAGTTCTACCCCGCGCTAAAAAGACTGGTACTTTCCGACTGCAACTCATCTGTTGTCAAAACTGCCGAGAATATTGCTGCGGATTGCAAGGAAAACATGTATCCTGACTTGGCCAGCTTCACTATTCTTACACTCGATCTTGGAAAAGCTATTCCTGTATCTGGGCATCATAACGCGGAATCCAAAACAGAGGCAGATTTAGTTGCTCCTTTCAAAGAAAATATGGTCAAGTTCGGGATATTTGTTTCCCGAAGACCCGCAATCGAGGAGCTCATGGAGAGGCTTGCACTTGATGGTTAAAAGTGACTCTCTATGACTCCAAGGGGAAGACCCTTTCGCATGATCAGGGCATCATAGGGGCCTTCATGGCTATGAAAGCGATATAGAAATCTGGAAAACTTGTGACTGCGAATGAGCAACTGATGGCCATCTTGGAATTCACCAGAGCTAGCTAACGAGTTTCCACGGCCAGATACTGTAACAAAGCTGTCAACTGGTTCAAACTGTGGTTACCAAAAGCCTCAAGGCTACACAAAAATGATGCATATTAAGAAGGAGTATAGATTTACTTAGGATAATATTTTAGCTACCTATCACATAATCAGCTCTGGAAAGCATACATGTATTAGGAAAATTTACATTCAATGTTGTTATAGAATAATCTTTTCAAATGTTTCAATTTGTTATAAGTATTTTATCATGATATACCAAGTTGGATCAATAGTAATATAGTTAGTACTAGGTTTAGTGAGTCGATAATTAGGTCGGGGTACAGTCAGCCATAAGCCTGCGTGGTGTAGTACTAGTTACCAGCACTGATTTAGCCCAGAAAAGCGCCTGGTGCGGTTGATTAGAAAGCAAGTATGAGAGACCAAATATTATCCCCTGACCAATAAGCAGGCCGGATGGTGTAGTTGGTTATCACGTATCGTTAACACCGATAAGGTCCTGGGATCGAGCCCCAGTCTGGTCACTTCTTTTTTTCTTTTTTCTTTGTTCCTCCTTGTCAAACTCTTCTGATCTTTTTTTTACATGCTATCAATTTTCCCCCCTTGACTGATAGCACTAAGTACCTACCTACCAGATATAGTAGATCAGACTAGTACGTCAACAGCTCAAACAGATAGGAGCCTAGAACAGCTTAAGGATATTGGTTGAGTTGATAGGCTGAAAGTACCTATGGTGAAGACATCTGGAAGATACATACATGAGTCATAAATAACAGGCTGAAAGCAGAGAGCACTTGAGTAAACATTGAAAAATTCAATGTTGAAGAGGGGGAAACATGTGAAGGAAAACGTCTGGAGAAAGAGCGTAAGGGCGTAAGGACAGATAATACCTCTGGCAAGTGAGTCAGGCGAGGCTATGCGGCTGGATAATCAAGCATGAGCCACGACATCACATGCAGGTAGAAAGCAGCACTTGAGAGTACAAAATATATATAGAAGACATAATCAACCAGTTGACCGTAATGACACTGGTCGCAAGAATCCATGCCTAGCGCTTTACCAACATTCAAATGTTTCAAGTGCTAGGTTCGTAAGAATCAGTCAACATAGTATAGTTGAGGAATCCAATTCCACATGTGCAATCGAATGGACTACATCCTAGCAAAATCATGAGCATGAGTTCGGTACTGTATTGAAGCTTGACAGTCTTAAAGAATATCAGTATTTGCGGTAACTTACGGTCTCATTGAGTGAACACTTCTGAAGATGATGAAGGAAGCTCCATAGTAGATCGCGGGGGACCTCTCAAGTCTCTCAACGAAGCTTCGAGGCGTTGAAAAGTTCTATATCGGATTTGTGCCATAATATTTCGTTGCTCGGTTGAATAATCGTCAAGCAAAGAATTCGAGGTTTCTTTACTGACTATGCCGTAAATTCCGGATGCTCCCGCGACCAAAGTCAGCAAGCCCAGGAGGATGAGTACAATTATGAGAAAATCCGACATCTGGATGGTGGTTCCTGGAGTTCAAATGTTTGTTGCAAGACTATGCTCAGTTCAATGTTGTTTTTGACAGAGTTTTTGTTGGACAGCGAAAGGGACATTAAACCAAGAGATAACATTCGAAAAAGGCTTGAATATTTATATTGCAATGAGATGACTTTACGCGGCGTACATACTCCGTTTTTTTCTTCAATGTTGAAAATGCCCCCACCTTAAGACACAGAAAAAGGAAAGATAATTAGAAAAAGAAAAGTGGGTCTATAGTTCCACCGTATACCGTATAAGCCTTTCCATTTTGGCGTTCATGACTGGTCCGGAAGTCTCCATAGTCGATCGTTCAGGAATCAGGAGAGCTATGTATGGAGAACCATTACTGTACGTCATTGTAAACTGAAATTTGAAACATTCGTTACCAGAAGATTCCTCCCTGCAATTCTACGTGGCACCTTGATCAAAGATAAGAAGAGGTAGTCATGCTATTTTTGTTCTCGCATGGGTAGCTGAAATGCCAGAACTTGTGGGAATGTGTGGATATTCGGCCTCTGTCGGACACACCTGGTAACGCGCAACCTCTGTGGATATAACCAATTATTCTGTGGACTAGTGCGAGTTTCACTTTCTGTTATCGCTCCCGATAGGTTTAGCCTGGGCGGCCATAAGCTTATATGTAGGCCCATGAAAGAGAACAAAATTATGCACATAGTGATGCTTGAGGCGTTGAATAAAATTGTGGGTCGCGCTCCACATATGCAGAAAAAAAAAGTCTCAAGATTTTGTGCCACATATTTCGATACGACAGCTCAGTACATATACTTTCAATATTATTTAATGCCATTCTATAAATAATGATGAAGTTATTCAATCCAGATGTCCTGCCCCCTGCGCACTCATCAATCTCAAGTTGACTCAGCAGGACTTTTGAACTGCTCTTTCAAATACTGAAATATTTCCATCCAGTCAGCAGGTATGGGTTCATCAGCTGGGAAAAGTTCATCGGCAAGCTTCTCGCCAAACTCTCCAATATACCAGTAGTCCTTGAATATGTGAAGTCTCCAGGGATAAAGGAGGAAGATAAGACGAGCAACAAAGTCCCGAGCTTGCAGCAGGTCTATAAATGCGCCTTGGAAGGAATGAGGCCATGAATATATAGATGGAAGATGTCCGTTTGCGTTTTTGCCACCAAACATGTCAAGGAGAGTTTTCACGGTGACAATGTACACTTGGTGATTTGGCGAAGAGAGATATGTATCGGGCTTCTCAAGTTGAGCCAGTATTTGGGACCCAAGACTACAAAGACTTGTCAGTGGGGAAAAAAAACCCCCTGGAAAAAAATATGTTTTTGGAGGGGACTTGCTGGTGCAGTTTTGAATTTGCGCGTCGTTCTCGAGATATTTGCTTATCATTTCCGCTATCCTCGCCTTGACTGGCTGACAAGATAATGTCGGAATCAGATGACAGGGTTTGGCTGCATAGAAGTGTGCAGCCTTGGATAAGACTTTTGATCCGGAAAACCTCACCCAGATAACTGAAGGGAGTTGAGAACTGATGCTGTGCAACGACAAAGAGTGTGATGAAGATAGAGCATGCTAACGCGGCCTGTGCTGTGCTTGCGGAAATGCGGCCCACAATTTCCGATAGCTTCGAGCAGGCTTTGTCGTTATAGCTCAATGCAGTCATCACCCAGAACCTTCTTTGGTTGGTTTCGAGATACGCTTTATGAAGGGCAGTGAATGCTAAAAGACTCTCCAAAGCAAACGGCTCCCGCATGGCATTTTTTGGAATAACTGAACGCCAGAAGTGAGTGTCTTCTGTCTGTATTATATCGGGGTCGGTATAATAATGGTGCAGTAAATTTGCTTCTAGGAGTCTTATGTCAAGTTGTAACACTTCGTTCTGTCTTGGAATCTGAATGCTAGAATCATTCTTATGGACTAGAGATTCCAGACTCCTATACTGACAATCCAACCGATGGAAAGTGCAAGATTTGCATGCTGGTAATTGTTCATCACACTATATGTAAAGAACAGGCATCAGAATTGATTTCGCGAAAATGCCTATTTCAACTGGGACGACTAATTGATTGTAAGAAAAATCAAACCTTAATGTGTTTTTTTTTACACTCAAGACAACCATTTTTCGATTTTTTATGCGAACGTCGACAAGGCATATTGATAGATTGTGGTGTGTAAGATGGAGAGGGGGAAAAAATAGATGAATTAGAAAAGAGAAAATACGAGTGATTTCGTATATGAGGTTAGTCAGCCACATAACTTTAACTAAGATAACTAAAATAACTCACTAGTAGTTAATGAGTTACCGGAGTTAGTTAGTTGATAAACTCAATGATGAGCTAGTGACGCCACTCTTGTGGACCGCAAACCATACGGTAAACGGTCATCAATGATTGGATGCTTGGCTCATGATCCCTTCCATGGCACTCCTCGTCCGGAAACCGTGGATTCTCCGGACGGTATATGGACAGCGTCCAATGATTGTAGGGATAAAACGGATAAAATACAAGAACACCTCTTCCTTTCAGATTATCTCTTTATCAGTACGTCTCTCGCGCAGCAAGTCCACCTTTCAGCCTCTGGTACATCCATTAGACCTTGTGATTAAATCAATCAGGTCTAGTAGTAGTAAGCAGTACCACGGGTGAAGGCCGGACCAAATACTAGTTAGCGACTATAATAACGTACCTACAATAAAAAGGTCAGCACGGGAGCAGAAGGCTACGTTAGCGCTTCAGGCACGTGTAGAATGTTCAGGTACAGAAGAAAAACAAAAACATACAACAGTCAGGATTCGCATGTGGTCACCCACCATACTACTAACTGACCGGCGTGTGGCTTAAGTACGGCTGAGCGGACGGGAAGCCCTGTTCTCCACACCCTATGGTCGTATGTACTAGGATATGTACTGTTGAAGGTTATATAGCCAATATCTATGTGATTCGAAAATTTCACATCAGGTTATCCCCGTTCTCAAGGCAAGACTGGTGGTTGTTATCATAGGAAGGCAATCCCGCATACAACTGGTTTGCTTCCTCAAGTCCCAAATGTTCCCAGAAGCTTTGATATGTTTTTTTTTTTTTTTTTTTTAAAAAAAGGGTACTGGAATCAGGCGACAGCTTTAAACATGGATGTGGACCTGGCGAACATTGAAGGTTAAATGTATGACTTGAGACATGTATAAAGATTCCCGCGAGTACTTCTTACTATTTTGAAACCCCATGCGCAACCTTTGGAATATTGAGTCAATTTATTCCAACTAGTATGTGACATATATCAAAATTGTGTCATAACTCAGGTGATTGGTTGGAAATGATGCTTTTTGACTTTGACATTCAAAAAGTTCGAATCTCGAGGTTGGCAAGTGGGAAACATTTGCATTGGCCTTCAAATGTTCGGGGCTGATGCATCAGGCGAGCGTCTTTTGTGTCATTTGTAAATAAATTTCTCTCTTTTCTCTTTCTCGATATTCAAGCCATACCACTTTCCTTGCTTCTGACTTCCCCTTCTCCGGTGACAATCTTTCCGGGATGTGGAGGGCCATCCGTTGAGTCTGTTGGAGAAGTTGCGCAACGTCTTTGTGCCCTCGGAAAACCGCAATCTGTGCTGCCGTCCATGCTTTATGTCCCGATGTAAGAGAGACATCTGCTCCAGCGTCGAGTAGCATTCGGACAATCTCATAATGGCCGTGCCCTGCCGCTGCCGACAGTGCCGTGTATCCCTCGTAATAAGAACCCGGCGCATTCACATCAGCTCCCGCGTCTATCAATTGACGGGCAATTGCCTGGTGGCCTTTTAAAGCCGCACCTTGAAGGGCCGTGAAGCCTTTATGCCTCACAGCAGGAGTGTTTATCTGGGCTTTGGATTGCAAGAGAATTCCCACGATATCAGTGTGGCCCCCTTCAGCGGCAGCTTGTAACGCGGTGCGACCACCAGTCTTACCAGGGGGCGCATTCACGTCTGCGCCTTGCTTGAGCAGCCATCGTAATATGTTGATATGACCACCCTCAGCTGCAGCCTGCAATGCTGTTCGGCCTGAGTATCTATTGGGTGGGCGGTTGATCTCTGCACCCGCAGAGATTAAGCGTTGAACGATATTCAGGTGGCCCGCTCCGCAGGCATGAACTACCGCTGTTCTACCACCGTTGTTTCCTCCAGGAGCGTCAACGTCGGCCCCTGCCGCCAATAGTGCCTCGACCACGGCGAAATGTCCTTTTTGGGAGGCAACCTGGAGAGCCGTCTGTCCATAGTAGCCTTTGGCGGGCTCGTTTGGGTCCACTGATTTTTGGGCCAAGAGCAACTTTATCTGGCCTAGATCTCCCTGTGAAGCGGCGAGCTGAATGGGCGACCATGTGTTCTCATCATCCTGTTCATCTAACTGAAGTTGTCCATTTGAAGAAAACAGACTTCCGTGCATCTTGTCTGGGAGGAGCGACTGCTGTGATCGCTTGCTGTCACTTGATGAGTGTATGTTTTGACTCTGAGGGAGGGATGATTACCCGGTTAAAACGGCATGGATCTCTTAGTGCTCCTAGTGAGAGAACAAATCAAACCAATCAGGGACTGGCTGGACCATCGCCCCCAACTCCTCGAAAATGATACCGAAGCTAATGCTTTCTCACGGAATAGTAAACCCGATTCACCGAAAACGCCAGTCAGCCTTGGGCTCTAAGCCTGTCAAGTTGCACCCAATCCATCAAATTCATCTTTTCTTGCCGAAACTTTTCCCCATTGGCGGTCGGACGGCAAGATCGTGAAGCGCCTGTCAGATTTTAGCCCGCCACGTCAGGGCTGATCATGCATTGTGGAGACAATTCCAAGCCGCCATAGAAAATCAAAAAATGGCTTTCAAGTCGAACATAGACTTTGTTCGGAATGGAAAGTATGGAATTGCAGTTGCGATCCATCTATTCAATCTTACCAATAGGTTGAAGAAATGATTGGAAATATCGTGGGCTACCTACTAATTTCAATGTTAGCCGACGGAGGTCCGATTGCACCAGCTGAAGGTGTAAGATAAGCAATGGACCTCTCAGCACTAGCGTTAGTACGCGTGCGGCGACTATTGGCCGCTCAGACCCATCTTTCCTTTTTTTTTTTTTCTTTCTAAATAACAGCCATGGATGGCGATAGCTGCAATATACATGTACCTTTCAAATGTTGGGTAGCGGTTATAATAGCAGACATAAAAGACATCTGGAGCAAATTATGAAACATTATTCAAAGAATAGGTATCACCGTATCCCAATCATTCAAACAATCTCCTATGCCTATGTATTTACTTGCGATTCGACGTGAGAAATATTCTCCATTCCAATTTTTTTTTTTTTTTTTTTTTTTTTTTTTTCGTTATACGCTTCTGCAACTGTCTCACACTTGACGGAATTCCACTCAATCTCAGGTAGGGTATAATCACTATATGCCTGGCATTGCGACGACCCCACTGATGTATAGGACTGGATATCATCGCCTGAGCCCGTGCAATCACTGGAGCTGTATACGCTACACACCGCATCAGTAAATTCCCACGATCCGGGTGTCCGCAGGGGACCATCCGCGCAAGCTGTCCATAAATCGTCGCTGGAGGACTTGTACCGACAATAAGTACTTGCATCCACATCGGTGGAGATGTCTCCACGGAGGCTTAGGCACCCTGTAGATCGGCCTTGCATGAAGTAGTAATCGCCCTTACATGCTTTTTTGGCGAAGACCAGAATGGTCCAAGGGGAACCTGTTGCTGCCGAGGTTGACTTTGTCGTTGTTGTGGTCTTGCTTGTGGTAGTAGAATGACTCGTTGAGGACTTGCTGGTTAGAGTCGAATGTGTAGTTGAAACGCTTGTGGATGATGTCTTGCTTGTACTCGAAGTCGACCGGGTGATGAGAGTCGAGTCCATAGTCGATTGCTTGCTTGCGCTTGAAGTCGAGTGAGCGGTAAAAGTTGAACGCACAGTTGACTGGCTTGTAGCTGATGACTTGCTTTTTATTGACGTCTCACCTGTAGTCCAAGTCGACTGAGTAGTAAAAGTTGAATGTGTAGTAGAACTCGAATTCATAGTTGACTGACTTGTAGTTGATGGCTTTGTTGTAGCCAAAGTCGAAGTTGAATGTGTAGTCGACGTGGAGGTACGCGAGGTTGAATGAGTGGTATAGGTGGAAGTTATAGGGTCCGAGGATTTTATCACACTCTTATCAGTTTGAATTACTATGATCGCGCATCCCGTTATTATGGAGGTCTCTAAGACAACAATAGTAGATGAATCAAGAGGTAACAACTTCGATTCCAAAGGGTTTTCTCTGTCAGGTGTTGTAGTTTTGTTCATACCTGAGCTAATTGAGCTTGATAAGGTGCCCGAAATGTTCATCGTCGCGACTATTTTTGATTTGAATGACTTTGTATCGGTGGAGCTCTTTACGTTTGTGCTGATGACCGCTTGTGTGGATTTTTGTGTGGAAATGGTGACAGATTCAGTTGAGCAGCCAATTTCTGTGTTCACAGTATTGTAGCATGTGCCGTGGATTAAATTGCACTTGAAGGGCAGAGTCAGTAAGCATATAGTACAAAGTGTAGAAGACTTACCTTGCAATTTTGGGCTACACATGGGTTGAGAGACGCGATATCAGAGATGTTGTCCGGGCGTGGTGTGCCAGTTACTTGAGGACCACAGATATAATTAGAAATTGCAACGGGCATCGGAGGAGACCCAGCACTGAGACATAGAAAGCTTCCAGTTCGAATATCATCACAGCTGGTCCAGCCAAACGTGTCATTATTGTAGGCTTCAATGTCCTCGGTGCTAATACTGTACGCGTCAGCAAGACGCGCGCAAGTATCTCCATATTGAATGACATGGGTGTAGCAGAGCCCATCGCTGCTTTGCTGGGGTGGAAGATTCAATGTCCCCGCAGAACAACAAATGGCCTCTCCGTCTGTCAGGGACGAAGAGCAGATATCGGTGTTGTATTCGGCGAGCTGAGTGGTGGTGATACCACATCGGGCAGCTAAGGAGGAACAAGTATCGCCCGAGATGATCAGAATGGATGAACATGTGTCAGGGGTAGCCTAGTTGAAGTCATGTTAAAAGAAAGATCATAGAGGAGGGAATGTGGGCACTAATGACATTGGCCTGTCGTATTGGTGACGCTACTACGAGGAAAAGTAGAAGAGTCCCCCATAACGTGGGGGTACTGTGAGGCTCAGAAAATCTCATATCAGCTCGCAAAGTATGACTGGAAAAAAATTGTCTCCCCTCTTTGGGGAGGAAATTGAAGAGAATTTATCGAGATCAAACTCCGATTTAAATTTAGAAGTCCCTCCAGGGCTGAAGCAGGCGGAATGAAATTTGCGCGATTCAAATGTTGACAATGAAACTGAGTAGCTAGCGTGATGTCGATAATAAAGAAGACGTATGCTCATGCATTCCCCTTATTAGAGTATTTTCTTTATCTTCTTGCCCTCGTCAGCAATCCATTGCACCGCGGTGACAAAACAAAGCAGCAGTCATTGTCTCTCTTCAAATCGCCCGACTCGTTTTTGAGTGCCACCTGTGTTTTGGAATTTTCCCCATGACCGGGGGCTCAGACTCCATATATCAATCAGGTATTAGCGAGATATTGTGACCACGCAGCTGCTTGAGAGATTCGATATCACACAAAGAAGCTGGCAAGTGGCTGCACCATCTTTATTGACGGTGCAGGGGCGCATTTCTTTGATCCCTTAGAATCAAGTATACTACTCGGTCAATGAGTGTATTTTTTTTGGAGAAATTTTCCAAATTTGTTAAAGGAGGGGAAAGGGACAAACTCGTGAAGTCAGTGAAGTGTTGTTGTTAACAGCAATTCCCGTGACCGGTGAGCCCGTGACCTTCCCGTGATCGACAGGGTTTTCATGAATCCGTGACCCACCCAGGCACGTGGCAGCAACACTAGCCTCGTGCAAATGCAAGAATCCCGAACTTCAGCCACGTACTTTGTGGACACGGACTCCAGTTGCAGCTTAGCTCGGACATACGGAATGTGATCTGGCTGCCGCGCTAAAATCCGATGATGTACTCCGTAGTGCATCGGTACCTTTCCTAGTGGGGGTAGAAATGTTACTTCAGGTACTATTTAGTATTGAGCAAAACTATAATATGTCGGAGGACACATTTCTCGGGGAAACCACACCAGGTTGATAGAGCTCGTTAAACATTGAAGAATTGGTTTCAAATTCAAGTCTTCGGCTTGGGATCATATCGATAAACACCTTCAACATAATGTACGCGTTCATGCTTCAACAAAAATCCCGGGATCAAACGATAACGAATCCAGTCCGATCCAATCATTTAAAAATGCACGCTAGCTGAAGTGTCTATTAAAACATACGCTAATGAAGCCAAGGAATTAAAACCAAAACCAAAACCAAAACCAAACCAAGCCTTGGACGGTTAGTGTGGTTTACGGGGAAATGAAAAATTGAAAACCCGAAAAAAAAAAGAAATTCTGATTTCCAACCAAGGCACCGGCAGTCAACTTTAAAATAACCTTATCTGAAAAATACCGCCAAATGACACTAATGCTCCATTTCTGGATGCCTCTTAGCCTTAGCATGTCTTTTGGTACGAGGCTGGTGGCTGAGAGACTAAAAGGACTAGTACGTGTGCCACTGATGACGTCTGTGGGGCTTGCCGGGGGGGGGTTTTGTCCACGATGTCTGTGAGGTTATCTTTTAACTTGCACACCACTTTCACTGTTTCCTAGCAGTAATTTTGAAGTTTTGGGGTTTTTGTTCTTCCGGGATCTTGTTGGATTTATAACTCTCAATTCAGCCCATAGCTGACCTTTCATGGCTGTGAAGAAAAGCAGGATCTCGATATATACGGCAAAGCAAATCTTGAAAAGAATGGAGCAAACCAGTTTACAGGGAGCTGAACGAATTCCAAAGAGAAAGAATCGCACGCCTCGAGGGGGAAAAAAAACAAAAGAAAGGAAAATAAAATGGGAGAAGCAAGAATCAGAATAATGCACAAGGTAACATTTCAGGCAAAGTAACCTGATGAGGCGGTGAATGTACGTTAAAAGTGGAAAGGCAGAGAGACCGAGGTCACAGTACTCCTGCAAGTAGCAAGATCATCGTCACAGAAATAATAAGCAACAGCAAAAGACAAAAACCCCCCGTAGATCATAAGAAGAATCATCCATTTTGGGAGAGAATGGTCTGCTCCACAGGAAAAAAAAAGAGAAAAAAAAAACGACGAGAAAATCTTAGCACACGCAGGAGAACATGAAAAACACTGATGCAAGAAAATACCCCGCCACCGAACCATTTCTTTAGGCCACAAATCCTGGCTGCAAGCAACCAGAAGGAAACTCGCGAAGAAAGAACGCGTTCCAGCGCTTTCCCTTTGGGAGGATCATTCCCTGCGAGAGCCGAAAACGCTCTATTACAAAAAATGAAAAGAACAGGAAGGGAGATCAAAGTCGGAAAGCCACTCTTGAACTGGATGCATTATAGCCGCAGAGGTTGGTATCATTGGAGAAAGACTTGGAAAGGGAGGGGACCGAATCCGGGACGACATGAATCACAGGCAATGGGATATCGTGATTAAAAATGACAAGACAAACAAGCAAAACAAATCAAAGAGGAGAGGGAGATGAGAGAACAGGAGATGCAGTTTCCGTTTCACAATGTCGGGAGGTAGTCGATTAAAGGATTATTGGGGGTAACTGTTCGTTGAAGTCTCTGGGGAGCCGTAGCGAAGTCATCAGCCGACCGATCCTGGGGATCCAAGGTATATCAAGATGGTGAAGTCCAATAGGGGGAGGAATGATTGTTGATCCCGGCAAGGATGGCGACGGGTTGTTGAGGGTTGTTGATGTCTTTTTTACTCACGTGGCTGGTAAACGTGACCGTTGGGGTACGGGGAGTGCGGGTAGTTGGGAGGATAACCCATCTGTCCGTTGCTCTGATAGACCAAACCGCCACCAGGACCGCCATACTGACCAGGGACCTGGCTGTCCGCGGGTTGGTACCCGATGGGAGGAAGCTGGGGGCGAACACCACCACCATAGGCGGAGGGTTGTGCGGCCTGGGGATCGGAAGGACCACCGGGGGCGTCGACATGGCTAGCCTGGGCAGCCTGGGCAGCAGCACGCTCACGTTCTTCGGCAGCCTTGCGCTGACCATCTTCCTCCTTCTTGCGAGCCTTCCATTCCTTGCGGATTTCTTTGAACTCTAATACATGTAGGTCAGTATGGTGTTTTATGAAATCACAAATAAAAGAAAATTAAAAAATGAAAAACCAGAAAAAGAAAAGAAAAGAAGGAAAGGCAAATTGGAATGCACAAGGTGAAAAGGATGGTCCGTGACATAGATCAAGAATCTGGCGGGGCGGGAAGGGATAGTGATGCAAGCTAACCGCCGCCGTCGACCACGCTACTTGGGCCCCGCGAGATCTAGTGTAACGCACTAGCGCGGAATTGCCGGCGCTAGCCCAATCCAGCGATTTGCGACAACCACTTCAGCTTTGCAAGAGGGGGGAAAAAACACGCGGATAGTTGTTTTTCAACGACGCAATTGAGACTCACCTTCTGGCGTACGTTTCGCACCATGCGATTGCATCGTCACGTGGGCGTTCAAGTGATTCAAAGTACCGTATGCTTTTTCACAACCATTCCAACCACACTTGTACATGCGCTCAATTTCCTCGTAGCGGCGACGAGGGCGTTTGTGCTGCTGAGCACCGGGAATTGGGACAAACGAGTAGACCTGGAGATACAAGACACATTAGCGACCGGATCAAGGGAGACCCAACAAAATCAAAATTTGCCAAGCAAATCCACTTCTATTGCTTATTGAGCGACGAAAGGCAGGCGCTGTTTTTGACGATCCCTGGGAGGGCGACTGGAACCTGAGGACCAAGTCGAAAGCCCAGAGGCGTCCAAGACAACGGTGAAAGGAGCCTTTCTTTCCCTCCTCCGGACCAGGGATCGTCATAAACATACCTGGCCACGACTCAAGCCCGCGGTTGCAGGAGCAGGGGAGGCAGAACCAACCGTTGTAGCAGGAGAAGCATATGGGCCTGGCAAGCCATGTGAGTGGCCACCGTAAGTGTGCGGCCACTCCGGACGCGCATACATCTGGTGTGGAGGTGGGGGGTGGCCTTGGTACTGCATATCGTGTCCCTGAGGTTGATAAGGGGAGTAGGGAGGAGGGTAGGTGGGGCTGTTGGCAGGAAGGGAGGGATCTAGAGGTAGGGCCGCGTCAGACTTCAGGTTGGGGCTGCGCGGGATTGGCATTGGGGATATGGGCAAGGACGGACTTGATGCTTGAGCCATACTTGGAACACCACCGGGTTGGGAGTTAGGGGTGTAAGACTGAGGACGAGGGAGATAGTCCTGGTAGGCGGGTGAACGTGTGGGTGGGGGGTTCAAGCCGTAGTCGGATTGAGGTGTATTGGAGGCCGGAATGTTCGGGGGTCGCACGTCCGGTTGAGGCGTGTACTGAGGTGGGCGCACCTCGGGTTGCGGAGTGTGATTGTGAGAGTAGTGAGCACTGGCAGCAGCCGAAGTCTGGTCTGCGAGTGGGAGAGAAAAAAAGAGTTCAGAATTTGTGTGTTTTCTTTTTTGAATTTGGTGCGCGCGGTGTTTTAGGCCGGTTGCTGGAGAGCTGGAAGGTGCGAACCTGACTGTGCGTACTCGGAGGCAGGCCGATTGTCCATAAGATCGTAGTGGTTTGAAGATGAGAATTGACTTTTTCTTGAGTATTCTCAAACGGATTCACTCTAATTCGCGTAGCCACGAGTCAGCGAGGGGTTGAGAGAGCCAAAAAAAGAAAAAAAGGATCTCGGGGAAATTGACTTGATCGGTGCAAAGCAAGGGGAGAGAGGCCAACGATGGCTAGTAGTTTCAAGATGGACCAAGTGGCTGAAGAAGAAAAAGAGTGAACTTACTGTTGATTTCCCGGGGGAGGCGAAGGAGGAAATGCAGATCGATGGGTGGAGATTAAAGGAAGAAAAGGGCGGATCGACGCGTTCTTGTCAAAGCGCGTTCAAGCGATACCCCCGATGCTTAAATCTTAGTTCGGTTTTTTTTTTTTAGGATGCCTTGCAGGTGGCGGTAAGCACGAGGCACCGGGACGGAAAAATGTAGACGGGAGATGAAGCTGATATCTGAAAAGAAAAAGAAGGAAGTTTTTGGGCCAACGAAGCAGCTAAAAGGCCGACGTCGATTCGGTGCAGGTGAATGTCCTCGTGGGATCCGAGGATGCTGTGGATCCACGGGTGGAGTGTAATTTTAGTGGATTAAATACCTGGCATTTCCCCAAAATTACACCAATTTACTGCCTTTCCCCCCCCCCCCCCAGTTGATCATTCTAATTGAACCTCACGTATGTTTTTATTTTTTGGAATTTGGAATTTGGAGATAAACTTGAAATGATAAAAAGCATGTTCTGTCTGAGAGAAGCTACACTATAGAATTCAATTCCCTTGTTAAATGTTAATGGAATGGGAATTCCCAAATCTCCTGGTCCGGACCTTTCCCTTTTTTCATTCAATGCTCCGACTGGACTGGGCCCCCTTTCCCCTCACAACTCCCGGCTAAGTGTTCCATTTAACAGTCCGTGTGATAATGCTTTTTTTGGTGGTTTTATTTCCCACCGATTTATGGATTTGATATGCTTGAGATATATGTTTTTTTTGCATTTCTTTTATCCTTATTTTATCCTTTTTTATCTCTTAGATTAGAGAGAGAAGAGGGAAATAAAATTAAAGAGAGAAAAAGTTTTACCCTAAACCCCCCCCCCAAGAAACCCCCTATGAGAAAAGAAAGAAAAGAAAATTGAAAAAGAAAAAGAAAAAGGGAAAAAAAAAGCGGATCCTCTTCCAGCGGACGTAAACATGACGAAATCCGAATACAACCTCCTTTTCTCCTGTCTTTCTTTTTTTGCAACACACAATCTGCAATGGATGGGGAGAACGTTAAGAATCGTGATATACAATGAAGTGGTGATAAAGGTTAGCCTCCCATCAGACTAGTCTACCCGCAACTCGGGTGCGTCTTAAGACGGTGAACCTAGCGTCTCCTGCCCGTGGGTACCAACCAAGATCGTGTCACGGTATGAGGGGTTTGGACCAGGGGGGACCAAAATAACCATACAGTATTGTCCCTACTTCCCTAACCCAAAGATAGAGGGAAAGGAAAACAAGAGGGGAAAAAAAAAAAAGAGAAAAAAGAGGGGCATGGGTAGTAACTTGGGAATGGCGTGCCCGAGGAACCTCAGAATCTCTTCAAAAAAAATATTGATATTTAGAAAAAAAAAAAAAAAGAAAAAAAAAAAATTACCTCTCAAGAGTTCAGAACTGGAATTGGTTTAGTGGAGTGGAGGTGGACTAAACCAGGTTCGGGTCTAGCGTACGGGGGAAGCAGAAGCGATGGAACTCGGGAAGACCAGGGCTAGTGTTTAGCGTCGTTAACGTGTTAGCGTGGTTGAAGGTGTGGGGCAGCTGCTACCTTGGGTTTAGCGGCAAAGTTTGCTGGCAAAGGTGAAAGCCGAAGCGGTTGAAGCCGGTTCTTGCGCTGTTACGAACTTGTATTTGATATCGCATTTTGATGCTTATCCACTTGCCAAATCATTTCCCATGTAATCTGATTTCCCACTTGAACGGAAGAACCTCGGTAAAGTAAAGAGGAGTAAAGCTTCCAAGAAACCAAGAATCCAAAAATGAAGAAATGAAGAAATGAAGAAATCGAATATATTAAAAGGGGGCATATCTGCATCACATAGGGTGCTTATTTGTCTTCTATTTTTTTCTTTTTTCTTTTTTTTTTTTTTTTAATTTTCCAGTTCTTACTGTACTTTCTTCTTTTATCCTTTTTTTTTTCCGTTACCCCTTTCTGATAAGTGGTCAGATGTCTATTTGACTCTTCAGCGTCAATGGAAGAAATTAGTAGTAAAATAGGAAAATGAGAATTGGGGGCCGCTTTCCACTCGGCTCTCGCGTAACCGTGGTGTATCAACAATACCTCAGGAACGCGTTAGCGCTTCCCTAAATGAGAGAACAAAAATAAAAAATAAAAATAAAAACACCAATCCCCACCGTCCGTGATCGGAGGCTATATCTCCCTGACACCTACATACATATGTAACATTTGAACATTTCGACAATGATTTTCATTATTATTCCATCTTATGTACATTTCTCCTCTGGACATATAAACCTATAATTCTGCTTCTTGTCACGGGGAAACCCGAACTCCCCCTTTTCCTTGCATGGTTCCACTACAATGTTTCCGAAAATTCAAGTTGATACTGGCATCTTTTCCAAGGCTGTTTTTTATTATATATATAGTAGATATTACCCAAATTCCCATGGTAACCCCTGATGTTATAATCATAAAGAGTTGAATGCAAATCAGGTTAATTTAGTTCATTTTTAGTTCATTTATACTACCAAACCCAAAATCCCCAAAGGGTAAAAAGGGGGCGGTTTAGTACCATGGAACGAGCCCCGATCTTGTGCACCTTTTGGCAATTGGTCAGTAATTGGTCATTCCGCTTAGCGGGTCCCGGCTTTACTCCAGATTGCCATTGATTGTCATTGATTGCCATTGAGCTGGCGAGCGGAGTATCGGCGGCTCTCCGGGCGCCCTTGAAGTTTCCTGTGACCTATGAGAATCCCTGGAAAGTGGGGTTTTTTCCTCTTTTCCTGACAATCTTTTTACCTGCTCCGTAAACCCTTACCTTTTTGATCGCGTACTCTCAAAAGACAGGGAAGACAACGAAGCGGGAAAAAAAAATTCACCTTTCCAAATCAACTACCAATTGCTGCTCTCACACAGTGATGCAAGGCTCCCCCTCTCGGAAATCACTGTTCATGTTTCGCCGTAGGTGGGCTCGATCTTGACCCCGCGCAAGTGGAAACCCTGTTGGCTTAGTTCACTGCCGGTGAGAAATAAAGCCATGGGATACGGAAGATAAGTACATACATACTGCATCACTCTAGTTCACCTAAAAAAATTTATAATAAAAATTGATTTACATCGTACATACTATGTACATACACATATGCACACATGCATATGTAGTACCTTTTCTCTCTCATCGATTTTCCACAAAACGGAACAGCTTCCCCTCCCTTTTTACCCTCTTTTACTCTGTATTTCGTGTGATAAGAAATGTACCCTCGGCAATCTATAGTCGTCTCGGCCCCCAGTGGGCCCTGCGCGGAGAGCTCCGCAAGAGGCCAAACAATTAAGACGGAAATTCCCCCCCCCCAAAAAGTCGAAAAACAAGGGCAACCAGACCAAGCTTGGTACGGGATATCCGGAGACCAAGGCCGGGATGATCGATATCAAATGCATATGGCGCGTCAGTCATTGGACGCCGCAACCGCAGGGCTCCAGTACGCGGGATACGGAAGGTCATGCTGGACCTCTGTAACCTCGGACGATCTCTCCAAATGTGGACTCCAGTGGTCCCCAGTTTTCATGTCCAGCGAGAGAGCTTGGCATGGGTGTTGAGATGTCGGCTTTTTGTTTCCCGCGGATATGGAGTACCTTCAGCTCTCTGTGCCTCTTTTTATCAGCCTCGTATATAACGGCAACCGCTATGAGGCGCTTTTCGCGGCTGTGACATCTGGATATATAGTGATTGATGATCCTGGGACATGTTATCGAATTGATAGCACTGAGTACCTTCATGCTCTAATTTATAGGAAATGTATACGTGACATTGAACCCGGGTGATTGATTCAAGTTCTCATCATCTCCGAACGTGTGCACGTGTGCACGTGTTCACAGTTCACATCGATAGACTGGTCGAGCCCACGGCTCAATTCCGGAGGAGCTATGGACTCGAGACGATCCCACCGTTCCCCCCAAAAAAGCCGCGAAAAGAAATGAAGGGAACAAGTTAGAGCTGTCGGTGGAGTATATACTGGGTCTCCTCGGGTACCTTCGTCCAGCCCTTTTTTTTTTTTTTTTTTTTTTTTCGCCTCCTTGCCGAGTGCTCCGTGCGTTTTTGGGGGGTTATTTGGTGTTGGCAACAAGAGAAAAAGGGAATAGGAAATAGGAAATAGGAAATATCCCTGTGGGATCCACCGCTGTCCACTTTGTGGCCCGTGAGTGTTGACTAGAGGCGGTACCTATGCCATACACAGTAAGTCTCACCCGTCCTTTCGGTAGATCGAATTAGGCCACTTCGGAGCAAGCGCAATCAGAGGAGAAATAAGGATAATCATAATCCCAGCTGATGATCCGGGTCAAAATCCAAATCATGAATCAGAAAATAATATCAATAAGAAGATATATTTTTTTTAAAAAAAATATATATGATTCATGTCCGGGTGACCTCTTTACCCCCTAATATTTCCAAACATTTGAATGATGTACATGTATTTTTGATTGGTTTCTCGCCTCCCTCGGTTAGAGATCAAGTCAACAGGGGCGAAAGGGAAAAAGAACCAGTCGAAAGGGGGTTAACCCAGTCCGGATAAATCTACGATTATTGTTCTTAACGTCCAATGATACTGTCAAAGTCAAAATGAAATCTTGGTTTAGGTGAAGAAATCATGATTTCCAAAGGTTTCAAATGTTTGAAATGTTCTCATGTTAGTAGACATAGACATCATAATTGCTGTATATTTACTCCGTACTTCTATGGCTCTCCACTGGAGCTTCTCTCAAGTCAATGTTAACATTTGAACACTGATCATTCCCAAAAGTATACCAAAATAATAAAATAATAAAATAATAAACAAGGCAACCTGTACTATTTCCGAATCTATATCGGAATCACCCGACCAACGTTACATTTTCCATGCATATTCTTCGCCTGCTCTGTACATTGTACATGCCCGGAAATTGAGCCATCCAGTCCGCATTACATGACAGGTTGTTAGCGTCCGGGAATTACGGCTTGACGCTCAGGCCAAACGCGGGATCTAGCCCGAAGGATTGTTAGTTTTATTAGTTCTATTGGTTTTATTAGTTTTTATTTTTATTTATTTTTACTTCTTTTCCTTTCAATGTTGGCCTTTTGCTTTTGAATTTTTGTTTTTCCCCCCCTTTTTCTGTCGCTTGTTTTTGCCTTGAAATAGTCACGGGAACAACTCCTCTTCCTGCGTGGAAAGTCCTGCGGAGTATAACTCCGTACTGGCCGTGACTTGCCGTATTCCAACACGTCAATGGCGCTTATGCAGTCGCGGCATATATGGGGTCTTGGTTTCTTGGTTTATCTGCACGGGGCTCTCTTGAGAGCTTAGTCTGCAGCCATTTTATGCCGAGAGAAAAAAAACTTTGGAACTTTGGGACACTTGCATGAGACATGCAGCCGGTCGGCAATGAACACTTTCTTTGGAGAGTTAGTCGAGGTACAGCGCACGCCTCAACGTTCAGGTTGACGATCCATGTGTTGGCATGGGAGTGAAGGTTCGTGTCCCTATATTTCCTTGCTCTTCCCCCCCCCCCCCCCCCCGCCGTTTTCATTGCGACCTTGGGGTATGCAATGAATCTTTGGTTCGGGAAAACTCCAAAGTATGGTTTTGTTCAAACTTCAATCGGTGGTTTCCCACGTTTTGACTTGAAAGAAAGAAAATCCACCATCGGGACCGGTCCGTATCAAATATATACAAACTCTATGGCACGCAGTGCTTAGCGTATCCTTATTTCTTTCATTCAAACGGTAGTCGATGCTGTGGAACCTACTAGGAAGACTAGCATCGCACAGCCTCCTTGTGGGCCATTTAAGCATAAATCTTGAGCGTTAGGTTACGAACTAGCATCGGGGGATTTTATACTGAACCACTAAGCCGTATAAGGCTCTCCAGGTCGCAGTTGACATGTCAATAATTATGCACTTGAAATCTTTTGAGTCAAATCCTTAGGGCTAAAGTAGATGTACATGGTCCTACAAAAAGGCAGTCTTGTCACTGTCATCACATTTAGCATATGTACATATGCACTTGGGGGGGCTGACTAGCGGGAACAGAAGCGCCGTCAACTTTCTCCCGTACAAGGTAATTTTTCTTCAAATGTTTGGAGCAGAGGTATTATCATCATTCAAGATACAGGACTACGGAGTCTACTTTCTTATCAGCTTGAGTTCATGTACTAGTACTTCCAACGTTCAAATGTTTGATTGTACCTTGACCTTGTACCTGTACCAGTTCCCTATTTAGGTATCTTGTTTTTCTTTCTTGTTGCCTCGGGCTTTCACGTTGAAGAAGGTGAAGCTCTTGAGAGCCTGTGCATTGAACCCCATTGACTATATCTTACAACCGTATCTATCATATATAATATTGGAGTAATGGGCGTCCAACATTAAATCTTGGAAGTAGTTGGCCCCATAGTGGATCCATTTGCCAACACCAGTTGACCCGAACCAACGCCCGTCTATACAAATCCCCTGCATCCCCAACCAAGGCAACGTTCCACCTGACCCTCACAATATGCAGAATATGTCATTTTAATATATCTTCTCGGTTCTGGGGCAAACCACCCCGACGGAGAAATATTTTCCGTGTGTTTTACAGAATTACCCCGGATCTCGAGTCAATTGCGGGGTTGGGCACTAGGGTTATGTAGATCTATATATTTGACACCTTTCAAATGGAGAATGAGAAGAAATAAAAGAAAACCAACAAACTTGAACATTGCAGTTTTCTTTCAAGTTGGAAGAAGCCCTGGAACAATCAATTGCAAGCACTGCCAAAGGGTTAAAATTCCAAAGTAAAATTTCAGCAAAATGCCTTCTCCAAAATCCATATTAGCCGCCATCTCCTTCGCCCCATGGGTCTCTGCGTCTGCCATACCACGGGCAGATAGGTTTCACTGGTCGTCCAAGAAAGCTCTGTAAGTTCAAAGGTTCAATTTGAATGAATTCTCACTTCAATGTTCCAACGTTACAAATACCTAATGCATGTCTAAAAGGCTTGCCTTTGGCGACTCCTACACATATGTCCAGGGAACACATGGACTTCAAAACTACAGCTTCATAGGCGATGCCTTTGATTTCTCATATGATCAAGAGACCCTCCTCTCAAACAAGATTGTTCAAAACCAAGTAAGTCAACGACTGAATAGAGAATAAAACAAGACCAAAATCTTGGAACCTTGGAACTTTCGAGACATTTTATAAGTATTGATCTAATCTACATACGTAGACAGGAACTGCAGAGGGAGGCCCTAACTGGGTCGAATATCTCACAGGTTGCGGCCAAAAGCCAGGCCTCACATCACCACGAACATGTGAAAAACAACTTTGGGATTTTGCCTTCGCTGGCGCAGACATCTCAACTGAATAGTAAGTGATCGTGTCAACCGACAAGAATTACCTGAGGAAATCACCAGTCCCAGATGCCCTATCCGAATGTTCCTCATTGTTCTTTGCCTGACATCTACCTATCTACTACACAGTACACCGCTGCACCACAATTATACGGTTCCGTTCGTAGATCAGATAAAGCAATATGCAACATATGGCCATAGCACTCTGTCCAAGTTCCTCACCACAAGTGAAACCCTAGTGGCAGTCTGGATCGGCATCAATGACGTTGGCGATAGCGCAAAATACGCTGTCGATTTCCCGACTTTCTACGCCAACTTGACGAATACACTTTTCAACTCTGTCGATACTCTATACGATCTGGGCTACAGATCATATCTCATTATGAATCTTCCACCCATGGATCGAGATCCGGATAACGTGGGTAGCAGTTATTCAACGCCAAATGTGACACAGGTGGCATGGTATAATGCTGCCTTGACGGAGAGGGCGGGGAAGTTTGGGGAAGAGAAGAAGGATGTCGAGATTCAAGTCTTCGATGCCCATGCAAGGCTGAGTTGGATTTTAGATCATCCCTCGGAATTTGGGATTGTGAATACGACGGATTATTGTGCTGGTTATGATCAGCCAGATATTGCGTGGAATTACAAGGCCTATGGGTGTCCGACGCCGCTGGACGAGTACTTTTGGTACAACACCGGGCATATGACGAGTCACACGCATCGGCTGTTGGCCTCGGAGTTGGAGAAGTGGCTGCAGAGTTAAGACGGTCCAAACATTTGAATGTCTGTTGTCACTTTCAATCCATTATATCTAGTGGGCTGCAAGGGCTTTTAACAATGATAAATAAGTCAATTATGGACATATGATTGTATACTCCCCAGAGGATAAAAGAAAAAACAGGTAGTAAGCCACCGAGACGGAACAAGAAACTTTTGCGAAGAATCGACATTTTATGGGCCTTCGAATCCCAGGTCTGCCTAGGATTGTCATAAATGAGGTCGTGTCGAAATCGACTCTCAATAAACCGGTAAAATCATGTAAGACTGTCTATGACATCGAAAAAAAAACGCCGTCCGTACCGAATTACGCGGGGAAGAAATAAAAATGAACAAAGGAAAGTCTACCGGTGACGAAAAAGAAGACAAGCAACGTTTACCAGCGACGGTTGCCACCAAGGGGAGCAGAGTTGCCCTGAGAAGCACCACCACCGCCGCCACCGCGACCACCACCCCAACCACCGCGGCCACGGCCACGGCCACCCCAGCGGCCACCACCGCCACCACCGCTGTAACGGACCATCTCGGCAAGACGAGGATCGATCTGCTGCTTGGCCTCAGTAAGGATAGTGACCAAGTCACGAGCCTGCTTAGAGTCTGAAGGAGAGAGGGAAAGATCGTTAGTCAAGAATAGGGTAGATTTCGATTGGAGAAAGACATACTGTCAGTGGTGAAGAAGGTAATGGCGGTACCCTTGGCACCGGCACGAGCGGTACGACCAATACGGTGGACATAGTCCTCCGAGTTGTTGGGGTAATCGTAGTTCAGGACGTGAGTGATGTCCTTCACATCTTTTTACAAAATGTTCGTTAGCAATCGGAGCATTAGTCGGGGAGGTAATAATAATAGCATGAGCCATAAGAGGGCCCTATTCTCAGTCGTGCAGGACTGGATGCATCACTGCTCTCTGGGAGGAATTTCTTTCAAGAAGATCCCGAAGGAAGGGAAGCGAGTCCATGGGAAGTGGCGATAAAGACCGCGGTCCTAGAGTAACCTTGGAGATAAATGCAGCCTTTCAAAAACAGTTCAAGAACAACAGTCGGGATGTAAAAACTCCAACTCGCTTGCGAGTTTCCGCAACAAAGGAGTCGGAGAAATCCTGTTAGACTCTGCTTTCTGTTATGCTGCACCGTGAGTCCAAGGTCCTCCTGGCATGATAACCATTTAAGATGACCTGACGTTCCACCTGGACGAGTCGTGTATACACCAACACGCTTCAAGAGAGGCTGAGCACCGCGCCACATGAATTATAAAACATTCAACACGGGTGAGTGTTCTCAAGGGCCCCATCAGGGGGGTATATATAGGGGAGGGAATAGGGAGGGGGAATGTAGTTTGATCATACCGATACCACGGGAAGCCACATCAGTGGCCACCATGATTGGGCTCTTGCCCTGCTTGAACTCGTTCAAGACCCAGTCACGCTCATTCTGCTGCTTGTCACCGTGGATAGCTAGAGAAAGATTAGCAAAATGAATCATCGCACCCGAATACTTGGGAGAAGCAGAAGAGGTAAAACATACAAAGCGCGGGCCATCCATCTTGGCGGAGGAAGCGGGTAATCTCGTCAGCAACGCGCTTGGTGCCAGTGAAGATGATAATCTTGTTGGTGCGGTCCTCCATAATCTTCTCCATGTGCTTAATCATGCGGTCGCGCTTCTCGAAGTCGGACACAACCTCAACGATCTGGTTGATACGGTGGTTGGCAGAGAGGTCGGTGGAACCGACGTTAACTTGAATGTAATCGCTCAAGAAGTCAGATGCCAGTTGACGAACATCCTTGGGCCAGGTAGCAGACCACATGCAAGTCTGACGGTCAGGGCGAATCTGGCCAATGATCTTGCGAATTTGAGGCTCGAAACCCATGTCCAGCATGCGATCAGCCTCGTCAAGAACAAGGTAAGTGACACGACGGAGGTTAGTCCGGCCAGCCTCCAGCATATCAATCAAACGACCAGGAGTGGCAATGCAAACCTCGACACCACGGGACAGGTCACGGATTTGGGGACCCTTGGGGACACCACCGTAGACACAGGTGTTGCGAATGCGAGAGGACTTTCCGAACTTGGTAATCTCGGTCTGAATCTGAACAGCAAGCTCACGGGTGGGAGCAAGGACAAGGACGATGGGACCATCGCCGGGGGAAAGGAGAGGCTGGGCGTTGATGTGGACAATAGCAGGAAGACAGTAGGACAAGGTCTTTCCGGAACCGGTCTCGGCAATACCGACGACATCACGACCGGAGAGGGCCATGGGCCAACCCTGGGACTGAATAGCAGTAGGGCGCTCAAAGCCTTGGGCCTTGACCTCGGACAGAACGTAGGCGGGGAAGTTGGCCTCGTCGAAGGTCTCAACCGGGCGAGGAACATTGCGGCCCTGGATAGCCATGTCGCTCTTCTTGCGGAACTCATCCACCTCGGCATCTGAGCGGGCAGTAACGTCGGGGTGCTCCTTGTAGAAAGACTTCTCGAACTTAGGCATGGAGTCAATGTCTAGTAGTGAATGCTTGTTAGTTTTCTGCGGTCGGGATATTCAATTGTCTCGCTGGTATATGGTTTGAAACTTACCCCAGTCTTGCTTCTTCAGGCCAGCACCAAGGTTGGACATGCGATCACCACCAGCACCGGCACCGCCGCCGAAACCGCCACCACGGCCACCGCCGCCGTAGCCACCGCCGTAGCCACCACCGCCGCCGGAGTAGCCATTTCCGTTAGAGTAGCCGTTGTCATAGCCACCACCACCGCCGCCACGGGAGCTGAAGTGAAAATGTTAGTGCGAGTGTTCATAGGTGTTCATAGTGTGTTTGGTGTAAAAATGGAAAATTGCAAGGATAAAAAGGTGGATGATAAACAACACATGAAGCCTAGCTATCGGCCTAATGTCGCCCAATAATAAGGGAGATGACGAAACAGAAATTACTGCTCCCTGTGCTCATCACGAAACAGGTATAATAGATCCACAGATATCTAGGTGAATGTAGGGGAATAGGATTGGAAGATATCCAAGGGAATCAATGTTTCTTTCAAAGAAGCATTAGTACATACCGGTAGGAATCACCACCACCACCGCCGCCGCCACCGCGCGAGTAACCACCACCGCCGTAAGACATGATGGATAATAGAAGAAGGTTTTTAGAACTTTCTAGGGTTGACCTTAATTGAAGAGTTCAAAGAAACCGAGAGGAGATGAGGAGAAAATAAAAAAAAGAAGGGGGAGACGAGTGGGAATAAGGCCTTAAAAGAACTGAGAAGGAACAGAAAAAAAAGTCGTCGCGCCAGGGGAGAAAAGCGGAAGGAGGCGACAAAAAAAAAAAAAGAAAGAAAACGTCCCAATTAGGTCTAGTGTATATTTTGATCACGTTACAGCACGTGATGAATCTAGATTGGTTCCGGACGTGCACCAGTTGGCGAACTATCACGAACAGGTTCTGGAATAGTATCCATGGATGGCTTTCACATGTGCAAGGTTTAAGATTTCAAGCTTAAATGATCTTGGAAAAGTTTAGATTATAGATGGACTTATTTCGGTTACGCAAGGGTTCCAAAGCTTCTCTGGAACAAACATGAATACTAGTAGACCCTGAATATGTTCAAAGTGAGATCAGATAAGAATAGGTGACAACTGACAAGTACATTGCCCAGGTGATTTTGTTTGTCTGTAGTATTATGTTTCGTTACTTAAAACTCACACCTTCTTATCACTCATTCCCATGTCCCAGAAGCTGATCTCTAATTCGGTCGCTCGGACAAATATTTTAATCAAAGCCTCCACCCGACTGGGCGATACCTGATGCATGTGCTCCTCCAATAGCGCTAATAACAATGAGAGAATCAATTCAGCAGTCTAACTTGCATTGAGAGATGGGCCTACAATCGGTGTTTTCTTACCTGATCCGAGCCGCACGGCTTCAGTGTAGTCCTCGGCAACATAGTTCTCGATCCATTTCCAGAATTGGTTTCCCTCACGGAGGGTCCCTTTCTCAGCATGTAGTCGCTGAGCAATAGCACCGTATCCAATCAAACAGGGAGCCAAAGCCATTTGAAGTGCAAGCCAATCTTCAGACTGGCCAATATCAAGGATGTACCGGCTGTACGCAGTGCAGGCTGAATATAATATACTTAGAAACTGCAAAGGGCTGGGAGATCACGGGGCTGGTATCTCTTACCAATAGTCTCCGGGTGGCTCTCCATCTCTTTTTTGGAAAGACCAAAAGAGGCACAGTAATCCAAATGCAAAGCCATTTCTCGTTGAATATGGAGGACAATCTGAGCAGACTAGATGCGAGAAATTAGCTTGAAATTACTCCGTATGAGATGGTTATTAAGAATACGTACTGCTGCTATTGAGTCCATGCTTTGCGATTTGTATGACGCCAATGCATTGCTGCGAGCGAATTGAACCTAAGTGAGCATGGTAAGACTGTTGCGGATACTATGATGGAATGTGAGGCTCTGAGTCGGGTTCTTACCAAATACAGGTAATCCTGCACAAGATATTCCTTAAATCGCTCAATGGGTAGCGTACCCTGGCCTATACCTTCAACAAACTCGTGATGAGTGAACTTCTTCCACACCTTCTGAACATCTGGACGATCCAAGGCATATTCAATGAATCGACCACTGTTTTTTTTTGGTCAGCAAAGCATTCGACATAGTACATTGCGTGTAGAGAGAGGAGGGTCACCAACGGTGCAAAAGGCATGGTATAAATGGAGTGGAAGTGATTGATTGGTCCACTCCCCTTCCCCAGATCAACACTCGTTCTGATGCCTGCCTCTACAAACCGCACGGCACTGCGCACGGCCCGTGACATATTCTTACCCATGGCCAAGTTGGCGGCGATCGCGGAGGCAAGAGAACAGCCAGTACCGTGTGTGTTTTTGGACACCAAGTACTCGGTGTCGAAAAGCGCTGTCTCGCCCGTTACGCCATCAAACAGAATGTCAACAACCGTGGCTGCATCATTGGGGTCCTGGGTCGTCTTGAGGTCCTTAGTGAGAGGAAGATGGCCGCCTTTCAACAAAACGGCCTTTGGGCCCATGCCACAGATTTTTTTGGCGAGTTCAATTAACCCAGCAAGATCAACAGGCTCAGCAGCTTCTACGCCGGAATCCTTCAGTAGTAGTTGGGCTTCTGGAATATTGGGGGTGAGGATGGTAGTGATCGGGAGAAGTTTGGTCCGGAGCACCTTCACGGCTTTCTCTGGGAGAAGCTGCGCTCCACTTGTAGACACCATGACCGGATCAAGAACTATGGCGGGGACTTGATGCGCTTGGAGTGTCTCGGCAATGACATCAATTGTTTCCGCGGACGAGAGCATGCCTATTGAAAGTAAGTAGAGAATCGGAAAATTTGTCGAGGGTGATAAATCAACAAACCAAGTTTCACTACATCGCAGCCGACATCCTCTAGGCCTGCATTGATCTGTTTTCTCACAAATTCCGATGGGACGACGAAGATATCCTGCACGCCGAGTGTGTTTTGAGCTGTCAACCCCGTCGTGGCTGTGAGAGCATAGCACCCATGGGCGGCCAGAACCCTTTGATCAGCTTCTAGGCCACTGGAACCGAATTAGTACACGTACAAGTGCCCTTTACACGCCAGTTCCAGGTGCATTGCCTTAGGAACAATCTGTAGGGCGGAATGAGCCAGGCAAATATTTGCCAGCTAATGGTACCAATGCATTGAAGGAAAGAAGACTCACGCGCCACCAGAGCTGTCAGATCCTGCAATAACCAGGACCCGCTTCACGGACATGATTACTGGAGCCAATGGGGCGATACTGCAGGGTTCGATGAAAAAGCCGTAGGTGAAGAGCGGGGATCACTGATCCGATGGTGGGAGGGTTGATAAGATAAGAGATTACGATTTTTATCTTCAATCGGGAGTTTCTGTGTATTTGCGGAGCAGCGGAGGTACACTTGCTGGTAGACACTTGGTTTGGTACGAAATAGAACATAGTATAACATTATGCAACTTAATCTCATCGTTAAGAAATCCCCCCGGGCCCAAAAAAGTACCAATAGTGGCTATTTACAAAGAATGAAAAAAAAAAAAAATTGAACGAAAGGAGGCAAGAAGGCAAGAAAATTCTCAAGTCAACGCCGCCGGGGCATCTATTGAATCATGAACTGGAACAGGGTATCCATTTCAACCCATTGCCGACCACACTTGCTTAGGTATTCGTCCACAACCTCCAAGACGGTTTCGAATCGAGTTCGGTTGAACTCGGCCATAGCAGAAACACTGTCCTTGGATTCGGCAGTCTCCTTACTGATAGCGTCCTGAGCCATGTCCAAATCCCATAAACTGGCAAAATACAGAAGCTGGTTGTACATCGCTTTCTCCGTGTACTCGTACGCCATGCGGCCTGAGCAGCCTTCGGCTTGGCCCTTTGGCCCCAGGCAGTGATGTCCATACACACTGATTTGCCGTGTGCGGTTCCCGCAGGCTGAATCATCACAAACCAGCCAACCATCGTAGTATCGATCGGTCTGTTCACGAATCTGAGATTCAACTTGCGCAACGATACTGATCACCGAAAAGGGCTTTTGGCAGGCTTGATTGGAGCAGACAATGCCGTTCGGCGTGCACATATGTGGAGAACCAACCAAGCCTTCGAACACCGACGGCTCTTTGCAGGATCGGCATGTCAGAGTCAGCCGCTCGGCATTGGCAAAGCGCACCGAGTCTGGGATCTGTGACTCCAGAGGGAAGATCTCTGCATTCTGCTGGTTGCTTGAACTGGAGGCGTTGATCTGATATTTACGAGTATCAAGCCCCAGGCATTCGGCGAGGCGTACAGCATCGGTTCCCGGGATCGGGGCACACAAACGCTCAATTGGAGGGAATATTTGCTTGAGAAGATAGAACTCGACATCAGGCTTGAGTTCCGAGGTGGGGTTCAACACATCCTGAGGACTGTACGATCGCTTGGCTGGTGCGAGAGAAGAAGTCTCCGCGTCACCACTTGTGACGATGTATGAGATAACGTCGTTTGGTCGAATAGTCTTGCCTCGGGCAATATCTCGGAGCGCAACTTGTGCCGGGGGCATTGTCTCCTTGTTTGGGTACTCGTCGGGCCGCTTGGAAAGTTTCTGTGGAGTATTAGTACCGAGGAGCTGAAAGGGCTCGAAGGACTTTCACGTACCGTATAAATGACATATTTCCTGGTCGGAATTTTAAAGGCTTTCATGTTCTCTGCAAGCTCGCGGAGATATTCGTGAATGTTGTTAAGAACCACTTCAGGATCTTCCCCAGAAAGAATCTCGTTCAGAAGCTTAGATGACACCTCCTTGGAGAGAGTACAGTATTCACGTCTCTTCATGTCTAAGCCCTTGACCTCAAGCTTCTCAACGTATTTGCCATCCACCTCTGTCATGTTGACAGCCGCGTACTTCTTCTTTGCATGCAACAGTAGTCGGCGGAATACATTGTCAATATCGATCTCCAATAACTTGTAGCGCTCATTGACCATTTTCTTGAATTCCTCACCGACCAGAAGCGCTTCGCTGATGGTGTCCATGTTGGTGTTAATCATGACGGAGTCAGTATCACCGTAGATGACTCGGAGCTGACTGCTTTCGGCCAATTCCTTGGTGCTTCGCAGAATCTCACGACCCTTGAAGGTAGTAAGCATTGCGAGGGGACGAGCATAGAATCGACTTTGTGTGTATCCCAAGCAACCGTACATGGAGTTGGCAGTCAGTTTGAAGGCAAGTTGTTTTGTGTCCCAAAGGGCGAGCTGCTCAGGGGTTGCGCGCTTGTCTTTCATCAATTTCTTTACCTCACGTCGACGACCGACCAAAGTTGCAATCAGCTTGGGCAAAATACCCTGTTCTTGATCCGAAGACGGCACTTCGGGAACACTCTCTTCGTTTTCATTTTCCGCCTATAAGGGGTTAGAAGGTAGTTCATAGTTTCGAGACTTCCGGATGGGTACGTACCGAAGCAGTTCGATCCACCGTGGTGAAACAAATATTATACTCCTGAATGATTGAAGGGTACAAGCTGTTGAAGTCCATCACCAGAATAAATCGGTCATAGAGACCCTTCTCGGGTTCGAAAACGAGACCACCCTTGAACTTGTCTTTCTTTTTCTTGTCACCGACATTATCCTCATCATCACCCATTATCTCTTCGGCCCTTTGTAAGCGGGACGAATACTTGTCAGGGCAAATGTACTTGCTTCGGTGGAATTCGTGAAGCAAAATATACTCGTTTCTCTCCGCACGAGTACCACTCAGGGTACGTGCCCACGAGTTACCGGCAATGTTTGTTAGGACCTTGGTGAGAGGCAGCATCTGGAGACGCAGAACCAGGGCCGCCATGAAATAGGTATCGGTATCGCAGTGATTGATGAAATTCATCAACCCCCCCTTGCTCGAGGCCCAGGTTTTCAAAGCTTCTTCGACATCCAGGTCTTGGCGATCATTGCCCTCACCAAGATAAAGCTGACACATTTCAGTCAAGCTCCAGGACTGACATTTCGTCATCAAAGACTAAAAGTTGAATTAGCATTTATATCAAGAGAATCTTAAGTTCACGCAGACTCACCTTGCCCATATCGTTGCCAAGGTCACACATTAGTCGACCAGCAATGAGTTGCCTCTCAGCAAAGAACCCACTATTCTTGTTGTAGTTCTTTGGCCACTCTCCACGCCTGAGTCGGCCAACTCTATGCCACCCCGGGGTTTTCTTTTCTCGCAGACGGTTGAGGAGGATGCTTAAATCAACGTCTTGCAACTGGTGGCCCATGATGACATCAGGGTCCATCCTCTCAAACATGGCCAGAAACTTGCTCAAAAGAAACTGTTCGCTTTTTTCAAGCATGATGCTACCTCGCTGCATTCGGCATTCGGCCTCAAAGTGCATGGGATATGATTGACCGGGTGGGCGCATAACTGTGAACGTTTTACAAGGAAGTCTTTCTGGTGGTGTAGTATCCGTGAGAGAGACATCCTCATATACTCGGGCACTGATCGCCAGAATCTCTTTTTTGTTTTCCTTAGTATTAAGTTGAGTTCGGAAGGAAAGAGCCATGAGGGTCAAGGGCGGCATCTCCATGTTCTCCATTTCTGAAACAGGTGTAACGAGTGCTGGTTTGGCTACCTGGCATTCAAACTTGCACCATGAGGCATTATTCACAGCAGAGAAGTCGGCCTCGTCAATCTTGAGCCAACAAGGACCCATGATGTTCTTCCATAAGACGAACTGCTCAAAGAGAGATGTGTTTGTGCCGAAAACATGAGAGAACGTTTCGCCCTTGACTTCCATCGGAAGCGCTGGTTTGTCGTATGGGTAAAGTAGCTTCAGATAGTCTGCCTCCTTCGGGACGCCACGCATCTCAAATGCGTATTTCCGACTGCAAGGCTTCATCTTGTGCATTCCAACCTTCAGTCGGGACATCATCTGGTCCACTTCTTCATAGACATTCTCCATTCCAACCTCCTCCTCCGTTTCTTTTCCTTGTTTGAATCGGTTTTCACGGGGAAGAAAGTAGAGTTTCCGAAGGATGTTGTCAATTTTGACGAAAGCACTGGTGTACGAGTCACTTTGTTTGTTCTTCACCTTTCCAAACAAGCACAGACTGCCATTAATTTCAGTGTAGTCTAGCCAAAAAAATAGAAGGCTACCGTCCTCTTCAACGACATCCTGGGCACGCAACTTCCCCAAAGAACGCATTTCCGGAGCTGGGCTGCTTAGGACATTCAACTTGTTTCTCACGTCATTCCAAGAGGCATCCAGCAGCTCTGGCATGGGTTTGGTAGGCGAAGAGCCGGCAGGTGTGGTGGGCTCCTCCTTTTTGATCTTTGGAACAGGACGACTTCCTGTGATATTCACATTTTCGGTCTTGATGCTAGCGGATACTGTGGCTTCCGCGATGTCCATCATATCGATATCCTCCTCGTCGGATATTTCTTTCTTGACCGGTACAACAACCTTGCGTTCCACAGCCTTGCTAATTGGAGAGGAGGGCATCGGGTCACCCATGAAGACATCATCGTCTTCAACTGCAGGAATTGGGTCGTCATCGAGATCGTCGTCAGAATGAAATGCGGGTTGAGTGTTCTTCGGAGGAGAGCTTGGAACTTCATTTTCGTCTCCTGCTGCATTGTTCGCACGGGCCCTTCTCTCAAACCTGGGCGGGGAGAGAACTCGAACTTTTCGTCTGGCCTCGGATTTGACAATGTTTCTTGTAGGGGGACGCTTAGAGACGTTCGTGTTCACTTCTCCAAGAAGATCATCCATGAAGCTATCGTCTTCAGCCGTCGCAACCGGCTAGGTAAAAAGTCAGTATCACCGTTATAGCGAGAGGCTGTTGAGGGGGGGTCGGGGAGAAATCACCTTGGGCTTGGCTGCAGTAGCCGTCGCAGCATTGCCACTATTGAAGTATTTGGAGATACCATTGTTCATCTTCTCTTTGCGCCCCTTTTCCTCCTCACGTTTCCGTTTGGCGGCCTTGCCACGCGCGGGTAATCCATCACTGTCATCGCTGTCGTATTCAGGTGCTTGTTCATTCCAGACTTCCCGACCGTCGTCTGCATAACCGGCACCATTATCGTCAACAACGAAATCATCCTCGTCAAGTCGCCCACGAATAATTTTCTTATAACCGTCATCATCGACCTCTTCATAGATATCGCCTTGCTCCTCAACTTCGTATGTAGAAAGACGCTTTTTTCCGGAGGCTCGCAGGGCCCTTAGCTCGGCGAGCCTGTCACGAGCAGATGGCATGATGGTCGAATATTATGGACGGTTGTCCATACACCGGTGGGGACACAAAATGACAATGGGTTGCGGGGAAGGAGAGAAGAGAGGTCGCGAACTGAATCCAGGGCGCGACTCGACGCGGCGTGGGCCTCGCGTGGACGCGTTAAAGTGGTTTAGGTAAGTCGTAAGGCATTAAGGCATCAAGGCATCAAGGCATCAAGGCATCAAGGCATTAGTAAAGAACCCTAACTTCTCCCAATTGACATCAACCTCAATCTGGTCACTAAGCTATACTTTATTTCTCAATCTTTTCCTCGTAGCTGACTATTATTCCCTTCAATTTACCGCATAGGCTATATAAAGCCCACAAGAAAGGACTGGGAAGTGTGGTTGATTGTTAGAGTATCCTCATATGATAACAGCGGATCCATTTTGTTGCACTTATTAGTAGCACCTTGGTAGGTACTACTTGTACTACTACTACTAGTACTTATCCTCCTGGAACCCTATCTTGACACAACTGCCGTAGTAAAACAACAGATGGCTTCTCCCTAGTTAGGTTTTCCTCGGTGTTTGGAATTATATTAAGTCTCTTGTCTTCCCACCATCCCCTCCCCATAGTCTCTTTACTATCTCTCTTACCCAGACAAGTTCTGCCTACTTTGATCTTCCGTTTTCTGTCTCCCTAATTTGGCATCCTTTTCTTTCTACTAATGTTACATCTAATTCCCCAATATGGAATTTCGAGCTCAAGGTACAGTCCCCCCCTCCCCCCTAAAAGAAGAAGGCCCAGGAAAATCATCCGCCTTGGTATCTACTCAGTTATGTGATAGCCGGAAAATCAGCGGGACCTCTCAAGGGGCATTTGACACATGTAGTAATCACCAAAGACCAAGCTCAGTATAAATCGTATTCAATCTAGGCTGCGGAGCCTGAAAATAAATTAGGCGAAAAGGCGACCCAATCCATCCCTATCGAGCCTACCAAAAAGCTCACAGAAGGTAAGAAGGGAGAAGGAGAAAAGAAGGGAGGACCCGACAGACGCGCAAAAGGAAAGGGTACACAGAAAATATGTCAGAAGGGGAAAAGGTAAAAAAAAACTTGGAAGGCAAGATCCAAAAGGTCCATTGCTTCAATGTTGGTTCAGATACTAGTAGTGAAATTATGCGAACCAGCAAGGCGGATATGCATCTGAGCTAGGATGTAAGAAGAAGTTTACAAATGCCATCATCTCGTATAGTTGAGTCGATGAACAAACGACGTTCATTCGAATGTAACGCAAGAAGTACTAGAGTGACTTCTGGACATTGATGGTATGAAAGCAAGCCTGAAGGGCGCGCTGAGGATGCTTGCCGGGCCTCGGAATCTTTCTGGTGGATCTGCAGCAAGTTTAGTAAGTCTGCCATGTTTGAAGCGTATCATCATTCATTGGCACCCACAATAGCCATGGTGTCCACGATTCATTTGTAGGTGGAGGTTGATAGCGCTGCTCCGGCTGAAGCTCCGCCTCCGCCTCCGGCTTCACTTAGACGTCGACAAGGAGACGGAAGGCTAGAATCCATAAGAATGGTCTCTGATGAAGTGAAACTCTCATGTCGTCTGCTCGTTTAGTCCGGGATGTAGCGCCTGGGACTCATCTTCCAGATGTCCGGTAGGGAAACTACGGGTAAAGAAGTGATGTAGTACCGTACTAATAGCCTGTAGGTATGGCTTCGAGGTCCACGGGTGGAGGCGCATGTTGTCCGCATGGGATGTTGTCCTACGAGCATAGCCTGGGGAAACATGAGCTGAACAATAAAAACCCGGTGTATTTGAGCAGATTTTCCTGGCCTATGCTAGGTATATTTTCCAGCCGTTCATGACCGCGCCAGTGAAAAAATATCCATTCTCTCCACAACACATCCAGCATCGGCACCGGGAACGAGAGTCCGTAGACCGCAGACACCTCGCAACACCGACCCTGTTCTCACCAGTCCGCGAGCAGTTCCAGAAGCAAAAAAAAACTGAAACCACTCGCAGCAACACAACATAACGATCCTCCCTAGTTACCCAGTCCAACAAGATTCAATGGAAAAAACAAGTCGTGAAATGATGAAATGAAGACATGATTTTCCATAAAACCCCATAATTTTTCCTCCGATTTTTGTAAATTCCCTTCGTCGCAGTATTTCTTGTAAACAAAGCAGACAAAAGTGGGAATTTAACGGTAGGACTTCTGGTAACGTGCGCGGGCACCGCGACCACCGAACTTCTTGGGCTCCGCACGGCGGTTATCGGCGACAAGCAGAGTGCGGTCGTACTGGGCGAAAGCCTGCTTGAGCTGGATCTTGGAGTGCTCATCGACGTACTTCTGGTAGTAGGCGACAATGGACTTGGCGATGGCCTGACGGATGGCGTAGATCTGGGAAGTGTGACCACCACCGGAGACGCGGACGCGGATATCGACGCCAGCGAACTTGTCAGTGCCAACAATCAGGAGGGGCTCGTAGACCTGTGTTGTTGGTGGTTAGACTCGTCGTTCCCTGGGATAAGTTGCCGTTCACCCTGAGAGCATTCTTTGCATAGATGTAAAGTTGTTGCTGGCGTTGGCGGGGGTAGGAAAAGTTTCAAGAGCGTACCTTGAAGCGGAGGATCTCGGGCTGGACCAAAGAGAGGGGCTGGCCGTTAACCTTGATGAGGCCCTTGCCTTGCTGTAAAATCGAAGAAAGTCTCAGTATGCTGTTCTCATTGTGTGGTATCCCATGCGCCCATCGATTCGTTGTTGCCCCATCAGAACATTTGCGACATTATAATCCCATTCCCATAGCTCTTCTTCTTCTTCTTCGCATTCGTAATAGCTTTTCCAAGGCATTTCCATCGAAATCTGATTGACGCAATAGGATGTATGGCGGAGGGGGGTGAGGCATCGTCTTCATACCTTGCAGTGGGCGACAGCGGTGGCTAATTAAAAAACTTCGATCAGCAATAATTCAACGAGGGATGGAGATATCGAAATCGCAAGACTCACCCGTCTTCTTCTTGCCGAAGCATTGCACACTCGGGACGGAAGCCATGGTGGGAAAAATGGCCCTTGTCGGTTGTCGATTGGGGAGGAGTGTGTTGTCGAGGGAGATGGAAAAGAAGTCGACCGCGAATTCCCACACTGCAGTGATTCGCCTGAATTGCTGGTTGTTAGTGCGGGTTTCGCTTAGAACGCACTAGTCCCGAAATGGATTAATTGGGCTCTCTGGCTTAGGGCTTGATCACATGACTAGCTTCATATCACGTGCTGTCACGTGAGTCGGGCCCAGGCGGAGTCCGAGTTTGGCAGGCGCAGAACTTCGGGGATTTGCTGTATTGCGATTACTGTTGTTGTCCTCCCCCGTTCTCTCTTTCATACGTATCCGATAAGATGTCGCAAACAGTCGGCAAGGTAAGTGAGATGAAAGCCCCCTCCATATGCTGATTTTTCTCGGCCAATTGCAGAATATAGCCCTTTGTGATGCTAACATTATGTGCTCTCTCAGACCCGTCTTGCATACTCCCGCGCATGGCATTATGTCGACGCTGGTTCTGACCCTCGTTCGCTCGGCCGCCTCGCTTCATCGATTGCCATGGTCTTAATGGGCAAGCATAAGCCAATTTACGATCCCTCGACGGACTGCGGAGACTATGTTGTGATCGCCGGCTGTCACGACCTGCGGACCACCGGCAAGAAGCGTTTCCAGAAGATGTACTACTCACACAACACGCGCCCGGGTAGCTTGAAGAGCATGACTATGGATCAAATGTTCCAGAAATGGGGTGGTGGTGAGGTTCTGCGCCGTGCTGTGAAGGGCATGTTGCCGAAGAACCGGCTGCAGGAGCCGCGGTTGGCACGACTGAAGAGTGAGTTTTCTTTTGGACTACATAGGCCCGGTACTTTCACGTTGTTTGTAACATAAGGCTAACACCACCTCTTTTCAGCCTTTGAGGGCCTTGCCCACCCTTACAAGCAGAACATTGTCAAGTTCGGCAACCAGTCAGTCATCGGTGCCAATCGGGAAGTTCAAGAAGCTTTCAAGGAGGCCAAGGAGGCTCAGACTCCCGCATAATCCTACTCTTCCTATATCTGTTCGATTATCTTCCTTGACTCCGTCTGCGATGTAATTTATTTCTGTGTTTTATGATCCAAAACCGCAAGCGCATGGGTGTGGAGTCTTATCTTTTGGAATCTTTTTTTCTTTCTTTTTGATTCTCCTTTCTGTTCACTACTACTCATTTGCCCCCCTCTCAAATTTGACCTGTTGGTCATCCTCTACAATGAATTGTACTTATATAGCAAACTTATTCCAAAATAAAAACAACGTGTTGTCAAGCTGATATTGGGGAAGGGGGTCTTAACTCCCAATAGGTATATAGAGACATTATGTACAAGAGAAGGAAAGTCGACAAATCATGCAGAGAACTCCAGAGCCTCGCTTTATAGACATTTAGAGCTTGGCCTTGGGGCCAGCACGACCCACGGTGCACTTGATAAGACCGTTGGGGTTGGACTGGGGAGCGTAGACCTCGGCGTCTTTGCCAGTGTTCTTGGTTCCCTTGTGCCAGCTGAGGTCTATATGGGGTTAGAAACAGGGTTCTCGAGCGAATCTGAAGGGAGTAAATAGAGAGACAAAACGTACCAATTTCGAAGTAGTGGTTGTTGGGTAGCACATACTCCACGGTCTCAAGCAGAGGCGCGGTGGCAAGAATCTGCTCACCCATCTTATACATGGTAGCCTGCACACTGGCGCTGTTATCCTCGGCAAAGGTCTTGAGGGTAATGGCTCGGGCCGCCTCCCAGGTAGCATCGAACTTGGCAAGGTGAGTCTTCACCTCGGAGACATCATTGAAGCGGCGCCACTGCCAGTTGGCAGAAACGTCGGTGCTGAGAATGCGATCCCAGGTCTCTTTGAGGGTGGTGAACTCGTCACGGAGGAAGCCCCAGAACTGTGAGCCGGTACTTTTGAGCATGGTGAGGCCGTTGAGGGAGGAGTTGATATCGATTCCCTTGCCCTCGACGACGTCCACTTGCACGTTACGGGTCTCGGGGCTGTCCTTGACGAAGGAGTGGGGGTGAGGCTTGCCATCGATGTTCATGCGCACCCAGCGGTGAGTGACGATGTTGACGTGCGCGGCGTGAATGTGGCTGTACTTCTCGATGAAGTGCGAGCCCAGAATGGAGCCGAAGACCTCGGGAGTGGTCACAGGCTGCTGCTTGGCAGTTATGTAGATAGTGTTCTTAATGGAGTCCGTGGCAACAATCACGCTGTTGTCGGCCTTTGTGTAGCTGTTGAGGGGGGGGGAGAGAAAGCGGTGTTAGCTGGCTTCCCCAATTCCAACAGATAAGGGTGTTTTGAGGCTTGTCTTTCTTTCTTTCTATTTGGGGGTTGTTGCAAACTCACGAAGTCTCAATGTCACCTTCCAACAAGACACAGACGGTCATTTCCACGACAGTCTGAATACCGGTCTTCTCATCACGGTGCACCTTGTACACGCGGACATTGTCCTTGCCGTAGCGGGCAGCAGCGAGAGCGCTCATTGTGAGTTGGAGAGATAAGAGGATATAAGTGGAGAATTGGAGAATTGGTGGAGAAGAGCTGGAAGGTAAGCTGTTGATAGATTTCTGGATTCAAGCCAAGTAGATTTTCAAGAGGGAACGGAATGTTATTTATTCCATAAGAAAAAAGAAAAAAGAGAAAAGAGAAGGGGAAAAAAAGGGCTAATGGGCTGATGCGCTTCGTCCGCAAAGTTATCGGGCACCTCCGAAGCCCGCGAGTGGCCGATCCCCACTTCCGATCTTATCGTAGCAACAGGGGAGAATGTCATTGAATACTAGTAACATTTGAAGGAGAAATATATACCAAAGTACTCTACTAGTATACATGTACGGATTCAATTCTTGCCCCAACATTTGAAGGTTCAAGTTATTCTGGAGATTTCTCAAGTGCTAGGTGTTGTACACACAGTAGTATTCAATCCTTTCTCCCCCAGATTTCCAAACATTTCAGCCGCCAGAGCTTATTAGTTCCAACTGTTATCACACAACCTTGAACAATCGACTAGACTCATCTGGGCCTTAGCATTTTGTTGCTGAGTCTTCAATTCCCGAGTTCCGAAAATCCGATGGCCGAAAGATGAGTACAGTTTAGATCCCTGCAGATCCCTTCAAATCCCTTGCTCCTATTACCATGTGAAGCAAATCCCGCAATGTTTTCCATCGGCCATCTCCACCGTTTGGTGTTTTTTTTTGAACACATGCGGAGTCAACTGGTCGGAACATCCGAGGGTTTTTATTGTTTAATTTGATACACCTGAATGAATGTTCGAGATTCAAGATTCCAGATGTCTTGGAACATTTGGAATTTTTGCGCTTTTCAATTGGTGATAGTATTGTCTGAATTCCTGGTGATCCAGAGATGGGAAAATCAGCCTCTCGTTTAGGCAATCGGATTGAATTGTAAGTACTCGCTCGATTAGGCGTGAAGGGTTGCAATCATTGCTCTTCTGCTCTTCTGCTCTTCTTCTGTGATTCCATTGGCTCTGTTGGCTCTGTTGGCTCTGTTGGCTCTGTTGGCTCTGTTGGCTCTGTTGGCTCTGTTGGCTCTGTTGGCTCTGTTGTCTCTGTTGTCTCTGTTGGCTCTGTTGTCTCTGTTGAATGTATGAAATAGGAAGCCAAATTGAGTTTAAGATCGTCGCGTCATCTTACCCTTTTCGGGTAATATCTTGAAGGCACCTTCGAGATTCAAATCATCTACCTCTGTCCTTGACTCCTTCTCACTTAAATACTTTTCTTCTTGACTCTTTTCTTCTTCACAATGTTGAGTATTCCGACTCGCTCTGGTCTCTGTGCTAAACGCAATCTCTACTACGCATCTATTATTAACGTGCGTACCTTCCCTGCAGACCCTTACCCTAACCAATTAAAACATGCGACTGACATATACACTATAGACCTTTGCCAGACCTTCATCGCGTCTCTCTAGGCACATCAAGCCTTATAATAGACAGCATCTAACTCCATTGACCCGGCATATTCACATGTCTCCAACAACAGCCATGGCATCCACCAACAGAAACCTCCACACCGAAATGGACAAAACCAAAAAATACACCTTTCTTGCTGAAACAACCCCTCACCTCGCCACAATCCTCGGCTTTCCCTCTCGTTGCTCGACCTTCCCAGCCCTGTACACTCGTACCTGTACCGAGATCATCGACTTGGCATGCACAATCGCAGCTTTCGAGCCCGTGCGCCTTCACGTACGTCCAGAGGACCTCTCAAAGGCCCAAACCCTCATCTCCCAGCACTTGGAGATAAGCTCAATCCGAGACAAGCCCGCACAATCATCAAATATCACCATCATCCCCGTCGCGACAAATCACTGCTGGGTCCGCGATACGGGACCGGTCTACGTGCGCAGCCTTGAACATCCTCATCAGCGATTCGCAATTGACTTTCGGTTCTGCGAATGGGGCAACAAGATTGAGGAGCTTCTCTACAACAACTCTGTTGACAAGGAGGCAGCATTAGCAGAAGAAGGTATCAATTGGCCGATCATGGATTTGACGCGACGAGAAGAGAATACGCTATTCGCGCGCCGGGTCCTTGAAATCGAGAATCAGGATCAAATCACTGGACATTCACCTGTTACCCGGGTCGAATCATCCGTTCGGTTGGAAGGTGGTGGCATCGAGATGGATGGCGAGGGAACTTTCATGGCGGCTGAAAGCAGTGTTTTGGTTCCATCACGGAATGAAGGGCTCTCGCGTGAGGATGTTGAGGCCGAATTGACACGGCTGCTGGGTATCAAGAAGTTTATCTGGATCCCCGGACGGGAGGGGTTGGATATCACGGACTGTCATATTGATGCCGAGGCGCGATTTGTGAGACCTGGCGTGGTGGTTGTGTGTAAACCGCATGCGAAATGCAAGGCTGTATGGTGGGATATTTATCATGAAGCGCGGGAGATCCTCGATGCTGCCATTGATGCGCAGGGACGGAGACTCCAGGTTTATGACATTGAGGAGCCAGATCCGGATCTTGTGAAGGGGGATGTTGCTGGAGAAGAAGATGGACCGGCAGCGTCCTATGTGAATTTCTACTTTGTGAATGGGGGTTTGGTGATACCTGCCTTTGGAGATATCGAGGCAGATATGAAGGCCTTGGAGATTATGAAGAGTCTTGTTCCTGAGCGGGAAGTGAGGCAAGTGGCCGTCAATGCACTACCGAGGACGGGTGGTGTGTTGCATTGTACGACACAACAAGTACTGTGAGAGTTGGACATTTTGTCCTATGTAAAACATGAGCGTATACTATCATCTCATTAATACTATCGAACATTTGGACCATTTGGACCTGGACTTAGTCATTCAAGATTCTTAATGAGCTAAGACATATCAAGTCCGTACTTAAAACTTGATTGTTTCAATGTTCATTCGCACATAGAAAGCATACTGACAGTATAGGCTTGACTACTAGTATGGGGGCAAAACTCCATCCCACTCGAATCCCAACATAGAATAAAACCACAGGGCGGCAGTTGCCATCTCTTTTTTACTATAAGCCTTAAATGCCTGAATGATGAGTGAAACCAGATGACAGTAGAAAACAAAAGAGAAAATAAAAGTCACAAGCGGCAACCGTCATGTTTATCATTTTTCTTTTCTTGTATCACAAACGTTTGAGGACCCAAGAAAAGCCAATAAAATTCAATCCAAAGGCAGAGAAGATGATAATGATAAGCCTTCAAACTCCACCAAGTCCATATAACGCCATGAAAAGTAGCCCAGTTAAAATCAGAGCAGAAAGAGAAAAAAAAAAGACAGAAAAAGATAAAAGAAGATAAAAGAAGTAGACATGAGAATCATAATCATAGCACATATAGATCCCCCCTCCAAGGTAGGTAAAAGCGGACTTTTGTTGAATCACAGACTTAACTGATCAATACTCCCCACTCGCCCCCCACCCCCAAGTCTCCCCCCACCTTTTGTCACCATTCCCAACCGATAAAATCGTTCCTCACCCGCAGGCGTTTTTCCCCCGATATACCACTTCTCCGGTCCCAACGCATCGCGGAAGCCACCAGAACCACTGGAACTATCACTCCCACGACGCTGGCGATCTCCCGCTCCACGATTGATTGGGATCGGTGTCGATGAAGATGGTGTCGGGGGTGGAGATGTCTCTGCGGAGTAAGAGGAGGGAGAGGTATGGTGATAATGGTGGGAGTGGTGCTGAGGCTGAGATGCTGTGGGTGGTGAAGACGTAGATGCAGATGCAGGTCCCTGTGGGATGGTATTTCCACCCGAATGCGAATGCGAATGGGATGTGGATGTGGATGGGTTTCCTGATGAGGTGGGATTTGAGGATGGACTGGAGCTGGAACCTGCAGCTTTTGTGGCTATGGCGCGGGCGCTCTGAGTGAGAGAGGAAGGGGAGAGAGAGGATGTGCCTGTTGGTTGTTGATGAGAGGCTTTGAAGGTAGACTGGGCGCGGAACGCGGCCAAGAAGTTGGAGAGGAATGGCCTGTTGGTGGACATGCCTGCTTATTGGGGGGAGGTTGATGTTGAGTCGGTGTAGGATGAAATGTGATTGCCGGATCGCCAGAGTCGAAATGGGGATATCTTGATCAGTAAAATATGTGGGTAGCGCTTGCTTTGCCCACAGGGTATTCCTTTGATCCGGGCTAGAATTTCAAGGAAAGCGGAGCATATGGTGTGAACGGCGGGGGTGGAAGTCAGAGATCCCGAATCCAACTTGTTCCGAGCCGCGACGCTCCAATCAAATGCGGGGGATTATGGACATGACGTCGAGCAGGAAGATCCCGGAAGTTCAGGCGTTGAGCAAAATGGACTTGCAATGGAATGTTTTGAAGCATTAAATCATGTATGGTATGATAGTATCACCATTTTCTTTGTCTACTAGTACATCATTCAAGTACCAAGTATACACAGAAATAGACGCACGTTGGAACATGAGGTGCATACTACAGTACGAAATAGTAGCACATTTCGCTTGTGATCGTCGGATCATCGCGGCTCCGCAACTCATGCATTGAAGAGGTTGTACTAGTATAAACGTAGCATTGAATAAAAAACGATCACCTCTATTTCTAAATAGATGCTTTTCGAATAAAGCAGATTCCCTCCGAACAATGAACAAGGGAAGAAAACAGGAATGGCCGTAATAAAAAGGAAAAGGAAAAACAACACCCTAAATCACACCAAGCCCGACGCGCATGTATGTTCGTGCCGTGCCGACTCGACTCTTACTTACAGACCATGCAAATGCACCAGGAGAAAAAAAGAGAACAAAAAAAGAAACGAAACACGTAGGAAACCATATAAGAAAAGATGAGATAAGAGAATGAAAATGAAGAAGATATGAGGTCGAAAATGAAAATGAACAAACACAGCAAAAATTCGACAATAGCCTTCCCACAAAGCTTTTCTCTCCTTTTTTTTTTGCTGAAGCACTCGCGCAAAACACATGCCCTTGTCTATAGTCGTGGACGCCAAACGAAACCACCCATGCCCATCTCATCAAAGAGGGCATAAAAAAACAACCAGATTCGCAATCAACAACCATTTAGGCCGTTTAGTTGAACAGCCGTATAGAAGAATGCGGTCCCACACCGGATGGGATCTGAATCAGAGAAAGGGAGGGAGAAAGGATTCATCAAGAACGAATACAATCAAAAATGTCAGGAAATATGAAGAACCGGGACAGAACGCCAGGAATCAGAAAAACATCGCTGCGAGGATCGAGCGGAGTCGGACAGATCAGAGTAACGGAGGCGGCTGAGAAACCGTAATAACAAATCATTTTTGGTTGGTAGGGAAAGACAAAAAAAGAGACAAACAAGTCTAAGAGGATGGAGGGGGAAGGAGGGAGGGAAAGAGAAGAGCCATGGCTGGAGCTGCCTCGAACAAGATATTTCAATCAAGACTGCAAACGAGAAAAATCGCATCCATCGTGTGCGGGGGGGATCTGCACCAGTAGTCCTCACGATGGTCAGAATAGGCCCTTCACTTTTTCATTTATCTCTCCCGGACTGGTGGCTGGTGCTTCGCATCGTATGATCTGTGGGTGGATTTACTGTCGGGCAGCCTGAACGGTACCTGTTGAGATGAGAAATACTCTGTTAGTTTGCATGCTCTTTTCTCTTCTGGTTTTTTTTTTGACCACAGATCAGATAGGATTAAGCTCACCATCACCGCTGAGGGTAGTCGAAGCCAGGTACAATCCGTTCATCCCGTTCTCGGGACCACCCGAGGTCGTGGCGGGGTAGAACTTGCGGTCGGCATCGACGGGGGCGTGGATCGACTCCTGGCCGGAAGCCATGGAGTGGGGGAAAACGGGGGTCATGTAACCGTCGGATGGACCGTGCTGAAACATCGTCCAATCAGGTTGGTTCGAATGGGGGCCGGTCATAGCCGGATGTTTGTGATCAGGGACGACGAGGGGCTTTACCTGTTCAAGAGGACGATCAACACTCAGTTGCTGGCCATGGGCATCGCTGCCGGGCTGCATGAGGTACGGATTCTGCTTGGGCGCAGCCATCCAGGAAGCTCGTGCGGATGCCTGGTCGGCATACGCGTTGTCACTTGGGCCACGGCTCATACCGTTGGCCGGAGACATAGCGAACCCCATGTGATGCTGCTGCTGCTGCTCATGGAAAGTGGGACGGCCAACAGGCATTCCATTTCCATTCACATGCCCATCGCTGAATTGCGCACCCATAACACCATTGGAAGATGGGGCGGGATTACTAACTTCATCCAAAGGCTTAGCGGGGTTCGCCGCCGCCGCTGCAGCCGCCGCCTGCTGCGATCGTTTCAGATGGGCCTGGGGGTGCGACAAGTGGGTCGCGCCTGTGGGATTGCCCCGACGAATTGAACACTTCTGGAAGTGGCGCTTCAGGATATCACTGCGAGAGAAGGTGTCCTTGCAGAGAACACACATGTATGGCCGATCTCCAGTGTCTAGAAAAGGAAGAAAGACGCGTCATTAGCCTCAATTTCACAATAAAGAAATAAATTTGAACCAGTAAATAAGAAGAGAGAGAGAGAGAGAGAGAGAGAAACCAAAGCGGAGTTTTACGACAAGGGGGGGGAGGAAGAGGGGAGGAGAAAAGTAGAAGAAGAAAGAACTCACGTCGCAGCAGATGACGCTTCAGGTGCTTGGCATGCAAATAGGTCTTGTTACAGTGCGGGCAAGGGAATTTGCCATCCGCGTCCTTGGCCGGAATGGTGGTGTTCTTTGCGGCACCGTTGATGCCGTTGGTGACCGGAGTCGCACGGCCCGGAACACTCGGCAGGATACCACGGCGGCCCTGAGAGCCCACGACCTGCGTCCGTGGTGGTTCTTTGGCTCCGTATGGCGAGCCATTCGCGCCGTTCACGTCGGGGCTCATACCCCAGGACTTGCCATCGGAGTAGCTGAAAGCCCCGGAGGGAAGACCATTGAAGTCGCGACGGTCACGCGGTGGGGCTGGAGCAATGGGCTGGGGGTAGCTCTGCGCGGACGAGGCGGGAGGCAACACGCTTGGGGGAGGGGGGTACGACTGAGAAGGGTGGGCCTGTGTCTGGTGGTTAGGATGCGACAAAAATGACGGTGGTTGGCTACCGACGGTCGAGTGCATGCCGGGCATGATGGGGGCAGTCGAAGCCCCGTACACATCGTGAGTCGACGCGGGATAGCGCGAAAGGTCTGGCCGGTATGGTGGCGGCTGGCTCATGTAATGAGGCGCGGGTGACTGAGTGTGATGGGGATGAAGCGGCGGCAGGGTGTGCGGCTGCGATCCCGGGTACTGCTGCTGCATCGAGTATTGTGGCATGGGCATACTCGAGACGGGGGTCGAGGAGAGCGGAGCGGAGCCCTGAGACAGGGTGGACGGAGGCCGCGAAGGGTGCGATCGAGGATCCATCTTTTTTTTTTTTTTTTTTAAGAAAGAAGGATGAGGGTGGACGAAGTGAAACAGAAAAGAAAGCGCGTCAAGGTAGGTGAGGATAGTCGGATACGATCACAAAGCAATCATCGAAGTTTGATCCTCTTTTTTTGTTTCCTTTGCCACTTCAGTCTCGTTTTTTTTTTCTTCACTCGTTGAACCAAAGGCTGCTCCTTGTTTCTTTGAAATTTTTCCCGAGGCGGCAAGGTGCCAAGTCACGAGGTCAGATCAATTGGGGGACGGTCTGACTCCACACAGGTAGAAGGTAAGTCACTTGGAAGTTCAGGAGGGGGAGGAGTTAAGAAAAGGTCAAGAAGGAAGGTTTGAGGAGATTTCCCCACGGTCACCCACCGAAGAAAGTCGTGTGGGAACTTTTTTGGTGTTATCCGCACGTTGTCACCGTCGATGGGTTCTTGTATCCACCAAGGAAGCGGGCGTGCAAGTGGGTCTGCAACTCGCAGGACAACAACTAGTCAGATCTGTTTCGCGTCAAAGAATGCGTCGAGGACGAAGAATCGAGGAGCAAAAAAGAACGACAGCCGAATCAATTTGAGATAATTGAAGGGGATGAAGATGATGAAGAAGGTTTTGAAAGAGGTGAAAAAAAATTCTTTCGTTTTTTTTTTTTCTCTCTCTTTTTCTCTGTTCTGGAAAAGACAAGTTTCGATCGCGAACGGGGGAATTGGGGGGGAAGAGGAAAAAGGAAAGGGAAATGGGGGGCGGGCAAAGTTACCAAGTTCACCAAGTTACGATACCATGGAAAGTTTCAGAAGGGAAAATAAAATAAGAAAAAAAAAAAGGTATTGGAAAGTTTAGATATTTGAAAAAAATCGAAAAATCGAAAAGAAAAAAACCCCCATACGAAAATAAACCAAACTAAATTCCGACAATGCAGTATGATTGGAGAGCCGGGGAGGAAAAAGGACTTTAGTTTGGGAGAGGCAAAGAGCTTTACCATAAAAAGAGAGAGAGAAAACCCCCGAAAAATCAAAACCGCAAGTAATATCATTTCCAATATTACCCATTACCAGCATTACCAGCATTACCAACAGGCGCGGAATTCTGGTACAGAACAGGGAACGATGACGATATGCCGGGCGTCTTCCGAAGACGGCCCGGAGAGGAATGGCCGATCGCACCTGCTCGCAAGCGGAGTACGTGTACAGATCCGACTAGTATTCTATTTCAATGTTCAGTAGAACTCTTATCCCGAATACTTTGGATCGATTATGAAAAGAATTTATCATTATATTCCAAGGTTGTGAATACTTATGTACTAACATTGAGTATGTAGCCAATATTTTCCCATTGTTACTTAGGTGAGATATTAGAAATACTAGGATTCTGGAAAAAAAAAAAAAAAAAGAGAGAGAGAAAGAAGAAAAAAAGGAGGATCTGAAGAATATCATATCCTTGGCAAGGTTCTCATTCCCTCTCCCAAACTTACATCCTGGGCCTGGGGAAATCAATAATAAAAAAAGTACTCCAGCGAGTCCACTGCCACATGCGTGTAGGCTCCATTGTTTACCCGATCGCGGCGCTGTCCGATGTACTCCGTACACGGATATCGGTACTCGGAAGTGATACTAC